CTTACTGGTCGAGTTCTTGCACGGGCTTGAACCCATTCCCTGGACCTCAAGCGTGGCCGTTGGGCCTAACTCGAAGACCCAAGTAACTGTCGTCCTACATAAAACAAGAAAGAGGAAAAGAACAATATCAGTACAACAATGAACTTTTCCATCCGAAAGAAAAGAGCGCTTCTAGATGCAACACCTTTCGCTGTATTCAGTTTGTAATGTACAACATTGTAACTTATGAGTTCCATAGCTTCAATATAAGTAATGTAGTCCTTGATACATGCGGTCAATTGATACGAGCATTGGCAGGGACGGTGGTGGGGCAATGGGCATTGGAGGACAAGACAGGGCCAGCGTCCGAACTTCCTGAGGAAGCAGGGATTTTGGGCCAATGGCAATGGGTTAAGAGTAAGTAGATATTATTTGGTGGGATATTAGAAAGAAATGGAACTGAGAGTTGGTATGTTGTTGTGTACTCCGTAGAAGGTTGTTGTTAGAAGAAGGGAGTGAAGAAGGACCGAGAGGGATGGCAAGAAGAGAAAGACAAAAACAAAGACAAAGATAAAGAAGACATGACCCCAACTCAATGTGTTTTCTTTTTTTGCCAAATGTATAGGAGAATAAATAAATAAAAATGCCATATCGCCATCCATTCGTTCCTGGTGGACTGTCTATTGTTGCGACTCTGAGATTATTGTATTTAACCATTATATTTGCATGTACCATCCGATCGCAATCAGACCTCCACTCTTTTCTTTGTCTTCACCATTTCTCAAGCGTGTATCAACCTCTCAGTCTCAGTTAGACCCGTCACCACCTGAGCTACAAACACTTCCGGGAGGGGGTGTACCTTTTTTTTCCCTGAACCTATACGGAAGATTGTTGAATAAAGTCACCATTCCAGCATGCTGAGAGGGGGTGGAATGGAAGGTGAAGGGAAGAAAAATATCGTTTTCGGAGATGTACATGTGCTTCCAATCATTCGATTTCCCTCACCACAAACTTTGTTTTCTTTTTACTTTCTACTTCTTCTTCACTCCTCTTTGGTCTCCCTCCCCCCTTCTTGGCACCCGACTCCACTATTTGAAAACCACTCGCTGGTTCCCCTTCCTTCCCCTCTCTTCTTTTAGAAGCGTACAGAGAAAAGAAAGAAGGTTTGCGTGTATGTGTACGCTTCTCGTTTTGTCTCATTCTCCGTCCATTTTTGCCTGCGCATCTTTCCTTTCCTTGCTGTTCTTGTTTTGCGCGTTTGCGCATGCTTTTTTTTTTTTTTTTTTTGGGGGGGGGAGGCACCTGCTTCGCTTCCTTTTCACTTACCCTTTGTTCCTTTCTATTACTTACCATATGATGTGTGTTTGCTTTTGTTTTTCTTCGTTCCTGCTTCGCCTCTTTGTCGCTCTTCACTCTCTCATTTGCTGTGGAGTGTGTATTTTGCGTTCGCGATGTTTTTATTCGCCACTTTCCTTCTTAACAAACCTGCACGGTTTCTACACTATCCCGCGTCCTTCTTTGCACCCTCTCCCGTCACAAACTTTTCACTAATAAGAAAATCGCATTGTCTTTGTATCACTTCAGTGGCAAGGAGGTGTCAAAAGGGGTCAAGAGGAGTCAAGTAGCCCCCTTTTCTCATACATACGTGTCATGGTTGGCCCTTTGGCCATGTCAAGGGTGTGGGTGCGCCAGCGTGGTGGTGGCTTTGGGGGACGTCTGGCCCCTCCCAGCACTGACATATGCCGTTGGAGGAACATGTAAGGGGGGAGGGGGTGCTAATCTCTGACATCTTAGCATGTCTTCATTTTTTTAAGATGAGATCGCAGGCTAACATGAGACTCTAACGGCTAACATAGAATTCTGAGAGCTCACTAAAGCATCGTGGGATGATAATGGGTCGCGGGAAGCAAATGGAACGCGGGCTACTATTGGGCTGCGGGAATCAATGGGGTCGCGGGGTCGTGGTCTCGAGGGATGGATGAGTGTCTACTTATAATGATGGCACATTAATGGGGGGCGCGGGCTCGCTTAGCCTATCATGACGCTCAAACTAAGGTTTGAGGCGGACTATAAGCCTTTTTATAACTACAACGGCATTGAGACAATGCTTCCTTTCAAACTTTTAACCCTTTGGTGCGGTGTGCCCTGGACTGTGGGTTCTCAAGGTGGGAGCCCACAGAAAGATGGGTGGTTCCATTAAATTTAAAAGAGATCTCTTTTTTTCAACCAGCCTTTTCCTTTCTTTTTCTCCTTGTTTTATAATGTTTGAATTTTTTTGAATGGAAAAAAAAATGAGAACGAACAGGGGATGCAATGTGAGTGGGACTGAACTGGCGTCTGAAATTGACGTTTACTCTAGGTCTTATCATACTTGCAAGATAAAACTGGTTGGTGAGCTAAACAATTGGATCCCAAGCACCCCAGGTACGAGGGCGGATGGGACATTCATGATTATGACGGTCATCCATCCTTGAACAAAATGGTTTATTCGTTTTTTCTGAGAAATTATTTTTGTTTTATTGGGAGAAGCAAGAAGACACGAGAATTTAAAAAGAGAAAAAGAGAAAAAGAGAAAAAGAGAAAAAGAGAAAAAGAGAAAAAGAGAATAAAGAGAATAAAGAGAACAAGGGCCTGAAAGAAGATAAAGAGAAGAAAAAAAGAACAATGGAAACATATATATAGTATGCTGTATTGAAATTTAAGGCGTAGGAGACAAACCAGCAGCGATGCAGGCCGCCATACGGACACCAAGTTTGGCGTTGCAAACAGCAATGGCGGAAGGCACGCCGATGCCGTGGCCGATGGTGCCAAAAATGAAGCCTGTAGCAGCATAGCAGGCCACAGCTAGGCGATCCCTCCATGTATAGAGGATATAAAAAAGCATATAAAAAATATCCAAAGCCCAAGGAACGGAGTGTTGACTTCCATAGCTGACATATCTCTTTATAGTGGGCAACAGAACACGGAATAAAATAGCAATAGACAGCACAAGATTTTTTAAAATGTAATCTCTCCCCTGTATTTCGCCTCAAAGATACAGTTGAGAGTACAACTGCTTTAGATGATCACATACAAGAACTACTCTGCTCAATCTTGCAGTGAGGAGTACAGTTTAATAGTAGTTGGAGACATTCAAGAGATTGGTGTGCAAAAAATAAGACTTTGTTGTTTGAAGAATATTATGGTGTTTAGTAGAATAGTTAAACAAAAAATGTTACAATGGTTGTCTTACATGCTTGGTATTATATATACATTCTCATCTCATAGTCGCTATGGATATCGTCGAGATCTACAGAGATGTAACAAACATCATATGATAATTTGGACGTGAAAGGCCTCCTAGGGCATTGCAACCCGACTGACAGATTCCATAAGCTGCAGGACCTGCAGCACAAACGGCAAGTACAGTAGAGTAGTGATAACAATAGTTTTCTTGAGCATATACAATATGAAAGACTTGAGGTAATGTTGTAATGATTGTAGATAGAAAGTGAAGCAAAGAAAGGGGCAATAATATATAAGTACAGTGAGTAATGGATTACGACAACATTACATGAAGTGTTCAAACACTAGAAAAATATTGTTGCATTCATCCGGAGAGGGCTATTCAAACTTTCCACTACAATGACAGTGGGATGCGAAACATGCAAGAGAAAGATGGGGTCAATCCAAGAGAGATGGGGTCAATGCAAGAGAGATGGGGTCAATGCAAGAGAGATGGGGTCAATGCACGAGTTTGCGAGAAGTGCTTTGATGTATGCGGTTTTGAATATTGCGGCGCATGATAGGGTGCACCTCACAAAGTTATTTTCAATAAAAAAAAATGCATGGCACATGCTCAGAAAAGATAGCGGCCCCTTCATGTGCAGAGGATATAAAAAGGCATATAAAAAATATCCAAAGCCCAAGGAACGGAGTGTTGACTTCCATAACTGGCATATCTCTTCATAGTGGGCAACAGAACACAGAATAAAATAGCAGTAGACAGCACAAGAATTTTTAAAATGTAATCTCTCCCCTGTATTTCGCCCCAAAGATACAGTTGAGAGTACAAGTGCTTTAGATGATGACATACAAGAACTACTCTGGCGAATCTTGCAGTGAGGGTTACAGGTTAATAGTAGATGGACATATTCAAGAGTGTGGTGTGCGAAAAATAAGAAGACTTTGTTGTTTGGAGAATAGGTTGGTGTTTAGTAGGATAGTTGAACAAAAAATGTTACAATGGTTGTCTTATATGCTTGGTATCATATATACATTCTCATCCCATAGTCGCTATGGATATTGTCGAGATCTACAGAGATGTAACAAACACCATATGATAACTTGGACCTGAAAGGCCTCCATAGAAAGATAGGGATTTTACTTCAGCAATGCGTTTCTCTTATGGTAAGTCTTACTTGAGGATGTGAGGATCTCGCTGTCATATGAAAATGATAATTTGATCCTCGACTACAGCACTTTATTCAGCGACATCGCTTGACGTCCACATTATAACCTTCAGCGAGCACTACATTGAGAGAGTCATAGTGAGGTAATTCTATAGGATAACTGTCTTAATTGATGTGCAAAGGATAATTGCTTATCAATGATTGTGAGACAATAGGGGCTGCTTGCAATAATGCAATGGTTGCTTGTACGCAGGAAAAGCGGTTGCTCGCAATATTACAATATGTTGGGGCAGCCTTAGAAAAAAAAATCAGTAGAAGTGGTGTCAGCGTTGACCTCCAGGTAATGAGAGAGCAGAGAGCCGTGACAAAAGTGCGTAAAGCGTAAGCATTTATTTTGCCTCATGCACCCCATTAGATTTACTTTCTTATTCCACAGTTATCCACTTTCCATCTGTAGCATTTCAGTGTCCATCCATTCTCTTTATTCTCCATTATGGGTAGTAGATATCAGCCCTTCTATATATAGTATCATAAGAATCAAGAAACCCCCAGCTTCTTTCTCACCATTTCCTCTTTCAAGTTGCTTACACCTTTCACAACTTCTCTTTCTACAACACACTTTCCTGTACCATGTTTATCGCAACCGAATACCAAAGCCTGGTGGACAAGATCAATAAGCTCAAGCACCACCGCCTGAACCATGTCCTCAGCGTGCCGCAGATAGCCATCGTTGGTGACCAGTCCAGCGGCAAGTCGAGCGTCCTAGAAGCCTTTACTAAGCTCCTCTTTCCGCGCGACAAGGGCATGTGCACCCGCTTTGCAACGCAGGTGAATCTATGCCGTGATTTTTCCCTAACCAAGGACACCCTATCGGCTCGAATTGACGGCCAGGAAGCGTTCAATGAACGGCACAAGGCCATCCAAGTGGACCAGTTCCATGATGTGATTGAGGAGGCTGTTTCATTGCTCTGCACCACCAGCGATATCAGCGACAAGGTCCTCGAACTGACGCTTTCCGGTCCCTCCCAGTCGCCTCTAACGATCGTCGACCTACCCGGGTTCATCAACACCACGTTGGACGGCCAGGACAAGAACATCCCCATAACAATCCGCACCATGAACGAACGCTATATGAAGGATCCACGCACCATCATCCTGGCTGTTGTCCCCGCCAATGTCGACCTCAACAACTCGTATGTTCTGGCCCGGGCCGAGGAGCATGATCCCAAGAACGAGCGCACGGTTCCGATTGTCACTAAACCAGATATGATCGACAAGGGCACCCTTCCGGAACTCATTGACATGGTCCTCAACAACCGAAAGAAAATGAAGCTTGGCTATTTGGTGATGCGCAACACTGGGTATGCCGATATGGATCTCTCCTGGGACGATGCGCGCCAAGCGGAAGATGACTTCTTTGCTCGGGATAAGGAGTGGCAGTTGGTACCCAAGTCGAACAAGGGTCGCGTCGGCGTTAAGAAGTTTCTCGGCGACTTACTGCATGCCCACATCAAGAAGGAGCTTCCTCTGCTCAGGCGCGAGGTGATCAACAAGACTGACGAGCTTCGACGGGAACTTGAAGGCATGGGTGTCCGTATTGCCACCAACCACGAGGCTCGTATCAAGTTTGCGGATCTCACAATGCAGCTTCAGTTGTCCCTTTCTAGCACCTTGACCGGCGCCTACTCTCAGGAGTACATGGACAAGTTCAAGGACGATGACGATGGTAGCGATGATGAGGAGCAGGAGGAGAGCCTCCGCTTTATTCGGTCGTCACTATACAAGCTTTACCAAGGCTACAATGCTGCCATGGCCGAGCACAACTTCCAAAAGCTGGAGACAAGCGACATTGTGGCGATGGCAACCCGCTTCAAAGGCAACGAGCTCCCCGGCTTTGTTCCATTTACAACTTTCGTCAAGTTGTTCAGCGGCACACATACAACTTGGAGGACGCTAACCAAGGAGCACATCACCAAGATGCACCAGTATCTATGCAAGGCCATCAAAGCGTTCCTCGTCTATGCTATCGAGCATCAACCTGTGCGTGAGGTTTTTCTCGACGTCTTTCTCACGTTTTACAGCAAGCAGGTCAAGCTGATCAATGCCGCCATCGAGGACATCTTTGAGGACGAGGCCCTGCCATTTACTTTCAACAAGTACTACTATGATACGATCCTCAAGATCCGCGCTGACAAAGTTCAAGATCAACTGGACAAAAAAGATAGGCATGTAAACCAATATGGACAGTCAGTCGTATTAGCCAGCCATTTGACGGCACCCTATACAGATGCTGACTCCAACGAGGAAAAGGCGGCCGAGGAGTTGGGCGAGCAGGTGCAGGCCTACTGCAAGGTGGCGCGCAAGCGCATTGTCGATGTTGTACTGCTGCAGACCCTCGAGCGCCATATGGTTAGGCATATTGGTCTGTACTTCAAGGAGTTGATCAAGGTGGACGACATCAAACTGACTTGCCTGATCGAGTCGGACGATGACAAGCGCCGTCGCGAGAGCCTCGAGGACCGGATCGAGATCTTGGATCGCAGCCTAGCCGAGCTCTAACGAGCGCTACTCATTTCTTTTTTTTTTCTTACTATCTTATCTGCCCTTTTTTTTCCTACCTTTCTTATCTGCCCTTTTTTTTCTTACCTTTTTTATCTGCCCTTTTTTTTCTTACCTTTTTTATCTGCTGATAGTTCTTTCTCACTCTTCCTCATCCCTTTGCATTGCCAATGCATTTTCTCAATACATATCGTTTTTTATTTCGCTATATAATTACATGGACGACCGAATGTCTTATTGCTTTTTACTTTCCACTGCGGCTTTGGAGTTAGAAAGATAATGGGGTTTTTAGATAATACGCTAGTGCGATAGACAGATTGTTCAACTTGCCTATTTACAACATTCAGGCGACAAGCCAGAGAGATTGAATGCTCTGTTTTCTGCGAACGGTCTTGATGGAATGGAATAGGCTGCGCTTTTCAAGTCTTGTCCACAAATGTACAGGCATTGGCACTTCAAGCATAAAAGTAAGAGAACAGAGCAGCCAACTAAGCAAATGACCCCTGTACTGAGGAGACCATTCAGATCCAAAATACAACGTGGCATCTTCCACATCTATGTCCTTCTTGATGAGGTTCATGGTGACAATCAGACAAGAGTATTTGTATAATGGCCACATGCTAACCATTGTAATATTCCGGGCGTAATACTCCTACCAATCACCGCCAACTTTTCCAAGCAGAAATGTACCATAGTTTTTTGCATAGATCTCTCCTGAATGTACATGTCCATCACCAGATCGCATCCTTCGCATCGAAATTAAGGAGAGTAATTCTTGACGATGATAGTTCAAAACTTGTTCTTACTATGTTGCATCTTTGTGGTGAAATGCAGATAAGAGACTAGTTTTTAAAAAATCGCATCTTGCTTGGTGCCTATTTATATTGTATCTCTCTTGCAAATTCGGATTGTATACGTCAACTCGAATGGTACACAGTTCGTTGACAGAGAGTTGGATGTTTTAAAAAACCATTTCCGTGTGCCGTGTACGTGAAAAATCGCCTGACGAGATCCAAACAATACACTGTTATCCAACAACTTGATCTTGTGCTAGACGGCCATGACCTCCTTTAAGATCGGGATAACCACTGACATCAAGTAATCTGACTTGGATACCAGGTGAGCCCAGCAGTTGTATTGATGGAACATATGCAGCGCAATAATGAAAATTGGCATGATCTTCTTCTTGCGCTCTGCATATGACATGACTATTTCCTCCGCCAATGTTTTCATATCAATTGCCTCGACTGTTTCACCCTTTGAGTCGAAGAGCAAGGCATTGAAAGTACAGGCGCAAAGGAATAATAGAGGAAGACAAAGAATGTTGAAAAGAAACGCGACAAAATTAAATGAAAGTATAGTTGAAGCGCGTAAGAAAAATCAAAGGACATCACGTCAAGGATGAAGGGGCGCCGGAAGAAAGCAAACATCTGTGATGAGGAGGACGTTGAGGTAGTAAGAAGAACAAAAGAAAGTGAAGGGCAGAGAGCAAGGTCTAGAGTAGAGAGAAGCAGCCATAGACAAACGTGGGGGAATGAAGGGAAAGGGAGAATGCAAGACTATAACAGACTCCACGGGAGTTGAACGTGCCAAAACCAAAGGTTAAAACGAATAAAGGAATGCAATTGTTCTCATCAACGCCCTCGACCTTTGTATTCCTCTGACAAACAATATAAAGCGCCTTGGTCGCCTTTTTTTGTTTACAGCTTGCATGAATGCATGCAAAATAGACAAGTGTTGTTGTTCAAAGGAGGTTTCATTGGTACAGTTGGCCAATCCCTCTCCCTCCTTTGAATGGCATCATCCGCCTGTGGCGAGTAATCGACTTTTTCTTCTTTCCTCTTTTCTTCCCCCTGTTCCACCTTTCTCTGTCCCTACATCCCCCCCTTCACTTCATCCTTTTAATCTTCTCACTCATTCACCCATCTCCCATCGTCATCAGCATCCGCTTCCTTTTAAGGTCATCACCATCATCATTCACATCTCTCCTGCAGGTCACAAACGCCATCTAGTCCTACACCCCTTCGCTCTCCTCACCTACATACATACTCAACATGCACAAAAAAAAAATGCTACAAGAGGATTATCCTCAAGTGAGTGTACGGGCGATTCGATCCATTGACAAGAGCGTCCCACCCAACGCCATTCCCCCTGCCACACCCGACGAGATATACCATGTCGACACTCACCCCGATCCCGAGACTCAGATGGAAATTGTACTATGGGACGACATCCTCCAGGGATTCAAGTATGCGGAGCACGTTCGACACAAGACGAGGGTTCTCCCGTTCCTGAAAGGCAAAGATTTCACAATGTATGTGCACAATGTAACCATTTGCAACTTGTCGTGGGAGTAGCACTTGCGGAGTGACAAGAACGACACACACACTAAGGAGGCCATCCATGTTCGGCTCCACCAACCATAGACTACAGTATAAAAATATCTGTCAACACCTATTAAAACAGTGTGTTCCTTGAGAGTACAACAAATCTCATCAGCTTTTTCCTTCCACCAGTCTCCATTTTCTACATTCACCACCACTACTTGGTAACATCATCTACTTTAGCTGAGAAAGCCTTGGACATGATCATCTCATATTGGAAAGGAAATTACTATCTGTAATATCTAGGATCCAATATGAGATGATCATGTCCAAGGCTTTCTCAGCTAAAGTAGATGATGTTACCAAGTAGTGGTGGTGAATGTAGAAAATGGAGACTGGTGGAAGGAAAAAGCTGATGAGATTTGTTGTACTCTCAAGGAACACACTGTTTTAATAGGTGTTGACAGATATTTTTATACTGTAGTCTATGGTTGGTGGAGCCGAACATGGATGGCCTCCTAATGTCGTTTACTTGGAAAATGAACACAAATCACTAGTCTTCAGCCTCGCAGGATCGCCGCCGTGCCGAACATAGTCCTGGATAGTGTTTCTCAAGAACATAGTGCATTCGCATTCGCATCATGTAAAATCAATGGAAACCCCTTTATTCGCATTCGCATTTGAGAAACACTAGTCCTGGATGTGGTCGTAGATACTCCAGTGACCGACAATGTGCGGGTCGCTTCTCTTCAGGTCCGACAGTTGGAGCTTCAACCAGTGCCACCGCAGGACGACAGCACGATAAAGGTCAACGCCGCATCCCAGGATGCCATTTCAATACCCAGTGCTACGTCGATGCCCATTACTACGACTGCTACATCCACGCCCAACTCAATATCCTCATCCAGTGCACCTCCCACTGCAACATCCGCTGTTCGATGGAACCCAGTCTACGGTCTTGTAGAGACGGCGATGGAAAACTACACTCACATTGACAGATCCATTGTATTCCCGTCAGCTCGAGGTCCTCAAGCGGTGTTGGACGATCGAACGCCAGTGGTCAAGGATTCCCCAACCACTCCTCATCTAGACAACAACAGACCTCAGCTACAAGGACCTCAATTCGCGACAACCAATTTACCCATGGAAATGGATGTGACCCAGACGAGCATCAGTGCCAGCCCTGGGGGCATTCTGCCCAGGCCGCGCTCGGCGACAAGTACGGGGATGGCAAGGGGGGGTTTGTAAGACTATCAGGCCGCCATGGATTGGTATCTCAAGGCCGCTCAGCAAGGACATGCCTCCGCACATTACAACATCGGTGTACTTTATAACAACGGCCAAGGTGTTCCCCAGGACTATGCACAGGCGATGGAATGGTACCTCAAAGCCGCCGATCAAGGATACGCCAATGCACAATACAATATCAGCTCCTGCTACGAGCGTGGTCAAGGCGTTCCTCAAGACTACGCACAGGCGATGGAATGGTACCTCAAAGCCGCCGATCAAGGATACGCCAATGCACAATACAATATCGGCTCCTGCTACGAGCGTGGTCAAGGCGTTCCTCAAGACTACGCACAGGCGATGGAATGGTACCTCAAGGCCGCCCAGCAAAGAAATGCCTCCGCACAATTCAGCATTGGCGTCCTATACGACAACGGCCAAGGTGCTCCCCTGGATTATACAAAGACCGCAGTGTGATTCTCAAAGGCTACCGACCGAGGACATAAGGGCGCCAAGTGAGAATTGTAGGCCTTGAAGGAAATAGTGTTGCCGTCAACTAAAAAATAAAATTATGTATTGAAAAATCCATGACGACCCATCGAATTCAGGTGCGAGGGGTGGAGCAAGTCAACTCATTACTCCTTTGTTTTCAACAAGGTGACGATCGTTGCGCAATAAGGGTACGCGTATTACTGTATTATCATTCTCTACGTCTACTTCAAAATGCTTGTCCTCTTCTGTTTCTTTCTCCTCCCTTCCAAGAACTAACATCTACCACACCTTACACTTCTTGTTAGGGTTCATAGGCGCAACCGCCTTACACTTGAACGCCTTTGCGAAATCGTGCTTTTTATGGGCAGCTCCGTTGATTCGCCATTGGGAAGGCGAATAATTGTTGTAGTTGGCGAGGTCATCAAGTGGCTCCGGACACCACAGTTGGCCACAGAAGATGACAAAGAGTTGTTATGGGGGCTTGTTGCTCGATAATCTTGACCAGAGCTTGTTCAGAGTGGTGATAGGGTGAGGAACGATCAACTGGAAAGGGGAGATCCCAACTGGGGCAGTTGCTGAAGGGAGTTTTCATCGGTTCGAAAAAATAAAAAAAGGGTCACACACACACACACACATACACATGAACATGGTACCGGGCCTTGATAAGCATAAAAGTCATCAAAGGCAGAAACTAGTACTGGGAAACAAAAGTGTTTATTAGAGACTGGCTTTTTGGCCAATTAATACTGAGCTTGTGGCTTGGGATTCTTGATTCTTGATGGCTGGAGAGTTGGAGATGGACACTTGCCGCTGGGCCGACAGGGTGAGAGAGTGGGTGGTGCCACGTTCCACCCTTGGCTACCGGGCACCGCATCCGCGCCAGGTTGCCAAGCCTATACGAGAGCCGGTTTTGTCCTTGCTCCGGAGCGCGCACCTTTACCATTTTGTTCGTCTCATGTAATATCAACCTCCTACTAGATTCTTGCCACCATCCTAGCACGACTCCAGTTCCCTACTGTACCTCCCTCTGCCTTGCCTTCTATCTTTCTCCTTGGTGTAAGGGCTACACTCCTACACTCCTAAACTCCTACATTCCTAGAACCATTCCTCAACGTCAACCGCCTTGCCCTTTTTCCTCATTGCCCATTTGCCTCTGCCATTCGTTTGCCATTTGCCATTCCTGTTCCCTTCCTGTTCCCATCCTGCCACCCTCTTGTCCCCGTACCCCTCTTGTTCCCTTCGTGCCACCCTCTTTTTCCCATCCTGCCACCCTCCTGTTCACTTTCTGCCTCCCTCTTGTTAGGCAAATGGCGAAACGAATGACAAATGCAAATGAGTAATGACGAAGAAGAAAAGAAAAGAAGGACAGGATAGTTCTAGGCAATCCCAGACCCAAGGAGCCAAAAGGATTAGAAATACAGACAGGGGGTACCTTGGAACTGTGTGGCCGGTGGGACAAGTCCAGTGGGGGAGTCAGGTAATGAACAAAATGCAAGGCGGGCTCAACAGAGGGACAAAACGGACTCTCGCTTATACCTGACAAGACAACCTAGGGGCGAAACGTGGCACCGTAATTGATCTAAACTCTGGAGGTGCCTGGAAATATAAAGAGAGGCGCTGTTGAGTCTTGTATTGAGAGTGGGGATAGGGATGGGATAGTGGGGATGGTGATGATTTACAAGAGAAAAAACAAGACAAAAGCGCACAATAGCGAACTTACCCGATCTGGGGAAAAAAGAAAAGGAAGATGGGAGTATTTATATCGAAAGAGAATGTAACGCGTGCGGAGCCTTGGCAAAAGAACAAGGGGGTGAAACAAGACGACTGAGACAGGGAAATAGGAAGACCAATGGGCGTGCGCCTTCCCACACTCTTTACCCCTGCTGTCTCCCCTCCGTTGCCACCACTCGATTCCTTTCGCTGTCACCTCCCACGCTCACTCGTTACTGCGCCCCCTCTTTTTTAATCCTCCAGCGCCTTTGGCTCCCACACCCTCCGTTCGAATATACTTTTCCGTTTATTTCTCACCATCAGTACGACCGACAACCCTCTGACCCTGCTCTGTCTTGTTGATGGTGAGGTACCTGTAACAGGGTGAGGGAGAACGAGAGGAGCGACGAACGATAGGAACGAGGGGAACGATTAAATGGGCATGTTTTGTTTAATAAAGATTTGGGTTATCAACTGAAGACCTAAACTGCTATCAACGACAATTATTTATCGGATCCTCCCGGCATCAAGCTTCCTGTCGTCGGTACAAACGATCTCATTGGCATAGAGGTTTACAAAGTTCTTCACGACACAATCCTCCGGACGTTTAAGTACAATCGACCATGCACTGGAAATGAGGTACAGAACCATGTCGTAGCTACAAGTACATCTGGGGATCGGCAAATCCGCCTTCCTAGTGCACTTCGCCATCCAACTTCTTGCAGAGGGCGATGACGACAAACCCTCCGATTATCATTTTCCACACTAAAAAGGAGCGTGGAATGCTTCGTTGTTGGAAGGCGCTCTACTGTCCGATTCGGCAACATCCAAACCCTTTAAATCCTTTCTTAGTCTACCCTTGACACATGGTATTTTGTCGAAAGCTCTCGTCACCCAGTACTAACGAATTCAATTCCGGGGGTCCCTCAAGTATATTTTGTCCAAAAAAACAACGATTTTTTTTATCCAAGAGAGAGACCTTGAAGAACGCTCCTTTGTTCGCCTTGGCAATGGTTCAGTCGCTTGAGCAACCTCCACTTTTTTTTTTTTTTTTTTTTACTTGGAACAGCAAGTCGGGTCAAATGGAGACGCGTCATATTTGTTTTTATGTCTATTTTTATCGTTGAAGTTTACAGAAAGAGAATATAGTCTAGAGAAGAAAAATGGAGACAAATAAAAACGTAAAGAGGACATTGAGTAGAAAAGAAAAGAAAAGAAAAGAGGAGAGTAGGGTCATGAAGTACAAAGTACTCGTAGCTGAATGAGAGAAAGGGAGAAAAAGGGGGGAGGGAGGCTAGGCAAGGGTGAGAAGAAAGAAATGAAAGTGAGGAACGTAAAAAGAGATGAAAGTGAAGAACGACAGAAAGAGAGGAAAATACGTGAACACAAAATGGGAATGAAGGGAAATGTAGGGCAAAAAGTACAGAAAAAATAGGTTGTACACAAGTGGTAGCACCTACTAAACTACATAAGAGTGAGAGGAAAAGACGAATCGGTATTTACAAAACGAAGAGAACTAAAGACAGATATGAGTACAACAAAAGGATACAGAGAAAAGAAGTAAAAGAGGGTGTGAGATGAATGGTCGTCCCGCTTTCAGAAGTGAACAACTCAGTGCTGAGAGGGTGAAGGAGGAGAAGCGTTGGAAGCCAGCTTTTCGGCCACGAGATCCAAATAATACTTGGAGTTCTTGCGAGATTCAAAAAAGGGCACGGACGCAGACACAGCCTCAAACTGTACAGAAGGGTCCGGGGGGTTCGAGAACCCAATCGCCATCGGCATCGGCATCAGCGAAGGGAAGGGGTCGGCTATCGAACATTGAGCAGGTGTATTAGTCTGGATGAAGGACGGGACCAACTCAGATCCCATGGTCAGAGGACCCATAGACTGGAATGACAGGTCATGACTCGCATCGTTGTGGCTAAAGAGCTGGAAGTACGAAGCCGCAATGGTGGTTGCCGTCGGGGTAGGAAGGAGAGGAGAAGCAAGATGAAGAGAGGGAGAGAAAGGGAAGTGCTGAAATAGGTAGACCTGGTCCAACCCCGTGGTCATTGCTGCCTCTGCCTCTGCCGCTGCCATTGCGTCAAGAGTAGAAGGGACACTCGAGATATTGTCAAAGCAGACTGTCGGCGGGGACATCGGTACATCCAAGACATCCGACGCGTCCAAAGACAACGATGAGAAGGACGACAATGGCGACGATGACGACAAGGACGACGAGAGTGAGGATGACGACAAGGACGACGAGAGTGAGGATGAGAGACAGGAGGCCATAGACATCTCTTCAGGCTGGCGCTGATAGTGCTGGTGGAGTTGATACTGCCAGTCTCGAGTACTCTCGATCCCATTTAAGGCCAACAGCGGGAGATCCCTGCTCCCAAACTCGAGCGGGATATACTCCTGGGGTTTGTCATCAAGCGAGTTAGAGTACCCCTTCGTCTCGAACTCTCTTAGCGTCGGCTGGTGCCTCATCCTCTTTACCAACCTCTCCTCCTCCTCTTTCTCTTCATTCGCGTCGGTCGTTGCCGATGAAGATGAACTCCTGCGGGAGGACGAAGGGCCAAGGGCCAAGAAATTATACAATCCACCTCTACGCCTGGAGGGAGTGCTCGTGGGGCCACTGGTACTGCTGCGTCGATCGCGATCTTGGATGTCGAAATCACGGGCTGCGGTTTTTTGTTCGCGGCGGTCTTGCTCGGCTGCCTGGCAGATAGCGAGGTACAGTAGTTCCGCTAACTCGTCATTCTTCTTCTTGTTGCTTTTCTTAGTCACGGCGGTGCTAGAATCGATGGGATCTTGGACGGGGTCCTTGGAACCCCTCGAACGCGCAGAGGTAAAGGCATCGACGCGGTCGACATTGGCCTTGTCAGACTTCTTCTTGGAATCGGCGACCTTGGGAGCGACAGATCGGGGTTGCCTGGAGGGGTGCCCGGGACGATGCTTGGTATTGGCGTTGCTGCGTTGGCTTGAAGGAACGATTGGGCGCTGATACTCGATGGGTTCGAAAGCGATTGATGGCGAATAGGATTTGGATGGTCGACCGCGTCGTTTAGCTGGTGCGGAGGCTGCTGGTGCTATGGCGGCCCTTTTGAGCTTCGTTATGACCATCGTCGGAGATATAGTGTCTTTTGCTGTTGTTGTTGTTATTGTAGGTGTTTCGCTTGTTTGTTTGTTGTGTGTGGAGCAGAGAGCTTTTGAAGCTGTTCGCGGATGATGACTCTGAAAAGAAAAAGAAAATCGTGAGGGTTGTAGCCGCGTTTTTATACCTTATTTGCCTTTGTTCATCATCCATGCAGTTATTTCGTAGATCTTCATTTCATTTTCTGTTCATTCATTCAAACATATACCAAAACTGAAAAATAAGGTATAGCAGGGACAATATTCTGCTGTAGACCCTGTATCCTATTGTTCCCATCCCCTCCACCCTCCCTTTCTACAACGACTCGACATGCCCAAATGTGTTCATCCCTCGGCCGGTGCACTCTACCCTACGCCATTCTATTAATTCCTTTGTTTCATGAACACTTTCTCTACCAACAAGGAGGCGACAGCCCCTATTATTCCTCACAAGAGATAGAGCACTCACTGTTCAACAACGAGTAAGTAAAGCTTATTGGTTCGTTCCCGCTCAAAAGGCACCAGAAGAACCCTTCTGTCACCTTTTCTTTATTCTTAGGTTTGTCCCTTCGTCTCTTGTCCTCAAGTCCGTGCATTTCGAACCATAATAAACCTCCCATATCGCCACCATCTTTTCCCTCCTTATTTCCTTACCTTGTATTTCACTTCCACAAACGACCATCAAAAGCGCTTTGTTCTATTTTTGAGAAATCAACAGAAAATCTGCGCACTTGGACGCTCACTCTCCAAAAAAAGCAAAATTAAGTAAAAATAGGACGAAGGGGTGGCGAACCCAGGTCAAGACAATTGTAGAAAAGGTGCAAGGAAAATCAAAAGCCGAATTGTTGAATTGACAATTGACAAGAAGTCTTGCCAAGAGCGGGAGCATACCGCGCGAACCCATTTCACTTGAAGCATAAACAATTGAAAAAGAGACGAACAAAAAGGGTACGGACGGGACGAGGGGAGGAAAGAACAATGAAGTTACAAGAATAGGATGAGGATGAGGTCCCCCCTTGCTGAAATGAACCGAAGGAACACCCGGAGAGATAAGAAGCCGGTTGATCCCCCCCCCCCCCCCCCCTCCTCATTCCGTTGCCTTCTGCTTCTGGACAAATATAATAAGGGCTTTCACTTTTTTCTTTGCAACCCAAATCGGGACCACAAAGTCAGCACATTCATCGCCATACGCTTTCTCATCCTCAAAACCTAGACCCCTATCCCTGTTTATTACCCAAACGCGTTCGTTCATCTCCTCGCACCTCCCACTCCACACTCACTTTTCCCTGAGAACCTCACTGATCCATGTTTCCCGCGATGTAAGCCTCCTTCCATAATTCTTATTTGCGCATGCAAAGAAAGAGCAAGGCCAAGAAGGGAGAACTGAAACGAAACGATCCAACCAACCCACCAACGGGAAATCTAACGGCAGCTTTCCCAGGCCTTTTTACAGTGCATAGCACACACACAACACATATACAGCAGCATGGACCATTCTGGAACTCCTAGGAATCCCTACTTGCATAGTAACGAGAAAAAAGCAAGCCAACTAATCAACGGCCGGTCTCCAGGGATTTGCATGTTTGCATAGCATACACGCATACAGCAGCAACGAGCCATCCTGGATCTCGTTAAAAGCCCATATTTGGACTCCAAAGAGACCAAGGCAAAGCATGGTGGAGTAATGAGGAACAAAGTCATGTAAGAGATAAAAGGCGAAACAAGGAGAAGTTGCAGAAGAGGGTAGTAGAGGTATGTTTATTTTGGGAGCGAACCAAATAAGTTGGCTTCTACTTTCTATGATGGGATTCAAAATGAAGGGTGGAGGGTGGAATAGAGTCAAACGCGTCCAGTCAGCCGAGGTGCTGCCGCCCGCGAACAACTTGGGTGTTTTTCGAATATGGTAGGATGAAGAAATGAAAGGGTGACAAAAAGTAACAAAAAAGACTATGCGCTGACAGAAGCCATGGTAGCCTTGGCGAACAAGTTGGAAGCCGTCGTCGAGATAACGCCACCCATCCAAGAATCATGCATAGCTTGCTGTTGAGCAAAATCAGGGAAGTCGTGGTGGTCGTATCCGCCATAGACAGCCTGGCATCCAAAGGAATAGCGCGAGTTGTAGAAATGCACCATCGCCATGTAATGGTAATAAATGCCCGCAACAACAGCCACATGCCAGACCTGATGTGAATGACCCCACCGGTCAAAGACTCCAGGAAATTGCTTCTCGGGGAACCGATGTCCATAGAACAACAATCCTGTCAAGTAAGCCATGCCTGACTTGCAAAAAGGTGCAATAAAGTTCCAAGTGTTGAGGGGTCCCTTCATGTAGGCGACATAGGCCAGAGGCACGACGCCCGAGCATGCCATCCCCAAGAAGATAAAGATCCGGAAGTAGCGGAAGCTGGGGAGGTCGAAGAAGGGGTAGAGGGGCAAGATGCAGCCGACAATGCCCATCCCGAGCGAGAACGCCAAAAAGACCCACCTCTCGACGTCGCAAAAGAATCCGTAGTGCAGTGTTGCCATGACCGAGGCCGTGATGAGGACACCGATCCCGATATAGTCCAGTGTGGCGGCACAGCGCATCACGGGCAGACGAGAGTGGCAGAGGAAGGTGTGATAGAGGGTCGAGCAGATGAGACACTTGGACGCCGCGAGGAAGAAGAATAGGAACACGGCATGGTCCCATACTGTGCCGTGATGCAGGAATGTTGTGTGGATGTAAAGTCCGAGTCCAATGAGCCCAATGAGTCCCAGCATATGTGTCCAGATGTTGCAAGTCTCGTTGTGGATCTTGAAGATGCTCCACAAGCACTGTCTCTTTGACGAGAGGAACCGGTAGCTATTTTTGTTAAAGGATAGTGTAATGTAGGTTAGTAACACGTCCTTTTACTTTGCTGTTGTTGTTTCTAGTGCTCGCAGCACTCGTAGAATGGTAGGATGGGCAGCTGAGTACTCCACAGAATATATGTGAACATCGAGTGTCACGCTCCTTTTCGTCCAAAGCCCCCCCCCCCCCCTCTTTTTCCCTGAACATGAAAACGAGACCCTCAGTCCACCGTATGCTCTGATCGTGTGCTAAACCTTGTGGTTCCCTCTCTCCCTTGCTCAATGGCAGGGTTGTTGCGCGTGGATCAAAAAGAATAAAGGAGCGAGGGGGGGAGGAAAGGGATGAGGGAGAGATTGATGTGTCGTATCACATATGCCGCTGATCCAGTTCACTCGTGTCTAAGTGTCATCTGAAATGTGTTCCTTAAAGTGTTTCCTTCCTCAAATGAAAAGAACCACTTTGGTGAGTGTTTTTGAGTGCGAGAGGATGCTCTGTGTGTGTGAAAGTGGGGGAGTAGTATGTGTATGAATGGGTGTCTGTCAGAAAAGCATCGCCTTAGCCCAGCCATGACTACAAGTATCCGCATATGTGAGTGAATGAATGATGCCAGGAAGTGCCAAATGGCCGTATTTTTCTTTGTTCCGATACATTGGATTGATGGGGCAAAAAAGGTACAAAAATATACCCAGGCTAAATCTCCTCCCAATATGCATTACGGACACTCACTCGGTCAATCACTACTGACAATCACCTCATTTTTGCTTTATCTTTTTTATTTCCCGCTTGCACTCACTCCTAGTTCACTACATGTCTTCCTTTTGTTAATCCTCCGTCCGATCCAGCCCTGGATGCATCGTTGTGCTTGTATTACTATTATTGCCATCACCAAGACAAGATGTTTCCTCTCCTTCCTCTTTTCTCCACTTCAGGAACCAGAGGCATAACAGTAATAATAATAAACGTGGGCAGAGAGAGAGAGGGTATGGCAGGGTGGGGTAGGGGAGGGTAGGGTAGGGGAGGGTGAGATAGAGATGGAAAGAGAAGACGAGTGGGGCGTTAAGGTTTCATTTCAACCGGGACGGAGTTGCTAAGGTTTCGGTTCTGAGCAACAACGAAAACTGCTGTCTGCACTGTTGTAGTCAAAAGGAAACAGGCAACAAAAAGGGTAAGAGTACAGATGAAAGAGGAACAGAGCAGGGAGGAACAGGTAACATAGCAACAAAGTGCAATTGCCTTTGACATCTTCTCATGCCGTTTACTTTTGACAGACACATGAGTAGACCAATATTGATCAAGGGATCGACAACCTCAATAAAAAAAAGGGTGCAGGTGTGAAATGAAAAAAGGGTGCAGACACACCATCAGCCCAATGGTCAAGGGACAAGGGATGAAACGGAACAGAAGGGGAGAGTGAGAACCAAGGAAGCAAAGCATTGAGGCATTGAGACATTGAAACATTGGGGCTGTGGAGAAGGAGGGTGAGAAAGAGGGAGGGAGAGCATTGAGGCATGGGTGAAGAAAGAAGAAAAGAGGTTGCAAGACCTTACCCAGTGAGGATGTATGGGTTACTCTGCCACTCCTTAGGCAACTCTTCGAAGCGCAAGAGACGTTTCGCACCTTCAAAGGCAGCCTTGGAAGCATCCCAGGTCTCGCTCATCTGATGCTCGACAACCTTCATCTTTTCGTTGGCAGTCGCCTTGGTCGAACGCCATGTCGCAGCGACGGTCTCGTTTGTCTTGTGGAGCTGGTCCCCGAGGGTGTCCTGCATGTCATGGAGGAGGTCAGACTCAACCTCGATGAAGGCTTCTGAAGAGGAGTCCCCTGTTGAAGGCTGTGATGGTGTTGTTGTTGATGTTTTTGTTGATGATGAGGTGACTGTGTTTGTGGAGGTAGAAGAAGAGGAGGAGGCCCTGCCGGCTGTCCTCTGACGAAGCGAGGGTGACATTGTTGTGTGTATATGTGTGAGAAGAAGGTGGGAGGGCGAGAGGAGGGTGGGTAGGAAAGGGTTCGGATGGCTCGAGAGTGAGCAAGCAGTGAGGGGGCGAGGAAGGAAGGAGAGGGAGAGGGAGAGGAGAGGAAGGGGAGGAGGGAAGCCGTGGCAGGACCGGAAAGGGGGAGGAGAGAAGGAGAGAGAAGGGTGAGGAGAAGAAGAAAGAGAAGAGAAAGAGAAGGAGAGAAGTCAAATATAAGGAACAAGAAAGGTGTTCTCAGTGTTCTCAGAGTCAGTCAGTCAGTCAGTCAGGCAGTCAGTCAGTCAGTTCACCATAGCTAACCAACCAACCAACCAACCACTCAACCGAACATGTACCAAGACGATCGGAGTGAAAGCGCTGTCCATCCAATGCAGCAAAGCAAAAAGGAGAAAACTTGTTCGTTCTTCCTTAGAACAACTGCCTTGACCAAACCTACTCTAGTCGCAACCATGGTCAACCTTCAACTTCAAACCCCATTCATAGATAGCTCACTCGTACAAGCAGAGCCTAGGACTAAATGACAAAGCTGCTGATCTCATTGCTGTTCATTGACTTCTCTTTAGGAATAGGGTCTTGTGGACAGCCAATACTCTCATTTTGAAGCGAACAAAACAAAGAAGACAACGACGAAGCGAGACCATACGGTGCCCACATGGGAAGGGACTGTTGGATGTATGTACCTATTCAAAGATTCAAGGGAGACCATCGTATTTTGGGCTAATACTGCTGACAAAGAGAAAATGCAAGTCTTACAATCAGCTCACACAGATGTATTCAATAACCAGCTATTATTTCGTCGCAAGGACCTCCTTGTCTGTGTGTGTCCCCTTTACAAGCAATCGCCGTCATGACCTTCTCCCCAGGAGTTGTACCAACGTCAGAAAGGAGAATATGCCGGGGAAAAGAAACATTGCAATCAGAGATGTTGCTTTGTGATCACAACGGCCTCTTACTTTCCTGCTCTAGCCCCATGCCTATGTGCATTTTTAATCCCTCACAACGACGTTGTTCTCTTATCGATAAAGAGTATCCGTAGTTGTTTGTTACCAGTATGGTTTCCAAGTGTCCAATTGGTTGACCATTGTCCCTTTCTTTTATATGTACAACCTCAAAGTACTGGAGTTGTTGGTGCTCTTGCTTTTGTGCTCAACTCACGTTTTCGTATCGCTTGATGATGTTTGTTTTGTTTGTTTGTATTTTTTCTCACGTTGGGTCAAAGATCGCGAAGAGAGACCTGAGGCTGAGAGTGACGACGGAGCGGAAAAAAAAAAAAAAAAAAAAAAGGTCTGAATCCGGCGCTTTGGAGCCAGGCCTCCTTTGCAATTGAAACCAGTCCAACTATCACCCTAGTCACAATAAGTGATAATACGAGGTTTCCTAGGCCGATGATTCCTTTGCACAGCCATACACCTGGATAGATTAACCGCTTGCAAGTGCAGGCAGGATACGAGTTGGCTGCCATTCTACATTCCTCCTTCAGTCCCCTAGGAAGGTGCCATTGACGTAATAAGCATGTACCAGGATGAAAAGCAAAGCAAGTAAAAGTACATTGAAAGTCGATGTAGGCCAAAGATGACCCAAAAAAAATGGTACTCATATCCGCCACCATCGAAGGAGAGAGAGGAATCGGAGGGGAGGACCAAGAGGGTATCAAAAGTTGAAGCCTCTCTCTTCCACCCTTAAGAAAATTGATAAGAAAGTAGGGTCGATCCCTTTCCATCACTGATCACTTTATCTGTCTCACGGAGAAAGATCAAAAATAAATATGGTCGTAGTAGGAATTGGTGGAATGACAACAACGACTCTCTTGCACCCACCCCACTTGCAGCTCGGGTGGACAACCCTGGTGAAGGGCAATTGCAGTTGGAGTATACAGTATACTAGATGAAGCAGCAACCAAAGGTCCATTATTTCATGGTCCGACGATATCCCATCTGAACCATGCAACATCATGCCCATCCAGTCTACGAATCAAGAGTGGCTTAGCACGGACAAACAACGGCAAAGGCATATTTTTTTCAGTCCAACGATAGTGTGTCAATTGACCCTCTTTTTCTGCGTCTTCCAACTTCCTTCTGTTCCCCCCTCCTCCCTTCCTCTCCTCCCTTCCTCCCTTCCCTTCCCTTCCACTCCACTCCACTCCACTCCTCCTCTTTTACTGTTTCATATCCCCTTTCTTTCATAATAACGTGCTTCCCATACCGACAAAAGTATTAAACAACAATCCTTTTACTCCCATTACAACTTGACATTACAACGCGACTTCTTCATTCCATTCATTTTTGCCACCATGAAACGGTCGTGATCATCACGCTCACCGCTACTTATTATTTAGCACCGTCATAGCTCACCCTTGGCTTTCTCTTTCTCTCCCGCTCTGTCTCTCTCTCTCTCTCTCTCCCTTGGTAGCTCCCCCGTCTTTCAGGAGTAGAAGACACCACGACCCAAAATGCCCGTGTACAGAGCAGAAGTCACCTGCACGGTCGCCCTAAAGAGTGGAGGTACGGCCACCGAGAAATTCATCACCATCCTCGAACTCAACACGCCCTTGCGAGACCTCGCCAAACTCTTCACCGAAAGGTTCAATAGGTTTTACGGCGACCGACAGTAAGCTTTCTGTTTTTTACTCTTTTTCGGGGTATCAAAAAGATTCCACAGCAGCAAGGACAAAAAGAAAGATGATCTGTAAGTAATGATTGACATTTTTTTTTGCTATTGCTTCTGATAATAGTGGACTATGCCTCTTGGAAGAGGTCTTGGACTTTACGGAAGGCTATATGGAGATGGTGGGAACTGTGCGTGAATGTCTGAGGCCTGATGTGGAGCTCTTTGTGAGGGGTCGTCAACTGTCCCAGAAAGAGATTGAACAAGGTAATTAATTACACTTTTGTTTTTTTTGTCGATCATTTTCTCCGGAAACAATAACGACCATGCAGATATACAACCGTCACCAACGCTATATCTATAGGAGGCAACAACAGGAGGAAATACATAACTGGATATAATGGATCTCAAAATCTACATCACTCGCAACAACCGTTCAACGGGAAACGATACATGGAAGCAATGGATCGCCATCATGTTATGTATGGAATAGCATTGAACTGGAAAAACATATGACTTGAGGACGGATCCCTATTTCGGCTCACTCATAAAATAACAACTGAGAGGGACAATAGCGAAACAAATGGGCAATTAACTAACTAACGCGTACCATATCATATCATTGCACACACAAACTATAGCGGCGTTCTCATGGTTCTTCTCCTCGCACGCAATCTCAACCCCCCTTATCACTCAAGAGCTGACTCAAGCCATGAGCACCACTCTCGCTCGAGCATTGGTCCCCGCCCTTATCCCCTCCTTAATCCCTGCTCTCGTTCCAGCACTCGCCCCTGCTCTTGCGCCCGAGTTGATCCAAAACATTGCCGCTCTTCAGGGATCCTCGACACCACCATCACAACCCCGTTCTCATCGTCTCATCGCCTCCTCATCACACAACAAAATCATCACACCACAGGATATGGAGTCTGGATTCAAAACGGCTACCGTCAACAAGGACCCCCACCATATCAGCGAGGAGAGCTCGAGCTCGAGTGAGAGCAATGATGAAGACATGGATCAGGACAGCTCTTCAGAGTCGGAGGATGAAGGGCCTGAGGCCGCTGTTGAGGAAATGAAGATCCAGGAGGAGTCCAGTTCAGGTGAGTCCAGTTCGGACGAGGGCGACAAGGACAACGACGACCATGAGCACACGAAAGACGCCCCAGCCCAGATGATTAAGAAGGCCACGCCTGCCCTGATCGTCAAGAAGGACGCCGCCCAGATCAAGCAAGACAACGACAATGCTCTGGTGGACCTGTTCAAGGATGACGTCTATATGGAATCGGATTCGGACAGCAGTTCGGATGAGGATAAGGCGAAACCTTTAATGGTTGTTCCTCAGGTCGCTTTTCAAGCTGCCGTGGCCAAGGTGGAACCTCAGGTCAAGGAGTCCAAGGATACCACCACCATCAGCAAGCCACTCGTTCCTGTACAATCCACTCCCTTTCTCGCCTCACCAGAGTCACTAAACCCCGTCCATTTAATGACCACCACCTCAAGTCCCGCAAAGGTCGTAGAGAGCAAACCCATTGTTTCCTCTGGTCTGGACTCGCTGCTCACGGCACAGTCTTCAACTTCTTCGTCTTCAGTCTCTTCGTCTTCGGCCTCTTCGTCACCAGCCTCCTCGCCATCATCCTCTCCAACTCCCGTGAGATCGCCAGCCCCTTCACCAGCTCCCGCCCCTCGACGAGAATCCGCCTCGATCTTTGCAACCCCCGCCGTCATCGCCAGTGCATCAACACCCTTGCCCGAGAAAGCGCCACTCTCAGACGCCATCTCTTCCTTCTCGCCTTACCGCGCCTTCACCGCAATCGCAACTGCACCTGCAACATCACCCATCATGTCTAGAACAACGTCATCATCTTCGTTGTCGTCTTCGTCGTCGTCGTCTACTTTTCTCAAGCGTCCCTCTCCAGACCAGTCCCGTCACATAGTCTCCCCCGAACGCCCCAAGAAGAAACAGGCCGGTTTCGCAATCTCGGTCCCTCTAGATCCTTTCCGCGCTCTCAGCCCTGAGGACAGGAGCGATGAGGACTCTGAGGATGATGTTAGATATTCTCAAGAGGTCTTGTACTCGGCCCTATCAAGACCTCGTCGTACCCCCTCACCTGTCAAAGACGATGAGGAGGAAATGCCAGTGTACATACCACTCAACCTGGTCGTCAAGCAGCAGCAGGAGGATGAGGATGAGGATGAGGGGGAGAGCCAGTCGGACCATGAGCAAATCCGCAGCGAGGTCATACTTGTGAAGGTTGATGACCACCAGGAGGATGAGCCATTGAAGAGCGAGGCCCCGTGGCAAGAGCCAATGTCGATCACCAGCTCCTCCGAGCAGTCGTCGCCGTCGTCCCAGTTAACGCTAGTCGACATCAAGCAAGAGCATCTGTCGCAGAACCCGTCTACTGTGCAGGCACAATACCGGGAAGCTGAAGCAGAGGCCAACAACGCCACCGCCGCGGCCTCAGTGCTCCTCAAGCTTTCGACCACCCGGGTCTTTTCGGACCGCGAGGACGAGGAAGAGGACCAGCAACTCTCACCCGTCGTCTCTCCTCCTGGTGCTTTGCTCGAGTACCTCAAGTCGGCCAACTCCCCTGCTTCCCCCAAGGAACAACAGCCCGACTTGTCGGCCGCCCCCAAACACCCTCTCTCGGAGTCAGACTCATCTGCACCCGCACCAATTCAAGCACCTGTGCCAACGACACCCTCCAAGAAGTCGCTGGCTGAAACCATGGCCGCGTACCCTACTTTTGCGTCCCTTGCCAGTCTCCGTGGCCCCGATATCCCTGACACGACCTCCAACACGGACGAGATTGTCGCCTTCTTGGATAAAGACATGGAGGGCCTTTCGCGCGATAGCAGTCTGACAGGTCCTCCATTCTTCTTGCCTGTCCGTCCACAGGGTCTCCCTGCCAACCACATCAACAAGGTCACCCCCACCAGGGTCGCAGACATGCCTCCTCCTCCTCCCTTCGACGACGAGAGTACCGTCAGTCCTGAACTCCGACCCTCTGTCAGCCCCATGTTCGTCCCCAATATCGAAAATCGCAACAAGGAGGATATTAAGATGGACGATCTGGATCTCGATCGGATTCCTGAAACTCAGTTGCATTCCGATAACGAGGACAGTATCTTCAACATCCCCTCTTCTCAACGTCCTGCTCTTCCCGGAACGGGGATCGCAGCAGCAGCAGCAGCCAAGGCGCCTAACGGGTGGGTCGACGATACCCGTGATGCCATGGACGATTTCCAGTTTAGCGACGACGAGGAGAGGAGGGCTACGTTAAAGAGACGGGCTTTGGAGGTGGATTTGGAGGAGCTCTCCGAGAGCGAGTATGAACAACAGCCGACAGATATCCCTGAGGGCATGTTTGGACAGAACCGTGTCAGACAGCCTGGGCAACCCGAGTACCGCTACGAGACTGTCTTTAAGGACATTCACTTGACTCCTACCCCGAGCGTAGATTCCGTCCAACCCAAGCGGCCCAGACTCTCGTCGCCTTCTTCTGGCTCTGGCTCTGGCTCTGACTCTGACTCTGATGGATCTGACGCCGAATCCTCTATCGTCTCCTCCGACGAGGACGAGGACGAGGACGATGACAAAGGTGCTGCTGCAAACGCCAAGAAACCACACCCGTTGGACGCACTAGGCGAGCTACCACCAATGATCTCCAGCCAGAGTTCATTCTCCATCATGCCAACTCTGACCGCCCTCTCTCAAGAACGGACCACAATGACCAAGAAGATGGGCTCCCTCGAAATGGCCCTCAAGCAGCAACGTGACGACGACAACGATGAAGATGACGATGATTTCGCTATCACCATCAAGCATACGGGTCCCCCACCAGTCGTCCGTAGTCGCGGTCGTGGAGGAGCCGTCCGTGGAGCAGGATTAACTCGCGGAGCCTCGTCACCTGGACGTGGCGGTCGTGGTGGCCGTGGGGGTGTCACTATTGCGGCGGCGAGGACTGGTGGGCGACATCCCGACAGTGACAGTGACAGTGACATTGACAGTGGCAGGGGTAGATCCTCTCTTCAAAACCTCTTTTCGTAAATCGTCTTTTTTCTTGCATTCTCTAGCATACTTCTTTTTTCCGTTTTCATAGTCTTTTTTTTTTCGCTTGTACTTTTACACTCACTCACTCACTCACTCACTCACTCACATACAAAGAAAACATTGTAACATCTCAAATAACATCATACAAAAATAATACAATTGGTTAATGTACAAGGGGATGGATGATAAAAGGTATCTAAGAGTTGTACAGAGACAGAAGGGGGGGCGGTAAAAAAACCGCGCGTACAAAAAAAAGATACCACCAAGTCCATCAGGCCGTCAAGAAAAAGATCCTTCCACCTAATGGCCTGCAAAGGTTGAGGAAGGAGTAAATATAACAACAACTCTCTCGTGCGTCTCGAAAACTGTCGATTACCACTCTGGTCGCACGCGCGATAACCAAGAAAGACAAGGACGGAAGGCCGGCAAAGTAATGACAACAAAGGGGGCCTTGAAAGGAGCTGGAGTGGGTCCGGGCGGAAGGAAGGCATCCTCGAGATCCTGCTCGTCTAGAAGATCGTGCGTCCGCCGGCAGTTCCTGATCTTGGTTCATTTTTTGTTTTTGTTTTTGTTTTTTTTTTTTGTCTTTTTTCCTTTTTTTTTTTTTTTTTTTTTATTCCGGTGGGTTCCAATGCGCCCATGACCTCTCTGCTGACTGCGATAAAAACGTATCCTCCACGACTGACTAGAAGGAGTTGGTGAGGTTGGTGGTGGCAACGGGTGGATGATTGATTAGGAGTAGAGTTGGCTCTGGATCCTTGAGTACTGAAAAAAGAGTTGATGGGTTGATTGGATGGCTCGTTTGTTGGTGACGCCGATAGGACGAAAATGATCCCACACTAAAGGTCGCCATCCATATCCATGTCCATCTCAGCAGCAGCAGCGAGTTCAGCAGCCTCCATCTCAGCCTGATTCGGAGTCTGTCCTGGTACAGAGTTGTTGGTAATGACGCGGTTAGGAGCAGCTCCAGACCAGTAGACGCTTGCGGGCACATGGAGCTTCTCCACCTCTCCCTCGGTTACAACGCCTCCCGAGAACCGCTCGCTCATCTTGGGCTTAGCTCCTGCTCCATTGAGAACCAAGGACCGGTTCTGTCCGATCGCGCCTGCTGTTGATGTTCCGGGTGCATGTCGGAAAGGGCATCCTGGCCTAGTGCATGGGTTAAACTTGCACTATTCATAAAGAATCACATCAATAACAAAGGTTAGACAATGCTGGGCACAAGCAACAGCTTGAAAACCATGTTTGCTAAGTACGCTATTGAAATAATCAACTTACCAAGGGCATGCCGCTGGAAGTGCTAGCTCCATCACGAGGATGAGTAAAATGACATCCGGGACGCGTGCACTGGTCTCCAAAACGGCAAGGAACTGGAAGTCTGTTGACAACCTCCTGACCATCCGCTGCTCCTGCAGTGTCCATGCTCGAGTCTTCTGTTGCATCCGTTGCCGCTGGATGGAAAAATGGGCAGTTGGGTTTGGTACAGTGAGGATAGAACCGGCAGAGCTGCTGCTGCTGCGACTGTTGAGGTGATTGCTGGTTGTGTGAGCCCTCTGGATGACGGAATTTGCAGTCGGCCCGTGTGCATCGAGCTCCAAACTTGCAATCGTCCGACCGCTGGGATCCCAAAGCAAAAGGCATCTGCAGAGCATTCAAAGGGGTGCCGCTAGGGTTGGTGTTGTTGCGCATAGACTGCATGAGGGCCTGACGAGCGGCGGCAGCCACCTGCTCGGTTGTAGGCTCAGCAAGCGGGTGAACATAGAGACAGGTATCGGCGGTCTTGGGGCAGTTGGGGTAGTCCGTGCAGAGCGCCTTAGGGTGCCAGAATTGGCAGTCCTCTCCTTGAGCGCAGTTGGGCCAGAACTTGCAACGCACGATTCCGTTAGACTCCATTTCGATCGCCTGACGGGTCCGTTCCGCTTCGACTCTGAGCATACGCTCTGGGTCTCTGGTCCAAGACGCAGGCTGACGTGGGGTATCCTCCTCGTTCTCGTTGTCGCTGCCAGGGTGGTTGGTGACAGGGTGGGTTCCGAGACGCCTCTCAATGTCCCTCAGGGCGGCTTCCCTGCTCATGGGCCGACCATTGTTCCTGTTGTTGCGGCGGTCGTGGTAGTCATTGCCATTGTCCCATGAGCGATCGCGCTGCTGCCTCCGGGGGCTGATATCTTCCCGCTTGCCAAGCCGATCCTCGATACGTCCAAGTCGTCCGCGCAAGGGATCCGCCCGACCATTCGCCGAACTATCGCGGCCTCCCCTGGTACCAAGACGAGATGAAATCCTTGCCTCATCCTGAGAAATCTCTTCGTCTGTTCTCTTGAACCGGATCCTTTCTTCCTTGCCTCTTGTCGTCAGTCCTTCTCTGGAGCGCATAGGGCTTGTGCTTTTCTCACGTGGCTCGCGACGCTCCCGCCTCTCGCCTCCGTAGACTCTTGAGGGTGCCTGTCTATGTGCTGCAGCGGGCACGGCTCTAGTCGCACTGCTGATCGCCGTCTGCAAAAGTCTTCCTGCTGGGCGAGGCTCTGAAGGGCGTGATCTGGTTGATGTTGTGTCCATGGGTTCTGCGCTCTGATCCTCCACTTCAGCCTCGACTGGTTGTGCCACTTCTTTAAGTTAGAGAATGTTTTTTTTGTAGTTAGTAAGCGAAAGTTGTGACCGTGGTCATCCCAGAGCACTGTGTCAAGTGAGATTGTAGGGAGAATGTGAAGAAACGGTACCTGGTGGTGCCTGTGCCATACCGTCACCGTAGCGGATATCAATCTCCTCAAAGAGCCAGTCCGCAAACTCCATTGCTATATCGGGCAAATACAGTACAAATATAATCCCAGGAGCGGGAGGCTGAGCGATTAGTAATCTGTTCTTCCAAAGTGCCAAGATGGTCTGGCTATTGTTATCCAGTTGAAGGAGGGGCAGAGAAAGAAAAAACTTGGCAACACAACTAACCTTGACCGGGCAAAACTAGACAAGCAGGAAAGAAGTAACACAAACAAAAACGTTAGATCGAGGAATTAACTGCATTACTGCAGATCGAACTTTGTCAAAAGAACAAACATAGCCAGGACTTACTGTCGTTCAACTCGGCAATGATATCGTCCTTGGACTTTTCGTTCGCAACCATGACCACGATGAAGTTGGCAAGCACATCGTCTATTATTTCAAGGAAAGCAAAGAAAGAAAAAAAGTCCGTCAGTGTTTTCCTATGCACCCTCTTCAGAAAATAAAACAGATCGGCCTTCTCCCAGAATTCGAAAAAAGTCATTTCATTCGCGAGTCGTAACAACAACCAGTTGCCCACATACTGTCAGCCCATCCAAAATCGTTAAGCTTTTCCAACACCAGTGCCTACATTCAAACAAAAGAATAAAAGAACACAAACGTTAGCAATGCTGCAAAATCACACCAATGCACGATCACTCTCCTCCATGCTTGACTACATGTCACTTAATGAGTTGACTTACAGTGAGCTCCTTCTCTTGGGGAGTTCCGAGCTGGATTTTCGGCATGATGTGAGAGTGGGTTTGCCTGAAGGAAGTAAATAAGAGGTGGCTGGTCGTAACGGCAGTAAAGTGAATAGGTCGAAGAGGTAGTGGGTTAAAGAGTGATTGCTGTGAGGAGGGAGGCGAGGGCCGATGTCGTTGTGTTGAAAGAAAAGAAGAACGATGTTATCGAGCAATTATGTATTCAACATCCACAGTCCTTGGCCAAAGCACCGTAGCCCACAGCTCATACATTCCTTTTCTTAATAATAGAATACGGTGACGTATTATTTGTGCGTCTACTACTAGTACAACAAATAAAAATTGTAGATATCAACAGGCAACAGCAAAGTCGCCCAGAGGAAGAGCGCTGGGCTCATAACCCAGAGGTCGGTGGATCGAAACCACCCTTTGCTACAAACTTTTGTTCTTCCGAGCAATCGCTTTTTTTTTTTTTGCTTCTTTTGACTAGCTGGCTGCCAGGGCATATGCCTTCTTTTTGGTTTTTTTTCTTTTTGTTTTTTTTTCTTTTTGTGCGCCACTCTATCCAATTTTAAATTTGCCACTCTTACGAAGGACGGCCCGTGGCCGAGCCACGGACGTCGTCCTTGTTGTTTCTTTTGATCTTGATCAAGGAGGATGTCGTTAAGCTCGCGCTTTCACTACGTCTTACTTTTGTTCATCTCAACTCTGTTTATTCAACATTAGCTGTTTGCTGTAAACTTATCTTTTGTATCTTTTGCATCTTTTGCATCTTTGTTCTTCTCACTCTGTATCAACTAGATAGCTGTCAGTAAAGTGACCCTCCTCCAGTGTCGCGTCTTTCTTGGTTGGCTCGTAGACAAGGTCTCTCGTTATCCTTTTTTTTCCACAGCACATGTATATACATACACTCATTCGATAACTTTAATAGAATGAAAAAGAGGGAGAGACGGAAAGGGGTTTTATTCGAATACAATGAAAAAGAAGGCGTGATAAATACAAAGAAGGACGAAGACGACGCGACGGGAGACAATGAAAGAGAGAAAAAAGGGAAAGACCAAAAGAAAAAAAAACGAACTAGAGAAGCAACGAAACGCGATGAGCGCTTAGAAGCCAGGGAAGTACGAGCCAAGTTCATCGACCTCGCCCTGAGGATAGACACCATACTGCTCCGCGTCCTCAGGGTAGTCATCAAAGTTACTCGCGTCGCCCTCTCCCATGATCGTAGGTCTATAGGGGGCTTCGATCTGTCTAGAGTACACCTGATCCCAGTTCACGCCCTCAAACCAGGCATGGTTCTTGATATCCGTGGCCCCACCCCTCAAGTTTCCGTACCGCTTCGTCAAATCCGATGTCAACAGCCTCTTTAAGATATCCTTCAAGGCCGGCTGGAAATGTGAAGGGTACCGAACTTTACCCGCCATGATCTTTCCGTACAACTTGATGTGGTCCTCGTCAAAGAATGGTGGAAATCCAGCACACATTTCGAACATGAGCACGCCCATCGACCACCAATCGACGGCTTTGCCGTATCCCTTAGACTGAATGATCTCTGGAGCGAGGTAGTCGGGCGTACCGCAGAGGGTCCAGGTCATGTTCTGGGGGACGTGCTTGGCGAATCCAAAATCGGTGATCTTGATGTGTCCCATCGAGTCCAGCAACAGGTTCTCGGGCTTGAGGTCGCGGTAGATGACTGCGTGCGAGTGCAGGTATTCCAGCGCCAACAAGACCTCGCAGGTGTAGAATCGAGCTACGTGTTCCGGGAACCGCTGTATAAGAGAGAATTGAGGGTGTCAAAAAGGAAGGAGGGAGGAGAGAAGTGGATAAAGGAGGGAGAACGTTGAAGGTGAGGTTAGTGTATCAGTCAACAAAAAACGAAGAGGAAAGTAAAAATAACGAAAAGGGACACGGCCCACGGTTTCTGTTCCTACGGACACATCTGCTTTTCGAGTTAGCCTCTCGTCACCTTGTTGGCCTCCTTCCTGTCCTCCATTTTCTTCCGGTTCATCCCTCTGTTTTTCTCCTACTCCACTCCATGTATCCATGCGCCCATCCAATGGTCTCTCCCCTCCCTCTCTTTTTCCTTTGTTTTTGCCGCGTCTTTTTGCACAAGGGGTGAATTGTGGGGGGATGAAGGATGATATGATGCATCGTACTTGTTTTCTTCGCATTTCTTCCTTTGGAAGGTTGCTGCTGGCTGTGTGTGGTACAAACTTTCGTCTGCCTGTATTGTCTCATTTCCCTCTTTGCCCAGATCTTTTTTTTCTTTCGTCTGTGAACAAGTAACAATCCTCCACACCTGAATCTCCCTCTCGAACAACAAAAGACCAAAATTGAACGAGTACATACCCAAAGATAAAGTATTCATGCAAAAAACAAAAAAACCTTGTTGACTCGATTGTGCAGGGTCACCCTCTCTCTCTGCTTGTCTGTTCTTACTCTCTGCTTTGCTCTGCTCTCTCACTCCACCCTCAATCATATGCACCAGCCCATCTCCAGAAGCACCAACCCCCTCTCCTCCGTCCTTGTTCGCTCATTCTTTGTTTCTCTTTGCTTCTTTTTTGTTCTTCTGCCACTCGTTTTCTTACCGTTACCCTGTCCAAACAACAAGCACCAACAATGCAACGACTCTGCCCATCGACGCATCATGCTTCATTCCCCAGGCCAACACACTCCAAAGAACACAAACACATACGCAACACCCGACTCTTGTTATCCATATCCGCAGACAAGGAAAAAAAACACCATGCACGCACATACCTCATCATGCACCCGTCCCATCAAACACCTTCATACGATAATCGGACCCTCCACTCGTCTTATTCTTCCTCCTCACTCCTACCCATGCAGAAACTGAAAACCTGCTGCACACAAAACAGCAAAAAAAAGCAAAAAAAGCAAAAAAAGCAAAAAAAGCAAAAAGCAGAGTATCATACCTGACTCTTCCGGAGAACAGAGAACAACTCGCCTCCGACAACATAATCCATGACCATGTACAGGTTACGGACGTCCTGGAAGGTGCCCCAGAGGTTGATCAAGAATGGATGCTCGACCCGCTCGAGAATCATCTTTTCGTTGTTGGTGTGCTCAACCTGCTTCAAACGGACGACCTCGGTCTTCTTCAGCACTTTCATTGCATAGAATCGAGAGTTGAACCGAGACTGGACCAGATGCACTCGACCGAACGATCCCGTGCCCAGTGTCCGATGGATCCGGAAATCATCCAGGTTGAACTTGCGCCGAGCCGCCGCCGCCGCCGCCTGTTGCTGTTGTGGCTGTTGAACTTGCTGTTGCTGCTGTTGCGGTGGTCGTTGTTGTTGTTGTTGTTGTTGTTGTGGTACGGATCCTGCTCCAGCTACTGCCTGCTGCTGGACTTGTTGCGGCTGTTGTTGCTGCTGGGCCAATTGTGCAAGTCGCTGTGCCTGTTGTGCCTGTGCCTGTGCCTGCTGATCCTGACCCTGATACTGTGGTTGCTGCTGTTGCTGTTGCTTTTGATCTATTAGCTGCTGGCGCTGGTCCAGCTGTTGACGGTCAGACATGTTGGTATCGGCAGAGACCATCTCGACTGATTGCATACTATCCTCTGACTGTCCTACTTGCTGCTGCTGCTGTTGTTGCTGCTGCTGCTGCTGTTGTTGCTGCTGCTGCTGCTGCTGAAGGTGAGACTGATCCTGTTGGAGGTTTGGGGAAGTGGCAGTCGGCTGAGCTGTTATCGCGGGGACAGACGACGGAGGTTGGGTGACAGCAGAGGCAGATGAAGGGGTCTTGAGGCTATCGTCGTGACTATAGCCGTGGCCGTTGTAGTAGGCGTTGTAGTCGGTGAGCTGGGCTTGTGCAGGTTGGACTATATTTCAGTTGGGCGGGAAGTAGAGGACAGGCAGCAGAATGTTAGATCCGAGAAGAGCGGACGGAGGGAAGGACGGAGGGGAGGGTATAAATGTGAACGGATGTGAGAGGGAGAGGTAAGGAAAGGCGGGAAACGAGAGAAAAGCGAGAGAGGGAGAAGAGAAGAAACAAGAAAGAAGGAAGAGAAGAAGAGGAAAAAGAAAGGGAGGGGGTAAAAATGGAGCAAAGGACGAACTGATACTTGGTCACCAAGCGAATGAAAGACGGAAGGAAAGGGGGAGGGGTGTGCGTGCAAAAACAAGAGGGGTGAGTGTGTAAAAGTGAGTCTGTGCCAGCCTTTGTCCCTCTTGCGACACTTGTGCTCTCACCCTCTCTACCCAATGATTCATTCACCATTTATGAATGCATGTCACTCTCCCTTTTTGACGCTCGGTTGTGGAACCATGGTGGACAACATGACTGACCCATTGGAAGATAGCGGAGGGAAGGGTGGGGGAGAGAGAGAGTGGAAGAGAATAAAATCCCAATCGTTGCTCTCTCTCTGTTCCTTCTTTCTTACTCACTTCACTCCTTCTCTTCCTTTTACTCTCCCTATTCTTACTACTGTCGTCCATGGTTTAACCATTGTTCACTCGTTGTCGTTCGTCTATTCCCTCTCTCCCTCTCTTCCCTTCCTTTCAGGAAACACATACCCTTCTTTCTCTTCCTTCCTTCCTTCCTATCGACTATGCTCTGTACTGATTCAATTAGCTCGACATCAAGAAAAAAAAAACACGCCCCATTCTTTCCCGAAATCAGATCAGCAAAACAAAAAAACAAAAAAAAACACACATTCAAAAAAGAGACAAGACTGCCAATATGCTCGCGCCTGGCCGGTTGTTGTCCTCAGTAGAGGTACTGCGCGAGTGGGCAATGTGACCAAGAGGAAGGGGACTGTGGAACCGTCAAGAGAAAATAAAAGAAAACGAACACCCCTTTGATCCACCAAGACAAATTCGCTATCATAGTATTCCCCCCTATCGAATGCCCCAACACTCTGCCTCGTCTTCACTCAATTGATTCACGCGGGCGATAAAAGAGGGCAAAGGGAGTGTTGCCGGTGTGTTGATCTCGTGAAGTAAAGAAAAAGGTATTGATGTTCGAGCGCATCTGACATACCTTGGGATTTCAACAAAGGAACGCCGAGTGGTAGTACCGATCCAGTTGAAATATGAAACGAGGGGAGGGAAGAAGAGAGAGAGAGAGAGAAACAACGGGTGAGGGAGGAGGATAAACAGACAGGGAAGGATAAAAGTGGAGAACCGAAGGAAATGATAATAAAGAAGGAAGGAAAAACAATATGCGACGGTGAAGGAGAGAGAGGGAGAGAGAGGGAGAGAGGGAGAGAGGGAGAGAGAGAGAGTAGAAGTGCAGTAAACAAGAAGAAGAGAAGAAGAGAGGGAAGGAAGGAAGTCAATTGCGAATTGAGCGCCAACCAGGAGGAGGAAGAGAGAGAGAAGGAGATGCAAAAGAGAACAAGAGAGAGAGAGAGAGAAGGAAAAGTAAAGGCCGAGAAGGAGCGAATTGATAGAGCACAAAAAGTGAGTGCAGTGTAGCGAAGGAGAGTGAAGTAAGCAAAAATAAAAATAATAATAATAATAACAATAACGCGAGAAGAATGAATCGACTGATGATGATCACCACTCTGTGCTCGTTGATCAGAATTGAGTGAGTAAATAAATAACGGCCCACTCACAAGAGGAAGAAAAAATAAAAATATGTTCCACTCTTTCCTCTTCTTTTCTTGCTAACTAACCGCCTTCAAACACGAACATACCTTGGCTCTGCTGTTGACTGGGCTGGACTTGGTTGGCCGCATAATATCCGCCCGTCGTGTAGTTCACACCCGCATTCATTGGCGTGGCTGCAGCAGACCCTTGTCCTGCCCCTCCAATACTATTGTTATTGTTGTTGGTGCTGCCACCACCAGTCGTCCGCACCTCATACTGTGGCTGGTGCTGCTGGTCCATCCCAAAGTCATTCGCATCCACGCTCGCTATTCGTCATAAAAGAAAGAAGGGGATGAGCAAACATACTTCTTTTTCTCATGTGCGTGCTTTTCCATCCTTCCTACTGTCATCAAACTTCGCCAACAAAAAAAATGGCGGGAAAAGAAATTGTTGTGTTGTTTTGTCTGCCTGGCGTTGTCATCAATCCAAACCAAAAATAAAATGAGCCGTTGGGCACCTCCTTTTTGCTATTCCCCAACAACAACAACAACAACTGTCATCCAAAACGGCCGTTTCCGGTAAATAAAAAAGTACCTCAGCAGGCCTAGGCGCCTGTTTGAAGTAGGAACTACTACCATGACGAGTGGGTACAGCCCAACATGATATGTCATACATTTTTCTCTCTCTCTTGGCGCGTCCTTCCTCTTCATGGGTGGTGGAGATTTGACCATGCATCATAAAATCGTACATGCTTCCTTTTCCTATCCGTCTATCAAGTTTAATTAACCATCGGTCATTGAAAAAGAGGGATAGAGAAGAAAAGGAATGGTCGTTCGCGGGTATGGTTTCTGCAAGGTGGATCCACTTGGTCTGATTGGCTGGGTCCCCTTTTCCTTACTGCTGTAATTGACAACGACGGTATTGAGGAAGGGAAGGAAATCAAGGGAACAGACAAACAGGCAACAACGAGCAACGCCCAACAGACAACAGCTGCATATGAGAGGGAAACTTTTTTAGACTTTGGCAAAAGAAGGCAGAGAAGAAAGGGAATGGGGAGGGAGGAGGTTACGAAGTAGTTGAAGAAATATGCCCGATTCCGCCCTTGCCCCCGAGATGGACCATGTGTGCATGAGGAGAGAGAGAGGGGAGGAAGGAGGTTGAGAATAGGGACATAAAGGGAAGAGAAAAGAGATGAAAGGAGTCTCAAGCGAGAGTATGAAGGGGATGAAGGGGACGAGGGGGTGCGTGGGTGATGGGTAGGCAGCAGGGAGATAAAAATGGGGGGTATGCATGAATGTATGCATGTAAGCTCAAACCATGCCATGCGATGGAGTGTTGAGTGTGGTCTTTCTCTCTCTCTCCTACTCTCCTTCTCTCTCATCACATACTCTCTTTGTCTGTCTCCTCTTTTTTTTTCATCCTTCACCCCTTTCTAGAGAGATGTTCGTTATTTATGGCTCAAAAGGAGAAAATAGACACGCTTGTCGAAAAGCCAACCAACCAACAGCAACCATGGCATAAGACGTCGCACCCATCTTCTCTCCGAGAAATTCCAGCATTGCGAGCTCACGCTGAGCATGCAGACGACCAACGACTAAAATAACGTATCGATCAGATGCGAATCGCCGTATGTTTCACAACTCCCGTTTCTTCCTTCCCGCTTTCCGTTTCGCAAAAATGAAGACACCAGACCGCCCAGTGTTATGAAGGCAAAAAAGAAAAAGAAAAAGAAGAACGGATGTTGTTGATGGTGGTGGTGGTGGTGGTGGTGGTGTGAGGAGGCTCTTTTTCTTTACCTCCGACGTGATCCACATCCATGCCGTGACCTGGCGATGACTTTTTGCGGAGAGTCTTGTCAAGGAACTTGTTGAGCAGCGACATCTTTTCTTCCTGCTAAAGTGGTTGTTGTTGCTTGATGATGTTGTTCGAGTGTTTGTGTTTTTGTTATGATCGAGGTGGTGGAGGTAAGGGTAAGAGGGAGTAGCTGGGCAGGCTGGAAGTTGAAACGAGAAAGCGTGGGTGAAGTTGCAAGGAAAAAAAGTTTGTTGGAGAAAGAAACGAAGGAGGGTCGAGAAAATGGGGTAGAAAGATAAAGAAGAGAGAGGAGGGGACTGTCAGTTCGGGCAAAGAGTGAGAAGAGAGGTGTTTGTGGGGTTGTGAATGAGGGTTTGGGGAATGGAGAGAAAGAGAGAATGAGAATGACGGAGAGACCCCCCCCCTCTTCTTCTTTGAGAAAGAACAAACGATAGAGGGTGACCGCATGGACGAGAGAGAAATGAACGAAAGAAAAAACTTGCGAGACAAGCAGTCACCACTGCGACTTTTTTTAAAATTTGGTGGCGTTTTTTTTTTAATTCATTAGATACTTGTGTATGTGAATGTGTAAGAAGGTGTAAGTGAAAGAGAAAATGATCTAGGCGGCCATGATAACCTCGGAGGGGTCAAGCATCCGCAACTTGCGAATAAACAAACTCATCAAAAACGCCGCACAAGCAACAGGAGTAATACACTTGAAAATATACTGGAACGTGTCCACATAAGCCCCAATCACCAAAACCTTGACCGCCTCGGGTAACAACTGCACATTCGTGATCTTCTCCTCGATATGGTACTCCCCGATCACATACAACACCTCCACCGGGAGCTTCTCAAACAAGGCCTTGATGTGGTTGTTGAACAGGGCCGTGCACATCGCAATACCGATACCACCGCCGATAGAGTTCATGAACCCGCACAGGGCCGTCACAGCCGCCATGTCCTCCTTCTCGACGGCTGCCTGGGCTGCCAACATGCACGTCTGGAGGATGAGTCCGATACCCATTCCGACAATTAGGAGGAAACCGATCTGAGGACCCATTCCAGACTCGGCGTCGAAGAGGATGCAGAGACCGCAACCGACGGACATGAGGACCGTGCCCAGCCAGACGAAATAGCGGTAATCACCGACCTTGATCAACAAGGCTCCCGAGACGATGGAGGAAAAGACAAGACCGAGGACCATAGGCAAGAGATGGAGACCGGACGCGGTCGCAGTAACGCCCTTAACGACCTGGAAGTAAATGGGCGAGTAAAAGATAACTCCAAGGAAGGCCATGCCCGTCAAGAAGTTGACTGCAAAGATGATGGTGACGGTTGCATTCTTGAATAGACGTGGGGGGATGATGGGCTCGACAGCCTTGTACTCGACATACATCAGGACCGCGATCAGGACAAAGGCGACACAAAAGAGGGCGATGACTTGAGCAGAGTCCCAAGCATAGGTCGTACCGCCCCACGTGATGGGTAAGAGCAGACAAATGACGGCAATAATAATAAAGAAGGTTCCTGCATAATCGATCCGAGCTAACTGTTCCTTGAGCTCAGGTCTCTCAAACGGCAGCCGCAAGAAGACAACCACACTCGCAAGGGTAACCACACCCAGGGGCAAGTTGATCAAGAAGCACCACCGCCAAGTTGCCTGCTCAACAAAAACACCTCCTAGCAATGGACCAATAACGGACGAGACTCCAAAGACACTCCAGATGACCGATTGGTACTTTGCACGTTCCTCTATGGCAAAGATATCTGAGATGATGATGAGGACGATTGAGAGGAGCCCCGATCCGCCAAGGCCTTGGATTGCACGGAAGACGATGAGCATGGTCATGGTTGTGGCGCCTCCTGCTCCTGCAGATCCGACCATGAATGTCACACAGGCGAAGAGGATCATTGCCTTTCGACCAAAGATATCACTAAACTTGCCTATTTGATGTCATGGGAAGTCAACATAGAAATGAGGTAAGGTATTGAGCTTGTAAGCGGACCAAAATGTGTTTGTATCAATGTCAAAGAATAGCTGTGTGTGCGTATGTGTGGAAGAGATCCTTACCATAGAGGGGCTGGAACGCGTCTATTCGCGATGATCAATCAAAAGGAAAAAGAATATAATCAAAACATTAGTATCGCGTTCGATCAGTGACGGCGAGATAATCGGAATTCTACACGACAACGCGACGCTGAAAAATAAGAGCATGCATTCAACTTGAGGCAACGTACTGAAGGTGAGCAAGTAGGCGGTGGCAACCCAGGACATCTCCTTGTTGGCGCTGAAATCCGATGCAATCCTGGGCAAGGCAGTTGCAATAATCGTTCCATCCAAACTGGCCAAGAACGTAGCCATCGCCAATCTATTCCACCACACGCATAAAAAAAAAGTGAGAATGAGAAAAGGTTAGACACTAAATCTACAAGGGTGTTTGAATTTTGGGATGGGGCTGAGGTTACAGTAAATGGTAATAAGAGAAGGTAGGGAGAAAAATAAGGTGGTTGATTGTACAATGAGCAGGGAAAGGGGTGAGATTCAGCCCCTACTCTGATTTTGCCCCTCATGTTTGTTGACGGGTGTACTGTAAAACAAACTCCATCCCTGGTATTGTCATACACGAGTGTGTAAGAAAAGGGTTAAAGGAAGAAAAGGAGAGAAGGAAAGGGGGTGATGGAAAGGGAAACGAGGGGGAGTGAGTTGAATGAAGAGGTTGATGAAGCCTCAAAATCAACCGCCAGCAAAAAAGAATCGGAATGAAGGAAAGAGGGAGGGAGAAGGAAGAGAGGGGTGGTAACGTACCCGACAAATAGGAGGATGGCGGCCTTCTTGCTAATACCAGGCTCCTTCACGGGTTCCTGTCGTTCAATATCGATCGAGCTCACCTCCTCCTTTTGGTGTGAAGAACTTGCTCCTTGTGCCTCAATCTTTCTAGAGAGGTTGCTGTGGATCGATGGTGTGGTGGTGACAACTTCTGCTTTGGGACCGCCTTGTCCTATTTCGAGCTGCGTTGATTCTGAGGACCTTGAGGAGGTCATACTTGGGGGTTGTGTGTAGAAGGTGAGGAAGGGAGTTGGAGGAGAGTGAAGGGGAGGGAAGGAGGGACGGTAGAGAGGAGGATGTGGATTGGTCCCGTGAGTAGTCAGGGTACAACTGGCAGCTGTGCGAAGGATGAGAATGCAGGGAAGTGAGGACAGAAGAAGAGTGCAGAGAAGGAGAAGAATGGAAGAGGGAAGAAAAGGACAAAAGGCAGGGGAAGAAACGGAAGGATGGGATTCATTTTTATAGCTTCTTCAAAGTGCATGGCGATTGCCAAAGGACTTTCGCTAATAAACTTGTTTGCACTTTTGTTTATTTGTTTTGTTGTTGTGATCCTCCATGGTTCGCTTGACAGAGCAAGCAGCCAGGGTATACTGGTTTTCACACAAACAAACTACACATTCATCTGAATGCCGGGAAGAGAGGGAAGTGAGGGGGAAGTATGAGTGAGCACAGGAGCAAAGCAACGCAATGCAATAGAGTAATCGATTGGATATCTTTGCTTGCGCGTGCGTTGCGTTGCGTTTGTTTCGCCATGAATCATGAATGAATGAACTGGCTAATGTTTCGCCCTGGCCCTTGCAGTGGCAGCTGGCCACAAGGATGCAATAACGAGGAGCTTCTCTTTGTGAGTAAAGAAAGAACCTTTTGCATCAAGGGCAGGACACCTGGGTGCCTCGATTTTTATCCCCCCACTCGCCTCATCTCAAATCCTTAACTCGATCAAGCTCAGAACATTTTTTCTACTTGCCCTTGCACATGCAGAGAGCGCGAGAGCATGAGAGAAAGAGAACAGGTACGTACTCCGCTGTATATGGGGTTGGTTCGATCGGTTTCCTTTGGGGTGGGTGGAATAATTGCGTGGAAAAAAAGAGTTGGAACGGGAGAAGAGGGAGCAAACAGGAGAAACATGCCCAGAACAACCCAAAACCGTCTGTAACAGGTAGACATGAGAGACACGAGGGTTGAGGTGTGGATACACTTTAAACGTCTTAAGGCGTTTTGTCATGTTAAAACAGGTAAATAGAGCATTAACCTTTTAGGCCCAAAAGTCGAAAGAAGAGACCTAAAAGGGGTGACAATAAACCGGTTTGTCACACAGAAAAGTAATATGTGTCCACGCAAAAAAAGGCCTTGCTTGCGATTGGGAGGGTCCAAGCCCAGCCCACCAAAAGGAGAGCTGGACCTGACTGACTTGAACCACAACCGCAATTGAGTTATGGGCAGCCATGATGTGTTGGCGTTAGGGGGGGGGATGGGGATGAAAAAGTGATTTCTCCCCCTATTGTCCGGTCCTTCTCACTTTTCTTTGCTTGCTACTTACTTCACATCATGGACATGTACACTGCTGTTTATTGTTGTTATTTTCGTTGCTATCGTTTTTCACCCCTACGTTTTCCATATCCATGAGCCGAAGCTCCTTCACATTTCTTTGATTTTTCCTTGTTGTACATGTACCTTTTCTGCCTTGCTCAGGGGTATGCATCGAGAAAACCAAGAAAGCACGAAAAGAACAAAAGTGGGAGAACGAGGGAGGAATCGAGGAAGAGCCGTGTTTTTTTCCTGTAGGCATAGATCTGCGCATTATCCAAATGTAGATGTTCACTTGCGTACCTCGGAAGCCAGTGTGCTTTGTTTGTCGCGTCCGATACTTCTCTTTTGAATAAACTTCTTCCCGTGGCATGGCTTAGTCTGTGATCGAAGATGATTGACTTTCAGGTTTCTGGCAGTTCTTTATTCCTTTAATTGCTAACCTCCTCCTTCTTTTCTCTCAGCGCCGCGGCGTGCCACAGCCTTCTTAAACCGGAAGGACCAGTTTGTCATGTCTTTCTGCAACCTGTCATTGGTAGCACACGATGTTGTTGTCGCGCGCAGCTTGTTGGGCGCGTTCATAAATGAAAATGTCACGTTCACAGTCGAATTCGATCTTATCGGCTCATGTCGCACGTGACTTCAATATACGTCACCGATGGTAATTCCAATCGCGTTCCCTATTCTCCGAACCTTCGGAAAAAACAGCTCTCTGTGTCTACAACCCTACAAAGCACTCCCGTCGGTGTATGTATCGCTTTTCTGCGTTGTCCGAAGTCCCCTTTCTCTCAGCTTCTGCACAACTGATCCGATTTTAATTCCCAATCGATCGTCACCTCTCACCCCATCATCCATCTCCACTCCACCCCCACTCTCCCTCCTCTCTCGGCCGCCCCTTTCCTTTTTCTCTTTTTCTCCCTTTTACTTCTCCGCTCTCCCCTCCTACTCCCAACAAACACATATCGACCATAATGGCTTCAGTTGCGCGCCTTCTCTCGCGTCGTGCGACCCCCATCATCAGCAGCGCTGCCGCCGCCTCCCGTTTCACCACTTCCCCTCTCCTCGCCCGGACAACTGCTCGCCCTTCAGCATTCGCTAAATTCATGTCGACCGAGGCTGCCCCCGGCGCTGCCTCGCACCATTATGTCAACCGAGATATGCTCGGATCGACCACCCCTCTCGGATCGACCATCACCGAGGATGTCGAGATCGGCGACGACGGTGTCGACGTCAACGCGCGCCACTTCACCGTCAACTTTGGACCCCAGCATCCTGCTGCCCACGGAGTCTTGCGTTTGATTCTCGAGTTGGAGGGTGAGGAGATTTTGAGATGTGATCCTCATGTTGGTCTTTTGCACCGTGGTACTGAGAAGTTGATCGAGTACAAGACCTACCTTCAGGCTCTTCCCTACGTAAGTTATTTGGACCTCGGCAATTTCGTTATTATTTTTCTTTCAGGAACGGAGACAATTATCAGGACACCATACTTTGACTTGGATGCTGCCGGAACGACACGACACTCGAAACAGGATATTGGAGGAAGAAAGAATAGGGGAAAACGAGAAAGAGGGATGATAGCCAGAAAGAAGGGAAGGGTGAAGACGGATGATGAGCGGGAGCGAGGGAAGGAAAGAAAAGGAAGAAAAAACAAAAGTATGGAGGCGAATTGACCATTGTTCTTGTTTGACCTGTCTGCTAACCAATATCTGTTTTTCCTTCTATCTTGAATCCTCTATATGTTTTCCATGGATATTTGCACATCGGACGACTTTTACTCTATAATCCGGGATCGACAATAACAACGGAAAAAACAGTTCGATCGTTTGGATTACTGCTCGATGATGGTCAACGAGCAGGCCTATTCGCTCGCTGTTGAGAAGCTTCTCAACATCGATGTGCCACTGCGCGCCAAGTATATCCGTACCCTGTTTGCCGAGATCACCCGTGTCATGAACCACTGCATGTCCGTCATGTCCCACATTATGGATGTCGGAGCCTTGACCCCCTTCTTGTGGATGTTCGAGGAGCGTGAAAAGTTGATCGAGTTCTACGAGCGTGTCTCGGGTGCCCGTATGCACGCCGCCTACGTCCGTCCCGGAGGTGTCTCGCTCGACATCCCCAAGGGCTTGCTCGAGGATATCCACGTCTGGGCCGATCAGTTTGGACAGCGCATGGACGAGGCCGAGGAGTTGATCACTGGAAACCGCATCTGGAAGGGTCGTACCGTTGATGTCGGACGCGTCACTGCCAAGGAGGCTCTTGACTGGGGATTCTCGGGAGTCATGTTGCGTGGATCCGGTGTCAACTGGGACTTGCGCAAGGTCCAGCCCTACGATGCCTATCACCTTGTTGACTTTGATGTCCCCGTCGGCACCAAGGGAGACTGCTATGACCGTTACCTCTGCCGTATGGAGGAGATGCGTCAATCGCTCCGCATCATTCACCAGTGCATCAACGACATGCCTGCTGGTCCCGTCCGTGTCGACGATCTCAAGATCTCCCCCCCTCGCCGCGCACACATGAAGGAGAACATGGAAGCCTTGATCCATCACTTCAAGTTGTACTCAGAGGGTTACGCCGTCCCCGCTGGTGAGACTTACACCGTCGTCGAGGCCCCCAAGGGAGAGTTCGGTACGTCTTTTTGTTCTATTTCCCATTTTTTGTTTGCTGTTCAATAGTAACATTGCTAGATGGTACAAATATGTTTTTCTAACGCCTTTCTTTACTTACGAATTGAATTACCTCAATATTAGGTGTGCATTTGGTTTCTGACGGAAGCAACCGTCCTTACCGCTGCAAGATCCGTGCCCCCGGTTTCGCCCATTTGGCTGGATTGGATTTCATGGCCAAGGGTCACTTTATTCCCGATGTTGTTACTATGATCGGTACTATGGATATTGTGTTCGGTGAGGTCGATCGTTAAACCATCTTCCTTCCTTTTACTTTTGACAGTTTTTTTACGCGATTTATGAGAGTGTACCTTGCACTCTTTCGACCATCCTTTTTTCTCCCCTCCTCTTCTTTTTTTTCTTTCTTCTTCATTCCCCAAACATTAATGATCGGGGATGTGGACAAAGACAAACCTATATCGACAACCACGCCACATTCTTTTTTGTTACTCCCTCTCTTTTTTTTTGCACGATTGTTCCTTAGAATAAACCCCATCCAATATTATTATTATCACCCGTTTCGCCGTTTCTTGATGCATATATGGTACATATAAATGAATGTTGTTTATTTAGTATCAACCTTCGCAAAGCAAAGCGTGGCATTGGTACCCCCAAACCCAAAAGAATTTGTCATCACAGCCTTCAAAGCCTTCTCCTGAGCCTTCAATGGCACATAATTCAACGTAAACTCGCCACTGTCATCATGCTCATGCAAATTCAACGTCGGTGGGAGGATACTATTCTTCACCGCCAGAATCGCGAAAATTGCTTCCACGGCCCCGGCAGCACCAAGGAGGTGACCGACGGCGCCCTTTGTGGAGGATACGGCGATTGTGTCGTGGTGACCTTCAAAGACGGATTTGATGGCGCGGTTCTCGGCAATGTCACCCAGTTGAGTCGATGTTGCGTGGGCGTTGATGTAGCCGATGTCAGCGGGGGTGAGACGGGCGGCTTTCAGGGCCCGGCGCATGGCCATGGCTGCACCCGCGCCGTTCTCCGGGGGTGCTGTCATATGGTGTGCGTCACCTATTTGAAGGAACGATGGCACGAAAACAGCAAGAGCAATCGTCAAGTTTTTGACATGATAGTTCATTTTTTTGCAGTTAAATCGTTGCAGGTGGTCTACTTTCCCAATCAGGTTTCTTGTTGATTGATTACCTGAGAGCCCATAGCCACGGAGTTCGGCATAGATGTGGGCACCACGCTTCTTGGCATGCTCATATTCTTCCAACACGACAACTCCAGCTCCTTCTCCAATTACAAAACCATCCCGATTCTTGTCAAACGGTCTTGAAGCCTCTGATGGGTTGTCGTTATACTTTGTCGCCAACGACTTTGCCCTAGTAATCCCATCACGCGACACACACACAAGCCAAAAAGCAATCATATTAGTACATGCTCACAGTAATTGTCACGATAAATAATCCATTCCATCCAAAGGATCTATCCACATGTTCGTAATACTTACTTTGCGAAGCCGGCAACGGCAAGAGGGTGGATACATGCTTCAGATCCTCCAGCGACCATGACATCGGCATCGCCGTACTGAATAAATCGCATGGCGTCTCCGAGCGAGTGTGCTCCTGTGGTACAGGCGGTCGAGACTGCGTGGTTGGGGCCCTTGAAACCGTACTTCATCGTCAAGTGTCCTGCCGCCATGTTGATCAAGATCTTGGGCACAAACATCGGGCTCATCTTGCGATATCCCTAATCACATTTAAGTAAAGTAAACGAGATAGGGTCAGTTGTGCCAATGAAGGTTAGGTGCTGTGGTACCGTTCATCTTGATCTCTAAGGCAAACTTCTTTGGAAAAAAAAAGAGAGTTGGGTACTTACACTTTCGGCAAAGGAGAGGGTGGTGGTGGCCATATCTTCCAGGCTTCCAATGCCCGATCCGAGGCAGACTCCTGTCCGCTCCTTTTCCTCCTCGGTGGTCGCCTCCCAGTTGGCGTCCTTGATCGCCATCCTTGCCGCTGCAATCGCGTACTGTGTAAACATTGCCATTCTCTTCTCGTCCTAAACATGCAAACCAATAGCAAAAGAAAAAAAAAGGTGGTCAGTAATCCACATACGAAAGAAGTGACAATTCCATCTTATAAAACGAGCGCAGCCAGCGTGAGAACATTTCTTCTCCTCCTCCCCCTCCCTTCTCCAAGAAAACTTACCCCACGGTCAAGCCATTCTGTAGAATCGAAACCCCCAAGATCCTTGCCACCCGTGCGTTTGACAACAGCACCGACTTGAGAAGGCAAAGTATCAAAGCCGGGCAAGCCAGGGTTTGGGGAGGGCAGGTCTTTGAGAGAGACGACGCCACATTCGCCAGCAATGAGTTTTGACCAACTTTGTTGGACGCCGATGCCCAGGGGTGTGATGAGTCCTAGGCCGGTGACGACTACGCGGCGTGCGTTGAGTGCCATTGGGTTGTTGCTTTGTTGGGGGGTGGAGAGGGTGGATGGGAAAAAGAGAAAGGGTGTGGAGCGGGACAAAGTGGCCTTACTTTCCCGCGCACCGCGAAGCGAGGCAGCGGCCGTTCCTCAAATAGCAGTCACATTGATTTCAGTAATTCAAGAGCGTTGAAAGCTTCGGCGGGTGAGAAAACGCAAGGAAGACTGCCCAAGGGCGATATGCCAATATGGCAGCCCTTCCTTCTCAATGTTGTCTCTATCAATATCCCCCCCCCCCCCCCCCTTGCTGTTCGTGTTGAAGGGGTGACAAGAGGTGAGGATTCAAAAATGACATATATCGACCTTCATACCCGCAGCCTATAGCTTTTCAATGGCACCTTTAGGGCACATAGGACCACCTCCACGATAGTCGAATGTGGCTTAGATGTTTACAAAATCCAGTCCCCTGATTACCCTTCCAGTCCGTGTGTGGTCTCCCTTGCTCGAAGGAGGTCAGGTCCGAAGCTAGGGTTTAAGACGACTTTCTTTTTCACATCACCTCTCTACTCTTTCCTTTCATTACATATACAACAATGGCTTCGCTCTTGTCCTCGGTCAGAGCCGGTCTCCGTACCGGTCTTCCCGCCGAATGCCGCTCATTCGTCACCGCCGCCACACAGCCCGCCACATGGACTCGTAAGGACACTTTTCAGCAACTACCGCAACAGCAAACAACCCGAGCCATGGGGACTTGAAGGAGGACGAGGTCATGGACGCATCAGCCTACCAAAAACTAACACCTTTAACCTTTTGTGTTTTATGTGCTTTAGACAAGTCATTAAGAACAGGAGTGATCGCAAGGAAGAAGGGCATGACCGCCATGTGGGACGAGTGGGGTGTCAGGATACCCGTCACTGTTCTCCAGGTACCGTTTGAGCGACAGGGGGCTGTTTGAAGCATTCCTGCGCACTGGAGGCATTAAAGCAGGATAGAGACAGTTTCGAGATAGGTTAACACCGATGGCACTTCAGGAAGCAACTACTTAATTAATGCAGAGGATCAATCCGGGATACAAACATAACACGCGACAAGAACAGAGTGATCTGGAGCTGTTCGAAAAACAGAAAGTTATGAGGAATCATTGGAAAAGATTGACCAACAAGTCAGTTATCCTCAGGAACCCCATCATCATCACCAAAAAACAACAAAACTAACACCTAGAACTTCTGTCCTCCTTCACCTTCTCGCGTCAAATGAACTCCAAATAGCTTGAGCAATGCCAGGTTATCCAGGTCATGAACGAGGAAACTCATGGATACACAGCCCTCCAGATCGGAAGCACGGATCGCACACCCAAGAATGTTACCGTACCTATGTTGGGTCATTTCGCCAAGGCCGGTGTTGAGCCCAAGCGTAGGATCGTCGAGTTCGAGGTCACCCCCGATGCCGTCTTGCCCGTCGGCACCGAGTTGGTCGCCTCTCATTTTGTCCCCGGCCAGTTCGTCGACTGCTCCGCTCCTACGTAAGTCTACATCCTTCTTGCAATACTCTATTGATCTGAATGCCATCAATGTGAGACCTAACGACGTTCGTTCCTTTGACAACAACAAAATATATAGCATGGGAAAGGGATTCCAGGGAGCGATGAAGAGACACGGATTCGGAGGTCAGCCAGCAACACACGGTACATCTCTCACGCACCGTTCGCTCGGTTCGACCGGTCAGCGTAAGGATCCCGGTAAGGTCTTCAAGGGCAAGAAGATGGCGGGTCGCATGGGAGGCGAGCAGGCGACGGTACAGAGTCTGAAGGTCATGAAGATCGACAACGACCTCAACCTGATCTATGTCAAGGGCGCCGTCCCCGGTGTCGATGACCAGTTTGTCAAGGTCCGGGATGCGATCAAGAAGCGTGGCGACAAGATTGCCCCCGCTGATGTCTTACCCCTGCCCTTCCCTACTATCCAGCCTGAGGCTGTCAAGGCCATGCCAAGAGAGTTGGTTGCCAAGACGGGTGGCTCTGATCCTTACGTCATGAAGGAGTAAGAAGAAGGATGATTGTAGGTTTAATGGGCGACAGCGGCATCGGGAGAGAGGTGGAGGTGGCGGAAGTGGAAGTTTGCCGACAAAGGATATCCAGGAGGTTCTTCGTCTTCTTCTAATAAACGAGTCTCTGCGCTGCGCTGCGATGAAAGCAGGACTTGAGGAAGGAGGAGGCTAGGAAGGAAAAAAAACTAGAAAAAGAACAAAAAACAAACAAGCAGCAAATAGAAAAAGGAGCAGGAAGGCAGGGAGGGGGCTAGTTGGTTCCTATATTTTTTTTACCATTTTTCACCTTTAGTAAAGTACATTATCAAATCATTGCATTACACAAAGCGGAATAGATGAAGGGTTTCTATGTCGATGGATGTGTGCGTAGGAGGGACGACGTGAATAGTCAGGACTGACCATGGAAGGGATGGTTCTTTTGCCGAAAGGAGGTGAGGCGATGGCAGTGTGAAGCTGCATTCGCATAGCTAGTCGGCTGTTGGGCTTTTTCGGTGTCGTACTTTTTTTTTGTTGTCTCGTCTTTGAGTTGGCAACCACGTCGTGTTGTTAGCTTCGCTGTAGATCGAGATATTCGCATAGCTACCCAGCTTTTGGGCTTTTTCGGTCTTGTGCTTTTTTTTTGTTGCCTCATCTTTGGTTTGGCAACCACGTCGTGTTGCTGGCATTGCTGTAGATTGAGACAGCATATTTTGTCTTTTCGCTTGTTTTTGAGCGCTTGTTGTTTGTGCCTTGTTCTTCTGCACATACGGAGGATTACGACGTGTTGTAGTGAACAAGGCAGACTGAACAAAAAATACTCAAAAAGGACTACATATGAAGAGGTTTGCTGCGCAAGGATTCATCCCTGACAGTCCAACAGACCATTGCGATCTCAATGGTTTACATTTGTCGAAGCGGAACGACGACACCAAAAAAAAAATCGCGAAAACATGCAAATTCGACTGTTAATACTCTCGTCCTCTCTCACTCTCATCCAGTTCATCATTCTCGTTAATGTTTTTTGCTCTCCATGTTTATCGACAGTGTTTTGTAAGCGAGTTACAGCACACAAACACGAACACAAAAGAGCACTTGTTGTGCTCTGAACAAGCACGGCCAAAAAACCCAAACACTCATGTATACATTTTCTTCACTTTCTCCCTTCTCCTCCCCTTCTTCCATCGTTCCTTCGTTCTACAAAACACACACCCAAAAAAAGGCATCACAAGAAGCCAGTCTGGCTGCCCGTCTGTTCAAAGGGGGTAAGAGAAGGAATCAGTTGTTGTATCGGTCAATGGCAAAATAATATATACCGAGAGCCGAAAAACGGGGGTGTTTGATTGTTTAGTGTTAATTTTTCTTGCTTACGGAACAGACGCACACACACGCACAACAAAGAGCACTGTGCAGAAGGGAAAAGGTAAAAAAAGGGAGGGGTAGTTGAATAAATCAAAGATCCTTCTTTTGAATGGTCAACAAGTATCAAGGAAAGCAAGCGTAAACAAGAATTCAGGGTGAAGGGGGAGAGAGAGAAAGTTCAAAAGGGGAGAGCTTGGCGATTAAAGAACGCCACCCTGACTGTTCAGTCTGTCATTCATTCAGTCTGTCATTCATTCAGTTTATCATTCTTTTAGTCCGTTATTCATTCAGTCTGTCAATATACAAGGAATGTTGACTGTGCTAATTGTATCCAAGGTTTGCCTGTGAGAGAAAACTCTACAACAACAAAAAAATCGAGGGTGCAAAAAAACAACAACGAACACACACAAAAACTAGGTTCGATACAAAATCATACGCAGGATAAGCAAAGGGTAAACAGAGGAAGACTAAGAAAAGAGAGCAATTGTCCAAGTGGACAATAACAGTAATATGCAGATCCCCTTCAGGATGTCCTCCCCCCCCCTCATTTTTAAGGCACTCCGCCTATGCCACCCTACCCTCGAATAGAAGGAGCATAGAAAACGCGGTAGGTCCATCGGTGAATGTACTGAAGGGGTTGATCATTGGTCCATGGAAAAACAAGGAAGAGGATGTATAGCTATCGAAGCAAGTATAATCCACTCGTCTCTAACTTCTTGTCTCACAGATCCACAGTAGTGGATGAGATGTTCTCCATCATGTTCATTTTTCTACTCAATTGTTGCATTTCACTCTCATGATAGTGTGCTCATCAAAATAAACGATTCCTTTTCTTTTGTTTATCATGTTTGCTCTACGCCATTGAAGTATTATTAAGTAAGTGGGCTACTGGTTCGATGTTGCATCCATAGTTCATTTCCCATTTATTAACCATACCGAGCAAACGTTGTATCCCGCCCTTGAGTGCGAAGTACCTCCCTCGTTTTCTATTTATTGCTGTGTCAAATCGATCGACCAAACATGAGAAGGGCGAAGCCTCTTTCCACTCCGACGTTTGATCAGTATCGCGTCCAGGTTTCAATTTCCTGTGCTCGACGCGAATAGATAAATGGCGCAGTGACATAGTGACATACAAACTGTCAAGCAGTAGCAATATCAGCGGCAGAGAGAGAATGAGACGATGCAGGGGGCAATAAGCACGAAATTACGAAGAATGGAGCGCAGAGGAGAAAAGAGGAGAAAAGAGGAGAAGGACGGCATGGCGATTTTGGGGTAAGAGAGGAGTTGATGAGATGATGGAGAGAAAAAAAGGGCACCAAAGCATAGCCATGCGTATTGCAAAATGGATCATGGAACTGCAAATGGGTAAACAGTCAAACAAAGACGTCGTGAAAAAGAGAGCGTTTATTTTTTGGGAGTCGTAAAAAATGAAGCCGTTTGGGTGCGCTCAGGGCATGCAGGCATATGCAGCTCATGGACTTCATACAAGAGCATTGTTTCTCGGATGAATACTCTCATTAACTTTTTTATAACTTTTGTATACGACATACCCCTTTTTTTTGGTTGGTTGGTGTTATTATTGTTGTTGTTGTTGCTGTTGATGTTGGTTGTATTATTACCCCGCCTTGAAAGACACGTTACAATCATAAGCAAGAAGTGGGCTCACTGGCGTCGTCCTTCTCCTTGATCCCTTTCTCACTTTCGCCAGTCGGGCAACAAAGGACCAAAATTTTTCGAGGACATGCATTTGAGGACAGTGTTGTATATGTTATTTTCAGCGTGTGTGAATGATATGCGTGTGAGATAATGCAAGTAAATAAGTGAAAGAGATAGAGGATAAGTGCGAAAGGTAAGTAGGAGAGGGAGAGGACGAGGTATAACACTGTGACACTAGGTGCTGGGAAACCAATGAGTGAAGGTGCAAGGTTGTGAGGTTTCATTTGACTACACTGTTTTGCCCCTCCTCTTCCTCTTCCTTCCTTCCTTATTGCTAGTCTCGTCGATGTGTGCGTATGAATAATAAAAGTGCCTTTTCACCTTCCCCTTTCTCTCTCTGTTCGTCTACTCAATTGAAGAGATGCCAGCAAAAATAAAAAAAGGATCCGCCTCCTGGATTTTTATAGTCGATGCTGGGACACACATACTCGCACACAGGGAGACGTATGTCCATATACACATTAGCCGGTACTGCACCTCTCCGCATGTACGCCTTCTATTGGTCTTTTCTGTCGTCAACACACTATATATCCATCTTTCCCTTTGTGTCCCCTTTTTCCGATAATAACATTTCTCGTATCTTTGTCTTGGGCCTGCTCATTATCTCTTCTCTATTTCCTCTTTCTTTCCCCTCTCGCATTCTTCTCTACGCAGCAGGCAGTGCAAGTGTACCTTGAGTAAACGAACAGAAATGGGTAATTTGGACATCCGGATGGGCAAAAAGTATATTTGTATTGTACTCTTTTGCCGAAGAAAAGGTCCGGGTCTACTGGAATCTATGCCTCTAAGCAAATAGCGTATCTCTATGAACACGGACTACGGGTAATAAAGAGAGAGAGAGAGAGAGAGAAAGAGGAGGGGGGGGGGGGGGACGGGAAGGAGGGAGAAAGAAGAAAGGCAAGCAAGAAAAAAGAAGAGAGTGGCTTGAGGGAGAGTGGGGGCCAGGAGAGGAAGAAGGGGTTTTGAGAGAATGGCGTAGGAGGGATGCACTTGTGTTGTCGATCTGGGATGATTTCGATCGTCGGCAAAAAGAATAGCACAGATTGTTCGTTCGTCAATGGGTCCATTGAGATAGTCCGGAAGCTCAGAGAGTCGTAATGTATAAAAAGCACAACAGGAGTAATAGGACGACAGAGAGTACATGCCATACAAACACAGAGAAAGAGAAATATACTTCCCTCGAAAGAGAAGGTTTTTCTTGAGGAAGATGACTGAGCGAGGGAGAATGCCATCGTCCAATTATTCAATGAGTGAACGAGAGAGATCTCAAGGAAGAAGAGAAGATTGCTGGTCGAGGAACGCTCTACGGCATTAGCTGTAAGTAGCCAGCAGCTTGTGTTACAACTTTAGCACGATGACTTGAACACATCTGGTTTGTTTCCCCTCTTCCCATCCCTTTTGTTGTCTGTTTTTCTTGTCCCCATCTGTAGCCCCGTCCTAATGCCATGGGAAAAAGTTGGGTGCTATTCCAAGGCGAAACACCAACATATTCTTACTTTTTTCTTTCAATTCATTCCTTCCTTTCTAACAAATATCGACCTTTCACTCTTTGCTCTCTCTCCCTCCCTTTGTCCTGCCTCCTTCCCTTCCCTTTCTCCACATATGCTCATTTACCGCTAATACTGACCTTACTCTTTTTCAGTCGATTCAACTCAGTGTTCTCATGAAATCGTTCATAGTTTACAAGGTCAAGCTGCAGCACTCAGTATGTTGCTAATTGTTAGTATCCATCGCTGCTGCTGCTGAACCCTCCCCCTTCTTTCATCGTCCATCCTTCATCCTCTCTCTACTTCTCCTCCTGCACTGTCAATCTTACAATTCATATCTGTGTTATTATTGCTATTTATCCCTTTTTTTATATTATCCTCTCTCATTTTGTTCTCCCCTCCGCATTATCCCCATCCATATTACTTTTGCAGTCCCCATCGGGTGTATGTCTTCTCTCCCTCTCTCCTTTGTTCGCATCTGTATCTGTGTTCAACTTTATTGCCATGAAACATCTTGGTCTCTCTGCATGCCTGTTTTTCTGCTCAAGTTTTCCCTCTCCCCATCGTGTCTCTCGTGTCCCTCGTTTCCCTCCCTCCCTCACTTTGCACTTCTCTCTTCCCTCTTTTTTTTCCGCCCTCTTCCCTCTTTTCGCTTTTTCCTTTTCTTGACTTTTTTTTCTCTTTGTCTTCCTTTACCCTCCTTTCCTTCCTTTGCCCTTTTTCCCCTCATCTTCGCGTTCCCTCTTCCTCCTCTTTCCCTCTTCCTTCCTTCTTTCCTCGCCTTCATCCCTCCTCCTTCGTTCATCCTTCATCCATTTTCATGACCAAACCTCAGTCGCTATCCTTATCATTTTTTTGACGATTCCAAAATATAAGGGCGCTACTCGATTACGAATATCACGAACTTTTCTTTTTAACGTCTTTTCTCTCTTGTCTCTCTCTTTTAAAAACCCTTCTCCTCCCTCCTCCTCCCTCCCGTTACTCTTTCTCTCTTTTTTCTTTCTCTTTCCCTCCTTCCTCTCTCTTTCTCTTACACATCATCATCCACAGCATCTGTCCTTTTCACGACTGACATTCCTTTGGCTTTAACCTCCAACAACTGGTTCCTGATCCCGCATTCCCCATTTACACGCACCCCAAAAGCGGCACTCACTTTCACGCATTCATTTAACTCACTCACTTTCACGCATACATCCATTCATTCAGTCATCCATTCATCCCTTTACCTTTCCTTATCTTCTGCTTCTACTTTATCCATCCAGCACACATCACCAACCATCAAACACATTCACGCGCTATCCGACATAACCCACGGGAAGGAGCGTCCAACAAGCATAGCATAGCATCATACAGCACAGCATCGCACAGCCACCGTTCCACATTCTCTTCTTCCTTTATCTCTTCTTCTTCATCTTCTCTCACTCATTCCAACAAACGCGTTTACCCATAAAATAAGGTACGGAGCATCACCAACACATCAACTCCCGTCTGTCTGTCTTTGCGTCCTTCCGTCTGTGCGTCTTTTACCACCCCCTTGGCTAACAAACTTTATCTTTATCTTTCTCTTTCTCTCTCTCCCTCTCTGCTCCCTTCTCCCTTTCCCTTCTCCTCTACAATTATCACACTTATTATACATACACACATCCACACATCCATCTTTCTCGTCCTCTCACCCTATTTCACCTTATTCCTCTCCACTCCACCCATCTCTGTCTCACACATACACATCATCTACACCGATTCAAACACATTCACTACATCGCACACACTAAACCAAATTTCACATCTCTCTCTCTCTCTCTTTGTGAACTCCTACTTCGGAACGCCTCACACAAATACCCCGTGCACGCTCGCATTTTACCCGATCCACATCTACCACCCCATCAACCCATACGTTCTTCCTACCATTACATCTCCTACTATTGCCATCCTCTCCACAGAAATCTCTGTAACAAAGAAAAAGACCATTCCAGTCAAAGCTCTCGCGATCTCCCTCATCATAGACCATGATTAGAATCGCGCACAAGCCATCGGGCTCTAGCACAGCACTGTGTCTGGACGCCTCTCATAGATTACTCATCCACAAAACTAGCAACAGCAACCCCTCCTCGGTGACAACTACCATTGGATCCTCAGCCTCCGCAATAGGAAGGTCACTCACCAGAACAGCATCACGCCCAACGACCCTTCGACGATACCTCTCGACCAACAACTGCAAGCAGAGCCTTCCTCTACGCAACGCCACCTCCTTAACCAACGGCTGCAACAGCGCCTCCTCACTCTTTGGCAATTCCTCCCGCATTTATGCATCGACCACCCTTCAGCAGCAACGCCCTTTTCTCCAGCAGCGCGGATTTCAATCCCTTGCGGTTGCTTATCAGAGCCGAGCAGTGGATGAGCTTGCAGAAGGCGTGCTTGGGAAAGACCCTTTGAAGAGAAATTCGACTGCAGGACCTGGAACGGAGGAGGGCGGGATTCTGTCGGACGGGATTCTGCAGGGTCGCTACAACAGCAACAACAGCAAGAAGGTGATGACCTTGGAGGAGGCGATGGGCGAGATCAAACCTCTGGAGTTGAGCCCCGAGTTGATGTTGATGAAGGGCAAGGAGCTGACTGGTGCCAAGGTGATTGATGGCAAGGCTATCGCAAAGTAAGTTTCATTCTTTACTGATCAAAGTACTTTCTTCGTTTCAAATTAATTTATCAAAACCCAGGCCGACAGAGTTGCATCAATGTGTTGTTGCTGTTTGGGTGAGTGGATGTGACCTTCAGGGAATAACACCCTCTTTTTTTTCCTTTCCATCTTTCTAAAGAGCGATCGTGAAGAACGTCAAGAACGAGATCGCAACATTCAAGGCAGAGAACCCCTTGTTCCAGCCCCGCCTCGCCATTGTCCAGCTCGGAGAGAAGGAGGACTCGAACGTCTATGTCGCCATGAAGAAGAAGACCTGCAAACAGGCCGGCATCGAGTACACCGAACACCACATGCCCGACACCACCTCCCTTAAGGATGTCCTCGCCACCATCGAGAAACTTAACGCTGACCCGACCCTCCACGGTATTCTTGTCCAACTCCCTCTCCCTCCTCACATCGATGCCAAGGTTGTTACCGAGGCCATTGACCCCATCAAGGATGTCGACGGGTATGTTGTCGTTTTGACTTTTTCTCCGTTTTTTCTTCTATGCGCAGAGTCCATGATCCAAAGTTTGAATATTTATTTTTTTACTAATGGCCATCCATTCCTTATTTTGTAACGCAAATAGATTCCACACCACCAACATTGGTCGCCTGGCCAAGTTGTCAACCATGCCCGACTTTGTCCCCTGTACTCCCAAGGGCGTTCTTGAGCTCATTCGCTCCACCGGCATCGAGATCGAAGGCAAGACTGCCGTCGTTGTTGGACGCAGTGATGTCGTTGTAAGTACCTTATCTTTTGTATTTCTTATCCCTTGTGAGCAAGTAGAAAAATTTCCCAACCGTGAGTCGATCTCCCCTCGTTTTTTTTTCTCTGTAGGGTGCTCCAACCTTTCACCTTTTGAACAAGAGCAACGCCACTGTCACTCTTTGCCACGACAAGACCAAGAACCTTGCCGAGACTGTAAGTATATCTAGATGATTTGTGGGTGTTAAAGAACACATGCGTTCACACTGTCATTCGGTTCACTAACTTTCTCTCCATCTCTTACTTTCATGATGCTCTAGGTCAAGACGGCAGACATCCTCGTGGTTGCTGCAGGCAAAGCAGAACTGATCAAGGGCGAGTGGCTCAAAAAGGGCGCAGTCGTCATCGATGTCGGCATCAACGCCCAGCCCGACCTGACCAAGAAGAGTGGTGTCCGTCTTGTGGGAGATGTCGAGTTCTCAAAGGCACAACATGTTGCTGGTCACATTACCGCTGTCCCCGGCGGCGTCGGCCCCATGACTGTTGCCATGTTGATGGAGAACACTCTTCTCTCTGCCCGTCGCTTCTGGCAGGCTCAACATGAGACTGGTGCTGCGCTGACGAAGATCACGCCCTTGCACTTGGAGCTCAAGACCCCTGTACCTAGCGATATTGATATTGCGCTGGGTCAGCAGCCCAAGAACATTAAGCAGGTGGCCGAGGAGATTGGACTCGGCGTTGATGAGGTACATTTTTCCTTCGCTTTGTTATTGATTTATTTTTGTGTGTCACCAGCATAAGTCTAACATTTCATTTATCTTTATTTAGTTTGAACTGTATGGCAAGTACAAGGCCAAGGTCGACCCTGATGTCCTCAAGCGTCTAGAACACCGACAGAACGGTCGCTACGTGGTCGTGACGGGTATCACACCCACCCCTCTCGGCGAGGGCAAATCGACCACCGTTGTTGGACTCGTCCAAGCCCTTGGAGCGCATTTGGACAAGATTGCATTTGGTTGTGTCCGTCAGCCATCGCAAGGTCCCACTTTTGGTATCAAGGGTGGTGCAGCTGGAGGAGGGTACTCGCAGATCATCCCCATGGACGAGTTCAACCTGCACTTGACGGGTGATATCCATGCAGTCACTGCTGCCAACAACTTGCTTGCCGCTGCCATTGATGCGCGTATGTTCCACGAGACCAGCGCCACCGATGCTGTAAGGACTCATTGCATTTTTTATTCATTTTCAATGTCAACCATTCCCTCGTCATAAAGTTACTGGCCTGAGTACTAATTGTTTACTTTTTCTCATGTCAATAGATGTTATTCAACCGTTTGTGCCCAAAGAAGAAGGGACAGCGCAGATTCGCACCAGTGATGCTCGACCGCCTGTACCGTCTAGGCATCCACAAAACCACACCCGAGGAGCTGACCCCCGAAGAGATCTCCAAGTTCGTCCGTCTCGACATTGACCCAGCTACCATCACCTGGCAGCGCGTCATGGACACCAACGATCGGTTCTTGCGCAAAATCGAAGTCGGCCGTAGTCCTACTGAACAGGGCCATGAACGGATGACGGGATTCGATATTGCTGTCGCGTCTGAGGTCATGGCGGTCTTGGCTCTGAGTGCAGATCTGAAGGATATGCGACAGAGATTGGGTAGGATGGTTGTAGCAAGCAACCGAGCGGGTCACCCTGTGACGGCGGATGATATTGGAATTGGTGGCGCTTTGACGGTGTTGATGAAGGATGCAATTAAGCCCAACTTGATGCAGACTTTGGAGGGTACACCTGTCTTTGTTCATGCTGGACCTTTCGCCAATATTGCTCATGGAAACAGCTCGGTGATTGCTGACAGGATTGCACTCAAGTTGGCTGGTGTTGAGCCTGGCACGGATGCGAGTCAGATGGGCTATGTCGTGACCGAGGCTGGGTTCGGTGCTGATATTGGAATGGAGAAGTTCTTTGATATCAAGTGCCGTGTCAGCAACCTTGTCCCCAACGCCGTTGTTCTTGTTGCAACTGTCAAAGCCCTTAAGATGCACGGCGGTGGACCCGACGTCGTCCCTGGAAAGCCCTTGCCCGAGGTCTACCTGAATGAGAACCTGTCAATGCTCGAGGCCGGCTGTGCCAACCTAACCAAGCACATTCAGAACGCCAAGAAGTTTGGCGTGCCCGTTGTGGTGGCGATCAACAAGTTTACCTCCGACACCGATGCCGAGATGGCTCTCATCCGCAAGCTGGCGATCGAGGCTGGTGCATCTGACGCTGTCCCCTGCGACAACTGGGCCAAGGGAGGTCTAGGTGCCGTGGATCTAGGCCACGCTGTCGTTAAGGCCTGTGACAAACCCCAGGACTTCAAGTACCTCTACGACGTCCAGGACAGCATCGAGTCCAAGATCGAGACCATCGCTCGCGAGATGTACGGCGCCGACGGTATCGACCTCTCCAAAGAAGCCCAGGAAAAGATCTCGACCTACACACGCCAGGGATTCGCAGGTCTCCCCATCTGTATGGCCAAGACCCACCTGTCGCTGTCCCACGACCCTACAAAGAAGGGTGTACCCACAGGATTCCGTCTCCCCATCCGAGACATCCGTGCATCGGTTGGAGCCGGGTTCTTGTACCCCTTGATCGGAAACATGCCAACCATGCCTGGTCTCCCGACACGACCTTCATTTTATGACATTGACATTGACTTTGACACCGGCCGCGTCGTCGGACTCTTTTAAAAACAGACGACGAGCTGGTGCCATTTAGTTCTTTGTTTCTTTCCTTTTGTTTATTTTTTGTTAATGCCTCCCTCCCTTCTTTTCCTTTCATGTTTTGTTTTCTTTTGTACCTCCTGGGCAGTTCCTGTTCTTGGATGATGATGATACCCCTCTTCTCTGTTATTATTTCTTCATGCACGTTTGTTATTTCCTCCATCGTTACTCGCTACGAATATGTCCATCTTTCATTACTATCTTATGTCAAGGAACTCTCCCCACTCTAAATAAACGCCTTAATGCCATAACATAAAAGCATACTCACCCACAGACCGTTACAAAAAATCTACTTGTCCAAAGACACCAAAGCCAAAACGGGTGACGAAGGGCGATATCTGAACCGCCTAACAGGCACCCTCCTCGCCCTCTCATTCGCCCAAAACGCCTGCCGCACCGGATACATGGCCATCAATAAGTACTCGAGTCGATCCCTCCCCTCTGGATGAGCACCCTCCCACCACTTCCGTTCGCCATACTTCTTCAACAACTCATCTTGCCTCTCTATCGGATCCATCTCCTTCTTCTCCCCCTTACCATTCCTCCTTCCTACCCTACCATCATCGCTTCTCTTCACATCCACACCATCAAACAGCGCCTTCTTCTGCGTAAGAGTCGTACAGCGTATAACCTTGACCAACAACGGCTCCTCCTTCGACTCTGCAAAAAGTTTCTGCACCCGGGCAGCAGCAATGGGGTCGTACCCTGCACGGGCCAAGATTTCGAGAGAGAGGAGGTCGGCTTCTTTTTCACAGGCGCGGGAGGAGATGTTTGTGAGGGGCGGGTAGAGGGTTTGGAGGACAATGTTGGGGAGGACGAGGGTGATGAATGGGCCGAGAGTTGAGAGTGCTGGCCAAGAGTGTCCTAGTAGTACGACTGTTTTGTTGGTTGAGTAGGATAGAAGAGGAGGAGGAGGAGGAGGAGGAGGTTGAAGAGATGGAATACATTTCTTGTGAGCTTGATTTGTTTTGTTGATCGACATAGACCCTAGAGAACCTAAACGCGCTCCGTACACCATTATAGTTTTTTTTTCACCCACCCACACCAGCAAAGAACAAGCGACAAAGACTTACTTCCAGCATTAACAATAGCAGTTTGGAAAGAAACCCGCTCATGAACATGATCCTGCGTAGCATGCGCCAACTCATGCGCCAAAACTGCAGCAACCATATCCTCATCATACCCAACAGCCTGCACCAGATCCTGTTCAATCACAATATTGCGGAACCCGTCCGCAGACGCCTGTTGGCCCTTGTCCTTAGAGACGTGAACCCTGAATGGTCGCTTTCCGAATCTCGAGGAGTCCTTGTCCTTGGGTCTAGGGATATCCATACTCCAAAAGGACGCGGTGGTACTAGGAAGGCGAGAACCGAGAGGGATGGTGTCCTTGAGGTAGGGCTTTAAGTGGTTGCCATCGTCATCTACGGCGCCATCGAGGAGGTTTTTGAAGATGTGGTTGACGAGTTGTAGGGCCTTGTTGTCTAGATCCTCGACGATGAGACTGTTGTCCTTCAGTTCTTGTAAAAGCTGACTGGCAACCTGTGCTTGACCTTCCTCCTCCACATGAGGTAGCTCCCGGTTCTCGTTGGCAGTCAATAATACGACCTCGGGTTCTGGTGGCCGCACTGGCGATGATGGCGATGATGGCGATGATGAAAAAGAATTGGCGGCGGCAGCGGCGGGGCTAGAGACGGTGCTGGCATCCTCGTTCCCAACAGCACCAATATCACTTCCAGGGGCTGTATCCTTGGTCCAAAAAAACAATCTCCACCGTCCAGTATTCGGTGCCGGTTCCAGTGCCACCAAAAACATAACCACCACCAACCCAACCGGCGACCACCGCAGCACCCATCTCCCCATATGAAAGATCTTCGAAATCGGTTTGGGGGTGTTCGAGAACCGCTCTCGCCCGAAATTAAGGTACGCGAGGGTGTAAGAGGCTGCGATTGCAGGGATTAGGAGCGCTTCACCCTGGAGAGTCTTGAGCGCCAGTAGTGTTTCTGGGATTATGGATGAAGCGGCTTGGGCTTGACGCGAGGAGTGGAAGAAGGCGGCGGTGGGCTTGGTTGGTGATGGTCGGAGGCTTGTGGCGGATAGGGGAAGCTGTCGCTGATAATGGAGCGCTCGGAGTACGGAAGAAGGAGTAGGAGATTCTACCTTCTTGATCGAGTTGATGGTGATACCAGCAAGAGTGGAAGAAGGTTGAAGAAGAAAAGACGGTCTTGTGGTAAGGCGAGTTGTCAGTCTTGCGAGTCGGCCAATCGACTGAAGGAGCATGTTGGAAAAGAGGGAGACTTACGTCGTGGAGAAGGATAACGAAGATTGTGTGATTGAGATAGTGATTGTGAGGGCATGGTATTGTTACACGGGAAAGTTTTTATAGGCGTTTGTCGGGATAGTTGTTTCCTTTGTGAGGGCGAGCGCGACAAAGAACAAATGGAGAATGGTGCATGGCACAAAGAACCAAGAAAATGAAGACTGCTCGCATGTTGATTTTTCGCGTTTTTCTTTGTCGCTTTCCGTGCGCAAAGAAAAAAAAGTCAAACGGCAACGGACGCAAGAAGTGAGGAAGGAAAAAAAGGAACAGAAAGAGTGGCACTTCCGTGGTGGTGGTCTGAAGTGATTATGCCGGGAAGGAGGAAAAAAAGCAGACGCAAAGGAAAACAGGCGAGTCTGCCTGCTTGTCTGTCTATCTGTCTTATGTCTGTGCGTGAGTTAAGTGCGGGCGCGTATGTGAGTTACCCCTCCCCTCCTGTCAAGTTGCTACCTTTGTGTGTGGCTTTGAAGACACATGTTGTCCTCTCCCTTCTTCGGATATCTGGTGCTCAATTTTTTCGTTACTGTGTCTGCACCCTTATCAGTACAAACATGAGCATAGGAGAAACGACAACAGTCAAACACCCTCTGTTCCTCTTTTCACTTCTCGCATCTCGATCGATAGGTTCTTCCAAAGGCTGGTGCAAATAGCGCGCTGTTCTTTTAAGGCACGTCGTGGACACGCTTGAACCATTCAGTTGGGACGATGATGACATACTTGATCAGTCAATCAATCGGTCAATCAGCTATTCCATTAATTGATCAATTGGTTGGTTAACTGGTTGGTTGTTTAATAAGTTAACCTTTTAATCGAGTTAACTCGGTCAAAGAAAAATTGGTCACGACTTGTAGAGCAAGATGCATGACCGAAAAAAATGAAATATACGATTTGGTGGCGTCAATTCGAGTAAACGGACAGAGTGCATAACGCTGTTCGCCACGTCCTGGAATTCGCCTGCGATCAAGAATGTTGCGTAATCGCGTGGATCCTTGTTACCGACGACGAACGTCTGGTATATCGTGCCCAGGCTTTCGCATTGTCCTTCAAAAGGAAGGAGGTGTTGCGGAGAGGGTACCATGTGCTGTGGGTACAAAAAACAACCTATCAACCGTAAAATCTCAATGCTCCTGGCCCACAATGACTATCACTTGCAAGAGTTGCCCAACTTGCCAATGCTAATAACAGTTCCAGTTCCAGTTTCAGTGTTATCAATATTCCAAAGAGATGCGAGTTCTACTTTGTAAATCAACATTGTTGCTTTATTTTGATATAGTTGAAACAGTAACTTTCGTCGACTTGCGCCTCGATTGTGTTGATCCAGTGTGGTCCAGTCAACATCGACGGGTTGAGCTCTTTCTTGCAAGTCAAATGAGCTTTCATTTTTTTTCAATTGATACCGCTAAGAGAGTTGGAGTTTGTGAAGTAGTATGTAGGCTCAGCCCGCCCAGCGAAATATCAGTGGGTAGGAGAAAGGTTTCTTTCTTGGTCGTTGAGCGCACCTGTTGTGCGCCCACCTGTCAACCTGCGAGCTCCAGGGTCCTCCTGAGGGGTGCCAGTGGAAGGTAGACCTTACACTGCTCCAGCGTCACCAACTGTTATTATCCATATCCTGAAGGGGCGAGGGTGCGTTGGTTGAGAATAAAGGAAGGAATTCCTGGAGGGTTGGTTTGCTAGTGGGTAGTCAGAGAGGTGCATCTGCGGGAACTTGTCACCTTATCAGACTAATCCTGAAGTCGTGACCTGCCAGGTTGTCCAGTGTTACTGTTTCTGTTGGTATGGCGTCCTGTTTTTTTAAGGGTGGTTGAAAATATATCATATACGTCACCGAAATTTATTCCAAGTAGTTATTAAGGGTCTCTCTGCCCAGCATGAACAATCCAGGGGTTTGACAGAAGGGAGCGTGGCAGAGTAAATTGCCGTGCCAGCCCTGTGTAAACCAACATAAAGGTACCACATTATGATGAAACGAACAAACATGCAGAACAAGAGATATGTGGATGACCGGGGGTTCGCAAGAGAGGCATAGCATGTCTTTGTCTGTCTGTCTGGCGTCCACCCTCCAAGTAATCGCTCTTCTTCCCTTCTGTTCTTAAATACCGTCTTCCTTCTTCTGTTTTCTTCTTTTTCCTCTTGTCATTCGTCGCCCTTCGTCCATTTCACGCTCATCCCCCTTCCTCCTTTCCTGTCCTTCCTTCTCAGCCCTTCCACCCGCCAACTCTCGCCAATAATACGAACCTTCCGCAACTGAACCACGAAAACAAAAGGTAAGCAACCTCGTAGAGAAAAGGAATCATTGGAGACGCGACAGTGGAAGCTTGTTTGTGTGTGGATAGAAAGGGTTGATATTTGATGGCTGCGGACAGCAAAAAACAACAACGGACGAGAGAACTCTGAAAGAAAAGGTGGTGGCGTGAAACTCCTTTTTTGGTCGAATGACAGACACCTTTGCCTTCTAGACCTCAATGCGATCGCTGTAGTTTGTCAAGACACACATGTTCTAACACTTTTGTTTTCCTTCTTTCTTGTCGTGGGCAGTATTTGTTTTGTTTGCTGTCGTGTGTGAAGAAACAAAAAGCAAAAAAAGTCGAGTTAGACAATACAAGAAAAGAACACCTTTTGCCACCGTTTCTTCCCTCCCCTCCTCAAGTGCCGCAAGCAACCAGACTCTGAATTTTGACTTTTTTTTGCTGACTGCTTGTAGAGCGAGTAGCTAATACAAGTAGTGAGTCTGTTCACATCTCTCTCTACTCTATTCCTTTCTTCGCACCTGTCCGCGTGTGTGTAGTGCGCCCTTTGCCTTTCGTAATTTTTTTCTCGTTGTTGTTTTTTTCTTCTTCTTCTTCTTCCTTTTCGTTTTTCTCTCTTTTCCTCTCTTTTGTTTTCTCCCTCTCATCACCCAACTCCCCTCCCTCCCTCCTTCCCTCTCTCTCCCACTCACATCCATATCCTCCTTTGCTCCCTTCCATCCTTGACTCTTCGTCCCTTATATCTCTTGTATTCTCCTCACTCCCATCCTCGACAAGAGCACTCAAAAACACTCAAATACACACATCACATTCACAATGGCTTCAATCGGAGAGATTCTCTTGAACACCCTCTCGGCTGGTAAGTGCTTCTCCTTCTTCTACCCTCTCTCCCTCTCATCACACTCTCTCTCTCACTTCGGAAATCAACCGCCACTTCTCGTTTCGCCTTCCCTTGGATTTCGACGCGTTTCAGGACCTTCAACTCGAACGTAAAAACTCAAGTACCCACCACCCCACCACGACCATCGTGTAATCACAAGCAAACAACAACACAGCGCGCTCAATACTACCCTTGTCTGTTTTGTTTCGACCACTCTGGCCCTGCTACTGGCCATCACAACTCGTAACACACTCACACTTCACACTATTGGGTAGTCCTTTTGTTTTGGCTAATGACCAGGAACGTGGATTCTGCAGGGGTGAGCAAGGGAGTACACTTTGGATTCAACAACATCAAGAACAACAACAAGAACAACTCTCCAATCACAACCTTGGTCTTGCTCTTCATCTCTTCCACCAGTAATACCAAAGGTGAAAAACGAGAAAGCTAATGCGTCTTTTCTTTCCATTTGTGAATGCATATTAGATCAACAGATCCGTGAGTCCGCCACCACCCATCTCGAGACCGCTGCCAATGAGGACTTTGTACGTACCCAAGCACCTCGCCTCTTTTCCATTGTTTTAAGCTCCCACATACATACATACCACATTTTGCCACTTTTTGCATCTGTCCCCTCCCTCTTGCTCTGGCCATCAACAGAGTAGACACGCATTGTGCAAAAGGGCACCAGGACGAAAGGGTCTTGGAGCATAGCAAGGAACAAGGAGTTCAGCGACAACAGGACAGCAGGGATACAGGACATAGTGGCGAAAGAACAAAAGAGGGAACAACCCACTACCAACAGCATCACAGCAAACAAAACAAGGCCAACAAAAGAACGTGCTCTTGTCTGCACCGACCATGCAGTTGATACCCGTGGGCAATATCGTCTCATATCATGTCAGCAATACGCACGAGGATGATGCAGTTGACGACAATCAGAACAGAAAAGACAAAAAAGCTCCCGCCCTCGACTTTTTCGGGATTCCTTGTCGACATTTATTACAACTCCTACAAAGTTCTCCCTCTTTGTTTTTTGTTCTATTCTTTTCTATGCGCAATATCCCTTGTTGGCCCTCATAATGCGCCTTTCCGCCCCATCCTCCCCCTTTTATCTCCATTAAAAAGAACGTGATCATCTAACTTATCCTTCATCTTGTTTCCTTCCTTCTGACCCTACGTAGAAACAATATGTGGTCATGCTCTGCCAAGAGCTCAACAACGAGCAAAGTCAGGCCCGTATCGCTGCCGGTTTGGCTCTCAAGAACGCAATGACTGCAAGAGTAAGCAAGCTACGCGAGAATGGATACAGGATCTTCTAAAGGAGATGACAAATATCTGGCCCTTGCTAACTTTTTTGTTGTTCGTGCCTCATGTGTATGAATAGGAATCGGCTCGCCGCGAGGAGATGTCTACCCGCTGGATGAACATTGATGCTGTCACAAGAGACCAGATCAAGGCTTTGGTATGTGCGAAGACATTTGTATCTATTGATGCCGCAAAGGTTGCATGAGGATTGGTTTGTCCAGAATGATACTGATCAACATGCCTGCTTTCTTATGCACGCGAATTAGGTTCTCACAACGCTCGGAACTCAGGATGTTCGCGCCGGTATTGTTACCGCCCAGGTCGTCGCCGCAATTGCCGCTATCGAGCTCCCACTGGGTCAATGGGAGGGCGTCATCCGCGACATGATCCAGAACTTGTCGTCCACCGAGAACACAAACTTGAGGCAGTGTACTCTTCAGTCCATCGGATATATCTGTGAAACTATCGTAAGTCTACCATCCATACTGCGGTTTTCACATGGGAAAAGGAACAAGTCTATCATACTCGACCTTCTTGAGACTGACAATAAGGTGTTACTTTAATAGGACCGCGACATCTTGACATCGCAAGCCAACAGCATTCTGACAGCTGTCGTGCAGGGGGCTCGCAAGGATGAGCCTAGTGAGGCTGTCCGTTTGGCTGCTATTGGTGCTTTGTACAACTCGTTGGAGTTCATCGAGGACAACTTCAAGCGCGAGGGTGAGCGTAACTACATCATGCAGGTCGTATGCGAAGCTACCCAGAGCGAGGACCTCGAGGTCCAAGTGGCTGCCTTTGAGTGCTTGGTCCGCATTATGCAGGTGTATTACGAGATGATGCCTTTCTACATGCAGAAGGCGCTCTTTGGCGTAGGTGTTTCATACCATATACATGTTGAAAGTACTCTTTTTTTTGTTTGCGATCTATTTCCAAGACCTAACCTCCAATCTCGCTCACTATGCACCTCATAGTTGACTGTCCAGGGAATGAAGAGTCCTCATGAGCGCGTCGCCTTGCAGGCTGTCGAGTTCTGGTCGACCGTTGCCGAGGTTGAGATTGATCAGGAGAATTACAGACTCGAGGTAAAAAACAAAAAACAATATCGTCGCCGAATGAGTGGAGAACGCGAAAGGTGGACTCTTGACTCGCTCTGAGAACAGTAAACTGATGTGTTTCTCGTTCGATATCATCTGATAACAATAGGCCATCGACAACGGAGAGCAGCCCACCCACACCAACTACAACTTTGCCAAGGCCGCTTTGCCCGAGACTTTGCCCGTCATCTTGGAGCTGATGACCAAGCAGGACGAGGACGATGATGAGGACGACTGGAACCTCTGCATGGCTGCTGGCACTTGCCTGTCTGTGACCGCCCAGAGCGTTGGAGATGCCTGCGTCGCCCCCGTCATTCAGTTTGTCGAGACCAACATTCGTCATACTCAGTGGCAGTACCGCGAGGCCTCCGTCATGGCCTTTGGTTCAATCTTGGAGGGTCCTTCCCAGGAGCTCCTTGTGCCCCCTGTTGCCCAGGCTTTGCCCTTCCTGATTGAGATGATGAACGACCCCGTGATCAAGGTTAAGGACGCCACAGCCTGGACTTTGGGACGTGTCTCGCAGTCCTTGGCCGAGTGCATCAAACCTGATGTTCACCTCCAGCCCCTCATCGAAGCCCTCGTTCGTGGCCTGGACGACTCTAACCGCATTGTCTCGAACTGCTGCTTGTCTTTGATGAATTTGGCTGACCAGCTCCAGGGAGAGCAGGGACGCGACTCGGCTACCTCCCACATGTCGCCCTTCTTCAACGGCATCATCACCGCCTTGATGCGCATCACTGAGCGCAACTCGAATGAGGCCTTTGCCCGTACCTCTGCCTACGAGGCTATCTCGATCTTGGTCACCCACACTGCCAGGGACACCTTCCCTACCATCTCGGCCTTGTCAACCAGCATCCTTGACCGCTTGGAGCAGACGATTGCCGTTCAGAACGAGATTGTTGGAGTGGACGAGCGCAACAGCCACTTGGAGCTTCAGTCCAACCTCTGCAGTGTCTTGACTAACGTTATCCGCCGCGTGGGAAAGGACATTTCCCCCATTGCTGACCGTATCATGACTGTGTTGCTCCAGCTGTCGACCGCAGCCTCAAAGTCGTCGACCATTCTGGAGGATGCCTTCTTGGCCATTGGCGCCTTGACTACTGCCTTGGAGAGCGAGTTTGCTCGCTACCTCGATAGCTTTGCCCCTTTTATGTTCAGCGCCCTAAGCAACCACGAGGAGCACCAGCTCTGCTCGATTGCCGTCGGTATCATTGGCGATGTCTGCCGCAGCTTGGGACCCGCCTCTGCTTCGTACTGTGACAACTTTATGACGACCCTCTTGCAGAACTTGCAGAGTCCTGTCTTGCATCGCAATGTCAAGCCTAACATCCTTTCGTGCTTTGGAGACATCGCCCTTGCCATTGAGGGCCAGTTCGCTGCCTACTTGGATGTCACCATGAGCGTCCTTGCCCAGGCCTGCAACATCCGTGCCGCACCCACCGACTATGATATGATCGACTATGTCAACGGCCTTCGTGAGGGTATCATGGATGCCTACATCGGAATTGTCCAGGGATTGAAGTCCAGCGACAACAGTAAGTGCTGCTTTCAAGGATGTGTTGTTGCATGTTGACACATGTTGTTGAAATTCGTTCTTAAATTAATCGATGTTCATCAAACTTAACATTTTATTTGCGCAAATAGACTTGTTGGCACCTCACCTGCCCCATTTGTTCGAATTCATGAGCACTGTCTACAACGATCCAGAGAGATCCGATGCTCTCTTGCGTAGCATCTGCGGTCTCCTCGGCGATCTTGCCGAGTCGTTCCCTGGTGGCGATATCAAGAACTTGTTGATGTCGGAGTGGGTTGTTCAGTGCTTGAAGGAGGGCCGCAGCAGCCGACAGAACTCTGTCACGACCAAAGAGGTCGCCCGCTGGGCCAAGGAGATGGTGAAGCGCGCCACCATGTAAACAGCGCCCTCGTCGACCAGCCAAGGCACATTAAAACACAAGCGGAGTCCTTTCATTGTTTTCGTTCTTTTTCTCTGTTCTCCCTTTTCCTACTTTCCCACTTTCAACTTTCTTTTCTTCTCCCTTTATTTGTTAATGCTTTCTTCTTTCCCTCTTCCCCCCATTGTACTTTTTTCACTTTCCCTTCAACCAAAATTTTCTTTTTCTTTTCATGACGAGACGCTCGTAGAGTTGCGTCTCACCCTTTTACCCTTTTTTCTCTACACCCACCTTGTTTTTCAGTTTGCTTCTTCTCCCCTTTGTTCATATTTTTTTTCTTTTTTAACGTCGTACTATTTTTTTTTCTTCTTTCGCTCTTCTGCTACACTTTTTGTTTTCCCCCTTCCCCTTCCCCCTTCCCCTTCCCCCTTTTTACAGTACGACTTCGTTTTCCTCTTTTTTACCCCCCCCCCCCCTACTTCCCCTTTCTAGCCCGCCCTTCTCTCCTTTTGAACCGGAATAATAAAGCGCAGACATTTCTACAACAGAACGTTACATATATGCTCGATTGAAGACCTGGGGTTACTATCGTAAGACGAATGTTTGTTAAGGCGGGAAAAACGTCCTTTCGAATGAATCGACGCGTATCAAGAGCTGAGAGCAGAGCGTGTCGCGAAAGGTTTATTGACTGACAGAAGTGCATGATCTCCTTTTTTTTTTTTTTTTTTTTTTTTTTTTGCACTTTGCGTTGAGTTTCTTTTGATATGGGGAAAAGTTTAAAGAAGGGTGGAGGGTCAAGTCTTCATTTCCTATTTTCTTAAACGAAAGGGAGAGTCGAGGGGGGAGAACGAGGGGATGCTTAACCGCATTGTCGGTCGGTTGGTCGAATCGTTCCACCCACGGTAATAGCGACGCAGGGATGATTGCGAACGAGCATAGGAAAAAGAAAACAAGGTGATGTGCTCAAGCACAAAAACCACACATTGTTTACTTTTTGTGTTTGTACTCTCGAGTATGCATCGAACAGAGAAAAAGAAGGAGGACAAGGTGAGTAATTGTTGCCTGCTTTCATGCATGTCTGTGTTTTGAAAGAAGGAAAAAAAAAAAGGAAAAAGTGGGAGCGGGTAGAGGAGGGAGGTATTTATACTTTTCCTTCCAGGTGAGTGACAACGAATTGCCGTCATATTGATCATTAATTATCGATAAAAACGCGTTTTTTGTCCCATGTGTCCGCGTCCAAAGGATCAAACACAGTCCAGCTTGTTGCAATTGAAACGTGTCCCAATTGTCTATCCGTCGCGTGAATTCTTTGCGCCAGAAGCCCAACTTTTTTCGTCTTCATTTTCTTCATCTCGGCCCCGTAACTTGTTGGAGGTAAGCGTTCCAATGACCATTACTCGAACCACAGTAGTCGTAGTATTGATGGCAAAAAAAAAGAGGATCTGGATTCATCATCCACACAATTAGTCCATCTTACATATGTAGAAGAAAGGGTCAAACTGTGATATGTGTAATTAAAGTACATTAATGGATTGAGCATGAAGGGGTGGGCAATGAGGGAAAAGGGACAGAGTACTATGGCTTAATGGGCGTCATCGCGCTTGGAGATATACTCAACAGCCTGGGCGGCAGACTTGATCTCGTCAGCGTCCTTATCGGGGATCTCGATCGAGAACTCTTCCTCGATAGCCATCACGACCTCGACAGTGTCCAGTGAGTCCAGTCCGAGATCGTTGTTGAAGTTTGCGCTGAGCGAGATCTATGAAACATGGACAAGCAATCACGAAGACAAGAAGAGTTAGGTTAGTATGTGGCGAAAAGACAAGGGAGTGAGGTTGTGGGTGCATGTGTGAGTACGTTAAAGGTGCTGTGCTGCGGGGGATAAGGTGGTGATTTACAGTTTCCTGATAATTCCGAAAAATATGTGGGTGATGATCCGAGGTTGTTGTGAGCAAGCGATATTTTCCCGGATGGTGCCAGTCAACTACGGTCCTTTGTACCATTGCTGCTGTATAGCTCTTGCGGAGAAAACATGAACAAGAGGACCACCTTCCATTGAACAGTGGGAAGAAGAGGTGATCCAGGAACACTGATTATCCTTCCTCGAATCTACGGTCTGCCTCAGGGAATAGGTTTTCTGATCCTGCGAAGGTGTTATCCTTGAGAATTAATTGCCCTGGTTGTTAAGTCGTCCTGCTCTTGAAATTTCTCCTCGATTCCATCCAGAGTATCGATTGGTAGCAGTGGCGGTGTTGTGTCGTGTTGTTACCTTGTTGCTGTCGACCTTGTTGAATCCGGCCAAGATATCCAAAACGCGCTTCTCGACGTCCGAACGAACAAGACCAGCAGAGGCATATGTGCGGGCGAATGTAAGGCCCATGGGCATCCTTGCGACTGTTGCTGGTGTTGCCTTAATGGCGGCCTGGCGGTAGATGGTTGATGCGGAGCGGACGAGTGCTCTGAACATTGTTATGATGTGCTTGGTTGGTGGTGGTTGTTTGTGTCGAAGACGGAGTTCAGGGGCGGGTTTAGTTTGAGAAAAAGCGGAAGCAGGGTTGGAGAGTGAGAGTCAGAGAGGCGCGCTCCTTAAGCGGGAGATTCATTCCTCAGATCACGTGCAGCTCCCCTTAAAACTTTACGAACAAGTGAACGAACAACGCGACCTGTGCGGTACTCTTTCATCCGAGCAAGGCCAAACAAAAAAGATAGAGAGATAGCGAGTATGTATAGGTTCAACCAAGACGAAAACGGTAGCGATTGGGATTGGGAGTGAGAAGAAAAAAATACCAATAAGTAGCCGTGTTCGCACCTTTTGTCCTCCTCTTCTTTCTCTCTTTCTCTCCTCAGTCACTCACATCCTTCCTCTACTTCCTTCCCATCCTCCCCTTCCTTTCCTTCTTCACCCTCGCCCCTTCTGCTCTTCACTTATCTCTCATCTTTCGACGCTACCCCGTTCCTGTTCCACTTCCTCGTCTACTTCTTCTTCTTCTTCCTCATCGAGTCACCTTTTTTCCCTAGCCATGATCCGACTCAAGCCATATCGAGCACTCAAGGACGCTACCAACGACTGGGTCACAAAGCTCAACTTTTCCGCGCTCCAGGAATACGGCAAGAAGCAACAACCCATCCAAGTCCTGGTTCTCTATGGCTCCCTCCGCGAACGATCATTCTCCCGACTGCTTGCGTTTGAGTTTGCACGGATCCTCGATCACCTGGGTGCAGATGTCCGAGTTTTCAATCCAGAAGGTCTCCCCATGAAGGACGGGGTGTCCGAGAACCATCCCAAGGTCCAAGAATTACGAGAGCTCAGCCAGTGGTCTCATGCCCATGTCTGGGTCTCGCCCGAGCAACACGGCCAAGTCACTGCAGTGTTCAAGAACCAAATCGATTGGATCCCACTCTCCTTGGGATCTGTCCGCCCAACCCAAGGTCGAACTCTGGCCATTGCGCAAGTTTGTGGAGGTTCACAGAGTTTCAATGTGGTCAACACTTTGAGGATGCTGGGCCGGTGGATGCGCATGTTTACGATCCCCAACCAATCGTCCGTCCCAAAGGCTTGGACCGAGTTTGACGAAAACGATCGAATGAAGCCCAGTGATCTTCGACAGAGGGTTGTGGATGTAGCGGAGGAGTTGTTCAAGATGACGATCGTCCTGAGGCCGGAGATGGAGTTTTTGACCGATCGTTATAGCGAGCGAGAGGAGAAGGAGAAGAATGGACGATTGCTTTCGCAAGCTGAGAAGGTGCAGTAGAGTCGCATATTATTTTTCGTACGAGTATATAAAAGGGCTGTTTATATCAAGTTGACTTTGTCCTCCCTTACTGTGCCTTGAGATCTCCATGCGTCCAGACATATTTTCATGAGTCTCTCAGGGAAACCGTTTGTTGAGCTTGTACACCACATCATTTCAGTCTACTAGTTGCAAAATCAGCCAATCATAGATCATTGTGATGCGCCACCAAAAATGCAAGCCCTCCGACTGCTCGAGGGTACTAGGGTACCAGGGTGGCCATATCTTCTCAACGTTATTCCTCTTCCTCCACTTTTAGCCCTAGGGTCTACAACAGCAGCGTCATTCAATCGATGTCTACAAGGCACCTTTGCTGTTTGATTTATGTACTGTACAGACTACAGAGAACGTTAAAGGGTGATCGAAAAACTGGTTTTGCTTCTTGGTGCCTGAATCAATCATTGCAAAAGTCACTATTCGAACTCAAAACATACCCAAGCCACCCAACTTTGTGCCTTTTTTTTCTTTTTTTTTTTTTAATTGTAGCCTCCTGCCTTGCCGATAGTGTACCCTTTCCATCCTTACTTCCCCCCTCTCTTTTCAAAAGCCTCTTCGCCTCTATCTCCTACGACGCCGCCAAGCCAAGTTAGCTAGCAGGAACACACACTCTTAAGACCAACAAACCCACTTACAACACATTACATATATTCAGGATGGTCTCTTTTGTCTGCGACACTTGCCAGGAAACAGTCAAGAAGCCCAAGCTCGACCAGCACTTCGGCCGTTGCCCCTACGCCCAATTCTCCTGCATCGACTGCTCCGTCTCCTTCCAAGGCGTCGAGTACCGGTCCCATACCTCTTGCATCAGCGAGGCTGAAAAATACCAAAAGGCATTATACCGTGGACCCAAGAAGGTACATTATTGAACAAAACTTAATGTCGGTGGGGGGGTTTTGCAACGTTTTTTTGCTGTCGATTGTTGACACATCACTTTCTTTGTTTTTCAGAACTACTCTTTGATAATTTTTGTCAATTGAATGAGGTCGGCACATCTGTTTTACTGTTGATTATTTAATAACCAATGTACACTCTTTTCTTCGCTTTTGAACATTAGGGTGGACACCAGAACAACGGACAAAAGAACAACAACAACAACCAGAACAACAAGGGCGCACAGGAGGCCAAGGCACCAGCACCAGCACCTGAGAAGAAGGCAGAAGAGATTGTTGCTGTTCCTACCTCGATTGTTGACGAGATGAAGTCCAAGAAGCGCAAGGCCGAGGAACCTGTCCAGGAGGAGAAGACTGCCAAGAAGGAGAAGAAAGACAAGTCCGAGAAGAAGGAGAAGAAGGAAGAGAAGAAGGTAGAGAAGAAGGAGAAGAAGGAGGAGAAGAAGGTAGAGAAGAAGGAGAAGAAGGAGGAGAAGAAGGAGGAGAAGAAGGAGAAGAAGAAGGAGAAGAAGGACAGGAAGGAGAAGAAGGAGAAGAAGTAACGAGTAAACTTTCTCTCAGAACTCCCCGGCCATTCATATTAACTAGATCAGCGCGATAGACTCAACCCGTTCACCATCGTTATCCATTTTCAACCTTTGCATTCTTCACAAAGTGTACAATACAACTATTTATTTTTGCATATCAATCATGTCTCCATTCAATGTCCATTGGTCGTTATCTGTCCATCTGGAGCAGTGACCCTTTGTAATGGCTGATCCACTACTATGGCTTTGACGGCTGCCTCGCTGGTGTCCGAATTAATTGCTCCCATTTGATCGCATGTCCTGCGCTCCTCACAATTTTTCCCACGGCACGTCACCCTCAACAACTTCAACTTGGCCGTGGGGGTTTTTGTTCTTTTTTCCCCCCCTCTTCTCCCCTTTCTCACTGATCAGCCAACTCCACACTTCGAATCGCCATCTCCTCCTTCTTTCTTTCCTTCATCATTCCCAACTCACTCATCCTTCTTCTTCACTCTCTTCTCAGCTTCTTCTTCTTCATCTCCCCTCCTCCTCCTCTCCACTCTACCCTAATCTCTCTGACAGCTCAACAGCCTTGTCTCTTCTCTCTCTGCGGTCTTCCCTCCTTGTAACTCATACCTCACACTTACTGCACATCATGTACGCAAGAGTCACTGCCAGAGCTTTGGTTAGATCCATCCCCACGAAGGCCATCAAGGCCACCCCCACTCCCCTCGCCCACTCTGCCAAGGTACATAAACTACTCGCAGTCAGTTAGTTCTCAATGAAGATGCATTCAAATGTGCCACAAGGAAATAATGCAAGGTCGATGTCCACTAACACCTTCGTCATTTAATTGTTTTTTTTATCCACAAAAATAGGCCTTCTCGACCTCGGCATTGTCGATGGAAGCACACAAGAAGAAGGAGAGAGTCAAGGTTCACTTCCCCGGTGCGCTCGACAGTCATTTCTCGCAGGTCCTCGAGATCCGTGAGAAGATGGAGCCCATCGATACCTTCCGTGTCATGGATACTGACGGCAAGGTCCTCGAAAAATCCTTGGAACCCGAGGTATGTATCTTTTGGTTATTTGCCGAGTAGAGGAGGTCTTTTTTTCTCTTTGTCTTTGTTCAATCGCAACAAGCAAGAATTGTTTTTTTTTTTATTTCTCACCTTCTGAAGAAGTGAAGTGAAGAGAGAAGAGAGGGTGATTAAAGTTTTGGCGGTGGGACAATCGTGGGAAATTTGCGACGATTTTTTTTTCTGTCTTCCTCGTCTTGTGGGGGAAATAGAACAAACAACAAAAATTTCTCGTCTTTCTCAGCTCATAATAGTATTATGGCCGAATGAGGGGAAAGGAAGTGGAGCCGGTCCTCTGTGACCACTTGAGCAATGGGGTCTCTCCTCCTTGGATACTGCTCTGTCGCTTGCCACTACAGTCATCGCTACAAAGCACAAGTTATCAATTACTAACATATCGTTGCCACATTCCATCCAAATAGGTTACTGAGGAGTTCGCCACCAAGATCTACAAGGACATGTTGACCTTGAACGTCATGGATTTGATCCTGTACGAGGCTCAGCGTCAGGGACGTATCTCCTTCTACATGACCAACGCCGGAGAGGAGGCCTATATTGGAAGTGCTGCCGCCCTCGAGCCCGAGGATGAGATCTTTGGTCAGGTAAACTAAATACTCTCGCTCTCGGTGATCGTTGTTTGCTTGTTCTGCTCCCCCTTTTTTTTCACCCAGCTCATTCCTGCCTTTTCTTCACATCTTTATTACCCCTGGACTGAAAAATAATAGTACCGTGAAGCTGGAACGTTGTTGTACCGTGGATTCACTTTGGACCAGTTCATGAACCAGTGCTACTCGAACGACATGGATTTGGGTAAGGGTCGTCAGATGCCTGTCCACTACGGTTCCAAGGCCTTGCACTTCCAGACCATCTCCTCTCCTCTTGCCACCCAGTTGCCCCAGGCCGCGGGAGCTGCCTATGCCATCAAGCGGTCCGGAAAGAAGAACTGTGTGATGTGCTACTTCGGAGAGGGAGCTGCCTCTGAGGGAGACTTCCATGCTGCTCTGAACATTGCTGCCACCACCTCTTGCCCCGTCATCTTCTTCTGGTAAGTTGCCATGTGGGCATTGATTTGTGTTGTGAATGATGGAACGAAGATCAAGGGATGCAAATGGAGGTGGACTGTCCAACCCATCATCCTATTGGCGTTTGTAAACAAGATCAAGACATATAGAACAAGGAACAGAAACTAACCGTCCTTTTTTTACTATCCGTGCTTTCTCTGTGAATGATAATAGCCGTAACAACGGATTCGCTATCTCGACACCTGCCAATGAGCAGTACAAGGGTGACGGTATTGCCTCCCGCGGAGTCGGATACGGCATGCACACGATCCGTGTGGACGGCAACGACGTCTGGGCGGTCTACAAGGCGACCCAGGAGGCCCGCAAGATCGCGGTCGAGCAGCACAAGCCTGTGTTGATCGAGGCCATGACCTACCGTGTCGGCCATCACTCGACCTCGGACGACTCGTCGGCCTACCGGTCCAAGAAGGAGGTCGAGGACTGGAAGCGTCACGATAACCCTATGGTCCGTATGCGCAAGTGGCTCGAGTCCAAGGGATGGTGGGACGAGGCCCGTGAGAACTCTCATAAGGCCACTCAGCGGACTGCAGTGTTGAAGAGCTTTGCGGCGGCTGAGAAGAGGAAGAAGCCCCCAGTCTCGGAGATGTTTAACGATGTGTATGATAAGTTGACGCCCGCCTTGATCGAACAGAAGAAGGAGTTGGAGGAGTTGATTAAGAAGTTCCCTGCTCATTATGATACCTCCAACTACGCCAAGGAGAAATAAGTGGGAGGATGGTTGAGGGAGATAGGGGAGCGGAGGAAGGTTTTTTTATACTATAGATACACAAGCTGTCAAAGCATGCATTCATACATACACATTTTTTAAAAATGTCATTGCCCTTTTTGTCACCACTATTGCCGTTGTTAAACTTGTCTGGCTGTTTAGTTTTTTTTGTACATGGGATAAATTTTTCGCGGTTTACTCGTGCGATACTTCGTCAACACCATCGTCATCCTCCTCGTCGTCTTGCATTTGGGGGATATAGAAGCTCTGCATTTGCTGGTACTGGTGCTGGATCGACGGACGATGCTGGTGCTGCATCTGCTGGGGCTCGGGCTGTCCAAACCCTGGATCGGCAAGGAAAGAAGAATTCATGTAGGGAAGAGGGGTGGTATCGCTGTTGTTGGAGAAGACGTCGAGTGAAGGAATCAGTTGACTATTCATCCAGCTCTCAAGAGACTCTGTCATCTGCAAGGCTCTATTCGTAAAGTCCTGCATTTCCAAGGATGTGGGTGAAGGAGGCATGGTATCTTGAGAGATGTGCATTGCTTGCTGTTGGAGGAAGTGGGGGTTGTACATGGGTGCTGCTGCTGCTCCGTGGGTGGCAAATGGCAAGAGGACTTGGCTGTTGGTGCCATCGTTGGGGGAGTGGAGTTGGTCCATGGTACCAGCAAGGCCAGGGTGGGTCATATTCAACGCCATCGAGAAATCTGCCCCTGCACCGCCGGCACCACCGTTGTGCATCGTAGTAGGGTTGAACAACGAGTAATGCGACGACGCGGTGTCATATCCCGAAAAGTTCATCGGTATCAGGGGCGATGTCGACCCGAGTCCACATACCGACACCGATGACCCATTGCTACCGCCAAAGGTAGGGAACTCGATGGTGGTGGTCGATGTCCTGGGCGACGAGGCTGGCGAGGAATCTGCAGAATTGCAGGCTGGGACGACAAGGGACTCGTAGGATGTCATGGTGTTCAAGAGTGGGATTGTTGGGATTGAGATTGATCTGATGTTTGCCAGGTGTCCTCCTCCTCCAAGGTAAGAAGAAGGAGGTGCTGGTGTGTGCCGTTGATGGTGCTGGCGATGAGGGTGATACGAGGTCGACGTCCGGAGCTGGGTGTTCAATCGACCAGGACGAGAGTGCTGTTGCTGTTGCTGTTGCTGCTGCTGCTGTTGTTGTTGTTGTTGTTTAGCTAGGACCTGTCCGCAGTCCTTTTGTTGCCGTTGGCGTTGCTTCTGTTGCTGCAGGTGCTGTTGGTTGAAGGAGAGTGGGGTGTTCTCCTGGATTTGGTGGTGGTGGTTCTCGATGGTTGCAGGGATGCCAAAGGATCTCGGGGACGAGAGCATCACAGCTGTTGGCGCCACTGCCTTGGGTTGTGGAACGATTGGGCTCTGTACGGGAGAAGTCGTAGTGGTGGTAGTAGAGACAGGGCTGGCAGGGGCGCCTTCAACAGTCACGGCGGCAACGGGGGCTGCAGAAGCTGTAGTCACAGCAGGGACGGCTGCCACAACTGGGGTAACAGCTACTACCGCAGCAGTAGTCGCAGCGGCAGAGGCACTGGTAGCAGAAGAAGCAGAGGCACGCTTCTTCTTCTTCCCGGCCAGCTTCCTCAATGCAGCCTCAGCAATGGCCTGGGGTAACTTTGGTGGAGGCTTCTGGCCTGCGAATCCAGCGGCTACATGGGGTCTTTTGATGATGGTCCCGTCACTGTTCCGGGCAACTTTTTTGGTCCCGGTCGCCTTGTATTTCCGCCTTGTTATTGGTGTCGGCTCCTTCTACATAAGGTTTTGGTGGTTGTAGAGTTTAGGAGAAATATAGAGGAAAGGTGTTAGGATAGGTGAGAGTGTCTGAGACATACAAGACGATGAAGCACTAAGAAAGGTAGGAAGGAAGTGTCACCGGAAACAAACACACACACAAACAACACAATGGAAAAAATGCGGGGTAGAAGGGTGTGTAACGTGTCTTACCCTGGCATCGTCGTCGCTGCTCGACTTGCTGCCTGTGGTTTCCGCGCCGGCAGTAGAAGGAGGCACCGCCAAAGAAAGTTTGGTCACAAATGCATTGTTGTTGCCCTGGACAGATCCCAATAAGAGTTCAATGCGTTTCATCCGCTCGATGTAAGAATCGTCCTGAATCGGTGTGAGACCAAGAGGGGATCCTGCTACAGTCTGTGCAGGCGAGATAGGGGACGTAATGTGCTGTTGCTGTCCGTGCTGCGCGCTTGGTGCCGCCGAGAAGCTGTTGGATCTCTGGTGGTTGTGGCGGTGGCCGTGAGCGATAAATTCGGCGGCCCCAGGAATGACGTTACTGAGTAGCATTTCAATTCTCCGCATTCGCTCTAAATGCTCCTGGTCCTGCAGACTACTTGGAGTCCCCTGAAATCCTGATGACAAAATCGTCATAGGCTGCTGCGGTTGCTCTCCGCAGAGAGACAAGCCCATGGCAGATGGAGGGTGGGGACCGGTCATGGCAGCGGAAAGCGTAGTGGATGCGGTACTGTTGTTGCTGCTGTTGTTATGCTCGACGTTGATGTGGGACGAGGAGGAGGGTGAAATGCTGTTGCTACGAGCGACCTTTTTCGTCTTCAGGGATGATGTCTGGTCGTCTTGCTCGTCGGCGGGACTACTCCTCTTGGTCGCTTTAGAGTTTGTGGTTGTGGATTCGGTGGTGGTGGAAAAGTCCTCGGCGTCCTTGTTGATCAGTTTGCTGAGGAGGACCTCGGGAGGGGTCCGAATACACTCCCGTTTAGAGTGCTGGCAAGAGTTGCAGGGTGCCTCGCGATCGCATCGGATCTTGCGGTACCGGCACCAATCGCACACTAGTTTGTGGAGGTAGCATCAGGTCGTGTGGGTTAGATAATTGATTTTGCCCTGTGGGGATTTTCGATACCAGAAAAGGATATCAAAACAACAGAGGAATATGCATGTACCTTGGTTGACATTGAGGCGTTTCCTGTAGGAGGCACTCTGGGCTGTAGACAGGTTCTGCAGGACCTGTTGCTGTTGCTGCTTCTTCTTGGCGGCAGTACCGGTTGCGGAGGGGGAAGAAGGGGTGGTTGAGGGTGGCGAGAGGGGTGTTGGTTGCTTCATATCCAGCTTTGTGATTGTAGGTTGTTGTGCAGGTGGTGATGATAGCAACTGCACTTGTGAAGGGGAGGGGGAACGGGAGTCGACTGAGAGAACTGTTGGATCAATTGATGTCGATTGCGGTGGTTGTTGTTGCTGTGGTGGCAGTGAGGGTGATGAAGCCATGATGGATAATACTGGATCCGGACCAGGGGCAGAGGAGGTGTCGGACTTGGGCGAGACCATGGCGTTGCCCTGCGTATGCGTTGTTCCCGTTGAGGTGGTCGTAGTAGCGTAGGCGACTGCACCGGGTTTTGTTGCTCCAGCAGCCGAGTTGGCGGCGGCATTTTGCTTGAGTGCCTTGCTCAACAGTCCGGAGAAGGTCATGATGAAAGGAAAAGGGACAGGGGAGAATATAAGTTGTTGAATCAGGAACGATGCAGGTGAGTGTGTGTGTGAGTGTGTGTGTGAGTGTGTGTGTGATGAGAGATCAGTTTGTCTATGAGGGTGTATGGTTGTTGCTGTGGTTGTCGAACAGAAGGGATATATGGAATAAAGACAAGGGAGTGGGGAAGAGGAAAGATGTAAAGAGAGGAGTGTGGGGATGTTGGTGTTGTAGTTGTTTGGTGGCGGATGATGCGAACAGACGACAAAGGGACGAAGTGGCTATGAGTGAGTGTGAAATAGAAGGTGTGTGGGGGAAAGAGAGGGAAAACAGTCAGGACGGGAAAAAGGTATAGGTGGCCTCTTCTTTGTGTGTCACTGGCACTGAATCGATCAATAACTTCTCTGGTAGGGGGTGTAGGATCTGCGATCAAACCATCAAACCTTATCCGCTTTTTGAAAGAGGCAATTGTGAAATACTTGGAAAGAACGGACCATGCTTGCCCTCGCCTTCTCCTTCGTCTTCTTCTTGTCGTTATTCGTCTTCTTTTTCTTCTTCTCCAATCCACTCCACCCCACTCCACCCCACTCCATAACTCACACCGACCGATGCGCTCTTCCTTCTCAACGAATCACCAACACAAACTACACCCTCTCCGCCATGGACCCCAGCAAAAGCAACGACACTCCAAAAGGCGCCCCACCCTCACCCAGACGCACCCCCCACCCCACCCCCACACCACCTCCTAGGAGCACCAACAAAACGAAAGGGTGCTCCCGCAAGAACCCTGTCGCGACCCGAAACAAGAACACTTACATCGACACGGACATGGGTACCGATACAGAAAGCATCACAGTCATCCTCGCCGTCAAGAAAGCTGACATGAAGAGACTCAGCAGCGGTAACAGGCCCTCCTTAACTCCCGGCAAAGCACGCAAGAGAAACGCCGACGTTGTCGACCAGGACCCTCTTTTTTCTACAAAGCGCCAACGAAAAACACGTAAGTGACACCACGTTTCTTCTTTTCGAAAAGGCCTTGGAGAACAATATCAACAAGCAATTACCATTCTGCATCTCGTCAAGAAAGCAACGGAGAACAATAACAATAAGCATTGCGATATTTTTACACTTGGAGCGCTTTGCCTCTTGTCAACCATATGATACATGTCAAAACAATAGCAAGTGGTCGACACCTGTTGTCTGTCTACTCCATTCACGACTGCATAGAAGCGTTGAGTCTGAACAAAGACGCGTCCAGAACAACGACCCCAGTCGAAGGTGGCGTCGCCTATACGATTCCTGTCCTGGTCGTCACCAAGAAGCAAAACGACGTCCCTGAAACGGCAATTCAGTCGTACAAGGAGGGACCAGACGAGGATATGGATCTCGACGAGGACAAAGAAAGTACCGCCGCATCCTCCTTTGAACTGTCAACTGGCGTCAACGGATCCGACGCGACTCCTGAAGGAGATGGGCTCGATTCCGAGCTCCGCCAGTGGTCCGAGGAAGTCCATGTCAAGATTGCCATCATAGCTGAGGAACCGGCTATTCCAGTTGACGAGGCTACGGCCTTAACAAAATCCAGCAAGCCTCCTCCCCGACATAACCCCATTAAAGTCAAGCCCAGCGATCCCATCGTTAAACCAACCAAACCCGCCAAGCCACGCGTTACCACTGCCACGTCAACAATGACCGCAGAACCTATAGTTACCGTCACCGGCGCCATGACAGCAGTTGAATCCTTGGATATTACCACCCAAGGAACTGCTAAAGATGTCGATGTCTACGGCTCAACCTCGAATCCAATCATCATCGTCGTCTACGGTTCTGCCTCCAATCCAATTACGGTCGACAACATTCTCACCACCGAATTAATAACTACAGACGAACATACCCAAGAGAGAAACCCCTGTCCTAACAGCACTCGACAAGAATACCTGCCTTAGTTTATTCAGAACCTTTGGGCTTGGCACTATGGCTGGTTTCCACTTCCGGATTTATTTGTTTCAGGCTCAAGGCTGAATCTGCAGTGAATTGTGACGGCTGACAGTCGGGGAGAACAACAGCCGGGGCCTGGGTGTTTCTCAAAAAAAAAAAAGAGAGAAATGAACCGATGCGATTGGACAGTCAGCATGGCATCGAATCAGCGACCTTGTCCTTTGTCCTTGAGTGTGAGTGAGATAGGGGCCGGGCGGACTTGAAGAATTTTTTTTGTGTCTCTGTCTCACTCTCTCTCTACTTGCCCTGAAAAAAAGTAAAGAAAGAAGAAAGTTTACAGGAACCAAATGGCGTTCCTTGGCTTGGCCATCATCATCATCATCATCATCATCATCTTGTTCTTCATCTGACTTGACTGGTTTTTCCTTTTTTTTTTTTTTTCCCTTGTACTCCCCTCCCCTTTTCATTTTCCTTTCTTCTCTTTTCTTTTCTTTCCTTCTTTCATCCAGCTCTCATCCTCTTTCTCCTTCCTCCTTCCTCCTTCCTCCCTCCCCCTCCCCCTCCTTCTCCTTCATCTTCCTTTCCCTTTCATCCATCACAAAGAAAAGAAAAAGAAGATGTCATCGAACCCTTCACCAACTGTCAACCAGCGGGAGCAGTACAAGGACCAGTTGCCAAATGACCCCAAGGCCCTCGACAACCGCTTCCCTCTCTACCTCGGAGACTGGAAAAAGTCGGACCCCCGTGTCGACGATGACCTCGCTATGGATAACATGGACGAGCCCCACATGAAGCGCAAGCTCGCCATCCTCAAGAAGCACCCCGAGATCGAAAAACTCTACGGCCATGACTCCAGGACCTCGCTCGTCACCATTGCTGCCGCTGCTGCCCAGGTCTACTCTGCCTACCTCTTTGGCCGTGTCTGGACCGACACCTTCTGGGGCTTTATCGTCTATGCCTACGTCGTCGGAGGATCCATTACTGCCCTCTACGGTGTCCTGATTCACGAGGCCACTCACAACCATGCCGCCCCCACTGTCTTCTTGAACAAGCTCGTCGGATTGGCCGCCAACATCGGTATCCCCGTCCCCATCTATGCCTCATTCCGTCGCTACCATCTCGAACACCACACCTACCAGGGTGTCACCGGCATGGACCCCGATCTTCCTCTTGAGTGGGAGAAAAAGATGATCCGTGGTAACGCTGCCTTGAAGTTGCTCTGGCTCTTCATCTACCCCGTCATGTACGTCGTCCGTGGTGCTGCCATGAAGAAGACTCCCTCGACCTGGGAGATTTATAACATCATCTTCACCATCACTACCGATATCCTCGTCGCACATTTCTGTGGCCTTCGTGGTCTCTTGTACCTCTTGGTCTCGCTCTGGTTCGGATACGGTCTCCACCCTGGCGCAGCCCACTTTATCCAGGAGCACTACACCTTTGACGATGGCCAGGAGACCTACTCGTACTACGGTATCCTCAACAAGCCCTACATGAACATTGGTCTCCACATGGAGCACCACGACTGTAAGTTTATTTTTGGTATCAATTGCGCAATGGGAAATGTGGTACGAGTAATTGGCTGTTGTTTTTCTCCTTTTTTTTCGTTGTCTTATCTGATGCTATCGGGTATTTGCGTTTCGTTTTGCTTGTTTGCTTGCTTGTCCCTTGTCCCTTTTTTTATTTTTTTTATTTCTCCCAACCTGGGAACTCAATTGTGATTCGTTCCTTTTGTACTTTGGCAGGACTGGACAGACGGGATGGAAATCTACAACTTGTTCCCTTGGTGTGACACTCTCACACCAATCCCCACTCCCAGCAACAAGTGTTGGACATGCGACAAACAAAAAAAGAAATCATTTGAGAGCCAACACATCACCAGTTAATCCCGGCCGCACAACCCGCGCAACCCGAGAAACAAAAAAAAGTTTTCCACCCATTTTAATCCCGTTAAACTTTAGTTCCTGGCCAGACTCAGCAACCATTACAATGAATGCCTCCGCTAACCTCATACTCTTTCCAATTCCTAACTTGTAGTCACCAAGGTTGCTTGGTCGCGCCTTCCTGAGGTCCGCGCCATGGCCCCCGAGTTCTACGATTCGATGGCCTACCACACCTCGTGGTTGCTTGTCCACTGGAAGTTCATCACCGAGCCCGGCTATGGTCCCCAGTCCCGTCTCGGACGCTCGATGGAGGATCACAAGGCTGCCCGCAAGCAGGTTGGCAAGCTCCGCCGTGCTGACGAGCATGCCTACGAGGAGATGGCTCTTGACGCCCAGAAGTTGAAGGACAACTAAGCGACGAAAAAATTTCACATGGACATGGACATGGACAACAACAGCTGGACTTTCGGGATATTTTCCTTTCAATTGGTCAATTGGAGGACATTCGACCATGGCCGGAAATGGAATACCGGATAAGGATGTAGGAAAGGTGGAAACTGAGACACACAACCGCATTTTTTTTCCCAGGCAGGAGGTGGACGTGGACGTGGAGGAAAAGTGCGCGCATACCATCCAACTTTTTTGTTTTAGAAACATAGAACTTGCCCTTCGTCGCCTGAACCTCTTTTTTTTTCGGTGACTTTTTTTTCTTCGTTCTTATCGTCCTTTGACCATTGGCGTTTTCCCTCTTTGTTATCTCTAGTCCTGTATCATTCACACCATCATTCTCACTAGCTTCTTTCTTTGTCTTTTCTTGTTTTTCTTTTTGTCACTTTACTGCTACTCGTACATATTTTCCCTCTCTCTCTCATTAATACATTTTCTCGCTTTTTCACACACTTGGTCCTATATCTTGCTGACTGAGCTTAGGAGGGCTTGGGAGGACAAGGGAAACCAATTTCCCTTGGTTGTACTACCCTCCGACACGTGGAGAAAAAGGACCGAGGAAGAGAGCACAAAAAAAAGTGGGATGTTGAGAGAAGTGAGGAGGGAAGGGAGGACGGATGTGCCATAGATGGGAACTGTGAGTCTGCGATGCGTATTGTGGGTCGTCTCCATTTTTTGCGTTGCTTTTTTTTTTTTTTTTTTTTTGAGGACACGGGCTGGCGGTTAGTTTATGTGCATCAAGTGTGTGTACTATGCCCGTTCTGATTTGTAAGAAAAAAGGGAATGCCGAGGAGGGTAGGAGGGTGATACTTATTGGGTTCTGATCTGTTTTTGTAGGATTGGTGACTGGTGAGACGAGAATAAACGGCTCTCTTGAAACATGGAAGACGACAGATCGCGATATGAACACAAACAAAACATACGTCTGTATCTTTGTTTTCGGATTGATTTTTTTGGTGTTCTTTTTGAGAACGGGCGACTGGGTGGATCGAACGGTGGTGCAAGGGAGAGCGGCTTTTTTTCGTTTCTGTGTGCGATTAAAGAGTTTGGTCATGTGCGCAAGTGAAGAAGAGGATCTGGGTATGCTCCTGGCGAGTGAGGCAGTGAAATGGGCATAATTGATTTCTTAAGGCGGATGCGTACGTTTCGGTATGATTTTTTTTTGTGCAAAGGGTGCAGAGATAATGTGTTTAAAAAAATGGAGCATGGAGGATGCAATTCAGACGTGAGATAGAGATAACAAGACCGACAGTTAAGTCTGAGGATGAGTGGCGCGTCCTGTGGGTATCGACAAAACACACGATTTATTGATGCCGTGTTCCATTTTCGTGAGTGTTGGCTGTGTTTCTTTCCTGATCCCATTTTTTGCCTTTTTGTGCTTCTGGTAACTTCCGATCAACTACATCGATAAGCTGTACTTCGCGGTTTATGATGGCCTTTTATCGCTCCTCATTCCTTTTTGTTTCCCTCCCTACCTCCAAGCTGGATCTACCATCACTTACTTCTTGAATGATAAGAGTCAATCATCGCTTGTCGACCTTTTTATGCGTGTGGGTTCAAAAATACCTGACTATGGGGAAAGGGATGCCACATGCGGGGGAAACATTACTGATGACCCTGTTGGATGCGCATTTTTTCAGCGGACGACGTTCTGTTCTTTGGTTTGGTGCATTCAGAGGATGGAAAATCCTGTTCTACGAGTTCACGAAGGGAAACGCGGACAAAGAGGTTTATGTCATGCGTCTATGCTTCTCAAATCCCCATTGTTTTTCTGATGAAGGTGTGAAGGCGTTTAAATTCCTGGGAAGCAAAGCATGGCGATGGTCTTGGTTGAATGAATGGGCTCCTTTTTTTTTTTTTTTTTACTTCAAAGAAAGTAACGAGGATCGGAGTCAGTGAATGATGGCCCTAGGTGACGCACAAAAACAAATGCGATATTTGCTTGGTATAACGCTTGATGTAACGTCTGCTTTTTTTTCAACTTGGTTTTCCTCATTCCATTTTTGCTCGTTAGAGGGGTGGGGGACAGTAGGGCGAGCGGTGATTACTGGATGTGTTTCTGTCTGTAATTGGGAGGCTTTGATTTGTTCGAAAGGACATATAGCTCGGGTGTTTGGACAGAGAGGTGGTTGGTGAATAACGCGCTTTACACCTTCATTTATGTTGGTTTTGTACAGTGCAAGGATATGAAAGGAGGCGGAGGATAATATCATTAGCGGACAAAGACCGAAACTTTTTAATTGTGCTAGGAAAGGGTATTAAAAAACGTTGCCATTGCTGATGGAATGCAAGAGTAAAGATGACAGGAGTGACCGGTTCATGACAATGCCGAGTAGCAACTGTGTATTCCGACAACTGCTCATTACACCTGAACGTCTCGAACAGGTAAAGCGTTCCAAAGTGGTCAAACAATGCTGAGAACTGGTATCGAAGCTTTACGTTGTATGAAACACTCGTTCGAACACTTGGAGGGATCGCCGCCGTCGATGAAGTTGAGAGATGTTGGTAATTCGTTAGATCGGGTTTGAAAAAAAAAGGAGAAGGGTCTTTGGATCGAGCCGGACAAACACACGACCCATCCGTATGGTGCCGGTTTCAACCTTGTTTCGATTTTGTATTCGTGTTCCCTTGTGCTGAGTCTTGATGTATCTTGGTTCTTTTGCATAGTTCGGCCAACTACTTCGATAGGATGACTTTGTGCTGTTGATGTAGCCACATTTTTTTCTTTACTGTGCGGTTTGTTTGCATGCGCTCTGGACAATATTAGTTCTCTTTTCTTTATGTCATGCTTCCTCACCTCGCTTAATATTTTTCGTCCAACTTGAGGGTACGAGTAACTCTGGAGGTCAGTTTCATCCATTTTACCCTCTCTCACTTATTTTGTCGAAATCAACGCGTCTTCACAGTCCCACTTTTTTTTTTAACTCGAGTGGGTGTTTCCAAATGGGAAGCTCTTGGACGATGCGCTTTGCTAGGTTCTATGCCTTCACCAGAAGGTAGATTCTAGAGGAACAACACCGTGGTCCATGGCGGAACTTTCGCGAACAAAAACAACAACGACGATCTTGTTCTTCTGACGGGTCATGACTGCTCCATAAATGTGTTAAGCTAACATAGGGTCGCCCAGGCGAGTGCAAGCGGTTTAAGCCGTTGGCGGCGACTTCCATTCCCTCTAGGTTTAAATAATCTTGTTACAGAAACAGATGATATCTTTGGTCGATGTTCGACCCTTTTCTTAGTACAAAAAAACGACGCCTGAACTTCAGGATAGGCGAGGGGAGGTGTTGTATGAACTACCTGAGAAACTCAAGGTGGTTCTATTATAATCGAAGTGAAAGTCAGCGATACCAGACTCGGTTCAATTCGAGTTTTGGTTGTTTGATGCTTCACAACTTGGGTGCAGGGATGCCGGAAAAAAATCCACCTGTCTGTGTTTTCTCTTCTGGGTACATTTATCAGCTTGTTCATTGTCGAATTGATGTGCAGCGGTTTGTCTTGTCTACTTTCATTCTCTTTTCGTCCTTCTTGTACTTGTGTTCTGTCATGCAATAAAACAAGAATGTGTTTTCAACATGTCTTCATGAAACGGTTTTTTTGGTCAAAACAAAAATAAAAAAATGAACCTTGAGGATATGTCGTCTCAAGCGTGCTTTCGACCTTTTGTTTCGCTTTGTTGGAGTATATAAATCCTGAACCATGGACGTCTGATTTCAAGATCTAATGAACAACACGTGAATTCGTATTGGTGAGACGCGTCTCCGTTGTCCCACTTTCATCTCTGTTGTCTCGCGGATATTACTTTTCGTCTAGCGCATTGACATTCTCTGTTATTTCTATGGTGCTGAGGGGTATGTGATTTTGTCTAGCTTTTGAGTCGAGGCCAGAAGAACGAAGATGGTCGAAGGTGCTGGGAAGGAAAGTGAAAAACAAAAGTGGCACAAGGGGACATATTATTTTTTTGTGACTGATATGAAAGGAGCAAGAGTGGTAGCCTGATCTTTGATCCTCCAGGAAGAGTTCTCGAATTCACGACAGGGCTTTCGAGATGAGCGACGGGCATTCTGGGCGTTGTCGATGTCTGTGAGTGTCGATGCATTGTTGATGGATCTGTTCGAAAGGTTCGCTAATGCATTGCGTGCTGCTATTGCCTCTGGTGTGGCTGCCGCGAGTCGATGCTGTCGTTTCCTTTGATATTTTGCGCTGAATGTCAAGTCGTTAATCTGTGGTGCTGTGATGCTATGTATCGGGGGCAAGAATGCCGTGGCCTGCGCCTATTCTTCCTTGGACTTCTTCTCCTCCAACATGTCTACCTCTAGTGAAAGAAAATGAAGCGTAATTAAGATGGTATTAATGGTTTGCCCTCAGCCATTAGTAATCTGGAAAATGAAGGATGCAACAACAACGCCAAGTTCAAAACATCCTACTTACCCGCGAGTAAGGCGAATGGATTTCCTGTGAGAACCGAGTATTGCCTGACTGATTGGGTAACTTCTGTCAGCGTTGTTGTAGCCGAGGTATCGAGTTTGCAAAGTCCTGGATCATCACCGTCGAATCCGATGGCCTTGGAGGGATCAGCCAATACTGCACCAAAGAGGCAATCGATGTGAAGATTCTCCGTCTTGGCTTCGACGGCGGGCCTCGTCCATGTAGGGTCTACCATGAGCGGCTTCTTGTTCGAGGGGGGGTCGTAGTTGGGTCGTGTCTTCTGAATCCTTTGTAGCGCGTATCGGGTAGCCTTCATTGACCGAAGCTCGTCGTCCTTCTGAATCCAATTCAAAAACGCAGCGTCGGAGATCATCTGCGCCGCTTGAAGTTCCCGATACGCATCTTGTTCCTGATCCGGTCTTCGTGCCTTTGAGTCGTTCGCCTTCGTTGTCGATCCTGGATGCTGAGAGGAGAGCTGTTTAATCTGGCGTTGGTACACTACTGCTTCATGTCGATCTTTGTCCGCTGCAACCCATGCGTCCCGCTTGGCTTTTTGGCCCGTTTCAACGTCCTTGATCTCGTTGTTCATCGTCACCAGCCGCTCCTGGGCCATTTGTTGTGTTATTCCTGTTCGAGCTCCTTCTCTTGACCAATCAATGCCTGTACGTTTCTGCGTCTTATCCTTTCTGGACTCGTCCCACACACTGACGACGGGAACCCCTTCACCGCGGTCCACTCCCTCAGGTATCACTTCACCAAGAATTCGAATGGTATAGCGATTCACAAATGTCAGACTAAAAGAAGAACCAAGAATAGAACTTTGGTGTCAAGACATCGTCGTTTATGAATGCATACATAAGAAAAGACTAGTTGTTGTGAGGGATAAGAGGAGGATCACTTACCGTTGTCTGAAGCGAAGTTTGTAATTTTGGCACATCGCGTTGATGGCATCGAGGTCGAAAAAGTTAGAGAAGACGGCGTCCTTGTGTTTTGTTGCGGTTACGACGGATGAGATAGGCTGCCTGTCTAGGTCGTAGATGTCGAAATTGTTTGCCGCCTTCCAACAAAGAGTATCATAAATGCCGGCCGCTCCAAGTGGTACAGGATGTAATGATGCGACTGATAGTGCCGGTGCAAATCTCCTGGTAAACTCGGTGTACCCTGTATATCTGAGTACATGGTTGGACAACAATACAATGCGGATCATGGCGGCGGCGTTGGCGGTCGGAAGCGAAGTTCCCCCTCCAGAGCTCTTTGGAACTCGTTTTGGGGTGTATGGATGGAGAGCCTTGACGAGCCTGACGACTTTGTAACATTGGTCACCTGTCATATCCTCAGGCTTGTAGGCAGTGCGCCGGACCCAGGACGCATTCAGTTGTGATACGTCGAGATTTGGCGACTCCAATAGGATCTTGGTGATGGCTTGGATAGACTTTAGATGAAACCTAGATGGTTCCTTGGCTTGAGGAGTGTCTAAAGGAATTGTTGAAGATAATCATACAAACCATGATTAACGAGCGCCTGCGATGTTGACAGCATTCGTGGCATTTAGCCATTTAAAACAGGACGTGGCAACTGGATAACCCCAATATGTTTATCTGATACATCCTTTTGGGCCTGGTTCTCCTGAGCTTGGTTCTCTTCAGTTTCTGCCTCCTCATCAACCTCATCCAGTGCATCTTCCATGACCTCCAACATCATTCCCGCTTCCATGACCGGATCGATACCACCAAGTCCTGCCTCGCGAGCGCCACCTTGTCCAATACTCGGCTGTATCTGCGCATGTTGTCCCTGTATTTCCAGCAACTCAGCTATCCGCTCTGTCCTGGACCCGCCCTTAGCAACAAGCTAACCCAACTCATCCTGCAGGCGTTTTGCCTTATCCTTCCATGCCTTGTAGCTTATTGATCGTGTCCTGTCGCTCTGTTTTTGTTGCATCTTCCTGGAGGCCAAATCCTTCACCTTTGTATTATACTTCAGCTCACGGTTAGGAGCCAGTTGGAATCTCAAGGTGAATCTCAGTAAGAAATCCAACGCTTTCGCATACAGAGGTCCGTCCCAAATATTCTTAATGTTTGTTGATAGTTCGATCCTGTAGTCGCAAAACACCGTTGACAGGCCTGCCATTGGATGTTCATCCCCTGGTCTCCAAGTAGCCTTGAGTGCCTCAAGTCGAAGGGCCTGAATATGCGCAGCCAATTGACTCCACAATGGGTGTTTCGTCTCGGAGTCTGTGTTGATTCCTTGCGGGCTGAAGAACTTGCTGTTCAGGAATCCGAGGTGATGGTACGAGAACAAGTGTGGTAGATCGGACGTCCATTGTCGGTCGGTTCCGCTGGGGGTGGTGTTGATGTACTCCTCTAGATGTGTCGGGAGGGGAGCGAGGGTAAGAGACGATGGGGTATCGTTGCGAGCGATAAAGGAAGAAGGGATGAGGTCGGTCCGGATGTCGTATACTGGGGGATGCTGTTGGGGGGCACGACTCGAACTAGTTTCTCGACTCGATCCAGGCATCGTGAGTGCATTCTGTGCTAGCTGTTGTGATCAAAACAAAAGTAATCGTTATGAACCAGTTAGTATTTTATTGGAGCCTGTACAACATCATAATAATTAACATGCAATCTTCACACCAATGCCTTACTAGTAGTGACGTCTTCCTTGCAATGCACGCGAGCTCGTCGGTCGCGTTTGTGAGAGTGCCCTGTTTCTCCAGTAAAATGTCGACCAACTTGTCCGCCGCCGAGACCTTCAACCCTGGCTTGTCGGGGTCATGATCCACTATGGAAGCCACCAACTCTTTCCGAATAATATCCTTCAACGAGACCGTTACAGTCTTTAGTCTCTCGGTAGACCTGACTTCTTCTTCTCGCTCCAACAGATCTGCGATCTCCTCCTCGTCTTCCTCTGGCAACTCCTCCTCGTCCTCTGTGGTTAGAAGCCTTGCTCACCGATAAGCGAAGATCCAGGTCCTGAGTCATTAGCGGTACTATCCGAGTTGGTGTTGGTGATATTTGTGGTGGTGGTGGTGGAAGAGCGGGGAATGTGTATATTGGTTGCGGAGTCCCAGGCGTCGTTAAACTTGAGAGAGAGTCTCTCCTGATACGTCTCTTGTCGATACGGAGTTTTGAGCGTTGTTGTCAGGTTGTGCTTGTGAAAGTTTGAGGTATTGGGGTTTGGTGTCTTGACAATTTCGGTCGCTCTGTCAACGAGGCCTTGAGGAAGGGAGGGTTTTGCAGACAGCTCACCGAGCACCTTGGTCTTCTTCTCTATGGTGAAGACATCGTCGAAGAGGTCGTCCCTTTTACGCTTTTTCCATATCCGATCAACTTTCATACGCACCTCCTCCTGCACCTTCTCGTCGCTTTATCATAGAGTTTTTGTTTTTTTAAAAAAAAAGAAATAGTTATATTATTGTTAATAAAAACATGAATAACTTTCACGACAGTTGTAAACTAAACTAGAAACCATGGCGACATAAACTTACCATGCTGCTGTGAAGCAGGTCTTCAGGATTGTCTCGGTCAAATGGTCCCTTGAGTCTCGTGGGGCGTATTTGATGTGTCTCTTGATCTGGCGAAAGATGGCGAACGAAGGATCTTGTGAGGATGATGTCGAAGCATCGGCGCCAGATGCCTGGTGTAAATGGGAAGACAACGATGTTGCGGTGAAAGGTGACACCAAGGGGGGCGAAGACGATGCTGAGGGGGGAACGGACTGTGCATTCGACGAAGACGACATAAAGCTGGAGGTCGTGCGCCGGATGACTGAAGTGGTGTGATCTGGTTCTCCTGGACGGCAGAGGGGGTCATTGTGAAATCGACAATGTAGGCGGCTGCGAGCGCGGTACAGACCATATGACTGGCAACGACGCCGTAGGCGATTCTGGTGGTGGCACAGGCGTTCGAAGAGGTGGCGGAGAAGGTGGGCAGGAATTTGAGAGTCGAGAAAGTGGCGCCGATCCCCCTGAGCTGTTGTTCATTGTTGACAATTGGTTTCCAGCTACTGATGCGAGTGCGGACGAGGCTGGAAATGGGGCGGCAATACCAATCACATCGAACTCCGAAATGTCCCGCAAGTCATCTTTTCGGTGGAGAAAACATATTGCTCCTCGACTCTGCCCAGCGCAATACCTGTGGGGTATCTCGGTGGATGAGAATATGGTAATCGATATTTTGAGATGTGCTGGAAGCAGAGAGCTGTTCTTGGCCAGACAGTCACGCACTGCCCGCCAGAACCGACGCCAAGGAACAGTGGGAGAGACTCGAGTCTCGTTGCTGGGTCCAGGAGATCTTTCTTGATGACGTGTGCAAGTACAGAGAAGGGGCAGGTCGAAGGAAAGTCTTCCTTGACAAGGTCTGCGCGGGCCAAAGCCTTGATGATCGATCCGACGCGCCCCCCGAACGATTTTTGAGTAACGAGTCTTCAGCGACAATCTCGAACTTCTGGGCGATTGCAGGATCCTGCACTGATTCTCTTAGTATTCTTGTCCTGGGGTCCCATGCCGTGTCAACTGCATAGCGAAGCGGCCCTGTAGTAAAGCAGCCCTATTGCCAATACGAATTTTTAAAAGTAAAATGCTACTGGTCAGTGCCCCCTTTTTAAAGGCAAAGTCGGCAGAATAAGAGCAGCACAGCAAAGGCAGTGAATACACAATAAGCAAAGCATACCTTGTCAACATCTGACATCTCAGCTGTAGCAAATCCGTTGTGGTCTCTCCTGTTCTCTGAGTTCAGTTCCATCATGCCCAATCTGTGCTCCTCCTGAGGTGAAAGTAAAAGAGTTGAAGAAGAATGAATGAGGTGTGAATACGAGTCTGATAATCGCGGTAGACCATGGCTTTAAAATACAAGAGGCGAGGCAAGCTCGTGGATCTGGATCTGTACCTGGCTAGAGTCTGGCTCCATAGTTGTTGATTATTATGTTGTTGAGGGGAAGGCGGAGTAAAGGAGATATGGGAAAGTGTAGGTTTAACTTGGTGAGAAAGTTGGAGGAGGGAAGGGTGCGGGTGATAGAGGAGGGGGAAGGGAGGAAGGGGGTTATGGAAGAAGGGAAGAAAGAACGAAATAAAGAAGGAAAACAAAAAGGATTTTGCCAAGAGGTGCAGACTGATGCAAGAGGTACAGACTGATGAATGGATTGCTGCGCAAATAAAGAGCGATAATGTGATTTTGCGCTCCTGAAAGGTACCGTCGACGACCGTGTGTGTCCTACATGCTCAACGAGAAAAAAGAGATCGACAACAGCTGGGTCATGCCTCACAACCTTTGGCTGGCAACCAAGTACAACGCCCATATCAACGTCGAGATATGTTCTTCGGTCTCTGCGGTGAATATTTGTACAAGTACATCCATAACATATGTCTTTTGTTCTTGCGTTTTTTTTATCAAATCAAAAGAAGAAACAATGGTCCCGCAGCACAAAAGTCAAATCATCAATGGATTTACACAAATTTTCATTTCTCATTTTTCATTTTCACAAGGAACCGGCAGAGCCAAGATCGCCCGCGAAAAAGAGAAGAGCCTTCTGTTTGCGTCCACTGACCAATCTTCATCGTTGTCTTCTGCATCCACCAACACCAGCACCAGCACCAGCGCCGTCACTGCCACAGTTACTGCAACAAGCTCTAGCTCCGCCACAACCACCACTACAGGGTCCAGCACTGCCACCACAGGTCAAAGCTCAGTCACTACACACCAGAAAACTGTAGCAAGCAAGGAGGTATTTTCTTTTGGCATTTTTTTGGAAGCCTGATCATTGCTGCCCCTTTTTTACTATTTTTCTCACTCTCTACATATTTTTTAACCGTCGTTTGTATATTAGGATCCTCCACAACGAGATTCGTGAATTTCGCGATATGAGATGCCTCTCTGCCCATGAGAGCATGTGGCGTATCCTCAGATATCCTTTGTACGGTCATTCGTCTGTTGTGCAACGTCTGCAGGTCCATCTCCCAGGCTAGCACAACGTCACCTTTAACAAAAATGCGGATCTGCTTCATGTCACCCGCCGTAACAATGACAGTCAGCTGATGGCCTACTTCAAGCTGAACCAAGAGGACAAGGACGCTCATAACTATACATACGCCGAGATTCCTGAGCATTACACCTACGACCAAAACAATCGCAAGTGGAACAGGAGGAAAAACAAGGACATCTTCAAGATTGCCCGGATCTACTTTGTCCACCCTAAGGATGGCGAGAGATTCTGTCTCCGAGCTCTCCTTTTGAATGTCAAGGGTGCCACCAGCTTTGAACGTCTCCGTACCGTCAATAACACCCTCTGCGATACATTCCGAGACGCCGCCCTAGCCCTCCACCTTCTGGAAGACGACCGTGAGTGGGATCTCTGCCTTAAGGAAGCCTCTTCTTTCAATTTTTTAAAGTCGCTTCGCCATCTCTTTTGCATCATCTTGGTGAACTGTGCTCCCTCTGAGCCCCGCAAACTCTGGGACAATCATGCCATCTACATGTACAATGACATCCTGTCTTTTGGTCGAAAGAAAAATGTGGAGAACGACAGCCTTCAGCCAGATGACGACATCAAGATCGAGGCGATGAAGAATGTGTTGTGGGCCATCGACTCCAATCCCAAGGCACTCGGTTCTTCCTAGCCGCCTTTCCCACTATGCCACAAGACATCAGCGACAGCATTCTCCGCTACATCCCAAAGTCCGCCTCCGACCACAGCGAAAAATCGCGTGAAGAGCTCGCCAAGCTGGCGGGTTCCCACATTCAAGTCTTGAATGTCGAGCAGCGGGAAATATTTGACAAAATCGTCGCCTCCGTCTCCGTCCCCATACCCACCCGCCACCGAAGGACCAACCTCTATTTTATTGACGGGCCAGGTGGCACTGGCAAATATTTTCTCTGCAACACACTGATTGAACAAATCAGCGGTGTTATGAGAGGTAATGTTGTTGTCTTCGCGTCGTCTGGTATAGCAGCTCTGATCCTTTATGGTGGACGCACTGCACACTCTGTCTTCAAGGTCCCCATTCCAGTTTTCAAAGACTCTACCTGCAATATTAGCCGCGAGCAACAAGTCAGATCCATTATTCATGCGGCCGACCTCATCATCTGGGACGAGGCACCCATGATGCATCGACATATCTTTGAGTCGGTGGACCGGGTCGTTTGACATATTATGGATCGACCTTTGGCTCCTTTCGGCGGAAAGATTGTCGTGTTTGGTGGCGATTTTCGACAGGTGTTGCCGGTGGTTGTTCATGGATCTCAGTCTCAGATCGAGGGCGCATGTGTAAAAAATGTCTGGCACCATTTGGCCCAAGGTCAAGACACTCAAGCTAACTCGCAACATGCGAGTCAAGGCGGACGAGAGCAGCTCTTTTTCCTTTATCGATTTTTTGCTACATGTGGGTGAAAGCAAGGAGCAGACATATTCATTTGACGACTCTGATGATTATATCAGGATTCCGACCATATCCTTTTTACGCCATATGGACCCAATCTCAACAACGAGCACGAGATCCAACTTATCCGCACTATATACCCCAATATCTCCAACAGCAGCGTTGCACCTCAAGACATCAAGCGCATCGCTATTTTGACAACACTGAACAAATGGTGATTGGTGAATGGTGGGAGAGTCGAATTGCATGTAAAATAAGCGCTCATTTGTGTTTACTTTATTAGGCTCTTCTCAGGGCCTCTCGACTGTTGGTTGGGCAGGGTTCACTCCCTAATGAGGGGTGTTGTTGATGCGATTGACTCTCAAAAAAGACGGCTTGATTTTCCCGCCAAAAAAAAATAATTAATCTCTATTGCACAAAACGAAAGTTGTCGTGCACAACCCGCAAAGCGGCTGCGACGCCTCATTAGGCTTTTACACGAACTTCGAGCGGCCGACAGATTCGTCGTTGCTCGAGTAGTCCGAATCGATTAGGGCGTCCGTTGACTTGGTCTCGAGTCGGACAGAGATTTCCTTGTGATCACGCTCTGGTCCCCAGCTGGATTACAGGAGGCGCTGATTAGATGAATACGTGCAAGAGGAAACGAAAAAAAAAAAAAAAAAAAAAAAAACGAGTCCTTTTCAACCCTGAGAAAGCACTTACGCGAACATACAAAAAACAAACATATGTGGTATTTCCACTTACTGGTCAAGGTCTTGCACGGGCTTGAACCCATCCCCTGGACCTGGAGCGTAGCCTTTGGGCCTACCTCGAAGGTCAAAGTAACTGTCATCCTATATAAAAGCAAATAAGAGGGAAAGAAAACAATATCAGTACAGCAATGAACTTTTTCATTCGAAAGAAGGAGCGCCGCTAGATGCAACACCACTCGCTGTGTTTAGTGTAATGTACATGTACAACGTTATAACGTATGAGTTCCGTAAGTTCAATATGAACAATGTAGTCCTTGATAGGAGCGGTCAACTTGACACGAGCATTGGCAAGGGCAGTGGTGGAGTCTGAAGAAAAAGAAAAAGGAATAGAATGGCAGCCGTTGTCAGCTTCTACTCTAACTCATCCTTGAACCTCAACGTACTAGAGCAATGTAATTGCTGAACCGCTATCGAACCCAACAGTGAAATGTATTGCTTAAGGGGAAGCTTGGCACTGGGAGGCAAAGCACGACACGAAGACGTCAAATACTTACGCGGCAAGAAAGTGCGCAACAATTCTCAGTTCTATGCTTCACTCCTGTCTTCTTACTCCTTCCATCCATCATTCAGTTCAATTTGTGTTCTTCATCTTCCTCAATTTCATTCACTCCTCCCTCCGCTAAACACGATGTCACAAAAATAACTCTAAGGAATCTAAGAAATCTAAAGCAGTAAAAAGGAAAACGTAATACTCTAATAAAAAAAAGCTAATGCCACTCAACACCCGATTCAAGGACATCTGTCAGAGAGGTGGCAGATTCAGTCGGGATCTCAATCCCAACAGCAATCAGGATCAAGAACGACCACAAGGAGAACATCCCACCTCCAAAAGAAGACGGCGTAGCAAGATCTCCCCAAGGACAAAGGACGTTCTCGCTCGCCGAACACTTTCGTCCACCACGATAACAACACACACTAGTGAACTAGTGAGCGTGCCAACATCATACGCATGATCTCGCTCGTTCCTCCCAAGATACGATGCACACGAGCATCCCGCAAGTAAACATTCAGCTTGTGATCCTCCAAATATCCACATCCGCCGAGCAGCTGGAAGCATTCGTCAATGATGGAAAAACATCTTTCCGACGCATTCAGCTTGGCCATCGAAGAGTACAACGAGGCATTCGAGTCACCTCGGTCCAAGGCCGCCGCCGCTTCCCGGATCATCAGCCGCGAAGAGACCAGACTTGTCGCCAGGTCAGCCAACTTGAACTCAGTTTGAAATCCAGCACTTGAGTCACCAGATCGCTTGCGGTCCTTGACATATTCCAACGTCGCCTCCAACGAACCCTGAGCTGCGCCTAAGCTGCATGACGCTAGTATTTGAAACATGAAGCTCTTGTTACTCGTCTACGCAATATCAAATCAAGCATCTTCACAATTGAAACATAATCCTCTAGTATGATATCCATCGTGTTCTTACCGATGTTAAGTCGGCTACCGTTTAGACCGCTCATAGCGATATTAAAGCCTTGGCCCTCAAATCCAACCAAGTTCTCCGCTGGAACCTCACAGTCCTCCATTATGACAGCTCTTGTCGGCTGCGAGTTCCATCCGACCTTGCGCTCCTTCTTGCCAAAGCTGAGACCCTTGAACCCCTTCTCGACAATGAAGCATGAGACACCCTTTGGCCCCGCGCCACTAGTGCGAGCAAGAATCAGGTACACTTCGGAGGCGCCTGCACCGGAAATGAACGCCTTGCTGCCGTTAAGGACATAGTGCGACCCCTTCTTGACAGCTTTTGTTGAGAGGTTGGCTGCGTCGGATCCTGCCCCGGGTTCTGTAAGGCAGTATGACGAAAAAAGTTCCATACTTGTAAGTCGGGGCAAGTACTTCTGTCGCTGCTCCTCAGTGCCGAAGGTATCTATACAGTTAGAGAAGACAAACAATAATACAAAGGTTAGACTGTTTATGATGTCTCGATGTTGATGACAACAAGATATACTACAACTTGGTATTACCAATAATCCCTCCGCACATGCTATGATTCCAGGATAGTCAAAGACGGTAGAAAATATTAGACTGTTAATCACTTGTTACTTTACAAAGCGCAAAGCAACATTAACATAGAGCTATCCGCTTGCCGTCTCACACTTACTTGTGGAGGGTCATGTACGCAGAAGTGGAGACATCTCCCTGTGAGAGTGCTTCGAAAACTAGGGAAGTCTCCATCCTCCCAAGGCCCGCGCCGCCAACGTCTTCACGTACAAATAGGCCCCCGTAACCAAGACCGACACTCTTGCGCATAACATCGAGTGGGAAATGCTCTTTCTTGTCCCACTATGGCGAGATTCAGCAATCGCAAAGAGAAAACGAGGCGTAGCGTCCGGTGAGTATGCGAGTAGAAAAACGATATCTGCAGAGTAAATATGGATGCTGGCTAACTCGTGCGTACTTCCTGCATCTTGGGTGCAAACTCCTTGTCCGCAAAAGCGCGCGCAAGGCTTTGAATGTCCTTTTGATGGTCTACAATATGATTCAAAAATTAGAAGGAAACAAAGCTCGTTATTAATATACAACTCACCCAATAAGTGTCAACGTTTTACACTCCATCTCATTGAGAATCCATACCTGTGAGGCCAATCGAAGCTATCGTATTTGTGAATGATGAATTGGGAAGTCATAGGTATTAGAAGGAAGTCTTGACCATGGCAATTGCATACAAGAGAAGTGCGAACGTACGATCAATGGGCAACGTTGATAAGCGAGCCTGGCTCGACCCTGCGATCAAAGGCCCTTTCAGTCGCTTCGAGAGACGTAAAGTGGTGGAACGGAGAGACAACATGAGGGAGGTTGAGGTTGGGAAAGGGTTGAAATTGCAATGTCATAGGCGTGAGAATATTTATTGCAAGCAAACCCACAGTCACACAAAGTGACAATCATGATGGGCCGGGAGACCTAAACATGCATGCAAGATTGCCCCGAGTCAGAAAACCTTTTGCATGCGGGGTAAACGCAACCATAGGCGCCAAGAAGTATTATTTTCTCGTCGCTACAAGGTATTATTTTCCGTTTGTGCGGGTTAGTCAGCGTAAATTGAAAATAAAGAGAGCACAAAAATGAATTCTGCGGTGACCCCTGTGACCCCTGGATGGAGCGGAAAGGGTGGGAAAGAAATGGGCGTTAGGTTAAAAGATTATTTCCCACGCTTACCCTTTTTGAAAATTGTGCCCAAATCATGCGCCGAGTCCAATACATGCCCAAATCATGTGTCAACCAATTCGTGTCCAAATCATGCCTATTCAAGGCATGTCTACTTCGAAATGCGCACTCAAGTCATGCGTGTCGGATGCGTGCCAAAATCACGCGAAACATGTCCAAATCGTGCCCTAAGCGCACCCAAATCATGCCAAATCATGCGTACCCAAATCATGCCGGTCCAGATCCAATGTGCCAATGCGCAAACGCAAAGTATATAATGAGAGGAGAATTATGGCAACTTTCGTAACCTTCACACTTTTTCTTTTTATCCCTCTACTCCATACTACAGCACTACAATGACCATGCGCAATATCGGGTTTGTTGACACTGTGGGAGGTGATATTGAAGTGACCTTCTTTCTGCCTTATACCTGTGTTTGCGGGGTCAAACAATCGACAAAGCGAAACTTGCAACGACACATTCATGGCGGCGTGGACAGACACCCATGTCCAAACATTGAGAGGATTCTGAGACTTGAGCTCCAAACAGGAATTAAATTTGAAAGCAGGCAGTTTTCTGCTAAAAAGTTACCCGCTTCAACCAAGGTATATTGTAATAGATGGAAGTCATGACTTGCAGAAAACCCTGTACATGTTTAACCTTTTCTCATTGCTTTCCATTTTGCATTTTTAGCCTCCCGCTATCGCGGCCTCCTCAGCATCGTTAACTTCCTCTACTTCCTCTACTTCTTCTGCTTCCTCTGCTCTCCCTTCTTCCCCTTCTTCTTCTGCTCTCCCTGCTTCCTCTGCGTCCTCTGCTTCCTCTGCTTCTTCTGCCTTCCCTTCTTCCTCTGCTCTCCCTTCTTCCTCTGCTTCCTCTGCTTCCCCTACTTCCCCTACTTTGTCTCAGGATCAATACCAGTCCATCATGTCTCGCTTGGAGACTTTAGTTACACAGGATCAGTTTCAGTCTCTTGTATCTATGATAAGTCGTTTGGAGAATACGGTTATGGACATGCGCAACGAGTTGTCAAGACGGCCAACATGGTCAGAGAGATCTATTGTCATTCGAGAATGGCGGCGTCCTCGACAAACGTCTCCATACCCCCCCAATACGGCGCCCCCTCTCTCGCCCCAAAGAACATCCCGTCACTCATCCAGCGCCAGTCGTGTTACTAGTCAAAGTGACGTAACGACTAGCACGCAAAGAACCTTATAAACAACATAAATGAGCTATATAAAAAAATCTCTCTTTTATCTCCTGGCCGTGTTTAACAACGTTGGGTCGGGCGAGTATGCTTGTTGGTGGATAGTGTTATTTGTAATAAAGAAGGACTATGTGCTTTGATTAGCCAGCAGAAGTCTCTGCAAAGAAGGGTCTGGAAGTTTTAATGGCGTTGGTCAGGTGCCACATATCAGAGTAGATACTCTGACACTCCCCTTCTAAAAGGAGATGCGGTGCTTGGACCAGTATTGATAGAGGAGGTCTGGGCGTTGGCTAAGTCTTCCTGGTGGGGATAGCCTTAACAAGAAAGGCGAGGGAACAATTGGCAGTCCTGGAGTGAGTGCTTGAGGATAGGTTCTGCTATTAAGCAGCCTTTTTAATAAACGATCTGAGAATCAAATGTGACTTGACAGGATCATTAAAACAATTTTGTCTTCGCCAAGTTGAATGCCGCTGCTGACACCGAATGTAGTGGCTTGGATTAGTAGGCCTAGCACTCCGGCGTGAGGGATCTGACGTCAATAAAATAAAGGAAAAAAGCTTAAACCAGAAAACCTGGTGCCAAACGTGACACCTAACAACCCAGAGCAAAACGTGGCACTAGCCTTGTGTGTCAGTTTGGTGCTGCCGGGTTGCAAACGGAGTCAAGTTTTTGCCTCATTTTCTTATTCATATTATTATGAAAGGGCTTCTGTTCTCTCCATCTAAGGCCCATGTATGAATGAGCAGTTCACTCCAGTATAATAGCACGTCGCCTAGCAGCCCATTTTTTTTCCCGCAAAAAGAGCACCAAGATTTATTATAGTCTATCGCAACTTTGCGGCCTAGCAAATTGTGGTAGACGGCGGCATAACATAACGCCTTGTTCGTGTTCTACTTTTTCCATAGCTTAAAATAGACACTGTACAGTGCTCCAGTCATACCAATCGAAAGTCGAGCAGCTGAAGGTCGTTTAATTCTATCCCGAAGGCATGCTCATGCGTATCCATGGTTCACAACAGCAATACGCCACGAAAGTCCAAGAAACCCAGGAAATTTACCCCAAACATATAAAGAAAGGGCGTCGCGGCATGTGCTTTACAAGCCAGGGACCACGAGACTCGGCAAATCTGCCTTGCATCTCAAAATAGGTTCCAGCTACAAATTCTACCAAAAAAAAAAGGTCGGATACAAACACAAACTACCTTCAGTAAAGGTCACAGTCGCTCACATCTGCAATGATGGCCCACCATGTGTGAATTCAAGTCCTAGACCGCCAAGGGGCACAAGAGAGAGAGAGAGAGCAAGAGACAGTGCGCTTGCTAACCGGTTCCCTGATACTATAGTATACGTACCAATTTTTCCGAAAGAGAGAAGCAGAGAAAGGTAAGACAGGGAAGGCGACTAATCATACGTTTTTTTTGATCGCACCGCTGTCAGAACGCCACTTTAAGGTTGTGTGTACTTATCCCTTTCGTGATGATAAATAACACCGGAGATATTATCACCCCAGTGATGCCGAAAATAGAATTGGGTACCCACCAGCCCCCTCTCTCTTCTTTCCTGTTCGCGTTGTGAGACATGCACAAAAAATACCAAAAGTGAACACGACGGTTTGGATGATTCCATTTGACGTCTTGCATTCCACGCGCAGTTAGTGTCCCTTTAGTGCAAACGATGGGGTAACAAAGACAATGTGGCGCACGGGTGAATATCCTACTCTCTAAAGCAGACTAAAAATAATTTGCGCAGACGAAGCCAGGAATCCTATAAATGACCTGTTCGTTTCTCCAGCATTCCCAAAACAACGACAACAAACCCCAGAAGCAACAAGCATCAAGAACATCCACCATGCGTCTCTCTATCGCCTCCATCGCCTTGCTCATGGCCACGGCCCTCGGTATCTCTGCTAAAGACAGCGAGGTTGCTTTCGGCATCTGCACATGCTTCAACCCCAAGTTCGACGCCTCGTGCTGCATGATTGCCAAAGGCTTCATGATGAACGACGGCAACGTGTGCGATACACCTGACGCCAAGGGCTCCATCACAAAGTATGAATCCTGCTGCACCCGCTCCGGTGGCCGATACAAATGCAAGACTGGTTACCGCGACCCCAAGCACTGGCCCCCAGCGGACACGTACGGCTGCAAAGCTTAAATGGCATGAAGTTCAAGAGCCTTTGGAAAGAACAACCTTAGCTTATGCTAACGATACGATGACCTCATGGCCATTTTGTTTTGAGCAGAGTATCGGAGAGAATAAAATACTATAAAATGATTTAATTTCTGTGAACACATGAGGTACTACGATGGATGTCCAGATCTTCTTCCTGCGTCGATCTAAAAAGCAGTCCCATCAATTTTGTTTCTTCAAGATGCCGACGATGTAAGGAAGGACCTCATAGCCAGTCTGATCTGGAGGTTGTGCAAGATCGACGTCCTGCCAAACACCCGCAGCCCTGAGGCTTTTCTCAGTGTCACGGCAAAGGCTACATGAGCCCATCAAAAAGGACCAAGGGATATTGCAGGACCCTACGAGAAAACAGGCCCGGTTAGTCACCATATCACCAAAGTGAGTCCTTTCAGAAGCGAGCAAGACAAACACATACATTGGTAGAAGCGAAGTAGTGGACCTCCATGCATGACCTTGACGTGCTCGTTCACGAACCAGTAGCCGCCTGGCTTGAGGAGCTTGTACAGGAGGTTGATGTTCTTCTCGGGCTCAGGGATACTGCACAGGCATAGAATACCAAAAATACAATCGATGCTGCCAGGTTTGATCTCGCTGTCCCAGGCAGACGGATCGTTAACGTATTCGATGCCGACAGGAACGACTTGGTAAATATCCTGCAGACCAACCTCGTTAACACGCCTCTGTAAAGCCTTGGCCGAGATGGGATTTGGCTCAACGCCATAGATCTTGGTGATACCACGTTCAGTATTCTTTCTGTTGTGAAGTTCACCCTTGGCACCGACGTTGCTGCTAAAGCGGGCCAAGACGTCTACCCACATACCGCTTCCCGCACCAATCTCAAGCACGGTTCCATGGATGGGTGTGCTTACTACCTCGTCCTGGATGCAACCGCCTTTGACACGACCTTCCAGAAGGGCAACAACTCGTTCCTCGTGCATGGCTTTGCTCATCGGGCCGACGGTCGCCCATAATGTGCCAAAGAGAGCTTCGCGAAAGCGTGAAGGGGAGAATAGCGTGCCATAGTCCTTGGCTGCGACAAGCGCTCGGATGGTGGCAGGAACATGCGAGAGTGAAAGCCACATGAAAAACCAAGGCTCCATGAGGGTATTGAGGGTGCGCATGACGGCCATTGGTATGTGTTTGCAACAGTCGAGGGGGAAGATAAGGAAACAAGAGAGGAAATCGAGGAAGAAGTAATGGTGATGTTTATTGTACAGGGGGACTGTGGTTTTTATGCGTGCTAATTTGCATGGTGACTGTGGTGTGGTTGGGCCCAGCGATTTTTACAACTGAAAAGTGTTTAATCAGCATCAGGAAGTGTTGGAGCAAGAGAGAGGCGGTCAGGAGCAAATGGGCATTTATGCACGGCCTATTGCAGTACTTAGCTCTTTTTCAGCCAACACTCCTTGATTTCTTCGTGTATAAGGCGTGGGAAAAAAACAAAATAGCACACAAGGAGATATGGGTAGGGAAAGTGCAGCCCGCCCAGGCACCATACCTTGGACCGCTCATTGAGTATGCGGCAGATTGACATACGCGGAGTACAGATGGCGCGTGTGAAGTACGCAATGGAGGCAAAAGGCAAAAAGAACGAGCCAAAAGAATGAACTAGCCAAAAAGAATGAGCCAAAAGAATAAAGCATCTATTGTGCGAGCTGCAAATTCAATGGCGTTGAGATTGGGGGTGGGAGAAGATGGAAGGGGACGAAAAGAACCCAGTCAAGTCTCGCAAGAGGGGAACCAAAGCTATTGGTGTCCTACAACAGTTCCTGAGGACTAATGGGCAACTGAAGTGCGCAACAAAAGTGTTCAATCAAAACACGTTGCCTTTGCTATCGGCCTCTGACTCTTACCATTAGAATTTGGGAAAAAGGACATACATTACGTCACCACAGACGCATCTCTAAAACCTCTCTTGCGAGCACTTCCAGGAACCTCGGGGCTCTCTCTCTTTTGGCTTTGAGTCTGTCAGTCTGTCACCATCTTTCGGCATGGAATCATCGGTCAACTTGCGCCAGCTAACTCTTTGGGCTGGATCGACTGCGGTCATGAGATCCATTGCCAGCTTCTCCGTCTTGGTCTTGGAGTCCTTGGAGAGTAAGCTGCTGCTGCCTGTATCGATCCTGTTGCTTGCTCTCACCATCCTCCATCCATGGGTAATGATCCTCGTCATCAGCCGACTGCAAATACAATGGCCTTGTCTGCATCAATAGATGGGTCTTGACGATATTACATAGATTGTGACCGGCCATCACGTCGCGGTGTATAAAAGCTTGAGGTGTGTACCAATACAGCCTGCGGAGTTCGACTTGGCAAACAAACTATCCACACGTCGGGCATTTCTTGCTGTGTAGTAATCATTGGTATTTTACAAAGATAACCACAAAATGAGTGCTGTACTTACATGCCGCACAAAGAACGAGAGAAACGATCGGTGGAGAGAAGTGAGTCCTGTCTTGCATAAGAACTGCCCCAGTTCGACCCCAATCACTACGTGGTTCCCCCTCTCTCGCTTGGCGCCGATAGACCCTCCAACCAGATGCAGCAAGTGATTGGCGACGACCTTGAACTCCTCGTCCCTCGCTCGCTCTGCATCCCATCTATGCCGCTTGAATCGCATATCGTCCCCATTGTAAAACTCATCTAGCTGATACTGATACTGCCCTGGGACCTTGAGATACTCAATAACGCTGGCATCCTTGCCCTGGAGAGGAGGCAATTCGGACTCAATCTCGGCAATCGACATAAGTACTCCTTGGAGCGTCAGTTCCTTTTTCTCCGCCATCCACCTGCGATGTTTGAAGGTCGGTTGGGAACGGCCATCTGAGTCACAGACAGGTTGTAGTACGCAGGGCTGGGCTGGGTCATATTTTTGTCGAAGTAGTCGAGGATGAAAAGACCGCAGATGGAGCAGAGGATGGGGTAGAGGTCCAAGAGGCCGAGGAAGATGGAGTCTCGTCACTTGCCCTCAGAATCATCTTGTTACAGAGACCTATTATGAAAGAATCCGAAAGAAGGGCGCATCCACCGACAACAAACCCTTGCCCAGATCAATGCATAAAACCTTGATCCCGTTGGGATCATAACAGTTTGGCCTTTCCATGGTCTTGACGACAATCTTGATCTCGGTAAGATAGTAATCGATGCCACCGACGGTCGATATGAGTCGTGGGGTTGGTCATCAGGTAGCTGCCTGTACTTGACGCAGTTGAGCTCTTTGAGTTTGAATGCTGTAAGCAAAATCCTGAAGCCATCATAGTGGACCGACCCGGGCAATATATATCCCTAGATGGTATACTCCTGTGGCTTGAAATCCACGGGATTCTCGGGCCGAAGAGAGGAGAGTTACTCCTTGATCTCCGTGACACACATCAATTTGATCGCTCCTCGATATCCAGCCTTGCCTCTCTGTCGTTGGGTAAGACTCTCGGAGTCAACATCCGATAGAAAGCGCTTGATCAGGTATCCAGACTCTTTCTCCACTAACCACTCAAACAGTTCATTCAGTGTAACGCCAGATGGATATAGGGCTCTTGAGTTCCTTGTTGATTGCGGCTACTTCAATGTCCTATGAAGTGATGCAGCAGTGCCCTTTTCGGGTGTTGTTAACTGATTACCTAGTCTGTCCTTCTGGTCCGCCTTGGGTGCCCCTCCGAACCAGAAACCTCCTGCTATGCCTTCTGATCCCAATCCCATTGGGCATTGAGCTACAATGGTAAAATGAATATTGCGATTAATTGTTGATAATGGCTTGTTCCAATTAAATCCATATATTAAGCTCATTAAAAGGCAACACTGAGTTTGCTTGTTACCTGTTCCTGTAGCTCGTAGGTTCCATCAGGCTGCAAGCTTGGTGGCAACTGATCGGACAAGAAGGGTAGAAGTGTACTGGGGACCCTCTTTCATCAGTAGTTGGTCGAGCGACTCTAGGACTTCCAGCTGCTTGAGGCGTGTAATAAACTTACTCACCTCGCCATCTCTTTGTCGCTGTTCTTATTCAATGCTATTGATTCCATTGAATGCCCCCTCCTCTCGCCCCTCTCTCTCTTTCTCACTCTTTCCTTCTTTCTTCCCCTCTCCCCCTCTCCCCCTCAATCATTTTTCTTTTTTTGTGTGTTCTTACCTCGACTACAGCTACCTCTTTTCATTATCAGATCAACCCCATCTCGTCATGATATGGTAGTCCCCTAGTCAGACGACTGTGGACCCTTGCTCAAATATACCAGACTTTTCACTCCTTCTCGCTCTATTGCCCTCTGGATATATAGACGCATTAGTGTTCATACAAACATTACCACTTCGTAGCGCCTGTTATTGTGAAAAAGTGAATCGTTTTGTTTGACCATGGTTGCAGGAGTGGCGATTTGGTCAAAAGCCGGAACAAAAGACGTCCTGTCTGTTTTACGGGACCGCCCTTTGTGGAGGCAATGCATGTTTGTTGACATCCATGTCCGCCCTTTTCTTAGTTCTCCATTAATACACAGGCCATTCACACGCTGAAAGATCAAAAAGAGTCCGATACAAAGGTGGATGGTAAGAGTGCGTAACCATTGTGCCATGAATCATGCTGACATAAATAGAGATGCAATACAGTTCTTTTAATTGCCTTGACCCCTCCCTCGCACACTCTTCCAAGGAACTGTGGGTGCTTCGCAACACTAAAAACCCCAGGGCTTTTCCCCCTATGCCAAGCACAATAAAAAGTACCTATCTCTTGAGTTCAGATGGTTTAAAAAAGTACAGTAAAAACATTCCTATGATGTTGGTTTGTCCTTCATGTGGGGTTAAGGACTGTGGGTTTGAGCATGGGGCTTGAGGGCACTTCTTTGATTGACAAAGGTAGAAACGTGCTCCTTTTGTGGTCAACGCGTCCTTCCCACCAACACGCGAACACGCGCGTCATATTTGGCGAATCCTCCTCCTCAACTTTCCCATTCCCTTCTACTTATTGCCTCCCATGACGCGGTAGCGTCTCTCTTTAACATTGATTTCAACGCTGACCCTTTATCCAGCTGTGCTTTGTTTGCGCAATATCACGGCGTACACTTTTCTTCGATCTTTCGATCTCGTTTTTTATTCCCTTGCATTCTTTCCCTTCTCTGCTTCTACACATCTTCATTTCACTCTCCTAGGCCACAACTGCACATGCACATGTCTTTCAAATGAAGTGAGAGCTAATGGTGTTTGAAAGAAGAACCTTTTGTTTTTTCTATACAATCATTGCTCTGACGGTGATGGTGATAGGAATAACCAGCCCGTATGACCAGTGACGATGTGCCATTTTAGCTCGGCCTCATCCCACATCTCTTGCTGCTATCTCTTCTTCATTTTGTTCTGTATTCCCCCATTTATATTTCATCCGCACACAACACGCACTACAACTACACAGAACACTCACGCGCACATCACAGCCTTCCACGATGACAGATATCTCCAGCAAGTACCACCGGCGACGACAACCCCTCCTCCAGGACCAAACACGAACATGCCATGACGAAGCCCGAGGATCCAATAACGCCAACAAGCATCACCAGCGACGACAAGCTCCTCTGCTGGACCGATCGCTCCCAAGCCAGTGTATCGATGAACCTCAGCAACGCTTTCCAATACCGGGTCGTAGCCAGGCGTCCAAGAAAATGTGCTACACAAAAGCTCCGAGTCCAGGAACCTACGACAGTACTCTTGCAGCGCCAACCAGCAACGATAAGGAGCAAGCTCAAACCAAGAGAGCGAGAGCGGCGCAAGATCCGACGACACCCAGTAGTACCAACACCAAAACCAACAACAGCAGACTGCCTCCTCTCCTCCCATCGACAACGAGCCTCGTCCCGTGAGCGCGACCGTCATTAATTTGACTGATGCTTCCATTAGCTCCACTGATCCCTGCACAGTCCTCCTGGTCGAGCTCTAGCATTCGATTCTGTCCTGCCTGACCATCTCAAGTATCGCGCTGGCCCCAACGCTCCAAGACCTGACTCGACGGATCTCGATCCCACTCGATTTGGAGGAAGGTCTGCCAAACTAGTGGCCTTGGCGATACTAAAGAGTTGTACGAGCTCCAGATGTCACTCTCCTGTGTTAACTCGAACTGAGTCTGTGAGGGATGCCTCTCGATCTCCAATGGGCAGAAACGTTCCACATTCCCCTGCGGGTTACGATGGATGCCCGCCTCAGCGAGGACTCTGATTTTTGACAGCTGGGTGATCTGCTATCAGTATCGCTTCGACTGTTGTGACCTCAGGTCCGACCACTACGCTCTCGTCGGGCTCTTCTCACCCGCTGAGGCCCCCGTTGATGAATTGCTGTTGGTCAAGCAGGCTTGGGCGATTTTCTCTCTGACTATCAAGGATATGCAGGAGACGGGATATATTTTGCCAGAATACTTCGAGCACCTGGACGACGACAGCCCTCCGATTGATTCTTAGTGCGCATACGTTGTCGCACTCAGGATCCATGGTGGCCGTGTGGGCATCGAGACTGCCCGTCCGTGTCGTAAGGGTAGGGCGATAACGAACTGTTGGAAATGGTTCCGAGCGTGAAAGGAGCGCCGGCTAAGGCGGTTACTGTATTTGAGGCGTAACTGAGCGCAGCCGGTACTGGAGGAGGCTGGAACAGATTGTCGAGCTCGTTCTTTTTTTATTCTTGTTTTTCTTCCTTTCTTTCTTGCGTCCTTTGTTTCATTCTCTCTTTATTTTTTCTTTTCGTTGCAGACGTGTCATTGCGAGGCTATTTACGGTACTTTACTATTCCGGACACACGCACACCTACATACATAGTTCGCATTAGTCGTAGTCGTAGCACACAAACCAAAAAGAAAATACATTCAAGAACATGGCATCTCCCGCAAACGCTATAGCTTTTCAAAGCAAAGACTGCAAGTGTTCTTATGTGCTTTACGCAGATCGCATTCCAGTGGCGATGATCCACCCATTCCAGATGGCCAAGCTAACCATGCAAAACAATTTTTTTTAGTGAGACACAAAAATGGGAATCTAGCACTCCTGGCGACGGGTTTAGCTGCTCTGCCTCTTCATTGTTTTGAATCGAGGGTACCCGGTGTTCATGAATACCCCCGAGTCCAGCTACTTCCTTCTTTCTCTTCCTGTTTGTGTCACCACCGTTCCGCTTCTTTCCTCTTCATCCTTTTTGAACATCCTTCCCCCCTTTTTCTTCTCACGACCACGCACAGCCATTTAATACTTTTCGTGTCAATAACAACAATAACAATATGATGGTGGGGGTACAGTCGATCCTCGCTAGTCATCGCCTACTCTCGACAACTCACAACCTACTACTACACCTCCCCCTCCTCATCATCTTCGTCGCTCTACTCACTACAACATCCGCCCATCCACAACAACCTCGCCCTTCCTCCTCTTCCTCCTCCCCCACAAACCCCACAACCCCAACCCAATGCAACATCCAACTCGAAAGATCCTGGTGCCCAACCGGTCAATCCTGTTTCATTACCTCAACAACCTTCCAATGCCACCCGACCTCAACAACAACAACCTCCGGATGGACAATCACCTCCCATCTCAACATCGCCTTCCTAAACCCTTCTCCTTCTCACCTCCTTCTCTCCAACGCTACTTGCCTTCCTCTCCCAATCCCGGTCTCCAACTCGACCCATCAAGAGATTTTGATATTGGCTTTGAAGCGGCATGACGCTTATTACCGAACCTCGACCATCTTGATCTCGGATGACCCCGCCTCGATATTGAGGGGTGTCAGTACCTGCAAGAACCCGATGGAACGTTGTGTCGATGGTTGGTGTGCGCCCGTGCTGGGGTATGGGGATATCTGTAGGGGGAACGATGAATGCTATAACCCGCCTCGGTCGTTCAACAGTACTACGCCTTACAGCGTCAACATGGGCGACGAGCCCGAGCAGAGCAACGACACAGCAGCAGGAGGAGGAGGAGGAGGAGGAGGAGGAGAAGGAAGAGGAAATGAGCCGTTCGGACTGGTATGCGATTACGAGACGGGGAAATTGGACCAGCCTCCAAAGTGCATCAATTATATCCGCGCGAATCCGAGGCCGGACGCGGACCAAAACAGGAACTCGCCTGACGAGCAGCAGAAGAAGCGGTTGTATTGGATTTTTGCAATTGTGGTCTTGGTCGTTATTATTGTGTTCGTGTTGGCGTTCATGTGTTGGCGCAAGACTCATGGCCATAGCAGCAGTGGCGGAAGTGGCAGCGGCGAGGATGGCTTGCAGCAGACCCATTACCAGCCATACAACGGCGGTGATCCAGAGACCACCGGAGGAGCAGGAGCAGGAGGGATGGAAGAGTGCACAGAGTACCTTTCAACAAACTACCTCTCAGGCCTGAGGACACCACGAGTAGTAGGACAAACAGGACCAGTCCAAGGGGGTGAACGTCGAGGCAGCACCAGCAGTCAGAACAGCGCCCACTCGACTGTATCCTGGAGAAGTAACGGGCGCCGTCTGAGTGTTGCAGAAAAGATGGTGCTGGACCGGGACTGTGCACAGGATCATGAGTTTATGAATCGAGCGAGTCAGTCGAGACCGCCTGGGGCGTTTCATCGGGTCGAGCAGTTGGCGACGAATAAAGGAGCGGGTAGTGCTAGAGTCGGAGATGGGGTGGGGCCGCTCTCGATGGGACCGAGTCGTAGGTCGATGTCGTTTGATCCCATGCAGGTATACCCTGCCACTGCTCCTGCGCCTGAAGGTAGAGGAGGAAGTGCTGGGGGTGGTGGGCATGCGCGGGTGCAGGAACCGTCTCCGCCGCCAAACACACCAGAGAACCAGTTGCCACCTACCATGCCATCCTTACAATAGATCGTAGTAAACAAAATAACAATACCCGATTTACAATCGCACCTGCATAACCTCATTTGTTCCTCGCGTTCGATGTTTTTTTTTTTTTTGCAGATTGTTTTTAACGTTTATTGCGAAACGCCGTGTGTTATCATCGACTCCTCACCAAAGGGAAACAACAAAAACAAAGGGTAATCAACAACATCCGGGAGGCGGCAAGTTCAAAAAGAAAAGAGAAAAGAAAAGGGAGAACAAGTAATTCTTTCCTGTATTTGTTTTTGTAAGAGACGAAGAGGGGCGAGTAATTTACTTCAGCTTCTTCTTGATGCGGAGCTGGTTGGAGTGTCCGCACTTCTTCTTGCGGCAGTTGGTGGCGCGAGGGGGGAGACGAGCGTAGCACTTGCGGCAGATCATCTTGTCGCAGTTGAACTTGGAGGCAAGGGCCTTGAGCGAGGGCTCAATGATACCACCACGGAGACGGAGGACCAAGTGGAGGGTCGACTCCTTCTGGATGTTGTAGTCCGACAACGTACGGCCATCCTCCAACTGCTTGCCGGCGAAGATCAAGCGCTGCTGGTCTGGGGGAATACCTGTTGGAGGGAAAGAGGGTAGAAAAGGGTGGAGAGAGCGAGAGGAAGAAGGAATGTGTGAGTTGATTTGGTGTGGTTCAAGATACTTTGGGGGTGTGTTCTTTCCCTCTCGTTCCATGCGCCTTCGCTCCTGAGAGTGGTTGTTCTTCATGTTGCTGGATGTAGGAATGGTGTCCAGGGACAGAACGTTGTAGTGGGTGGAGTAGTCGTTTCGCAGGTCCATTTTGGACAGCATAATCGCATTTTCGGCTCCTGCCTCGTTACTGCTGTTGTAGAATAAGACGAGCTTTTGACTCTACTGCAACTTTGGCGGCCAAGTGTGCCTAGTGGTTGTTGCCATGCCATCGTGTTCTCTATGCGTTCGTCCTCCTCTAAGCAATTGAACTGGCGACGCCATATCACACTCCTACCCAAACGCACTTCTTGCTGCCTTCGTCCTTCTTCACGGCCCCAGTGCGGTACTGTCGCTGCTATGTTGGGGTTGTCGGCTGTCGGTTGTTCTGTGTTTCCTGCCTCCTGTTTTCTGACTGTTGTTGAATAAAACAAAAGCATCATAAAAACAGTGGCAAGATGTTAAACGCACCCTCCTTGTCCTGGATCTTCTGCTTGACGTTGTCAATGGTGTCGGAAGACTCCACCTCGAGGGTGATGGTCTTTCCGGTAAGGGTCTTAACGAAAATCTGCATTTTCCTATCAGTCGTTTTCAAAGGCACAAGGGTGGAAGGGGCAAAAGAAAGAGTGATGATGAGTTCTCCTTGTTCTTGAAAGAAAAAAAAGATGATGTATGCGATCCGGCAGTTTTAGAAGGATCCTGCTTTCTGTGTAGTCCTGTGTGATATGGTAGGCGGTGTTGGCTTGTATGTTGCTTGTTGACAGTGGTTACCGTAGTGCTGTTCGGCAGTTTTGCTGAGTGAGTGAGGTGTTGAAGTTGATGAGCGTGAGGTTGATGGACAAGAGGGAGGTGCGGTTTTGATGGTATCATCATCCAGGTGCACAACCACAAAAAAAAAGCCTCCCTGCCCTTCCCTCCTGCTCAGAGTGCGTCAGCCGACTCTGTATTTTGTGCTCTCCTATGATCCCGATTCCCGTATCGCCCCATGCCTTCAACTCAACACTCAAGGCCAAAAACGACTAAGTAGATGACGATGATTGCTCCTCCTTCATCTTTCCGACGGCAACAGTCTGGCAGCGAATTGATTGATGTGTCGTTTCCCGACCACCATCATCGATGCTCATGTCGGATGGATGGCTCCCACCCATGGATGGATTATGTGTGATCCCGATCCGTCTGTCATTTCTCTGTTAGAAAGGCACCTTTTTTTCGTACTAAGAAAGAGAAGGGAAATGACTTCCGCTATCTCCGTCCGCCTTAATCAGAAAATTCACATTTCTCTCTAGAACGTCACATAAAAATATAAAAGGTTAAGGGTCATTCTAGCTCTAGCTCATTACTACACTTTGCGGGGGCAGCCAGGTTGGATACCACGATCCCTGTAGATAGTTGGCGACCTCAAGGCATCCCGCCTGTACCTTGCTGTGCTTCAGCTCTGGTTCAATTGGCAAGTACTCATAACCTCCCTCCTCAATCTATTACACTATTCACACCAGCACTTCAACCTCTTCACTTCTCAAAAATACTCAAAATGCTCAAAGCAAACTGACAAAGTTAAACGACAGTTGTTCCTGAGACACCATACACCATAATAGTAACGGGGGAGGGGGAAGTTTACGAGGCCATCATATTTTATTCATTCAAGCGTATTATTTTCTTTTTGGTGGATTTCGCTTTCTGCACGGTGAGGGGAGTCATAGTGGACAGACAACTTAAGCCTTGGTGGCACGGACACCCTTGCCAGCCTTCTTGGGGGCAGCCTTGACGGGCTTCTGGGAGGCGAGGATAGCGGAAACGCGGGCAAGAGCAGCCTATTTCGTTTGATGTATCATCAACATCATATTTTCGTTAGCCATAAGTTTTTTTCGTCGCGTCAATCGAGAAGGTGGAGGAGCGAAGAGGAAAGGAGGTGAATGGAGAAAGTAAAGGAGGAGATGTTCCCAAGTTGCAGTCGCAAAACTTTGAATAGCGAGAAAGAATTCATTGTTTGATAGGTTTGCAGAACAGTTGGCCGGTGCCCTTCCTTTTACAGAAGAGCGAGAGGTGTAATCTTGCAAATAATGTACGCCCAGTCTTCATGTTAAATGAATCTGCTGGGTTCTAGCACTTTGCTGGTGATGGTTGTTTGTGTTGTGGTAGTGTGGAGGAAGTAAATGTTGAATGCCAAGATAGAAAAATGGTACAGAGAGCAAAGGAACAACAGAACATGTCGCGTGCGACATAGAAAATAAGAATTGAAAGCATACCTGGCGGAGGTCAGCGCGGTAGCCGCCACGGGTGAGACCAGCGACGGAGCGGGCAGACTTGCGGATACCCTTGGTGAGGGTGACCTTGTTCTTGGGGGTGGCGACAACGACACCACGGCCGGAGGCAGCAGCGGAGATATCGACGGTCTATTTGTCAAGGAGATTTGAAGGCGTAAGTTAGCCTTTATTGCTTCTCCCTTTGTCCGAGTTGTGTTCCTCCTGCTCAATAGCCATTGAAAGCTCCTTTGTCCGAAAGTGATTGCCGTTTCCTGGAGAAATAACGCCAATTGATCCCATTCGCGTCCAGACGTGTCCAAAATAGAGGCCCTCAAATCGCTCTCTACCATAGACTTCTCCTATTCGTCGTATGATGTCCTTGAATAAAAAAATGTTGTCGTCGAGGTAGTGTACCTTCTTGTTGGCAAGACCAGAGTACTTGAAGGAGTTCTTGTTCAACAAGTTACCAGCCTCAGTGGAGAACTGGACACCCGAGCGCTTGATGAGGAACGAGTTGTTGTTCTTGATAAGGAGCCTAGTAGTGTCATAGATGGTACCAAGCAATCAAAGCGGTTAGCGTCTGGTTTGTGTCCTGCACTTTCCTTTGAGTATCGAACGACAGCGGAGGGTTGAAAAAGGTCTTTGGTGCCTACCAGGTAAGATCAGCCGACATGTTTGACTAGCGGAGGAAGGATTGGAAGTGCGCAAGTGTGGGGTTGAATGGACGTTAGTTGATGTTGGTTCCGCCATGATGAAAACTAATTTTCAAGGACATCTCCCGGTCCGTGGTCTTTGTGTAGTGAGGATGATGGCGATGGTGTGAATGTCGAATGTTGAATCAAAGGTTCGACATCATTTTTTCGAACGAAAGCTGTTCCCTTTTACAGAGTTGGGATTCACCAACCCCCAGCAAAGGGGAACGGGTAGAAGTTTATGTCGATTCCAGATTTGTGTGCCCGGTAGATGTTGGATGCTTCCTGTATGATCACTCGTGTCCTTTGCTGTTGAGTGATATAGATCCCGAGTTTGATTGAATCCCAGGCAGGCTCTTTCTTGACCCCTCTGTTGACCCTTGCGAGCAAGACGTACAATGATCCCAAATGAATGTGAAGAGAAGGATCTCACTCTGTGGCTCGCTCTCTGCCACAATAAAAAATGATTGCTATCCATCCAAGCATCTGATTGGCCAGAAATCCGCGCCTCTTTCAACATGTAGGGCGCTCACTATTTCAGGTTCGGTGATGTCATGATTTTTGGCACAGGCGCGGCATGCAGATATGCCGTAGTTTGCTCCATTGGAAGTTGAAAAGGAGAGCGAGTGTAGAGGGAACTAGTTGTTTATTTGCTTGTGAAAGCTGCCAATCTTGCCGTTGGGTGCTGTCGACTGGTTGGTGATCAAGGGACTATCGTTTCCTGCCGCAGAGTTGAATGAAGCAATCGAGTTGGGTTGTGCCGCTGAGGATCCCACTGCTGAGCCCAATCCGTAGAGGTAGCCACTAGAAATTGAGAAAAGGTATGATGGGTTAGCTTACTATGTGCTGCACATTCGAACGCTAAGAAGTAAACGAAGCTATAGAGGAAGAACGGCGAAAAGCTTGACTTACAGATATTTCGTGTCGTCGATCGTATCGTCAAAAAAAATCTGCCTCATCTTGAAAAACGTCGAGCAGGTCAACAGACTGTCACTTCCTGCCTGATGTTGAGCTCCAATTCTCACAACCTACGAAATAGGGGACCAAATAAACTCACAGTCAGATTCCAGTACAGCCATGTTCAACACAAATGATACACATATGTAACGCAAGAGAGACAGATTTGTACCTGAAGGTCATTGGCCAGCTCCTGCAGACCACCCTTGAGGTTTTTACAGCTTTTCATCAAGTACTTGATGTCGTATATGCAAGGAAAGTAAGTTCTCAACAACTCAAAAAAATCGCTCTCTTCTGCTGGCATTGCACTGCATGTAAGGATCTTGAGAAGATAACCAAAATCATAACCACTGTCGTCCATTGTAAAGAAAAAAGTCATGCGGCATGTTAGCAAAAATGGTCTCCGGAGGCATACATGTGTGCTGATCCAGCGCCATGGAGGTAGGGACGATCACGAGAACACTGACAAGTCGAGAGCCCATACCTGTGGAAGGAGATCCACTTGACATCGTCCAGCAATACGAATCCAGAACTGATCAAGAGCTCTCCGAAATGGTGCACGTCAATGCCGTAATCCTCGTGCTTTTGAAAGTTGATACCGGACTTTGTCAGCAAGTCGATAGAGTCCTGTGCATACATGTCATCCCTACAGTAAGATGAAGGTACTATGAGTATTAGATATCAATCAATCAAGGGGTCATTGATACCAAACAAGAAGGAAGCGGGTACATATCCGCCTTCTTCCGAGTGCCTTTGTGTCCCGTTGGTTCCAAGTCTGCTAGCAAGACTTACGAAAGGTTGAACTTGAAGTTGAACTGCCATGTGCAGGCATCCTTGGGGACATTTCCGTTTTCGTCTGCAAAGGTAACGCCCAGCTGGATCATCTTGAGCAGATCGACATTGCAGCGCAGAGTCTGATAGTGATAGTCGGCCGAGGTGCGAAAGTTGCCTATGAGGGATGAAAAAACAACGCGAACACCAGTTAGTCCCTCTGTCGCATACGCCCAAGTTCACAAACACTGTGCCAGAGGTTGTCGTTTGGTCCTGAAAACGGTAGCGCAAGAAAGAGAGAGAGTAAAGACGTACCGATGGGTCGGGCAACCACTCCTGGGAACTCTGTATCCTGTAAAGGTCAGAAACGCAATAAAATAAGAAGAGGAGATGGGTGTTTAGGTCAAGAAGTACGATGTCATGGAGGACGACATCGACAAGTGGGCCTTGCAAGATGGTATAGGTGAATGCATTGCTGTTGAGTGTATTGTACCATGGCGAGGTATGGGTACTGATCGATGAGATCGCGAAGGAGGGCCATCTCGCGGTCGAGGTTCTCTGCCCAGACTTCTCTGATGATGGCTCTCTCGTTAGGGCTGGGCATGGCGACACCTTGTCCTTTTCTGTCTGCTGCCTGGTTGTCTTTGCTCTTGCTGTGGCGGATTTGATGCGCTGGTACGAGGTTGTCGTTTTTTTTCGATTGATGTCGTCTCTCGTGCTTGCAGGAAGTTGTTGTGGGTTCAGCGAGGCGAAGAAGGATGTTGCTTTCTGAGTAGAGGGAGAGTGTGTGTTGCTGTGTATGTGTGAAAAAGAGTGTGTGTGTTCTGACTGTCCAAAAAGTGTGTGTGTGTTGAAAAAGAATGCAAGAGTCTGGCAAGCGATGCCCAACAGGGGGTTCTTAGCAAGGGGTCACGTACATTCTGCCATTCCACATTACACGTACAATTAAAAAATAAACGTTGTTTGCTCTTTGCTTCGAAAGTTCTCTTTCTCTCTTTCTCTTCCACAACTGTGCACGCAACTACCTTCGACGACCTCAGAATCGCTTGTTGTCCACCCGGCCCCACCCTTTGGCGTTTCAATCATCACACACACAGCCAGGACACACCTTCAAACACAATACAATGAGCAAGAATAACGAACTCGTCGACGACCTCGTCGCAAAACTCAAACGACGCCAGCTCGTCGGATCCTCGGCCGTCGCCCATGCAACCCTCAAGCTCCTCATTGTCGTCATCTCCAAAAACAACTGGTCCACCTGCAACCAGCTCCTCAACATTGTCAAATCCGTCGGCCAAAGACTCGTCCAGGCCAACCCAACAGAGCTCGCCGTCGGCAATATTGTCCGTCGCGTCCTCCACGTCATCCGCGAGGAGTTCCGCGAAGCAGAGTCGAGTGCCGCGACCAACAAGAACCAGTCAGAGTTCCATGCTGCTCCTCTGACCACCTCCTCGTCCATGTACAACCTGCTTGGTGAGACCAGCTCGATCCCTGACGACAATGTGCAATACCCAAGCAGTTTGCGGAGCAACATTATCCAGGAGATTCGCGAGATCAAGGACGAGCTCGAAAACATCTACGACAGCATCAAGAACCAGGCATCGCTCCAAATTCACTCAAAGTGAGTCATCCTCCTTCCCCTTTGCAAATTTTTCTTGTTCTATATGTGATTGTAATGCCGCTTGTTCACCTATGCTGCAAGATATAACTACAAGAGGTTACTTATTGTTTTCGACTTTTGTTTCTGTAATAATAGCGAGATCATCATGACTATTGGGCGCTCCAAGACCGTGGAAGAGTTCTTGAAGATGGCTGCAGTCAAAAGAAAGTTCCAGGTGCTCGTTGCCGAGAGTGCGCCCTCGTAAGTCATCTCCTCCAGGATGTCATCATGAACAACGTGGACACGGGTCACTGGTGGTTGAACAAACGAACAGACAATGTCTAACATGGTGTTACTGATTTGCTGCAATTTCAAAAATGTAGATACTCGGGGCAGGATATGGCAGTGGAGCTTTCGAAAGCGGGAATTGAGACGACAGTCATCCCTGATTCTGCCGTCTTTGCCGTCATGTCGCGCGTCAACAAGGTCATTCTTGGAACACACGCTGGTACGGAATACTTGGTGATATCGACATATCTCGTAGAACTACAGGAAGTGATGTTGATCAACATGACAACCCATCTAACAGCTTTTCCGTTCTTATGCCTCGTTTTGTACCTCCAACTAGTTTTGGCAAATGGAGGATTGGTGGCGATCTCAGGAACACACATGATGGCAGCAGCAGCAAAGCACCACTCGATCCCTGTGGTTGTGTGCACAGGATTGTACAAACTCTCACCATTATACCCCTACGACGAAGACAGCTTTAATGTTACATTCAACCCAGACTCTGTCCTTGGCTTTGAGGAAGGCGACTTGATCGAGAAGGTGACAGTGACCAACCCCTACTACGACTATGTCTCGCCAGACTTTGTGAATCTCTTTATCACCAACCAGGGTGGCCACCCGCCATCATACCTCTACCGTCTCATGTATGTCGCTGTCCTTCTTGCCGTTCATTTCCCCCCTTTTTTTGAGTTTTGTTCCATGTCACTGCTTTGACTATGCATGTATGAACGCCGAAACTAACGCCGTTTTTTCTTGCTCTATTTTTTTAGTGTTGAGAACTATGATCCCAATGACCACACCTTTGATTTATAGAGTAACATTAAAATTGTGCATACAGAGCCAGTCGCCATATCAATTTTTTTTTGACATATTACGCGGATAGTAGTTCACTCAGTCGTTTGTTCTTGACTAGAGGGTGGTGATCTTCGCTCTGTTTTTATTCTTTTTCAGGCACCTGATGTGGGTGCAACTGGTCCCGTTTCGCCACCATCTAACCTGGTGTCGTCGAATTTTTCTTCGCTCAGGTGTGTGTCAAAGCGCGAGAAGTCGACAGATTAAGCAACAAACACAAACACATTAAGGGGGTAAGAGGGAGCAGTTATTGGGTTATCGTCAAACACGGTTGTTTCTGGTGGTTTGTATTGGTCTAGGAAAAAAATGAACAACAAACACCAGGTTTTGAGAGCGATTGACGATTATTTGTTTGTTTTATTTGTTTGTTAGTTTGCCTGTTTGTATGTTTTGTCATACCTGAGGAGTTTATCAAAGGAGTAAGAACGGTTGGCCTCTATCCCTAGAACTGGTGTTTTTTTTTTGCATTGTTGGCCAAGGAGGAAGGAAGGAGAGGAGGATGTAGTGAGAAAAATTCAGGACGAGGTATTCAAGCTTGTTCAGCTATGGGTCCTTCCAGGTCAATTTTTTGTTGTCTCAGTCGTTGTTGTTGTCGTCTGAGGAGGAGAGTGACATCTGGTGAAGCGGGTTTCAACTGTATGCAACATCAACAAGGTACAGGGAAGGGAGGAGGGAAGAATAACAATAGCATGAACAGCAACAACCGCGACTGGAAAAAAAGAGGGGGGGTCATTGCAAAGGGAATAAGAAAAGAAAAAGAACAAGAGAAAAAAATCGGGGACCATCAAATACGAAGGAACCATAAGAGTAAGCCATTGCAGTTCAGCTAGTCCATGGTGCCATGGGGCCTATTGGAGATCCGATTTTAATCGGTACTCTCCATGTTCTATCGCAGCAGCCAACGAATGGGGCATGAGGCGTAAGGCGCAAGGCATCATTGTGTCACCACCCTTGTGCCAACCTGTTTTCATCCTGCAGGATGACCCCTCTGCCCGTCCGGAGCTTCGCTTTCTCTCTTCCATCTTTCCAGCTCTTCGCATTGACATTTTTAGACTTTGTTGTTCATGTGGTTGACACTTCTCTCTTCTTCTTCTTCTGCGGCCCTTTTTTTTTGTAACCTTTTTCCAATCCTATCCTATCCTCCTCCCTCTCACTCCCCTTTTTACTCTCACTCTCACTCTCACCTCCACCCTCCCTCCCTCCCTCCCCTCCCTTCCCCTTCTTTCTCCTTTTTCTTCTCCCTTCCTCCGACGACCATGGCATCGCCAACATGGCCACTCTCTCACTCTTGCTCGCATTCACATTCACATCCACATTCACATCCACATTCACATTCACATTCAATTCACAAAGACTCAATACCACCGCCGTGCCCTTACTCTCCTCGCCACTATAACTGTCGGATCACCTCGACCTCATGCGAATCAACTCCAAAAAGACAACGACACCGACGATCGAGATCCCACCTCGCCCTCCTCCTCCTCCTCGCCACAGCAACAGCCTCAACACTCACAACAACAACCATGGCTGCTGCTCCCACCCCGCCCTGGCGGGCCTTCCACGGTGCAGCCATCGTTGATACTTCCATGGTCATTTTTGGTGGCACGACTGATCCGACTAAAAACCCGTACGGATCCACCATCCTCGGATCCAACGACCTCTGGATCTGGAGCACCACCCTCCGTCAATGGTCCCAACCCACGATCCAGTCTGGAGGCTTGCCCAACCCACAAAAGTTCTTCACCTCGGTCCCACTCCTATCTCAGGGCAAGATGCTCTCGCTTGTTGGCAATGCCTCTGCGGCGTATAACAATCTCCTTATGCTGGACATCTACAACTGGATCTGGTCCATTCCCACTTCACGTAAGCAAGCGACATCCCGTCCAAAAAAAAACGGCTTACATCTGTTTATCTTTTTTTTTTTGTGTTTTTGCTGGTCCGCTTGGCCATTTTTGTTTGTTTGTTTTCGGTGCATTTGGATGCCACTTGATCCCTGCACCCTCTCCCTCTCTTCTCGGTGGTCCCCTGTCCTAAATGCACATTCTCAGGACCCGGATGCAGGGTCCCGGCTTACTATGTACTGTACATGATAGTCTGATCCCCCTGAAGAGGACCTGAGTAGAAACCACACTCAATGACAACTCTCAATCCGTTCATTACAGCAATCAATACCATCATGGCGCGTTTATCTCCATCAGCATTGCTCACTCACTCACCACTTTTTCCCTCTTCTCTTTCATGCATGTTTGTTTGTTTTGTGCTTGTGTCTATGATTATACATTTTTTATATCCAACAATATAGCAAACCCTGCGGTGGCGCCACCTCTTCGACTTGGAGCTGCGATCGGATCATCAGGTTCACTCATCTTTCAACACGGAGGCCTTGTCGTTAGTGCCAATGGTCTAGCTTCAAGTAGTTCGGGCGTCCTCAATGACCTCATCAAACTGGTAAATCATGGCCCTTTTCCCTTTTTTCTTTTCAGCTATGTGATTCAGTTATCGTTTCGGATGTTGTGTTTGTAGCGATGCCAAAAACAGATGGTAACAATTGAGCAGGCGCAGGACAACCAGCCCAAAAAATACGAACCCTTTTCTTCCCTCCTTCCCATTTATCTCCCTTCGAAGGTCTTGAGTTGTGTATTTTCGAATGTTTTTTCAGCTTCGTGGCGCCCAAAAACCAACTTTCTATTTTTACAAAGGAGGGGAAAGAAGAGACGCGACGGGTGTTTTTTTTTGACTCTTTTGTCGTTTGCTTTACTGACCCCTACTTTCCTTTTCATCCCTCTCTCTCTTTCCTACCACCCGTATATCTTCTCGTTGCCTTCGCCAAATGGTCATCAACAATAAAACCATCAACATTGAACCACAATAGGACGACAGCACCTTCACATGGACATCAATTGCCAATGGACCTGCATTGGTGTACCACACAATGTGTAGGCTACCAGCGCTCAACACGATGATCATCTTTGGCGGCAGTGACCAAACTGGCGCCGCCTTCAATACCGTGAACACGTTTAATCTCACACTCGAGGTCTGGCGACTGGCTGTTCCTGTCAGTGCCGGCAGTGGTGGATCTGTCCCTTCGGCGAGGAAGGGTCACACGGCTGTCTGTCTCAACGATACCATGATCATCTATGGTAAATATAGTCGCTGTCTGTTGGTTGTTGTTGTTCGTGTGGTTGGTTATTTGTATATTTTGCTATTTTTACCCCTCATCCTCGGTGACACAACCGATATGCTGTGTTTTGTGCCTTCCTTAACCGAGGTACGCCACGCCAGGCACATCTAAATGAACACAGCCGCTATTCACACAAACACAAACACAAGCACACAATCTGAACCAGGACATGTTTCCAACATGCTAAGCATCGATTATCTACTTTCTTCATGTTTGATAGGAGGTGGCCCTGATGGTCCTGTGGATGACGACGTGTGGGTGCTGGACGCATCAGGTACCCAGTGGATGTGGAACAGGATGCCAACCAACAAACAGCAGGGACCAGGACCAAGGACGGGACACTCGGCTCTCCTGAACGGCACTAACATGCTTGTCTGGGGGGGCTACGGCACACCTCTGCTTGGAGACGCCAATGTGTATATTCTGGACACAAATACCTGGAGCTGGAGCTCATCCAAGGAGGTTGGGCCTTCGATCCCCCAACCCATAGCACCTACACCGAACGGCAACAGTCCTGACGTACCGGGCAACAAGAAGAACAACCTACCTCTTACGATTGGTGTGGTCTGCGGAAGCCTCGCGTTGATTGCTGCGTTTGTGGGACTTTTGCTGTTTAGGAGAAGGTCGGCCAGACGGAAAGAGGAAACGATTCCAAAAGAACCCCAGAATACGCCCCGGTACCCGGACGATGGAGGGGAGGCATATCCGTCAGGAGAAAAGATCATGGAGAGCATGGAAAAGTATGAGGACACAATTGGCAACGCCTCTGGATCTTCCTCAAGCAACAGGCGTTCTCGAGGACCGCAAGCGCTTTTGCCGACATATGGACAACCAATTAAAGGGGAGCACCAAGGATACCCAATGGTCGCCATAGCGGCTACCACTGCGGCGGACATGGATTCAAATAGAGCATCGTCAAGTCGGTCTTCAGGACAGTATTATCCACCTCCACCGCAGTCGTCACATGCTAGGAACGCCTCTCAGACAGATGCTGATAGGAGCACATTCTCGGGTACCGCAGGCGCCAGAGTGGGTTCTATCTCGTCAGACCCATTTTATCCGTCGTATTTGGCTGAGGATGATGAGGAGGATGCCGACCGGTGGACGTTTGCGTCGTCGCTGTCGTTCGACCAGAGAGAGAACAGCCAGGGCCTTCCCACTTTGCGCTATATACCCACACGTGTCCACGCCCCCGGTTCGACACAGCGCTCTTTGGGCCATTCAACTGGCAGCATTGGTACCAACAGTAACCACCGGATACCGATGATGATCCACCCAGGGTCGCGACAAGCAAGGAGAGATGCCAGCGGAATGTCGATTCTTTCGGGAACAGGATCGTCGCTTGGACCGGGATCGATCTCGTTGGCAGTGGGCACTTCGTCCGATGTGCTGAGCCGTGATGGATCTACCAGCCCTCGTGATGCGACGCTTTTCAATTCTGTCAGTCCACTGGATCGAGTGTCGTTGATGTGTACCGGACTTGGAGAGGATGGAGGTGCAGCAACACCAGCGGGACTCTTGACGGGCGGCGCACAGGCAGGATCTGGATCTGTCTCTGCTCAACAGGCCCAACACGCGACAATGGGTGATATGTCTAAAGAGTCGTCGGTGGGTGATCAATCGGCTGTGGATCTGAGACGCAAGGACACAACTTCGACATCGACAACAAAGTCCTCAAAGACATATACGACGCTCGACAGCCCAGCTCTAGCGAGCCTGGTGCAGAACCTTCCAGCGCGGTACAAGCCTTCAAACTCACCCAGTCCAATCCATGGTGAAACCAATGATATTGTCTTTGCGGTGGATTCGGATACTCAGCAACCAATTGTGATCAAATCGTTTGCACGGAAGGAAGCCTGGGAGCGGGAATGCAGGATCTTGAAGCGTTTGAAGGGGCCTTGCGTAGTAGAACTCAGGCATGTGGCGACGTTGGTGTTGTCAGAGACGGATGACCCTAACAAGCCCGCCAAGATCCGGTTGACAATTCTGGAGAGACTGGACGAGACGTTGGCGCAGATGTTGAAGAACGCAAGGAAGGCTAAGAAGGTAGCGTTGAGGGAGCAGGCGAGACCAGAGGATCAGTCTTTGGATCTGACGGGTCCTGGGCTTTACAAGTCTGGCCCGGCGTTGGATGAGGGATACATCCGGGATATTGTGAAGGGTGTGTTGAGGTGTTTGACGTGGTGTCACTCGAGGCGGATTGTGTATTGTGATCTGAAGCCATCCAACGTGATGCACAACCGGGACGACCATCGGCAACAGTGGAAGTTGATTGACCTCGAGTCGTCGAGGATCGCCAGCGAAGAGTGTATTGGTATCGGCACTGTTCGGTACTGTCCACCAGAGGTTGCCAGAGGCACCACGATTGACAAACAAGCTTCCTCGGGCGTCATTGCAAACTACAGCATCGACCTCTGGGCTTTTGGCTGTCTCATTTACGTTAGTGTTCAGTTTGTTTGTTTTTTCTCACCTATCGATATCCTTTATTCTCATGCCCATTCATGTATTAACCTATTATTCTTATTGATGTTGCATTATAATAGGAACTATTTTCGACGAGGGCATTGTTTCCACTTTCGTTATCGGATGAAACAGTACTTCACTTTTTGGCACACCCTTCAGCTGATACCCCGGCGCTCGCCACAGGATTGAGATGGAACTCATCAAGAGAGCTTGAGATCCCACATTTCGAGTTGGCAGTTCCTGACCCCCAGGCTCGAGATTTGATCCGCATGTTGCTGAAAGCTGATCCCAACCGCCGTGCCACCATGAGCCAAGTCCTTGTAAGTCTTGCCTGCTCTTTTTTTTATGTCTTTTTGCTCCTCTGAACTGGCTTTTCATTGGATGGCTACGCGTTGAGTACAAGCTCTGACAGTTCCCCCCCTTTTTTTGCATGTGTTGTCTATGTGACATTTTAGAATTGCGAGTACTTGGGAAGAAGTTTGGAGCTACAAGAGTCGTATGGACAGAGGTCCATGTCAACAATAGCCTCGGATAGTCTTCCCATATCACCCACTTCCCCCATGTCTGCTCACCAACCCATGTCCTCGAATTCGTCAGCTGGTGCCCCACAACAATACCATAGAGATCCTTAACTTGAAGCATAATCGATCATACATTAAAAAACATCGGCATACGTGTGGCGCGGTGTGGTATTGTGCTGCATTTTTTTTTAGGGATAACTAAGGTGGGTAATACGACTACGACTATGACTACGACGATGTGACACTTCCTGACAATGATCGCATTGAGCCACACCACACGGTCCAAAAACGAAACCCCAACTCCTGTTTGTATGAAGTTTTCTTTTTTGATAATGCAAAGAGGTCTGCTGATGTGAGAACGGGTTGAATTTTGGAACATTTGGTCATTTCCTCCTTTTTTGTCAATCAGGTCCACATCAGGTCAAAGAAATCAGGACATCAGGTCAAAAAATCGGGACATCAGGTCAAACTAGGTTTGACCAATAGGAAGCGAGTTCCAAGTCTTTGACCTGATGTTTGACCTGATGTCCCGATTTCTGGACCTGATGTGGACCTGTGTGGTGTGACAAAAAGTGGAATTGACCTGTTATTTCGAATTTCTAAACCACCACTTGACCTGTTATCAGCCAAATGTATGTTTAGCGAATCTTAAACCATGTCACTAATATGTCCCTCCTTTGTCCCTCCCATGTCCATACCATGTCTCTCATATCCCTCCTGCCTTCGATGCTATCTTGGCATATCTCGCTCCCCCTCATTCAGCGAAAAAGATAGGAACTGCGCCCATCAGTTTGCGCTTTTCTCTGACGGCTTGTCTGGCTTGTTGGGAGGGAGGCCCGGCACTAGAGGACTGGAGGGATAGGACCTGGTACGAGATGACATGGTGAAGGAGGTGTGAGATGTGGGCCAAGACGTTAGGGGGAGTGCGAGAGACGAATGCCAGGAAATGAAGAGCATGGCTCCCTGGGGGAGGGAAATGTCTCTACCTTTGACCTGAATTTAGCCAATTCCAGGTGTCCCTCCATGGCCATCCTTATCCTGTGCAGTACCTGAACCAATGACACATATAAGGGAAAAAAAATCAAATTGGCTAAATTGACTAGCCTGTTCTCACATCAGCCCAGACCTTTGTAACCGCTGAGCGCGTACACAATACCGGTAATTTTTATCCAGGTTCCCTTGAGTATTTTAATTGAAATATAATGGATGGGAAGGGGGAGAGAGACGCAGGCGGCCGACCTGAGACCATACATCGCCACCCTGGACTGCTCAACTTTAAAAGACCCGGCTGCTCGACCATCCTACATCTCTATTCCTTCTTCATCCTCTGAACATAGTCCAAACAGGCCTGGTCACAAAGAATACACACACATGTACATATACACCTTTCTTTAGCAAATCAAAACACAAACACGCTTTTTAAAAATGCGCCTGGGCTTCATCGTCTCCACTGGTATCGCCTTGCTCAGCGCTACCGTCGCCATGCTGCCGCCGCGGTTAATCCCGTCCACGGAAAACGCCTGCTGCTGTTGTGACATCCCCCGCGACGCCATTGCTTGTACTTTGTTTATCAGTAAGGACTAATGCTTCTGCACGCAAGCTGCCTGCCGCAAGGACGCGCCTGTCATCTTTGTCGACTAAAATGGAACAAAGGCCGTCGTCAATCGGCGTCTGGTTCCGACAGTGTGGGTCCTCGAACCCAGCCGCCGGATCTCCGAGGATCCGCATGCAGGGACCCGCATGTTAAACTTAAGTGGTACTAGCCATAAAAATAACTTGAGATAAAAAATGGATATAGAATAGAGGAAAAGTGCAATTGCAATCTACCACATGGCAACACAGAAGGAAAAAACCGTAGATATAAAATAGTAATAGCTGCCATCTCTTTAAAAACACTTCAAACAACACTTCTTATGAGCATATCATTGACAAACGTGCCTTCGAATTCTCCAACAGGGAGCGAGTGAGAGCCGATATCGAAGGATCAATAAGCAACGTCGCCATGAACTCTTGGCTGCCACAAGCCAGTTGTCACTCTTGCCATTGGTGTCTTTCTGAGAGGAATGTCGGCCCCATGCTAGCATTCCTTGATTCTTTTCCATTTCCTGATTTTTTCTTTCAGTGTCCCTTGATCTTTTTCCAGTGTCCCTTGACGTTGTCCCTTGATGTCCTCTAGTGTTGTCACATCGTTGATATTCGGGTGCCATCCGGAATCTCCTTATTTGTTTAACAAAGAAAATACATGGGAAAGGTACGAGTCACTTAAAGAGTGACAAAGCGGCTAAAGAAAGCAATGCATATTGTTTTCCATACTACCCCCCTTCTCATATTATTTTGGCTGATCCCTTTGATCTTTTTGGTCCCTCTTCTCAGTGTTCATCTCTGTCATTCCTGTCCCAAATGACTCCCCCATTTGTTAACTTTTTATGCCCAAATGTAAATGGTTTAACTTGTTTCTTATTTTTTCAACCTCTTCGTGTGTATAAAGAAGTTGCACATAACCAGCGTCCTGCATTGACATACATCTATTTCTACCTCAGGAATCTAGACTTGCAACAGCCCTCACACTGCGCCCACAACAGCCCTCACACTACGCTCGCAACAACTACTGTAGTAACCATCGTAAGAGCGTCTCATACTCCTATCAAGAATGGAACGCGAAAGCCTGGCGGTGAGAAGTGCCTATCCAATCAAAAGTACCATCGCGGGTCATATGAAATCGCGAGATAAAATATACACGAATCACTGGACTTTCCGAGTTCAACACGTTTTCAATTGTCTTTTAACGTTTTTCGATTGGGACCCTTTTCCCTGCATTAAGCTCTCGAATCTGGGAATTCCATTGGTTTTATGTCATTAATGTACATGATGTACATGTACACTGCGGGAGCTAACTTAAAGTCAGTCACGCATAATACGTTGCAACCAGCGAGCAAGACTTTTGCGCAGACAACAGGCCTGTTGTCCCAATTAATATTGGCGGTCACCATCATGAAGCACCGCTTGACACAGGTGCGACACCTCCATTTAATGTGCGTCGATTGTTCGTCAGTGTGATATGAAGATATGAACGCTTGAAGGACATATCCAAGTTACACGAATTTCAGTGAGTCAAGCCCTGCATAGGCAAAACAGATTGTACTGAAATGCTGTGTCGTCAAATCGCAGCCAATGAGCTACATGAACTGATGGAGCACTCTCTCCTACCTGGTAATCTTCATAAAATAAAAACTTAAATCTCGCGGGAAAAGAGAGCATGCGGCGTAAATCATGTCCCGATACGCGACCATTAAATGTACGTCAGCCCGTGGACCGCCTTCCTAGGTTACCGATCCCAAAAGCTATCATGAGCTCGTCGCATTTATGCATTACAACAAGAAACATATATTCAACGGGCCCCATTAGCACTCTGAGTCTCTTTATCTATCTGATGTTTATGTTTGTGTTTTCTTATCTTCGGTCTCCAACAGGAACCAAGGCTACCTCACAGGTATATAAGTACTGGACTCGTCCCCTGGTATTTTTCTCATCACCACTCAGTCTTCAGCCTCCACACCTACAGCATCAGTATCACACCCAACCCAACCCTCCACCAAGAATCTATCTATCCTCCAGAACATAATATTTCAACATGAAGTTCCAAGTCCTCACTCTCACTGCTGTCTTCGCCTCCGTCTGCGCTGCACAAAGGCTCGAAATCCCTACTCGATCTGGCAACATCATTTCCCTCCCCGCACCAAGCATTATCTCTGGTGTTAAGGACTTTGGCAACAGGGAGTACGACCGTGGACGCCCTTGCAACTCTAATAAAGACACTGGATCTGCCAACGCTGTTTTCATCCTTCAGAATGGTGCTACTTTGAGCAACGTCATCATCGGAGGAAACTCTCTTGAGGGAGTTCATTGCGAGGGTGCTTGTACTCTTAGGAACGTTTGGTTCCGCAAAGTCTGCGAAGGTACAAACATTCCCATTTGCAGCATTCTTTTTACACATTCTAATTCACTGCGCACACTTTCATTTACTGAGCACTGTCTTAACCACAAAATAATCGATTTAGATGCCATCACTATCAAGGGCACCGGAAGCGTCTTGATCCAAGGAGGCGGAGCTCAGGACGCCAAGGACAAAGTTGTCCAACACAACGGAAGAGGAACGGTCACCATCAGGGACTACACCGTCGTCAACGTCGGCAAGCTCTTCCGCAGCTGCGGTAACTGCAGCAAGAACGGTGGCCCAAGAAACGTCGTTGTCCAGAACATCAGGGCCAACAGGGTTAATGCTGACCTCGTTGGTATCAACTCCAACTACGGTGATGTCGCTACCATCTCTGGATCGTGCGGAACCGGTATCAAGAAAGTCTGCCAGGAATTCAAGGGAATTAACAAGAACGGCAAACAGGAATCGCCCCAGGTCGGCACCACCGCTAACTGCCGTGGCCCTCAATCCAAGTTTATCCCCGCCTGTTAAAAACAGGTTATGGAGAGACCTTTGGCCATGTATGATGGCCTTCCGCGCCATCTTGCATCGAGCTCAGTCCTAAAACGAAAAGATTGAAATAAACGTGCTTCTTTCAAAGCGAGATATGGAGTAAGAATGTGCGATCCTTGATCCTTTACATTCTGGACCTTGTGCTGACTGTCCTTGACCTCGTACCCCCCCTGATGTCCCTCTCTTTACTGGTGACACCTTGGGGTTTCCTTCTGTTTCCTTTTCACTCTGTGACATTCTTTATTTTGTGTGCTTTGACTTTCTCATTCCAACCATTGGAGCGCTGTCCCATGATTATGTCCTCCATGGCTTTCTCCATCCTGGATCAGATATACAAGAAATTGTATATCTATCATTCGGATGTTTCTTCGTCCCCGGTCCATGTATGACACGGAGGAACGTGTCGTATCCTGTCTTCGCCATATGTCAGAGATAATGGTGATGTCTACGTTCACTCGAGCACACATACACAACATATGCACAACACATACACACCCCTCACTTTCTCTCCTCACCGTAAGCGACCTTCATCATGAACGGTCTTGCGGACAAACATACAGATTGACAAATCAGTTATACTGAAAGATCCCCCTTTTTTTTGCTCCTCCCTGATGTGGCTCTCTTTTCCCTTGTCGCTTTATAGGTTAGCTTTAACGCTGCTCGGGAAGATGTGACCAGGTCAAGTACTCCTTAGGGATGGGGAGAAAGTAGGATGTCCATCCATCCCTAAATCTAGAGACGCCGCACGATACTACATTCCTGTTGCTGACCCGTTCCTCGAGCATGGTAGTGGTGTTATCTCCCTTCACTCCCAGACACTCATACACACAGATGTACATATACACACAAAATACAGATGTACATCTCGCCTCTCTCTCTTTCTCCCACCGCAAACAGAAATACAGACATGCCGGCATACGGATGGACATTGTCTATTTTTATTTTTGCTACGCTTTCCATATCCCCGCTGCTCGTTCGCTAGCCTTTTTTCTTATCGCGCAGGATGTTGTCGCGTCCACTCACCTTGTCTTGCCACCATTGTTTTCCCACCATACATGGTGGCAACAAAACAATGAAATCTTTCGACCACGAATAATCAAAATGCTCACAAAAACACATACATACACAGACATGGCTTTCCGTTGGATGGCTACGCGTTGAGTGCAAGTTTTGACTGTTCCCCCCCCCTTTTTTTTTGTATGTGTTGTCTATGTGATATTTCGGAACCGCGACTACTTGGGAAGAAGTCTGGAGCTACAAGAGTCGTATGGACGGAGGTCCATGTCAACAACAGCCTCGGATAGTCTCCTCATATCGCCCACTTCCCTCATGTCTGCTCACCGACCCATGTCCTCGAATTCGTCAGCTGGTGCCCCACAACAATACCATAGAGATCCTTAACTTGAAGCATAATCGATCATACATTAAAAAACATCGGCATACGTGTGGCGCGGTGTGGTATTGTGCTGCATTTTTTTTAGGGATGACTAAGGTGGGTAATACGATTACGACTACGACTACGACGATGTGACACTTCCTGACAATGATCGCATTGAGCCACACCACACGGTCCAAAAACGAAACCCGAACTCCTGTTTGTATGAAGTTTTCTTTTTTGATATGCAAAGAGGTCTGGGCTGATGTGAGGACGGGTTGAATTGTGCATTTGGATTATGAGTGTAGCAAATCCCCTTGTTTACTTTATTAGTGTCTTTCTAAAGCAATGGTTCGTCCAAGCTTGCTACAATGTGTTCATGAAAACTGAAACGTATGGTAAAAATTAAAAAAAAGGATAATAAAGCTCCTAACTGAATGCGCCATCTTCGACCATGCTTTCACTAGCTACTCAAAGAACTTGTGTAACACCCACATCTCTTCGTAACACCACTTCCTAAAGTCACTCTCAAGGCGTGGTGGCAACATAGTTCGAAGGGAACACACCATGCATCTGCTGGCCCGTCACAGGATCCTGCACAACCCCCATCCACCAGATATCGTCACTCATATCTACCACCAAGATTCGCTCTCCGGCCTTAAACCCCAGCTCGCCAATCTCCCGAGCCCTAAATGGGTACCGGGAATAGTAAATCGCGTTCCCGCCTGGCAGGTTGCTGCCAAAGGGGGTAGAGGTCCGGTTGGAGGTTGTTGAATCCCGGTTTGGGTTATGGAGGTAGTGTGCAGAGTGGATGGCGTCGCTGGGAGTCGTCATTGCTGTGGCAGGAGAGGTTGGCGTGGTTGCAATGGCGCCGTTGCCGGCACGAGGGGAGGAGACGTTGTTGTGAGCGCTGAGGAGGCTGGCATAGCGGGATTGAGAGAGCGTTGGGTTTGTTAAGTCGCTTGCTGTTGAGTCTCTCACTGTGTCTATTTAGAGTGGTGAATATAAGAGGAGTGAGTAATTAAACATTTCGTTTTTCAACGTGATGCGATGCAATGAAAAGACCAATGAGAATCATTAGTTACCTGGTTGGTTGGGCCCCGAGTGACGAGATTTCTTGCTGCGCCTATCGGGTGAAGGCGGCATATCTTCGTCGTCATCCAGTGGAGCATCGCCAGCACTTACACCAGTACCTGCAGTAGTAGATCGCTGTTGCTCATGAGTTCTCACAAACTCGGTCACCATCGCGCCAGTCGCTTCCTGGATCGTCGAGTTGGGTCGGTACACCTTCGGCCTGTTGCCAGTACTGCCATCGCTTCCGTCCTGACTTCTACCACCCTCTCCTGCAAGACTTTCCCCTGCAAATGTATCCACTATACCGGGCTTCTCGCGCATAGTGGGACTGCCCACAAGGGTATTGGCTGCCCCGGTGCTGTTGTTCCGCTGAGTGCGGTAGAGTCTTGCAGACTCCAATGCGCTGGTGATGCCTAGACTCTCCATCAACGCAGACGAGCTCTCGGGCTCGCTGTTCTTTTCAGATTTAGATCGCTTGAAGAACGAGCCCAATTTCTTGGACGCCATGGCAGTAGTACTGCCACCCACAAATGCTGCGCCTTGACTGGTTCCTAATGAAGAGTCTGTAGGGTACACCCCTCCACGGGGCCCACCGGTCCGCCGAAGGTAGCCGTCATACCCGTCCTCCATAAAACTCGACCCCAGTCGCGGTCTCGTTGCCGCCGCTGCGGGGTCGTGCTTTGAGAGTCGGCGTTTCAACCAGACATAGAGGAATCCGAGGAGGACGATAAGTGCGATGAGGGCGAGGGAGATTGCGATGGAGACGAGGATGACCAAGGGTACGGAGAGGTATTTTCGGGCAATAATTCGAGGTAAGTGAGCGATTGCAAGCGCCCGGAAGATGCCTTGGTCACGGACGCGGATATGGCCCTGTAGGGGTGTTGGTGGGATAGTTGGTGGTGTAGGGTCGACGCGTTTTGTATGGAGGTGGTGCAAAGTATCTTCTGAGTTTCGTTGTAACAAATGGTGGAGATCCCTGGCTGCCATTTGCGCCGAAGCGGAGGCAACGGTAGCATCAGCGACAAAAGACAAGGGCGACAAGGAAGCAGACGCGTTCCTTGAACTCTGTAAGAACGGGAACCAAGACTGTCCATCAAAAAACGCCAACGATGACGACTCCTGTCGACTGCTGGTCGCACTCATCGAACCCACCGTCGCTGCGGATCCTGATTCAGATAGTGAGTAAGACGAAGACGGATTGCCGAGGACGATCTTTCCAGAGATGAGGAGGATGTATCCTTGTTCGAGGATGTTTGTGGTATCGTTTGGATCGACAATTTTTGCGGACGCTGCTGTGGACGCGGTTGCTGAGGATGGCGATGCGGAGGAGGGTGGTGTTGTGGTGGTGGTGTCATTAGGGTTGGAGGAGGAGTCATTAGAATCATCATCATCAGTTGGCGAAGGAGGTGTGGACTGGATGGCTGTTGCAACTGGGGCACGGTTGGGTGCGTCCTTGGAGGCAGGGAGGATCTCCATCCTATGGATTTCACTCGTTGGCATGAAGTCGGGTGCTGTGTGTTTTTGGCGCGTGAGAATGTAAGCGCAGGGTTAGGTTGAGGAGTTTCATGATTGGATGGCCATAATCAGGGCCGTTGAATATCGAGCGAGAAACATGGAGGTAATGACTTACAAACGCGAACGAAGCGCTCTCCGTTCCATTTCTTGAAGTACGCTGACCCATCCGTCACACTCCTATTAAATAAACCCAATCCAAAAATAATAACATGTTAGCATGCAAAAGCAACTAATATATCAAATCTCCAAGCAACTCACACATGAAATCTCCAAATAGCATCGCTCGAATTGACTGTCCGGTTATCTAGTACCTTCCGGCGACAAAGAAGCTATGGAACAAGGAATCATGCGCGATGGCAGTGACTGGTCCTGGCAAGGTATCAGGCCCGGGGGGGCGAGCTGTGTTTGCAGAGGAGGAGGAGCTCTTTGAAGAATCCAGCATCGACCCGAATGTTGTCCACTTGCCATGATCGAAATTGAAACTCGCCACTCCGCATGCCACACCGTCCACTATCAAGTCTCCTGCCACAAACATATTCTTATCCTGACATAGCGTGAGAGAAAGAAAGGAGAGAAGGTAGGAATCAAGGAAAGAAAGGGAACGAAAAGAAAAGAAAAGAAAGGAAATGAAAAAAAAAAATCAAGTACCATTAGTATGTGCTTTTCGCCCAAAAAAATTAGGCAATGCAAAGAAACAAAATACTTACGTCTTCAAAAGCAATATCGTTCACGACGCCCTTCAAAACCCCCAGATGCTTCTTACTCCCCGCTCCATCACTATACACATTCCTGAAGCTCCCCTCCAAAGGCTTCTTCTTGTCGATCGCCGTCCTCGCCTGAGCTGGGTCCCAAAGACAAATCAGTTCACAGGAGACCCCACTCCCAACACCCGAAAAGTCTCCGGCAATGACTAAAGCACCAGTCTTGTCCCCAGGTCGGGGTTTGATCACGTTCACGACTGGATAGCCGCGGTTTGGAGAGCCTCGGAGTGCTGGTGTTGAAGCGATGGGCTGGTCGGTGTTGAGGTCGTAGATCAACAGGCTGGCGATTCCTGAGGTGGATTTGAAGGCACCTCCGAGAAGGAGTAAGTCGCTTCCAGATCCTTTGGCTTTGAACCCTGACTGTTCGTCTTTTTGAAGGCCCAGTGCCAAGACTTCTCCAGTGATCAGGGGCGAGGAAGCAGTGGCTAGGTTGAGTCGCTTGAAGGAGAGGGTTGGGTTGGAATCCGTCGGGTGGTTGAAGTACCCTGCGCCAATGGATCCATTGGCGTGAGCGCCGCCAACTAGGGTGACCCAAGCTTCGGTAGTTGGGTCGAAGTACATGATTCCTGCGTTCGTTTTCGACAAAGATGTTGTCGCATTCGAGGCAGAAATTGTACCTGACACATCGTCACTCGCAGAGCCAGCAGTAGGCGAGGATGTCGAGATGGTGGGAGAGAGGTTTGTCGTCTTGAGGATCCCAGATTTCGTCAACCAGGCGACATTCTCTGCTGGGCCGACTTGATAGGAGTCCAAGGAGTCAATCTGTCCAGCCACCAGCAAAACAGGCGAGCTTGGGCTTGATCCTTCAGAGCCAAGGTTACTGTTTGATCCGAACACCCGGTTCAAGTACGAGATCTCGCCTCGGACAAATCCAAACGGGAACCCGCCGCTGGGAGATTTCTGTTGGTCGCGAACCCATCGCTGGTTGTCCAAATCCCACACCGCCAATGTCTCTATACAGTTCTCTCCGCTTCCTCCCTCTGTCCACGAGAACTGACCCGAAATGATAAACTGGAACTGTCCATTGGGACCCGTTGAGAGTTCGATGCTGCGGAACTGAGCGTTGGGTTGGAACGTCTGGGTTGCGTTCCCGAAGGGTGTCCATGTCTGGGAAACAATGTCGTAGACCGCCAATCCACCGAAATCAGGCACCGAGGCAACAGAGGTTGTGAGGGCGCTATGGAAGGAGCCAACAACGTAAAGTGAGGATTGATAGAGAGCCATACCGGACACGATACCATCCAGACCTGAGGAGGCACCGCTACCGCCAAGACCTTGATAGTTGGATCCGTCCCAGCCGACAATGTTGCTGTAGGTAGTACCCTGGAACGCGCCAGCAATGAACAGCGTCGACGTCGCAGTAACAGAGGCACCGAAAGGTCCAAAGTACGAGACCAAGGCGTTCACCAACGATCCGGACGGAATCTGAGTCGGCAGGTTACCCCATGTCGAGTAATCCAAACCCTGAACGGTATCCTTCCTTTCCTTCTCAGAATCAGAAGAAACAAGGACAGAAGTACTCGGACGGTAAAAGATGAGGCCGTTGGTGTTGTTGAGGGTCGCTTGCTTCACAAACTGGATGGAGTCGACAATGACGTTTTGGGTAGCCCCGCCACCACCAGTCCCCGTCTTGGCAACCGAAGGTCCTACAACCACATGGGGTCTGAAATCCGAAGTGGTATGTGAAATCATGCCCGAGTAGATCTTGTCGTACTTGTCGGCGGTGTTGGTCTGCGACAATGTCAGGGTGATGACATTGTCAGGTGAGCCAAAGTACATGCTCACATCAACAAACCCACGATCTGCACACGCATTCGACGACTTGGACTCTGTTGCTCCACTTGAAGAACTACCAGAGCAGGCAGGTGTGTAGAGATAGACATCATAGAGACCCGACTCCTGAAGGTACGGCGACATATCGACATAGGCCTGTTTCCTTGACGCAGCATCGGTCGCCGAGATATTGGCTGCCTGGACGGTCTGCCACCCATCCTCCATCTTGGTCATGACCCAGTCAGCACCCAAGAAACTCGAGTACGCGGTCATATCTTTGCTGTCCTTGTGGTTGGTTCCTGACGCGATCGACGCCACAGCCTCCGCATAATTCGAAGCACACTTGGACGAAAAGTTGAGTTCATCCACCGCACGGACAAAGATCTCGGACTGGTACACCTCAATTCCACCCAGCCCACCACCTAGACCGTCCCACGAGACGATGTCAACCTGCACCGCGTTCAACAAGGTGGGTGTCGCGACTAAGAAATCCTGGTACTCTTGGTCAACAGTGGCCGCTACGCTTCTGGATTCCAAAGTACACACAGTACAGTATTGCTGGAGATTCGAAATAGGGTCAATGTAAGAGAGGTTGAGGACCTGGTTTGAAGGAAGGGCCACGATGGAGAAGGTTTTTGTGCCCCTGTTGGCGAATTCGGGGCCTTGGGTCGTATCGACGTTCCAGAGGCGAAAGAGGGTTGGAGTAATATAGTACGGGAAGAGGACACGCCAGTAGCCTGGGATGTTGTCCTGCATGATCCAGTTCCCGCGTGCCGCTGTTGACGGTTGGCAGATGATATTCCTGTCCTGCTCTGCGTTCAATCCGTTCCCCGTCATCACCTAGAAACATGCCAATGGTAAACAATCTGCGTTAGGTTGGTGCATATATACAAAACCCAGCAGAGTTGTATAGGACTGTAGAAGGCATTATCGGATTACCTTGGCGATATCAAGGTTGACAGGCTGAGTATCGGGTGCACTGTAAGCCTCTCCATCAGTAGTGGTATCAAACTGTCCTCCGAAATAAACGGTGCCATCCTGAGTCCTGGTGACGCTCGTCACAATACCATCCACTCCCTTGAATGGCAACGCCTCCCAGCTTCCTGATGCCCTCGTAATCGCCGACGATGATGGCGAAGAAGTAGGGTTACTCTCGATCGTCGCATCCGGGCTCCGTTTCCATACTGCAACGCCGCCGCCGAACGAACTAAGGGTCTGGTACCCGCTGCTGTTACTACTTTCGATATCCGAACGTGACTCCAGTTGTAGGGGGCCCATAAACTGACCCACAACGTAAACTTGCTTCGTGACAGAATCACACAACAAATCCTGAACAGGGCCGTTCAACCCGTTCTCCATGGGCAGGAGCCGTTTCAGCCTGGAATCGTACATGCCGACATAGTTGAGTCCTGAGGTTGGGACCATGTTGACAGGTATCGAACTGTTGGCGTTCGCCGAGTTGTTGACCATAGATGCTGAGGTCGGGATCTGCTTGAAGTTGCCAGCAACGTAAATCTGGTGTGGTGCGTCGTCTAGGACACAAGTGGCTGTAATCCCTGCACCTGCGGTCCTTGAGGCTGGAGATCCAGATGTTGTTGGCTGTAATGGCGGATCGATCGCAAAACTCGCCAGTAGAACGGGCACCGACAAAATCTTTCCTGCCCCTCCTCCTCCTGCTGTTGCTGTTGCTGAAGGCACTTTTGCCAACTCCAGAATCGAGAAGGTATTAAATTCGAAGGTGTTTTGTTGTCCAGTTGTTACCACGGGGGTGAGCGCATCAAAATCACCTAAGGCAGCCATCTGACCCAACAGCGCAAAATCGACAGGTGGTGGCACCATTGTGTGGAGGACTGTTGAAGATTGAGAGTCCTTGCGGTTGGCGAAAGAGAGGGGAACCCGTGCTGGAGTGGTGACGATCATGGACGCATTAGTGGTAGTTGGGAGGAAGGATAGGTAGGTGAGGAGGGTTGTAGTAGTGTAGAGTGAGATTGTTGCTAGGAGGGTGAGCGTCGGTATCTTGGTCCATGGTCGGTGTGTGGTGGTTGGGAGTTGAGCTAAGGTGGAAGGGAATGCTGAAGTGGCTGATGATGATGATGACGTTGTGGATGAAAATGCTATTGTCGTTGGTGGCGGAGGGTTGAGTCCCGCCATCGGAGGAAGACTATTTGTGAGTGTTGAGAAGGCTAGCAAGATAAATACTATGGTGGAAGTCCGAGGGGTGGAAGAATACTCTAAGAAGACTGAATCCCTGCAGGGTCATACACAGGGACAGGGAAACTCTTCGGTGTCTAGGGCTGGGTGATGTGACTATTACTTTTTGACGCGTGCAGGTTGATCAACTGGACGCGTTATGTCTTGGATAAACTTTGTGGCTCTCACAGAATATCGATGGTGAAGGCCGGAAGAGGGTGTGTTGAGAGGAGTTATGCTGGAGTTAATGCAGAGGAAGAAGAGGCGAGGTGACAAGGGTGTAAAAGGTGAAGAAAGGTAGAAGCTGGGTAACGGTTGGAGGATGGGATGACAGCGACAAGGGTAGGTGGGTGAACAGGTGCTGTCAGGAGTAGAGATGTTGGAAGTATGAGAATTGCGACAGCAGCTACGGGGTGTGTGAGCGTGTGTGTGTTAGCACTTGGAGGTGGTCGTGAAAGAATGAGGGAATGTAAGGTGAATCGCAAAAGAAAGAAGATGAATGCAAATGCAAGAGGTGTATGTCGAATGAGTGTGAAGGGAGTGAATGAGTGAGGGAGAAGGAAGGGTGAGTCTGTTGGGGTTGCCAGACGGGCGGTGGGGAGTAAGAGTGGCGAGTAATACTAGGAGCTGCAGTATTCAAGACAGAATTGAAAAGGGTGAGCAACAGGAAGGGAGAAAAGGGAGGGAAAAAGAATAAGATGAGAGGGGAAAAGAGAGGAGGAAGGAAGGAAGGAAGGAAGGAAGGAAGGAAGGAAGGTGAGCTCAAAAAGTGAGGAAGGAGTGAAAGAGAGTGTAAGAGAGAGAAAGGAGACCCAGGTGGGATACCTGTTAACACAAGATCCATCCGCTCTGGCACCCTCTCTCTCTACATGTATGAACGTGACAATAGAAGGCGTCGGGAGGGTACCAACGAGTAATTCGCGCACCCGTTCAAAGTGCTTCGCTCGCCTCAATCCAAATCCTATCGTATCCATCTCTTTTGTGTTTCCTCTTTCAGTCATTCCTTCTCATGTCCACGCGCCTGGTCGCAATTCTTGACAACGAAGGAACAATACATTGACGCCGAAGGATATCCTTCTTGAAGAAGATATGCGCACACAACAATTTCACAAACAACCTCGCCAGTTGGTACTTTCATCACATCCACGACACCGGTGAACACGGCAACCTGGAATGAAAGCAATAAAGGTATCGGCCCCTCTACCCTTTTATTTTATTTTATTTTTGTAGTCTTTTATTGGCGAGTTGCATTAGCATTTTTTCAAGGGGCGGCCTTTTCTCTTTTGTATCCCTCGAGGATGAGGACAAGGACAAGGACAAAGGACCAAGGGGCACCATCCCAGCGCGTTTCTTTTTTCTTTTTTCTTTTTTCGTTGCTTCAAAGTTCCGTCTCATTACCTCCGTTCTTGTGTCCGACCAACCCCTCATTCTTTTCTTTTTGCTGTTACTTGTCTCCTTGATTTGTATTACTCTTCACGTATTAATACGAGCCTCCGTCATTTTGGCCTCTATCAATTCGGTCTGTTCTTCTGAACCCCTTCTTTTCCCTTTTTCTTTTTTGGTTTGAAAGTCAACTTGTCAATAATGGCTCTCATGCGAAAGACGGTAGTTTTTTTCATGAAGAGTAGCAAAGTGGCAACGAAGTAGTGTGTCAACCTATGCCACGTTCATCGAAAAGAGGAACCTCGGGGTGAACATACGTGCTTCTAGTTGCTGACACATCCAAGTAGAGCACAATAAACGATGCAGACAAACAAATAAGCAGACAGGCAGGCAACAGACTGGCAAGAGCAAGGGCTCCCTCCTTGTGGCCAGGGCCAGCCAGTGTGGGCACCGCAATTGTGATTGACAGTCACTTTAGTGCTCATCCGACAACAAAACATTACCACACAATTCCCTAACTCTTCCTCTCTCTCTCTCACACACACACAAGTACATCTCTGCCCCAGGACACAATGGCGGCACTACTTCGGACATCTCCCAACCTCGGCCTCCGGATACGGAACCTCGCCCTGACAAGGACTCAACAGACATCAACATCACTCAGCACCCGATTCGCCTCCTCCCTCGACACTCCGATCAGAACAACACCACCCGCCTCACGCACTACCCCTCGTCGCACAACCTCGTCTCCTCATTACCCTCGGAAGGAGTTTGTCTCTGCCTTTGTCGGAGGCACCAATATCGATGATACCACACCCCCATTCCCTCCGCCAACATCAGTATCGAAATCATCATCACCATCATCATCATCATATTCAAGGAGATCCTCACCCACGAGAGCAGTCGCCCCAGGGTCGACGGCTTCAACAACCCAAGGTCTTCCCAACAAGCACCTACTGATCACCAAGGACTTTGCTAAATATGTTCAAAAAAACCGCACACCGCAGCAAGTGCTGGATCATGTCATGGAGGCGCGGTACCAGCGGGACTGGGACTTCATGCTTGGACGGATCTTGAACGAATACCTTAAGCAAAACCAGGTCTACAACATCGAGCCCCTCATCATAGAGGTAAAATTTGTTTCGTTGCGCTGAAAGACTTGACAATTGGAAGACAACATTTGAGTGAGCAATCGACTGACAACCTTCTCCTCTTGGTAATTAGATGGAGAAACGCGGGCTATCAGTTCAGTCAGACACATACACGGTCCTCCTCCGAGGACTCGCAACGTTCGCCTTCTCTTCCTCACACACTACCGCCGCACAATCCCTCTACAGCCGCCTCAAATCACAGTACAACCACCCACCCACTGTGGAACAGGCAAACTCCATGATCCGGATGTATCAACGTCTCGGCAACAACATCGAGGGCATCGAACAGGTCTACAACGACATGGCCAAGAAGGGACCCGACGCACCCACAGTCGTCACCTACGGGACCCTTATCAAGTCCTATGGACGTATCGGAGGCGACCGAGCATTCGAGAGGGCATGGAGAGTTTGGGTCGAGTACTTGAACACAACCAATATCCGTCGAGAGGATGGAGATGCCATGGATACAGGGATGCTGGGTGCCATTCTGACGGCGTGCAAAGAGGCGCACAACCCGGACTATGTCAGGAGAGGCTACCGCCTGTTTGAGTCTTACTACGGGATGCAGACTGGATCGCCAACACCATTGGGAGCAACGTCTGTTGTTCCTGCAGGATTTACTGCTGGAGGGGCTGGAGGATACGGACATGTGCGACACCAGGGCGGACCCAGCAAGACGTCGTCCGTTGCTTTGGACGAATCGGCCTCGAATAAGGGTCTCACCATCGGCAAGGGAGCCGAGTACGCCAAGGCAGATGACCCGCGACCCGAGATGTTGGAGCTGGTCATGGCGACCAGTTTTCAACTCGGGGAATTCGAGCGGGGGATCCGGTACATGAAGTTCATCCGTGAAAAATTTCCGGAATTCGAGCCCAACAACCGTAACCTGACGACCTACATGCGTCTCCAAACCGCAGTCAAGGATTACAACGGAGCCTTCAGGACTTTTGACGAGGTTGAAGCGTTGGGTCAGGAACATACCCGTGCCTCATGGAAGCAAGGGCTCCAGACTGCTTTCGAGGCTAACGACTGGAGCAGGACGTTTGGGATGTACAACGAGTTCAAGAAGAGGAGCCAGAAGGGTCAGGGCTCGACAGGCGAGATCTCCCACGACGCTTGGACTCTGGCCACGACACTCCGGGTGGCCGTTCGGTCGAACCACCTTACAGAGGCGCTCGAGATCCTGCAGGAGAGCCAGTGGCAGAATGTCATCAAGAGCCGCGAGTTCCCAAGGGCGAACCTCGACATTGCTCGGGCGGCCGTCAAGGCCTACTCCGAAGTGCTCCATGGGCCCGACGGAAAACTTTCTCAAAGTAGCAGCGGTACTGAGGAGTGGAGCAATGATGAAACGCAACCTGGTGGTAACGGCAAGGACGACAAGATTGTCAATGGCGTGAATCTGACCCAGGAGCTGAAGACGGCGCTCAAGATCCGCAACCAGCTCGAGTTTGCACTTGCGAACTATCATTCTGATGGCGCCAAGGCCTACAAGAAGCGCGCTATTTCCCACGGTGAGGAGCTTATTCTCGGCGGTGAGAGCTCATCCTCAGGGTCCGGCCGTGGAAGAAAATAAAAAACATTGTAAATATTTCTCTGTCGCGTCTCTGTGCGTGTTTCTTTGTGGTAGCTGGAAAGCGTGTCTTTCGTGAGTGTTCAGCGTACTTTCGTATTCGTGAAAAGGTGAAAAGTGGGGTGGATCAGACCCAGGCCCCTTAACTGGCACGAATTATGTTTTCGTCAAAAAAAACAGTGGAGTTGGCTCTGCCAGAACGCCTTCACGAACAAAAAAAATGGGATGCCTTCCTTTCTATTCTTCTGGTTCATTTCTTTCTTTCATTCTACACAATCACTACGAGGACAAAAAGACATGTCGACGCCCACAGCAACAATGACAATAGAATCCCTCGAAGTCAAGGTCAAGCACCTCGAGCAAGAAAAGGCAGCCCTCGAACAGGAGGTCCGCGCATTGCGTCTTGAGCAGAGCATTGCCGTTCCAAGCAGTGGAGACACAGTCACGAATGACTCTCGAGGTGCAACACCCTCTTCTGCGTTCACACCGTTCGAGAAGGTTGCTGCATTGACCAACCCTGAGATTGCTCGCTATGGCCGTCAGTTGATCCTGCCTGGCTTCGGTATCCAAGGTACGATTCCATCCACTTTGTTCAGTTTTCTGTACTGTGATCGTTATTATCCCTCGTTGAATGCTCTTGTTTTTCTACCACCCTATAGCATCCTTCGCACAGTCGTGGACAGACAACTCACGATCGTTGTTTATTCCCCTTTCTCTACTACATAGCACAAATGGATCTCAGGAACTGCTCAATGCTGGTAGTCGGTGCAGGAGGACTGGGAGCATCATGTGCATTGTACCTGGGAGCTGCAGGAGTCGGGCGACTGGGGATTGTGGATCACGACACGGTCGATATCTCGAACTTGCATCGACAGGTGATTCATAATGAGGCCAGACAGGGCATGTCCAAAGCTCGATCCGCAGCGCTCTCGATCCAACTGTAAGTGTGGAGTGAAACTGACATGAACTGCGCACGAGAAATGAATAAATTTCTCAGAAAACGATGCACACAACCGGAATGGCTAACCTACTCACTGCTTTTTTTGTGCGTGCTTTTAGGTTGAACCCACATTGCGAAGTAGTCGTCCATGAACTGGTACTCGAGAGCTCGAACGCACAGGAGATCGTCAACGCCTACGACATCATCATTGACGCGACAGACAATGTGGCGACGCGGTATCTGTTGAACGACGCCAGCGTGTTGGGTCAGAAGCCCCTTGTCTCTGGATCGGCCTTGCGATTGGATGGACAATTGACGATTTACAATTACGGTGGTGGGCCTTGTTACCGGTGTTTGTTCCCGACCCCACCTCCCTCCGAGACTGTGACCAATTGCTCTGATGGTGGCGTTCTTGGCGTCGGTTAGTCAAGTGACGATTATTTAGGAGAATAATTTGTTTTTTTGTCTGACCAAAGCCTAAACTAACATATTTTTACTCCTTGTTGTATGCACATGATAGTCCCCGGGATCATTGGATGCCTTCAAGCGCTGGAGGCGATCAAGATTGCCACCGGACTCAACAGTATGTTTAATCCGTTTGGACATTCTTTTTTTCTTTCATGGACTCTATGCGATACAAAAACCTTGTTCAGGTAGAACCGCGACTGATCCCGATTACTCACTACTTCTCACCACTTCTCATCACAAATGTTTTGTAGAGGAGGATCCGCCGACAATGACACTGTTCTCAGCAAACTCCTCAACCATGTTCAGGACCATCAAGCTGCGGAAGCGCAAACCCGACTGTATCATGTGTGGGGACGCTCCAACAATTACCAAGCTCATCGATTATGTCCGGTTCTGTGGCAGCAGTGCAACCGACAAGACACCAGACTTGTTCTTGATCCCTTATAATGAACGGATAACGTGTCAGGTATGACTCTACGCGTCAGAAAATGTTTTCTTGTTTGAATGGTATGCTTACTGAATATACCCAATTGGTCTTTCTTTTTTTTTGAATTTGGTGTAGAGTTATAAGGAGTTGTTGAAGGACAGTGTACCGCATTTACTTTTGGATGTTCGCGAGAAGGTGCAGTTTGATATCTGCAGCCTCCCTTCGTCCCTCAACATCCCCTTGAAGGCACTCCCGAACGAGTTGGAAAAGGTTAAGGCCAGGCTAGACGGACACAACGATCGGCCAGTTTATGTAGTGTGTCGTCGTGGTAACGACTCGCAACCAGCGGTCAGGATATTGCAGGAGAATGGGATCACCACGGGGGAGGTCAAGGATATTGTGGGTGGATTAGAGAGGTGGTCCAATACCATTGACCCAGACTTTCCCAAGTACTGAAAAAAAAAGTGAGCGAGGTAGGGTAGACAAGTCGTTGGGCACGATGAGTATCGGGCGTCGGTCGTTTGTAGAATAGTTAAAACATCATAGAAGACCCCCTACCGATAAGCCAAATGCGTCATTTCATTACTCTTTATCTTCTGAGCTAACAAAAAGTGCACATGGACACCATATACCACCACAAGGTCGGAGTTGGGTTGTTGGACAGAATCAACGATAATGCCTATTTTCAGTTGCTGGGTGGATTGTGACAGGTGTTTACCCCTGCCTTTCTAGTTCATGGGATGAAGAAGAAGGAAAAGAGAAGGGGGGAAGCAATTGAGAAGGAGAGAAGCAATTGAGAAGGAGAGAGCCGAGGGCAGCCATGTCTGTGTGTGTGTGTGTGTGTGTGTGTGTGTGTGTGCGTTGGTGGTCCAAAAAAAAAAAAAAAAAAAAGAAGGTGGAGTCAGGGCAAAAGGGTTCAGTGAGAAATAGCGGGTGTAGAAGGTTCGGAATGACGATGGGGCGACCATGTTGAGGAGATGGTTTTCGCCCCACAAAAGTGGTTGCTCTGTCTCCTCGCAATTGAGAAGATCCACCCAATATTTTTTTTTTTTTTTTTTTTTTGTCCGTGTGCAATGTGATTGGATGGTGACTGAGTTGGATTGAATACTGATATGCGAATACAGTATAGCTCAACCAACCCCAGAGGGGCTGGATGATGAATTATTGAGAAGAGGGTAAGGCTTCCATTGCTCGGTGTTGACGCCACGACGTGAGTGAGGGCTTTAATTGTGCGTCCCTTATCCAAGTGGACAAAAGAGCAGGTAAGAAGGGCGTTTCTGTCGTCGTACGCGATCACATCAACAACAGTAATAGCATACAACATGTCTTATCGTCGTGCATGTTGTTGTGCTTGTTACGCAGACTGGGTCTATCTATCACGACTCAATCTATCTGTATCGTATCTATCATCATCTCCCCCCCTCGTCTCCCCCTCTCGGCAAAAAGGGGTGGCGAGGATGTTAGCAAGACTTTTTCTTTTTTCTTTTTCCTGTCTTCATTCCATCTCTCTTTGTCTCTCATTCCACTCATTCCTTTCTCTCTTTCTCTCTCTCTTTTCTTATTTCTTCCTCTTCTCTTTCTCCTCTCAACAAAACATACACGCACTCCCTCTAACATACATATAATATCAACATGGTCAAAGGTAAACAACAGTAACACCAACTGCTTCAACAAACAACACCGCCTGTTTACACCGAGTCACATACGCCCAATACAACGCCATACCTTACTATCCTCCTACTAACCCACCTCTCCACTCTCTCTCTTTCTCTCAACCATATCTTCATAGTCGTTGTTTGCGGTGCCGCTGGCGGTATTGGTCAACCCCTCTCGCTCCTCTTGAAGCAGTCAGAACACATCACCCACCTCGCCCTCTACGACGTCGTCAACGCCCCCGGAGTCGCCGCAGATCTCTCGCACATCAACACCCGCTCGACTGTTACAGGCTATGGCAAGGAGGCCATAGACGAGGCCCTCGTGGGAGCACATACTGTTGTCATCCCTGCTGGTGTGCCCCGTAAACCCGGCATGACTCGTGATGACCTCTTCAAGGTATTTTTTTTTCTTCTGTGATTTGATTCATATTGAGTGTGTGAATTGTGGTGGTTGGCAATGAACAGGGAGAGCGGAAGAGAGTGACGCGGTGTGGATGTGAACGTGGAAAGGGATGAGAGAAATGAAGTCGTCATCGAAGAGTAATGAAAGAGGGTTTTGCACTTCTCGTGCTAGTTTTCTTATCTGAATAATCGGAGTGTGTGGATGTAGTGGGAGATGAAAATGCAGGAGGGAGAAAGGGAAACTGACGCGGCCGAGGAAAAGGGATGAGAAATACAATCACGAATGAGTGCTTTTCGCACACCATTCTCTTACTTTTTCTCGCGTCTGAATAATAAGATCCGAAGCAGGTATCTTTCTCCTTGATACTCACCTCTGACCCTTCTTCTTTCTTGATGTAGATCAATGCTGGCATTATCCGTGATCTGTCCGAAGGTATCGCAAGGAACTGCCCTACTGCCTTTGTCCTTGTCATCTCCAACCCCGTCAACTCGACCGTCCCCATCGTCGCAGAGGTCCTCAAGAAGCATGGCGCATTTGACCCCAGGAGGTAAACAAACAATGGATGATGATCTCGGCATTTTTTATTCTTCCTTTGTTATCGAATCTCCCTGTCGACACGTTGGTCTCCCCCTTCATTTTCTCTCTCTTCTATCGCGATAAAAAAATGATTGAGATGAGGACTTCACACAATGGAAGAAGGGAAGAAGAGAGAGGGCTCTCAACATGATTGTAACCAGGGGGATGTAGAAATATGCGCGATAAGGTAGGCAACTAAGAAAGGAGAAACGTTTTATACTAAACTTTATTTTCCCTCTCTCCCTGTATCTTACTTCCATGACAATAGGGTGTTTGGTATCAGCACACTGGATGTGGTTCGCTCATCGCGCTTCGTCTATGAACTCGACAACTCGATCGACCCCAAAAGCACACGCGTCACAGTCATTGGCGGACACAGTGGCATCACAATCGTCCCCGTCCTCTCTCAGATCCCTGGACAAAAGTTCACCAAGGACCAGCTCGACCTGTTGACCCACCGCATCCAGTATGGAGGAGACGAAGTAGTCAAGGCCAAAGACGGTGCAGGATCCGCAACATTGTCAATGGCCTTCGCAGGAGCACGATTCACACAAGCGATCCTCGAGGCTACTGTGGCCGGCAAGACAGGGTTGGTCGAGTCGACGTATGTCAACTTGCATGCAGACGAGGAAGGAACGGCTGCCTTCCGGGCCAAGACTCAGCTGGAATACTTTGCACAGGATGTCGAATTCGGACGCGAGGGAGTGAGCAAAATCCGACCCTTGCCCGAGTTGTCTGCCTACGAGCAGACGCTCTTGGACGCGGCTGTTCCTGAGCTCAAGGTCAACATTACCAAGGGAACTTCCTTCATCACCGACGCACCCAAGATCTAAGCAGGTTGGCGGAATATATTTCATTTTTTATTCTTTGCTAGCAAGCGTAGTTGGGTCGTTTTTGCTGTTCTGTACATAACGCGTCCACAATGAAACCACAGTAATAAACAACATGAAACTACAAGGATAGGTTACGCGTTCACTACTTAGTTACCACTACAGAAGCGTGTCACTTGGACGTGATGTTGGTGAGTGATACATCAGGGCCTAGGAAGAGTGAGGATAGAGACATGGAGGGAAAAAAAATTAGACTCTAGGACGGCCACCATTGATCAATGTTCCAGCAGCATGCATGCACCAGGACTACATCTTTTTGCAGAATAATGCACTTTTCATAGGAAAATGCACATCTTTTCCACTGAATTGAAAAATATAAGGAATGTTATTCGGTGAACTGCTGGAGAATGTGCATTTGTCGCCTCGACCATGCGCCACATCAAACCGAATCTTGCCAAAGTCCTTGTTCCATTGTGTGATCGACGTTTTCTTTTTCTTGAACCATGCAAACATTAAAAGAGATTCCATTGTTCTTGACATCACTGACAAAACAACAGTGCCGGAGCTTTACTGGAATGGAAGCACCCCCAGTCCGTTAGAAGAGAGTGCGAGAGGGAGAGAAGTTTAGGACATGGTGGGAGAGGGGATGGAGGGGTCATGGCAAGCAAAAACAAAAGAGCTGTATTGTTTCTCTATTTTTGCATCCATGGTTTCATGGCACAATGGGTCATGCACTCCTACCATCCACTTTCGCATTAGAGTCTTTTTGTCCTTTTACGCGTTATGAATGGCCCATGCGTTATCTCTCGAAAATTCAAGCACGACCACTTGGTAAAATCCAGGCACAATCATCAATTGGTTTTATTTCATTTCTCCAGTTACAAAAGGAGAGAGTGGCAAAGAAAACATGGAACCATAACGCGAGAGGGAGCGAAGTGCAGAAGTTGGGTTCACAGAAAGATGACACAACGAACAGTAGAAGTTGGTGACTCGTCTACCCTTTTGATTTTCTTCCTTTGTGTGCATGGCAGATAGTTCTTGCTCTGTTCCTTAGTCGGAATAAATAAAGAGAAAGACGATAAAATATGATCAGCACGAGAGACAAAGCTAATATCTGTGTGCACAGAAGGGACGAAGGACTGTCCGCTTCGCACCGCTGGTCGTGATTCGCAAGAGATAATTACTATGTCTCTGAGACTATTTTGCCCTTACTGCTTTGGCGCATTCATTTCTACTGGTCGGAAGCCATCCTCATGAATTTCCTTGCAAGCGCGTTAATCACTTTTTTTTTTTGTTTACAGCCTGCATGAATGCATGCAGAATAGACCCAAAGCGTTGTTGTTTAAAGAGTGCTCCATTGGTTCAGTCAGTACATCCTTTCAATGGCGAGTATTCGACTTTTTCTTCTCTCCTCCTTTTTTCCCCCTGTTCCATCTTTTTCTGTCCCTACATCACCCCTTCACTTCATTCTTTTACTCTTTTCACTCATTCACCCCTCTCCCAACGTCATCAGCATCCGCTTCCTTCTCAAGGTCATCACCATCATCATTCACATCTCCCTCGCAGGCCGTAAACACCATCTAGTCCTACACTTCTTCGCTCTCCTCACCCACATACATACTCAACACGCACAAAAATAATATCCTACAAGAGGATTATCCTCAAGTGAGTGTACAGGCAATTCGATCAGGTTTGACAAGAGCATCCCACCCAACGCCGGTACCCCTGCCACACCCGACGAGATATACCATGTCGAGACTCACCCCGATCCCGAGACATGGGTTGTCCCGTTCCTGAAAGGCAAAGATTTCACAATGTATGTGCATAATGTGGCCATTTGCAACTTATCGTGGGAGAAGCACTTGCGGAGTGTACAAGAACGACACGCACACTAATGTTGTCTGCTTGGAAAATGAACACAAATCATTAGTCTTCAGCCTCGCAGGATCGCCGCCGTGCCGAACATTGTCTTGGATGTGATCGTAGATACTCCAGTGACCGACAATGTGCGGGTCGCTTTTCCTTAGCCCCGACAGCTGGAGCTTCAGCCTGTACCACCGCAGGACGACGGCACGATAATGGTCAAGGTTGCATCCCAGGATGCCATCTCAACACCTATTGCTACGTCGACGCCCATTACTACGACTGCGACATCCACGCCCAACTCAACGCCCTCATCCAGTGCCCCTTCTACTGCAACATCAGCTGCCCGACGGAACCCAGTCTACGGTGTTGTAGAAACGAAGATGGAAAACTACACTCATATTAACAAACCCCTTGCATTCCCGTCAGCTCGAGGTCCGCAAGCAGTGTTGGACGATCGAACACCAGTGGTCAAGTATTCTCCAACCACTCCTCGTCTTGACAGCAACAACAGACCTCAGCTGCGAAGACCTCACATCGCGACAACCGATGTGCCCATGGAGATGGATGTGGCCCAGACGAGCATCAGTGCCAGCCTTGGGGACAAGTATGCCCAGGTCGCGCTTGGCGACATGTACAGGGATGGCAAGGGGGTTCCGCATGACTATCAGGCCGCCATGGATTGGTGCCTCAAGGCTGCCGAACAAGGATATGCTGTCGCTCGTCAAAATGTCGGAGTTCTCTACAACCACGGCCAAGGTGTGCTCCAAGACTACGCACAGGCAATGGAATGGTACCTCAAGGCCGCTCAGCAAGGATATACTGCAGCGCAATACGACATCGGCGTACTTTATAACAACGGCCAAGGTGTTACCCAGGATTATACAAAGGCCACGGGGTGGTTCTTAAAGGTTGCCGACTGGGGACACAAGGGTGCTAAGTGAGAATTGTAGGCCTTGAGGGATATGGTTTTGCTTCAACTAAAAAATAAAATTACGATGTGAAAAATCCGTAACGATCCATCGTATTTAGGTGCGAGGGGTGGAGCAAGTCAACTCTCTTGTTTTCAACAGGGCAAAGATCGTTGAGCATTAAGGATATGCGTATTATTGTCATTCTCTATGTCTACTTTCTTTCTCCTCCCTCCCAAGATCTAACATCTACCACACCTTCACATATCTCGTTAGGGCTCATAGGCGTACCCGCCTTACACTTGAAATGCTCTCGCGAAATCAGACGAGTTCTGGGCAGCGCCGTTGATTCGCCACTGGGGAGGCGAATGGTTGCTGTGGTTGACGAGGCCTACAAGTGACTCTAGTGACATCATAGTACACCACAGGGGGGCGTAAGAGATGAAAAAGAGTTGTTCTGGGGGCTTGTCGTTCGGTAATCTTGACCAGAACTTGTTCAAAGTGTTGATAGGGTGAGGAACGATCAACCGGAAAGTGGAGATCCCAACTGGGGGCGGTGTATTAAGGGAGCTTTCGTCGGTTCAAAAAAAATAATTAAAGTGTCACACACACACACACACACACACACATATATATATATTTGGACATGGTAGAAGACAATGAGACTTATGCTTCGTAAAAGTCATCAAAGGTAAAAGTTCAGGACTTTCAAAAGCAGAAATAGAAACAAAAGACAATGAAATAGGGTACTGGAAAAAAGTGATTGGTTGAGGATAAAAAAGAATATGTTGAAAAAACAGAAAGTTATATAATGAAAAAAAAGTAATGTCTAAACACACTGTGCGAGTGGTATTGTGGTGTTGTTTTTGCCGTTGTGTAGTTTGTTGTTGGCGTTAGAGTGTTTTCCTTTGTTGGTTGTTAGATGGCGTATGATTCCATGAAATTTTCATAGCTGCTGTGCAAGAGCATATTGAAAAAGTTGATGTACGAAAGTTTGGATCCCTTTGCTGGCAGAAGCGGCTCCGCCATGCTGAATAGACGCTCTGATTCTGATGATGTTGCCTGGACACAGAGATACGCGCGAGCCAGCACCGACATTAGAGGGAACATATCTTCCAGATCGCGCCAAAAATCCTGAGGTTCATTCAGCGCACGGGCGAAGGCCTTGGGATCTTCAATAACCATATTGAAGTACTTGTCCAGCTCATCCTGTGCCCTCGATCTAGGCCACTGCTTGGTAGCACTGTCGACAATGTCTTTCCATGAACGTTGAGTTTTTACGGGTTCCGCAGGGGTTGCAGCTTCTGTCTCCGTTGCCAACTCCAACAAAGCTGTCCAAGCAAGATCCTTGGCCTTGATCAAAAATGGCGAGTCGACGTTGAACAGTGGGAAGTTGAAGCATCCAGGGTTTAAAAACATTGCGACAAGAGTGGCATCTGGAATATCGTCGACGACGAATATGGCTTCAACCTGGTTCGTTAGGTCCACGTGAAAATCCCGGGCTGGTTTGGTGGTGCCTGGCTTGAGTGGTGGGGCAAGAGCGTGACCATGGATCCTTGGGTAAACGGACGAGATGGTTGGATACTTGAATACGCCAAGTGAATGCTCAAGAGCCGCCGCCAGTGCAAGAAGCTTGTTGACATCATGGAGTTCACAAAGCTCTTGGTAACTGAGCAGACTTTGCTTTGCAGCCTTAGCCTTGTCCGAGTCGACCTTGACCAATGAGCGACTCACAACATCGACTACGCTCTCGATCTCCGCAGAAAGTTTGTGGACTCTGGCTCCCATAAACGCCCGGCTGTACCACCCCATCTCGTTAATCTTGCTGAGCTTGAAGACCTTCTTCCCGCGAACTTTCTGCTCGAGCTCCAAGGCTTTCTTAGCCGCGTCACAGCGGTAGAAAAACTGGACGACGTGCTCACACTTCTCGAGCAAAGCTATGGCAGAATCGGGCTTCTCCTTTCCCTTGCCTAGCGCCGCGTCGATGCAAAGACGAATGGAATGTGCTGCACAATGGATCCAAGACACTTTCTGCTCCTGCTCCTGCTGCCTTTCCTTGAAAAGCTCCACGCATTTCTTCATTTTAGAGGTCCCGTCCGTCGTAATGGCAAGCAGTTTTCCTCGAAGTCGCCATTCGTCGACAATCCTCTCTGCAAAAAAAATAATCCATTAATGGTAATTACAGCGGAGGCAGACAAAAACCAGGGAGAGCTCAAGTCAATGTTGAGAAGATAATAAAACCCCAATGGAAACACAAAAATAAATGAAGCAAGAAAACGAAACAATAATCTTACCAAGCTCTTTACAAAGGTAATCGGCACTCCGAGACAGTTCCATCGACGCCATGCCGATCGCAAGTGTCTTCATATCGTAGTCGGCGTTCATGAAGTGCAGAGTGACTCCAAGACATCTCCTGTCGCCGGTGCTATTGGTCCACGTGTCCATCGTAAGGGCTCCCCGATACATGTTATCCGCGAGGAATCTGACCATGGCGTTTCTCCAGTAGCTGACCTGTTCGCTGAGTATCTTCTGTAGTGTAGGAACTGCTGGGATCGTGAACGAGGGATTGACCAGGGTCATCATCCCTTTAAAGTCGGGCGAGGCTAGTGAAGCGAAGCTAACGCCCTCTTTGGTAACTAAAGATAGGAGAAGACTCACAAACTTGTCCTGTTCTGTCCGGGTTGGTTGCAACCTATCCGCGGTGGCTCTGGCTAGAGCCATCTCTTGAAGACCTCGAAACTCCAAAAGCGCTCGGTGAATCTGGCCATGAACTTCCATGACGTGCTTCATTCGAGGTTGTGGACTTCCTTTGAGGGCGAGCGAATGTCCACAAATCTCCTCCACCACGACCGTTGCTCCTTCCACCATTCTCGTTTTGGACATGACAACCTGACAACGCACCAAATTTTCGTCCGAGCCTTCCCGCTTGAAGAAGTGACCTTGAATGCTGCGTTCTTGTGTGGACTTTGTTTTCGGAATATAAGCAAGATGCTCCTGGCCCGCCGGAGCGTGTTTGAGGCACTCTTCTGGTTTGGGGACGGTGCCGAGGGGAAGGGTGGAGTAGAACCCCTCCCAAACTGGGTCATAAACAGCAGTACGGACAGGACTCTGGGGAAAAGGCGCCTCAGTAGACAAAACAAAGGAGGAGAGATTCGGCGGGTGGGGGGTTCCCAATCCAACAGACGACATTGGCGATGGCGGAACCTGCAGTCGAGATGGCGTTCCAAAAGGCAAGGATGGCGATGAAGAAGGGGAAAACTGCACAGCATGTTGGTGACCGGATGGAACTCTTGGTTGAGATAGGATCTCTTGATTTTCATACATGGCGACCTTTTGTCGAGTAGAATACGGCACCCCATGCATACCAGGAAGATAAGACAGGAAGTCCTCTCTAAGGTTGGGTGACGACGTTGAACGCGAAAATGTCCTCTTCACCCTGGCGGTCATTACGATACTACTCCCGGCTTGAAGCGACTGAGCCGGCGTCTTTCTTTCAGTGGGACGGTGAACTGCCAGCTTCGGCTTGGAAAAATCAAAAGGCGACTGCTCTACGGGAAACGCCGTTAGCTCTTCGTCGAGGCACGGGGACTGCCGATATGTTGGTCGTTTGCGCGGATGCGAACTCGCCCTCGAGGCTATGGTTGTCGAATCGGCACTGCCCAATAGCGCTTCATTTGTCGCTTCCAAGTCGTTCGAGCCCATAGCATTCCTAAGCGGACGTTTCTCCAGGCGGCGTTGAGCCTTGGCTGCTCCCTGTTAAGAACAATAGTGCTGTGTTAGTAATGAATAAACGGGAGCGATGAAGACAGTGCGTGCGAACTTATGCATGCACTTACTGGTGGTTGCGGTATCGGGAGTGACTGACTTTCAGCCATGCCGCTAAGTCCTTGTCGGCCATTTTGAGAGCTGGCGGACCAAAATGCATCCTCGTCCTCCGGTATAACATCGCCATAGTCGTTATAGTATCTCGATTTCTCGCAAAAGTAGCTGTTGAGGCTGTCGGATCCCCCTTCTCTCTCCACTTCTTCCTCTTCCTCTTCCTCGTCCTCCTCCTCGCTGTCGTTAATGTCAAATTCCGAGTCCTCAAGAGGGTCATAAACAAATTTGGATGAGGGGGTCATGCTAAGTTATTTGTTTATAGTGATGTGTGTGTGTGTGTGTGTGTGTGTGTGTGTGTGTGTGTGTGTTAATAAAAAAGAAGACAGAAAGTACTGTTTTTTTGGCGTCTGGTGTCAACAATATCAACGGAACTGAGGAAGCGTCACAAAGGCACCGAAAAGGCGTCACAACGCTCTTTTTTTTTCGTTTATGCGGGTAAAAATATTTACAACTTAAACGCAAATTGGAGGTGTTTGGATTTGAAAATGACCAAGGGAAGGCCTGCCTGCATGCGAGAATGGTGCCCACATCTTTGTTACGTAAGTTGAAGGAGTCGCCTGCTTGCAGTGATTTTCATTGCCACATTTCAGAAGAGGAAGTACAGTCGGTATTGATCAAACGCGTAACCTTGGTTGGGAGAGTATCAACTAAATGACACATTCTACTCTTTGTTTCTATACTCACCACATCCCGTTGTATATGTTGCTACTAGACCTGATGAGTATCTCAATCCCAAAGTCTTGGTCATTGCTCAAGGCTCGAACCAGGTGTTTGGGCCTGAAAGCTATTTGCAGCAGGACAACCAGGTAAATTCAGGTACGCCTCAATGTTTTCCTTACACTCGTCAAGCCCTTTCACACGGATGGGGGATTGTTATTTACCACCCAAACAACGACAAGACTGGTGAATACAATCATATCCAGTACTTTTGAACGATACTTGTCATGTACGTTCTACCCTTGTTTTGATGTCGATAAAGACAAGAATACTACGGCAATAATAGGAGGGTTTATATCCTGTTATATTTTATTGGCGCGATTCTGTTCAGTGTACACATTCATTTCTAATATTCTAGCAATGTTGGAAATCGCAATCAAGCGGCGTTATGGTTGCTGTGTTCGGTGCAGGCATTTCAGAAGCCATGCCGATGCCTAGACTCTCCAACGGAAACCGTAAGCGCACATCTACACTGTTTATGGTTTATAGTTCGCTGACTTCACAAGCATTATTGTCTACCTCTTGACCATTGCCGGCTAATCCACGATTTTGTCGTGTGTACTCCATTGCAGTGGCGATAAAGCAGAACTTCAAATACCGAATCAAAACTCTTGTGTTTCTGGATGGACGTAGTGGTGGTAAAAAAATGAATCCGACACGAACTGGCTGGCAGCGGTAACTCCAAGTAGACGGTGACATATACCGTAGGAGATGGTGAACTGAGAGAAAGCTGTCCGTTCTCAGCCAACCCTTCACGACCACAATTTGTCCTTCTCTTGTTTCCTTCTAATCAAGGGTATGTTTTATTTATTTGTTACTGGATTCATAATTGTTAGTTATGAAGCGATACACTTCCGCCAGGAAAATACTCGCCGATGGGAACAAAGTCTGAAAGATGCAATGAATAGAACATTCTTTTCACGCACGAGTACTGTTGACAGCAGGACCGTGTGGCGGGGGCAATACTCTTCCTTGAGCGTTTCTAACAAGTCTTTTTTTTTTTCTCTCTTTCTCTATTCACACTCAACGCAGTTGAGGAAGACATTGAAAACATGCCATATGTACAAAAATACGACTACGTTCCCGAGGCAGCCCGTGAATCGGTGTTCCAACGTATGAGGTGGTGTCAAGACGAGTTCGAAAACAAGGAAGACTGGGTAGTACGATTAGGATTCGTCTGACTTCGAGACCGCTAACAAGGATGAAGAAGCGGGTGATGAAGAGGAGTAAGTGGCACCATCATGAAGAATTCTCTGTAGCTGCTAAGCTGTCCTTCTCTCTCTCTTTTTTCTTGTGATTTTTTCTCATGATATCATGACTCCCCCTTTTCAGTACCTTCACCAATAATAACCCCAATGTATGATTGCCAACAAAAGCTGGCGCTGGAAGTCATGATGTGATAACCTTCCTCTGTGTTCTACTCTATGCGACAAAGGTGTGATTACTAGTCAAGGTCATGTTTTGGATTTGTGAAGGATCTACCTGGGCTCTGCCCTCTAAAAAAAACTTACCAGGAGCACGGACGCGCCTATCCTCTATTTAATTAGCGAACTTCCTTCAGAAGGGGGATAGGCGTTCTACCCTTTGAAAGGGAGGAGATCGCCTACCAATGAGCCCTGTTGCCACCAAAAATTGATGCTATGCCTGGCAAATACTAATACTGTGACCACAAGATCAAAAAAAAAAGACTAGCAAGCACAGCCCCCGACTGAGCTGTCCCCTCCCCAAGTTCAATTCCAGACCCCTCATCCCCTTTCCTCCCGGGTTCGTACCAAACTAAACAATAAGCTATGTGCTCATTCTAGAGAAGCCTCACGTATGTCGCTAAAGTACCTGTCTCGGAATAGTTATGTTCGACGGTCAATGATCCCCCCCCCCCGAAGGATAGTCCTTTGTATTTTTTACACTCTCACCACGTCTCAGCTCAGGCTCGGAAATTGAAAACAACGATGATCCTTTTCTCATCCCTTTTTTTGTCCCTTGGAGAGGATTCTCTCGAACAAAAGATAAAAAGTATTATTTCAAGACATGCACCTCCTGTGCATTCCTTTCCAAAAGGCTCGGGATTCGAGGGATCAAAGTAAAAAAACACATGCAATCATTGTTCCGAGCAAAGAGAGGCGTGAGAATGATACGTTTATAGCTGTGGATTCGTAAAAATAGTTAGATAAAAGCTAGTATATGGTGGGGAGGTGAGTACGTGTACAAAGGTAAAAGAAAGGTAACAAGAAAGCAAAAAAAAACTTCCTTTTTTTAGGCGAGAAGAGCGCTGGCAACAACTGTAGCAAGGGCAACAACACCTCCAACAATCACACTTCTAGCAGAGTAAAGGCCAGTGGCTGCGTTATCGGAACCCATCCATCCACCATCGCCACCAATAATGGGGCCACCACCGTTACCACCACTGCTGCCGCCTCCGTTACCGATGCCACCGTTGGTGTTGCCGTTGTTCTGGCCGTTCTGCATCTGCGTGATGTACTTTGCGCCGGGCCAGGGGTCGGTTGCGTTCTCGGGCACCATGGGCGTGATCTTGACCCAGTCGATCGACAACTGGTACTCGCGGGTATCATTGGGTTCGTACGAGGTGTTCTCTCCAGCCCACTCGGCAGTTCCTAAATGATTGCGGGAAGGGAAATTAGAAATAAAATGTTGCGAAAGTTAGTTTCAGTCTGTCTTCAAGAATGTCAAGGAAGAGAGAAGAGGCGCCAGAGTGGCTATGTACGGCGTGTAGGCGGGGAAAGAGGGGGTTTTTTTGGTGTCAACTGTACCGCCAAGGCGAGCTGAACCCATGCCCAAAAGACAAAAAAAGGCATACCCTTCCTTTTGTTAATGCCTCAAGGTGGGCGTAAAATTGAAAAAAGATAATCAGATATGAAAAAAGGGTTGAAAAAAAATAATAAACGATATTCCGCATGTTGATTGGACGGAATGAAAAGGAATGAGGCACACATGGAAAAAATTAAGCCCATCCGACCCTGTTGTTGGCGTCAATCCCTGGGAAGGACATTGGGAAGTACCCATGCACTATCCTGACAAACCAATGTCTTCCTTCCATGAGAGCAAATAGAAATAAAACAACCATGCATCGGTCAACAAACCACAACCTGGTCGTCCCTGGCGCACGATGCTTCGCTCTTGTGCAGAGAATCATCCTCTTTCCCTTCTATTTTTCCTTCTCTCTCTTCAAACCGAGGCCGGCACCCACACCCCTCTTAAAAATAGAATCTAGAAGTACTTGCTGGACACCTCCATTTGAGTTTGCAACACCAATATGAATGTTCCGCCTTGGCCAACACAAGACACATTAGGCAAAAGAACTTGATACACTTACCCACCGATGTAACACATCCTCTCTCTTTTTCAGACAGACAGACACAACTGCAACACAGGACGATGCCAGTTTGTTATTTGCGCCTTCTGCTCAGTTATTTGCCTGCCTTATTCTTAATCTTCCATTTTGATCGTTTACAATCCAATTTCGCCAATTTCTTCAAGATAAAAAAAAGGCATTCTTCAAGAGAGCGTATCAGATTCAGACCAAAAGAATCCCGGGAACAAAGAAAAAGAAGAAAAAGGGGACAATCTAACGAAACGCCCAGGGAACTAATTTGCCCCTTCTCCTCGTCCTTCTCCTTTACCCAGATAAAAATAAGACCTCTTCCCTGGATCACGCATCCACACGCAAACACAACAACCCTAAACAACAATAGTAACAACAACAATTATGACCCCCCCAGAATTAAAGTTGAACTGTCTAGAGTCCGTTCTTGAGAAAAAATTCAAGAAATTCCTTGCTTTGGACAAAATGTCCTCCTGTCACAATCGTTCCCTGGCCCTCGTTTCGTCGTTCATTGGCAATGATGTCGCTGTATAAACAAAATAAAAGACGCTGTGGGCTGTCGTGGGGCGCACACACCTCAATCCTCATAATATATTTTCATTCTGTCAATCGCTTCACCCTGTCACTCGATAAAATAATGCAACCTCATCCACTTCACACACACGAGCTCGCCACACACATTCACACAAGAGTAAACACGATCAAAGGTCGCAATTGAAACAAAAAAACAAAATGCCCGTTACCGGGTTGCTCAAGAAAACGTAAAGCCAGGGAGCGAATAAGATAAATCCAGAAAAACAGTTGCTCGACAAAGAGACGGAAGGTACAAAAAGAAAAGAAAAAAAAAAGTGTCGGAAAACGAGACATTTTTTGAGCCTCTAGACGCTGAAGATGGAAAATCGATATATTGAAAATAAAGTCTTACCTTTGCTGCCATGACCGCCATCCCAGAGACCAAAGGCGATTCTCATGGGCGTGTCAGGGTACGATCCAACGGCCTCCGAGGCCAGAGTTGTGCGCTTGAGCTCGCCGTCAAACCACCACTTCATCTCGGTAGGAGTCCAGTCCAGGCGGTAGGTGTGGTAGTCGAGACTGGTGTCGAGGTTGACGTTGATGTGCACACCGTGGGTGTAGTCGACCTGCGTGTTGTTGGGCTGGACTCGGTAGTAAAAGTTGGTCTGGACATCGCTGGGGTCCTTGCCGACGACCTCAAAATCAATCTCATCACCCGAGATGGGCGAGATCAGGATGAACGAAGAGACAGTACCGGGCATGCTCGAGGCGGTTTTGAGACGGGCTTCGATGGTGCCGTACTTCATCCAGCGGGAAGAGTGGACGGTCGCACCGATACCACCGCCTGTCTCGGGGTGCTTCTCAAGCCTGTTGAGCTTGAGGACCATCTTGTCGTCGTCGGTGATCACAGCGTGCTCCTGAGTGCCAGGAGTGCGATCGACGACCCAGTCGGCGGTGGTGGGGAAGCCGTTAAAGTCCTTGATTTGGACCATACGTGACTTGTCCTTGAATTGATCGTCGAGGTTGACGGCCATGGGGAGGGGCCAGCACGAGTCAGCGGTGAACGATCCAGTGGCCTGGCAGTTGTCGGCGCAGAAGGCAGGGTCTGATCCACAGTATCCGGCGCCGCTGCAGCAGGGCGCGTTCTGGGGGCAGCTGCCACCACCGGGCGCGAATTTGCATGTGCCGGTGGATGTTAAGGCAGTGGCCACCTTGGATCGGACGAAGGCGAAATCAGGGTTGAGGAGGGACTCTGGCTGACCCTGTGCAGGGATTGTCTGGGCAGCAGCCAATGAGGCAGACAACACCAATGCGGAGATAGTGGAGATGTAGCGCATTGTTGAAAAGGAGGGACCGGGGTATGCGGAGATGTAGAGAGTTGAAGGGAAGCGCGTTGTTTGCTTAGTGTGTCGATGAAGAAGATGCAGTAGAAAGGGAAGGGTTCGTTAGGGCGAAGGGAGGGAGAGTCGTGAACGTTGTGGAGAAGGGAGAAGGGAAGAGGCGCGGGAGAGTGGATAAAGTATGATAAGAAGATGAGAAATGAAGAGTAAGATAGAGAAAAGAGAAAAAAGAAGGAAAATATATGGCTGCAGAAGCTTTTAAAAGGAACGAGCTGGGCGAGGTGAGTGAATTTTAGGCGGGTGGGTAGAGAGGTATGTGTGGGTGTGGGTTATTAAGAACGATGAGAGAAGAAAAATATTATGTATGTGGATCCACCGAGAGAGAGAAAGGAGCGCCCTTTTAAGCAAAAAGAAGAGAGACGAAGAAGAAGACGAAGAAGACAAAGAAGCCTCTTTGACCCGTGCTGCACCCTTGCCCGTCCTGCCCATACATGGTACACAACAAAAAAAAAGCAAAAGCAGCAAGAGTATTCGTGTGTGTAACACTCTATGCGAGCGTTTGTGTAAGTGAGTGAGTGAGCGTGGAGCAAGAGGTCGCCTTTCTTTTTTCCTTGCGTCAGTCTGTCTGTCTGTTTGTCAAATACCCGCACAAAAGATGACCCTCTCCCTCGTTACCTCTCAAAAGCCGATCCACAATCTTTTCCAGCCTGGTACCTGTTTCCTGACTTTTCTTATTTTTTTTTTCCGATTCCTCTCCCGCCTTGGGCATAGCACACACACACACACACACACACACGTTCAAACCGGCCTCGAATGTCTTGCCTCGGGTGTCACCTATCCTTGTCCTCCTGCTGTGAAGAAAAGGAAACAGAAAACAAAACACAGAATAGACTCGAGCATATGGTCGACTTGTCTGTGCAGTCACCAGGGCTGTCGTCGTTTTTTATGCTCATGCTTTTTATTGTTCTTTCCTTCCCTTCTGTCCACAACCACCCCTACCTGGCTTCCTGAATTGAGAGCCGACTGGAAAAAAAAACATGCAAAAAAAGCGACCATCGTCAACTTAACAATTGTCCAGTCGTCGGACAAAACGTCCTCCGAATTCGATCTCCCCTGTCTCTCCATGTGTTGCTGTTTGTTCTTTTTGTTTTCCTTTTCTTAAACTTCATTCAGCCTCGGAAAAGTAAATCGCTGGCTGAAGCAAAAAAAAACGCCTTTCTACTTCCTCCTTCTCAATCTTGTTCTGTGTGCTCCTCCTCAATAGAAACGAGAGCATATAGCAGCGATGGCTGATGAGGAAGGGTTCATCATGCTGCATATCTCAAATGCATACACAAAAGGTCATTCACTATGTTCCCCTTTCTTTGTCCACCTAAAATATCTTCTTTCTTTTGCTTTGGCATGCTGTGCATGTTTCTTCCAGTGTTCCCGGGAGTGCTGGATATTTTTTGTTGTTCGCCCCCCGACTCCTATTTTTACACCAACTTCACATGGATTCACTTCGTAGCGCCCTATTCCTACTCCTCGTGTGTCTGTTGTCGTTCACCAAACGTGGTGCGGGTTCACTCGTCAAAGATGGGACAAAAAGAATATCAAGAACGATATTGTTCTTGGCATGGCGTTGAACAAAAAAAAAAAAAAAAAAAAAGTGTAATAATAGATACCATCGGACACACGCAGTTGTGCAACGCGTATTTTCGCAGCTCTCATCTTAATTAAGGTCATCCGTATGGAGATCCATGGGTTCATCGTAATTCTGTATTTGTTTGTTGATCTGTCAAGCATAGGAAAAAAAAGAAAAAAAAACGTCGCTACAAGTGCTTCATTGAACACACACCTACGCATGCGTGCTACATCTTCTTGCAAGTCTTTTAGTTACCGCCAGCCATGTTCTTCTCCTCCATCTCGCTCACACACTCCCATTCGCCGCTCAAGTTCTCCTTCCAGAGAGTGATCTTGTTGTCGCCGCAAGAGACGGCAAGAATGTTGCCGCTCAACGACCAGCTCACACGCCAGACTACATCAGCGAACTTCTCATCGCGGAGGGCCTTCTTTTGCCAGGGTGAGCTGGGGGTGTCTTGCGTCCAGATCAACACAGTCTTGTCCTGCGAACAGCTGGCCAAGTAGTTCTTGGGAAGTCCAATGTTGGGTGCCCAGGCAACATCGCGAACCCAGTCGGTGTGTCCTTCGAGCGTCTCCTCCTCCTTCCAGGTCTTGGTATCCTCCCTGTAAGCCCAGATCTTGACCAGGTTGTCGCATCCTCCACTGCTGAAGCGTTTTGTGATAGGGCCCTTGCCACTGTTGGGTCCCTGGGAAGTCAACGAACCAGGAACAGTTGCTGGTGCCCAACCAACCGAGTTGCACCCAATAGCGTGAGCATCTAGCAGCGCAGTGTCCCATGATCCGTCATCTGTGAGTTATATGAAAGGTATTACATTCATTAGTTTCTTTTGTTCTTTGAAAAAAAAAAAAAATGTCGCATACTGTTCAACATGCACCATTGGATAGCAGAGGTCGTATTATTACCCTTGAACGAGAGAATAGAGACACGGCCGTCCGAAGAAGCACAGGCGAGCAATGGTCCCAACTCATGAGGGGCCCAAGCGACAGAGTTGACTATTGAGATCAAATTGGTATTGTTGTGACACGTTAGAGTCGATCCCATTGCGGGTAAACATCCTGAGTAGCTGCAACATGCAACATGCAACAAGTCAAGTGCATACCTGAGGCGGTGTGAGATGTGTGCTCCTTGATGCGAGACCACTGTCCGTTCTGCTCCCTCCAGACAAAGACCTTGCCGTCGTATGAGCAAGAGGCCAAAATGCAGCCAAACTTGGGGTGAGCCCAGGAGATCTGCCAGACGGGACCCTCATGTCTAGAAAAGTCGAGAAAATGACGATATGTTAGCTTTGTCTCCGTTCAATACTATTGATCCTGAAATCGACTGTAGCAGAGGTCTATGCCCAAAGCGGTGACTTACCCCTTCAAGGTCTCGACAAGGCGGTGGCTCTCACCGTCGACGTCAAAGATGCGGATCGATCTGTCGGACGAGCAGGTGGCGAGACGCTTGCCTATTTCATGAAAAGGTAATGTTGGTTGTGCGTTGAGTTCTCCTCGTCCGGAATGTATTGTCGTTTGGTGGCGCTGAAATGTTCATACGTGTCCAATCTTCCTGCGTTTCCTACCGTAGTAGTCGTACTGGGCGTCGTGCTATGATTAGGGTCAAGATCAGAATTGAAAGTGTATGGAGTGAGTATATATCGCTGTTGTCTACGTGTCGCCCTATACGATCTCCCCAGTCTGTCGTTGCTTCACGGTTCTTACAATCATGTCCTCGTGCTGGGTCTCCAGCGCGTGTTGAGTGGCGGCCTATCAAAAGCAAAAAGAACGAGGTTCATGCAAGTTAGAGTGCTGCTTTTTGTCAACAGATGGTATGTGCGTGTGAAAGAAGGCTGTCGTGTGATGAAGGTCCATTCGTCTGTGCAGCCTTGCCCAAGGGACCTGACCAAGACCCATTCGGCCACTAAATAGTCTGTCAAACGAGACCATCGAGGAGTCGGTGTGTTCCTGGGGATGATGCTGATCATCCGACGACGTTTGTCGAGTCCAGTCCTGTCTCATGGGTATGTGTTTTCCAGAGGAGAGCAGATGATGCGGTCCTGGTTGATGGGTTGTGTGTGTGTATGTGTGCACTGAGCATATGTGTGCGGCGGTTGTTTGTTCCCCTTACCATGACAAGGAGTAGGGGGAGTGTGTGAGTCGGTCTGAGTGAGTTGTAAAGAAAGAGAGAAGAAAGAAGTTGATGGGAGCCCCTGTTAGAGTTGCCACGTCAAAAGGGTGTCTCTGTGTCTCTGTTGGTTGAAGCCTTCTATTCTCTCGATGGCTCCAACCAACGCGCTTAATTGGCGACAGTTTAAATGTCACAGAAGGCAGATAGGGTCGCATGTGCTGCAAATCAGAGCCAGCGAACCTACACGCCCACCAGACAAGTCTCGCTACTTCTAGTTGTTCTCTAACCTTCCTTTGTCTTTGTCTTTGTCCTTTTGTCTCTTACCTTCCAACAACTCATACTTTTTTAATCACAATGGCCCTTCGCATCCCCCAAGGAACGCAAATGCTCAAGGACGGCTACAAGGTATCGCTTGTTCTCTCGATTCATCTTCACTCATTCGACATCCACACTCTCCATCCCTACCTTTCTTCACTTTTCTCCCTTCTCTCTCTCCCAAGAGAACAAGAAAAACACGCATCTGATCAGCTCTTTTTTTTCAGGCACCCAACACATAAAACGATGGCATCGCTTGCATCTTAGAACCATGGACTAACAAACATCCCTCAACCTACCCTATTCCACTAATAGCACCTCCAAGGTGTCGATGAAGCCGTCCTTCGCAACATCACAGCCGTTCACGATCTGTCCGAGATTACGCGTACCTCTTTTGGCCCCAATGGTAAAACCGCCACTCATCAACCAACGTCCAAACCTCACAACTGATGGAAGTTTGCCATGAAGATCTCGCGCTGGAATCTAATATCAACACGCTTCCCTTATACCTTTGCTCCTTTGCACAGGTCGCAACAAGATCATTATCAACCATATGGAGAAGCTGTTTGTCACCAACGATGCCGCCACCATTATCCGCGAGCTCGAGGTTGTTCACCCCGCAGCCAAGCTCTTGGTCATGGCCTCTCAGCAGCAGGAAGCCGAGGTAGATCAGATCAATCATTCGTTGACAGCTTCAACTCAGGATTTCGACCCATGTGTATCGTTCTTCAGGAACTTCAAGCCAACTTACACCAAGTGCACGCTCCTTCTCTTTTTTCATGCCTCGATCTGCCTTTTCTTTTTGTCGTTATTGATGTAGATGGGCGATGCTTCCAACTTGGTCAGCATTATTGCCGGAGAGCTTTTGCAGAAGGCCGAGCACTTGCTCCGCATGGGTCTCCACCCCAGTGATATTGTTCAGGGATACGAGGTCGCATCTGCCAAGGCATTGGAGATTCTCGAGGGTATGGCCCAGCTCTTTGACCTGACAATTGCACGGTTGTTTAATTTGTACTTTTTTTTGTTGATCCAAACCGTCACTACAAATTGCGACAGGAGGCTGGCATTGACCCTGATTTTTTTTCTTCTTCTTTGTTCTTTCCCCTTCTAGAGCTCTCTGTTGAGCAGATCAAGAATGTCCAGACCAAGGAGGATCTGTTCAAGGCTGTTCGCTCGTCAATTGCCGCCAAGCAGTACGGAAACGAGGATTTGTTGACCGATCTTGTCTGCGAGGCTGCCATCGCCGTCATGCCCAAGGATGCCTCCAACTTCAACGTCGATAACGTCCGTGTTGTCAAGATCATGGGAAGCAGTCTTTACGAGAGCCGTGTCATCAAGGGAATGGTCTTTGGTCGCTCCCCCGAGGGTATGTGTCGCTTGTGGGCTTTCACGGACTGGTGCGTTTTCAATCTGAGTTTATCCCATTCCAAAATCCATTGACTAATGACATGTCGCATCCATCATGCCCTTCCGCAATTGAACCAATAGGTGTTGTCACCAACGCCAAGAAGGCCAAGGTCGCCGTTTTCACCTGCCCCTTGGATGTTGCTCAGACCGAGACAAAGGGAACTGTTTTGATTCACAACGCCAACGAGATGCTCGACTTTACCAAGGGCGAGGAGAAGCACATGGAGCAGATGTTGAAGGGAATTGCTGATGCTGGTGTCAAGGTCGTTGTCACTGGTAACAACGTTGGCGAGCTCGCTCTTCACTACTTGAACAGATTCGGCATCTTGGTCGTCAAGGTCTTGTCCAAGTTCGATTTGAGGAGATTGTGCCGTGTCACCGGTGCCACTGCTTTGGCCCGTGTCGGTGCCCCCATGGCCGAGGAGATGGGATTCTGCGATATTGTCGAGAGCGTCGAGATTGGAGGTGACCGCGTCACCGTTTTCAGACAAGAGGAGGAAATTACCAAGACTGCCACCATTGTTGTTCGTGGTGCCACTTTGAACCACTTGGATGATGTTGAGCGTGCCTTGGATGACGGTATCAACGTCATCAAGGCCCTTGTCAAAGATCCCCGCCTCGTCCCTGGAGCCGGAGCATGTGAAATGGAGTTGCTCAAGCGTCTCTTGGCTGTCGGCGAGGTACTTTCAAGACTCTTTGCTTACGTACTTTTTGCGATGATTATCGAACGCCGGAAATTATTTATGTCAAAATGTTAACCCAATTCACTTTTGTGTTATTATGGCTCATGTAGAAAACTCCCGGTCTTAACCAGCACTCGATCAAGAAGTTTGCAGAGGCTTTCGAGGTCATCCCCCGCACTTTGGCTGAAAACGCAGGAATGGACGCTACCGAGGTTCTTTCAAAGTTGTATGCCTCTCACCACGCCGATGACAGTGGAGTGATGGGAGTTGATATTGAGAGCGAGAACAACGGACTCTTGGACGCACACAATGCCGGTATCTACGATGTCTTGTCTGCCAAGTCGCACGCCATCCGCCTCGCAACAGAGACCGCCATGACTGTCCTCCGCGTCGATCAGGTACGCATTGTTTCCTTTTTCTATGAGGTTTTTAGGTATTACGGTGAATTGGTAGTTTTCCTGAATACCCTGCTAACCCTAAAGTTGTACGTGTTCTTTCTTACCTGCACAATAGTTGATCATGTCGAAGGCAGCTGGAGGACCTGTTGCACCTAAGCAGAAGCAGCACTGGGATGAGGATTAAATACGGGAAGGGACGAGCAAGCGAGCAGGAGGTAGTTCAGTCGGTCGGCTTTCACATTTATTTTGTTAGACACTTTTTCTTGTTCATAAAAAAACACATACATAACAACATCATTCAGCGTCCTGGATGTTTCTTTTCTTTGCTAACACCTTGACGAGGGTTATCTATCTTGCCCTGACTCCATTGACTGGAAGAAGGAAGGTATTGCTAAGCCACGACCCATCGTTCTGTCTGTGTCCCCCTGGACACTTGTCCAATTCGCGTAAAACTGTCCAAAAACGGACTTGAGTATCTTTGCTCGTCTGTTAACCCATCACTTTTTTCTCTCTCGCTCTTCTCATCCTCCACCTCAACTCCCTTGCCCCTCTTCTTTCTCTTTCCTTCTCTCCTCCCTCCCACATCAAAACTCTTTTTGTTTATCGACGATGGTTTGGTCTCCTGCAGACTTGTTATGGTCATTGACCAATCGCGCCCAGATGACGGCTTTTGAATCAGTCAGTGCAAACTTGTTCATCCTCCTGGCCCTCTCGCCCCTCGTCACTCCCATACTCAACCTCATCCGAGGCAGCCAGTTCAACCCCGAGGGCAAGGTACTTTGTCTTGTCTGGGGGGATTTTTTGTTTCGTGTTTTTAGGAGGGAAGGGGTTTGTAGAAGAACGAAGAAGGAGGTGTTGCAGACTGAACCAACTCGGACGAGTGTCTGACTGCTCGGGGTTAAAAAAAAAAAAGGAAACACTATCACAACGCATTCAAGGAAGGAATGCGCTCAGCCCACACACCTTTGGGCTATCGACCAACAACACCACCACCACCAGCAGCCTAGAAGAATATTTATGGCATTAGAAGCTTAAAAAAACAAGTGTGCTCCAAGTGTACTTACACCATTCTCTTTGTTCTTTCGCACAATGCGATGTATTTTTTTGTTGTTGTTTTTGGCTCTTCTTTCAATGATGGCCATGGTAGCATGTCTACTTGACGGGAGGAAGTATCGGTCTCGGAAGGGCTGTGGCTATCGAATTAGCAAAGCAGGGTGCCCATGTCACCATCATCGCCCGTAAGGAGGGACCTCTCAAGGAGACCGTTGAGCTCATGAAGGTAAGGTGACATACTTCTCCATTCCCCAACTAATTCTATTATCGTATGCGAAAACGCTACGCTACGCCATACCATGCATGTTTCTCCACACATACACCTGCTCTCGTAAACACATACAGAGCATTGACCTTGTTTCGCTTCCCTCAAATTGGAAATAGGAGGCAGCAGCTACGCGCAAGGTCAAGAGCGAGCAAAAGTTTCACTGGGTGAGCGCTGATCTGACGGACAGGGAGCAGGCGATTCGGGCACTGGACGAGGCCTCAACATTGCACGGAGGACGAGTCCCCGATTTTGTGATGACCTGTGCCGGAACCTCGATCCCTCGCTTCTTTACCGATGCCCCTATTGAGGACTTTGAATGGCAGATGAAGGTCAACTACTTTGGCACCCTCTACACTGTCCACGTAAGTCTTCCACATCGTTCTCTTCTTGCTCTTAATACATGTTCCCAGTGCGACGTTTTCTTGCTTATAATGTTTTTTTTGCTGACCTTGATTGTTTCCGATTTTCACTCCCGATCGCGTACACGACAACTCAACAGGAGGCTTACAAGCGCATGGTCGAGAAGGGTGTGAAGGGCAAGATCGTGATGACATCCTCAACCCTTGGACTGGTCGGTCTCGTCGGTTACACTTCCTACTGCCCCACAAAGTTCGCCCTCCGCGGTCTGGCCGAATCCCTCCGCAACGAGGGTCATCTCCACGGCATCACCACCCAGATTTACTACCCAGGCACCATGTTCTCGCCCGGTTATGAGACCGAGAACTTGACCAAGCCCCTGTTGACGCGTGAGATTGAGGGCTCCACGGGATTGACCCCCGAAGATGCGGCCAAGGGCATGTTGAAGGGGTTGAGGAAGGGGTACTTTGCGGTCACGACTGATTTCGACACCAACTTTTTGAGAGTCGCCGCCAAGGGTGTTACGCCTTATGCCAACATTGGATGGGATTACATCCTCGGCCTCATCGCCCCAGTAAGTCCTCGTGTCCCTTTGTTCTTGTTCTTTAGTTACATTTGTTTGTTTGTCTTTTTTTTTTTTTTGCACCGTGAAAAAGGAGGTCGTAACTAATAATACGAACGTGAATTATTATATTCGACAATGGATGGTTGATAACCATAGATCGGCGCCACCTCTTTCTTGTGGGAGGCAGATGGCAAGGTCCTCAAGTACGGCAAGAAGAACCTCAAGAAGGAGCTGTAAAACCGCCCTACCGTCTACACACATACACCCAATACACGCACCTATACTCTTCCCATCCAGAGCCATTTCAAAAGAATGGAGGCGCAAAAAAAAAAAAAAAAAAAAAGCGCGCGGTAACATAATACCACACGCGTCCAGGCAATTATTATGCATGGTTTTTCTAAACTCCCATAAAGCACACTTCATCAGACAAAATGCTATCCATTCACATCAAACAAGAACAAAAAGGAAAAAGGGGGGTGTATGAGCTGCAATACTGCCAGAATGACAAAGCAAGTGCCTAATCGCTGTCGCGGCCCTGTGTGCAGTCAAGAGGTATCTTATCAACAAAGCAAAACGAACAAAGGAAAAAAAAAAAAAAAGTGAAGAAGAAAAAGGAAACGGGATGAAAAACCTGCGAAATAGTTCACCCCTTCCCTTTCCCTTCCTCCCCCTTCCTCTCCCTTCCTTCCTCGCTGCTTCAAGAGTACCTCGTTCATCAATCTTGGCAAAAGGATATTCAATTTATATGAGAGAACTCATACGAAATTGGTTCACAAGGAATCACGAGAAAGAGTGGAGATACCTCTTACCGTGACCCAATGCTTTTTTGCCTGTGCTATTACTACCAACCACACATTGTGCAAGTACCCAACACACACACACACACACACACACACAGACACAAAAATGGACAAAAAGTTGATAAAGTGCTGGTGTTATTATGAGTGGTTGGTCTGCATGGGAAGTGGGGAGAATGCTACCAAGTAGAGGAGGGGAGAAAACGAGGCGATGGCCAAAAGGCCTTTGTTGTTGGCTTGGTTTTGTATTCCAGGCGCGAACGTAAATGGGTTTGTTGAATGGGCGGTAAAACAGGAGAAAGAGAAACGAGAGCAAGTAAATGTCAGCGATAAAAAAGAAAGAAAAAAAATAGATAAAGAACGAAGAATGGACGACAAGTAAAAAGAAGGAAAGAAAAAACAAAAAAATGGATACAGTAGTAGGTAAAAGAGAAAAAAACTCCAGAAATCATTGTTGTTGATGTGTGTGTGCATGCGCGTTTGTGTAGTAGAGCGACTACTTCTCGTCATCATCGCAATCCTTGATCAACTTTCCACTGGCGTCCAACGATTTGGGATCCTGCTTGTTCCTGAGCCATTGCATGCGTGGTCCACAGCGACTGTACTCTGAGATCTTGAAGCCGTAGATTGCAGGCGCGTAGATCTTGTTGGGGATGATGGGGACCAACTCGGGGTAAATATGGAAAAGCATGTGTGCAAATGTCGTTCCAAAGTATGCGCCTATCAAGAACATGAGAAAGGAAGGGCAAAGAAGATGTTAGGATGATGAGAGATCATCTATGTGGCACCCATCTGCATAAAAGGACAGTGGCCGCCGCAATTTATAGTACCATCCAAGTTGTGATATCTTGAGCTGGGTGGTGAGTAAATGTCCTGGCAGTTGGGGCAGTAGAGCTTGACGGTCTCGACTCCGGGGAGATCGTAGCGTCCGCATGGCACGACGTTTGTTGACTGACAAAAGGTGCGTGGGCAGCTTCCGAAATGTCCAGCCTGATACTTATCAGCCTAATGGTTAAAGAAAGAAACAAAGGAACGGTCAGCGGTCGGTAATATGTGATTTTCAATTGAGTGCTTGGCTGATCGATGTGCCTGAGGTCTTGCGCTAAGGATTCCTTCAGATAACATATGCATCGTCTGTTTCTCTTCTCCCCTAGCCCCTTCTTCCTGCAGTCCGCAGCCCGTCCCCAAATTGCTGAGGAGATAATACAACACACCGGAATGACACTGTCCTCCATTTGCTTCCAATTCTATTGCCTTTGTATTTTGTTCTTTTTGCGCCTTTTGTTCTTTTGCGCCTTTGTTCGTGTTGCTGTTCGTTATTGGTGTTCGTTTCTGTTTCTGTAGCCGCCGCTGTTTGATTGCGTTGTTGGGTTGTATTTGAGGATGCTGTCTGTAATCGGTGTCGTTTCTTTTCGTTGATTCTTGGCGCCTATGTGTATGCTGTCTTTCATATTGCTGTTTCTGCTTTCGATTGCCATTGCTAGGTTTGTGCTGTCCTTGCTGCCTCCACCCTATGAAGGAGTGAGGGAGACATACCATCTGCTGCAGTCCTTGCCGTGTCACGATGAAGCGTTGGTGAATCAATCCATAGAGTTGCTCCGCAGATGCTTCCACAATCGATACATCAGGAACTTTTGTGCTGTCCTCTTCTATTGATGATTCACGATTCACGTAAGCAAAACGAAAAGAAATGAAAAAAGAGTGCGTCAGTCAGTGCACAAGAATCCAACAAAAAAGCCAAGGCCAAAGTCCCGAAGGAAAATGGGAAAATCTTGCACACGTAGGAGGAGTAGTTATCCAAATTACCTGGCTCAAGGTCAAGGATCATGTCTAGTGCCTCCTTGTAGAAGGGGACGATGGAGTTGAGTCCAGTCAGGTTGAAGTCGTCCTCCACGAACTCGTCTGCTACCTCGGCAAAGTATTGGTGTCCTCCGAGTGAGCAGAACCACGCGATCCACGGCATCGTCTCTGGCCCCGACTCGTTCGACACATCCGATCCTGTTGTTGTCGTGAAGGAGGGAGTAGGTGATGGCCAAAGGGGAACAGTAGTAGTCGCATATAGAAAAGAGAAGGCGGAAAAAGGAGAGAGCGAGATGGTCAGTTTTGTTGTCGTTGTGGGCACTCGGGTCATTCAAAGGCCCTCGGTCATCTGTCCGTTGTTGCCTCGACATTGCCATTACGCGGCACAGCAACAAAACAACAAGCGCTGTTTTGCGTAGTATGTTTTTGCTTGTCCTTTCCTTCAGCACGAAGCAAACGGACGACAAAAAAAAGGGAGCTCGGGGCGTGTGTCGCAAGGTACCCAAGCGGTGTGGTTTTGGGCTGATAACTGCGTCTGGAGTATCTCCAGCTCGGGGTGAGAAGTTTCGTAGTCCAGTCTCTTCTGGCGTGTCAAGTGTATGTAAACATAAGGGTCCATGCTGAGGGTGCGAGACTTACCGTAGTACTCCTCGTTGTACTCTCCCTGGATCTGCTCCTCATCTTCTTCTTCCTCGTCCTCGTCCTCCTCTTCCTCCTCAACGTTGTCTGGGCGCATGAGTTGCTGCTGCTGTTGCTGCTGATCGAATGCGGACATTATTTTTCCTGTCGAAACTAACAAGGTGTGTGTTTGTGGATGAGTGGGTGAGAAAGAGATGAGTATGTGTGTGTTTGCGTGGGTTTGTTTGGAGAAGAGATGGAGTAGGGGGGGATGTGAAGCGAACAAAAGGAAAGGAGAGGAGAAGAGAAGAGAAGAGAAGAAGAGGGGCGAAGGATAAAGAAGAAAGAAGAGAGGAGAGGAGATGAGGTGGATGTGAGCAGAGGCGAAGAAAAAACAATCAACAGACAGAGAGACAGACAGACAGAGAGACAGAGAGACAGAGAGACAGGCTCAAAAAGAAGAGGAGGGAAAAATCTCATCTTCGCACTTTTTTCTCTCTTCTCTCTTAGCTCTCGTTCCCCTACCCGCACTACCCCGCTCACCGACTCTCCGGCAATCTCGCCCTTTGCAAGCTGTACGTCTGTTTGGTTTGAACCCTCGAACCCTCGAACCCTCTCGAGCGCAGTTTAGGGTATGAGGAGAGCCTTTCCTTGTTTGCCTTTTGCCACAGGTCCATTGTCAACAAACGAGTGTCCGAAAGGCGACATCTGTATCAGAACAGTAACCCCCCTCAATGGCTTATGCTCATGTGCTGCACCAAAGTCAGTCAGGCTGCATGCTATCATTGATGTGGCTCACAGCTTGTCACAAGCACGATCCAAAGTCAGTCTGTGCCATTTCTTTCTTTCTTTCTTTCTTTCTTTCTTTCATTCAACATCGATAAAAGACGCGACTCTACTGGACTTCCTCCACGTGAGAACGAGTGGCTTGGTTGTTTGTGTTTCTTTTTTACTCCGCACATCTTTTTTTTGTTTTTTTTTTCCTTTCTTTTATCCTCCCCAACCGCTTTCCATCCTCCTACAAAGAGACCTCTCTTTCTCTTTCTCTTCTTCTTCTTTTCTTACAACTCATCCCTCCCCCTCCTCATTCATAAACAACAACAACACTTTCTTTTCCTCTCATTCGTTTTGCTTGCTTCACAATAAGGTACGGTTTACTATTCACGATTCAATCACCTCAATTGCATATCACACCTTCATTCACACCTCCTTCCCCTCAGAGAGAGAGATACGGCAACTACGATGATTTGATCGACCCATATACAAAGTCACCTTCTGAATTACCATTGTGTTGAGTAACATACAGTTTCAGCCTTGTCTGAGTTCCCTTCTATCTCTCTATCCTCCATCCATCCATCCTCACGGCCAGACTTTGTCCATTCCTTGGACGCGTCTTCTCAATTGTGAATTTCGATCGTGTATGTTAACCACGCTCTTCGTCTTTTCTCGATTGGTTATCCAGATCTCAAGCGCGTCTTGGTTCCTATCTTCAAGCAAGCATGCAATTCGGTGTCGATTGGATACGGTTCAACTTGGTCGACTGAAAACGTAAGTAATCTATCCATTCCATAGTCAATCATACCAAACAACCCACACTACTCTCCTATTAATGATTGTAACGCATGACGGGCGGTCGGAATGTGTTCGTACAAACACTCTAATTATGTCGATATGTCATGCTTCTGAAATTTCACTCCTTTTCTCTTCTCGCTTTTGCGAACAAGATGAATATGTAACATGATGAACTAATCTTTTATGTGATTGTTCACTTTTTTCATCGTTGCAGGTGCTTTTCGTACGGGTCTCCGAGAAAGATATCGGTCTCTGTCGGATCTCGACGTTGTCCGATTTCAAATGGTAAGAAGAACAATCCATGATCTCTCCTTTTCTTCCACTTTCCCCTTCTGGAGTTACAAAGATGAATCTAAGCATGTCAAGCTCAACAATCTGAAATGGGTGGAGACCCCACCTGTAATGTTGAGACTATTCTAAACCTGAGCACAACTCTATCAAGAGAACCATCCGCTGTATGGCTCTATTGACAATTGAAGATGGGAATCGCGATACTAATCGACTTTTCTTTCAATGTCCATTGTTTATTAGTATTCCAGCCCGTTGTCTCTCCACGTCCACGTCCATTCAAGCTTGTGTTCCAAAGGTAAGTCGACCAGATTAGCACCTCTACATAGTTATTATTTTGTGTATGAATGAAAGAATAAACGAAAAAAGAAAAATCTTAAAATTCAATCTCCATGAGAATGAGAATGAGAAAATGAGAAAATGAGAAAAAGATTGGCTTTGATTCATGAGCGTGTCTTCGACGCGTCATGAAGAAATAAAAAAGGCATTCAATCGTGCGGGCGCGTGACCTGAATCCCATATATCTCTCTTCCGCATCTTCCTTCTCCTTATTCTTCTTTAGCTCCCTCTTCAACCAACGACATCAACTGGCCCTTGTCCTCATTCACATTCGACAACCATGAAGAACCAACAGGTCCATTCCCGCATCAACCACTCAAAAGGATCCCTCTTTGTTCTCTCCACAAAGTCAACCGGTGTCATCGCTGCCGTCTCCGTTGGCCTCGCTGCTGCTGCTCATCCCTATGGCAACCGAATGACCGGACAGGGTCTCCTACTCTCCATGGGCGCACTCCAGTGCTGCTGGATCGGAGCCAATCTGGTAACATATCTATTCACCTTTACACACCACTCCACTCGACTTTTGAAATAGGACACCCAGCATTTCTCCAAATACTAACACCTGCTAACACAAACCGTTAGGCGATTTCATTCTTGGAAGCACCTGTCAAGTTCTTGTCACCCACACCTGCTAGGCGCAGTTTGATCGACGTTGGACGACACGTCTTCTCAGCTCTCAACAAAGTTGAGGTTGTCCTCGCAACGTTCGATCTCCTCGGCTGGTACCTCCTCACACAACGCGGACTAGTCACTGGAAGCGCCTCAGGGTTCAGACAGTTGGGATGGCGTCAATGGCTCCGGTTCAGTCCAGGATTGATTGTCTATCTCTTGCAGAGCTTTACATTTCTACCCGTGATGAGGAGCGTGGGTGCCCGGTATGTTGAGGGGCGACCTACCGAGAGTGCAAAGGTCCATGGGGTTTATGTAGCGTTGGAAGTCCTCAAGGTTGCCACTCTCACTGCCAGTACTGTCACCATCGGACGAGCTCTACTCAAGGCACTTTAGACATTTCGGGTGGTCTTTTTTTTCTTTCGCAAACAAGTTAGTAAACAATCGCGGGTTTCCTTTTCCGTTGTGTGTTATTGTGTATGTGTCCGATGCATGCAAGTTTCATGCGCAAAGGAGGGATATATGTTTCATGCGCAAAGAAGGGGTTGACATCATACCTCGCTCCACCTCCTCCAGCATTATTGTCTCTATTGTCTCTGACTCAAATGCAACCCCACTACTCAGCCCTGCTTCAGGTTCTAGTTGTTCACGGAGTGTACATGCCTAACCGGCAAGGATACGTTATTATCGAAGCTGGATTGATACATGTCTTCACTCCTTGTCCACCGCGTCAAGAATGCCCCCTTGTCCTCCTCCTGTTCTGTCCTGTTCTGTGCACATTTTGAGCTTTTCTCTCAATTTGTCGGTGTTTTCTCGTCCCTCGTCGTGGTACACGACATTTTTTTGATTTTCATTCTCGTTATTTGTCTCTTTTTTCTTTTTTTCTTTGGCTCTCCCTCTCTCTGTCTCTACCGCTCCGTTTTGATTCCTTCGACGCGACCCTTCTTCACTCTCGCACAACCAAACACACACCCTTCACAAACCCACCAGGACAAGAACAAGAGTCAAGACAAGGCACACTCACACGCTCATGGATCAACCACAACCACGTCCAGTCGCACAGCGGAAACGGAGCTACTCCACCACTGCCTACTCATCCCTCGAAGAAGATCATCGATCAACAACACCATCAACATCAACTCTCTTCTCAGGAACAAATGGAGCCTCACACTCCACCACAGGTCAACAAGCCGCCCAACCAACATGTCTGCTCGCCACTGCTGTCGGGACCCAGGTGCTCACGTACGAGTTCATCGACAACGGAGCTGTAACTCCCTTCTCATCCTCAGCCGGTACTGGAGCACCGTCTAAACAACAAGAGGCACCAATAGTCCCGGGACAGTTTGACGGCATTCAGATGTCTAACGAGAGGACCACATTCACAATGGCGAGTCTGAGGTGGAGTCCTGACAGTAAGTGCTTTTATTGAGCATACTCAAGTGCACAGGGGCGACTGTACACTGTTTACTACTAGTTCAAGGAACGCCAAAACAAATCAACTCGAGGATACTCACTATTCCCCGTTGGCGTTATGTTTTTGTTTCTGGACAACCATAGACAGCATGTTGGCGGTAGAGGCGCACGATGGGAGAATATTCTTGCATGACGACCAGGGGAAGTTTCAGGAAATCCTTGCCAACGAACCTGTCGTGGAGGTAACAACAACGCGCCTTTATGAGCGACTTCAAGTAGTGGAGCATCGATTACGGATACTAATATATTAATTAACGTGCGCATAATAGGAGTCAAGGGCAGGAAGCTACAGGTCGGCAATGTCATGGGCACCAAAACATCAGAGGCTTTATTTTGCACACGGACAAAGGATCATGACTTGGGACTCGACAACAAGTAGGACAGTCGAGACCTTTGAGGTAAAATATCAGCCTACTGGACTCTTGACAAAGCTACATGCAACGATATTTTGCATGTTCTTCTTGACACTAACGCATCATATATGTTTTTGTAAACTTTAGATGCCGTCAAGGGTCAATGCCCTGGCTATGAAGACGGATGACGCCCTGCTGGCCATCGGGCAAAACTCAGGAGCTTTAGACGTAGTTAATCGGACGACGGGTAGCAGCGGAAGACTGGACACACCAAACTCATTCGTAGGTTACAGCCCAGTACTTGCACTCGGCAGGCAGGAATGCGGTTCAAGCTTCAAAGAAAACAGGGAATCTAACGTGAGGCGTAACTTCATTTTACAACGACTAGATACTGTCGAAACTGGAATACTCCATATTCAGCAAGTCGATATTGGGCGGTATCGGAAACGACGGTGTGTTGCGACTCTGGGATACAGGATCGACAGGATCTACTGCAATTTATCATAGCTTCGAGCAGAAGCACGACGTTCCCATCAACGGCATGACCTTCAGTCCCTTCAACCGATTTCTCATTTGCACGGTCGGTCTGGACAAGCGCTACACACTCTACGACGTGGACCAGAAGAGTGTCGTCAAGACCAGGAACGTGGATCACGCACTGACCTCGGTGACATTCAAAAACGACGGTTTCTCTATGGCATTCGGAACAGACCAAGGAAAAATCCTGCTCTATGACTTGCGATCAACCAACCGACCCATTTCTACCGTCGACAGTAACGTCAACGCTCCTATAACATCGATCCATTTCCAAGGAAGGCGGAGTTCGGCCCTGCGGAAGCACCAAACCCTTAACGGCTCCGCATTGAAGAGACAAAACTCGGCAGGAGCAAAACCATCGCTCTTTTCGCCAGAGACGCCGCTTGGATCGATCTCAACAACAACACCCATGGCCAGGTCGCAGACCCTTGGAGATACCCCTTCGACACTGGCTACTAGATCAACTCTCACCAGGCCAGCTCCTCTCAAGACAGGTACAGGAAGTCATTCATCTCTTGGTAACGTCTCAGGAAGCAGTATCTTCAAGTCTACCCGGGAAACTCAGTCGGCAGGGCTCGGCGGCAAGGGCATCATAGATCTGTTTGCCTCTAGACACGCAACAGACAAGGATACACACTTGACGACAGGAGGGCAGGATCGGATAACACCCAAAGTGCGACGACCTACCGCACCCGCAAGTATCACAACAGAAAAGAGCGCTCTCGGTGACGCGCTTGGATCGTTTCAATCCTCTGCTCCTCCCACTGCAGGCTCGGAAGGAACTACAGCAGCACCTTCGGGATTCATCTCCATGCCGACAACACCGGGCAGAGATCAACCTCAGCCAAATTCCGCCAGCTACCCCAACTCGAGGACCGTTTCGCCATTTGCGTTCCAAAGCAGGCAATCGCATTCACCCTCAGGCGAGAGCTCGACATCGTCTTCTTCGGTCAATACCCCGCCAGGATCTCCTGGTGCTCGTGGATTTTCCTCTGAGCAACACACCAACCCGTTGAAACACCATCATTACTCGTCGGCAGATTCGCTCTCAAAATCGCCTTCGCGCGCATCACGCGCCAAGCGCCGGAAATCATTCGGAACCTTGATGGCCTCGGGTGGCGTAGCCTCTATGTCAGGAACGCCGGATCCGCTGTCGGAGGAGAAGATGGAAGTTTTGAGAGGCCAGATTGTAGATCGGGTGCGGAACGTGTTACTGGATCAACCTACAGAGTCCACAGTCGTGAAGCAGAGCAGGTCTCAGAGCGGGGGTGCTAGTGGAAGTGTTGGCCGGACTTGGCCTACATCTGCAGCTGCAGTTGCAGTGGCGCCGGTTGCTGCTCCATCGACGACAAAACCTGCTGCCGCTTCAGCTCCTATCAGGGATCTCTGGATGCAAGTCGGACTTGGGCGTGGCAGCAGTGGTAGTAACAATGTAGGTGGCAGTCATACCTCCAGGACGAAAGGTGCTGTTTCGAACAATACAGCATCGGCCTCGGCAACAGCGCTGGGACTCCCATTAGCTGCACTAGACATGGCCCTCGATCCCCCTTCAGAGACTGTGACAGCGTCTTCTTCGTCGTCATTCCAATCCAAGGTGCTGGAGAGCGTAATTGATGGCTGTCTAATGGAGTTCAGGGCGGGGATCAGGAACGATATTCAGAACATGCACTTGGAGTTGTTAAGGCAGTTCCAGATACAAAAGATGGAAATTGAGGGTCTGTTGAAGGAGTATACCGACACGCGGGAACTGCAGGAGGAGAATCAGCGATTGCAAGAAGAGAACCAGAGGTTAAAGATGAATTATTAGTCAACTTGTTAATACACTCCTCCTCTTTGTCACCCTTTTATTTCCTTGGTCATATAAAACCCTTGCACTTCCTTGTGTGCTCTCTTACTCTTCAACGTTTACATCCACCAAACCTACGATAATAGGAACGAGTTTTGTTGGAGGGTCGAGCTTTTATTTTCGTACTGGTGAGCAGACGTAAACTTGCTTGCTATTCTGAATATAACACTTTCACAATGGAGAACTGTAATGAACTAAAAAAAAAAAACTACAAGCATCTTCTTGATGGGGTTACGCGTCAATTATCTAGCCAACAAAACAGAGACTTGGATGGTGGGGTGTGTGGTTTACAACTGGAACCTAGGGACAAGTGAGGATCACGACAAAAAAAGGGGGAAACAAAGATGGACTGCTAGGAAGCGCGCACTTATCTGTCCCTCCGAATGTTTCCAGTAGGTATGTATGCACGTACCAGGACATCACACTCCCTACTTGTGCGTATTTCTCATTGATTTGCTCCTTTGAGTTGAGATTTTCATCCTTTGTGCTATATTTCAGTCGACTGATCCATACGGTCCTCTTGTTCTTTATGCATGGAAAGCCCGTGAAGGAAACCCCGGTGGTCCTCCCCCACCCCCACCCAACTGTAGCGAGCTTGAATGACCACCCCTTCAGAATGAACGAATACACCTAGACTGAGCCAGAATGATCAGCAACATCGCCAGAAGGTCCACTAGGGTGGTGGGGTGGTGGAGGTGTCGAATATTGTAACTTGTTATTGGTGCTTTTGATTCTGCGAGGTTGAGCATGGCTTCATTGAAGAAGGGTCCGCCTCTAGTACTGTTGTAGTTTGTTGTGTGTTTGTAATTGACGATATGAGCTGTCTTACAACACTGCTATGAAGGTTTGCAAAGAAAACTGCATATCATGGCTAATACACCGTCGCAAACGTCCCATGGTGTTATCAATCGCGCGTAACGCATTCAACCATCAACATCCTCGATAGAGACAAGCAAAGGCTTCAACGAAAGAGAGAAAAAAAAAGAAAATACATGCAATGGTGGTGACTTGAACTTAATAAAGAATGCTAGATGTGGGGTGTTGGGTGGCGGTGGGTGTAGTGGAGTATCTATCCTATGCTTGTTCGTGGTCTACTCCTCGTCCTCGTCGTCGCCGTCCTCCGAGGAATCTTCATCGTCATCATCGTCGTCCGACATTTCCGAGTCGAGTCCCTCTGAATCATCATCGTCCGAGTCAGACTAGAGAAGGGTAGACATAAAAAAAAAGGGGGGGAAAGTTCATAAGTCACTCGCATCAAATCCAAGCAAATTTCAGACAAAGAACAAAAGTGAAAAGAAGGCTTACCTCGTCGTCCTCGTCAGCATGCTCATCGTCTTCAAGATCCATATCATCCTCATCCTCATCATCGTCCTCATCCTCCCGGTACACCGTTTGCGCCACGTTGGAGATATCGTCGGTATCTTTGTGCTGCATCTCGACCTGACTCATCACCAGGTCAAGACGTCCATGCAGGTTGATCAATTTGCTGTATACCGATACACGGGAATCCAGAGTTTGGTAAAAGTTGGATAGCTTCCTGACCAAGTCAGGAACAGTCATCAAGTAAGCGGTATGGATCAACAAGACGGCCTTGATCCACTCAAGAAGAGCCTCTCCACGACTGGGCTTTTGTTGAAACTTGTGGATGACCTGAGTCAGGAAGGGGATCACATAGGCGGTGGGCAGACGACGGACGGTATTCCGGATGACGTCGACGTTACTGTATGTTAAACAGGCCTCCAACAGCTGCAAATCGTTCGAGTGCAAAGCCTGGATCAACATCTGCTGCAGCGAGTTGGCCTTGGGCGTCGCGTACTTGTTCTGTTTTGCCTTCTTGCCAGTCCGCTCAACCGTTAAATCTTCCAACTTCTCCTTCATAGTCCGTCCCTCCAACCGAGCAGCGCCCTTCTCACTATCGCTGACCTCATTATCATCGCTCTGATCATCCTCGTCCGCAGCCTCAGCCAGACCTGGTTGGGCCATTGCAAAATCTGCTGCTCCCACAACTGTCACTGAGGTCTCATCATATGCCTTCTTGGTCGCCTTCACGTTGCTGGCCGTCTGCGCTGACTCGTCCATGAGGAACCCAGAGACGGGGGTGCGGGTCAAGACCAATTCCTTCTCCTTTAATGATCCGTCCTCGTTCTGGAAGTCGACCTTCTCAAAGACGGGCTTGATGTTTGATCCGCGGGCGAGAATCATCTGGCCCTGGGGTGTGAAAACTCCTCCCAACAATGGAATCACAGATCGTTCGCCACGAGAAGACTCAATCTTGATCAAGCAGTCGCATGCGCGCGTCGTGTAACGCTTCTTCTTGCTGGCCTTTCCGTTCACGCTGGATGTCCCGCTTGCAGTCTGTGCGTTCTGCCACAAACCGGCTGTTCCTTCCTCTGAGATGGCCAAGACGGCGTTGGTCGATGAAATGTCGATATGCGAAACTGTGTTGTCCAGTGTCAAAGCTATGGAATTTTACAGTATGAAAAGAGATAGTGTGTTAGTACAATGGGCGTAGATGAGGTGTTTCCTATTGCGTTATGACTTCAGTAACAATACATTAGCAACGGTAGCCGATCCTGCAATGTGCAAAACGCAGTGTGTTCAGTCAAACGTACCTGTGATGTTACCCTCCTGCTGGTTATCGCGCGTGCAGTCCCAGAGGTTAATGAAACGATCCTGCTCGGCGGTCGAGGCCAAGAACTTGTCGTTGGCAGAAAAGACGACGTTGGTGATGACGCTGGCATGTCCTGTGAACGACTTGATGACCTCGCGCGTCTCAAGATCCCAGAGCTTCATGCTATGTCCCGCGGTCAAGAGCATGTCCTCCTCGTGATCCAGCTGAATCTTCTTGACAGACTTGTTGTCAGCACGGAACTTGCTCATCTCGACGCCCTGAGCGATATCCCACTCGCAGATCAGACCATCCTCGCCTGCAGAAAAGCCGCGGGTCCCGCTAGCCGAGAAACAAAAGTCGTTGACCTTTCCATTGTGCGATCCCGAGAGTTGGTGGAGAACGAGGCCGTGGGTCAATGAGTAGATTGAGATCTGTCCGTTAGTGTGTCCAAGAGCGAGAACTGGGCTGCGGCTTCCTGCAGTCGTTACACCCTTCTTCTTTTTTGACTACAATGTTGATTGAACAAGAGAGGGAAAATGAGATGGATATGTGAGTCTCTTGTACACTTGAATGTACTGGTTATATTCAATCGCAGGCCGTGTCGACGACAGCAATAGTTAAAAAAACCAACAACAAAAAAGAAACATACGGCAACTTCGGTGATGTGTCCCCAGCGGACACAGGTCCACTTGCCGTCGCCTTCTTTTTCCTCGTAGTCGTTCTTGAGGTTTCCTGTGGCGGTGTCGAAGACTCTGAGACGGTAGCGATCAGCACCGGGGGTGATGATGCAGTAGTTGTGTGCACCCTCGGGTGAGAAGGAGGAATGGAAGATGACAGCGTTCGAGACTTGGTCAGGGTTCTGGAGAGAGCCGAAGGAGGTCTTTGCTGTTGGGTGCTTGACCATTGTGTGGTGTCGCTATTTATAAAATAATGGAATGGTATAAGGGAGAGAAGGGGAGGGCACAAAGGAAAAGGGAAGCTGAAGGGGAGAAGGGGAGAAGGGCGAGTAAGCAAGGGCGGCGAGTCGAGTTGCTTGATTGCTTTGATGCTTTGGGTGCAGAAGAAAGTAGAAGTAGTGTGCTCTCTTGTTTTTTCTTGTTGTCCTTTCTTTGTTGCTGTCAGCTCTCGTTGCACGACGATTGTACGGACCCAAAAAAAAAAAAAAAAAGAAAGAGCGCACTCGCTTCTCTGCCAATCAACAAAATAAACATAAGCCACACCATGGACTGTGGACTGTGGCCAACGCGCACGTGATATGTCTCACTCTCTCTCACTCTTGCTTGCCTTGTCCTCTTTGTCCATCCTAAGGTGTCTTTCAACCCTTCAGCACCATTCAATCCTCTCTCTCTCTCTCTCACGCACGCCTTCTTGACCTCAGGACAAAACGAACACACCTGGCCAGACTGTCACTCATAAAACCCCCCACTCACAACACGACATGGACCACGATGGTATAGGTACAGGACAACCATCGAGATGACCCCTCAAACACTTATTACTGTCACCACAATGGCACACGCTTCTCACCAACCACAATACCAACTACCGCCCTGCTAGTCTTCTAACGGTACACGCCACTTACGCGCCCCTCTCGCCCACTCCTTCATCACCCAACTAGAGAACATTATCCGGACGCGGTTAAGTGTCAACGAGAGACCTCTGAGGCGACTGAGCCAGCGTTTTCAGAAATGGTCCGGAGTCCTCGTCACAGGCTCTCAGGAGGATATGTAAATACCTTTTCTTTTTTGTTATCTCGCGATAGCAATATATCGAGTTTTTCTCATCCTTTGTGTATGTTGTGAATCGTTTGCTAATACATTTTCTAACCACAATATTAGTGAGGATGGTTTTCAAGCACTGTTGATGGAGATCTCGCAGTTCGAGCTCGGACTTTCAAAATCAACATTGGTGACAGAGATGGCCGAGCGGGAAAGACTACACTACCAGGAGGAACAAAACCAGATCGAGGACAGTATTGCCCTTTCTCATGGGGAGCTCGAGGCCCTCGCCCGTGAACTTGAAGGAGCCAAGCAGGAACGCGCCAACAAGATCGAGTATGACCAATTGGCGACCCAGGTCCTTCAGTTCCCTAGCCGCGAGTCTAGCCAACAGTCGATCGCTCAACTGAACGCCGAGATTATGGGACTGGAAAACGAGGCAACCCAGCAGAGCCAGTTAATGGATCTGAGGAAGAAACAGTTCTTTACGGCCTTGTTATGTCTGCAGAGTACACAGGAGTCCATTCGGGAGGATCGGCGCGAGGAGGAGAAGAGACTGTACCTCAAACGGTCCCATAATGATGACCCTCTGGAGGACCATGAGGAGGATGATGAGGGAGGATTTGTCGAGAGTATGGATGGTGTTGTGGCGTTGGACGGTGAGCATGGACTTGGGACACCTCAGTTAGCTCCCGCATTAGAACGCGTACTTTCTCAGGACGCACACGGTTCTGCCTCGCCCAGTCTCAACCGTAGTCGACGTGGATCTGTAAGTCCAGGAGGGGTTGGAGCAGAAGGGTCAGAGACATTAATAGGTGGTGGTGTGGAGGGGGAAGTGTTCATGTTGGACCTTCAGTCCAGTACGCCACGAGGAGGAGGAAGCACAGGAACGCCTGGAAGGACCAACCACCTCGCCACTCCAACACCACCGATGCGGTCTCTGACGGGCACACCCAACCCTTCCGACACCGCCATGGACACCTTTCCATAGCTTTATCGAGTAATATATAGAAGGCAGGTCTATCTGGGTGCTTCACGCAAAAAAATGCTAAACTCTGGGGATTCGAGTGTCGTTCAGACCAGGTCACTTGGGATTAGTATGGAGAATTGGACATTCTTCTCCTGCTGGCGCCTTTTTGGAGCTCCGGGTGGGCGCAGTATCCTCATTGTCCTCACTGTCCTTGGCATCGTCGGCAGACTCTCGCCTTTTGGTACCTCTAGAAGGCATATTGCCTACATCAACCTTGGTATCCTTGGCACGCTTTCGCCTCTTGATACCTCGCGATGTATCCGCTCTGGACGGCTCTGACTTGCCACTAGAGTGATCTAACGATCCTAACTTACCACTGGCGCCACTGTTCTCGTTGCCGTTTATGTCGACTGGTTGTATTTATTTGGGTCGCCGTCGGAATAGGAGATGGTCTTGAGAAATATAAAGGGACCAGCTATAGCGAATGACATGAAGGTTCCATGGAGCGCAGACAGTTCAGTATTGCTCGAGAACTAGCCAAGACCCACGGCGATAGCCACTAGATTGTCAGGATCACGTTTGGCATCAATCGACCCTCCCAGCATTTCAAGAAGACGGTTGGCAATCGTCTTAAACTCTCCTCATCCCGAGCGCATCTGGCATCCCAAGAATGATGCTTGAACCGAAAGTTGTTGCCATTATAGTAGTCGCTTAGGCGATCCTGTACGCCCTCCAAGATCTAAAATACTGAACGACACTTTTGCGTCAGCGCCTCACAGCGTTGGCAGCTCTGACTCAATGTCAGAGACCGATAGCTTATGGCGTGGAGGGATCACCGCCTTGAATTCTTGCAGCGAGCCTTCAGCTTGTTTGTGTCCTGATTTCGATATATCATCTTGCCCTTTTTGTCGAGCCCCATTGCGTCCGGTAATAAAGCGTGGGCAACAACGAAAGCATGACCAAGATCCAAACACAAGACCCTGAAGATTTCGAGATTCCGCGTGCAAGAGTCTCTCGCTCCCTACGAGCGCAAGTCGAGCTGCTGGACATATATCATTATCTCGAAAAACGGAAGGAGAACATCCAATTTTTCAAGCTTTCCCCCCGCTCCTTTGGGCCTTCGATAGGAGTCAACCTTCGAAGAACAACCTTTGAACGGATGCTGAGCCGAGAAGATGAGGTATATTATTGATTTCAACAAGCTGCCACGAGCTGTATACATCAAAAGTAATTTATTAAAATTCCTGTTACTTACAATATGTCAATCAATAGCTACGTGCTGCAGCTGAGACACTTCCCGATGACGCTCATTACATCGTCAAGCGGAAGGGTCTAGTGATCGAGCAGGTCCTGCTCTACTGGCTGCACGACCAACGCAAGAAGAATGTTCCTGTGACGGGCAAGACGATGAAGGAGGCAGCTCATTTCGCATGTATGGTTCATTGCGATCTCAAGGACGATTCGGGCAGCACAGTATCCGAGGCGCCGTTATCTTTTTCGGCCTATTGGTTCGACTCACTCAGGAAACAGCATCGTATCTCGTATTGTCAGCTTCATGGAGAGGTGGGATCGGTCGATTTGGAGGCAATCGAGCCCGAGCTCGTTTAAATTCGCCAGCTTTGTGCCCAGTGCACTCCCGACACTATCTTCAACTGCGGTGAGACTGGGATGTATGTAAAGGAACTGGACACCAAATCTTACACGACATCGCTTTTAAAATCTGGCGCCAAGGCTCTCCGGAACTGCAAAGTATCCATTTTATTTTGCATCAATGCCTCTGGCACCTCTCTCGCCTTGGCCAAGACTTAACAGTCATTGAAGCCAGTGGTTATCGGTACTATACTATATGTATGACAGTGCTACAAATGACAGCATTCTTTTTCAGATCTTAACCTTTATGGCTGCTTGATACCCGTTAGGCCAACACATCCCTAGAGGCGTTGAAGAAGAGGCGGCCTCGAAGATGACCATGGTGAAAACGAAGAAAGGATGGATGACCGGCGATGTATTCGTACGCTGGCTGCAACAGTTAGATGATGAGCTCTCACAGCCAACTCTTCTCCTTCTGGATTCCGCAGGAGCACACAATGATATCGATATGCGCGACCATCAACACGGAATTCCATGGAAGCATCTTTGCATCTGGCGGCTACCCACAAACTCGACATCGGTTACCCAGCCTCTCGACGCCGGCGTTTATCAGTGCTTTCAAACGAGCGTTTCTGGAGAAGCTTGGCCGTGAAATATATTTTGCTCGTAACTTCGACCAATGCTCACGTGCACTCTATATTCGAGATAGTGTTTTCAAAGTTTTAGAATACCTCTTTCATAGAGGTAATTCAGTACGTTTGTTCCGTTTTTAGGCCCACTTTCACTAGGAAAATGGGCGCAAAAACCATTGTTGACTGAACAATAAATACTGCTTAGGGACAAGGGCATAGTAGAAATCATCTTCTTTACTCGTTACCTCACTTCGTTTACACTGATATCTTACAAATCCTTCTCACATGACCATGCCTGATCGTAAGGTGTCGAAGGTTGGGACAGTGGGCCAGGAGCCTACCCATGCTTGGTGGGCTATCCTCATCCACTGGTGCACAGGGTTCACACTCTCCAGCCAATCCGCGTGCGCAAGAAACGCCCCGCAGATCTTATTCGTGAACGTGGGAGGAAACGCTTCAAAGTGCACGAAGATGGGAGCCGACTCGATCATGGCCACAATCTCGTCCACGGCGTCCTCACTCTCGTACGATCGACGCTTGATCGACGCGAACTGTGGGCAGTATTTTTTGCAGAGTCCTTGACAGCTCGGCAAAAAGGAAGTCGTCATCGACAATGGCCGTCAGTGAGTGGAGGATTGGGGTGTATCGGAAAAGCTGGGCCATCCCTGGATTAGGCTGACGTCTGTGACTCGGGTAAAGGCCACAAAAAACAGCCAACCCCCGAATACATCCAATTCTCAGCTTCTCCAGTCCAGCGTTATTGTTCAAGAGCTGGGTAAGCAGGCTAGGGTTGCCAAGGTATGAATTGGTGAGTCGATAGACGGCATCGAAATCTGCGTCGCCAAAGAAGGTAGAACAATTCAGATCCACACAACAGGCAAAGTCTGGGACAGAGAAGTAGAGAGCGGGGACGAGAGTTGAAGCAGTGATGATTGTTGTTATTTCTATGATACAGCCATACTTCGTCAAATAAAAATAACAGGAAGTGAATCCTCCAGTAGGATTCACACCTTTCCATACTACAAGGGCCACGTGATTCGTTCTTTGGGTATTTGCGCAGAGGTGCAGTGGCCCAAGGAGCCCCGGTGCTGCTTGCTGCTCGAGAGCATCAAACTGAGCGGATTTGTCTATCCACAAGACGTGTCTCATTTTTCGCAAGGGCCATTCTGAGGATGGGCCGGCTCAGAGCGAAAACGCGAATATGGACTTGGTGCAGGTGCTTCCTCAGCACTCCGAGGCCGATGGCCCATTCATTGAGGACTTTTCGAGCCGAGACTGGACCTACACTGCCACGGACATTTTTTGAGCACACACGCTAGTTTTCCAAGTTACACAGGATTACCGTTGAAGGATTCGAATATCTGGACATGGGCAGGAAGAGCAGGATGCCTCGCGACAAATAAAAAATAGGGCACCATCACCGCTGCATGTGATATTGCAATTTTTATTTCAAGTTAAAGACTTCCTTTTTCTGTTCTTGAAAGGCATTGCCTCAAGATCGCGTAAAGCCATAGCGAACTGCTCCTTCTTTCCCTCCTTTGGCTATCCGAGTTGATCATGTTTTGTCACAGAGTGTTGTTGAAGCTGTTATGTTGTTACAGGAAAGTGCTGTTGTTGTTGCTACTAAGGGTGTTGTTCACGTGGTGACATCACTCGAGCGCGAGTCGTGGAAAAGCATCGAGCTTGTCGCCTTCAAGATTCCACAAAAGAACGTGGCGAGATCCAACTACGACCACAAGAACCGGCGTGATCGTATAGCCATCCTGTTCCCACTTTTTGATCTCTCGGCTCTGCACATAGTCACGAAGCTGTTGTTGAGGGGAATACCCCTTGCCACCTTTCGGTCCAATCAGAATCCATTCATTGATGGTCTGGCCAGCTCGAAATTTGTCGTTCTTGAACTTTAGGTCCAACACCTCGCTGGGATCGGTAATGTCCGCGAGGGCATTGGCCCTTTTCGATGGTGATCCAGATCCAATTTTGATGAAGTCGATTTGGATGGACTTCCATTCCAGAACAAACAACCTCTTCCGCGACGGAACGGATACCAGCATGTCGATTCGACCTGGCGTTCCCGAAGGCTAATGCGGAGATCGAGAAAGCACGTATAAGGTACACTAAATAATACTCACATCACGACATGACATGACATTAGTCTTCATACCTTGGTAATGGTCGTCTCGACGCCAACTTTCCGAAGTGACGGGTGGACATTAGCCAGTAGGGTGAAACGCATCGAGTTGCAGTGATCCTCCTCCTTCTTTTTGAAATCACGAGCTCCGACATCATGTTCCTGCATACCGCGGGCGTATAGTCCGAGGATTCTGTCGATGTTTCCATCGTCGATAAGTAACTTAAACGCACCATTTACATCCTCCAGAGTTGCTTGATGCTTGTGCAGAATAGTGCTCCCAAATCGCTCTGCAGCCACCAAGTTCGGAATCCGTAGTGCGTTCTTGCCGACACAAAACGTCAGTCCACCAAGGTGTACCATGATTGAAAGCCACGCCGCCTTGCTTCTGGCAAGGTCTCCAGCCTGAAGAACAAGATGGCAAATATAAAGAACTGTGTTATTTACTGAGAGAATAGCAGCAGCAGTAGCAACAGCAATTTGTGCGTTATTCCAAACATTACCAGGCTTGCGAGAGTAAATGGTTGCCCGATTTTGTTAAAAGGGATCACTCTCTCTTCCACATTCTTGCCTTGCTCGCTTCCGCTGAAGAGTCCGTCCTCTAACAATTGCGTCGCCACTGGTGATGCCGCAAGTAGCCGCAGTGATGCTCCCGAGACCTCAGAGTAGGTGACTGAGCGAGGATAATTCATCGGCTCTCCCTCTACGAGGCACTATAAACACAATCATAAATTGCAGAGAAAGTAGCGTGTATGTGAGTAGACGTTAGTATCAAGGACAGGAATCCGCCTCTAACATTTTGTGAAAGAAACTCACCTGCAAGTACTCGAGACATGTGTTTGTGTTATATGTTAATGGTCCTTGTCCGCCAGGAACGAAGTTGAACCCGTTGTAATGATCTCTCATGATCTTAAAATGCTTCTTTGCTTTGGCGGTGGACTTACAGACTTTCTTTAGTGCAGCAGTGATATCCGCTTCCGTCAAACCACAATAACCTCCGAGCTCTGGTTCCCAGGACACATATCGAGCCACGTTGAATCCGGACGTGTTGTCCACCAAAGATTGTGGCAAGACACCCGTAATATAGCATTGGGCAATCTTGCGTTCTCCCAGCCCATTCGTCACAGACGCCCAGAATCCCTTCAGCATGCTGTCGGCGTCGGCCCGTCGCGGTAGTTTCGACTGAACACTGTCAATGGGGACGAGATAGTCATTGCTGTAGCTGTCATATTCGTCCGCCATAAGGTAAATCTAACAGTAACAGGATTGCCAGTTAGTTGTCGTCATAAGGAACTTGCGATCACAAAAAACACGGGCAGATATCCATGTGCACTCACTCCCTTGATCATTGAAAGAGGGTCCTCGGGACTCTTGTTATTGGCGAGTATATTATGCACAACATTCACGCATGCTGTCAAACTTGCCGCGGCAGTGTTTTTGATAAAGTTCTCAATGAGATAATCGGCCGACATTCGGAGATATGGTTCATATATCCTGTAGAACTGCTTGATCGATGCGTTCAGCATCAGGTCCAGGTTGTGCCTGGCTTCCTTTCGGTCCGGAGACCGATCAACTGCAGAGAAATCAAACTGTAGGACAAAGTAGCGCCCTGGATTCAGATGCCCCTTTTTCACGGGCTCGTGGATGGCAAGGGCCTAAAAGCAAGAACAGGCAGGGTTCAATAGGCATGCGAGATAACACTTTGAGCAAATATATATGATCAGTAAAAAAGACAAAAAGCACTTGCTTCAAAGAGGGGTTTATAGTCTGGAAGGTGTTCACGACCATGGAAGTGTGCCAATGTACTCAATCCGAGTGACTTTCCCGACCTGCGGGGACGAAGAAAGACAAGAACTGGCTCAGGGAAGGACTCGAGGGTCATGATGAAGTCGGTCTTGTCAAAGAAACAGAGGTCTGGGCGTCCACGCAGTGTCTTGAAGTCATGTACAGCATGGACAGGAAAGTTTTTGAATGTGTCTTCTCTCCAGACAAAGTCCCCAGAGCGACTATCGTATTGGACTACATCCGGCGGCCCGCGCATGTAGCCTAGAAAGAAGTGATTAATTGACAGCGTAAGCAAAAAACCTTATCGAACATAACGTTAAGACAGCCCTGGTAAACCGTGTTCGTTTCCGCAAACATGCCACGCAGAGAGTTGGTGTCGCTAATCTCATCTTCCGCTCCAACAGTGATGCCTGGCTCTGTGTTCAAGCTTACTCCCTCGGGGGGTTTGTACAGAAGGAGGTCATTGGCGTCCTGCGGGAGACGGCTAGGTCTTGCCATTTTGATCTTTTCCTTGAGATCAGAACTTGAGTCGTTGTCGTTTATATCAACGTGGAAAGGTACCCTCTCGCCATCGATCGCACAAAGAACTTTGAGCATGCGCAACTGGAGCTGTTGGGGTGCAGCCAATGAATTAGTCTCTAGGATTACAAAAATAATAATTGAATGAATACTATTGACTGAGATGAATGAGAAATGCTTGCCTGAGGGAATTGGAGACGTCTGAGGTGACGCCCAGAGAGGGTACGGACTCCTTGCGCTCGAAGTAATCCGGCAGACAGCATGGTCACAAAAGGAGTGCAACGGAATGCGTGAATGTGTGAAGAAAGAAAAGAGCGAAAAGTCGCACGGATGTTACATCAGCATTAAGCCCATAGCAGGAGACGTCATTTGTGACGTAATGGTTCTCATGCGTCTTCATAATCTTTGCATCATACCCTCTCAATCTCTCTTTCATCCTTCGCTTTCTCCCTTCTTCCATCATCCCTCACCACATTATACTTTCTTTTGCTTCCTAACTCCATGACCAGCAACCACATGTCTCTGTTCCTTATTGAAAATGGAGACTCCACTCCATTCTCTGCCGACATCGCTGCAGATTAGCTCACCCTCTGGCGAGTCTCGATCCTTATTGGCGATGACGACGACTTGGCCATTCTTCTCAATTGTATACCCAAGAACGACAAGACAAAACTCAAGACGGTAACGTTAAGGTCTCTGATATCTTTGGGGATAACCCTGACGAAAATATGACACACGTCATCGTCCAGCGGCCACTTCAATGTAATACACACTTGCTTTGCACTCAATTGCATCTAGCGCACGAGCTTGTTCATCGTACATAGTCCCGCTGCCCCTACTCAAGCCCTTACACCTGATCCAGTCACTCCTTCCGATGGCTCTTGTTCGAGCTTTGGCCCTCCTTCCCATTGAGGACATGGTGCTGAAATTCCGCAGGCATATTGCCAACCTTGTCGTCAAATCGCTATTACCCCTCTCCATTGTGGGGCACAGCGCCTTCAAGGATTTGTTCACGTTCCTCAAGATTCGTACAGTATCCTTGCCGGACTTCGATTACCGATAATATGGGACTATGGCGAGCTGCCTTGTCGAACGATGTTGAGGATACTTTGCAACATTGCACCAAAGGATCCTTCACGACTGATACTTGGAACAGCCGATGGCGTGACAATTTTCTTGGAGTTACATTCCACTGGGTTACCAAGGCTTTTGTCCCTGTCGAAGTCCTCATTGGAATGGATGCGATGAACGTCTCGCATACTGCCGAGGGACTGCAGAAATGTCTTGATAAGATTGCCAACCTCGTATGTTTTTTTTGTTGACTTCTTTACGGTCGTATTTGGTAATGTAATGTAATTACTTATTGTATTACAAAGAGACCATTTTGACTAGGTGGAGCCTGCTTGACAAAGTCATGATGGGCACCACAGACTCGCCCGCCAACATCAAGGCCGTAATGACGGCGCTGTGTCGGAAACATTCGTTCGTCAAGTTTCCATTTGCAGCCCACACTATCCAGCTGTGTGTGAACGGTGCTCTGGCAGATGTGGAAGAAGCCAATCTTGTCATTTCCAAGTGCCAGGACTTGACGCACTTGAAGAAGCAGGTTGGACTGTTCAGAGAGGTCACTGAGAACAAGCAGTTGGAGACGGATCCATTACAGACACCCTTTTTCATTTCTCGACGACATTACTACTCGATGGAACTCACAGTACTTGATGATGGAGAGGGCTATTCGCCTTTACCACCTTATCATCGAAGTGCGAGACGATGTTCAAATCAACAACCCTACCGCAGAAGAGCAGCGACACTTGGTGCGCCTGGGGAGAGCCTTGTTGACTGGGCGTGAGCTTTTGATTGCGCGGGATTTGTTGTTGCTGCTGAATCCGGCTTTGGCGTTTACAAAAATGGTTAGCTTTGTGCACCCTACTCTATCAAAGGAAACCCCTTGGGTGTACAATTGGTGTAACAGGGCGCGTCCTGAGTTGGAGACTGATGATGAGGGCGATGCAGTATACGACAGTCTTACTCGCCATATCAGGACACACTGGCCATTGACCGGGACTACAGACACTGTGGCACTTGCGATCTATCTCTGTGCAGGATGGAAGAACCATTCCTTTTTTGAGACCATGGTTTTGCGGGAAGGGGTTCAGGTTCAACTGGGCGATCGTGTAGGACCGTACTCGAGCGACAGGTTGTGGCGATGTTGGCGGATGATAATGGGCAGGGTGGAACATATGAACCCGATTCATCTGCTAATGAGTCCGAAGACGGGAACCCTGGACCCTGTGCAGCCACCCGAGTCGCCCAAGAGGAACTCCATCGATATAAAGAGTACACTGTTGCCCTTCCCGATCGACTGGAGAAATACCGTGAAAATCCGCTCAGCTGGTGATCTAAGCATTCTAAAGGATACAAGGTTCTGTCGATTCTAGCCCAGCAGTTCCACTCGATGCAAGCTTCCTCGTCTGCGGCGGAAAGACTTCTCTCGGATGCGGAGAATGTGGTGATCAAGAAAAGGACGTTATTGTATCCCGTTACTATTGAGAACATATTGTTCCTTCGTCGTTGTGTGCCTGTGGATGCAGAAGTCGAGGAACGCATGTGAGATCTTTTTTTACCCTTGCCTTTCTCTTTTTCACACTTCATTCTCTTCCCCATACTCTCTTTCCCATTCCTTCCATATATTTTTTCTTATTCTTTTCTCCATACTCATACCATATCATACCCATAACATACCAATATGTTTTCAATACTCAAAGATATATATGTTTCTAAGAACACAGGGTGAGCGAGAGTTACGGGCGAGCGAGCAAAAAATTGAATGGCCGAGCTGATTTTATTACTCTTGATTTTTTTCTGCTGTAATTGCGTACTATATTATATCGGTGATGTCACGATTTCGTCCATTGGAAATAATGATTTTATCATTTTATCTGGCAATAACGTTTTTCTTTTAAACGAATTATTCTACCTTTTATTCGAGCCACCGACATACCCACAATGGACTCTCTCTTTCATTTCCAGACAGACAAACTTACATCACATCATGGATGAAGCAAGCAAAAAGCGCAAGGAGAGACTGGAGCAGCTCAAGAAGAGGAAACTCGAGTCAGCAGGAGGCGACGACAGTGTCAGGTACATGACCAAACTCTTTGCATCGCAAATCTCTCAACTGAACTCTTTCCAGGAAAACAACCTCTGTTAACGTGGGACGTTGGAGAAGCGTATTGGACTGAACTGGAAGCACACAAAGGCATTGAATACGGGAGGATCACCAAAAAAGAAAAGAAAAAAAAGACGCTTTCAGCTATCTCTTTTCTACAGAAAGCCAGTACGTTCAGGCGGATCGTTGATTAGGATCTATCGGGCTGGTTCTTCGACGGGGGCAATAACCAGCTCTGACGCTGTGGATGAACCCCCCCCCCCCCCACCGGCCGATCTCTAAGTTGGCGCAACCAGAGGAGCAATTCGGTACTCGAGGACTTGTGCCAAAAAAATATCCTGGAGTCACTCAAGCGGGATCAACATCGAGAACTCAATAACTTTTCAGGACTTTTTCGCCTCCTAGGGAGTCCTTCAGTCAGTCAGTCAATCAAACCAAAAACAAAGCTAACCTCACACTCCAACACGGCCACCTTCTCAACCCCTTTTTTTCAATTTTCCTCCTTCAAAAAGCATGTCGTTCCGCAACTACACCCCTGTCAACGAATCCCTGAAAGACCAAGACTCCAAGATCACAACCGTTGCCGACATTGGCGACACCGTCGAAAAGAAGATGGACGGCGTCGTCGAGAAGGTCATCCAAGAAGAAGACGAGAAACGCGCCAAAGACGTCGTAAGTACTCCCCCTCTTCCAATTTTTTCCCCCAACTCTTGCATCAAAAACAAGCCACATATGAGGGCAAGCGGCAAGCGTTATATCTGGGCACTACTAACCACCACCACCTCCCAACCTCCCCCCCTGTTCGACATTTACTTGTGTTTTCATAGGATATTTTTACACTGGCACCCAAGAAACCCAACTGGGATCTGAAGCGGGATATTGAGCCAAAGTTGCTCAAGCTGGAGAAGAAGACTAGGGCGGCTGTCATCGAACTCATCAGGAAGGAGAGGCCTCAGGATCTCAGCATGGCATAGCACCGCAAACCTAACATGGCTCAACTCTGCTCAAACGCAAACCCCCCACTTGTAAAATACAAAACCACAACACAACACAACACAACATCAAACGCAATTGGATATTATACAGTCGTTGTTTTTTGTTCTATGAGGTTATGAGGATGGGAAAATGCTGAAGAGGATGATGAAAAGAATGACAATGGGGAATTGGTGGTGCGTGCTGCAAACAGACAGGGTGAAACGTTCCTATTCCATCGCAGCATGGAGGCGTGTATTGGCAGTGGTCGGAAGAGTGTGAATAATATCCGGGGTTGGGAAAAAATAATTACAAAATAGATAAGGGCGTCAAAAAGAAGGATGCAAACAGAGGGCCTTACTTCAGTTGCAAGTTGAAGTTGACAAGTCCCAAGGTCTCAGGACTCTGGAGGTCCTCAAACTTGCCCTTCTTTCCATCAGCTCTCAAGCTCTCCAAATGGGCCAAATAGGCCTCATCGACCTTGCCGGAGACGTATTTGCCGTCAAAGACTGAGGCATCCCACTTGGTAATGCTGGGGTTGAACTTTTCACACGATGCGATCAACCCCTCGAGGTTCTAATTAATGTAACAAAAAAACAATGTAAGCAACTCGTTCAATATATACAAAATACAGCTATATTTTTTGTAACTGAAATCAAGGATAATTACCTGGAAGATGACCTTATCGGCACCGAGGGCAATGGCAATGTCGTCCTCGCTCTTGTTGTACGCGACAAGCTCGTGAGGAGAAGGCATGTCAATGCCGTAGACATTGGGGTATCGGATAGCAGGGGCGCAAGACGCAAGGTAGACCTTCTTGGCGCCAGCATCACGAGCCATTTGCACAATCTCCTTCGAAGTCGTACCACGAACAATGGAATCTACATTGAAAACACGCATAAACGTAAGTCAGTCAATTCACAAGTACATCCGCCTTTGAACAAAGAAAGTATACACTGCCGAGGCATCCAAAAAAAAAAAGTGCATCCCGAACGTACCATCGACGATCAAAACGTTCTTGCCAGCGAACTCAAGCGACATGGCGTTGAACTTGCGGCGAACAGTCTTCTTGCGCATGGCCTGACCGGGCATGATGAAGGTGCGTCCAATGTAACGGTTCTTGATGAAGCCCTCACGGTAGGTGATATCCAGCTTGTAGGCAGTCTGCAAAGCGGCTACACGACTCGTGTCAGGAACCTAGGTATCACCAATGTAAAGTCGCCAGAAAAGAGGTTAGAAACCAAATCATCTAACGACAACCAAATTACTCACGATCGATCACTTTCTGCAAAAGAGAGTCACTATACTTACGGGAATAATGACATCAATATCGTGGTCGGGGCCCATCTTCTCCAAGACCTGGTCAGCCAAGGCCTCGCCCATAGCGAGACGGCACTTGTAAACCGAAATTCCGTCAATGATTGAATCTGGGCGGGAAAAGTAGACGTACTCAAAGATGCAGGGCGAGAACGAGGCATTGGGGACCAGTTGGCGCCTGGTGACAGTCGAGTTCTTGTTCACAATGACGGCCTCACCGGGCTTGAGGTCCTCAAAGTCCGAGAAGCTGCATCCGTCGCAGACAACACTCTCTGAGGCGAACATGTAGTCGGTTCCTTTGGGCGACTGACGCTTGGCGAAACCGATGGGGCGAATGCCGTGAGGATCACGGAAACCAATGATACCGAATCCTATGAGAATGGTGAGAGAGAGTGTGTGTTATTACAGACCTGACTCTAAACTGAAGCATGTCACAATCGACCCTCATCCATCCTTAGCTGTCTTCTCTCCCCCCGCCTCACTCCCCCGCAAAAAAAAACCACAAAAGAAGCAAGCACAACAAACGCAACTCCGAAAAAGACAAAACATATACGAGTCCATATTCGCATTATGTTCCCCGACAACACTGGCAGAAGCTGACTTACCAGCAATCATGGCAACGCAGGCATATCCTCCATGACAGACGTCGTAGATGCCCTTGATCGCAGTAAAGATATCCTCCTCATTAATACGGACCTTGCCAGTCTTCTGCAAGTTATCAGCAAAGATGTTGAGCAACAACTCCGAGTCCGAGTCGGTGTTGATGTGGCGATGGGCATCTTGATCCATGAAAGCGCGGAGGTCGTCAGCGTTGACCAAGTTTCCGTTCTGTTAAGGTCCAGATCCATATTGACATAAAAGGGTTAGAATAAACAATTACAACTTAAGTTGGCTTGTTGAGCAAACAATAATCTACAGATGCAGAAGCAAGTAAGGAGCCAGGGCACTTACATGGGCAAAAACGATGCCGTAAGGGCTGTTGACGTAAAAGGGCTGGGCCTCCGAGGTCGAGGAGGATCCGGCAGTAGGGTAACGAACTATTGAAAGAAAGACAAAACAAAAACAAAAGTAGGACAGTTGGCTAGGTCAGTCAATCGTTCGATTCATAGTAATAAAAGTTGTCGTGCCCTGCGCAGATAGACCCCGACAAGATAGATTTCTCTGGTGCCGTTCATTCGTTCGTTTGTTGAAAGAGAAGAGCTGAGGCTGAAAAAAGAGGCTGTTTCAATCAAAGAAAATGTCTAATTGACGACTCATTGCAGTCGAGATACACTCTCACACAAAAACTGAAGTTGGGGGGGTTGTGTTTGTTGTTGATATTGCTGTTGTCGTTGTTGTCGTTGTTGCCGTTGTTGCCGTTGTTGCCGTTGTTGCCGTTAGTGTCGTTGGTGTCGTTGGTGTCGTTGGTGTCGTTGGTGTCGTTGGTGTCGGCGTGTACGGTACGATCTGTGCGGTTGTGGGTGTGTGTATGTCCCTGTCATGCTCAATGCAAGAATAAGCAGCCGAAAGGAGATAAGAGACAGAAAAAACATACCATGACCGACACCCATGCTTCCGATAAGCTGCTCCAGCTTGGGCTGATCAAAAACATCACGGACCATGCCGTTGCCCTTGATCTGGTACAGACGGCCCTTGTTTCCGCAGGTAACAATACCGGCAGCATCCTATGTATCATACAGAGCATTCTTCAATGGTTAGATACTTTGTAAAAAAAAAACTGCAGACTGTTATTTGAAAAAAAACAAGGGCAGTATTGTCCAAGTGAACTTGCCTGGCCACGATGTTGCAACATTCCGAGACCCTCATGGAGCTCAGGGCTGGCCATCAGGTTGTGATCGGCCAAGAGGAGAGCAGTGATTCCGCACATGTTGTTATATATTATATATTGTACGTCGGGGAGGGAGGGGACTAGGGCGACAACTGGGGACGGGAGGAGTAAAGTGGAGGACGAGAGGGAGGAGAAGAGTGAGCCACGGGTTGAACCAGGCACTAGGACAGGGGATGATGAGTGTTGGTGTTGTTGAGTTTGGAGTTGTGAGAAAGAGAAAGAATAAAAGATTTTTTTTTTCTTTTTAGCTGCAGAGAGTTGCGGCTCTCGTTGGTTGGTTGGTTGGATCCTCGCTACCCCGCACAGAGAGACTTTCTTATTTGGGCCGATAGCGCCGTTGTTTACTTCACGTACACACACTCACACGTACACAAAACGCACTGTTTTTCTTTTCCTTCCGCTTCTGTTCGTCTAAAAAAATAAAGAGGCCAGCAAAAAGAAAAAGGAGACCCGCCTACTCCTTTTCATCCCTCTCTCCTTTTTCTTACATCCCTCTCGCCTTTTAATCCAATTGGATAATAGGGTAGATTATTTGATTTTCTGGGAAGCAGTGATGTGCACACCACATTCAAACAATGGCTGCGGTCAGCTTGGTCCCTCCTGGTCCTGATGGCCAGGGGTAAAGCTGCGGTTGGAGACCAAGATTGTCTGTGAGCGTGCTAATAATCAGGCGGGAGGTCTTCAAACAATGGCGGTCAGCCTGGTCCCTCTTGGTCCTGATGGCCAGGGGTAAAGCTGCGATTGGAGACCAGGATTGTTACTCTCGTTCCTGGTTATGTACATCTCACGTTTTGGGGACCTCACATTTAGTTCATGGATTTTCTAACGATGAATGTCATAATTTCATTCAATTCAACTTGGCATTCTCTCCATTAAATAACAAGTAATGCCGCACATTGCGCTCGCCGACTTCTTTCAAGGGAGTCCTGAGGACCTGGGACCGATAGCTTTTTTTGAGGTGTTTCGCGGAGGACACGACTGGAAGAATCTAAAATCAACATACGTCGCCTTATTCAACGAAGCACTTAAATCCCAGGATCCCTGCGTTGTCCAGCGTGGCCAAGAAATGAAAATGCGATGGAGTAGCGACAAAACTGTTTTTCAAAAGTACTGGAACGAACTCCAGCTTGAGAATATTCGGGTGTGTTTTTCACTGCGTTCATGAATTTATGCCGTTCATTATTATTACGCTAATAACAACGAATCTTTTTTTAGGATGAGAACATTTCAAAAGCGGCAAGACGCGTCTCGAGGCTGGAGAACGCTACAGGGGAGCATCAACTAAACAAGAGCCTCATGCAACTTCGAGAAGAGACCACAGTTCCAGTGTCAACAACGCCTCCAGGATCACCACACTCTTTCTCAATGGCAACAACTCAGGAATCATCATCAACACCTATTGGTCCTGTCATTGAAGCGTCACCAACACCCTCAAGTACATCGGCCTCATCACTGTGCACACCCACTTCGTCGTGGCTCACCCTTAAGCAGTCCCCTTATTAGTATGATAGAGTTGATTGGAGGTTGTATGCTCGCGCCTGCTGCTATTACGTTGAGGTGAACTAGGGTAAGATGATTACAAACTAATAACGAGATTTTAATACGTTTCACGGTGTCGATACTCAGGCTGAGTCCTGAGCTGCGAGCAAAGTACCGAGCGACTTTTTTTTGGGCCTCTGCTCGCTCACTTTACATGGAAATACTGCGAGTTAGTACGAAGATACCCAAAATCTGATTTGTAAAGCGACAAAAATAAATATTATGCACAAATACCCGTTAAAAACGAAATCCCTCCACTGCAATGGCAGTGAACAAAGCATCGACAACACGACGTCGAATTCTAATGAAGCAAGGATTGAAAGAGCCGACATCGAAGGATCAAAAAGCAACGTCGCTATGAACGCATGGAATGCTGTCGTAGTTTATGCATTGGTAATAGAGGAGGTAGGTCGACGCAAAGTGGTGAAAAAAAATATGCAACATCTAAAGCTCGTCCTTCTTGTGCTTGACAGGCTCGGCCTCCTCCTCAGCCTTCTCCTCCTTCTGCTGTTTCTCATCCGTCGTAGACTCCTCACTGGCACCTTCTGCTGGCTTCCCCTGTGCTTGCTCCTGCTGCTGCTCCTCTGTCGTCTCGCTGTCACCCTTGGGGGCACCGTTCTCCTCGCCATCCTCCTTGGTCTCGGTCGAGTTGGCCTCCTTCTTCTTGACGACCTTGGGCTTCTTCTTGCTCATCAGCCGGTGCATCTCCCGCTCAACAGGGTTTCCGCGCAACTGAATCTCGCGTGTCGACACCACACCATCCTTCCACAGAGGGAGCTCAGCCTGGGCAGCCTCCTTCTCATCGATCCAAGCCAAAACTTCGTCGCAGGCATCGTACAACTTTTGGACATCAGCTGGGTCATGGAAAGCGCCTTCGCCAGTCAACAACTGCTCGCCTACAGAGCGGGCCATCGTCACGGATGAACGGAGAGAGGTAAAAGCCTTGGGACGGGAAACACGCTCGGCGGCACGGATCGACATGGGGCGCTCAATCTTGCGAAGATCCTTCAAACGGGTCTGGAACTCGGGTGTCTCGGCATCTTCGTTGTCCTCCAACCACTCCGAGGCGAGCGCCAAGCTCTTGGACAGCTTCTCGCGCTCCTCCTCGGTTGAGACCTCAATGATCTCGTCCTTGTCCAACAACTCACGGCCACGATAAAGGAACGATTCGAGCGAGTTCCTGGCCTCCTCCTGGGCGCGCCTGGCGGCATCCAAAGCATCCAGTCTCTGAATCTTGGTCAAGGAATCCTTCTTGTTGGCTGCGTTCAAAGGAACAATACCCTTAAAGTCGGTCTGGATCTTCAAAATAATCTTCTCGGTCTGGGTGGTAGGGACGGTCTCGTTCTTGGCGGCGGTATCGGTGTTGTTGGCAGTGGCCTCGGTAGTCTTGTTCTCCTTCGCCTCCTCAGCAGCCTTCTCCTGCTCCTTGGCGGGTTCGGATGCATCCTGCTCTTCGTCAGTCTCCTTGGCCTCTGCCTCCTTGACATCGTCGTTCTTCTCGCTGCCTCCGAAGAAGGACTTCACCTTTTCGGCCAAAGAAGCCTTCTTGGAGCTGTCGGTCTCAATGGTCGCAATGGCTTCCTGAACGCTCAAAATACCAGACTCGGAGAGCTCAATGGTGACCTTGACCTTGGGGGTGGCGACGCTGATGTCCTTGAACTTGTTGATCGCCTCGCTCAATCCCGTCAACGACACGTGGGCAATCTCCTGGCCTGAGAGCTCGGCACCGTGGGGGGCAGAGACCTGGCCGTACTGAAGATCGAATCCGAAATCGGTGACACGCTTGAAGCTCATGATCTTGCGGGTTCCGAGGGTAGAACGCTCGTTGAAGATGGGGGTCAAGAAGGGCTTTCCAGGAGTAGAGGCATCCTTGGCCTCACCAGTGTACTTGACCTCAATGGGGAAGGGAGAGACATCCTTCAGGCGGACCTCCTTGACCTTGAACTGCCTGCTCAGACTGGCAGCACGGAAGACAGCGCCCATGACAGCAGCCTCATCGCCGTTGACGTTCTTGGCAATCTTGTCCTCTCCGACAATGGCAGCCAAGTTGGCCTGGATGGAGGGGACACGGACAGCACCTCCAACCAACACCAACGACTGGACGTCGTCCAACTTCATGTTAGCCTCGGTCAAGGCAGCATCGATGGGTCCACGAACACGGTCAAGAAGATCCTTGGCCAAGTCCTCCAACTCTGCGCGTGTTACCTTGATCTTGAAATCAATATCATCCATCAAGTTCTCGACCTAAATCGACGTTGTTAAATAATACATATTAATTAGTTAAGTGACATAGACAGCGCTATTATACTCAATATTAGAGCATCTCAATGCACTTACGGAAGCCATCGTCTCGGTGTTGGCACTGAGGATCTGCTTGACACGGTTGGCCTCCTTGAGGAGCTTGGCCATGGCGCGCTCATTCTCGATGACGGGGCCGCTGATCTTAGAACCTTTGGCCTCCTGGAATTTAGCGGCAAGGAACTTTTGGAGGCGAACGTCGAATTCGTGTCCTCCCAAGGTGCGGTCGTAGCCAACAGCCTTGATCTCGACCTGCTGAACAGTCTTGAAGAACTTGCCGACATCCTTGACACTGACGTCCTGGAAACAGGCTAAGCTGACAGCAGTGCTTCCTGCACCCATGTCGAAGAAGATATGACATTGCTCCTGAGGGAACGATCTGGTCATGGCATAGTTCAGAGCAACTATTTGCGGGCAAAAGTAAGACGTGGAGCATGCAGAGTGGATCGGCGTTAGAAATCGAAAGATGATTGGATGCAACCATGGTCCTAATTGCTCTCATTTTTTTTCCTCTTCGCATTGGGCGTATCCGTTTCACTTACCGGCAGATTCATCGTTGATGAGAGACAGGACATGGAGACCGGCCAGATCTGCGGCATCTAGAACAGCCTGGCGCTCGTACTGGTTGAAGTAGGGAGGGATCTACAAAAAAAAAAAAACGTTCAGTGAAATTAAAGGCATGCTGGGTCAGTTTCTCTACGTCTTAACTCAAACAAGCCAGCATTTCCTACCAACCAAAATTGCAACGAGCGCGACAACTCACAGTGATGACAACATCCTTGACGGTCTCGCCGGCAGTGTCCTCAGCCTGCTGCTTGGCGAGCGCAAACTGCATGGCGACCAATTCCTCGACGGTGAACTGATTTCCTGAGGTGGTCTCGAAAGTTGCTGTGCCTCTGACGGGATCCCGGATCATGTTGTTGGTGAAGGTGTTGCGGAATTCGACGCAGTGGTCGTCCTCATAATCGTGACCCAAAATTCTCTTCAGTCCAATGTATGAGTCTTGGGGAAAGCGAGTGGCCTACATGAAACGATAAAAACAATGCAACGGAGCGTAAGAAAATCCGGACCTGCGTGTGTAATTCTCGGGGGGGGGGGGTAACTTTAAAAACAAGGATGCTGATCATTGAACAAGACACGGATCCGTACCAAGCTGAGGGCCTCGGAGCCAAAGGCGCGGTTATCACCGCGGATGTTGATAGCCGACTGGGTCTTGCGCTTGGATTCTGCGTTGAGGACGATGTCGAAGGGGATGCCGGGCTTGACGAGGGCGACCTTGAACCAGTCGGTACCGTAGTCGATGGCCATGACGGCGGCATCGACGGGGGTTGTGTTCAGGCAGAGGGCACCCAGGGCGGCGACCGCGCCCAGGGTGAGGAGCGACCTCTTTTTGCTTTGCGTTGTTGGTTTCATTGGGTGTGTGTATGTGTATGTGTATGTGTATGTGTATGAGAGAGAGAGTTATGTCTTGAATACTCAGGGGAAAACAGAAAAAAACTGATCAGGTAACTGACGCGAGTAATAATGCACAAAAAGGGAAGGGAGTGGGGACGTGAAAGAGGGTGTTTAATGTATTATTCCCGGGGTTGAGGATGAGAAGGGCAAAAGAGCGATGAGAGGCGAGAAGAAGGCAAAGTGAAGAGAGAGTGAGAGAGCGAGAAAGAGGAAGAAGAGAAAAGAAGAACAAGAAGAAGGAGAAGAAAGTGATGGAGATGGAGATGGGACTCCAAGGAAGGTTTACTCAGACCCCACTCCTTCTCTTGCTCACTCTCGTCTATCATAGAGAGAGACGCCTTTTTAGAAGGCTGCTTCCCTGGCTTGATCCCATTGGCCCACTTGTCCAACATTTGGGATTAAAGTGAACTTCTTTTTACATTTCACGTACAACATCGCTGTTTGCTGATATGTGTACGTATATGAACATTCTTTAATAGTTTTCTCCTTACCACACGCAGCATAGCATATACGATTTGGAGGGCATGCCCGGGGCCTCAACATAGTACCGGCACTTTCGCGGAAGTTTCCAGCTCTTGTGATATTGCAATTGCTCCTTCACCCCCTCCTTTTACTATCCGAGTTAATCATACTTTGTCGCATAATGTTGTTGTAGTTGTTGCAAAGAGCTACTGTTGCAGGATTTTGTTGTTGTTGTTGCTATTGGTGTTGATGTGTGGTTGTTATCGCGGCTAAGGGTGTTGTTCACCCAGCGACATCACTATACCAACATGTCAATTCTGCCTGGTGTTCCAGAGGGCTATTGCGGAGATTGAGAAAGCAATTGCTATTACTCTAAATAATACTCATATCACGGACATCATGACACGATATTAATCTTTCATACCTTGGTAATGGTCGTCTCGACGCCAATGTTCCGAAGGAACGGGTGGATATTAGCCAGCAGGGCGAAACACATCGAGTTACAGTGACCCACTTCCTTCTTTTGAAAGATATCTGACATGGTGTTTCTGCATACCGCGGGTGTAAAATCCGATCATCCTGTCGATGTTTCCGTTTTCGATAAGTAACCTTAATGTGTCATTCACATCCTCTAGGCTTGTATATTCATGTACAGAATAGCGCTCCCAAATCACTCTGCAAACCACCAAGTTTGGAATTCGTAGTGCGTTCTTGCCGACACAAAACGTCAGTCCACCAAGGTGTACCATGATTGACAACTACGGCGCCTTGCTTCCGGCAAAGTTGCCAGCCTGAAGAACAAAAGAGCAAATATAAAGAACTGTGTTATTTACTGAAAGAACAGAAGCAAGAAAACAACAACAGCAGCAGCAGCAGCAGCAGTAGCAACACCACCAATTTGTGCATAATCTCAAACATTAGAATTCTGCAATCCACTCGTTCAGCATCTGGTTCAAGTTCTATTCGGCCGCTTCCCTGTCTCGGGAACGACCAACTGTAGAGAAGGCAAACCGTAGGACAAAGTAGCGCCCTGGATCCAGATGCTCCTTTTTCACGTGCTCGTTGATGGCAAGGCCCTACAAGCAAGAATAGGCGGGGTTCAATAGGCATGCGAGATAACACTTTGAGCAAATATATATGATCAGTAAAAAAGACAAAAAGCACTTGCTTCAAAGAGGGGTTTATAGTCTGGAAGGTGTTCACGACCATGGAAGTGTGCCAATGTACTCAATCCGAGCGACTTTCCCGACCTGCGGGGACGAAGGAAGACAAGAACTGGCTCGGGGAAGGACTCGAGGGCCAAGATGAAGTCGGTCTTGTCAAAGAAGCCGAGTTCCGGGTGTTGACGCAGTGTCGTGAAGTCATGTACAGCATGGACAGGAAAGTTTTTGAATGTGTTTTCTCTCCAGACAAAGTCTCCAGAGCGACTATCGTATTGGACGACATCCGGCGGCCCGCGCATGTAGCCTAGAAAGAAGTGATTAATTGACAGCGTAAGCAAAAAACCTTATCGAACATAACGTTAAGACAGCCCTGGTAAGAGGACCTACTTGGGGGTCGGACAATCACTTGAACCGTGTTCGTTTCCGCAAACATGCCACGCAGAGAGCTGGTGTCGCTAATCTCATCTTCCACTCCAACAGTGATGCCTGGCTCTGTGTTCAAGCTTACTCCCTCGGGGGGTTTGTACAGAAGGAGGTCATTGGCGTCCTGCGGGAGACGGCTAGGTCTTGCCATTTTGATTTTTTCCTTGAGATCAGAACTTGAGTCGTTGTCGTTTATATCAACGCGAAAAGGTACCCTCTCGCCATCGATCGAACAAAACACTTTGAGCGTACGCGACTGGAGCTATTGGGGTGCAGCCAAGGAATTAGTTTCGCGGGTACTGCATGCAAACGAAGCATAAATGAATGCGATTGAAAGCAGACAGCATTTTCCCCAGGAGTGCAACGAATGTGAAGGAAATGAATGAAACGTTCCATGTTGTACAATTTGGGACGATTACACAGACAAAAAACAAATAGCAAACCTTCGTTTCATAGTCACAACATAGTTTGATTTCCAAATGGAGGGGATGGTAAGTAACATATTCCCATGTCGCCCAAGACTGGGAGGTTTCTCGAACACTTCGAAGGAACGAGCGACAAGCGTACGAGGGGAGCACACGGCACTTTTGCCCACCAAGCCGAAATCGATTCTGCTCTTCCAGCAAATAAATGGTGCCTTTCTCTTTCACCCTTACCAAGATTAACAGTCAATAGAAGGTCAATCCTCCGCCCATCCAGGCACTACCACTGATCACTTGTGTCACTGATTGATGGCCCTGAACATTTTTTTTTTGATCAAAGAATCTCGGGCAAAATAACGACTCTCTTTCACCCCACCTGCAATAAACAAAAAAAAGGAGAGAGTAATAGAGAGTAGGAATGGTCAAAGGGGAAGGAAGGAGAAGGCATGGGTAGGAACAAAGTACGTGCATTTTTTAGAGTGTTGGATATGTTCATAACAGATGCGCGATTACCTGCTAACCCCTTTTTTTCTCGTTTTTTGTTCTCCAATGGGATGATCTAACTGACGATGGATCTGTGATTTACCACATCGGAGGAGAGCTCAAGGCGGACACAACACCCAACATAGGTTAATATACTCGCCGTAGCCAGCGGTCAAATGGACCTCAAGGCCCGACCTTACCTTCACCTCTGATCCAGATGGCATACGCATAACTTTATGACTCTTTCGTTATTTGTAGAGAGAAGGATCAGGCAGAAGAACTTCGCTTTTCCCGGCCGTGCTCTACTATAGGATATCGCTAAAAATAACAGTTGGATCAACACCTACAACCCTAAGCATCTCAGGATGCCCGATTTCCATTATCACGGTATCAATACTGACGGCACGGGCCTGCAATCCTGGAGACAAGTAATACGGGTGTGGCGGCAATTATTGGTGGAGTCGTTGGTGGCGTTGTATTGTTTCTGACGGTCTGTGCTATCGCAAGAGTCTGGCTCCAAAGGAGGAGGAGGGACGAGGAGCCAGGAAATGGAGCGTAAAGGCCATTCCGGGATATGGAGAGTAAAGGTCATTGGGGACATATAGTCGAATGTATGAAAAATAAATAAATATTTAATTACAGATAATTACTCAAAGTTTGCTTGGATTGTGGAACGCTGCGCCATCAACTGCATATTCGCCTCCGACAACCCAACAATACCCTCCAAGTTTGCCTCAACCAACGAAAGCTCCTCGTATCCAGAGCACCAGTCGAGCTGCAACGAGTAGACTCCGTTCTCTTCCTTGAGTTCCCAGATGCACAGGTTTCCGGTCTTGTCGAGAGTGGTCAAGTTGAGGCGCTTGGGTGCTTTGGTCCACTTCATCCAGGACGAGGCGCCGATCATGGTCTGGAGCACATTGGTCCATTTGCCAGTCTCGGACGAGCGGTCCCATAGTCGGAGGACACCATCCTTACAGGCGGCGGCGAAGATCTTGCCGTCGGGTGTGAACGAGCACCGTGTGACCTTGGCATCCACCCCATCCATCTCAATGCGCGCTCCAGTCGTCGAATCCCAGCAGAAGGGTCGCTCGCCGAGGACGACAGAGATGAGCGACTCGTTGTTGGGATCATAAATGACCTGGTCGACCTTGACTTGGTTCTCGTTGATTTGGTTCACTCTGTCGAGATCATGTGCCAGGCTCAACAGATTTTCACCCTTCTTGGGGTCCCAGACGCGCACGGAACCGTCATCACTACAGGAGGCAACTTGGTGACCGCGAGGGGAGAAGGGCACCTTCGAGACCCAGCCCTTGTGGCCCTCAAGGACATGGACAGGCTTGCCGGTGTAGGCGTCCCAGGTTCGAACGATCTTATCGTGGCCCGATGTGACGAGCTGGGTGCCATCGGGCGAGAAGGAGAGACAGGTGATGGCGCGGGGTTGGCTGATGACGATAGATTCGGCGACTCCCGTCAATGCATTCCAAAATCGAACGGTATTATCCAGACTAGCGGTAACAATCCTTTGACCGCACGGCGAGAAGGCGACCTCGGTAATCTCCATGGAGTGACCATTCTTCTCCAACTTGACCACTTGCTTTCCTGTGGATGTCAACCAGAGTTGTCCGACGCCCTTGCTGTTGCCGGTCACGATATACTTGCCGTTGGGTGAAACGTCGACACAGACCAGCTTGGCCGCAACATTGTCTGGATAAGCATCGATCATTCCGCTCCCGGCACCCCAGAGACGAATCGTTCCATCCAGTCCTCCAGAGGCAATGTACTTGTCGTTTGGCGAGAAGGCAATGCAGCGGACTTCGAGGATGTGACCAAAGAGAGTGTTGCGAGCACGGCCGTTGCTGGGATTCCACAGGCGGATGGTATGGTCAGAACTGCAGGAGGCAAGGAGTTTGCCGTCAGGGGAGTAGACCACACCAACAACGGCATTATGATGTCCAGACAGGGTTTTGGAGGTATTGCCAGAGCGCGCATCCCAGAGCCGGACGTCCTTGTCGACGCCAGCGGTTGCGATCTGAAGACCATCCTTGGAGTAGACCACGGATTCCACAGCGCCGGTATGACCCACCAGGTTAAGGAGCTTTTCGCCAGACTGCACATCCCAGACCTGGGGTGCACCAGCAGTTCCACACGAGACGAACTGGAGGTTGTTGGGAGAAAATACAAGGCCCCTGACAGGGAACGAAGGACCGCTCAGGACATGGACGCTCTTGCCATCGGCGGTTGACCAGATCCTAATTTCCTCGGAAGCGCTTCCGGCGACAATCAGTTTCCCATTGGGCGAGAACGCAATACAGGTCACCGTGGAGGTGTGACCGACCAAGTCGAGTCGTGCTCGGCCTGTCTGGATGTCGGCCAGTCGCACGACATGGTTCTCCTGTCCGACGGCAAGTTCCAGACTGGTGGGCGAAGTGGCAATGGAATCCCTGCCTGGGTAGGAAATGACATTTTCCCATGTTTCAGCGGTGTAGACAGTGACAGCGGTACCGACGGTGTCTTGTCCCGTCAAAGTAACAAGGAGACTTCCGTCGAACGACCAGGCAAGTTGATGCACCCCCTCCGAGTTGGCGGCTCTCAGGAACGGAAGCTCTCCAAACTGGACGTCAGTCATGATGGCCCTGCTCAAGTTCGCTCGTCGCATCCATGCCTTGCTCAGATTCACCTTGGTCAGATCGGCGCCCTCGAGGTTTGCAGAATCAAACTCTCCGCCACGAAGATCGGCACCGGGGATCCTGATGCCGCGGAAATCGGAGCCGTTGAACTGGAGCTCAGCCCTGATCAAAATGGTGATCGCATTTGCGGCCGCAACGCCTGCCTTGGCGTCCGTCTTGGATGCATGGATGATAGAGTCCAGCTGATCCCTGAAGACAGAGTCCAGTTTCACACGCTCGGCCAAGAACTGCATCACCGAAGGCTCGTTGATGATGCTCCTGTTGCCTAGTTCATCCTGCAACTCCTTAGTCGTTAGTGGCTCCTTTGAATACTCGTCATCCTCGTCATTCTCGTAGTCGCTGGGGCTTGGGCTGGGTTTATGGCGAGAAGGGTCGTAGAAAGTTCTTGAGTAGAAGTACTCCAAGAGGGACCGGTGAATGAATCGGTAATTGTTGTTGGTCTTGGTGAGGGTACTGGCATCGCGGAGCAACTTGGAATTCGCACCAGGGCCAAAGAATTCGGTCTTCCAGTCCTTGGCCTGGGTCCTGGCACCTCTGGCGCGAAGATAAGTATAGTTGACGACAGGGTGTCCGTCTTGATTCATGAAGATCGCCTTGGCGAGTCGCTGTTGAAAGTCGAGACCCTCCAGAACAAATCCAGCATCTCTGAGGGCGATCAGCTCATCTTGTTCGTCCAGGCTCAGGGTGTTGATGTCCAGTCTCGAATTGTTGATATCCAGCCACCGATTAACGAAACTGTCGTAAAGCTCGACCCGGGTGATTTGGATCTCCAAGAGGTCCGACTTGGATTTGACGACCTCAGGGAGAGCATCCAGAGACAACTTCAGAAGGAAGGGGTTCGAGACAAGGTCCATCAGGTTGGGGATTCTGCGCAACTTGTCCATATAGTCATCCTTGGTCCACATCGGCTGGTCGGCATGAGTATTGGCCATTGACGGGTTCAGGGTATATTGCTCGACATACTGCTCGACTTGCGCCATGTTGAACGCTGCAAAGGCGGCCTCCTCCATCAGCTCGTTCGCGTCCACGTTACGGGCGGTACTGTATCGGTCGCCCTGAGGTTGGAACCGGGCGCGATAATCCGCGCCCACGTACTGGCCACGACAGCTGATGACAACTTGGACCTTCCACTGTGCAGGCTGGTTCCACTTGTTGGTGGTATGAAGGTTGGTCTTGAGCTGACTCTCGTCGTATCCATCGCAGATGACCACAAAACGGCGGTGCAGCTTCATCTCGCGGATCTGGGGGTCCTTGAAGTTGAGTTTCCTCAGGTGCTTGGCGATCAGTTCCTGGTCTGGTTTTTCGATATCCGGAAGGTTGATGTAAAGAGGGATAGGGCCATACTTCTTGTAAGACTGCCACAAAGCGCGCTCCAGCTGCAGGTTGAAAGTCGATTTTCCGGCACCAGAGTCTCCCAGCAGCAGCAGCACCTCATTTGGACCCTTGAGGAATTCCTGAGCCTTCTCCATCAGCGGGAACAACGCCTCGTCGTCAGTCGATTGGAGACTGGGCTTGGCCTGCGGCGGGATATACAAATGATTGATGGTGCTTACGAGTCGTTGCTTCCTCACATTGTTCAGCTCAAACTCGACATTGGGAATATTGTGGACCTTGGTGAGCAGAGGGAAAGACGCCGGAGGGGTGAGGCGGATCTTGATTGGGAACTGATTCGGGTCTCCTTGCGTGGTCTCGGTGTAAAGCTTCTGTCTGTCGTCATCACCGACACCCGCCAAGTTCTTGAGCAACAACTGAGCATGGCTGGCGACGTCCTTGTTCGATGAGTGGGCGTGGTTGGCGTGGGTAGCGATAACCTCGTCTCGCAACTCGGAAACCTGGCGGAGGACGTTCAAGATCCAGCTGTAGAGTGTTGGATCTGGCTTTTTAGGAGTGAACAATGGGTCCTCGTAAACCATTCCAAGGAACTCGACGGCGTGTTCACGCGACTCCAAGTCCCAGAGTGGGTTGATCGCAATCTCGCCAAGGTACAGACAGATCCCCCATTGGAACTCAACGTTTCGAAAGAGGGGGAACTTGAAGACAAAATCGTTGAACTCATCAAGGCGGCCGTGCTGGATGTGCTCTTTGGCTTCACGCAGGGCCATGTACCAGACGATTCGTCCACGAGATTTCAAGCCTGTCTTAAGGCTCGCCAAGAGGCCCTCTCCGCCATCCCTGACTGACTTAGCTCCAGAGTAAACCTTGTCGGCAATCTCGATGAAACCGACGGCGGCCTCGTAGAAGTTACCAATGCCGCCGGCGAATCCTTCGAAATTCAGGTTGACGACACTGGCAACACCAACGATTCCCTGGACAATGGTGGTGGCATTTCGCAATACACGATCCTTTGTAGACTCATCGTTCGGGATGTGCATCAGAGCCTGGAAGGCGTAGGCGGCCTGGTGCTTGAGATATATGTCGTCGCTCTCCATCATCCCAACCAAGAGCTCCTGCAAAGGTTCGTGGTCGGCTTCACGACTCACACCCACGACCTTGTTCCCCACCATGACATCAAGCAGACGAGAAAGGGCCAGTACGAGATGGTAGGGATACTTGGAGGACTGTTTGTGGGTCGTTACCAGGCGTTGACGAAGGACAACAAGGACCTTGACAAGGTCGTCGGAGAGGAGATATCCCGTTCCTGCACACTCGACCATCTCCACCAAACCCTCCAACAGAGCTATATCCGTCAAAGGAGCCTTCTGGAACTCGCCGATCAGGACGTTGGTCAATTTGCGGTGGTACTCCAGTTCGAGAGCAGGGCCAAGAAGGACGACCTCCGAGATTGTCTCCGTGGTCTTGAGGGCATCCATTGCAAACTCCTCGACGACTCGTGTAGAAAGGTAACGGATATGCGTCAACTCTTCCTCTTCCTTCAGGATGGCGTCCAGCAAAGCCTGCTGAGGAGGGTCGAGAGGCAAAGGCCTGTCGACGTCTCCGGCTTCGTCCGAGTGAGGCGCAACGTATCTTCGGAGCAAAATATTGGTGTAGGCGAGCTGCGCTGTACTCTCGATACGATTGCCGCGTATTGGAATTTGGGTTGTGAACAGTGGAGGGATTACTTTGTCTGGGAAAACCTTTGGCCAGTTCTTCTCCTCGGGAGCCGGTGATGGGGTTGGCTTACTCCTGAACTTGGAGAATAAACCACCGCCAGCCGAGGTAGAAGTCTTGGAGACGGCAGGGGTGCTGGCATCCGGAGAAGGTGTCTTGGAGGCAACAGGAGTGTCGGCAGCGGGAATAGGGGTCTCAGAGGAAACAGAGGGGGTGGCTGCGACGTGCGCACTTGGCAAGGATGTTTCTGAAGGAACAAGGGAGGATCTTGCGGGTGTAGGGACGCCTGACAGACTCTTCTCCCCGGGAACAGGAGAGCTTGCCGCAGAGTAAGGTGGAGAGTTGTCAGGAGTCAAAGTAGACAGGTCTCTTGTGCTGGGTGCAGGAGAGGAGGATGTGGAGGTCGGGGTAGCAGCTTTGCTGCCAGTAGATTCATGAGGGTTGACGATACTGCCGGTTCCGAGCTGGACGATTCCGATCCCGGCAGCGATTGCTCCACGCTTGGTCCTGAGTGATTTTCGAAAGAATTTGTTTTTTGTCTTTTCGATTAAGGAGTTCAGACCCTCCTTCTCTGGCTTGTCGGGTGAGTTGGCCATGGTTGGACGAGTCGATTAATGGGGTCTTGAGTTTGTAGGTATCTACTTTGTTCATAACAAGCGCTATATCGTTAGTCACCATGGAGGCTTAATATGATATTGCAAGAATGCGATGACCATGAACGGGAAAGAGCGTTTGTATTCCTTACTTTTAGGACTTTAGGCAAGGCCTTTTTTTTTAACAGAGAGATAGAGGTATATGGTTGCTTCCTTGGGCAATGGCTGTTGAGCTAGGTATATTCGAATGTCAGAGTTAATTAGACCTTGTCGGGAGAGACGATCCTGCAAGTTTTTCACGTTGCCAAGACCTACCACGCACGATGAATGCTCCTGGGTTTCTTCGACGTAGTCTGGGAACTGTGGGCGGGACAAGACCAAGTGAGGGACGGCGGTAAATGGGTATGAGTGCGAGTGGCAATGCAAAATGACATACAGTGAGAAAGCAAAAAAGAGGAGACCGTTTGTTGATGGACACTGAGGACAGGGCTCTCACTCTCATCGTTTGCTGTTCGTCAAGCGCCTAATGTCCCTCGTCCAATGGAAAAGAGAAACCCCCCATGTACCCACCCATGCATCGCCACATCAAAAAGAAAATCTCTTCTTCAAAAGTGTGCTTACCTTGTTGCCGAAACGAATGAGGACCCCTTGGTCGATCGTGTGTGTGTGATTTGTCCGCGGAATGCAGAAGAAAAATAAGGATTCGCCCGTTCGACTGCTATCAGTGCAAAAAAAAAAAGAAGACGAAGGAAAAGGCACAAGAGTCAGTTAGAGGCGCAGAACACAAAACATAAAGACAAACAAACTAATAAACGACCAACTATACAAATAGCGAAAAAAAGTCGAACAGCAATAACATACCTCAGAGAGACTAATTGGTATACTTTTATCCTGTCTTTTGTCGAGGAATAAGGGGAAAGAGACAATTCGATGCGACCTGTTCCTGAATGTGGAAGAACGACGAAGAATTCCTGAGAGGTGTTGTAGAGACGATAGCAATTAGAAAATTAGAGTGTGTTTTGTCGACACACAAATGCAAAGAGGCGCACCTCGTTCGTCTCTCCCGAGACACACACACATGGTGCGAACAATACAGGTATATACAATGCGGCAAAGAGGAGTGGTTGTCTACCTGCACTGTTCCTGGTGGGGGAGGGTGGGTGGGGGGTTTCTGAAAGATAGTCGTTCCTTTTTCAACACGCTCAACCAAAAAGGAGGTGAGATGGGCAAGAGCAAGGGTGAAGAGGGAAGTGAAGGAGGAATGAAGGAGGAATGAAAGCGAATGAAGGCGAATGGAGGAAAAGAAAGGAAGAGAAAAAGAAGAGATGCAAGGACAAGAAAAGAAGTACAGTACTGTCTGCTTGTGTTTTTCTTTTCTTTGTGTTCTTGTTCTTCCTTTATGCGCTAAAACCATCGAGAAGCATCGACGGACGGATAACCTCGCCGTTTTATCCACTTTCGTTTCTTTTTTTTCTTTTTCCTCCTCGGGCAAAAAAGCACGCACACGTAGACAGACAAACCATGTCCCCCAGCCATCGACCAATGCAAACCTTATTCAAGGAGGTCCAACCCTCTCCCACTCGAATGCCTTTCCTTTTTTTTCGTGCAAAGTGTTCCACCCCTTTATTTTTCCATCAACGAATAGCAAAGCAAGTCGGAAGGCATCAAGGAAACAGGGGTTGTGCCTGGACATGAACAACAGACATCAAGCACAGAATATCACAACGGCTGCTCTTACACACACACTAAACTGCCTTTCGTTCGTTTATCGGGCAACAACCCAATTGATGCTGACATCTTCCTACTCATCCATCCTTACACAATAACCACAACGCGTCCATTTTTTTGTACGTCAATTGGCGATGATAGTGAAAAGGGCAAGAATGGACAAGTGGCCCTCCCAAGGCCTTCAAGTGGAGTTTCTCCACATCAGCAACCCCAAGCGCTACATCATGAACGTCGAGGGTTATGTCCCACAAAATGAACTTTCTTATCTCTCTTCCAATAAAGAAAAGGTTCAAAAAAAAGAACAAAAAGACATAGATGTCCTTCTCTTCTCTTTTTGCCTTTCGCGTTTGGGGTTGTGTTTTACCTCATGCCTTAATTTCGCATGCAGGATGAGCTAAAACAAAACGAAACAAAATAAACCATGCCCGTTTCATTTGCACATATCAACGTGTAAAGGCTTTATTACCCTCCACCCTCAAAGTTGACGACGCGACAAGGCAGGAGTAGAGTCAGGATGTCTTTTTTTTTCTCTCTTTGCTCAGTTTTGAAAACGGATAACACTGGAAACGAAAGCTAGTATACTCTTTCCGTTTGTTTAAATGTACTCGACTAGATGGAACGTCTGTCTCATCGCCAGGACAACGACCACACGAGAATGAGGTTACCATTGTCGTCGACATCACAGAGACCAACGATAAGAGTTGTAAGGACGTTGTTGAAAAAGAATTCCTAAGAAAAACTACTCGAAGATCTCGAGGCGTTAGAGGTCGTGGACATCCGGAAGTGCTGAGCGGCATTCATTAGACTTGAGAGTCTCAAGGAACAAGGGCTAAAATCCGAGCTCAGAAGACTTTTTGAGACTAAATCTTATTCCATAAAGGACAGCAATAGGAGATGAACCCCGGCCAGCAACCCTTCTTGAACACATTTACGGCGACCTTTTGCACGCTTTTGCAGCTTTCCAGTGGAACGCAACAATAATAATAAAACTCCCATTTACGAACATTCATGTTGACGCTTTGTGTTCCTGAAGAGTGCAGCAACGACGCGTTGCTCCTTTCAGAGCGTTGTGGAACGATTTGTTTGAATCGATGTCGTGTTATGATGTGTATTGTATGCAATGATGAATAAGAAAGAAAGAAAGAAGCATGAATGCGATAGTAAAATGCATGATAAGAAGAAATAAAGTACTTGTACAAACTAGCCCTCGTCTTGGTATCTAGTGCTTGATGTACTCATACTTTTGCCAGCCGACCTGGTCGAGGGTTGTAATCTTAGTCTGGACCTCCTTCTCCATCTGCAATTGGTACTTTTCCATCCTGTCCAGGTATGAAGGGATAAAGCTGCCCAGCATCCTGACCGCCAACAATGCTGCGTTTGTGCTGTTGTTGATTGCCACCGTTGCCACTGGTACGCCGCGCTATTATGTTCATTTCAATGGTATTAGAGTGTGATTAGATATATGCAAAAATCATGTTCAACATGGACAGAGAAAAACAATTAGCAAGGACTTACAGGCATCTGGACGATAGAGTGGAGAGAGTCGACACCATCAAGAGTGCTTCCGCGGACAGGGACACCGATGACGGGCAAGGGCGTCAAGGCGGCGACCATACCGGGCAAGTGAGCGGCTCCGCCAGCACCGGCAATAATGACCTTGATTCCACGCTTGTCCGCCATCCGTCCGAAATGGTACATCCGCTCGGGAGTTCTGTGAGCAGAGACCAACGAGAGCTCAAAGGGAACACCCAACTTGGTCAAGATCTTGGCCGCATCCTCCATCACCTTCAGGTCCGAGTCCGAGCCCATGACGATTGAAACCATAGGGTCGAGGTTGAAGGGCGACTCGTCCTTGGGATCCATCGCCATGACCATGGGCAAGAGACGGTCGTGGACTTCCTGCATCGAATCGCCGACGACAGTAATGTGGCCCATCTTGCGTCCAGCCTTGCACTCCTTCTTCCCGTAGAGGTGAGTTGTCGTTCCAGGGATACCGTAGGCGAGCTCACAGGCCTCGTAGGTCTTGTCACCAGCGCCCAAGATGTTCAGCATTCCTGAAGCCTGGACCTTCATGGCAGTCGATCCGAGGGGAAGACCTAGAATGGCGCGGAGATGGTTCTCGTACTGGGAGGTGTGGCAGGCCTCGATGGTATAGTGTCCTGAGTTGTGAGGGCGGGGAGCAATTTCGTTCAACACGATCTGGCCTATGTCGCACCCGATAGACAAGATAAAGAGTCATTAGTTTTTTGCATGTTCTATTGATCCAAGTCCATTGGTTATTGGTAATTGGTTGGGGAGAAGGAGAAGAGGAGGGGAAGAGGCGGCGGGGGATGAACAAGAACGAAGAAATAAACATGTTCGGGGTAAGGGGTACGGAGGGAAGGAGCGGGATATGAAATGAAGAAGGGACGCACCATCCTGCATCAAGAACATCTCGACTCCAAAGACACCAGCGCCAGAGAGACTGGTGATGGCATTCTCGGCAACCTTCCTGGCACGCTCCAGAATCGATGTCGAAAAGGTCTCGTCCGAGGTGCCCGTCAAGCCACGTCCGACCTGGGCGGGGGCAAAAACCAAATGACAGATGCTGTTCTTGTGAACCGTCTCAACAACAGGGTACGAGCGAACCTCGCCCGTCACCGAACGGACAACCATCACCGCCAATTCGCGATCGAACTTGGCCCAACGCTCGGCATAGAGTGGCACACCGGGAGCAAGCTTCGAGCGAGCGTCCTTGAGATCGTCCTGGGACTTGACGACATAGTTTCCCTTGCCGTCGTAGGCCATGGTCTTAGCCTTTAGCATGAAGGGGTAACCAAACTCCTGTCCTGCCTTCTCGATGGCCTCCTGATTCGGACAATCCAACGAGTCTGCGAGGGGGATCTGGTACTTTGCTAAGTGCTGCTTTTGGAGGTACTTGTCCTGGATCAGGGTGATGGTGGCGGGGGTGGGGTGGATGGACTTCCCCGAAGCCTCGAGCTCCTTGAGGACGGCAGTATCGACGTGCTCAATCTCGACGGTGATGACATCGACCTGCTGGGCGAGCTCGCGGATCTTGACGGGGTCCTTGAAGGATCCTTGGAGGTGAGACTGGAAGGCGTTGACCTGTTTGGCGGGAGAGTCGGCAGGCTCGTCGAGGATGGTGAGGGAGATGTTGAGGCGGGAGGCGGCCTCTTGGACCATGCGACCGAGCTGACCACCGCCGAGGATTCCGACCTTACGATGTTCCATTGTGTTATATGTATGTGTTTGTTTATGGGGAAGGGGAGGATGAATGAGAGTGGGGGTGATGAGAAAGAAAGAGAGAGAGGAGTGATTGGGATGAGAAGGAGGAATAGGTAAAAGTAGGAGAAGAGGAAGATCGGTGGTTTTTATGGTTTTCCTTATCGTTGACCGTGTGTGAGTTTTTCTTCCCTCTTCTTTCTCTGTGTGAGTCGCACTCCCTGTCATCGAGTGGACTTTGAATCTTCTCTCTTCCGGAAAAGGGAGTCGACAGGATGCGGGGAAACAAGGCTTGGATGATGCAGCCCTTAATCATTGGCTATTTGTTGTTTGTTCGCCGCTTGTTTGTCGTAGGAAATAGGAAAATAGAGATGTAATGTCTCTATGGTCTATCTATCTATCTCTCTATCTATTGCCTACTGGCTCCTACTCCAGTCCTGTCATGTAGAATCCAAACTGGACCAGGCCCATAATCACCGGCTGCCACACAATCATATATCTATTAGCATAAATAAAAGGATGGGAGGCCAATGAACAATGTTAGCCAATCTACAGACAGACAAAAAAAATTGCAACCGACAACCACTGAGAAGAATGTTGTTCAATCAGAAAGAAGAGCATAAAAAAACTCACCGGAGGGCATCCAAGAGGTTGAGGTAGAGCTGCTGGGTAGTGTCCCAGGGGTTGGTCTTGAAGGCACGAAGATCAACCTTCTCCTTGCAGTACGGGCACATATCCTTCTTTCCAATTAAACACCATCCACGAATGCACTCCTCATGGAACTCGTGGCCACAGTTCAACTTGATGCTGGGTTCCACAGGGGCGCCGTTAGGTGAAGGTTGGAGAATCACAGGTGCCTGCAGGTGACCATGAGCATCGATCGTGCTGATCGCATTCGAAACGTGGATACCGCAGATAGCGCACACTCCCAAGCGAAGATGCTTGCGGGGAAAACCCTCCTTGGTGTAATAGCCTAATGTCGACGCCATCGATTCCGTGCAAAACTCGACAAAGTCTCGTCCAAGGATACTATTGAAAAGGAAGAGAAAGATGATTGAGTCACCACAAGTCAGTCAACGTTCCACCGTGTGCGGGTCCTATACGACTCCACAGCCGTAAGATAGAACGAGATTGAGCAGGTCGTTACCCAAAGTAGATGCCGTAGGTCAAAAAGGTCAGACCCCAGGTGACCAAGAAGGAGGCTTTGGGCTCCTCGCCCTCCTTTGGTGGGGTGACGCCGAATCCCATGAAGGTCAAGAACATCATGCTGTATCCAATGATTCCAGTGACATACGAGATCTGGTAGATCACCCAGTACCACTTGTACACAACCCTATGAACAAGAGGAGAAAATGGTTAGCCTGGGTGCACTTTGCAACTAACATCCACTGTGCCAACACTCTGAGTCGCATAGAAAGTCTTAATGGAAATGCTCGTACTTAGGGGTCATATGGTGGAGAGGCTTCCTAGTCGCCTTGTAGATGATCCATGAATTGAGAATTGTGAATATGATCCAAACTATTGCGAACAGCTTCATTCCACTATGGAGCGCAAACGCAAATGGGATAATCCTACAGATATAAAAAAATATATGATAGCAGGCAAGCATGAGGGAGCACACGAGTAATCAAGGAGAGAAGGTCAAACAGTTAGGGGCATGCACCAATGGATTACTCTGTTTCCCAGCTTGGTTCAGTCCAAGACGCAAAAAGCAAGTGAGTTTACCAGAGTCCGATCGTGGTTGTGGCCTGGTATGACCGGTAGTGATGCTTCTTCCACCAGAGCAGCACAAACTGGAAGGCGACCAGGGCAACGATGATGATCATGGCCATCTTGCTGTGAGTGCTCTCGTGCCCTGCATGCTCGTGAAAGTATTTCGCCTGGTCCTCGAGACTAAGAAAGTAGTAGAGCGATTGAAAGGTGGGAGAGAGGTGTTTCGTTAGATCATGCGGTCCAGTTGTTGTGTAAACAAGTTGCGCCGAGTGTATCTAGAAGAGTATCCGAGTTGTCCTATTCAATGCCAAGGCATCTCGCTCTCACCCAAGGTGAATGGTGGTGAGAGTGCGCCGATTTGCCTGATTTCAATCGGTTCCTTTGATGACGAGGAGGAGGGTCTGAGTCATGGTGTTGTTTCCTGCTGCCTCTCCTCCCAATAATCCTGTGAAGAGGGCGTATGTGCTTTACAAGAACCTGGCTCCAGTAACGTTCCTTCCATAGCGAGCTGACAGCGGGCCAAGACGGAAGACCCCTACGTCTCCAGGGATGAATTACAAGAACTTTTGTTGTCATTGGTCCCTTGTCTCCATTGGTCGTTGTTGTTGTTGACTTGCTTGTTGTTCCACTCCTTGGTCGAGCAAAAGGATGATGAGGGGGTGGGTAGATGACTCACTTGTGAATCTGACCCTCGCTCAGATGGATCTTTCCTTCCTCTACTTCATGGAGGATATGCTCGATCGACTCTGCTCGCTGCTCCATGCTTGTTCTTGCTTTAGTAGTAGGAGAGGTGCTGTTGCTTGTTTGCTGTCGATAAGGTGAGTAGGTGTCCGTGTGGGTCCTGGGCTGCGAGATAGAAAACGGCAAGGAGGGGAGTGTGATGGAAGAAGAAGGAGGAATAAGAAAAGAACAAGTTGGTTGTGTGATAGTCTCCACGCTGACAAAGCCCAAAAGGTTCAAAGGAATAAAAAATAAAAAATAAAAAAAGGTGAACCCCGACTTGAGAGCGGGAGAAATGTTGGCCGAAACAGGTTGGGGGAACGAATCTTCATTACACATAGAATAAGTGTGGCTTATGGGGATAAAGGAGAACTTACTATGCATCCGAGAATCTTGCTTCGTCGTTGCGAATAACGGCAGTACCACTCGGTAGTCTACCTCATATTTCAGCCATCTCTGCCTTGACCATCAACCCTCATGCTCCACCATAAGCCAAAGAACAAATAAATGAATGGTCTCTTCCTTAACACTCCTCCCTCGTCTTCCCCTTCCCTCTTATCATTGCCATAACACCATTATCTTTCAGGCACCATTAACAGACCGATGAGCTCCAAAAAAAAAATAAGGTTGGTGGCAAAAAAAAGAGAACATATTATTTGGCCTTCATAACAGGCTATTGTCAATGTCAGGTCTCCAACACTGTCATGGCAAAAGAGTGCCACAAAAAAATGGAGATGAAAACACCCCCGCCTGAGTTTTTGAGTAAGCAGAAGGACCCTGACCTGTTATTCTCTCCCTGTCTCACAGCTTGAAAAGGACACGCGCCCAGGCTAAAGGATGATGGACACGGACCACCACCCCGTTGTTTTAGCAACAACGGCCATGCTCACACTACAAACAGAGCAAGCACACACACAAATAGCACGAGCTAATTCCCTCCGCATTACGGTTACTCTGACCAAAAGTGAAGACTTGAGGTATCCCGTGTTTGTTCCCCCTTTCTTCTCCTACTCTGGTCTAATAGATGATGCTAGTCAAAAGCACTATGAGTTCGCCTCCATGACATATCTACTAACCCTGAGACAATAACCACTTACTTCTAGTTGGCTATCGCAACGTGGAAGGGTGGAGTGTGAAGCAATGTAGGGGTTTTGGCTGAAGAGTGTGAGCATAGTGAGAATAGTCAAACCGCGTCAGTCGTTGCCCTCGTCGCCCAGAACCAGACGCGCCATTTGATTGGTCCACCCACCCCGTTCCTTGTTATTTAATCCTTTTACGACAACGGCCACCCCCTTACATTTTCCCACTTCCAACGGCCTCTAGAGAAATCAGATCGGGGCAACAAAAAAAACAGAGGGCACACGGAGAAGCCTAGGCCCAGACCCGGCTTGGCTGGTCGTAGTCAATCATATCACATTTTGTGCCGTTGAGAATTGATACACATCAGGGCGAGGTATCCTCGTTGGTCTACGCCGTTGAGTAGCGTATTATTTCACTTTTTTTGCCTAATGACCCCAAGCATTAGTTTCCTCATACTTTTTCTCATTCACTTTCGGGCTGCATCCGAAAACAGGACTCCAACATCATTCGATGGATGGTACTCATGGTAAGTATTTGTCTGGTCGTGAAAAATGATGTTGGCGTAACCCGCAGAATGACAAGAAAGAACAGAAAAGAAGAAGAGAGAACAGAACGACAAGCAACACGAGGATCGGAGATTCGGTCGTGTTGGCTAGTGTCAACAGTTTTCATTTCTCGTCATGCATGCTTTGCTGCACTATGAAGAAAAACATATTGACGACGAGAGACTGAGCAAGAGAGAAAACACCGAGCCCCAACTGTTTGTAATCCCCATCATGTCATTTTTTCTGCACAACCATCCATCCATCCATCCTCATTTTTTCCCTTTCTAGGGAAACCCGCACCTACCAATTGTGTCTGCAAGTTGGCTTTGTTCGCGCAAGTGACAAAAGAAAAAGAGATGAAAAGCATCTTGGTCTGTGCATGTTCCTTGCCTTCCTTCCTTCGGCTAGGCTGACTTTTTAGCTGAGAAAAAAGACACCAAACCAACTGAGCTCAATGCGTGTCACATATCCCGCTCAGGCAGGAAGTCCTGTTGTCGAGTCCTAGCCTTTCCGCACTCCTTCCATCGCCTTCTTCCACCCCAAACCCCGCTTGACCCATCCTCTCAAGAATACGTCTGATAGTACGGTCTCAAGTTAGATATTTTTCCCGCAGGTTTTCAGCCCGGACCAGCCCTTTCATCGACTGACTCTGTTCCCTGACCATATTCTTCCCGCTCAGCACCACCCCTGTCTTTCCTCCCATTCTCTCCTTTCCCCTCAGCACCCAGCTCACTATCCATTCTTTCATAGCTTACTCACACCTCTACCAAAACCACCCATTTTTTTCTTCCCTGCCTTGGTCGACTGGCCTCCGGTCTGGACCAAAATAAACATACGTCTCAAGAGAATAACCATTGGTGTTCAAACAAAGAACTGATATATTATCTTTTCGTGACAAAGAAATGATAAAAAAAGGAGAAACACGGTTGCAAGACGACAAGCGCGAGCCAGGTTCGAGACTAAAGCAGTTAGCAAAGAGTTTCCGAATACGCACCATTGGTTTCCTTACGTGAGTATGAGAGAGGCACGCATAACACTCAAGCAAGCAGACATGCAAAGTAGAGGAGGAACATCAACATATCTGGTGTCGCGCGTTGTTACATTCCTAACCCCGAGTTCGATGCTCCAGGCAAAATACTCCTCACTTCAGAGAGTGAAGAAAAGAGGAAAAAGGAGTAGGGGTGCAAAAGGTGAAGGAATGAATGCAAGGGCTAGCTAGGAACGAATGTCATTTGGTTCGTAGTAGAGTAGCTGTCTGTCCCGTCCCTCCTATTTTTTTCCTTACTCGACCCTTGGAGTTTCTTGATCTTCATTTGGGCCAGGGGTCAGGTCTGCCAGATTCCTCATGTACGAGTTCAAGGTGTTGTTCATTCATCCCTTTCACTCCTCTCTCTTCTCCCCCCCTCCTCTCCTCCTTCCTCTTTGAGTGCAACGCCCCTCCCCTGACTTCCTTTTTTTTCTCTGCACCTCTCTTCTTCTCCTTATGCTCGTCAATGGCACAAAAAAAAAGGGCTCCGACTCTGACACTTGGACATTTGGAGGAAATGAAGAGCAATTGATGAGGAAAAGGATACTTTGTCACCTTTTAGTCATCCAATTGCTCTCAGTCTCAATGCCAATACCACATCCCTCTCCCTCAGAAAGTAATAAGCACCTATTCTATGACAGATCATTCCCCCCCCCCCCCCTATTTCCTAACTGTCGTAGCGTGTTTTTGTTGTGAGGGAGGAGGAGGAGTCATTGCAATGAACCGTAGGATAGGGACCGAGAAGACTGACAACACCAAATATCGAGCGAGGAGGAGGAGGAGGGGATGAAGCGTTCCAAAAGCTCATCCGTTTACTGCCTAGCCCTCGCCTGTTAAATCAAGCACCCCATTATTGACCTCTGGATAAGTGAAGTGCAAATGAAAGACGCGTCGCAAAATTAGCTTTAGACTTTTCAAGCAACCTTTTGTGCATTGGCCAATCTGGTTGCATTATTAAATAAGATAGATAACACGAATATCTCGCGTCTTCCAATCCTCCTTGCTTTCATCCTCCTTTTCCTTGCATCTAAAAAAAATGTCCGAGGAAAAAGAGAGAGAGAGAGAGAGAGAGAGAGAGAGAGAGAGAGAGAGAGAGAGAGAGAGAGAGAGAAAGAGATCCAAAGGAGGGGTTGACGCTCAAGGGGAAAGGACAGATAGATGCACTTTGAAGGAGGTGGAGAAAGAGATGCGGCATCAGTCCATTGATTGAATGAACTGAAGAAAAAGGGAGAAAAAAGAAGAGAAGAATGAGAAGGGGCGAAGGGGAGGGGAGGATCTACACCGCATCCTACATCGGGGTAGAATCAGTGAGAAGGTCGATCTTGGCCTCGGTAAAGAAACGAGAGAATCAGAGAGAGAGTGTGTGTGTATGTGTGTGTGAGAGAGAGGGAGAGAGAGCGCGGGTTGATGAGTGGCGGGAAACGTAGAATGAGAAATGAAAAAGGGTTCAGGCGAGACCCGACTGATGATCAGCGAACCAAATGAAGGCAGAGGAAGGTCTTTTCTGATTTCTGAGACATGTCAGTGGTTTTAGGTTTCATCAAACGGACGCACGCTTTTTTTATTTGATCAGTCAAATTCATTCAATTGCACACCCTTCGCATGGCTCGACTTGTTGCAAGATGGGCAGTGGGTGCAAGCATAGACTACTGCCGCATGGCTCTTTCGTGTTGTTTGTCCACCACTGTAGGTCTCTTTTGTTGATGGACATGGCTGCAAGGCAGCAAATAGAAAAAAAGGGACGGGCTTGTGCGCACATGGACAAACAGACTGGCTGTTGACACGACCGACAAGGGAAACTTTAGTAAGGGTACTGAGGGCAGTGCGCGATTGAATGACAACGCCATTTTGTTACAATATAAAAAAGAAAAAAAAACTTTTTCTATTTCTCTTCGTTCTCTCTTCACTTGTGGTTCGTGACCCATCTGACACCTCTGCAACTAAAAACACTCGTCATTCTTTCATTTCTCTCTCTCCCTCTCTGCCTCTTCTTCTTCTCTCTCTTTCTCTGGACCTCGACGCCGTCGTCAGAAGACATCCGATCATTTGCAAAAAAAAGGACACACCAACACACCTGCATACCCTCCTCACTGGCAACATCCCATTCTGCACTCCCTTACCCTTCTTTTTCCTCCTTGCTTCCTTCCTTCCTTCTTTCCTTCTGCCGCCCACTTTATTACTTCTTCTCCCTTCTACGTTTTCATTTTCCCGCTGTTATTTCTGATCCACTCCTTGCCAGAATGTAAGTTCTAACAACATGAACGACTAGAACCATTATACCCTACACTCGCTACTCTCTACATCTTTCCCTCTCATCACACATCGCACATTACAGAAACAACTATCTGAACTTGTGCCCTAAAAAAAGAACATGAGTGAAAAGGGTTGCGGATTAATTTGCATGTTTGGCTGGCTGGGGTAGACTGGATGGGATGGAATGGGATGGGATGGGATGTTATAGATGGGGGTCGCACACGAGAACAAGAAAAGAATAAGGAAAACCACACAGACATGCAACAAACAATCAATTGGTGTCAAGCTGGCTCGGGCGTGTTCGTGGTTGGATCGGGTTCTGCATAGAATGTAGACCCATGATACTCGGCCCCAACACGAAGAAAAGAAGAAAAGAAGAACAGAAAAAAAAAAGTAGAGGAGGAAAGGGACAAGGAAGGAAGGAAGGAAGGAAGGAAGGAGGTGGTGGAAGGATGAGGACTCAAAAAGGTGTGTTTAATAAGATAGAGGGGGTGGGTAGGCATATGAGGATGGGCGATGGACTAACAACACCAGACTCTCTCTCTCTCTCTGTTGGGCATTCGCGATGCGATCAGTTCTAAGAGCGCAACAAATGACTGAAATGAAATGAAATGAAATGAATGAGGTGTGCATTGGCCATACTATTTAGGTCGAAAGGACGGAATAACCTAGGTGCCATAGCACTTTTAATGGATGGGATGCAAAGAGGGGGAAAAGGGGGATGTGTATGATGTGATGATGTGCGCCGAGGACGGATGGACAAAGTAGAAAAAAGTGAGCAATTGAATGTCAAAGTGAATGGAGGAGATACAGGTCTTTCGCTCGGTCATTCAGTCATTCGTTTAATCGCTGAAAAGAGAGTTCGTAAGGGGGTGGACAGACAGGGTAAAGAAGTTCAGATCAGAGACAGAGAGAAAAAGAAGAGAAAGAGGGGAGTGTGTTGTTGCTCTCAACCGCGCGGGTGGTTGCATGGGCCACCAGTTTTTCCTCTGCTTGCTGTCGATGTACTACTGTACATGTGCAATATGTTGTGTATTATCATTTCATTATTCAGAGTGTTCGTTCATACAACTTTGCTTTTCCAGTGAAATTGTTTAAATACCCCCACCACCCCCCGACTTGCGCTCCACTACAACCTTACTTCTTTTTCTGCTTCTTCACTCACTCACTCACTCTTCTTTCTCGTCAACATAGACACTCGGCTCGACTCATCACAACCCAACTTGACTATCTCTACTCCTCTCTACTTCCCACACCTGTTCCTCTCACTCCACTCAACTCAACTCCACAACGGAAAGAACACATCTTCCACCCCTTTGGCACCCCTACCCTCTCACCCTCACACTTCTGCTCGCACTTTACAACATACAACACCCGTCTCGCCACACACTCCCCCGCTACTACTTTGCACATACCACAAAAAGACATGCTTATCCTTCGGCATTGCCAGCAGAGCTCTGACGACCTCATTGTCTGCGAACGGGTAAGTCTCTCTTCGTCCTACTGATTCGCAAATGAACGATCGATTGGGTGTGAGTCCTTTCCCTGTACTCCTTTTTGTATTCTTGCCCTGTACACACAACTCTCTCAAATGTTCGTTTGCCGCAACATCATCACCCCTTTCTTCTTTCCTCTTTTTCCTATTCCCTTCTCCTACCTCATGTCCCCTTCTTGGTTTTTAGACTGTGAAGTGAAGCAGTAAAGAGAAAAAGAGTAAAGAGGTATTCTATTTTATAATCCGAACGAAAGAAATGTATGCAATTGAAAGCAAGTAACAGAGCAAGAGGGAAGAGGGAGAGAGAGTAGGGGCAAAAAAAAGGACAGACAAACATGCAGCAAACAAAAGCGCGCCTCACTTTTGGTTAGTTTTTATGGCTCAAACAACAAGGACGGTGTCGATGATGCGCTCCTTTTGTCCACACAGGCACTCGTCCATTCTCCTTTTTTCTCCTTACCATACACAGAGCGAATGAATGCATCTGTCCATTGGCTCACTTCACCCCTTTTCCCCTGTTATTTTCCTGCCAAACAGCACTCTTCGTCTACGCCTTCGTCCTACCCCCCAACCAACCACACCTCTCTCTCCCCTTTTTTTGTTCTCTCTCTTTTATCGAATATGCAACAAAGAATGAATGGACTGCAAAGAGGGGGGAAGTATGGTGCCTTGGCCGTTGCATGGGCGGCTGCTTAGTATATTCCAGACTAAGAACTGCTAGATGTCGAATGGGCCTCGACCACACGATCGAGTACTTTCTCTCTTGCAGTGGTAGTAATAAGAGTAACAAGAACACAGAAGAACAAAGAACATGAGGCCGTAGTGGGGTATCACTTTTTTTGTCATCTTCACACACACACATACACACACCCATCGTTTTCGAATGAGAATGCCCATATAAGTCACTTCAACGTCTTGAAGATGAGGATGAACAGGATGGTATTGTCCTTGTCTCTCCTCTTCCTCGTCCTCTTCTTCTTCGTTCTCCTTGTTCTCCTGCCTCATTATCTGTCTATATATGTCCACACAGACACACACTCACACACACATGCACCGTGTGGTGTTTTGAGCCCAACGGTTTTTATTCTTCCTCATTTCTGTTATTCTTATCCCATCTCCATGGTGTACATGCGATATGTCTCCAATCCAAGGAGGTCCAACGGATAACGGATTAATGGCATTCCCCCCTTCCCCCTTTTCTCTCTCCCTCTTTCTCTTACACACACTCAATCGCTCTCTTTACATTTCTTTTCTGCTTTGTCAACCGACAACACCTACACCATTGCTCGTTACTCTCCCTCTTTTATCTTTGTACCTCCACTGCTCCTCAACTCATTCAAATACCACCCCTCCCCCCCATTTCTCGTTCTTTCTCTTCTCTTTTTATTCAACAATCACACTACGTTCACACACCATCCCTCCATCGCTCTCACCTACACTCAAACCACCATCTCTTCCTTCCATCTCCCCTCTTAACTTCTTCGGCCATCGCTCACAATCACTAAAAAAACTCAAACTCTAATTAACAACAACGTGTGTCTGTGTGTCCGTGTGCACTCCCCCTTCAACCCCCCTACCTTTGCACACAATAGGTCATGTTGAGATTCATCTCGGGCAAGTTCAAACCAGTGAACCAGGACTTCAATGTCTGGGACCACCCCCTCCCAGAGATCTACGGCATCATCCTCGCTATGTTTGTCAAGCTCGACCTCGTCAAGTGCCTCAATATCACCGAGGGTGAGCTCCTTGACTTTATCATTGATGTCGACCGGGGCTACCTCGCCACCTACTACCACTCCTTCTTTCACGCCGCCGATGTCACCGCCGTCCTATACCGTATCCTCCTCGACATGAACGCATCTCAATACCTCTCCAAACCAGACATGGCTGCACTCCTCCTTGCTGGCCTCTGCCACGACATTGGTCACGTAAGTCCTTGCATACACTTCTTGTTCTTCTGCAGTTACTAGCCCACCCACAAACTCCTCAGTACATTTTTCATGCGCCTTCTTCCTGGTATCCCCTACTCAATCTCTTTCGATCTTCCCTATGTTTCTCCCACCCTCCTTTGCGATCCCCTTTCTAGCCTGGACTGAACAACCTCTTCCAAGTCAATGCAAAGACAGACTTGGTCAAGCAGCACGGAGAGACATCAGTCCTCGAAAAGTACTCTTGCTCACTAGCAATGGATCTGATCGACAAGCACAAACTGTTCCGCAACATCGCCTCCTCCCCCGCCGGCATCCTCCCCGAGGGTAACCACGCCACCGAGCAAAGCATGAAGGAGTCGATGGTCAAGGCCATCATGGCAACAGACATGTCATTCCACTATGACATGCTCAACAACCTCAACAGCCTCATCGAGTTCACCTCAACACCCTCCTCCTCCCCCTCCAGCTCAGACGCCGAGAACGAATCCGACTTGGATCACGACAGCGCTCCCTCTTCCCCTACCGACATTAACATTCCTTCTTCTCTCCTAACCCCTGCTCCAACGACAACAACAACGACAACGACCAACGAGTCGTTGCAGGCTCGCCTCGATGGCGCCGTCTGCCACCACAGCCACTCTCACGGCCATCCCACTCCCAACCACCGCCGACAGTTTTCTGCATCCTCCACCTCATCTGATTGCTCCGACGTTTCCGTTGACTCTGACACATCTTCCCAGACTTCTCGCAGCATCACCGGTGCCAGCTACAGATCGGCTTCGGAGCTCACCCCCGAATTGCGCCAGAACCTATCCAACTGTCTTCTCCATGCTGCTGATATCTCCAACGCAGTCAAGCCCTGGACCTTGTGCAAGCGATGGTCTGATCTGGTTGTCCAGGAGTTCTTCCGACAGGGCGACATCGAGAAGACACAGCACTTACCCATCTCACCCAATATGGATCGCAACCAACACCACCAGCCTCAAATCTCATTGGGATTTAGTGACTTTGTGGTGCGGCCTTACTTTGAGAGCTTTGTCGAGTTCTTACCGGAGGCTTTCCCTTTCTTGGCGGCTCTGACGAACAACCGAGAGCAGTGGGTCCTCATGCAGAAGGCTGTTGTTGAGGCTGAGAAGGAGCGATCTTCTGAAGCCGTCGAATCTGGCCCAGTTACCAATGGAGAGACTGATACCCATTTCAATGTCGACACCTCAGGCCCCGATTCCGCCGCAGAAACCAAGGATCTCCAGCGCGTCAATTCCCCCCTCCCCGCCCACCTCACCTCTGGACGTCGTGTCTCTGGTAAACCATTCTTTCCGGCTAGGCAGCTCCCATTGCACAATCGATATACGCGCGGTTGCAAAAGCCCATTAACTAATCGAAAGCTCTTATCATTATTTGATCGCAATAGTGGCGGCGGGTGTGCTTGTTCTGGATGAGACAAGGCCGATTCGACCTCCACCGCGGAGATTACGCCATTCGACAAATGCGGAGGCATCCCAGGGTCATATACTACGCAAGATGAAGCGGTCGCATTCAGGACGGGCACTATCGTCCTGCCTACGAGATTTACATGTCCTCCATCCGCGTTCGATACAGGCAGTCGGAAAGACGGTTGTTAGTCAGGAAGCCATTGTTACGGCACTCAAGCGGGAGGTGGCCCTGGCAGGCAAGGAGACCAGCGTCAACCTGACCAGCGTTTCGAATGGATCCACGCCCGAAGGATCTCCCACAGGTCACGCGGAAGCGCTCCCCATGCCATCATCCGCCCTGGATCCGGGCTTCACAACCAAATTGTCGAACATGATTGGCACCTCTTTGCCCAAGCACTCGGAGAATACTACACCTCAGCCACCTTCGCCACAGCCGGCACAATACCGCCGTCGTCGCCACGGCAGTCTTCAGATCGGAACACAGCATCAGAGCATCCGACAAGAGTACGGAGATGGGTACATCTTTGACGATGAGGACCACTCGTCTGGAAGGATGTGGGATCGACGCGATTGTGAGGATCAACACCACGACCACGGGCTCGAGGGTTGGAACGGGAATGCAGAGCATATACCCTCCGCAATTCATTCTGCATTCCCCAATTCCCGCCATGCTCTTCTCCCTCCTTACTCCTACCCACATCCTCACCAGCCCTTCACAGCTTCTACGACTCCTCAGACGACAGGACCTGCGACGTTTACGACTGTCGCCGCTGCTGCAGGAGCACCCCAGGCGACGGAGCTGACGAAGATCCCCGAGCAGGTTGCACGCTTCCAGCCGGGCGAGTCGCCTCCACCGGCATCTGCGACTCTCTCGTTGGCGTCGGGTCTTGCGAAGAACATAAATGTTCGCAGCAGCACCCCTGCAGTCATGTCGGGCCAGATCCAATACGACTGGAGCCGTCCTCCTCTCCCTCCGACTGTTCTTCCTCAAGAAATAAATGGCGGTGGATATGGGCCATTGGATCATGTCGTTGGCCAGCACGAAGGTCTTGCGCCCGCTGCAGCTGCAGCATCGGTACCCATTCTGACGTCCTTGGCGCTGAGTACGTCTGCCACCACTTCCAGCTCTTGGGATTCAAAGTCAGATCCGGTGGTTGATAAGACAGCAGTTGCTCTTCCGGTGGCGGACTTGAGGGTGACGATGACAGAGTCTGCCGAGGGGCCGATGGGGTGTGTTGTTGGACAGACCATGGACCTGCCTATGGGCACTACTACGTCCACGAATACGATGGCATCCAAGCCGAAGGTTGTGTCTAGAGCCGACTCCAGTGATGGTGTTGTCAGTCTTTCCGCCGCTTCGTCCTCTGTATCCACTACTGCCACTACGACGACGCTTTGATGCTTTTCTCTTTTTTTGCCGAGTCATTATTACGGGTTCTCGCGCCCATCTTTCGATCTTGATGTCGCTCTCTTTCTTTCTCCTTCCCCTTGCAGTCTCTCTCTCTCTCCACAAGTGCGTGTGTGCGTGCGTGCGTCCGATGGTTCAGGGCGGAAGGAAGAAAGGAACGAGCCACAAAACAACACAACAATCAAGGATCCTCCTTTTCCACATATTGCTGCTGTAGTTGCTCACAGTTCATTTGTTTTGTTTCTCTCAGCAACGCAGCATACATCCACCCATCCTCCCGTTTATCTTTATCTTCTTATTACCATTGCCCTTTCTTCCCCCTTTGCTTTCACTTTGCCTTTTGCCTTGCATTGCCTTTTTTATTTATTTCCCTGTTCTCATTTTTTGTTGTCTCCCTCAAAAGTTTTTCGCCTGTACTTACTGTAAAATAGATATCATTCAAAAACCAAAAGTAAAAAAACTAGTACCTCGTCTATATTTTTTGTTGCCCAATGCTCGTCTTGTCTTTGTTTTATCTTGTATCTTTTTTCTCGCTCCGTCTTTTTTTTTTTTTTGAGTAGATGGTACACTAGCGCCGTTTTGGTGCATTCACCAGAAGAACAAAAGAAGGGACGGAGGAAAAATGAATGATACACCCCAGCAAGTCAGTCAGCCAGCCGACCAGCAACCAAGAAAGCACACCATCTTTTTTCTTTTTTATCGATTGGCTATCTATCTGTACCTGTATCCACTACAACTCTCATGTTAAACAGAAAAAGGCAGGCCACCGTGTTCTTTCACTTCTTTGGTTGCGAAGCCAGCAGATGAAGCACTTACACAGACGCTGCAAACAAGGGATGGGCGACAGGAAGATATGTAGGACTAAAGAACAAGGTCCAAGGAAAAGGAAAAGCGAGAAGAGGAAAAAAAACTCCGGTTGGGTCTGTCCCCTCCGTTCAATTGCTGTAAATCTGTGTTCAATAACTTTCAGCTTTGATTGCCACATGCAAAGGCAGGGGGAACACAAAGAAAAGTGCATTCACACTTACAGGAAGAAGAGTCATCGATTTGTTACAGCAGTCTACCTTTCGTTATCTCGCTGACTGATGTCTCCAAAAGGAAAGACCTGGGGAAGGGGCGCCGCCAATCAGGATCGATCAGCTAGTGACTTTGTTTATGATTGCGTTTTGCGGCCAATCAGCGTCATCAGATTGATGTTCTTTAAAAAGCTGTCCCACAACCTTGTTCATCCTCCATATTATTATTGTCCATCAATTCCAATTCACCAACCCACTGCGCTCTGGACCTTTTATTGTTCTGTTCTACTGTACCTATACCACACCCACGGTACTCTGCATTGGCACGCCATAGCCATCATCATCATCTCTTTCTCCCTTCTCTCCCAGGTCCCAGACCACACACACTCTGTTTTTCTCGTCGCAGTCATATCGCACTCACAATTCCTGCACCATTACATACCCCTGTCAAATCTCGTCGCCTCTTCCTCAAAATCATATAAAACCTCCGATATCCTCCCGCACATTATAAAAAAGATGAACTTCTCTCCATCAACACCCTCCTCCCCCACTAACTTCTCTACCAGGACTCACCCGCCCTTCTCCACATTCTCAATTCCCTCCACCCCTACCACCACAACTTTACCCTCCCGTGTCATGCCCTCCACCAACTCCACACCCGTCCAGTCCGTCGCCACTGCGACTTCGGCTTCAGGTCCTATCATCCCTGGTGCTGCATTGATTCCTGAAGGTTCAGCTCCTGTGGTTACAAGAGAGCGTCAAGGATCTGTGAGTGGTTTCAAGAAGGCCAAGGTCCTCAAGCCCTTCAACACCGCCAACATCAAGATCCTGTTGCTCGAGAACGTCAACGAGACCGCTGTCGCAGCCCTCCGCGATCAGGGCTACCAGGTAAAGTTTATATCTTGTTTCTGTTCGTTTTAAATTCGGGTTTTTTGTTTTTGCGGTTCTTCTGGAAGCAAATTGCATCGACAGGACTCTCTTTTCATGGGTACATATATCAGGAGGCAAAAGGAAGGCTACAACAACAAGGATGTGCCTGCTTTATCTCGTCCATCATGATGGAGTGGGAGCAATGCTTAGTTAGCTCGCTTTGCTTGCCCTTGCCAGACTTTTTTTTCTACATTCATTTGCGTTATTTGTTTGGATCCAAAAAGCGAACTAAGGAAGAATAATACCGCCTCCTTTATTTCCTTGGGGAAAAGGAAGGAGATCACGCTAAGCAACAACCATCGATTCTCCCGCACATGAAAACGACAGCAGCGACAAACAAAACACATAAGCACAAAGGAGGAGGAGACAAAAGATTAGAAAGCAATATGAGCCGATCTACTCTGCCCTCAGTTCCATCGTTCTCTCCATTATGAACTGCCTTCCCCCCTTCCTTCTATGGGCAAACATAATGCTATCACTCCCGCCTATCCAACATCAAAAAATACTTACCATTCATAATCCCACCTTTCCACACTATCTTCCATATTACCATTAGGTCGAGACATTCGCAAAGGCCTTGGGCGAGGAAGACCTGATCGCCAAGATCAAGGATGTGCACTGCATCGGAATCCGCTCCAAGACAAAGTTGACCAAGAAGGTCCTCGATGCCGCCGAGAAGTTGGGAGTCATTGGATGTTTCTGTATCGGCACTAACCAGGTTGATCTTGAGTACGCCGCCTCCAAGGGTATCGCCGTCTTCAACTCGCCCTTCTCCAACTCACGCTCGGTTGCTGAGCTCGTCATTGCTGAGATTGTCCTCTTGTCCAGACAGTTGGGTGATCGCAACAATGAGATGCACGACGGTATTTGGTCCAAGGTCTCGGCTAACTGCTACGAGATCCGTGGCAAGACTATCGGTAAGTTTTTTTCGACGTTATCTATTTTTTTTTTTTTTTTTTTTTTTTTTTTTGGGGAGGCCTTGTTGTGAGTTAATTGTGATGTTTGATGGTGGAACCATCCCGTTACAGGCGACAAACCGCAACTATATCGCAAGCAGCAAAACAAATAACTGAACACCACCAGCATCGACAAAAAAAAACCAGAACAGACAGTGCACTGCGCACGTTTTTCGCACGCTCGACAATCATTTTTGCTTACTTGCTCTCCAGATTGCAGCTCAACCCCCTTCATTTCCTTGAGGAAGAGGAGATAGAGAGCAATTGAGGAAGAGGCCGATAAGATCTTGCTGCTTTGTCAACGACCAACTGACCAAATCAACATGAATGATAAAAACAAAGGAGAAAAGAAAGGCGAAAAGAGAAAAAGGAAGGACAAAAAAGGCACGCTTGCGTATGCATATACCTCGATCGAGCTGGACTGGACTCTATACAAAACATGTCTCCTAACCTTCTCTCTCTACCTCTACCTACTTAGGAATTGTCGGATACGGCCATATCGGTTCGCAGCTGTCGGTTCTCGCAGAGTCGATGGGTATGCGTGTTCTCTTCTACGACGTTGTCCCCCTGATGCCCCTGGGCACTTCTAAGCAAGTCCACACCCTCTCAGGCCTCCTCACCGAAGCCGACTTTGTCACCCTCCACGTCCCCGAGACCGAGGAGACCAAGAACATGATTGGTGAGAACGAGCTCAACCAGATGAAGCAGGGCTCATTCCTCATCAACGCCTCCCGCGGCACCATTGTCCAGATCCCCGCCCTTGCCAAGGCGCTTCGCTCGGGCCACCTCGGCGGTGCTGCTGTCGATGTCTTCCCCAAGGAGCCTGCTGCCAACGGCAACTTCTTCGAGTCTGAGCTCGTCGGCTGCCCCAACACCCTTCTCACCCCCCACATCGGAGGCTCGACCGAAGAGGCCCAGTCGATGATCGGTGTCGAGGTCTCGCAGGCCCTGATCAAGTTTATCAACAGCGGCACCTCCATCGGCGCCGTCAACTTCCCCGAGGTCGACCTCCGCGCCATCCGCGACGACCAGGAGAACTCGATCCGTCTCTGCTACACCCACGCCAACGTTCCCGGAGTCCTCCTCAGGATCACCAACATCCTTGCCGAGCATAACGTCGACAAGCAGTTCTCGGACTCCAAGGGCAAGATTGCTTACCTCATGGCCGATATCTCGGACGTTACGCCCGAGCAGATCCAGGACATTTACAGACTTGTCAGCGAGACCCCCACCAACATCGTTACCCGCGTCCTCTACTAAAAAGAGAGAACGCGTTTTTGTTGACATGGACAAGGAAACGGACATATATTTTTTACAACCACCACCAAAAAAAAAAAAAAAAAAACACCCCAAGGATACCAGGGTCGGCATTGATATGTTGACCCAACCCACCCCGAAGCTTCAACTGCTTCACACAAACAAAATCATCTTTATTTTTATTTTCTTCATCGTTACAGCTGCTTTTTTTGCTTTTTATTCGCATTGCCCCATTTGCATTTTCAACCTGCATTCCTTCTCTTTCTTGTTCATAGTCTTTTTTTCTCCCGCTTTACTCAAGTGCCAAAAACCTTTGAGTGTTAATACATACGCAGATATTTATCATCCAAACAATTCTCATTTCCATGTCGTTGTGGTCAATGCCCGTTTTGGCTTACTTGGTCATGTAAAAGATACGCGACAAGGTCATTAAAGGGAAAAAAATGTGGGATAGTGTGTAAGATACATGGATGGTGCCCCTGGGATCAACCGGCGGGCGTCGGTCAAAACAGGGGCATGACTGGCCGTAAGCATTCACAGGCAAGGAAGTCCCGCCCGCTTTATTTGATTTCTCTTCCTGCTTCCCCAACGAGCTGACTCTGCTTACGAGTTCTCAAACATAGCAAGACGATCTCTCGACAGCTTGCCAACCAACCGTGGGCCTGGGTTCAACGATCCAGGAGAAGGCACCGGCGACTGTTCAGTCGGCGATCCAGACACAGGTGTCCTTGCTCCACTACTAGCCTCCTCCATCGCCCGTCCAGGGTCCAGCCCCGAAGCAGGGGATGACGGCACTGTCGCCACCACCACTGACTCTGCAACCTTTGTCGTCTCACCTTTTTCTGTCTCTTCTGTTACTTCAGATGCTGTTGACTGCTCGGGATCCACTTTGGCCTTCTTGGCAGGGACCCAATAGCACATTCCGGTCGCAAAGTCGCAGACTTGGTATCCATCCTGTTCAGCACCCGTCTCCGCCTTGTCCTTCTTGTTCTTTGTCGTACTCGTGGCCGTCGTTGCTGTTGAAGGCTCGATTTCCTTGTCCTCTGCAGGCGCCGTCGTCGTGATCTCTACAGGGGGTGCAAGAGTCTCCTCCTCCTCCCTCTCATTTTCCTTGACGAGCTTCTCCTTTTCATCCACCTTGGCATCCTCATCGACTGATTCCTCCTTGGCAACTTCAGCGCCAATGGCGGTGGGAGCTGGCTCGGGGGCAGGTGTAGATGTTGTGGTGGCGTTAGGAGACTTCTTGGCAGGGACCCAGTAACACATTCCCGTTTCGAAGTCGCACACCTCGTATCCCTGTGGGTCTTCGTCGGCAGGCTTCCCCTCCGCAGCCTCCTTCACTTCAGCCTTCTCCTCGGGGTTTTGCTCAGAGTGAGCAAGCTTGGTGTCCTCCTGTAATGAAATGTCGTCCATTGAACCCTCCAGACTGACCTTCTTGCTCTCTGTGGTACTAGTAGTCTCGGTGGCGGTCGGGGTGGTGTTTGCTGAGTTGGGTGTGACAATGGGCGCTGCAGTAGGCGTAGCATCTTCGTCGGCATCCTGCATCCTGTCACTGATGGTGCTCTCGAAACTCTGTAGTGCAGCCGCTGCGACGATGGGGCGAGATGCAGGGCTCTTGATACCACGCTTCAGTCTGGCAATCGCCTTGATCTAAAACATTAGATCACCAACGTGAGAAAAATAAAAAGCAAAATGAGTTACAGAACAATATCCATGCTCTCCAGGTTCTGCTCGTAAGCCGTACAAGAGTATATGAAGTTAAAAGATCGATACTGAGAGCTTGGACGTACCACAGTCGCGAGGCTATTAATCTTTTGGACAGCGCTGCGAAGATCCTCCTCGGTGACCTCTGTCACAGCGTTGGCGGTGTTCTCGTCCTTGGATACCAATGGCTCCCTGTCGCTGTTGGTCACCCAAGGGTCCGTCTACATCAGATACATAATGAGGCGATCAGTATTGCATGTGGCAAATAACATGTCTCGCACTGCCAACAAAATCGACAAATAGGCGGCCAAGAAAAGAAAACAACGTACGCGGAGCTGGTCGATGGTGATACGCTTGGCGGGGTCCTTCTCCAACAATTTGTGGATCAACGCAACAAAAAGCGGATCCTCCGTCTCCTCGTTCGGGATCTGGTAATCCTCCTCCCGAATCACACGATGCATTTCCAGGATGGACTCGGAGACATAAGGAAGAGTTCCGTAGCGGATACAGTAGAGAGTGACGCCCATGGACCAGACATCTGTGGCACGCCCAGAGACCTCTCCATGGTCGTGTCGGCAGAGCTCGGGTGCCATGAACGCAGGGCTTCCCGCTGACTTTTTTGTCAGGTCGTCACCCTTCTTGTTGAACATTTCTGACACGCCGAAGTCCACAATCTTGACCGTCCCATCTCCTGATCGCAGCAAGTTGTCGGGTTTGATGTCTCGATGGATAATATCGTGCTCGTGGACTATTATCAAGAACACGCGAATGTAATAGAAAATGAGACGAGACAAGTGAGACTTCTGGGGATCGGGAAACACACAGCAGACGAATAGAATAACAAGTGGTGAGAAGATGAGGGTGCGGCCGTCTTACGGTATTCGATTCCGAGGATCATCTGCTGGAAGACATCGCGGCACTCGGCGTCAGAAAAGACATTCTCGAACTTTTCTGTCAAAGACACTGGCATTAAGACACCCTTCTCGCAATACTCGAACACTAGTACGGGAGGAGAGAATGAAAAAAGTGAGGATGTGAACACGGATATAAAATTGACAGGTTTGTGTTTCCAAGGCGTGATTCTGTGCTCCATTCATGCAAAATAGGGGAACCGTAAAGAGAACAGACAGTGGGCGTCAACAGTGTGAGAATGAGTGCGACACTGTGCAGCACGACAGCATGAAAGCAAAGCCATTCTTCCTTTTTCCCCTCCCAACACAACCTCTCCTTTTCCTTTTCGCATCAATTGAATCCGGAAGAAATATACATCGGACTATTGGTTGGTTGATGATTGTCAGGGTCACGGTGAAGGTCAGGGAATCAAAAGACAAAAAGCAATTTCCTTCCTTCCTTCCCTTGTCCCTTCCTCTGACTCCCTAATTTCCTGCGCCGCCTTCATTGGCCTCGGAGCGCTGTGTATATTATTTATGCAAAAAAGAGCTCCGACTTACCCATGTACATTGAGTCCTCTGCAGATACATCCAGAACCTCGTACAGCTTGACGATGTTGGGATGGTGAAGTTTCTTCAAGATGGCAACCTCTCCCCGGATCAAGTCGAGAGGAGACGATTCGCTTGTCAATGGGCTAGGTGCCTCGGGCCCTCTCCGTCCACGTCCTCTGCCACGGGGTCCTAATTTGAACAGGTTCGCCTTGTCCTTTTTCCTCAGTTTGGACTTGCTGAACTCTTTTACGGCCTTTGTGTACATGAAGGATTGAAGAGGAGAAGATGCAGGATTGGGATGAATAAGGGAGCAGCGTCAATGGTTGTCGTATTAATTCAGTAACAACTTTTTTCCTGTTTTTTTTCTTTCTTCTTTTGTCATTTTGGATCACGCCAAAAGTATAAGAGCATAGATAGAATTCAAGGTAATCCGACAGACACTTGTCCCTTTTGTGCGCTCAGCGAAAAAAAAAGAGGGAGAGAGAGGAGACTTACGTAGCGGATGTTGGTGTTCTCGTCCTGGGCAAGGTGGACCTTTCCAAAGGCGCCCCTTCCGATCTCCTTGATGAGGATGTACTGCTTCAATTGATGGAACCCGTCCGCGTTTTCTGTCAACGAGGCGTCCAGGGTCTCTCTGACCTCCACCTTGGACAACTGCATCGAGCTCCGTCTTGATGCGGACGAGGTAGCTGAGGAAACGGTCGAGAGGAGGTTGATGTTGTTGTTGTTATTGCTGGTGCCACTGTAGATACTGGACCGGTTAGAGGTGAAGGAGGAGAGAGTGTCGGTGAGGACGGTGGTCTGTTGGTTGGGGAACTGCTTTGCAAGCTGGTCGGCTGCATCGGCGTTGGCCGAGGCAATGTCTATTGTGGTCAATGCAGGGTGGATGCCGCTCTCGAAGGATAGAGTCGTGGTTGTGGACCCGTCCAAGGGCAAGTATCCGTCGTCAAGGTTTACTGGAGGTACTGGTAACGCAGCAGGTGTCTCGTTGTTATTGTTGTTGTTGTTGGTCTGGAGAAAAGTGGTATCGGAGACGGTTGTTGTTGGATGAGCAGCTGGGTGCTGTTGAACGAGAGGGGGTCCGCTGTCCATTGGTTGTATTTGTTGGTGTGTTGGGATGGAGAATACAAGGAAAAAGGAAAAAGGGAAAGAGGAAAGGGGGAGAAAAGGAAAGGAGGAGAACGATGGACTTTTTTCTTTTCTTTTGGCTTTTCGTGGTGGTTGTTGTTGTTGTTGCTGTTGTGAGCGAGTAGAGAGCGAATAAACGAGAAGAGTGTGAGTGACAGAGAGAGAGTGAGTGTGTGCGCGTGTGACCAGAGTCCAGAAGGACAGACAGACAGACAGACACACAGAGAGAGACAGAGGGATAGACAGAGGCAGAAGCGAAAAACCCGGACATCGCCATTGGCCAGCAATTGACAATTAAGGGGCCGTCAAAGTCCTGCTGGACAATCATCACCCTTGGAGTTTCGACACCCTGAAGGCACTTGTACTCATAAGTCATAGCCACGTTTGTTAATACTCTATGAAGGGTGCACAACAGGTTCTCACGGCACTGCAGCAATTGAACCCATGCACAACAGCCAACAAACACTCGCAACCCAGGCACCAACCATGACACAGTAAACTTACAAGGAACAGGATACGGTGACACCAGAGTAGATACTCTAGTCGTGGCGCCTTCTTTTCATGTTCTCCTTATGATTTTATTCACACTACACTGCTGTACATAAACAAAAAAAAGAGATCTTGAAGAAACCCCATCGGAGAATGAATTCTGGTACAACGTGGACATCCGGAGAGGAATTGGGTCAGTATGTGAGTGAGTGAGTGAACAATCGAAACGGGTTGTAAAAGACGTGAGTGTGGTCTTCTAACTTTTAGTCTGGCGGGGATGAATTGTCTTTGTATGAAGAAGTAGAGCAAGCCCCGCAAGATGATCTAACAGGTGGGTACCTCACGCAGGGTACATAGCCACCCTCCTGGTGCCAGACACGCTATCGTCCTCGTCTCTTGCCGCCTGTTGTTGCGATCGTATTACAGCCAAGAGCGTTTTTCAATTCCTGAGTGATAGCATACCAAACTTGAGTGCCCGAAATGCCCATTCTGTCACAGAGGCCTAGTTTACCACTCTCACTTAGACTATAGCACTTTCTAGCCGTTTCCCTTATCATCATTCAATAGAAGCGAGAATGAATTGCAGAAGGGTACCTCTCGTAACTCATACGGACAGCCAATACTATACCGGCATTGTGCGCTCGATCGGCATTTCCTTTTGGGGGCCAGTGTTTACCCCGCTCTTTTTTTTTATGGTTTCCCCAGACTCCCTCTTGCTAACACTTTAGTATACTCCCGTTTTACCTCCTTCTGCGTGCCTGAGTGCCTGTGCCTTCTGCCTGCCTGGCATTTGTTTCTTGGTCGGCCTTGCCTGTGCCTGATTTTCCATTGGTCTCTAGTGCGATAACTGATCCCAGTTGACATGTTGATTTTCGATTAAGACCTGGATACTGTCGCCTCAGGATAATAGAGCACTGCTTAATAGAGCGAACCTTGCAACTTTTCCAAAACAAACGTAGTCCAATTATCAGGAGGCGGCAGTAGATGGTTCGTTAATCCCACCTGGCTGGATTTTATTTCGTCACAGGACGACCGTTAGGAATGGATGTAGCAAAAGGAAAAAAAGGGGGGGAGAGTTTGATGTACGCGTGGGTTAAGTGGGCTATGAAGTGTTGTTGCATTTTCATGTGTTATTTGGACACAACTCTTTCGAGCATTCCGCTAATCTCAAATCGACATTTTTTTTCTTTCCCATTGTGAGATATCGTGGGAGAAAGGCAAAAAGTGGATATGAAAGAGGAGCGGTTTCTCTTGTCATTTATTCTCACTACCTTCGTTCGTTGCTGTCGTCAATTGAGGTGTCGTCCTCTTAATCCAACCGCAACCCAAATATTCGTTTCTTAATAATACCATCAAAAAACAACGGCAGTTTGTCCCATCGTGATTGCTGTTGTTATTATTATAACCCAATATGGTCAATTGCGGGGAGGGCAAGTCTGTGTATGTGTGTATCCATTGTGTGTTGAGGTAAAGAGTGTCGATGTTTTGCTTTGTGCCACTCGCACACTCGCAACTTGCAAGTAAGTTTGTTTTTGTTTTCCTTCAATCTATTTTTTTTTAGCTTCAACATTCTGTATCCGTAGGAGGCGCTCCTTCTTGATGCATGCCGCATGTCCTGTCTTGACGGTGTGGTGTATATAAACTCGCATTCGAAGTGAAGAAAATGAACGAATCCAACGAATACGAAAGAAAAAGGGAAAGAAGGAGCGAGGATGGAGGTGCGATGAAGAAAGAGCGAGTGAGCGGGAAAAGAGTAGAAGAGAAAATAAAAAGGCAGAATAATTGCCGGCGGACGGCGGCTGATAACAATTTTCCATTCTTCAATTGCCCTGCATTGACTACAGTAGACCTCTCATTTCCTTCAACATAGGCTACTGTACTGTATATTATCGCCATTCGCTAGCGCCGGCTGTTCAGAGCGAACAAAACAGAAGCCGTTGACTTGTTGGAAAATAAGCGGACGTCATATTGCCGTTATCAGGACAGGGCTTGCTCAGAAAAAAAGGGAGGTAAATAAAAAAGAAATGTCCGACCCATGTTTAAAAGTCCTACCTTACTTTTCAGCCATTCAATCGCATCATCCCTCTCGTCGCCCTTCTTCCTTCTTTGACAAGCCAGCATCATTCTGTAAAATATCGCACGACGGACAGACAACGGACCGACACCTTACCCCGACCAAGTCGTGCAAAGAACGAAGGAAGGAAGGCGTGAGCAAAAATAATATCCCAGAAAAAACAGGCGGCTTGGCCATTCTTGTGTTAATAACCCTGGTTGCACTTTTCTTTTCTTTCTTTTTTCTTCTTCCTCTTCTCATCATCTCCACCCTCCTTCTCCCCTCTCTCCTCCCTCACTCACATAATGGCCTCCCTCCGTGCTGCTTTCCGCCTCCCTGGCCTCGCCAAGGTAAACCCCATCTCCTCTCGTCTCAACCCCCCGATCACATCGCGTCGCTCCCTTCTTCTATCGTCATCACCATCGCCTTCATCTTCTTCCTTCACTCGTCCTCTTTCTCATCCTCAAAGATGATTGACCTGTTATCACAAAAAAAAAGTCTGGATATTAACCTTACTTTACCTCCTGTCATCTTTTTCTAATTACAACAGGTCGCAACCCGCCACAACAACACCTTTGCTGCCTCTGCCATCCGTGCCTACTCCACCAAGCCCCAGGTGCGTTTTTTTTGCGACTCCTTGCCACCTCACCGATCTTCGAAATCGTGCGCTTGTGTATTGACTTGCTCAGCTAGGAGAAAGGTGGCGACGGGGTTTTCAAGGAAAACTGTTTATCGGGAAAGCGGATTTATCGACGCGAGAAAAGATGTTAAAAAAAAGGAAGGGCAGTCTCAACACGCGGATGGCCCAAGCCAGAGCAACTCAATGGATCATCTACCCCTCCTAATCGGCGTTTTTAAAGGCTTTTTGTTCTATCATTCCTTCATTCTATCCCTTTTGTCCCTTCCTTTCTTTCCTTTGTCTATTGACCTTCCTCGTTTTCGTGTGGCTGACATTCGCTCTGCTTGATGAGGGACTGCTCTTTTGATATTATTATTGTTACCATTCGACAACGTTAATATCTTGGGGTTGGAAATGGATCGAGTTGGGGTGGGTCCCTTTTGGGGTGGATAGTAAGGGAGTACAAGAAGGAAGGGCAGAGATCGAATGATACTCTCCCGCGAAACGAAACGTGAGTGGGCTGTGGGCTTATCCTTTTTCTTCGCTTTGTTCTTTTTGTTCAGCGAGGGAGCAAGGAATAACACTCTCTCCCTGTGGCAATTGACAACAGTGATAACAACCAGCAGCAGAAACAGCGACACCCGTGTTCAAGGCAGTAATGATCCAATGGAGAACAACAAAGAAGAGGAGAAAATGAGGCGGGGTTAAACGTGAGAACGATATGTGTTTCCTGCTACTCCCGATTGTTTCTCAGGTTTAGTCTTCTGAGGTTGAATTGGAGAGGAATAATCCAGACCAACAGAAAGAAAAAAGATTTGCCAATGGCTTGGGCGCCTGGAGCTCTCTCAACGGCAAAAATATATTCAAGACGAAAAAGGGGGGGGGGGGGGGTTGCGTCCCTGGTCTCTCGCTCTTGACACACATCGCGCACTCGGGGGGGGGGTTAACATTGGGGCAAGCAATCTTTGTTTCTGTTACAAACACCTGTCAACAGCAGAAGCAATTGAAGACTATCATTCCAATGAGTTTCCATATGGCGTGGCTGAAAGAGAGAAAGAGAGAGAACAAAGGGGTAAAAAGACTTTCGACATTACACGATACGATAAAAGATCTCTCCACCCAAAATATCATATCTAAGCAAGACATGATTAATCGTGTCACCCACGGCCTGTGCCCCAATCCAAATAACACCTCATCCCACCCCATTCCTCCTATACAAACAAATATCCATCAGATATCATATCTCTAACCCATCTTCTCATTTCCATTTACGTATTATCGGTAACAGGGCTTGAAGGACCGCCTCCGCGAATTGATCCCCGAGAAGCGCGAGGAGGTCAAGCAGGTCAAGGCCGAGTTCGGAAGCAAGGTCTTGGGCGAGACCACCGTCGATATGGCTTACGGTGGTATGCGTGGCATCAAGGGTCTCATCTGGGAGGGCTCCGTCCTCGACGCCGAAGAGGGTATCCGTTTCCGCGGCAAGACCATCCCCGAGTGCCAGGCTATCCTCCCCAAGGCCGAGGGTGGTGATGAGCCCCTCCCCGAGTCCCTCTTCTGGCTCCTTGTCACCGGCGAGGTCCCCACCACCGAGCAGGTCCGTGGCCTCTCCGCCGAGTGGGCCGATCGCGCTGCTCTCCCCAGCTTTGTTGAGGACCTCCTCGACAGCTGCCCCCCTACCCTCCACCCCATGTCCCAGTTCTCCTTGGCCGTCACCGCCCTTCAGCACGATTCTCAGTTCGCCAAGGCCTACCAGGCTGGTGTCCACAAGACCGAGTACTGGGATACCACCTTCGAGGATTCCATGGATTTGATCGCCAAGTTGCCCAACATTGCCGGTCGCATCTACCAGAACGTCTTCAAGAAGGGTGGCAAGCTCCCTGCCATCAACCCCAACTTGGATTATGGTGCCAACCTCGCCACCTTGCTCGGATTTGGCGAGAAGAAGGAGTTTGTCGAGTTGATGCGCCTCTACCTCACCATCCACTCTGACCACGAGGGTGGTAACGTCTCTGCCCACACCACTCACTTGGTCGGCTCTGCCCTCTCGGACCCTTACCTCTCCTTCGCTGCCGGTTTGAACGGTCTTGCCGGTCCCCTTCACGGATTGGCCAACCAGGAGGTTCTCCGCTGGATCACCAAGATGCGCGAGGAGCTCGGCGGCAAGGACGTCTCGGACGAGACCATCAAGGAGTATGTCTGGAAGACCTTGAAGTCTGGCCAAGTCGTCCCCGGTTACGGTCACGCCGTCCTCCGCAAGACCGACCCCCGTTACTCTTGCCAGCGTGAGTTTGCCCTCAAGCATATCCCCAACGATCCCCTCTTCAAGCTCGTTTCCCAGATCTACACTGTCGCTCCCGGCATCCTCCTCGAGCACGGCAAGACCAAGAACCCCTGGCCCAACGTCGATGCCCACTCGGGTGTCCTCCTCTCTGCCTACGGCTTGGTTGAGCAGGACTTTTACACCGTCCTCTTTGGTGTCTCCCGTGGTCTCGGAGTTCTTTCCCAGTTGATCTGGGACCGTGCTCTCGGTATGCCCCTCGAGCGCCCAAAGTCGTACTCGACTGCTGCCATCAAGGCCATGTACGCCAAGAAGTAAATCCTCTCTCCTGAGTAGTCGTTCTCTTTCCATTTCTTTTCTTTCTGTCATTCATTCTTCATGCCCCTCCACACCTCCCATCCATTATTTTCATCCCAAAGCATAGACGGGCTTGTTCTTTAGTCACCTTTTATTTTTTTCTCTTTGTATTTGTTACCATTTCTCACATCTGCACATACCAACAAACCAAACAAATAAAAAAATATTCAAAAAGATACTCTTTCCTGGAGTGGGACGTGATTATTGTTGAAAACGTTGTGGGGCAAGGCGCAAAATGCAAAAAAAAGGTGGGATACAATTTGTTGCGAGATCCTTTTAGAAGCCACGTGAGGATTCCGTGCCGACACCTGCAGCGGGTGCCCTGCGGGGTCGGGACCGGTTGCGTCCCTCGGGCTCCGTTCCGTTCGAGAGAGGGTGCTCCCGATTGTACCTGTGCACATCCACCAATCGATTCTCTATCAGCCAGGTCTATAGTACGCATTGAGATTCAAGTGGAGGAGGCGAAGGTTAGGCACCAAAAAATAAAAAGATAACAGTGCTCGTGAGAGGAAAGAGGTGTTGGATGAAGAAAGGAGCGAATGTCTTGGCAATTAACAAGTTGTGGACGTACACTGAGGATGGTCAGGTTGTACTGGTTTGACTTGTAAAAGATATCGAGGATATCGCCGATCCAGGGAATCAAGCCCACTACAAAATCGACTAGTACGTTCGCCATCATGCGCTAGAGATCAGAATAATAAGGACGCTATGGTTAGAGGTGCGCAAATACTAATGACACTAAGAGGTGTCATGGTGGGGGCAACATATTACAAGGCGTGGTAGTGCGAGAGGCCCATGTGTCCTTTCTGTCGATGCTATGTCATTAAAATTGTTGAAATAACCGCCATGGCCGACTTTCCCTTCTGCTGTTATATTTTCAGCTGGTCCGAGCTATAGGCTCCCGATGTTGTTGGTTGCTACTGTTACTGTTCTAATCGGTGAGAAGAGAGGAAGAAGACCAGTCCTGTTTCTTACCATCATAATGTTAATGGGGATGCCGAGGATGTAGCAAAGATAGATCTGGTACAGCGAAGCGAACAGCCCAAGAAAGTCGCCTACGGTATCAAAATAAAACAAAAAGACAGTGTTAATCCCAGTACACTGATACACGATACCGAGTATAAGAGAAAAGGACGAGATCCTTTGCCAAGACATTGTCTACTTTATGCTAAAAGAGGACAAGAAACACTATCTTTGACTTGAACGTCGTTATTGTTTCGTTGCTCATTCCTTCAGGCATGCATTCATTCACATTTGGTTCCGCGAATGTGACAACAAAACATAGCTCAAGAAGAAACCAAAAGGAAAGAGAAGAAAGAGTACGTAAGACATACCGATGATGGGGATGAAGCCGACGATGGACTCGAGGCCGACGGAGAGTCCGCCGATGCTGGCGAAGGAGTCGAGCCAGTAAGCGATGGTGCGGATGCGTCCGTAGAGGTTTTCGCGCTCGCCCTCAGTCCGGGGCTTGCGGTGGTACATCTTGAAGTACTCCATTATCAGTATTATTTCCTGCGAGTTTGATGTTGGTGCTGTTGTTCGTGATGTTGAGTATCCTCGTCGGTTGAAAGAAGGAAGAAGGGTGCCGAAACAAAAAGGATGAATCGTCTTCATTTTTACCGCTCTTGAGAAAAATGTTTCGGGGACTGCTATCGAACCATTCAATAGAGGCAAAGGAGTCTATTTAATTTTAAGCAAAGTGAAAGGGGGGCGACAGAGCGCATCAATTATATCCATTCTATCGACACTCCACCTCACCATCTTCTAACCAAGCCATCATTATCACATCTTCGTTCATACTCACACCCTCGGGGTGAGACACCCCATGGGCGAAGCAGTCCAGGACGCCACCAACTCTTTTGATCATCACTTGACACTCTTGCTTATTTTCATCATTTCCTCCACCATAAAACCCCTCTTCCTTCTGTTATCATTGCTTATGGCCATAGGTCCAAGTCGGTGTCGATCTCGTTTCTGATGTCCTCGTCGTTTTGCCCAAGGTATACTTTTCTATTATTCTCGCGTTTGCTTTATTTTTCTAGCAACTTCCCTCTTTCGCCATACACCCCTCTCCCTTCTCTTATCATTGCTTATGGCCATAGGTCAGAGTGTGGGCATGAGGATGAGGAGAAGGGGTAGGTAGCCTTTTTTGCCCGTTTTCTTTGAAAACAAAGAGACGCGGCCGTGCGGGAAATTTAGTTTCCCAACAGCCAATCAGTCTCAGCCAGTGATGACGTTTTATGTACCTAGTCTTTTTTACACTTTTCATATCCCTTACATACATGGCACCCCCTCTCAAGTCATCGCACACCCAATCCCCAATCGTATTTGAGCCACGGCAATAAAACACTGCCCTCCTGTGTCTGGTCAAGACAGGTATTTTTTGTTGACAATTGATGGACAATAATCCCTGTCAACAATGACAAACGACTTTCTTCTCAGTGCTATCATTCAACGCCATCTGCAAAGAGTGCCAGCTCATTGTTTTAATTCTGAAAGTAGTTTTTCCTATGACAGTCTGTGATCACTGGCCTTCTGCAGTTACGGAGGATGGGTCACTTGTACTCTGGGCAGAGTCCTTTCCTGCGACGATCTGTGAACATTTCACTTCACTAGTCGCCGACGACGGGTCCCTTGAGTCTAGGAGTCTGTAGGACTTGTCTTGGCATTCGACGACTCAGCACTAGAAGATGTGGACATGTTCTTCAGTAGATCCATGAGATGCACATATTCGTCGGGGATGGGGCTCTTGCCAAGTTTCTCCAGGGTACGTGCCATGGCATCGAGCCTAATGAAGCAAAGGTGGCGGTATGCAGTCAGGACCATTACAATGTCGCAACCACATAGAACGTTCCTCACTCTTGTGCGAGATATATCATGCTTGGTACGTACATTGTATTCACGATCTTTGAATCCGGCGCCAAAGATTCAAGCAATCTTGATGCGATGGAAAACAAGAGCCCGTTCTCCTGGGGATGCTGATCAGTCATACCGAGTTTGGCGATCCCTGCCATGAAGAGTCTCTTGATAAGATCCTCGATGGTGACCGAACCAATGCGACAGATGAGCCTTGCTAGACAAGCCGCCGACTCCAGAGATGATATACCCGACTTTTGGCGTAGGAAGCAAGACGGACATCATACAGAAATAGCTGTTAAGTAATGGGCCCAATCGATAGTTTCGAAAGGCGACAATAAAGCCAAAAAAAATAACGGAAGCATGCTTGTTACCTTTTCCAGGGCAGGGATAAAGATGTCATGCGGCTGAGTCGATCGATCGGCTACTATCCTGACGAGTCTTTCTACCATACGGTCATACTGCGGATCCAGGCGCTGATGGTGTGGTATCACCTGGATGGCGGTCTGGATGCCGAGTGTCCGGTCGGTGTAGCGGTCGAGAAAGATCTTCATGATCCTGCAGAGGTCTTCTCGTTTCGGGGGTTCGACTGATTTATGTTTGTATTTTGTGGGTTCCGTGCGTCCGAGAACGACCGCAGTTGTTGCCTGCTCAAGCAGCTCCATGAATGACTCCGCTCGCAAGTAGCTGGTGGCGTTGTTGATGATCATTTTAATTTGTTCTCCCATCCCCCATACTTCAAACCATCCAAGACTGAATTCTGTCGCCAGTTCCTCCAACTGACATAGGGCGGAAATTCTGATATCCCAGGTGCCAGTGTTCTCACCAAAACTCAACCTCTGCGCAGTATCCAGAACACGTGCGACAATGGGTCCAATCAGCTGTAGCGGCTTCGTAGATGTCGTAAATGCTAAGTATGACAGGGCTTTGAGTGACCACTGCGAACACTTGAGCGCGTCGATACAGATCTACATTGAAGAAAATGTTGTATGGAAGCAAGGTTGGATTATTTTCCGGACGTATCAATTGTTGTTGAGCCTGTCAAAGTAAAGCTATGTTCAATACTTACATCCTCTTGAGTTGCACTCTGGGCTCGAACGCTTATTTCCAAGGTGGCCTCTACCAACTCACTCAAATCATCCACAGAGAGTGCACCAGTCGGATACACCCTGCTGTACCAAATCGAGAAGACCTTAATGGCTTGTAGAGTCCCAGGAGTGAGGTACAACTCAGGAGAAGACGAATCTTTGCAAGTGGTAGGTATGCCAATATCACTCTCAGCATTTGGTGATCCTGCGAGCTTGTCCGGCGAAGTGGTGCTTCCATGTAACTATATTAAATAGTTGAGGATCAAGAGAAGCAGGCATTAGCTTAAACTGAGCAATGAGATAGTAAATAAAACAAGGATAAGGTCCTCGCTCAATTACCTTATTGGACATCACATCGCGCAACCAAAGTCGTTCATATCCACGGATAACCTCTTTCCGTCCTGAGAAGACCCTTGGATCTGCTGCCAGATGCGACAGCATTACCAGTAGGAGGGATGACTTGCTCGCATCCGCGACATCACAGAGTATTCCTTGTAAGCGATCCAGTAGGACGCACATGCCCTATTTTTGCAGGAACAAGTAAGAGACATGTCAACAATAAAGTTTGAAGTCTGATACATGGCATGGAAATAAATGAATTATGCTGTCAACTTACTTGAGTGTGCATGTTGTTATTATGGACAGCGAGGTCGTCGATAGATGCCACTAGGCATCCCAGACGCCTCTTGTCCATTGTTGGTGCCTGAAGAACTTCCTTCATGACTGTAGCAACGTTTTCGAAGTACTGAAGGCTCCTTTCCGGGGACGACTGCGGGATCATTCTCATGCCGTGCTGCAGTGCCACGATACGAATGTCGAACAGCGTTTGGCGTGTGCCACTTCTCTCAGCGTCGACGCCGGGGATGTTTCCGTGTTTGATCACCCTTGCATGAGTATCGATGTCCTATCATAAAAAAAAACGTCTTGTCAATCATCGATCAAATGTCCAAAAAAACACATCGGCGAAAGATTTCAAGCATTGTTATGCTTACCAGTAAAGACGGACAGAACATAGTAATTTTTTCCATGATAGTCTCCACGTATAGAGTTGCGGTTTTTTCGGTCAACTTGCCCATGGTCTCGTATTGCATCCGAGCCAAAACCCTGGCGGCGGCATGAACCGATAACATCCCGTCCATACCAATTGGTGCCACCTCCAAACATGTATCGAGTGTTGCTCGGCTCGCTGCTCGAAGCGTCTCTGTGTCCGGTCGAATCAGTTGGTAGTACATGTATTTCGCCGACTCCTCGGCCACGTCCTCATACTCGATCCAGGCCAAACTTGCGAGATGGTACCGATCCATGTCGCTGGGGCTGATGATGCTGTGGATGAGCGTCATCGTGTGTTGTATTTCCTTGACTAGTAGGTGAGGTGTGGTCTGGTCATCCAAGAGTTCAAAGAGTGTTGAACAGAATCCGTCCCAGTAAGGCCTCATGAAGTCGTGCAAGGACCTCATGGCTAAGGCGGAGAGACATCTTACCGCGGCCATCTTGGTTAGATTGTCTGCATTGGTCAAACCACCAGAGATGTGGTCGATAACGATGGGACTTCTGAAAGTTGACGTGGCCATCACCATTCGAGGGACAAATTGTAGGTTTTCCTGCTTGATCTGGTTGCAGTCTGACCCCACAAAGGTGAGATATCGTCTATAGGTAAAAAAGATGAAAAATTCAAATCAAGAGGAGTCAATCGGACAATGTCCAGAAGCGAGGTTCAAGAGTACAGAATAGAAAAATGACACCAACTTACGTCGACAGCCGGGGAACCAGAGATTGAAAAAGGGCCTTTGTATTGAGTTGAACTTTCGGAGGGCGCTTCAACCGAGATTCCACAATAGTCTCGTCGTCGTCACCGGTTAACTGAAGTAGAGCCAGTAGTAGAGAACGACAGATTGCGGTGGTAACTCGCTGGACGGCAACTGTTTTCCCTGATGCGGCACTGCTTGATTGGGAATGTGTACTGTAATCAAATAAGGTTCAATTATGAGGACCCGATAAAACACATACCCTCCTTACATTCCATATGTAGCATAATGTGAACGACAGTTTACCTTGTGTGATCGAGGGCGAATTGTGCAAATGCAGCAGCGACTTTGTGCAATATGGATTTCCTTTGAAGAATGAAGAGGCTCTCGATAATGAATACCTCCAAATTCTCCAAGAGTGTGTTGTGTCTGTCCAGGGGGAACGTCGTGATATCGCCGCTCTATTGAAATTAAAAAGGCGATCAGGTCAGTAAATGCTAATTAACCATTTTCAGACACTTGCATAGCTGAGCGCGTGGGTGTAAAAGTACATACCGCAACGAATGCTTCAATGGCAGTCTTGCCATCCCGGTAGTACCGCAAGCTCTCCATACTGTCGTCATATTCCTTCAAAGACTCCTTGGGGATGCCCATTGTTCGAAGTGCTATACCCGTGAGACAACAGGTCGCTCGCGACACCTGGGTCTTGGTGTCGAGGTCCTTCGGAATAATGTCGTTCCAGAGTGAGGTGATGCGCGATTTTAACTTGATGGATAGGTCGATCATCATATCTGTGAATGGATACATCGAACATAACTATTAGTATCCGCTATGTACTGCCATCGCATCAAAAAAATGAGAGTGACGAGATGACATTACCGAAGACTTGCTGTATTGTAGGGGTCTTCTTTTTGGAGACAGACTTGGAGACCTTAGGCTTCTTTGCAGGCGCGTTCCTGCCAGTAGACCGACGTGCAACTTTTGGGTCGTCGTCTTGATCGCTCTCCTCCTCTTCATCGTCGTTATCATCATCCGAGGGGTACGCTGGCGCCTTGGAGAGAGAACCTCTCTCGGTGATGGAAACATGACTTATTGAAACGTTGTCAGAGCTTAGACCCCCCTCATCATCGTCATCGTCCTCGTCCTCAACAATCTTCCGCGAGCTCCGCCTGGGACGTGCTGGTTGTACGCTGTTTTGTCTAGTAGAGGGTGTGGTGGTTGTGAAGGATGTGGTAATGTTTTTGCTCTTCTTTGTGGGCTTTGTTTTCGACTACGTCTCTGAGGGTCCGTTGTCCTTACGCTCTATAAAGTAGGCAATAAAAAGTTACTCAAATGACAAACAGTAAGCCTGAACGATAATTGGCAAAGCGGCAGACGTCGCACGTTTCGTTGCATACCTTTTCTTTTAGTCATCAGGCAATGAGTTCTACGGTGAAGAGGGGCGCGAGAGTGTATGGAAGGGAAGAGGGGCGTAAAAGTGTGTGGAAGGGAAGAGTGCATTGATATCGATCAAGACGCGCAGACCTCTTTCAAGTTTCAACTGCGCTTGTTCGGTTGAGAGGCGAATCGGGTGACTGTCATTGGGGAAAGTGCAGCACGAGCGACCAAAAGGGACAACCAGAGGAAGAGAAAGGGGAAGTGGGAGACAGCCCAAATGTAGTGGGAGGAGGAGAACAGCATCACCAGCAGCATGAAGCGCACACGCACAACCAAGGACCTGAGGGCAGAGTAGACACAAATCCACAGATGGCAACAGATTTATGGGCTGAAACTCCGAGTGGACGAGTGCCTTTGCGGACGAGCCGTTGCAGAACACGGGGAACAGCGGTGCCCAGGGCGATCAGAGGTACACTCGAGTGACTGATCGAGCAGTCATCGACACCCCTGTTGGGACTGATGTGTACGAATATTATGGAAAGGAGAGGCAACATGGTCATCAAGATTGGAGGAAGAGCGCTCCTAGGTTCCTTGAACGCGTCCCACAAAGCAACAAGGGTCCGGCGGTGAGGACGGTCCTAGAGGCTGACAAACGATCTAGCATAAAAAGTTCGAGGTATGGCGGTCAAACTGTAGCTGATAGTTTTTAAAAAAGTTAGCAAACGCAATGCTAATGCACGCGATCAACAAATCTACGTAGTGACCTTTAGAGAGACTTTCGGATTGCGGATAGCTCACTGGATCCAGGCATCCGCCCTGCACAAGGGTTTTTAGCCTCTTCCCCCCCTCACCATGCACCCCTCTCCCTTCTCTTATCATCGCTTATGGCCATAGGTCCAAGTCGGTGCCACTCTCGTTTCTGTATTCCTCATCCTCGTCATGTTACACAAGGTGATACCCATCTACTATTCTCGCGTCTGCTTTGTATTGTTTATTTTGTTAGCCACTTCCATCCCTCACCATGCACCCTTCTTCCTTCTCTTATCATCGCTTATGGCCATAGGTCCAAGTCGGTGCCACTCTCGTTTCTGTATTCCTCATCCTCGTCATGTTACACAAGGTGATACCCATCTACTATTCTCGCGTCTGCTTTGTATTTTTTATTTTCTTAGCCACTTCCCTCCCTCACCATGCACCCCTCTCCCTTCTCTTATCATCGCTTATGGCCATAGGTCCAAGTCGGTGTCGCTCTCGTTTTTGTAGTCCTCTTCCTCGTCTTTTGCATAAGGTGATACCCATCTACTATTCTCGCGTCTGCTTTGTATTGTTTATTTTGTTAGCCACTTCCCTCCCTCACCATGCACCCTTCTTCCTTCTCTTATCATTGCTTATGGCCATAGGTCCAAGTCGGTGTCACTCTCGTTTCTGTCGTCCTCGTCGTCCTCGTCGTCCTCTTCGTCTTGCACAAGGTGATACCATTCTACTGTTTGCGAGTTTGTTTGTTGCTTTGCTTTTTTCCCATCACCACTCAAGGCCATTGGCACAAGTCGGTGTCTCATTGGCCCAGATTCAGATTCAAATCGGGTCCCGTTGTCGTCATCCTTGTCGCGTGTTGCCTCTTCCCTTTCTCACCATACAACCCCTCTTCCTTCTCTCATCGTCTCCCCTACATAGGTCTCGCGCTCGCTCATCCCTTCCTCGGTCATGGTCGCCCAAGGTACTTTTTCTACTTTTCGAGAGTTTGTTTGTTTGTTTGTTGTCTTGCCTTCTTGCCTTCTTCCCTTCTTCCAAAAACCCTTCTTCCTTTCTCACCATACCCTAGGGGGTGGGGAAGCTTACTGGGGTGGTGAAGTGAAGTGCGATAAAAGTGTTCCCAAAAGGAAATTATCTATGTATTAAGGGGTTTGGCATCGATTGGATAGTGCAGACTTGGCAGCATTCAATTTTGCCTCATCGTTCATCCTCTTCTCTTACTCTTCTCTCATTATGACCTCTCTCCACCTTTTTCTATCTTTTTACGTTGTCTTTTGTCTTATGCTCATATCTCTCTTAACCTGCAGGTTCTTTGCCTTCCTATGACAGTCCAAGTCCTCTAGATAAAAGTTCGTCTAAAGCATGCTTGTTGAAATCGTTGTGTTAATTAATTTATTTTAATGAACGTGTTGACTTACTTTTTCGTACTTTTAAACATTGAAATAGGGCCACCCTCTCCCGGTTTGCTGTCAAATGTATCGAAGCGCTTGAATACGACTGCTGAGCTGTTGATTACTCGCTCTGAAAACGGAAGTCTTAGCGTCGGTATCAACTTGAATTTGTCAGCTCGGGACCTTGGCGTACGAGATCTTCCCGAAATCGAGCTTCAGCAGGATCTGTCGTCGCTTGTGGCTGATTCGCCTTTCGAAAGAGTGCTATCTCGCAAAGTGGATTGAGTTTTCAAGATGGATGTCAGCGCCTTCCAGAAGATTGGGACAATATAATTTCTGGCTGTTGGCTTGAAAAACCACTCCTAAATTATGCCACCGCTGTTTTGTTTGCTGGTTGTGTACTATACAATCCGCAAACAAGAAAGCAGTCCTCTGTTTGGTTGCAGAATCCTATGGTCGAGGTCGCGACGTTGACGTTCACGCTGAGAAGCCCATTTGCATTGGTGAAGGTGTTTCTTCAATCTGCTAGCCTTCAACCTCCGGTTTATACCCCCATGCTACCGTCTGTCATATTCAGCACGACAAGAAGGACCACCGCCTTGTTCTTGGTTGCAAGATCTTCAACGTCCTTTTCACTGAGGTTTGGCGACTGGACAAGGATTGTTCCTCCGAACGCGCGTTCACTGCTGGTTCTTGCTCCAGCGCGTTTCCTCTCGTTGGCAATGAGGAAGTCAGAATCTTCATTGATGAGCGTTCTTTTAATCTGGCGTCAGATGTTGTCTCTGGCAAATACGTTCCGCGGTTCCAAATCGACTTCCTTCGGCAGATCCGATCTCACCTCTGTTCCGCGCACTCTTATTGAATGGGTCGAGCTTCGTCTTCCTTACTCTGGAATATGGTGTCTGCCCAAGCAGCAACCATTTTTACGCTGTCTATGGTCCGTGTCGAGAATCTAGACTAGAACAAGGCAGAGTTGACCTTTTCTTAGGCAGGATCAGGAAGAGAGGTGGAGGAAGAGAACAAAGGGAATAGGGAGTCAGATATGGGTTTTCAAGGGGTTGACAAAGTATTATTCAAGTTACTAGGTAAGGATCAAACTATTTGGGGTACTATGGGATATATATATGTGATTGTGAGCAATGCTAATTAATTGTCTTGGGCTCATTCAACTGCGCCCAAGGATCAACTGATCGTGCCAAGGGTCGACCGATCATAGGGAACGACGCGACAGTCCGTCTGGGGTCTGGAGATGGTCCTTTGGTGTCCTCGCTTCTGAGCCGTATGGCCAAGGACGTGAATTTAAAAGGAAGAGATGCCGTTTTGCAGAAAGAGGCACTGTTAGATGTTTTATGTAGATTATGCCACCAGCACTTCTGCCAGCGATGGAGACGACGTCGACCCTACAAACTTATTGAACCCGCCTTGGAGTTTTGATACCAACTCGGAGATGGACATTTGTTCAGATGAAGAAGGACCATGGCTGGGTGATGAAGAGGCTGATCGCCCATAGCCAAAATGTCAGAGAATGGAGAAAGCATCGGATCCGGATCCTCGCTACTTTGTTGCCACTGTTGGTAGTATGCTGGCATTTATGAAAAGCCCCCGGTCGAACTATCTACAAATGATGGTGGGTAAGAAGAATTAGTCAATTTTTAAGCACATGTTTTCCATGAAAAAGATAATAATATCTTTTCTTACTGCAGGGTTCATCTGCGCGGCATGTCGTACCCAAAGCAGTTAATCAACCTTCTCAACACTATGGGACTTTTCATGTGCTATGCAACAACAACAAGGGCACTCAAAGCTTAGGCAAGAGATCATTTCCGTCCATTGCGGAAGGTGGCAAGATTTAGGTAATCAACTGTCAAATGGCAAATAACCACTTCCTTCTTAGAAACCATCAGCTCAGGAACATGTAGTTCGGGAACTATCAGTTCAGGAGCCATCAGATTAGGCACATTCAGTCCAGGCACATTCAGCTGACATTACCACCTGCTAACTTCGATTTCTAGCCCGATATTTTTCCTCTATGACAACTTTAACCAGGCGAGAAAGGTTCGTCACCAAACAAAGGATCATCAGGCTTCGTTTGTGAGCGGGACGACCGGCACCATTGTAGTGGGGGAAGGTGTCGGTGAGGAGTTGCCATCTATGGGGGAGGTGCCTGATGCCGTAGTTGTCGACATTAAACTTATTGAGGACAACACCAAGCATTTCAAAGTCGTTTACCGCCACCAATTTTCCAAGGCTCTGAAGCCTGAGCTCAACAGAGGCCCCCTGTTCAAAGCACTCGCCATTCCTTCAATTAAGGTGCTAACATCTCGACCGACAGAGGCTTACGAACTGGCTGCCATGGAGATCGACCAGTCCTCGGTCAGTGGAAACTTGGCGGTTTTGGAGTAAATGCGAAAGGTGCTTGGCTTGGACAAGGAGTTGTTCAAAGAGCTGAGATGATTCTTGCCGGGGACCATCTTTCAGTATCCCGCCTTCGAACTTTGATGTCAAGGAAGTCCGACGACACCACTTTTTTCGACCGCCTCAGCTGGGGCTATTCCTGTCGCACAGCTGTTCCACATGCAAATGTTGCTCTGTACATCAATCCTCCGCACGCACTTGGGTGGAGATGGATTGAGGCTAGGATCGTTGAGACATTACAAGGTCAAGCTGGACCGAAATGGATTGGATGATTGATGAAAAGCCGAGTCACCATCACGCCGACGAGTTCTTGCGCACAGTCTTCACTGCCATGGTTAGGCGAATGTGTCAATGTAAGCAGGTATGTCCTAGTTATTTCTGCTCGTTTTTCATTTTTTTTCTTTCCAATCATTGACACCTCATGCCTGTATGCTTCAGTTGCATCAGTTGCTTCAGTCGCTTACTTTTTTGTTGGCTTTTCTAAGAGAGCAATACTCAGGATGCAGGAGCCACACCAAACAGGATTTTCCTCTGAGATCAACAATCTCGTGGACAGGAACCTTCTCAGCTCAGACGACCTATTCGACCATTACTCCACCACAAACGCCAATGCTATAATCTTTATCCGCAACATGGTTGTTTATTTCGAGTTCTGTGCAGCAATCAAGGAGGGCGACATTGGTCGCATTGAGGGGATTTTGAATTGCTCCGCCTCAGATTCAACATTCAGCACAGATGGAGTGAGAACAGGAAAAACGCCATTTTTTCATCGCTCCTTATGAACATCAAGGGACTTCCCCATCGATGGATCCCAAGCGACATGTATCAGGCAAGCTATCTTCAGATATGTTAGAAGAAAGAAAGAGTTCATAAGCCCTCTACATTCGAGAATGATCCCTCTCATTCTCGCATTTGTACAGTACAGAATGACAATATTTCATCACGCATTTGACATTTTCCTCTAGGAGTTCAATAACCTCCTGACCAAGATGACACATGTAACTGTTGGGTTTAAATCGTCAGCTATGTCATACATCATTCCCTTGATCCGGCTGTTTCATGTGATCCATAGGAAAATGCGCATGGAGTACAAGCTGACGGAGCAGTCGACCTAACATCGAGATGTATCATCTGAAGGGGATATCACAATCGTAATGAATTCTCTGGAAGAAGACAACATTTTGGGTTTGGAGAAGTGTCCCGTTGCACATCGTGGTGTGGAGCGAGTTGTCGACGCGATGGCATCAGAATGGGAGAGGCTCTCGCATGGTGGTTATGTGAATTTTCTGAAGCGTATGTTGGAGGACGAGGCCGATTTGAAGACTGATGGTGGCAGCAACCGCGAGTGTGATAGTGGCAACAACAGTAGCAGCAATAGTAGCAGTGATGGTCAGAGCATTGATAGTACATGTAGCAACATGAGGGATACAAACCAGCAATTGACGGGGCTTGACAAGGACAAGGCTCAGTCAGAGAGAGAGATACCTCAATTGACTATTCAAATAAATAAGTACTTATTCAGAAACGTTCCTGTCTTTCAACTTTTAATTTCCTTTACTCAAAGTGTGTAACTGGCTGTACATGGAAGAATAAGATGATTGGCACTCTTCCTCTTGTAACATCGTTTTTGCAACATGGCTCTCGTAATGTCTTTCGAGCAGCTCAACTCTTATCTTTCCCTTACTGTCCTTCCTTCTTTCTCCCCTCTTCCCGACCTCCCTCTTGCTTTTCTCCGCGATAACTGAATGTCCTTTCGCTTCACAGCAAACAAAAACTTCCTCGACAGCAGTTCAACACACAGACACAACCGTGTTTTGTCTCTCTTTCAATTAATTACATAGGCCATATTCTCTTCACGCATACCTATTGTCGTCACCTCAACACTATTCATCAATGAATTATTATTTTTTGCATTGGAACCCACACTTCACCTTCTTGCCATTTTGAATGCTACTCACAGCGGTATTTATTACCATGCTTTTTTTTTCTGCCACGCTTACTAGAAGAGTAAAATACAATTTCATATCATACTTTTTAGGCCGTTTACGAGATGTTTGCTGTGGAGAAGATAAAGGTTGGGAGCTGGATCCTTCGCCTGGTTCGTTTCTCTGTGGAGAACGGTGACAAAGTCGACCCTGAGAAGGATCCTGTTGCTGATCTTGAGAATGGTTGGACAAAGGTTCTTCGTGTTGTTGTGAGCTGACTCGTTGCCTCTTTTTGGATTTCACGGCTTCAGAGCTGTTGATATCCTGGTTGTAGTTGATAAGGATCTCCTCGAGTCGATGTTGTCCACCCGAACTTGACTCTTGCCAGCGACCATCGAAAAGGGATGAAACGGTACCATGGCATTGGACACTGCCAAATTTTGCTGCAAATTTCGCAACTGCTTTCATATTCATGATAGAGTCACTGTTGTATATCTCAGACTCGGCTTTACCACGGGTCAACTCGTCGCTCTTCCACTCGAGAATCCGCTTCTCGGCCTCCTCCTGCCGGTCCTTTGTGCGGTGAACGTGTTTTGGGCGTGTTGCTGAAGTTGACATTGATTTCGGACGAACAGGCTTGTTGGCGGCATTGAACAATGTGGGGGAAGATCCTGTTGTCGAGCTTCCTTTGACCTTGTCGCAGATGTCGCAACATTCCTTGCTGGCCGAGAGGGTTGTGATGCTGACTAGACGAGTGCTGTTATTGTTGCGCATTAAGGGCGTTCCGGTGATGCTCTTTGAAAGAGCTGAACTGCTGCTGTTGGATGACCAAGGCTTGATGTCTCTGTTGGTGGGAGCTGTGTTGGTGGGGGAGTGTAGGCTGCTGTTGCTTTTGGTGCTGCGTGAAGTGCTGAGAGGGGTATTGTTGGTTGTTCGTAAGAGGGCGTTGTGGAGTGTTTTCTTGCTGCTTTCTTGTAGCAGAGCTGGCTGAGATAGCAGCGGACGACCAAAGCGGGAAGCAGGATAAGGAGCAGTAGGTATGGCACTTTGAAGCCCACGAGAAGAAAGAGTGTGGTCGGGGTTCATTGCTGTGGAGTGGTGTTGTATGAGAGGATTGAGGGAAAAAAAGCAAATAAAGACTACATATAGGTAGGTAATTGTGACATTTTGAGCTGACAGAAAAAGCAAAAAACAGGAAAAAAGTGCTTTCCAGATACCTTTTTGCTTTGCTGCCATGTACGCTTGGACCTCAACATCAGCCAGCACTATCCATCAACTTAAGATAAAAGAACGGAGTAGAGAGTAGCGGGATCAACCTTGGGATCAGAGATAGCTGGAATGCAACAGAATGACTGAGAACAAGTGAAGGCTGGTGATTTAAGCTGAAAGGATCCCTATCAGCACCAGGGCCTACCACCAAGGTTCTCTCTGGTCAATGGATGAGAGAGTCAAGGCTATGGAAAGAATAAACCACGTTTTCGTCTGTCAATAACGACAGTACTGGCTCTTCGTGTTCCTCTCCAAATGGCATGGTTCAGCAGCCGTAGTGGCAGACAAAAAAATTGATTCTGGCGCTACAGTCAGCCCTCACAAAGCTGTCCCAAGGGTACGACCAGTAGCGTCGGGGAGCTGTGTCCATTTCTCAATCTCACATCAAGCACACGCAAAAAGAGGGGGGTTGGCGATTTAACCCGAAAGAAGCACTATCAGGACCAGGATCCACCACCATGGCTCTCCTTGTCATTAACGAGAGATCCATGGCTATGGGAAGAACAGGAGCTAATGCGGCCAGCTGACAGGCTGACTCCATTGTGTTCGACCCAAGAACCGTGGCTCGGTACTCACAATCGCCCATGTCGGGGTAGAGTGAATCTCCTCCCTCTCAGCATTCAGGGGAGGGACCAAATGCGCTGAATGGGTGCGATAATTACGTCACCGGAGAGAATTATCATCGTCCCCCTACCCGCACTAATGTGTATTCTCAAACTCTACTAATTTCTTGCAAACTTCGAGGGGGCAGAATCTATCTCTTCTTTTGATAGTATAAAAGTTCTTTCTCTATGACGAAGAGTGTCAAGTGGTGCAGCAATGGTGCTGTAGAGAGGGATGTATTCTCGGAAGACATTAAGCGTGCCCAGGTACGACTGCACTCGCTTGGCAGTAGTAGGGGGAGCCCATTCGTGAACGTTGGCAAGCTTGGTGGGGTCAACTTTCTTGCTGGTGAGATCGACGATAAATCCCAGTAGAGATTTGTGTGCTGAAAAAATTGCATTTGCTCTTGTTAATGAACAGTTTGACTTCATTGAGTCTCTCGACCACACATTTGACGCGAGCTGCATGCTCTTCTCTACTCTTTGAAAAGATCACGATATCATCAATAGAATTCATAACAAAAGTCAAATCACCGAGAATGCACGACATACCTCTTTGGAAAAAAAAAACTCGAGAGCGGCTTTAGACCGAAGGGAGCCTTCTTGAACATATATTGTTTTCCCTCATGCATGAACGCAGTGAGGTGTCTGTCATCATTGTGAATAGGTAGAGGGTGGTGTGCCTGTGTAAGGTCAATGGTGCTGTACATGGAGTGACCAGCTACTTTTTGCATGATGTCTGAGATTAGAGGGAGGGAAATTATCCTCTGGTAAATGTACATTAAGAGCGCGAGGGTCAAGACAGACACGCCACAGTGTTTTCTTTCCCTCCAAATCTTCCTTTGCCTGCAGGCGCAAGCGTGACCACATCTTCTTCTAACCAGCGTGCAACGGTCTCGTCCAGAATGGGCCTATGGGAGTGAACAAATTGGCGAGATCGTCGGTACACAACAGTACCTTTTGGAACAGGTAGATACACCATCATCTCAGGTACAGGGCAATGGCTCGTTTTGAAAATGTTTGCATTTTCTGTGAGCACTTTGTTGATCGCTTCTAGGAACCGTCCGTTCATACGTTTGAAGTCAGGAGTGAGTTCTTCTGCAGGGGTAACGATAGGGTGCAATTATGGTCGCTCGTCTTCGACAGGGAGATCATGAGCATGGGCCTCCTTTATTTTGGCAAGCTAAATAGAGCAAAACCCATATGATGAATGAGATCCATTCCAATTGTGATGGCAAATTCTTGATCCTCAATGATCTCAAAAGGGGCAGGGAGAAATGGGTTGTTGAATTCAAACTCGATTTGATCGGTTGCATCAATACGTTCGACGACAGACTTATTAGCTAGTGAGAAGTTGCCTGTCAGCTTGGCGAAAGGGACGTTATGTTCCTTTACGGCATCTTGTCTAATAAAAGAGTGAGTCGCACTGGTGTCGATCAAGCAGGGTATTTTCTTTTGAAAGCATGGGTCTCAATCCGAAATCGGTTGTCATTTTCAATTGCTGTTTTGATGGCAGCATAGTGTCTAACATTTAATTTGTCAAATTCAAAGGTGTCTGGTCCTTCGGTTGACATACCAAAGATACTGTCATTGTCGCTGTAGTCGTCAATGATGTCTTGCTTATTAGCAGCAAAGTTGGATAGACTAGCAAAAGAGGGTTCTTGAGTGTCAAAGTAGGGTACAGAGATAAGGGCAGGAGAACGTGGTGGTGACGAACAAAAAGCGTATTGAGGCGGTGTGCCTGTGATTGCAGATACGTTCGTCTCAGCCGTGACCACTTGCTCATTAACATTCGAGGTAGTCAGAGATACATCGTTTTCATCTGTGATAGCGGAAGTAAGTACAGCGAGCGATGGTGATAAAATTGGGCCAAGAGGAATAGTGTTAGAGCCGGAAAGGCGGTGGTACTTTATTACTAGACTCTTTTTTATTGGGAGAGATAATTTCTCTCAGACTCGACATGCTATCTTTTCCATCACTTGTCTCTTCAGGTTGTTCATTATCAGTCATCTGGAGAGAGGGAGTGACATTAGAGATGATGATTTGGTCAGGAAAGGGTGGAAATTCAGGTACAAACGAAGGGGGCATATGCATTACCTTTTTATTCATGTCGAACTTGCCTCTTTTCTTGTCAAAGCTGGCCTTGCGGTCCTTCTTGCAGAAAGGGGTACTGTGACCATGCTGCTTGCACTCGGTGCAGTATCTGCGGTCCTTGGTACCGTGCGTTCGATTTCACCGTGGTGACCACAGTTGAACGTCTTGCCGACAGTTTCAGAGGAAGACGAGCTAGCGGACGTCTTGCCGAGGCCACGGCGATCGTTCATGCGATGGCTGGGGCGCTTTGGTCGCTTGTTGTTGCCTTAGTTGTTCTTGGACGAGGATTTGTCAGCCCCGCCCAACGTCCAAGCCCCGTTTCAGCCCCTTCTGTTCACCCTGTTCCTAACATAAATAGAACCCCTATCCCCTGTCTTGTTCTCCAGGCTGCAACCACTTATATCCCGCCTACCTCCTGCCCCTGTTTCTTTGCACACTCCCCCCTTTCTTTTTAGCACTTAATAAGCCATACACACTCTTTCGAGTCCTGTCAGAACGTTACAGTTATCTATTAAGGTTCGGTGCTGCAACCAACCAACTAATTTCCCACTTTGCCTGTATCTTTCAATGCGATATTTTCCGTGTCACTCAATGTCGGTCCTTAATGCAATCCTTCACAGCAGGCAGACGAGAGGTTTGAAATTATTATTTCATTTTTTTCCGTAATATCTAATCTTGCCGACCCACTGGCTTTCGTATCCAGCTGTCAGCAAACCCCCCGACCCCATCTGGAGAGTAGATTAGCTGTTCCTGCCCAGCTCGCGGTGCATTCTGCAATGACGCCGGTCATTTCAGGTCCGTTGATGACCTACTCAAAGACGGTAGATCCAAGGAAGGAAGCATCATTGACCCTGTCCTTCATAAAGCGGAACCAATTTTCTGCTGCGGCATTCTTGTCGTTGACAAATGTTTGGTCCGAACTTGTACCTGCAGGTGCAATCCTGGAACGAGGCGGAATAGTGTTAATTCTGACAATCGCTCGCTGCCGCAAGGCGTAATCCATAAAGGCATCATTGGCCCTGGAATAAGCATCCATATCTCTGTAGATAGACACCGCCACTCCTCCATACTTCACTATGGACACCACACAAGAACCAATGTCTCTCGCTGTCTCCGAACGGTACGCAGCGTCCAGATCGTCCAGCGTGCCATTATAATACATAGACCCGTCCCGGGGGTTCCCATTGTAAACAACAACGTCGCGAGTGCCGCTGCCATCGTAAGTATCCAGAGTGTGATTTGTAAGCGCTAAGCCAAATGCGGTGAATACGGCCAAAAGGAGTGTTCGAATAAGCATTGTTAGACTCCGGACGCAGGCATGTTTAACAGTCAAAGTAAATTAAAGTTAGTTAGATGCGTTCCTCTAGTAGTGCTGAAGTCCTAATTTATGGAGTCCTGAAGGATTACCGCATTACCTTGTTCAGTGTAGGACTTTTATTTTGGTACAAGGAAAGCCAAAGACTTAAGCAGGAAAAGAGGATGACACCAAAAGATATACCAGTTATGAAGTACTTGCAGGAAAATAAATGGTAACTGTGTTATGAAAGGAGAAAGTCTAAGAACAAGGATCGCGAATTGGGGGGTTTTTTTTTGAAGATTGTAAATCTTTTTTACTCTGTATTTGGAAAGGGGAAGGAGGGGTGCAAATCAGAGTTGGGTAGACAGAAGTATCCCCGGAATGGGTATAGGAAAGCTAGTAGTCAGAGGGAGGGTGTTTGCTGGTGTCTAAAGTGGCTAGGGTCAAGTATTCCTTTTCCCTTTTTCTTAATAGCAATTGGGAACAGTATTGGAACCATAGCCATTGCATTTACTTATAAAACCTGAGGAGCTCGAACCAACGTCGCACCTTCCTTGTCTAAAGCCCATCCAGTCAGATGGTTGATACACTGCTCCTGGCATTCCCGCGCAAACAGAGTATGTCTGGTCGAAGTCATGGAAAGGATCACCAGGATTTGTGATGCATTGACACCAAAGTGCTTCTGCAGTACAAGCAACAAGGAGAAAGAAGACGACAAAAAAAGAAAACAACGACATTCTGAAGTTGGTCGTGGGACTGGTCAAGGTTGTGCAGGTGTGTGGAGGGGATGTTCAGCTCCGTGAACGTTCTTGTGAGTGTTCTTGCGGTAGCGTTGCAGATGTTTTGAGGGTGAATCTGGTCAGTTGTGTACGTGGTTTGTACAGGTCTTGTGTCTTGAGAACTATTGAAAGTGACTGTGGGACTTACTGGGTGCGACTTCCTTTTACATGTCAGGATCCAAGTGTAATATCAATGGCAGATATGCAGGGGATCAACATACCTATATGAAGATAGTCACGACTGCTGTAGCAAAAGAAGTAGGTTGGTGGAGTGCGGAGAGAAACTGCTGGATATCTTTGTTAAGGGAAGGAGTAACGAAAAAAGACCATAAAAAGAGACAAAAGTATGGCTATTTATGTATAATAAATTCGCATGTTGAAAGTTGGGGGATATGGTGATGGCAGGACACAGCAATGGAAGGTTCCATTGTGCACGCGGCCGAGCGAACCCACCGATGCTCAATAGGGTAGCGCCAACATTTTTCATTTTCCGCCCTGTCGCGTGTTGAGTACGCCCGCATTTTTCGAGTGATGCACAGCTCAGTTCCAAAAAGAATGTCGGCAGTGCTGGTGGTAATTCCATCAGCTCAATGCCCAAGAATTTTTTCACTGCGACATTCTTTTTTGGAACCGCGCTGTAGTAAGCACTCTGCATTTTTCGAGTACCGCTGTGGGTACGCCCATATTTTTCGAGTATACAGGACATGTTGTTTAGGGGCAGAAAACATAGACAAGGACAAAAAAAAGAGAAGGTAGGGAAAAACACAAAAGGGTGCAAGAGAAAGAAAAAGATGATAGAAATATTGCCATTTGATGCAGTCGTTGTTGTTGTTGTTGCCGTCAATGGCACTGTCGTCCTCGCTTTCGCCATTGTATTGTCGTCGGTGTGACCATTGTAGTTACTGTAGTCAGCGGTGAGTTCTTCCTCTTGCACCATGCGCCTTTTGTGCTTTGTCCCTTCTTTTTCTTTTTTTTTGTTCCTACCCCTGGGCACAAATGTTCTAGATTATCAACTACATCGCTAATACGGGGAACTTTACTGCCATTAAACGCCATGGCACCCTTCTTTCGTTTGGCTGTAGCTCCAGTAGTGGGCGAGGATGGTGAGGAAGAGGAGGCGGTTTTTGCGATCCTCTCTGCGTTGTTGTGTTGTAGAACTTGACGATTACAGGGTCTCTGCTGTTGCAAGAGGGTATTTTATATCCGTTTCGATGTACATATCAGGATCACCCCTGAGTTTGTGTTTACTTGGGCGCCATAGACTTTTTACGCCAAATATGTAGATGCCGATACAATGTGCGATATCCGCTCCAATGTAAACAGTATATATGTCCAAAGGGATTACGTACATCTGCCAGTCCACTTTTCTGTCGTTGCACTCTGAAGTGACTCGATCATTTGTATTTCCATCTCTTTCCATATGTTTATGGGTCACTACATTTTGATGGGATGCCAATCATTGGCACGGGCACAATTGGACCCTTTGTTTATGATAGAGACAGTACAAAAACATGAGAGCAAAAACATGAGACCAGTGTCAATGCTGCGTTATCTGTTTGACTTACGAAAACAATGGAACTAGGTCGCCTGAGATACAGGAACCGTAGGCATATCGACCGCGGTTGAGGCGGCCGACGACGTGGCTGACGCAAGCAAGGAGGGCTGTTCCAAGCTCGGGGACAGCGGAACTTGCGTATAGCAAGTCGTCGTATCGGGGCGTCCTCAGACCTCCTCTTCCGACAAATCATCAGACTCAAAGGGGTCCTGGGAGAGGGTTGTAGGGTTCGATTATGGACCCTGCGCTCGCAATTGAGGCAATCGCAGAGTTGGTGAAAAGCGTGCATTTTGCACTGGTCGTTTAATGCTTAAGGTAGAGCGTTGGAGGCCATTGTAGTTTGAAATGCGGTGGGAAATAAAGTGAGTGAAGTAAGGGAAGGATGGAGAAGGAGGTTTGTCTTCTTTGTTTTTCTCACTCCATTTATGTATACGTTGGGACGTTGAAGTTGAGCAAAAAAATTGGCTCTTTTTCTCTCTCTCACTTCTCTTTCTTTCTTCTTCCGCACACAGAAACACGCACACACATTAACAACGCCGTTCATACCTCTCACAACATTCTCTTTACCCAAACAGCAAACAGCAGACAGCAAAACAGCAAACAAGCATGAACCCCACCGCGACAACAACCACCAGCAGTTACAGCAGTTTCAGAACCGACGTACCTTGACGAACACCCCTGCTACTCACCATCACCCCTACGTCCCAAACATCAACAAACATCCATGAGAACGGACAAGCAGATGGCGCAATGTTATCCAGGGGATGCTCACCCGGATTAAGGAGGTGTGTGTCCAGCGTACACAAGCACACAAACAAACGCAAAAGCAAGCTTAATTTTTTGTTTGTTATTCGATAATACAAACAAAGACAACGCTCACTCACAGCCCCTGCTTTTCTTATCTCGCATTTATCGTCTTTGATAGCTGTACAAGGATGTGAACACCTTAATAGAGGAACGTAACCAGATCAAGATCGGTTATACAGTCCTCGAGAGGGAGACTTCAGCCCTCAAACAACAGGTCGCCAACTTTGAGAAGATGGAGCAACAGCGTCAGAGGGCCGAGGAGGACAAACGCAAGGTTGCGCCTGCTTAGAGTGCGATGAAAGGGTGGACACTTCACCTTGAAAGCTCACAGGAGCGTGTAACTGGAGAAAGAAACATGAAGTTTTGTGAGTTCGGGGAATACCCTTGTTGGCCTTCAAGGGTATGGCCCTTCGACGCCTCTCTTTTTTTCTTCTCTTTCTATTCCGAGTACTTTGGTACCCTTTGCACTGTTCTCTTTACTCCCCTTCTCTGTTACCCCTCGTGCGTTGCTATTCTCCCCTTTGTTCCTCCTGAGTAGGTTCATTGCTACTTTCATTGTAAAGACTTTAGGACCTTTGTTCTTCATAAAAAGCAACTTACAAATAAACCAATCCTTTTGAGAAGTACATACAAACAGGGGGGGGGGGGGGGGGAAGGGGGGAAGAAAAGAAAGAAAGGAAGGAGGAAAGATGGTGTGAAAGGAGGAAGAAAGAAAGAAAGGAGATCCAACTCCAACAACACTGCGGACGAAATTTTCGACTGAGCAAACTGGTAGTAGTTAGCCAGGTCATTGTCCGTTTCCGCGAATCGAGGACCATCGCTCGCCCTCACTTTCCGCGTTTTCTAACCCCCCTCAATCCTCAATATCCGCATCGCGTCCTGGATCTGATGATCAAATCCTATCGCCGCTTTTATGATGACTCGAATTCATGACACCGTCCTTTACTGGTATTCCAGCCTCCAGTACAGAAACAATCCAGCAGGGGCCAAGTAAAGTCATGGCCACTGAAACTTGACAAACCCATCGAACCAAACTCGAGGCAGTTGAAAATGTGTCCAGAGACCGTGATCGCCTGGAGCTCAACATAAAATGAACCAAACGAAAACGGGAATCCGCCATCGCCCCCTATTTTCAATTGCCCAAAACCCTGTAAACGGCCCATTTCACCGACCGAAGTGCCATCACGGCCATCTGAGTTCAAAACCGTTTTCAATCGTCTGTTACCCCAACAACCACCTTAATCGCCGTCTGCCACGTCAAATGATATATTAAACTCGGGCTTCTGCCAGTAGGGCATCGCACACCTGGACTTACCACATTAAACATCGTGGTAATCGGGTCACAACAGCTTGGCTAGAGCGACCATGATGTTCCTGATTGCATACCCGCGTAATTATTTAGGATGCTCATCCTAATCCTATAGGTTGTTTTGATCTCATCCTCCCAACAACATCAATAATGGCCAACAGTTGCCAGAGTCAGCCCCCAGGTTGGGAAAGAAAGGCTTTGAAATAAAAGATGCCCGTGTTTATTCCCTCTGAGTTTTATTCCTATAGTACTTTACCTTGGTGTCAGACGATCTCGCTTGATTGAAAAGTAAGTGTGCTCAAAACCACAGCTCCCAAACTTACGAGACACCATTTCTATTTCTCGTCCATCCGACAGGCTGAAGAGCAACTTTCCCTTTCTCGCCTGCCTTCGAGCACGTCATCGCCGAGTTTATTATCCATTCAGGGGCCACCACCAGCCGCATCCACCCTAACTCCTGTCGCCATACGAAGATACAAGTTCTACTTCTCCTCGCTCCTGCAAGTCGAGGAGACCGCTATTGGCTCTCCACCACATCCCATTGAGGATTTTTCGGCAGGATCTCCGCCACCACCCACCCCTGAGGATACCCCAGCGCTACCTCCGACTGCCATGCCCGTCGAGCCAGCCCCAGCGCTGCTCCCATCCATGCCAACACGAGTCGACTTCCTTCCTGAGCTGTTGTCCGAAATTGCCACGCATCTCCGGACGAAGGATCTCGTCCACGCGTCGGGAGTGTCCTGGGACTGGAGGGCTGCGATGATGCCATTTGTCTGGACGTCAATCACACACCGCAAATGGGGATGTCCACAGTTCCGACGCCTGGGTGGTCTTGTCCGCCAAGAGAAATTCGACGAACTTCGTGCTCTCCTGCACCGCGTCGTTGAGGTAGAGTGGGGGGACGACGACGACTCTGGACTTTCGTACTCCGAGCTGGTGGTAATCCTGAGGTCCATACCCAACCTCAAAAAGCTGTGATTGACGACAACCGGCTTGGCAAAGAGAGTGCTGTTGAACCTGCTCAAGGATCCTAGAGAGTTGTTGACGTAGGGCCATCTCGAGTTGGACTTGATCGGGTTTGAGGTAGAGGCAGAGGCAGAGAGTGCGGAGGACGGAGAGATAGATGAGAGTGAGGAAGAAGGCGAGTTGCAGGAAGTGGAAGAAAGGGAACCAGTTCCATTGAGTGACCTGTTTAGCAGGTTTGGTCAACTTGAGGGGCTCGGACTTGCGGGGTGGTGGTATGCGCCATATCACCACCAGGCAGCAATCGTGGAGGTTGCTGGCCAAGCGCAACAAGAAGAGGCGGTCCAGCCTCAATGGGCTATCAAAAATCTTCGGATTCCACGGAGTGAACTTGGGCTCCTCCGACACTGTCCTCACCTCCAAAAGCTGGTCCTGACCGCAAAGCCAACGGATATCCAGGAGACGGCCATGGGGCCAATTCTCAGCTGCAGGCAGCTTGAAGAGTTGGTGTTCGAGAGACCTCTCTCATTCAGGATATCCGACATGGTCAATATGCATGACCGGTTGGACTTCCTTACAGCTATAAGCATTACGTTGGAGAGCGTAAGCGAGTTCGACCGGTTGTGGGCATTGCAGTTCAGGACGTTCGCGCCTCAATTGAGGTCGTTCAAGCTGGAGGTGCAGAGAGAACATGAAGGCCAAGAGAACATTCTGACTTGGCAGAACACCTTGCGCTTGAATGCAATCCTCTTTTGGCACAGAGAGGTGAGGACACTTATTCTTAAGGGATTCGCTGTCCAGCCTCGAGACTTTTTCCGAGAGGTTGAAGAAGGAGGGGTCACATCCTACAGCAACCCAGCGCCACAGGTCGAGGAGCTCTGGATTGAGATTGGCATCGACCCCTTCTTCATCACCACTAATCAGGACCGCCAACGGATTTGGCAAGCTATATACGAGCAGCTTGGCCAAATGCGGTACCTTCGCTCTCTCACAGTCAAAAGTCTTGACTTGGATCATTCTGCCTTGGCTGGATTTGGACGTTTGAACCAACTCGTTGACCTCAGGCACCTCGGACTCTCCGCAGGTGGACAAGCATGGACCTTTGACGGGCTTTACAGCGTCGTGGGGGTATTGCCTTGGTTGACGTCCCTGGATCTCCAAGCATTGCAGGATATTGACAAAGTCAATGTTCATCAATGGTTGGCAGAACTGGGTCGACCAGACCTCCGGCTCTGAGCGTCCGAGGACGAGGAGACGGGTCAATTAGGGACCTTGGGCTGATTTACTGTGTTGAGCAAGTTGGAGGAGTTGAGAGGCTACGTTAGTGCTGCTTCAGATGGGGGTCGGAGGTAGACTGGGTCTTGAAGCATAGGCCATCGCTTCCGGTTGCAGAGTTGTTTGTGCTTGGACACACGTTCTGTCATCTGGACAATGCCCATCTCCAGAGTGTGCACTGACAGTCAAGCTGACAAGGCCGTCCGTCCTCTTGGCCCTTGATTGAAATTTGGCCTTAGATGGTGGTATGAAGCGTCGTGAGTTGGTAGTTGAAAGCTTCTGGCAAGGTATACTGGCGGCTGACAGACAGCATAACGTAGTTAGGAATATCTTTGGAAAACCTGGACTTGTCAGGAGTCCATAGAGAGCTGCAGGAAAGAGAATAGGCCTGAACTGAGACATATCTACTCCGCTGGTTCAATGGTGAACAAGGGGAAGGAGACATGGGCCATAGCCGTTGCAGTCGTAGGAGAGGAGCAGACGGTGGTGAGGGAAACCACGGGGGGATTCACATCATCGGCGAAAGCGGAACTAATGGGATCGATTGCAGGAGTCATCGCGACACCACAGGACCAGGACCTCTGCATCCGAATTGGCAACCAAACGGCGGCGAAACAGTTCAGAGAGTTCCCTGTCAATCGGAAACGAGCGTCGGTGAGAGAAAAACTGAGGTGCAAGTACGCTGAAGAGTGCGCGGTGATCGCACGAATATGCGGTGAACGCACGTGGTAAACAGCAGTCGAGTGGGTCAAGGGCCACAGTGAAAATGAATGGAACGGAAAGGCGGATATAGCAGCAAAGGAGGCGCAATCACAAGGCGGAACGGCATGGGAGGTGAACAGAGCCACCCAGGACGAAATCGAATACTCTACGACGATGTCCGGCTTGATCTTCGATCAGAATACGGGACACGCGCTCAAGATGCACACCACCAGACGCTGGCACCAAGAGTGGAGGGCACTCAGGAGGACCAAAAGATCGATTCAAGACTGCGAGGGCACAGATTGGCTTGGCACCCTTTCAAACATACACAGCAACAAGCCAGTCAACACCTTTTTCAGTTCACAGCAGGACACACGCCAACGCAGCGATAAGATAAAGAAGGTCCAAGGAGTGTTGCCTACCATGAATATCTTACGCACCTGGCGTCCAGATCTGTACAAGGACGACTTATGCCGAGTGTGTAGTCTAGAGGCGGATGATAACGAGCACATCTGGACGTGCTCCAAGAGCACGGAGACGCAGGAGGAGCTGTGGGAAGATGCTCTCGACCGAGTCGACGGATAGGGAGAGATCGTCATACGACTATTCAACAAACAGCGACAGAGACAGCTCAAGCCAGGAAAACAACCACCTCCCGAGACCTTGTGGAGGCTGCAAAGAACCAGAAAGCTCCGCAAGACGCTGTGGTAGGCGACCAAGCGGCCAGGCGAGGAAGAGTAGGAGGAGGAGCCGGAACAATACATCCCGAGTGCGTGGACAGTTAGCCACATCTACCGAGGCCTGGTGCCGAAAGCCCTAGCTACGCATTTGAGCAAGGTGTTCAATGACATAGCAGAGGGAATTACCAGCACGTGAGCCGTCTCTTTTGTCGATACATCGAAAAGGAGGCCAGGGAGCAGCTATGGAAGTCATGCTGCGAGAGGACCATCAGGTGGGAGAAGGAGAACAGCATCACCAACAGCATGAAGCGCATGCACACCACCAAGGACCAGAGGGCACAGTGTACAGCGCCGTTGCAAAATGAATTTGCCTATTATTTTTACTCAAAAAATAGTAATAGGCAAATTCTTTTTGCAACGGCGCTGTACACTGACCCACAGATGGAAACAGATCTACGGGCGGAAACTCCGAGAGGACGAGTGCCTATGTGGACGAACTGTAGCAGAACACAGGGAACAGTGGTGCCCAGGCGAGCAGAGCGATACTAGAGTGGCTGATCGAGCAGTCATTGACACCCTGCTAGGACAGAGGCGCATGGATATTATGGAAAGGAGGGTAACGTGGTCATCAAGGAGTTGGAGGAGCACACCTAGATCTCTTAAACGCGTCCCACAAAGCAACAAGGGTTGTCTGAACTCACACGCGTCGTCCTTGACCCGATGAGGACGGGCTTTACAATCCTCATGTGCGCTGTACGGTTTAGGATACTTACTGAGTGAGGTAAACAATGTGCAGGTACGAGAAACACTTAGACAGCTCCACTTTTAATTGGATAAAATTGACGCATCGTCTCGGACGGGCTTGAAAAAAAATCTAGCTTCCTAGCATCCTCTTGTCCTTACTTACCTTGCCTTCTTCTAGTCCCCCGTTCACACTCTCTTGCTCTGCTGCTATTACATGGTAGCAAAGGAAACCTCGATTCACTGGCACTAGAACATTTTCCTGGGGTTCGTTAACCCACTGTCCTTGATTATTTTTATTTTATTTTTTCCTTCGTTTTCTCCTCCATTTATCTCTATTCGTTCTTGCTTCGCCCCTAGTCCACTCTTTCTCTAATCTCTCCTTCTTCTGCTTCCTCTCTTGTTTCCCCTCTCTGTCTCTTCCTTTGTCCTTCGTTTATTTGTTCCCATACCGAAACATGATTACAACCATCCATCCCTTCCTTTGTGTTACCACAAACAAACGAAGGGAAAACGCTAACTAGTGCGAGTGATGCAATATCAAGCATGAATGAATTCTTATATGGCTTGGCCAGTTTTTGAGCCACTGTAGTGCTGACGTCGCCACCTGTTGTGGGCTCTGGCATATTAACCTCAACAGTGTGTAATAAAGATCACTCTCTTCTTCCCATTGACATACTTGACCATACACCATACTTTTCACCACATTAAGTTCGTAAATAACAATTTAGATGTCATTGTGAATCTGATCACTGGGAACCCTTGCTATTTGCTGTCTTGCTATTACAATACATTAACTCATCTATCATTTCCATTCCCTATAACAAGTACCTTCTCGTTGCAGGAGCATCTTATTTGGATCGTCACTGGCCCCGGAAGCTCTTTTTTGCTAGATATCTAACTCGTCTCCCCACGAATCCAAGTAATTGGTGCCTTTGTAGTTCTCGATAATTACCTTGCATAAGATCTATGGATGATTTACTTACCCGAATTGTGAATGTCTAATCATCATCCAGTAGCCGGACAGGTCCACTCCATTCACCATGTGGATTCAAGATGTCATGGATGTCGCTGGCACATACTGCATATGTGCGATATTGGCAGCAGCCTTCAATTCGGGTTTTAAAACGGATTTGAGTCCGTTTTTGTTCATGGGGGCGCTGTCAAGCCTGCCAACTGTCGTCCAAGCTTTTCGAAATCTATTTTAATATCCACCATACGTAACCAGTTGTCTGATAAATCTGTCTGGAATGCATTCTGACAATAAAATTTCTTTCATGATTCATCGTGAAGAGTTGGGCCATGTTTTCTCCGACAACCTCTACCTATTCTTGCTTATCACTGACCTCGTTCCCTCTTACATCTTCCCCTATCCTTCTGTCGTTCCAACAACGACATTATTTTACAAGACTCTGTTCCTATTCCTGTTCTCTACCCAATGGCACGGGCGCCTTTTCTCCTACTACACTGCCTCCATTTGCTTACATCGCGACATTATCCTCGACCATCTGGACACAATTGTCTACCCTCTGCACAAATATGATCTTATCCTGGGCAAACCTTGGTTGACCAAAGTCAATCCTATGATCAACTGGAGAGCAAACGAGGTTGTTTTCACTACTTCCGACAATCAAACAGTCCGTTGGACCTGTCATGGGTTCACCTGACAGAGGTAAGGATGGTCTTGGATGAGAGGGTTGTGTTGGTGAGTGTCTTGGTGGTGATTACTTGGCAATTGACCATGTGTAGTTAGGCGATAGACCTGTCAGCGGGGTTGAAGGTGAGGTTGCCATGGTTACATCGCGTAAAGAGCTGCTCATTTTCTTTGCAGATCAAATTTTGCACAAGGAGGAGGTCGTTTTGATGTTCGTCATATCATACCACAACGAGCGAAGCTAAAGTAAGGAATGAACGCGTAACAGAACGGCTAAGAAAAAAAGATGGAAGGGTGATCTCTACGCCGAGCGACTATTTTGTTTTTTTATCCGTGAACTGTGGTATAAGTGGAAGGACGTGGTAGTACGTGTGCATTTACTGAAAGATTTTTTTGTTTTTGCCTTTTTTTTGGTAGAAAAAGAAGGATGAACACTAAGATTGAAAGAGTAAGGCTCCGGCGCGGCGTGTAGGACAACACATACAGTCAAGAAGGGACCATCAACTCCTCTACAGGGGACTCGGGCTAAGACGTATATCGATGACGGCTGAAAGGGCTTAGTGACCGTAGCAGGGTCGGCCCTCGGCAACCACAACAGGTGCTCCAACATCTGGAGGCTTATCAATGTAATCAGGGCAACAGTCCATGCAGCACTCACAGTCATGACACCATCCATAGACAAACTGTTGCTTGCAGTACTCACAGTACTTTTTGAGAACCTGGGGGATAGGCTTGAAGAAAACCTTCATAGGCAGCTGCTCAACTCGCTGTTTCGACATCTTGATGTTAATGACGGCCGTCATCTGAGTGAAGCTGGTGGTGGTGGCCGCCTTGAAGGCGGTAGTTTGGCCGGTGACCCTAGGAGGTTGGGTGGTGGTTATGGTGGATCTGGCGCGTCGACCAGCGGCAGTAGAGGCGAAGTTAGATGCAGTTGACATGTTGGCGGGGAGAAGGTGTGTATGGATGAGAATAATTGACTCCTGTTGGCGATGGAGGGTAACTTCAGATGCAGCCGAGGAATGGAGAGAGAGCAGCAGAGAAAGAAAGTGAAGGATAAAAAAAGCAAAAAAAAAAAATCACGACCGTTGAGGGACCATAGTTTTGGCTACCTTTTTTTTTCAACGGGACATAGACTAGGCAACCTCAGCAAAGATAATTGTCGGTCTGGGTCCTTTACATTCGAAGTGTCATGCCTATTTCACTTTGTTGGCTATCTCTAATCATCTATACATTTTACGGCTTGTTGGAGCAAGAAGAAAAACGCCAAATCTACCACAGGGATAACCACTGTAATCCACGGCTCGATACATGCCTCCGTTTGCCCGATCGTTGCCGCCGGTCATTGAGCATTACATACCGGCCATTTTGCAAAACATAGAAGGACAACCGTCGACATTGAAGAGGAAAACAATAACCAGGTGAAAAAATTGGCGGAGGCAAAGTACGTGTTTTTTATGTGCCGGGGTAAAGTGTCATTTCATTACCTTTCCTTCTTGGTTGAGAGTTGATGGAGAGGAGTGTGCAAGTTTGATGCGTTTGATACGTTTTATCTTTTTATCTTTTTATCCTTTTTTTTTGCACTGGAAGGATGGGCGTGATAGATAGAGGAGCCGGTGGTGTCTTGCAAGAAACTCACAGGCGTAAAGAAACCTTCCAAGGCTCACCAATAACGAATAAAACGGTACTCTGTATCACGAGAAAGGAACAGGGTAATATCAAACAAAATCAGGACAACAGTACATGCAGCACCCGCACTTCTGGTACCATCCAAACACATTCTCATGTTTGTAATTCTCACAGTACTTGTTGGTTATACAGACGAGTGAGTATGTTGTACACGACTAGGCCCATGTTTGTGAGTTAGCTGTGTTATACTTAGAGGGGGGGTAGGTGGTTCTGGGAGGTTGTTGGGTTCGGCTTGGGAGAGGAGGTGAGGGGTTTACATTTAAGTGGATGGCTGGGGGCTTGTTAGTGTTCGATGCTGGCGCGGCGGCACCGGTATCGTATCCTTTCTTGGTGGAAGTAGAACGAGGCATTAGGCTTTTTGGTTGCGATGGAAGTGGCAGGGTGGCGTTGATCTTGTGTGATGGGCAATTGCGCTTACAAAGAGGTGGGCTAACGGGCGAATGACTGTGTGTGTGTGTGGGACCCTAATAAGGCTAATATTACCAAGAAAGACATACAAATTGAAAGGAATCCGTTCACGACAACGTAAGATAGAGAGTACTTTTATTTGGGGACGGTTGGGGAATATCTACAGTAGGTCCACACACTATAAAAAGGAAGGGGCGCTGGCTACATAAATCAGCAAACTACATACTCTCCATCCATTGGATAATCATCGAAACTCCTGCGAGGACACCGCTGATCACTGTCGTGAGAAAGTTGCTCTTGCTCTTGATGCGGTCTGTTTCGCTCGCCAGCAAGCCCACAGAATCATATGTCCTGTAGCTGCTATAGGTCAACAGGCCAATATTGACAAGAGAACCGATCAAGAGAGCGTTGACAATGACTCCACTTAGACGGTTCCCGCGGACAAACATGATGACAAAGACAAACACAAATGACATTAGGGGTCCCCACCCGAGCCAGGAGTACCATTCCCAATTCTTGTTGGTCATCTTCATATCGACAAGTGGTGGTACATACGCGCAGAGGTACGTCAAGATCCAGGCGGCCCATTTAAGTCGGTTTCGAGCGCTCGTTGTCACCGTCATGGTTTTTGTTGGGTTTTGGTTGATGCTTAGGGCTGATGGAGGTCCCTAAGATGGATTTGGGAGGTCTTGAATAGTTCCGCTGTCGACTTGGGTGGGGCTTGTTGCTACGGGTATTATCTGTAAGTTGTATTGCTTTGGTGTTGGTCGGTAGCTGTTTGTGGTGGATATCTCGTGGCTGTTGGCTTGAGAGGCGTTGTTCGACTTTGAGACTGAAAAAGAGTGGCACAAAATAAAAATAAAGGGAGTGGCTAATGAAAGTGGAAAAGGAGTCTTCACTAGCAAAAGGAAAGGGTGGTATGTAGAAAGACTTGAAGACTTTGAGCTGGAAGGAAAAGTGCCAAGGTATTTTGGAATGAGATAGTGATTGCGTTGAGTAGAAAGCAAAGAGGATGTGGATGAGGTGATGTTGAGAGATAGGATGGTTAAAGCCAAAGAGAGAAAGAAGATGTTGTTGATAGAAGACCAAAAACAAAGAAATGGACAAAGGGCAGCATATATAATTGCCATTATCGACTCTTGCGATCCATTCCTCAATAGCTGTAACAAGCGGGCTGCGCCTTGGCGAAGATGTAAAACCGGGCGAGGAAGGCGAGGGAAAATCGAAAGAAAGAATGGAGGCACAAACTCAAAGAGGCACTAAACAAATAGGTCAAGATCCCGACCTTGGTTATCGAGCCATGATGACCAGGCGAGAAATAGCGAAGGAAAACGGAAGACACAATGGAGCCCAAACGTTTCCAGGGGAAGGAGAGGGCATAAAAAACTGAAGTCTGTCCTGCCATTGCATGGGTCAATGGAGAGCAAGGGAAGAGCAGACTAATTAAGGGTCCAGTCCATGCATAGCCATCTGTTCTTCGTCTGCTTGCATTAGTTGAAGATGAACTGTAGGCGTTTCTTGTCTGCTGTCCAACCAGCGTGTCTTTCACTCCTCATCCCACATCTGTGCGACAGAGTCCGAATGAGTAAGGCCCAAGTTTTACACACATACGTACCTTGGTCTAATTAACGGCCGAGGGCCGTTGTTTATTATTACAAAAAAAGAAGAGAAACGCTAGTCGTCGGCATGCTTGTCCATCTGCCATTGAATGAACATGGAGATAATGGCCAACAGTCCTCCAATTAACGTGGTAAAGTAGCTCATTCTACTCCTCGCCAGATCCATCGTTATGACGCCTGTTCCTGTGCCGGTTCCGGACCCCTGGTACGCCTGATATGTCCCAAAGGTTGTGAATGCGGTCAATGTCACCGAACTCGCCAAGAACAAGGTTGCAATCCCGCCGTCCATGTCGCCTGGGATCACTAGCATGATCAAATAATGGAGCAGGAAGCAGGCCATGATGACCAAACTGACCCACGTGTACCACTCTATCCGGCCTTGTACCAGGTATGAGTCGACGAGGGGAGGGATGAAGGCGCAAAGGTAGGTGAATGTCCAAGCGGACCACTTGAGACGGTTCTTGTTGTCGTACTTTAGACTGGTCATGGCTTTGAGTCTTTTAGGGCAGTTGGTTGTGGACGGGAGTGGGTGTGTGTCTCGCATATGTGCACTTCTGATGTAAAACCAGAGGATGAAGAAAAAGAAAGAGCTGAAAGGAAATGTAGAGGGTGAGATAGAGATAGAGATAGAGAGAGAGAGAGAGAGAGAGAGAGAGAGAAAGAGAGCAAAAACGAAGGGAAATAATAATAGGGGTGGGTCGAGGAGTCGATATTTTACGCTATCTTGATCCTCTTCGTGTGCAACGTACCACATATGCAGGACATACCGAGGAAGTTTAAGCAAAGGTGCAAGAAAAGGGAAAATGGGGTGGGCACAGCCGAGGGGTTTGGATACAAGGAAGGGAGGAAATGGGCGATGAAGATGTGGGCTGAGTCGAATAGAAGGGCACATGAAACGAAAACCTTTTTGGTGCACAGAGGGGCGGGCAGGTATTTTTAGTTTTCAACAGCAAGGCGGGACGGGGCGAGACAAGGCGAGGTTATGCAGAGAGGATCATCACGTCATATTGTCTGGACCTGCGTTGACCTTCTCTTGTTCAGTAGCTGCATTGGCCTGTTGAAAGGGTGTCGGATGGCTGCCGGTTTGTTAGGCAGTGGCGCTTGCTCCTCATTTTTCGTCGTGTGTAAGTAGCTCGTGTTCCTCCCTTCACTTCCTCTTGTCCTCCCCTCACTTCCTCTTGTCCTCCCCCACTTCCCCTTGTCCTCCCCAAACACGATACACTACAACCGATGCGTATCAATGGACGACGACATTCCTCTTGACCAGCAGACACGCATGCAGCGTCACTGACACAAAAGGGAAGGTTTGACACCGTTGTTAATGATACTTTTTCTGTCGACGACTTTGAAATTGAAGTTTGACGGAGGGTCATCACTTTGGAAACATTTCATGGAGGCCATCGCACGGACTGCATGGTCTGCACACCTAGAGACAAAAACAAGGTTGCCGATTGTGTTGCTCTGCAGCCTTTACAAGTCCGCACGAGGGAGGAGTATTGCTACTGAATATTGAAGATAGCGATACCAGTGTGATGTTGGGCACCTTGGTTCCAGATGACAGGTGATCAAGGGCGAAGCAGACTCTGGCGCTACCTATTGACGCGTGTGGAAAGAGACGAAGAAAAAACCAGAAACGGTTCTCGCTTGTGTTTAAAAAGGTGGCTTTTGCCACCAAGTGTTCATGCCTCCTGTTTGTTTGCCTTTTTTCTTTTTTTGCACATGCTAGTAATAGCAATTAACAACAACAAAAAAAAAAAAAAAAGGCATGGCTTGTGAAGAGGAGGACAGTTGATGTTCGTTCAGTCATACCAAGATGCGTTCGCAGGAAAGGACAAAGATCCATCTCCACCACCAGCGCAATTGACAGAAAAGGATGAAGGAGGAAGGAAAAAAAGACGTTGAAGGATCTAAAGAGGAGATCAATTATATCTTCAAGATATTGGATGTTGTATCCATCAAAGATGGCCGCCCCTTTTGCTTGTTTGGCGGCAGAGAGGGTGCCCAGACCAAAAATCGATGGATTGGATTGGGATTGGTACTGTACTACTTACCACAAATTGGCGCTAGCAAATAAAAAAGAAAGAGCCATGAGAAAAGAAAATAAGGTGTTTGAATTCGCTGTAAGACAAGACGAGACAAGACAAGAAAAGAGCGTTCTCGCTCCTTTTTGCACCTTTGGGGGGCCCACCCCTCGCTTTCCTTTCCTTCCCTTATTCCGCCCTTTTCCGTTTTCCTTTCTTACTTTTCTTCTTTTCTCTTCTCCTTCTCCTGTGTCTCTGTCCCACCTCCTTCTACAACACACACCCACACTCATCCCCTACCCCCTCAGTAGTCACGATCAACATTCACCTCGACCCTCACTCATCCTTCGTCAACAGCAAACAACACAACCTCACAGGAACCAACAACTTATACCAAGCAACAGCCAACACCGCACCCATACTCTCTAATCCAAGGAAATGACTTCACTGCAGGCTGTCGAGCGAACAATGTCGGAACTCAACCTGCTCGGACCCGACGGCTGGCCCGCCTGGACCCAGGTTCTCCAAAAGGCCCACAAGACCAATTATGGCCGCAGCGACGACCCCAGTAAGTCTCGTCTAAATATTTTGGTGAACATTGTCAGGGTGACAGTATGGCTACAGACAGTAGAGTATATTATATATTTACAGGCAACAAGCCATACATGTCTCTCCCCGCAGGGCACACAACATCTCAATCCAGCGTTGCGCTTCAATTGCTCACACGCACTCACAAATTTGTACTTTTCACTGCATAGTCTACTTGCACTTGGCGTCAAAGACAAGACTTGGAGCAGTGACTCTGCTAGCGGTTCAGTTTCAGGACTTTCTTCAGGAAGATGGCAGGTACCTGCTCTTGCAGCTCTCTATTACCGACCAGAATCTGCTTTCGACCATCCAAAGTAACCAAGTCGGTCAATTGGCTTGGCAGATGCCAAAGTCCCGCGAGTATTTCCATCTCACGGGCAAGTTTTACATCTGCTCGGCACCCCGACAAGTGACTCGATACTCCCCTCCAGTCCTGTCCCATCTGGTCAACCAGAACAATGCAGAGGATTTGGCGGCACAGAGACAGGCGTCGAACCAATTCTGGGAGAGCAAGCGGTTGGAGCAATGGCGCAAATTGCCCGCCAAGGCAAGAGCCTCGTACACGTGGCCCCAGGCCGGCAGTACTCCCAAAGGCCCTCCTTCGTCTTTTCAGTGCCTAGCTATGGAGGATATGACTGCCACACTGACGTCAAACGCAGGAAACCGGGATAGTGTGATGTCGCAAGACTCGAACCCCATGTCGTTGCCATCCTCACCATCATCCGTCACCTCGTTCAGATCTCGCTGGAACTTGACTGGAAGCAGCAACAACAATAATAACGCTGGTGGAGAAATCTCGACCCCAACCTCACCCACCAGCAGCATCAACGGCAACAAGATCCGAAACGACAACCCAGCCAAGATCTTGCACGATATTGCGTTCGACAACTTTTGTCTGTTGGTTTTCAAACCCCTGGATATCGTCCACTTTGAGTCTTCTCCTCTCCCTCCCAAAAGAACTGTGAGTGTTGCTTTTGGCTGTGGTTTCATTTTATCACCGTCCTATGCATAGCTTCAAGTCTGTTGACCCCTGCCTCCCCTTTTATCATTATCTTTACTTCTAGATCTATACCACCGATGCTGCAGGACAGTGGGCTGTAACCGAGGCGAACCCTTAAAGCACGTCAGGAAGAACAAAGGATCACACAGGCAGACAAGCACCGGCGCAGAAAGCATTCAAGGAACTCGCTCATTAGAGCCACTCCTTTCAATAAAGAATATGCTTGTTGCCATATTTCTTCCGCTTATCAAATTCACTCTTGTATTTGTGGAGCGATAAAGGATCTAACGAGGAAGTACGATTGTGCAAAATGGTGTGAACAGAGTCCCTCGAGTTCAATTCTTGATAAAATCTAGGCTCCAGCATCTGGGTATGCATCCATAAATGACCTCAAGAAAGTAGAGCTCGTAACAATAACGCCACTTCAACCATGAAAATTCGAAGTGCCATTGTTGTTTTACTCTTATGATTCAAAGCCAACCTCAACTTCAAGGTTTTTTTTCGGTTTTTTTTCCTTGTTGTCGTGGTTTTTCAGTTTATGAGTGTAACGGACCTCCTCCTCCTCTTCTTCTTTCCGCCTAACCATGGGTGTGGGTTTTGTTTATTTTCTTACAGTATTCGTGATTGCTTGCAAAGCAGATACGCCTTTCAAGAGTCGCCAAGAAAGAACGCGCCCATGGAACGAGGGGCTGAACCATTATGGACACAGATCATGGGGGCCACAGACATGGTTGGACTGTGGAGCAATAATAACAATAATGCTTAAAGTGAACAAATTTTCGCATGTGGAGCGCGAAAGGAAAGAATGAGTATTTATTTTACGTTTTATTTTTCATGGCCATGGATTGACGCAGGTATCGTGGTGTATGTTGGAGAGGAAGGAGGAGGAGGAGTGAAGAGATATAAACAGAGAAGAAAGAAAGAGAGAAAAGAAAAGAAAAGTTGTACTAAGAAAAAAAAAAGAGGCGACTGGTTTACAGCTTGCTCTTGAAAAATCCAATCTTCTCCTGGGTATCCTTCATCATGGTGTCGAGCTTGAGGGCGAGCATAATAGCGCCCTTGACCTTGATCTTTCCTGTCATAAAGGCCTTCTGTCCGTTGGTCTTGCCCATGAACAGATCTACAAAGTCCTTGTCCTTCATCTCGAGCGTAATGTCGGGCTTGAGTCCGTCGATCTTGCCCTTCTTCATCAGACCGACCCCGTTCTTCATGTCCATCATCCACACGGCAGTGTCGCCCTTGCCGTTTTTGACGTTGAAGAGGAAGACACCCTTGACCTTGGCGACCTCGGCCTTGCGCTCCTCCTCGGTCAGGACATGGAGGTACTCGGCAATCTGGAGGATCAAGAAGCTGGACTCGAAGCCATCGTAGCCCAGATCGCCCTCGGCGCCTTTGGGAGGTCCCATTCCAAGGGTGCGGAAGATGACATCGAGCTTCATGGCCATCATCATGGGCCCCTTGAGTCCAATCCTGTCAGTGATGAAGGCACGGGCTCCGGAGAGATCGCCGACGGCCAGGGCAACCATGTCCTCGTCGGTGAGATAGAGGGTGATGTCGGGGTTGCCGGGGGCGGGGCCGGTCTTGATGACACCCTGGTTCTTGACCTCGGCGTGCCAGACCTTGACTTCGGCGTTGGCAGAGGAGTCCTTCTTGATCTGGAACTCAAAGACGCCGTTGACCTGCTTGACCAAGTCCTGGCGCTCCTGTGGCTCGAAGGCGTCGAGGGCCTCGTTGAGGCGAGCAAAGATATCCTCTGATTGATAAACCATTTTCGATTTGTTGTTATTGTTGTTGGTTGGTTTGTTGGTTACTGGGGGGTGGGGGTGGTCTCTGTTGAGAAGAGGAGGAGAGTGCGAGTGAGCGAGAGGTGGGTGAGTGAATGAGGAAATGGAAAAGCAAGAGACGATCGACGTTCTTTTATAATGAGGAGGAGTGATGGGGGAGCAGGAGCCGAGAAATATGTACAAACAGTAGTGTAATCTAATAAACTTTTTCTCTCTGTGGAGAGGTAATGTGTACTTGGTGTACATGCACATGTATATACTGTACCGACTGGTAAGTCTGAGTTGCTGCTGTCATTCTGAGCGTTGTGTGTTGCTCTTGTTCACTTTGCTGCCCAACCAGTAAGTGTAACAGAAGAAGGGGGATCGGATTGAAGCATTGGATTGAACTGACCATTAAAGGTTCTGTTGCAGTACATCGCAAGCACATGCGAGAGCGGGGGGTCGGATGCCCTTTCCCTTCCTCCTCCTCTATCCTCCCTTCGCAGAAACCTTGTTTCCCCCTCGTCGAGCGGCTCACTGTCCCAAAAGAAAAAGGTTCAAACAAGAAAGCAGGCCAGCTCAAAAGTTGTTTGCTTCTCCACTACAGCCAGCCAACCCCCCTTCGACCCTATTGGCTGGAATCTATCCTTCTCTCACTTCTCTCCCCTCGAGCCGAGAAAAAGGCTAAGCATCGAACTTCAACGAAAGAAAACGAACCCCTTTGAACGCCCTACGTTTACAAAGGGACAGAGAGACCGCTCTCCTGCAGTATCCCTGGTCACACACACACACCACATCGCATACAGCACTAGAGTATATACAGGTATCTCTTTTGCGGCTGCCAAGACACACGCATATGTTGAGAGCGTTGCATGAACTTTACAGAATACTTTTCCTCGCGTCGGGAGCCGGAATGGGGGAGGGGGAAAGAAACAAAGGTGTCCCCTCTTTAACGAACAGAAACAAAATACTGCCCAGTAAACTTGCTGCTAATGGACGGATTGAAAGCCATTGTCGGTTCAACTTTGCCTTTTCCTCATCGTTGTTGTTTCGTAAAATGACGTTTTTGAATCCGACTGCGCGAGTTTTCTTCTCCATCTACACTGCACCATGTTGATCACTACAATAACTCAATCCACAAATACCCACGTCCTTTTTCCACGTCATATTGACACTTGGCAGCCGGAAACGCTCACAATAGAATCGATTTTAATGTTGTGGAATACAAAGAGGGGGAGGAAAAGAAAGAAAATGTAAAACGTCTAGGCGGTAATGTTCTTGACAACAAAGGTAGGCTGGCCAGGTACTGACTGCTCAGCAGCACGGACATAGTCGTCCTGATCGGCATCGCCCTCCGTCACAGCAACGACCTCGTCCGACTTGACCAACGTCAACGTCTGGTATCCCAGCACCTTACGGAAGTACTCAGACCGCTCCTTCAACAACTCGGGTTCATCGAACGACAGCGTCCGGCTAAAAACAGAGGGTCCCTGCTGCTCGACCTTTTTCTTCAAGTCGTGGAGGAAGGGCATCACCTTCTTGTCCTTCATCAGACCCTTGGCCGCCAACTCCTTCTTGACCTTGTCATCATCAAACAACTTGCCGTCCTTGTTCTCAGGCTGGTAAGCTCCCTGCAAGACAGCGATCGAGGCCTCCTGCCACTCGGGGAACTTGGCCGCCAACAAGATCGTGATCTTTTTGGGCTTCATGGGGTCGAATGCATCGGTCTTGCCCTTCTTCTTCTTCTTGTTGGCCTGGGTCTCGGCAGCGCGGACGTTGGCGAGCTGACGGCGCAAGTAGTCCATCTCCTGCAAGACCTTCTCATCCACAGGGCCAGCCTTGGGCCAGCGAGCATTGACAATCAGGCCTTCCTTGCCCAACACAGTGCCCCAGACGTACTCGGACCAATGCGTCACAATAGGGGAGATGACCAACGTCTGGACCTCGAGGTAACGCACGAACAGTTCCTTGTTCATAGGAATGTCCATCAGCGCGCAGGCTTCTCTGTAAAAGTCGCGGGCAGCCATCAACTCGTAGAATCCAGACTTGACGGCCTCGCGGTAGAAGGTGGCCTCGTAGTCAGCCTCGGCCTGGTTGATCAGTTTGTTCATCTGACTCTCAAAGACGCGGTCGTAAAAGTTGTACTCGTCACGGCCGGTGGCTCTCATCTGGTCCTTTTGGGCCAAGGTCTCCTGAATCCATTCCAACAAAGTATGAAGCTTCAAAATAGCAGAGTTGGCGGTGCCATCCTCAAAGTTGGCATCCTCTCCACTGTCTCCGGCATCGGCCAAGGCCAGGCGGGTGGCATCAGCTCCGTACTTGTCGGCGGCCTCAGCAAGGCCCAAAAAGTTTCCGAGCGACTTGGACATCTTCTCGCCGTTCATCATCAAGTGTCCGTTGGCGCGGAAGCTGCGGGGCCAGTACTTCTTGGGGAAAAGGGCGACGTGGTTGTAAATGGCAAAAGTCAAGTGGTTGGGAATCAACTCCTTGCCCGAGGTACGGACATCCAAGGGGTAAAAGTACTCGAACTCGCGACGCAACTTGTCCAGCGAGGCCTTGGGGATATCGGTGTCGGTGGGGAGGGGTCCGTCGGCAAGAATGTACTCGTAGGCCTGGTCAGTCATCTGCTCGGCTTTGATGCCCAGAGGACCAGGAACAGAGCCATCGATTGAACCACCCTGGAGCAAAGCGGCAATGGTGTAGTAGGCCATATAGATGGTCGAATCTGAGAGCGACTCGATCAAAAAGTTGTGATCCCAGGGCAGGCGAGTTCCCAAGCCGTACGAGCGAGCGCAGGCCCACTGGTTCAACCAAGCCAAGTTCTTCTCGAAGGCATGACGGGTCTCGTCGGTGTAAACGTTCATGCCGGCCAAGCACTCCTCGGCCAATTTGCGCCACTTGGTCTCACCGTAATCCAAGTACCACTGGTCCATCAGGGCGACAACGCACTCCTCGCCACTACGGGACATAACCAAGTTCTCGGGCTCATTGTAGGGAACAGCCTGGTTAGCGTCGATCAACATCTGACGGATCAAGGGCTTAGCCTCCTGGACGGACTTGCCGGCGTGCTCACCAATGATTATGACTCCGTTGTAGAATCCATCCTTGTAAACGGCTTCTTTGGCCAAAGCCAACTGGGTCTTGTCCTTCTGAGAATTGATCTTCATTTGGGCACAGATAGTGGGTGCGGCGAGGTTTCCGTAAACGGGGGTGTTGATGATGGGGATGGGCTCGTACGAGGCAATCCACTCTGGCTTGATCTTGTAGTAGTCGGCCTTCTTCTTCAAATCCATGACGGCGGCGTAGTCATCGGGCGAATCCGAAGGGACGGAGGTGACAACACCGGTACCCTTGGTGGCGAGGACACCGTCCATAGGCAAAACGTACACGGAGGGGTATGAGCTGAGAGGGGCCTGGACCTGAGTACCGATCAACTGGGAACCGACAAAATCGGCCACCTTGACGACCTCTCCGTTCGAGGGCGACAAGTTCTGGAAGGCCATGTTGCGGGCAGCGCGCTCGGTCATCAAGAACAACTCATCGGCGTTGCGGGTCTTGTAGATTCCGTACTTGATATCGACACCGACAAAGCAGTTGGTTTGGCCGTACATGGTCTCTGGGCGGAGAGTGGCAGCGACCATGAAGATCTGCTTGCCCTGGAGCTCCTTGTTGGCAGCGACGATGACCTGGGCCTCGGGAGAAAACTCCAGGACCTTGAGCTTGATGCAGGTGTAGTCCTGGGGTCCGACACCCTCTCCGCTCTGACGATCGTGATCCATGCAGGGCTGGCCGTCCTTGGGCGAGTAGATGGTGTAACGCTCGCCGAACTTGACCTTGTCCAAAGCCTTCAGCTTGTTGAACTGCCAGCGAATAAAGGCGTCGTAGAAGGGGTTGGCGTTGGTGGTGATGAACGAGCGACGGAAATCAATCTTGTAGCCAATCTTCTTGCAGTCGTCCTGTTATTGTGGCGCGTTATGTTGTTTTTGTTGTGACGAGTGTTGTCAAAGAAAACAGGAAGATATTATAGTTAGAGAATGCTCTGACGGACTAACAATACAAGGAAAGGGATGGAGCAAACACGAAGTGGGTCCTAGCGAATACAACGACGACTTACGGTGGCGATGGGGGGAAAGTAGGTCAACCAGTGATGAGGGTCGGCAAACTTGTAAATCTCCTGGCGAGGAACGCCGATCTGCTCCATGATCTGGAATTGATACTTCAAGCCAGTGTTCTTGGCGGCGACCTTGCCCTTCTTGGCGACGATCTTTGTGGGGTCGACACGCTCGTTTTCCTTCAAGTTCAAGTTGGCGATCTCGGGGGTGGCCTCCTCGGTTTCTATGGGAAGATGCAGACGGTAAGGAGAAGGGAAGGAAATACAACGGTTAGTTGACAGCGAAGAAATATGGTGCCCATAGAAGGAGAGGGACGGTTCATCCAGATAAGTAGGGTCGGCAAAGTACGTACCTTCGGGGACAATGTAATCCTTGCCAAACATCTCCATCTCACGAGCCAACTTGTCAGCGCAGGCCTAAAACAACGAGGGGGGGTGATAAACAGGATGTCAGCTCTCGTTTTTTTCTTTTCTTTTCTTTTCTTCTTTTTTTTCCCACACGCGACAGTACGATGCTCACACATGCATAGTCACACACACCCATGCAAATATACGCGCGTTCAGGGGCTGACTAAAACAGTAACAAAATCCAAAACCAACTTACTCTAATAGGCATACCGGTACAGTGCCAGCCCAATGGGAACAAAGCCCTCCTGCCCTGGAGGCGGTGGTATCCCGTTGCAAACTCAATCTTGGAAATGGTGAAGCCGTGTCCCAAGTGGAGACGTCCGTTCAGGTAAGGGTAGGCGGTGGTCGACAGGAACTTGGGATGGTCCTGGTGGATAGTCTCGATATCGGCGTGTTCTTCAATGGTGGGCGCATTGACCTCAAAGGCCTTGTTGTCCTCCCAGATCTTCTGGACCTTCTTCTCAATGTCCATCAAGGCATCGCGCTTGGCGGTCTACATTTTGTTGATCACAACGAGAGAAGGGCAGAATGAGTGAGTAAACAAAATAAACAGTGGTGTGTGTGTGTGTGTTTGTAGAGGGAGAGAGTGCCATGACAGGAGGTTGATTGTTTTGAGCGAGCTGACAGCCAAGGTACAAGAAAGCAGGAATGCATCGAGTCTCAAGAGAAAGAGCAAGGGAGACAGTGAGAGAGGAAGAGAGACAGAGAAAGAGAGAGAGAAAGAAAGGGAGTCTGTGTATGTATGCGTGTGTACCTTTGGCTCGGACATGGTTGTGTCTGAGTCGTGGGGGGAGAGTGAGTGATGAGTTGATGGGTGTGAGTGGAAAAAAGAAAAACAAAAGGACGAAAAGTAAATAGCCTTCATGGACCCTTTAAATCCACGCAGCGTATATTACTCATTTTTGAGCTCTTTATTTCCAAGCATTTTTAATGAACACAGAGCAACATTGTAGCATGCATGATAGGATAGATAGCACAGCCAGCACTCACACCGACGCAAATGACTGATTCTCATCCTCTTCATTTTGCTCTTTCTGCTCTCTAAAAAAAGTCGGCTATCCACTCCGTCGGCTTGCTCTGCAAACGAGGTCTCTGCGACACCGGCAGCTTGCCGTTCTGCATGATAGGATAGATAGCACAGCCAGCAACACTCATACCGATGCAAATGACTGATTCTTATCCTCTTCATTTTGCTCTTTCTGCTCTCTAGAAAAAGTTGGCTATCCACTCCGTCAGCTTGCTCTGCGAACGAGGTCCCTGCGACGCCGGTGCAGGCTTGCCGTTCTGCTTCGTACCCTTCTCCGAAAACTCTAGCAATGTCGTCGACCGCCGCCTGTTGTAGTTCGCACTCGATCCCTTAGACGACTTGAGCTCATCGAATCGAGACCGCACTTTTGCTCCCTGCCGCTGTTGTTGCTGTTGTTGCTGTTGTGCAACTGTGGCTCCAGTCCATTGGCCGGTACTGTTGCGTCGATGGTCCATTTGGCTACCAGGCTTCGCCACGCATATAAAAGGTTGGAGATGATCCGACTCAATGCCTAGCCCACCTCCCTGATGTCCATTGTCCAGCTCCTCCAAAAGCTCGTTCGTGAAGGCTCCTTTCTTGCGGCGAATAGTCGATGGCGTCAGGGGCTCAACTCGCCCAGTGCTGTGCTCGTCTTCCTTGTCAATCCTGAAAACTGGTGCTTGTAGAGTCGAAATCAAGAACGCGTACTCAAACGCTAGATCCTCAAGGTATGCGTATTGCCCAGACGAACCACCGTGACCAACCTCCTCAATCCTCAAGAGCAACATCCTGTCATCTCGCTCCTCTATACCATCCGGGCCATCACCGGGAGATTGAGAAGAAGAAGTGCTCTTGGGTGGCCAACAGGATCGCAGCTTCGCAACCCACTTGAGCGGCTCGAAGAATGCCACTCGAGGGTCGTTCATGCCCCCCAGAACAAGCATGTTTGGGTACTTTTGGGGACGGACGTTCGAGTATGGGCAGTACTGTTTCATGATCTGGTAGATTTTGGGGTTCTCGGGGTTTCCCCACTCTTCCCATTCGAACGCTGTCCAGGGGATCGAAGAATCCAGCATGGTGTTGACTGCATCCACGAACGGCACCTCTGTCAACGCAGTCTTGAAAAGATCTGGGCGCATGTTGACCACTGCCCCAATCATCAAACCGCCTGCCGAGCGACCATAAATAGCCAGCTTCTCTGCAGAAGTGTAACCTTCCTATAGTACCCATTTTTATACGACAACATGTTAATGTAATGCCAAAGCCATCGTTGAACTGCCAAAGCATTTAGAAGAGTAAAAAAAAAACAAAGCAAAAAAAAACGAGGCACATGGTCAATATAGCGCACACTATACCTTGATGAGATACTCGGCACAGCTAATGACATCCAAGAACGTGTTTGGTTTCTTGTCCAGCTTGCCTTCCTCATACCACCCCATGCCCATATCACTTCCACCTCTCACATGAGCGATTGCGTAAATGAACCCACGATCCAGCAAACTCAGGCGCTGCGTCGAGAAAACCGGATCGGTACAGCTTCCGTAGGCGCCATAGGTGTAGAGCAGACACGGGTTGGCATCGAGCCCCTTGCCGCCCTGCCCAATCAGGTCCTTGCGGAAGACAATCGACATGGGCACTGCAGTGCCATCTAATCCTGTCGAAAAAAGTCGCAGCTGTTCATAGTTGCTCGCGTCATAGATAGGTGTGCCGGCGATTTGCTCCGTGTGGACCGTGAGGGACTCGCATGTATCCATATTGTAGTCAATGACCTGTCGCGGTTGAACCAAGCTCGAGTAGGTGAAGCGGAGGACATTGGTGTCAAACAGAGTCATCTTGCTCAGATTGGAGGTCTCCTCGTTGATGGACTCGGGCAAGAGGGAGTACACCGTCTCGGAAAATGACACATAGTGATACTTGTCGAACGGGCCGGGCTCCAATCCGATTGAGCAGGGTGGTGCTTCGGGACGGTGCTCCGAATGATCGCCTTGAGGCGCAGCCAGCTCGATGACACGAACGTTTTGATGGCAGTTGGATCGCTCGAATACCACCAAATGTCTCCGTCGCACTTGGAAATCCTCGATGAGCACAAAGTCCCTGTGGGGAATGACCGTTTCCCTATTAGCGACCAGGTCGACGGGCGGAGAGTGTCTCTTGGGAGCTGGTGTACGGAAGAGCCAGTTGTTCTTGGAGTTCTCGTTCGTGAGGACGAAAAAGTACTCGCCGTCATGCGACTCAGCGGAATAGGTGACACCTTCCTTCCTGGGCATTATGACTCCTGGCCGTGCATCGTCCTCGGCGTCGGCATGTAAGAACAATGTTTCGCTGGTCACTTGAGCTGCCGCGTTCATCATAATGAACTTGCCGTCGCCTGACTTTGTCATGCTCAGACAGAACATCTCGTCCTTTTCCTCGTATAACAGCTGGTCCAGTTCCACAGCCGTGCCCAAGACATGTCGATACAGCCGGTAGGCTCGCTCTGTCTCCGGTACCAATTTCAGGTAGTATATGAAGCGACCACAGGATGAGAATTCCAGGTTCTCGTAGATGTTGGATAGCCTATCTGGCAGGAGATCGCCAGTTTCGAGATCCTTGAAGAACGTTGTGAACTGTTCGTTGCCAAGGCCGTCGACGCCGTAAGCGATTATGCGACAGTCAGGCGAGTGTCGTAAGAAACCAACCCTGAAGTAGGTCGAGTCCTTAAACTCGGGGCTTTGTGCAATCTCGTTCTCGTCCAGATAGACCTGCTCCTCCCCCATGCCGACAGCCATGCCCAGTCGTGTCCGGCAGTGCAATCGATACTCGAGACCGACTTGAGATTTGCTGTAGTAGCTCCATCCATCTGGCAGGGTCACCCTGGCAGATTCTTCGTCGGCATCCAAACGCGACACAAATTCGTTATAGAGGAGTTTCTGGAGTGGCTCTGTGTGTCGGAGAGCAGCGATCGCGTACTGGTTCTCGTCCTCAATGTACTTTAGCACTAATTGACGTAGGTAGATATTTGAATAGATCGACAATATTAGTTGCATGCAAGGATCAGGGCGTGAGAAAACCTGGACCGGCAGTATATAGCATAATGAGAGAAAGGTGTACGCGGGTATATGTCTATTTCTTTTACCATCTGGATTCTCGCGGTCCTTTAACCAGGCGTAGTTGTCGACTACCTCGTCACCGTGGATGTTGATCTTGACCTCTGGCTTCGCCTCGCAGATTGGCGGAGATGGTAATTCGATATTCCTGCCATGCAGCTTGTCGCGTGTCCTAGTTGGTAGTTGGTTTTCGGTTGGTGTGTGTCGGTAACAGCGCATGGTATACGCATGAGTGAACGAGGAGGATATTGTTAGTGTCATTCATGTTGTCCAGCCAACAAACAACACAAAACAAATAATAGCCCACTCACAGCAACAGTGTGCCATCTTTTCCTCCTTTTCCCCTAATCTGTCCCTTTCGTTCCCCTTGTCCCTTTCTATACCCTCTCTTCCTCCCTCTCACACACATACCCTTCTTCTCTTATACCCACCTTCCTCCCTTCTTTGATTTGTTTTTTTCAACTTGTATTGGAATCATCAACGTTCACCCACAAAACATACGCCGCAAGGTTGGTGCACATACTCAGCTTCATCGAGGATCAATCGCAGCTTTTCCCACACGCCTAGGTAGATCTCTGGGTAGTGGACAATAAGCTGACGGATGCTGTCGGTCATGTCTGGGAGGAGCGTCAGCAGATTGTCAGCCGACTGGGAGATGAAGAGGTCCATTTCGTCCAGAGGAGGTAGCTTGTTGTGAAAGCTCTTGGTGGGTGGCATTTCATATGTGCTCTCTCTTGGTGACCATGACGGGGATCCTTGTTTCGACAAAGAGGCCAAAGAGTATATTTATTGTCAGGCACCCTCTCTCACAGTATGCGACATAGTGGATACAAGTAATGCAGATAAAAGTAGGCGAGTTACCTTTGGTGCCGACGTTATCGTTAATGATTTGACTGATGAGGCTTCGCGGTCCACCTGGCGAAGAGAGGGAGGGTGTACGGGCAAGAGGACGGATGGAAGGGGATCCAGCGGTTGATACAAAGGGGTGGACTGGTGTTGAAGGCTCCGCTGGCTGAGTATTTGCGGGGCGCATCCTTGGCGAACCCAGGGCTGGCTTGTTCCCTGGGACAGAGGTAGCAGACGAGGTAGAGCTAAGTGCTGAGGGTGAGGAAAGGATGGGTCCGGAGGACATATCATCTCTCTTGGCCATGTTGGATGGGCGCAGAGAGTGTGACTGAAAGTGTCGCTTGGGAGTAGCTGAGTGGAAGAAGGGAAGAGGAGGCCGGTGAAGGAACGGGGTTGTGAGATAGTAACTAGCTGAGGTGGAAGGAGAACGACAAGAAGAAGAAGAAGGAAAAGAAGAAGGAAAAAGAGGAGGAAGAGCAGTAAGGTGAGAAAAAGAACGGGCAAGGAAGGACAGGAAGGACAAGGACGAACGCGAACGCGAACGCGACCAAGAACGAGCGCGAGGACACATACATACGGGCAAGAAGGGCCAAGCAACGGACAGACGAGGGGAGAGAGGAAGAAGAAGATTGGAGTCAGAGGAGGATGATTGTGGGAAATGAAAGAGTTGAGATAGAAGAGGACAAGGAGAAGAGTTGGATCAAAGGATGAGAAAAAAAAAAAAAAGTGAGACAAAACACGTACACGTGCTCACATCCATTGTCTGCATATTCTCTAATGAGGTGAAGGCATCGGTGTGGATTATGGTTTTTATTTTTCTTTAACATCGTTGTTGTCATCGTCGCTGCTGCTGCTGCTGTTGTTCTTCTTCTTTTTGTTGTTGTTGTTGTTGTTATTCATACAGGAAAAAATACGTCCTTCATTGCACGAGGCGCCAGATGCGAACAGAGCCATCGTCGCCTCCAGACGCAAGCCAGTCGCCATGCGTCTCGCTAGGGTACCACGCAACCGAATTAATGTCACTCGTACCATGGGCCTCCTTCACCTCCGCCACCGCCACTGTCTCAACAAGCACTCCTGGCTCATTCATCGCCCGCTGCTGCTCCGCCGTCAACCGCCCCACTGCCTCCGGTTTAGCCTCAATCGTCTCAAACAGCCGGATCGTGTTGTCTGCTCCTGCCGATGCAATTAGGCCGTGTGCCTTGGACCACGACACAGAGTAGATACAGCGGTCATGCTGCCCCACAACAGTTGCCACACACTTCCAGACCGGCTCGCCACGTCGAGGGGTCACAATCCCGAGAGGGTTTCCTGGTGGGAAGCGTTTCCAGATCTTGAGTGTCTGATCTGCCGATGCTGAGACGATCTCGTCTCCTGAAGGCGCAAAGTCAATCGCCCACACTGTCGATTCATGGCCTTGAAGGGTGTCGGAGCAATACCAATCGTCATCGTCGTCCTTCCAGATCTTGATCGTATCATCGTAACTAGCCGATGCGAGGAGCTATTTCAACACGCACATACACAATTGAAATAGGATTAGTCTCAAGCTGTACAGCGCATTCTGAGAGTATGAGAGTACAAAGGAGGGGGAAGAAATGATAGAGATCAAGAGGGAGAGATAAGGCGTTCCGGACGACAAGTATCATGTGTCTGCTGTGGCAGAATATATAAACATACTTCTTCTGTGGGATGCCAGGCGACCATCTTGACATCCTGGGTGTGCTCCTGCAGGACGCTTAGACACTCAAAATCGTTGTCCTCCTCGACTTCCCAGATCCAGACACTCTTGTCACGAGAGCAGGTTGCAAGCAAGGCCCCGCTCTTGGACCAGGCTATTGACTTTGTCTCGTTTTCATGTCCCTCCAGCGTCGCGACACATTCGTAATCTTTGCAAAGAAGAAAGAGGACGGAGAAAAAAAAAAAAGGTTTGAAATATATGAAATATGAGATCGTGGATTAGTCACTAAGGCACAAACAATCACAATCATGTTCAATTTTTTTTCCCGCGTTTGTGTTCGTTCATATGAACATTCTTATCCATTTTTTCCGCTTCTCCCGAACATGTCCGCAGTCGTTAAAAGGCTAACATACAACAACTTTCTCATATCAGAGAAAGAGAGAAAGGCGACAGATCAGAGAAGAGTAATGTATTTACCTCCGCTTTCATCCTCGTCCCGTTCCCAGATGCCGGTCGTGGCGTCAAAGGATCCTGTGGCGAGCTGCCGACCGTCCGGAGACCAGGCAACACTGCGGATGGTGCGTTTGTGTCCTCCCTCGAGCACATTGGTGCATTGCCACTTGGATGGGTCCTGTGCGTTTGTTGCCTGCCAGATCCTGACAGTCTTGTCTCCTGAGCATGTGGCAAGGATCGGTTTTGTTGGGTGCCAGGTTGCGCACCAGACACGGTCCTCGTGGCCTATGAATAAAATATGAGGTACCACAAAATGAGGGTAAGTATGGGGTCATTGCCTTTGTGTACGTTGCGTGTTTCTGCACTGTGTTGAGTAGTGTTGTGTTGAGTAGTGTTGTGTTGAGTAGTGTTGTGTTGTGTTGTGTTGTGTTGTGTTATGTTGTGTTATGTTGAGCGAGTCGGCCGAGGCAATAAAGAAGGGATGGGGGAGTGCCAGTGTTGATGAATGAGCAAAGTGAACTGACCGGTGAGTTCGGCGAGCTGTTCCAGGTGAGGCATTGTCTCAATTCGTGTGTCTGTATATGTGTCTATATGTGTGTATGTGTTTGAATAAGTGTATGTATGTGAACAAGGAAAAGAAGAAAAAGAAGCAGAGGAACAAGGAGTCGAAGCCCAATAGAGCGAGAGAGAGACCACTGCAGGGTTAATCAGATCGCAGCGCATGCGATCAGATCACAAACCGATACATCGACTCTTTTTTTTTTTTTTTTTTTTTTTTTTTCCTTCTATTATTTGCCTGTTAAAAGAGGTTTCTAGGCCTTTTCTTCTCTCTCTTTCTCTCCTCACTCTCGTCTTCCACCTCCTGCCTCTTCCTGCACTTCACAATGTAAGTTGATCTGATCCCTACTCATTCACTCACTCCCTCTACTCACTCTACCCACCCTTGCCATTTCACGAATGATGATAATCTAAATAACTATACAAGGATCAACCATCCAATGACCCGTATACATCTCTAAGAAGTTCTGACTACTGCTCTTAAACTCGATTCTCACCGATCGGCCAAAGAAAAAAAAAAAATCAAGATCTAATACTTTTTTTCTTTTTTACCCTTCTGTGCTCCAGGTCCCTTCACCAATTGCCCTCCAACATATCAACGAACAATAATAAAATAAAGTCAATTTACACGTAATCCTCATATGTCCTCAATGGTGTATTTGTATCATTTTTTTCGTGAACCTGGAATGGTTATCGCTCTGAATAGTCAACCATGCTACATCCAAAGACGAAAATACATTCGGGCGACATAAAGAAAAAGAGAAAAAATTGTCGTGTCAAACTGTCAATGCTAGATGCATGCGGGAGCAACTGCGACAAAGGAGGCGTGTCGTTGCAGCGTTTCAAAAAGAGAGAGCGAAAGTATTTTTACTACAGGAAGGAGAGACAGTAAAAGTTATGACTATCATGTTCTACAACAATCATCCCCCTTCTTCAATTCTTCCGATCCTTCAAAGTCCACACGCACAACGCACAACGCACAACCGCACTACACAACACCACATCCATCCACGAGTATCGGTCCATCATGGCATCCCTTTTCCTCGTCCCTTTTCTTAGCTCCTCCTTCCCTTTTCCTTGGTTTCTTTCTTCTTTCCTTACTTTTTCCTTTCTTTTTCCTTCATTACTTCCTTCCTTCCTCTTATCAACCCAAGCCTTTCCTTCACTATCTCCCACTCTCCCATCTCTTCTTTTAAACCTCAAGCAATAATATTCATTGACAATGGCCTCAGTTCCAACCCAGGCTGGGCCCCCAACTGAAGCCCCTCCTCCTCCTCCAGCCACTACTCAACCACCAGTAACAACCGACCCTCCTCCACCTCCCCCATCAACAGCAAATCCTCCAGCTACAACGCAGGAACCAGCACCACCCACAACCACTAATCCCCCTCCTCCTTCTACCACCTCGAACGAGCCCAACCCACCATCTTCTGAACCTACGTCAGATCCGGCCACAAGTGGAGGCGGACGATCACCGCCTAAAGCCACCAACAAGCCTACAAGGACTTCTGGCGGAGGAGGAGGCGGAGGAGGAGGAGATGGTAGCACAAACCCATCAGACGTTCATGGAGGTGGTAGTAATAACAACAGCAACGGTGGCAGCACCCCTACGGGCGTCAACGGCTCAAACTCGCCTGGGTCGTCCAAATCCGTGCTTGGACCTATCATCGGCGGAGTGGCTGCCGTCTTGGTGCTCGCTTTCTTGGTCGCCGTGTTTGTTATGCGCTATCGTAAAAAGAGCAAGGCACGGAAGCGTCGCTTAGATATTCTGTTGGACCAGAGTGGACAGGGACAAGACCAGTTTCCGGCTTTAGGACTTGGTGGTGGTGGTCATGGTGGAGGGGAGTTAGGAACGGCGGCGAATGCGAGTGGAAAGCCTCGGCCAGGGTCCATGGGTAGTAATTCTCCGGCCGCAAGACCTTCGACTCATCTAGAGATGGGCATGTTGAAAGGATCCAGCGCCCTTCCTGGAGGGGCCACGGTGGCCGATGATGGTGGATATGAGCCCTATGGATACGCACAACAACAGCAGCAGCAACAACAGCAGCACGCCCACCAGGGATATGGAGGGTACGAGGGCTATGATGGATACGATGGATATGGTGGCCATGTACCGTATGGAGGCCAGCAGGATCACTTTGACCAGCATGATCCCTACTACGACTCTCCTCAGGCGGGGCAATATTATTCCGGCCAGCAACAACGCCAGCCATTTCAACAGCAGACGTACGGAGTTGGCAGCTCACCTTTGGCAGGCCATGTTGTGGCATCGTCTTCACCTTCCATGGGGTATCCGCAGCCACTTTTGGGGGGAGCAGCAGCACCGGGATCTGCCTCTGCTGTAGTGGGATCGTCATCCCCTCGAACGCCACAGCCTCGATCGATGACGACTAGCGTCGGTGGTGGTACTGCTAGTGGGGATGGATATCAGAGTAACAACATGACGGCGGGCATTGAGGAGAAGGGAGACTATGCTGCCATGCAGTCGAGCGCGCGTAATCCCCAGGCCATTGCAGAGGACAGAAGCCGGAGCACTACATAGCAACCAACCAGCAGTTACTGTGATATGTAGTAAAATATAGATGTGTTTTATTATTGTCATATATGTCTGTGTCCCACTTGTGCGTTTGGCGAAGCTGCCAGGCATCGATCGCTATTTCCAAGCCCAGTTCAATTGCTCATTGCTCGTTCCTTCCTGCCACAATTGCGACCAAAGGCTTCTTCATCCTCACACCTTCACCTTCCCTTGAACCAATAAGTTCTGTACCCACAATCCCAACGGAACCACAGCTCCCCTCTCCTCGGTTCTTTCATCATCCCTGCTAGCCACAACACCTCAAATCCACCCACCGCCTGCCCACTACCGCCACACACAACTGCCATACTACCCCACGGAATGGAGGTCAACAAGGATGAGGCCCTGCGCTGCCTCGACATCGCTCGCCGCCATCTCCTCACAGGAAACTACCCTAGCGCCCGCAAGTTCGGCCAAAAGTCCATCTCCCTCTTCCCAACATCCGACGCCCGCGCCTTCATCTCTCTTGTCGACGCCAAAGAAACCGCCGCCAACAGCAGCAGTAATGCTTCTCCCTCGACCTCTTCTTCTCCAGGTCGCTCGTTTTCCACTTCTTCGTCCTTCTCTACTCCAAGGACAGGTGGCACAAGTACAGGTGCGGGAACAGGGACAGCAGCAGGAGCAGCACCGACTTTGAACAGATCAAAATCGACCCCGATCCCCGACCACAAGCCTGTCGAGAGGGACTATACCCCAGAACAGGTGGCTGCTGTGAAGGCCATTCGCTCTTCTGGAGGAGACTTTTACAAAGTCCTTGGAGTCAAGAAGGATGCTACTGACATCGAGATCAAGAAGGCATATCGCAAGGTAAACCCTCTCGCTCAAACAGCACAGACAGCATATAGGCAACGAATATCTCGTGCTTGTGTTCGCTGAGATGTCGCATGAAAAAAGTGACCAACCTCTTACAACATATAACTGTTGTACTTGTCTATTAGTTGGCCCTTCAAATGCATCCAGACAAGAACGGCGCCCCAGGAGCAGATGAGGCCTTCAAAGGTACGTCTGCATTTTTTTTTAATTTTTTTTTTTGTTTTAGTTCCTGCTTGAAAAGAACTTCAATATTCACACTGACACTTCCCTCTTCTTCTCCTTCCCCCTCTCCTTCCCCAATCTCGTCCTATTTGCTGTCCTGACACCCTTATAGTTGTATCAAAGGCATTCACGGTACTGAGCGACTCTCAGAAGCGAGCCATTTTTGACCAGCACGGACCAGAGGATGGCAAGAGCTCAGGAGTCAACTATGATCGCCCAAGACCAGCAACCCAGCAATACTATTCTCGTGGAGCAGGAGGAGGCTACGGCGAAGAAATCTCGCCAGAGGATCTTTTCAACATGTTTTTTGGTGGAGGAGGGTTTGGAGGATGTAAGTCAACATTCTCTCTCTGTTTTCCTTCATTGTATTGTCGAAAGGTGGTCGTGGTGTTATATTTGTGGGGGGGGGGAGGTGTGTGCGAACTGGATTTAGAGTCTTACTAACACTTGCCCTAAATGTTTTTTGTCTGCGATGACAGCATTCCAAACAGGAGGATATGCTGCAAGGACCCGAGCGCAGCAAACACAGCACCATCATGCACGACAGGAGCAATTCCGACGACAACATCAACAACAACGCCAACAACGTCAAAACAGCCAGGGCAACCAAGACTTTAACGTTGGCAGTCTAATCCAGCTTCTCCCCCTGATCCTCTTGATTGTTGTCTCCATTTCTTCGGGCCTCTTTGGTTCGAACGAACCATCATCGACTGGATCCAACTCTGTCTTGAGCGACTTTTCGTTGCGGCCGCGGGAACAGTACACGACGGCTCGACACACGACCCAAAGAAATGTACCCTACTATGTCAACGATATCCGGTTTATGAACACCTATTTCCCTGGACAGCAGTTTGAGTTCAAGTCCTCGTCCGCCAAACAGATGAATGTTAAGCCCGACCAGATCACACTCCAGGGCCGTAAGGTCGGTCGACTGTTTCAACGGATGGAAGAGCATGTCGAGAGCGCCTATCTGAGAGAGATGCAGGACCGGTGTCGGGCCGAGAGGAGAAAGAAGGAGATTGCAAGGAACAAGGCAATGGGATTCTGGGGGGCCGACCAAAAGCTGTGGCAGGAGGCCCAAAGGATGACGACCCCTAGCTGTGACATTGTCAAGGAAAAGTTCTCAAAGTTAGTTCTCTAACCAAAACATCTTTAAGTAAACTATCGATTTCACGCTCGTGTTTTCTTTGCTAGACCAGCGCGAGCTGAGATGTGAAGAGGGGCAATTGGAGATGGTGACTGAACCTCCTATAACAAAGAACTCTTTTTCTTTATTCAACAAAAAAAAATGGTTTTATTGTTCGTTGATGATGGACTCCGAAGACTGGGTGTGGTAGAAGAGGGAGGGAGCAAGGAGGGACGGAGGGACGGAGGGACGGAAGGAAAACCGATTCGCTTTGCCGCTCTTTACGTCTTTTGCATCCACAAGGCTCGCCCTATATTTCCCAAAAGGTTTGCGCATTCGCGCCTCAATATGCCCCTGTAAGGAGTCCCATTTGACTCTTTATTGCATGTTTCCATTTGGGCGAGTACTCGTACTCGCACTCCTCCTCGTCTTCCTCACTCTTGTGCCTGTTGTCTTTCTCTCTTTTGGAGCCTGATTATCCATTCAGCAGGAATCCGGCTGTTGAACAGATAATAACTTCTACTTAATAGTGACCAAATGACATGATAATGTAGAATGGTAAGAAATGAAGCAGTGTGTGGCGAATCAAGGTTTATTATGCATTAACGGCGGTATTGTACGCGCGTCCTAAATCTATGCGCAAATATGCAAATCTATCAACTGTCTCCTGTAGTCCATTTATGCCCACTAAAGTTGAAGTAAGGGTGGAAAATTGTAAAAAAAAGAAGAGTTAGTTTAGTCGCATAGAGCATGGAACAGTCTTCTCAAACTCTGTATCATGGTCGGGCGGTCGTAATTCTTACCAGGTCGCGAAGGTACCGCTTCTCTTGTGCCCATTTGTTCAGTTCCATGATGGCTGCCATCTTTTCGTATCCGCCATGATCGACCAAAATATTAACAAGCTCGTCGTGAACTGCTTTCGCCATCCCCTTGGCATCCCTAAAAAATGCACAGGAGGAGTAAAAGGAAGTGAGGTTAGTGAGAGTCAACTACCTTTTTTTATAACGACGCCCTGACATTGTTGGATAAAAAGCAAAAGAGAAGCTATGCATGGCATTTGAATTCGTAGCCGCATCACCCTTGATTACAACTTACCCGCAAACGTAGATCGCTGCCCCCTTTTTGTGAATTAGATTCCAAAGGTTTTTGCCCTGGCTCCGCATCAGGTCCTGCACGTATTTGGCACTGTTTGGAACGTTCTCTTCCCGACTCACCGCCAACAGTAGTTCCGTGAGTACGCCGTCCCGTTTGTATGATTCCATCTGCTCCCGGAACAGCCAATCCCTCTCACGATGTCGGCAACCAAAGAAAAGCCACATGTCTCCAAAGTGGTCGTCCAAATGCTGACGAGGTCCTGTTCCGATGTTGACAAGTCGTTTCTTGATAAGTCTCTGTTCCGCACGGTGCTCCAGAAATCCCATGAAAGGGGCGACCCCCGTACCGGGACCGATCATAATAACAGGCTTGGTCGTGTCGGACGGCAGATTGAATCTTGTTTCGTTAGGTTTCAAGAACACAGGTAGACGCTGCGTTGTCAATCCTGTCGTCACAGCTTTTCCGAAAGGAACTTGCCCTGCCAGTTCATCCAACCAAGGTGTGCAAACCCCGCGGCGATGAATACCTCCAGACAAATCGTAGGTGACAACGTTGAAAGCGCAAGACCATCGACGGTGTCCACTCTTGCTCATTGGAGAGCTGGTGATGGAGTAATATCTCGGCTGCATGGGTGGAAGAGTCTCGATGATACGCGCAAGAGGAACATTGACGGACGGGAAGGTATGCAAGATATCCAGGAATGTAGGCGACTGTGCACGGAAGGCGTTGAATTGATCGGCTCCTTGCTTGGAGGCCATAAACATGAGCTTTTGTTTGTCAGCCAAGTCGTTGGCATGTTCGGCATACAGTCTAATGTTGGCCTTCTTAGGAGGCGAAGTCAAGTCAACCGCATAACGGAAGATATCCAGCAATGTGGCGGATTCCACTGTTTGGAGATGCGATGGGATGCCTATACCCAAGTGTCGGCAGTAAAAATAACAATAAAAAAAGGGTTTTTAGCATTATCGAAAATAAATAGTACGGAAGAAGTCTCTCATTTGATTGACGTTTTAGTACCTTGTCCATGCAGCCTGACCGCCTTCGTAGCAGCAGCATCGCTCACATTTAGTGCGGACAAAACTCCTCGGACCAAGGCTTCGTTGTTGGGGGCCCAGATTCCAAAAGAGTCGCCGGGCGCATAGTCCACGTCGTCCTCGAATCCAAACTCAACGGCGAGAGTTCTCTTCAGCGCATCAGAAGGCGTTAAGCATTGGACTTTGTTGATCGTCGCCATCAGCAGTGGCGTCGGTGTCTGAATAAAAGTCGGAACTGAGCCTGGCACCCGAGATGCAACGGCGGTCTCCAAGTCTGCAATCTGGAGGTTGGCGTTCGGAACACGGGGCAAAGCTGTGAGGTTGGAATGATCCGCCATGGCTGATAAATCGATATCGATCTTGTACCCAACGGCGGGTGTAATGGGTAGATTAGCAGGCAGATTGAGAGTGAGATTGCTGAGGTCCTTGATAGTGTTCTCAATTGGGTCCTGCCCAGTAGTTGTCGAGATAACTGTGGAGAGTAATCTAGGCGAGTCGAGTGTGGCGGCGGTAATGCTCTGTCTGCGTTCCTGCTCCTGTTTCTGGATTAAACCCTTGACGACTTTTTCTTCCTCTTGCGTGAAATGAGGTTGGGGCAAATCATGGATTGCGGGAGTTGAAATAACTTGATGGGCAAGAGCAGGCCACAGGTTCTTGATCCATGGATCCACTGTTTCTTCAAGGCTATCATCAAAAAAAACAGAAACAAACAATATAAGTTGGAGTGCAAGAGTATGTACGGAGTATCTCCTGGAAGGTCAGTCGATACGCTACACTCTGACAAGATCGCACATAGTTGCAATGCACAGAATAAAAAAGACAAAGCTCATGAAAACGTACCCTGTGGCATCGTCCGCCAATCCTCGGGGATAGAACGATGATGCACCTAGCTCCTGAAGACGGGTGTCGAGACGTTTCGCTGTCTGGCAAAAGTTATCGTAGTTTGTGTCTCCAAGGCCTAATGGCAGTGATAAAGGAGTGCAATGGATAAGTTAATAATACTTTTCATTCAGGTGCATTACGAAAAAAAACGAAAAGAAAAAAAAAAAAGACAAACCGAGCGAGTAGACCTGTAGGCAAGGGACGAGATAAGAAGGAGAAAGGAGAGGAAGTTACCGAGGATGGTGTATTTGGCTTTGGTGAGACCGACTCCTTTGAGTTTGCGGAGGTGGCGCCAGAACTTTGTTGAGTTATCTGGGGGGTCTCCGTCACCGGTAGTTGAAACGACAAAGACTAGGCAATCCTCCTTGTCCCAGTCGACCTTGGCGTGGTCGTTGAGGGGGTGGTGGAAGGCCTTGAAGCCCCGTTCCTGGGCCTGCTCGTAGATGTTGCGAGAGATGGATTCCGCATTGCCGGTCTGGGAGGCAAAGAAGACGGTGAGATGATCAGCCTGCGGGACTGCGTTCTCGTTGCCAGTCATTGGGGGAGGAGGAATGGAAGGTGTGGAAGGAAAAGAAGAGGAATGAAGGAGGAAGAGGAGGAGGAGGAGGAGGAAGGGGAAGGGGAAGAGGAAGAGGAAGAAGGGGAAGAAGAGAAGAGGAGGAGGAGGAAGAAGGAGAAGAAGAGAAGAGGAAGAAGAAACAAACAGCCCCGCCGTTACCCGCCTTCGCAAAAGAAAAGAAAAAAGGTTGACTCAACAACGATATGATCCTGATCCGCAGATCACGTGAACTAGTCCGTTATCATAGCCCTTGCACTATTGCACTATTGCACGATTGCAGCCTGGTACAGTCTCTCATTTATGATCACCCTCTCCATCATCCACACCCACACATCCCTTCTCTCTTCTTCCTCATTTTCTTCTTTCTCTCTCTTCTTCTTCTCTCCTCTTTCTCTTCTTCTTCTCCTCCTTCTGCCATCAGCATCACTCCAACAGGAAGGCCAAGGCCAACTGCAACTGCAAACTGCACCAACCAACACGCAATGCTGCCCACCGACACAAGGACCTCATCCTCGTCCGACCGACGCCCATCCGCAGGTTCCACCCACTCTGCCCCGCCCTTCCCCCATTCGGCCCTCCTCTCCCCAGACGAACATTCCCCCCGCCCGAGAGGAAAACACAGCAGTAACATTAACAGCAACATCAACAGCAACAACAGCGGTAGTGTTAAGGACAGGGATACTTCTGGCGACTCCCACAGCTTTCGCTCCTTCTTCCGCTCCCCCTCCCGTCCCCCTTCACCCACTCCTCTTCCCGACCTCACCGATCCTCGTACCCTCCGGTCCATACCCCCTCCAAACAACACCTCCACCACCTTCTGCAACAATACCTCTACCTCAAACATGGCCAACCCCTTCGGCAACACTTCTTCGGCCTACATCCAAACCACCACCGCATCTAATCATAGCAATGGCTATCACCAGCGACCCGCTCCACACCCCTTCAGCCCAAGCTCCAGCCGCAGACTCTCTGCCGATACCTCCTCCCGCTCGCCCTCCCCTGATCTCTATCAGCAACAACCTCCTCTTCCTGGAGGCAAGCATCTCTTCCCAGCCACACCGCCTGCCCCGCGTGGCCCGCATCAACCGTACCAGCGGGCAGACTCCGTCCGGAGCGCCTCTGAGACCCCCCACCGGAGAACCAAATCGACTGACTTTGGAGACATGTACTCAAAACGCCCTGGACTCCCCCAGGATCTCGTCGCCGATATTCACACGACCGTTGCAAGTCCTGCTAAGGAGGCCAAAAAAACCCTCTTCAGTCTCTTCAAAAAGAAAGCCCACCATCCTTCGTCGTCTCCTACTCCGCCGCCCCCCTCTTCATCCTCCTCTAACTATCCGCCTTCCGAAGGTACCGTGTTTTCCTTGTCCAAATGTCTGCTAAACGATGTCATTAATAGTTGTCGAGTTCAATGGTGTTTTTTGTGAGCCATGTTGTGAACTGCATATTAAATTTTAATAAGGAAATTACACAGGAACGTACCGCAAACACTCCGCCGACGACCCGCTGTTCCCACTCTTGCCGCCCTCCTCCTCATCGCTCCATAGTGTGGCCACAATCGACCACGAGAGCGCCTCCCAACACTATTCTCTGAGCAGCCGACACGGGAGCGAAAGCGGAGAATCTCAAAAGTACCCACCGCCGTTTTCTATGGGGAAAAAGAGTTCTAAAAAAAATATGAATGCCGCGTCTGATCCTATTTTTCCAGGATATGTGGGTACGTGAACCTGTCGACACACACACACACACAGAAAAAAATACCCCAGCTCTCCTCTTCTGAGCATGTAAAGAAGGTCCTCATTCTTATCTCGCCTTCCTCTAACCATTAAATCATCTCAACCCTGGACAATAGTCGATCTGGCCGACTTAACCGGAGTGGCAGGAATCAAGAACGACCCCAGGAGAGCCAATTGGCTTCCGTTTTTAAAGTCAACAGGACAGGGAGCAGAAGCTTGGCTTGCGCCCGAGAGCTGGGACATCCAGCCCTCATCCTTGCCTCCAATAGGTCCACTCCAGAAGTCACTTGCACTCACGCCAGAGGAAGTCACCTCCGATGAAACGGAGCAAAGCGATTACGAGAGCTGGAGCTACGGGAAGAAGAAGCTGTCGACTGTACGAATTTTTCGCCAGGATTCAACGTACACCGTCGTGAACTGTGTCTTCCACATTACAACAAGCGAGCTGATTGCTATGTTGGGCAGGAAGATCTTCAAACCCGACACGTCCAAGTACCATCTCTTTATCCAACGGAACAACATTGGTAATATTTTAGGTCTCATGTGTTGCAGTATTGCCAAATCTAGTATTGGATGACACTTCACTGCACTGCAAGGCCATTGTCACTGACTGCTGTGATGCTTTCCATTCACTCTACCTTCAACTTAGTGCGACCATTGGCACCCAATGAAAAGCCACTTAATATGTTACGCCGGTGTCTTGCGCAGTTTGGGTACACGGATCAGGACAAGCTCGACGAGCTTTCAGGAAGAGACAACAGTTTTCTCTGTCGCTTTACATTTGCGGAGAATGGGGTCCCACTCTTAACGGTATGATCCGGCGCTCTGTCATAAACAACAAAGGAATGCGGCTCGCTGTATCCCCTTTTTGATATGAAAATGTTTGCCTACGTATATAGGAATTGACACGTATTTATCGCCGAACATTGATCTTTATAGGAAGCCGATTTCCCTCCGCACAGCACTTACATGGATGTCAACCTTCAGAAACGATGCTTGCCGACGATTCCAATCTTCCTGCACTCGAGGGCCAAGGACATAGTGCGACTAAATATCTCTCACAACCAGCGCATGGATTTGCCCCTCGACTTTGTGCAAAACTGCACTGCTCTGCGTGAACTTCGGATGGCCTACAACGATCTGGACAGAGTGCCTGCTAACGTACGGTCGATTGTCCATCTACAGGTGCTGGATATCAGAGGAAACAGGATACGGGATCTCGAAAAGGCTCATCTGACGGACGCGCGGAAGCTCGACACGCTGATTTTGCAGTGCAACCGGCTGGAATCTCTTCCAGAGTCCTATGGCGACTTTGAGATCCTCCGTGTCGTCAACCTTTCCAGCAACAACTTTTCAAAGTTTCCTAGTGTACTTTGTAGGATCACGTCGTTGGAGGAACTCGACCTCAGCTTCAACGATATCCCCGAGATTCCCGACGACATCAGCAGGCTCGTTAAACTGCGGAGACTTTTGCTCTATGGCAATCGGATTGGACCATTCCTTCCAAAATCGATGGAGTCTTTGTCGAAGCTACGAAAGCTGGATATTCGACAAAACGGAATATTGAATCTGGATGCGCTTAACGACATGAAGTCATTGGAGGAACTCTTAGTCGACTACAACACAAACGTCGTCGCAAACAACTCCTTCGAGGCCCTGGTCCGAGCGTCTATTGTCAAGTGCAACATGACCGATCTTCATCTCCGCGGCACTGGCGACACTCTCACTTTCCTGGACGTCTCATCCAACAAACTTTCCAACTTGACGCCGACACTCTTTGACCATCTTCGAAGCCTGGAAACACTGAAGCTCGACAACAACAGCATCAACTCTATACCCTCGAACATTGGCTCTCTCAGGCTCTTGCGGACCCTCTCTTTGGCCAACAACAACATTTCTTCTTTGCCAGACGAGATTGCCCAGTTGGAGTCTTTGATCGAATTAGACGTACACGGCAATAGTCTTGGCGAGTTACCCTCCTCGATTTGGTTGTGCTCTCTCTACTCCTTGAACGCGTCGTCCAACTTACTGGGCTCTTTCCCAGACCCTCCAGTTGAGACTCCGGCCCGATTTGTCAGCGCATCAGCCTTGTCAGCATCCTCCTCAGCGGCCACTCTATGTGAGGCGGATCTTCAGGGGTCAATGACGGTGAAACCTAACGGGCCCTCTACTCACCTTGCCAACTCGTTACCACCGGCCCATTTGAAGCCATTGCCGGTCCCGCCGAGTCTATCACAAGGAACTCCATCTCATCATCGATCAACATCTGTATCACCACTTGCTTCGACATTGCAGAATTTGCGCTTGGGCGACAATCGGCTCCCGGACGATGTTTTCTACCCGCTCTCACAGTTTCTGTCATTGAAGATCCTGAACCTCAGTCACAACTTTATTGCAGACATCCCTCGAGGAAAGATCCCAAATCCAGGCAACCTTCAGGAGCTCTACCTGAGTGGAAACCAGCTCACTACACTTCCAGCAGACGACATTGAGTCGTTGAAGAACCTCCGCGTGCTTCATGTCAGTGGAAACAAGCTGACAACATTACCTGCAGAACTTGGCAAGATCAACCACCTTCTTGTTCTGGATGTCGGCTGCAACCAACTGAAGTACAACATTGCCAATTGGCCCTATGATTGGAACTGGTAGGGATATTTGTGAATGCATTGTTGCGAGCATATTGATCCTCGATCCAATGCTTATTAACTACTCAACTCATTTTCGCTTGACATTCATTGCAGGAACTGGAACCTGGAACTCAGGTATCTCAACATGTCTGGCAACAAACGGCTTCAAATCAAAGGACAGGCACAGGAGATCATACCAACGAGTACTCGTCCAGGAAACCTCTCCGAGTTTGGCAATCTTACCAGCCTTCGAATCCTCGGCTTGATGGATGTCACGATCACAGACAACGTGCCCGACGATACCGTAGAGAGACGTGTTCGCACGTCGACATCAACGCTCCACAACATGTCCTACGGTATGGCAGACACTCTCGGTGACGGCGACAACCTTTGTATCTGGGATCTCGTCCATCCAAAGTTTCAGACCAAGGAAGACGAGGTCCTGTTTGGGCTGTTTGATGGAAGGTCGGGCAGATCCAAGTCCAGTTGCCAAATGACTAGTTATCTCAAGGATCGGTTTGGTGCATGCTTCAAGATCGAGCTGGAGGAACTGGAGAACTCGGACACGGTGGTGAGTGCCCTGCGTCGCACGTTTTTAGGGCTCGATCGGGAACTCTACCCATTGAGCCAGGATGAAGAGGGCAGAGGAGGGGCCTCAGCTTTGATTGCCTACATCAAGGGCTTCACGCTTTATTCGGCCAACGTTGGCGACGCTATTGCCGTTCTCGTCAAGAAGTCTGATTCGTTCCAGGTGATTTCCCAGAAGCACATTCCATGGAATCCGACCGAGGCCGCCAGGATCAAGCGCTCGGGAGGTTTTGTGAGTGAGAAAGGTCTTCTCAATGACGAACTTGATATCTCCCGGTCGTTTGGGCAATACCACCTGGTGCCTATCGTCAACTCGAACCCTTACATCGAGACGACAACCCTGACAGAAGACGATGATTTTTTGATCATGGCCTCCAAGTCGTTCTGGGATGTGATGTCCTACGCAACTGCAGTCGATATCGCCAAGGCTGGGATGAGAGTGTTTGGCGACCCAATGATTGCCTCCCAAAAGTTACGCGACATTGCCATATCTTACGGAGCTCAGGAGCACATGGTTGTCATGTTGATCGGTGTTGGGGATCTCTTCAAGAAGAAGGAGCTGATTCAAGAAGGCTCGGAGTATCCTCAACACAAGAAGAGGCCAAAGGCGACGGAAGGCCCTGTCGATGCTGTAAGTTGTTCACCCTGTTATCAATTGCCCAGTGACATCTGATCATCTAATCGAATCAAGTGTATATTTACCGCCTTTTTTTTTCTGTTTGTTATCGTCATTGCAGCTAAAATACCTCAAACCCGAGATCGAGCCGCCGCAAGGAGACGTCGCCATGGTGTTCACGAGCGTCAAGAATTCGACTCAACTTTGGGAGGATAACCCGGTTTCGATGGCGGTGGCGACCAAGGAGCACTTCAATATCATGCGACGACAACTTCGTTCGATTGGAGGCTATGAAGTCAAGATTGAAGGCGAAACTATGATGGCGTCGTTTTCTAGTGTGCCGGCTGCGGTCCTTTGGTGCATCAAGGTTCAGGAGTTGTTGGTTCAAGCAGACTGGCCTCAAGATATCCTTGACTCTGTCGACTGCAAGTCCATTCATAGTGCCGCCGACCCCAGCCAGCTTATTTACCGCGGTCTGTCTGTCCGAATGGGAATCCACTGGGGTCAACCAGTGAGCCACCGAGATGAGGTGACAAGACGAATGGATTACTTTGGCCAGATGGTCAACCGCTCCGCTCGTATTTGTGCCTCTGCAGACGGAGGAGAGATCTGTGTGAGCAGCGATGTGGTCAATGTGATCCAGCACCTGCTCGTGGACCCATATCTGGACAGCTCCGACTCACCTTACGCAGAGCACATCCGGGAGATGAAAAAGATGGGTTTTGGCGTGATCGACATTGGAGAAAAGAAGCTGAAGGGACTAGAGACCCCTGAGAGCTTGCATCTTGTTTATACTCGCATGTTGGCAGGGCGATTTGCGGTGGACTCCCTTGCAGTTGCGGCCGTACCTAATTCAGCAGTGGTAAGTGTCTACAAAGGAAACTGCGCATGACTCTTTGAACATGTTGGATCTCAACTGTGCTTCGCCCGATCGCTGACAATATTAACTCTGTTCCTTTCTCGTCTGTGAACGCCTGTGCATCATTTTTCCAAACCAATGAAAAAAAAAAAAAAAAAAAGCAACAGGAACTTGTCGAGACCACAATGGTGCTAGATGTCGCGTCCATCCGGCTACTTCAATCAATCTGTCTACGCCTCGAACGATTGGTATCAGGAGCAGGTCGGGCAACGGAGCAGATGTTGGCATTATTGTCCGTACCCATCCGTGACAATGCAGATCAGGATGATCTTGTTCGTATTGCCGATAACTGCATCTCTCGCATTGAGGTACGTTTTTTTTTTTTTTTTTGCTACATGTCTCTTGTCTCTAACTTGTATAACTCCTTGCAGTATTGACTTTTAAAAATAAGACTCCACACGTTTTGAAATCTCAAATTAACATGCGTCCTTTATGCTTGATTCTCAATTTTCTTGCTTTTTTAGAATTGCTTCTCGCAACTCTACATGGCCAAGTCTGGTCAGTTCGTTCAGGTTTACGAATCGCTAAGCAAGGCGTTGAGCAACGATCCCAACTACATCCTCCAGGCTCTGCAGATGTACGTCAACATTGTTGGTGGTCTTGATACCCCGGCACTCCTGTAAAAAGTGAGACAGGCGTGCTCCCACCGGAAACTCCTATCTAGTAATAAAATACGACTCTAATTTATTCATATTTATGTTCGATGTGTGTGTGTGGGGTGTGTGTGTGTGTGTATGTGTGTGTGTGTGATATTGCGGCGTGATATACAAATATCCTAGTACTTCAAAGAAGCGTTTGCTCTGTTGGCCAAAGCCATCTTGTGCAATTGGTTCTTCTTGACCAAGGCACCACTGTTTCCATTAACGACAGCCAAGAATTCAGTCGCCAAGCGGTCCTTGAACAGCTTTTCGCCCTTGCGCTTGTCCGAAGCCTCCAAGATCCAGACAATGGCCTTACGACGCCTCTGTCGTTCCGTCATAGGAGTAGGCACCTGAAGGACCTTGGAACCCTTCTTGATCGCCGTCAACTTCAAAATGGGACTGGTCAACTCGAGGGCATCCAGAATAACGAGATAAGGGTCCGACTGAGTCCTTGACCGGATCTCCAAAAGTGCATCGGCAACGAACCGTTGAGCACGCGCCTTCTTGCCGTCCTTCATGATGGTGTTGACCAGCTGCGACAAGATCGGGTTCTGGGTCAAGGACCGAGTCTCTTCAGGCGAGCCTGGTGTAAACTCGGCAAAGGTCGAGGAAGAAGCGGCGCTTTCCGCGTCATCCTGGTTCTTCTCCTCCTCCTCCTCCACTTTTCCTGAAACTGCCCCTGTTACTGGTCCTGCGTCCGTTCCTGGTGCTGCGGTGGTTTTGGCTGTAGTAGAGGGCAAGGGTGTAGAGATATCGGGCTTGGGAATAGATGCGGCGCCCATCGGAGGAGGCAAGGGGGTCGAGGGGCTAGTTGCTGTGCTTGTCGAGGCCGAGACGGAATTTGGACGGGAGCCCATGTGGAACGAAGCAATGGATATCCTGGCGAGGGCGGGCTGCTGGAGATGGATCCTTGAGGCGGACATTCCGCCCAGGCGGGTGAGGGAACGGAGCATGGCGGATGTGACGAAGTGATGCCGTTCGGTTCGAAGTTGTTGGGCGATGGGTCGGTTCGGAGAAGGAGGACAGAATGTGGAGGCAAAGAGAGTGTGTGTGTGTGTGTGTGTGTGTGGTGTGTCTCTGACTGTGAAGTGAGTTCCCTGGGTTGCCTGGATACCGTAGTTCAGGTAGTAGGTTCGTGGGCTAAGCCACATTGTTGATAATTTTCAAGTGGTCGATCCCCAGTCACACCTAACTATTAGGACCCTTAATGGGTTTTTTTATTCAAATCTCCATATCGTCCACATCCTGCTCGTTATCATAGAACTCATTGTCGTGCTCTCGACCCCGCTGCTTCTCCTTGGTCTCCTTCCCTTTGGCCGAATCCACCATCCGCTCAGCTTCCTCCTCGTCATTCGTTTCGAGAAACCCTTGCATATCAGGCGGTATCTCCTGCATCTGGACACTCGGTGCCCCATTCAAGAACCGAAGGTGCTCCAGCACCCGTATCCGGAGGTTCCTGATGTACTGCTTCGTGTTCATATTCTCCACCTTGCCTGAAAGATGGGGGTGCAACTTGTAGTCCGGTTGGAAAAAATCAATGTACTCATTGTACGGCAGGTCGTTCGACACCTCATGGTCCACGAGGATTGATGTCTCATATGTCCAACAGCGCGCCACGTTACGAATCGTATACCCTCCTCCGCCTAGCACCAACAGCGGCAGCTTGAACTCCTTAATGAACCGCACGCATTCGCCATGCGCCTTGATAGAGAGGTTGAAACAACCGAGACGATCGCATCCAAGAGAGTCAGCACCGCATTGGAGAACGATGGCTGATGGTCGAAACGAGTTGATAACGGCCTCCATGACAGACTTGAACAAGTAGATATAAGACTCGTCGTCAATCCCGTCTTTGAGCGGCACATTGAGCGAATAATGCTTCCCGATCCCGGACCCAACCTCGTCAATGTCGCCTGTTCCTGGGAAAAAATCGCCATTGTACTTGTGGAAGGAGACCGTCATGACTCTGTCCGTGGTATAAAATGCTTCCTGAACGCCATCCCCGTGGTGGATATCAATGTCGACATAGAGGACTCTCGGGTGATGGCTAAGCGCGAGCAATGTGGGCAATAATAGATCCTAATCAGTATCCAGTATATCATATGAACTTCATGGTTTGAAGGGAAAACGCAATGTCTCCTAACATTTGAATACAGCGGAGGTATCTCGGGCATACGTTAGGAGCTCGAAAATACCAAGGACAATGTCGTTGACATAGCAGAATCCTGACGCCTCTACCCGTTTGGCGTGGTGAAGCCCTCCTGACCAATTAATGCTAATATCAGCAGATCCATTTGTCAACTTGCGGGCTGCATCGATTGTAGCGCCTGAATATATCTTGCAGAAATCAAACATTCCGTCAAAGACAGGACAGTCGTCCCCGACATTAAATCGACTAAAGACTTTGCTAAAGGTGTTCATGTTCTCGGGCGTGACTCTAAATAATGGACAAGAATGCCGTTAATAAACACAGGGTCTGAGAGAAAAGCCTAACAATATGTTGGAGGTTTCGATTACCGTTGCTGCTTACTTTTTCAGAAAGTCGATATAGTCGGGAGCGTGGAAACTCATTATTTCTTCGTCCGTTGCCCGACGAGGCTGGAAGATCTCCATTTTTTTGTGGAGATCGTACGATATTACCAAGTGGTTGGTCAAAGTGAGGCGGTGAGGCTTCATTGGATGACGCTCCTGTTGAGTTGAATAGCATAAGGGCGATAATGTTAGCATTAGTGTTAAGAATAACAATAATAACAACAATAACAAAATGAACGTCCAAAAGTAAACGTGCAGCAGAACACTTTGCGCACGTCAAACGTACTCCGTAATGGTAGTTGCCGACCTGCTCATCATGAAAGTAGGCGACAATGTCGTTCGAGTGGTTTCCGACACGTTTGGTGGCAATTGAGTTCTTGGTGGTAGCAAGAGAGTTGGAGCGGGTCGAGAAGGTGGCGGTCGCGGAGTCTGGCTGATGGCGTAGAGTGGATCGTCTGGACATGAGGAAAGAAGAAGGCAGATATTATGATTGAGTGTGTGCGAGCATGCTCAGTTGGATGGGCCAGGAGGGGTTATGGGATGGGCTGGCAGTTGTACGTTCCAGGAGGAGGGGGGCGAGAGAGTAAGAGAATAAGAGAGTGAGAGAGTAAGAGAGAAGTAGTGGAGAGAGTAGGAGAGTAGGAGAGTAGTGGAGAGAGGGAGAGCGAGGAGAACAAGTGAGTATGAAATGGAAGCGAAACAGAAGGGATTGAACTAAATACCCTTAAGTGACGTTTCCAAGTTCACATCGTTGCTAAGCCCGGATTTACTGACACATGGTACAAAGTACAGAGAAACAGCCTCTCTCTCTTCCTCTTTCTATCTCGCCCCGAACTACCTACATGTTCATCTCACTCAACAAAACAATCACGAGCACCAACTCCCAGCAAGGAGGATGATGCCGGTCGCACCTCTCTATCTTTCGCGAAAGTGCAAACGAACGAGAAAGGTAGGTGACTTCTACAATTGGCTATGATCCATCTCTATTGTCCTACACGCGATACTGCGACAAGAAACGAAAAACCGCGCAAAAGAAAGGAGGGAGGGGATCCATGCGCAAAACAGGGCATTCCCCACCCCCCATTTAAAGGGGACGATTGCTGGTTTTTTTTTGTTCTTTCTTCCTCACATTCGCCCACCACCACCACCCTGTATACACACACTCTCTCTTTTTTCCCGCCTTCTTACTCAGTCTTTACACAAAGTCATTTCAGTACCTTTGATATCCACCATGACACGAGCAACCGCAACCTGGAACGGAAAAGGTAGAGAAAGACGTTCTCAGAGGCGAAAGAACCCATCCCTGCATCCGAAAAGAATAATAACAAACCGTTCATATGGCACCCTCTTCCTTGAAATAGTTATCGCCGACACGGAGTCATTTGAAAAGGTTGAAGGAAACATTTATGTAAGTTGGCCTCCAAAAAGTTGATACCCGATGTGAAAGCCAAACCTCAGTCTTCTCGAAGGGCAAGTCTAACCCAACCCTTTACCCTCCCACCGGCGTTTGCCGCAACGAAAAATACAGTTCCCGGCTGATTCGATCCGCAGAGAGTTCTTCAAGGAGTCTTCCCACGAGACCATCTGTGGCTGGAAGGGAACCGCGAACTACTACAACATCGAGGTCGATGGCAAAGTCAACAAGGATGCAGCATGGTAAGCAAAACTCTGTTTATTTCGAGTGAACATGAAAGAAACGCATTGGGATCGATCGCATGTTTACCAAAATTTCATCTATCTCGACTCAACAATAATTCTTAGGTACTATGCCCAGCCCAAGGATGCGGCCAAGAACATTACAGGCATGGTTGCCTTTTGGAAAGGTGTTGAGGTCAGTTCGTAAGCACACACCTGCACAAGCACACGACACTTTACCCTCTTTAGTTCTCTTCTCTCCCACACTTGTCGCCGCATAACGCATCATCAGAGCGCAGTCTAGCTGACTGCGCGTTCGTTCATCTGCGTATCATCTACAATAAACAACACATTCTATTTATTTACTTCAACTTGCTGGCTCCAAAGTCCAAACTGCGCTTTTATCCCATAACATCAAACTGGATCTCGACTGTCTGATCCATTCCCAGATATCCGTCCGACAAGAGATGGATCTTCCACACATGACGCCCCTCCCGCTTGGGTGCCACAAAGTCCAGACGTGACCTGACGCTGTTAATGAATCCGCCCTGGGGTCCAGTCCGCATATTCACACGCTTCAGCACCACCAGCTCCTTCGCCTCCGGGTCCTCAAGCACAACCCACCACGACTCCCACTGCGGCTTAGGGAACTTTGGACAATGGACCCGTCCATCGTACGTCACCTGGGGTCGCTTCACTCGAGTCAGCTCCAGGTTGATCTTGTATGGCAGGCCGCCCACCAAGAAGGTCTTGATCCCAGTGTCAATGCTCGACTGAACATTCAGCAATGGGAGTTTCTGCACCACCTTCCAGATGTCCTGAAGATGAGCAGGAGTCAAAGACGAAACCTTGCCAAAATAAGCCTTAATCTCCTGTTCCGACATTGACGTCAAATCAAAGAGTCTCTCCACTTTCTTTCCTGATTTCCTGTTGTTGTTACGCTGACCACTACGAGGGGCCGCGGCGAGGACCGGGAGCATGTGCCTCTCGATGCGAGGAAGCGTCAACAACGACTCGTCTCTCCAACGAGCCTGCTTGACTGACTGAAGAATGTTCATCGTCGACAGACATGGCTCCAACATTCCCTTTTCGGCAGTAATATCGATCATCGCCTATCGTAATCAAACACAAAGACAAGACGAGCGTTAGGTTGCGGTGAATAAAAAAAAGGGCAATCCCATATACACCTCCACCCTGAGGCACCTTCTGGATATTGAATCGACATATCGATGCCTTACTTGTAGAACACGGACGGCTTGGTCAAGAACAGAGACTGTATCAGTCAGGTAGTCGGCGACAGGCAACTTCATCCGCTCAAAGTAGGCTTGAAGTAATAGGAACGACTTGGCATGGGAGCTGTCATACGACATGGACGACTCGATCAGAAGCGGTAACTCTTGCTCCAGTTCCTTGTTAACAAGATCCTCGTTGTGGCGGACGGGCAATTCAGAGTACTCGGTGGCGCCACAGAGAATCATCAAAAGATCTTCATAGCTCGAATCTGACTTGAGGTGGTCCTCCATGTGACGGATGGTGGGATGCATAAGGTAATAGAACGAACAAATCTTGCCCAGCGACGTCGATTCGATCTCAAAGTCGTCCACGACCTCGACACAGCATGATCGCTCCAGATTCGCGATAGATTTCTCGATCAGGTCCGAAAGGAAGGTGTTCACGCCGAGTGGAGTCAGGTCCTCGACGCCGTAGTAGCTTGGGTTCATCTGCAGGCGACGGTAAAAATAGGTCCATGTGAGATAGTCCATGGCATCTTGCTTGGACTTGATTGTGCCCCCGACAATCTCCGCATTTAAATGATCATCCAAATGCAGATGCAGGCTGGATTCGACGGGGAAAGGTTCGTGCAAGAACTTCTTGTAAAAGTTCTTCTTGGCGTCGTGGACAAAGATCCTGGCGACTCCTTCCTGATCAAACTGAGGGCGACCAGCTCGTCCCATCATCTGCAAGACGTCGGTGATAGGAAAGTCAACATACGACCGGGTTTTGGCATCGTAGAACTCGGTACCCTTGATGACAACCAAGTGCGCAGGGAAGTTGACACCCCAAGCCAAGGTACTGGTAGCGATCAAAATCTGGATCTTGGTGTTCACAAACAACTCCTCCACGAGCTTGCGATCACCCTCTGGAAGACCGGCATGATGAAGACCAATTCCGAAGCCGAGCGACAGGCGCAAACTCGAATCTTGAACTTTGGTGAGGAGAATATCGAGCTCGTCTTCGGGCATGTGCAAGAATCGTCTTGGGTTATCCTCCATCGCACAGTACGCGATGAGGTCTTGGGCGGTAAGCCGAGTTTGGCGACGGGATGAGACAAAAACGATTACCGGCTGGCTAGGCGAGTGTGTCTTGATGGCAGCATATGTGGGCTTATTCATGGTCGCCATACGTGGGCAATAGTGCTTGCCAGCGAAGCCATCGATGTAGATCTCGAGAGGAACTGGACGGACTGAGTGCCTAAAGTTGAATAGGCCGACCTCTTGAATACCTAGCCAGTCAGCCAAGTCGTGCGCATTTGCCAGTGCAGTCGACAGACCTACAAGTCGGATCCTCTTGCTCAGCTGGGCACCGATATAGTTCATACGCGACACAATGACTTCCAAGATGGGACCGCGATCGCCGCCAAGTAGGTGAATCTCGTCAATAATAACCAGCGACACCTTCTGGACATAGGGCCGAGTTTGCCAATTACGACTAATACCATCCCACTTCTCCGGGGTCGTGATGATAATGTCGGCTCTCTCAATAGACTTGATATCCGGAGTAACGTCTCCTGTCAGCTCGACCAGCTTCTTGTTCATCGGACCGACTAGACGACTTGTCCAATCCGTGACACGCTCTCGAACCAAAGCCTTCATGGGCGCGATGTAGACGACCTTGCTCCCTGGCTGGTCCTTGAATGCCCACCACATCGCCAATTCGGCAGCAACAGTTTTTCCTGATCCAGTAGGCGCGCCAATCAGAGCATTATGACTGGTGTTGTAGAGGGTGTGAAAAATCTGTGTCTGAACTGGGTTGAAGTGCGAGAAACGCTTCAGGCAAATCTCCTCCAAAACGTCGTTGTGCAAAGCCGAAACAGGGAGAGGCTGAAGATCCAGCAGGTCGGTATGGGGTGGGTAGAGTTCAGGCAGAATCAAGTGCTTGAAGGAGATAGCATGCACTGATTCGGCGCCTATCCACTTATCTGACACGGCTCGCACAAAGATTTGGGGAGGAAGGGGCTCGACCACAGGGATGGTGAACGTAATGACTTGAGGCTGGCCCAGCATTTTGCGCGACAACAAAAAGTACTCTGAATGGAGAACCTCTGTGTTGTTGGAGTCCTCCACCCAAATCCACCACGGCTCAGAGAATCCGTGGATGCGATCGTTCCAGACAAAATCGGGCGTGATCGTAAGCGCCACTCGGAGGACGTTTCGTGTAATAGGCGCGACCTGGGCATCCATTTGGAGGACCGGGAATTGATCCACGCACTTGGAGATGGTTTGCCCCATGCGGTGGAATCGAACAAGTTCCCCAAGCTCGTTGACGGTCATCTCTCGCATGTCTTGGATGCTTGGCGGATATGTGCGAGCCTCCAGCTTGGTGATGATATCGCGAGGAAGACCAAACTGCGCCAAGGGATGTTCAAATGACCACATCTTCTTGTCGATCGATTTACCGAGGGAGAGGAGGACGCTGGCAACTGGACCCCAACTACGATTCAGCGCGATCTCAAACATGGCACGGATGATACGAGAAGCATTCTGGGCGACGTAGGCGCTGTCAGAGACAAGAGCAAAATCCTCCAGCGGAGCTTGGGTGATCGCGGCCTGCAGTAAAATGTTGACCTTGGATGGAGACAGGTCCAAACCGCCCTGTCATGAACGAATGAGATATGGTATAGTTAGATGAGAGGTTGCCCCATGATAGATGCACACTGTTAATTTTAAGCAAATGCTGGGCATCAAGTATTTGTAGAGCAAAGGATTGATTGATCCTGCCCGTTGTTGCTGTAGTCCGTGATATTACCTTGACATCGCAGGGACAGGCCTGTTCCAAAAGCTTCGCAAGTTCTGAGCGCTCGTTATCTCTGGACTTGACGTTCTCGAACTCGGTACTACGACTGACCATCGCCAGAACATCGGCCTCCGTCATCCTCGGTTTCATAAGGCTGTTGTACGTATTGACGCTGTTGTAGGATACATAGTAGTTGGAGGCAATGCGGCCAAGGTCTTTGGGGGTCAGGTAGCCAGTGTTCTCATCGTAAATGATCATCTGGGCCTTGTGCAAGTTTTTGGCTGCAGCGATAATGATATCACGCCGCTTCTTGCCAAGAAGTGGATCCTCTATAGGTTCGGTATGGTTCATTCCGTAGACGAGGGGGTTCTTGCGCATGCGCACGTACAGATAGGTGTAACTGAGCCACGTAACGGCCTCGTCGACGTTGGTAATAGTTCCCAAGGAGAGTTCGGCGTTCAAGTTGTCCACCATCTTCTCAATAAACCTGCAGACAGTATTAGGGATGATGTCGTTAGTATCAGCACCAGCACCAGCTCTATAGCACAACCCGCAGCAACAGCAAAGATTTTCTGTAACGAAATGCTAACCTTGATTCGATAGGAAGCTGCTGCGTGATAAGGGCGACGTAGTGGTCGAGCTTGTCATGAGACGTCAAAATGTAACCAACACCATGAGTCTCGTACTGCGGACGACCTGCACGACCGAAAATCTGCATTACATCCAGAATTGACAGGTCCACGAACGCACCCTTCTGGGTGTTGTAGACCTGAGTGCCCTTGATGACGACCGCATAAGCTGGCAAGTTGACTCCCCATGCAAGTGTTGCAGTACAGCATAGAACCTATCCCAAAAAAACAAAAAAATGGTCTTAATACTCTTTTCATACTAGAAGAGATAAACAACTTACGGACAGGGATGCACGCTGCTACTTCATTGCCTTGCGGAGACGTACCCGGATGAGACCATCGGCAAACAACTTCTCCGTCAAAGTGCGGTCAGTGCGGAGCATACCAGCATGGTGAATACCAAACCCATACTGGAACAGTTCTTTCATCTCCCTGTTCTTCGACCTTGCAAGTTCGCGCTTCCGAAGTTCGTGCTGAGGATCCATTGTGGTATCGAAAAACTCGAGTTCGTTCTCACCGCCCGCCTTCTCCTTGAGCATCTGGGCAGTCTTAACGGTATCCTTACGAGCGTGCACAAAGACCATGACTTGATGGCCCTCCTTGACGAGATCAGCAACCTGCGTGCGATGGTGATATAAAGCGTTGTAAGTGCCACATCGCTGTATAAATTACATGTTACGCAGATAGGGGAGTCAAGTAAACGATCGCATTTATGTGTGCTTACCTTATCATAGCAGGTCTGATCCAACCCACGTGTGTAGGTCGACGAGCCATACTTGCCGCGAACACCACAGAAGTGCTGCTCCAAAGGCACCGGGCGAAATCCGCCGTCAAAATAAAAGAGTCCTTGATAAGGGTTGACTCGTAAGAAGGCGGCAACGTCGACGTAGTTTGGCAAGGTTGCAGAGAGACCAACAATGCGGATCATGGACTGAGATGTTTCGACTTGTCGCAAAGTACGGGCGACGATACTCTCAAGGACCGCACCTCGCTCGTCGTGGAGTAAATGGACCTCGTCGATAATGAGCAACCGAACCTTCTGAGCGAGCTCCACATCTCCGGTGCTCTTCCGAGTCACGACATCCCACTTTTCAGGTGTGGTCACGATGATTTGAGTGTTGGCGATCTCGGTCTTGGTCAACTGCATATCTCCAGTCAACTCACGTACCTCAATACCCAGCCATTTAAGTCGGGAACTGAACTTGCGGACGATTTCCGCAGCGAGCGCCTTCATTGGTGCGACGAATACAATCTTGAAGTCATTTTTGGCAATCACGTACTCCTTGGGGTCGATACCCTGACGGGGTGTTGGGGTGATATGTTGATTCAACGTCCTGAGGATTGTGAGCAATGAGACATCGGTTTTACCCTAACAGTGTAAAAAAAATGGGCAAAGATATTAACATCGCCTTTCAATGCAACCAATATATATTTGAAAGAGTGCAATCCAATTATTACGCAAGTTTTTGTGTTGCCCATATGAGTGACAAAGAATGGAACTTACGGCTCCTGTGGGTGCACACATGAGGATGTTCTCGTTGGTTTCGTAAGCGACAGGGTACACAATGGACTGGATGCGATTGAGGGAAGTGTACGCCTTGAACGTAGTGCTGCAAAGAGTGTCCATCTCGTCAAGTGTGATGACCTTTTCTCCTGGACGTCGTGGCGCCTGTTTAGTGATTGGAATAGTGACCTCATCGTAGTCCTAACAGTAAAGCATTGGCAAAAAAAACGTAATTGTGAGAACGCGGATGTGTGCCGCAAAGCAACCTTGCACGAAGATATAACATGTCTCAGAGACCACGCTTGAAAATATGTGTACCTTTTCATCGACGCGAGTGGTTCCTGGAGGCAGAGCAAATTTCTTCCCCATTGACGACAGGACATTGCCTCCCTTGGTCGACTGGTACACATGAGGATAATCAGGTCCTCCAAAGTTGGTTTTCTGACCGGAAAGGTGATAGAGAAAACAATGTTAGACAAATATGTTTAGATGCTATGAGCCGAAATTGCCACTTTTCGAACAAGTACTAAACCTTGGAAGAACAAGAACGAAAGAAAAAGCTTACTTGCTGAGAGCTCGCAAGAGGCATGGCTGCGTTGCTTCTCAGCTGCTCCTCGCGGGCCTTGCGCAAGTCATCCTGGTCAAATCCCAGCATTGCTGACGAGATAGCAGATTCGTCCTCCTCGTCCCGACCTCCGTGCTTCCTGCGCTCCTTGCGGGCGAGCTTCGCAGCAAGCTTCTCATCCTCTGTCTGCACCACGAAGTTGGTGCCAACTGTAGACCGAAAATTATCGTTTCGCTCATGTTTGTGATTCTTAAGGTCCACGTCCGGGTTGTAAGATGTCTATATATTGAAAGGGATAATGAAGCCTATTAGTTCCAAGCGATGTAGAGTAAGCTTGAGCTTAGTTACGATTAACCCCAATCGACTGCGTTGCTCCTGCAGTTGCGAAAGATGAATTACTTGAGCCATGACGTTGTCCACAATCAATTTCCGGTTCGTAAGAAGCGCCGTGATGAACTCAAAGTTATCAAACCCCAACATGTCCACAAGGTTGATTTGGATGTCATCGTCTATTACGGTATGAAATATAAGATTCGTTAGGGAGAGTGATGTATAAGTTAATCGGGGGCGGCGAAGGCGACGGCGACGCGTTTTATCAGACTGCCACCTCGAATACTACGCAGAATGTTCGTCTTACCTAGCTTATCTGAGCGAAGAATCGTAAAGATGTCGATCGCGAGTCGTCTAGGGGTCATGTCGGTGCTGGGATCACCGAAGGCTTCGATATGGGCATTGCACTGCTTAAGTAGCCAGGAACGGTCATAGATGACTACGCTTGACATGGACGAAGCATGGTCGCCAAGTCTCATCGATGGTGCTTGATCCCTGTGGCGTGGGGGGAGGACTGGTGGTGTCATGGATCCGTGGTCGATTAAGTTGTCGCCACTCCGCTGGTGATCCAGAAGCGAGTCGGTGTCGGAGACTGTCTCGGTGTCGTCGCTGTCTTCGTAATGGGGCCAGGCAGGGGTTTTGTAGTCGTAGCCGGCGTCCTCCATGCCGTACTCGATTTCCTCCTCCAATGGTGGAAAATCGGCGCTGGAGAGAAGCTCTTCTCGTTGGCGTTGTTGACGGCTGGCGAGCATAGTCTTGAAGTCGAGGATGTTTCGCTCCCACTGCTGCTGAACCTTGGTCAATGCGAGAACGACAGCCTGTCCTCCTTCGTCGTCGTCGTCGTCTTCTTCGCTGGCATCGCTCATATCGGAATCCGTTTGGATGTGTTCTTGGTCGTTGTCGACAGTCGAGTCGCGGCTCTGGTTGCTTTCCTGGACGCGATTGTTCCTTGTTGACAGAGGCGACTGGGTCATCCGTAGGATGTTGGCCAAGTGGAAACTCTGTAGTTCGGCCATGTCCCTTTGTGTACTGAAGAAGGAAGGAGGGGCGTGTTGTTGGATGATGGAGGGTGTTGTTGTTCTTCTGAGAGAGAGCTTCTGTGAAAGAGAGTGAGCGTGAGGGAGAGAGAACGTGAGGGAGAGAGAACGTGAGGAGAGAGAGAGACGGAGAGAAATATGTCGAGCGAAAAGGTTCAGCCGCAGTCCAGGGTTAAGGGGTGCTCCTGCCAGGCAGCATACTGCGGACACTAGCACTTGGTGCAGCTGTTCACGTGACAAATCTAGCTTCCTCTACTTATTCGTCCGTGTTTAGCTTCTTTTTGCTGCCGAAGCACACCGACTGCAACCTCATTCCCTCCCACTCTCTCATGTCGACAACGAGCCAGCGCAATGTCCCCTCCGCATTGACCCAGCCCTCTCACGGAACAAGGCATTGGTCGCTTGCTTCCCCTTCCACCACAACCTCTGCTGGTATTGCCAACATTGTTGTCACTTCTCAAGACAAGACAGACAGGACGGACAGGACAGACAGGACAGACAAGGCTGACCCTATCAACCGCATGGACGAACATGGCACCACGGCCCTTCACCGTGCCGTCACGGCCAACGAGATCGACGCTGTCAGACGCTTGCTCGAGCACCCAAGACTCAACATCAACGAAAAGGACCTCGAATCAGGGTGGACCGCCTTGCATCGGTAAAGCCTTTCGTAATTATCCAGTTATTATTTTTTTTCTCATCCTTGCCGGCTTTACTTCTCTTCGTTACTTACTTGCTTGCCGTCTGTTTTCGTTTATATGGCTGCATCGTCGACTAATAGGGCGCTTTATCTTGGTCATTTGAGAATCGCCCTCCTTCTGCTTCAGCACAAGGGTCTGATCATTTCGATTGAGGTAGGAAGGAGACTTTCTAATCCATGAGGATGCCAATTACAGCAATAGCCGCTCACTACTGCACCAAAACACTAACGCAAGCACATTCACGGTCGTGCCATCGTAGGACAAGGACGGAAACACTGCTTTGGATGTGAGCCTTGCTACATTGCCTATATCACTGGAACCAGGACCTTGCCCCGGTGACTCCCTTTATACCTGGGGCTCCAATGCAAACTTCACGCTTGGGCACAACGATGGCGATGACAGAAAGCTGCCCGAGCTCGTCAAGTTTCCTCACAAGTCCAACACAATCACGTTCCCAAAAGCAAAAGCAGCAAGGTCAACCCTCTATCAACTGTCCATGGGCAAGTTCCACACTGCCATTGCCACTTCAGAGCCAGGATTCACAGCCAAACTATGGGGATTCGGTACCAACGGGCGACTCGGATCGGACCGGAAAATGCAGCTCTGTCCAACACCAGTCCTGGGCGTACCAGGGAACGTTACGTTCACTGCCTTAGGAAGGGACCACACTGTACTTCTGACGTCCAAAGGGGATGTCTTCACTATCGGCAACAATAAGTACGGTCAGCTTGGATATGCACTAGAGGCCCCAAAGGACGGTCAGGACCCGATCCAACGTACCCCTAAGCGAGTCTTTCTCAACATATCCAAAGGTCGCGTCATTGGGGCCGCAGCATCCAAGTGGCACACCGCCATTCACACAGAGACAGAGCTATTTACCTTCGGCTTCAACTACGGGCAACTCGGCTATGAACGCAAGGGCGATATCCAGATGGGACCCCGGAAAGTTGCTTCGATCCCGTCGGGACCGATATTGCAGGTTGTCGCTTCGGATTCCGCCACAGCGTGCCTCATGTCATCCAATGAAGTCATTGTCCTCTTCAGGTACGCGTACCACCGGGTCTCCTTCTCTCTGTCGCCTTTCCCGGACTCGTTCTCTACTTTGAACTCCCCTGCTGTTGCGAGCTCGAATCGTCCAAAAAAGATCACCTGCACGGATAACAAGTTCGGTATGCTTACAGGACTAGGGGATGTTCACGTTTGGGCGTATCCAGAGGCGGAGTCGAGCATCACACTTGGATCCCTACCTGCCAACCACTCTATCCCATTTTCCTCTGTCCTCACCCACGACAGGCCAAGACGTATTTGGACCTCTGTTGAGGACAGAACCCATATCGTGGACCTTGCTCTGGGTCAAAATGGCTCAGCGATTGTCTTGACGAAAGGAGGTCACGTTTACATCGGCACCAATAAAGGGACACTGGTCGGTCGAAACGTCAAGTGGCAACGGTATGTGAACCATTGGCTATTTATTTTGGCACGCACGGATACGTACAGTATATCTCACACTTGTCGTCTTATTCCAACCTTGTTAGGGTTCCGCATCTAGACCGGGTTGTTCAGGTATTCGGCAACTCGAGTGGAGCATGGGCCGCGCTGAGGTCTGGTCCGATCCTCACGCCGATCGTAGTTAGTTCCAGCCGTCTCAGCACGGACTTGGAGCAGTCGTTGTCCCAGTTTCATCTATACCGCAACAATGAAAAGATTTATGGAGACTTCGGGGATACCATCGCACACGGCAACAACATCGATGGCGACTATGAGGATGACGACGAGCAAGACGACAGCAAACCCGAGGTAGACCCATGGAGGATCGATATGCAGGGCTGGCAAGATATTGAAAAGAGTTGGGACTATGATGTTTTCCCACTATTGAAACAAACCGGCAACGTCATATCCAGCGGCGGGAATTCTGTCTCTGGGAGCCATTTGTTTGATGTCGAGATTCAGGCCGGGAAGCGAACCCTTGGAGCTCATCGAATCGTACTTGCAGCAAGAAGCCCTGTTCTCCGGCGGGCCTTTGTCAGCTCACCGTCATCCAGGACGGTTGCCGGATCTCTTGTTACCATCGAGTTTTTACGACTGCAACCCACGGCAAGAAGCCGGCTAGTTGTCTCACTCAAGGTCGAGTTTGCTACAGCAGTGCTGCTTCTGCAGTTTCTTTACAGCGATCGCTTCGATCCATTCTGGGACTCTCTCGGCTTACCGACAGTCAACAAGGAATACGGCCTTAAAGTACGACAGGAACTCTATCATCTTGCTCTGGAACTGGCATTGCCGACGCTGCAGGCAGCCCTTCAGTACACATTCACTCATGCCTGTAGCGCCAGTCTGTCCAAGGATATGTGTGAAGTGTTGGTGAATCCGACCCTTTTTGAGGGGTTAGTTGACGTGCGATTGTTGCTCAAGGACGGCGCTGTCATGAATGCACACCAGATGATACTCGGTCACCGATCGCCATTTTTCAACGCTATGTTTGTCAGGACGGATGAGTGGATTCGTACCAGACAGGGACAAGGGAAGCGACAGGTGTCGGAGGGGGATGTAGGAGAAGGCGGAGAGTCGATCCTTGAAGTCGGTATGCAGCACATGAACGCAGAGGCGATGGCGCTCGTTCTCCGGTATGTCTATACCGATTGCGGACCAGAAATGTTTGATCAGTCTGGTAAGATTGGGTATCCAGGTGCTTCTTGTTTAAAATACTACTGCGAGAGGTTTCCAAGGAACGAGATTGCTAGGAGAACTAACCCAAGAACTCTCTCTTTTTATCTTGCGGTGACTCACCCGATTCACAGAGAAGGATGATATGGATGAGCTTATAGACCTTGTTGTCGATGTCCTAAAGATTGCCGACGAGTACCTCATGGATCGACTCAAGGAGATTTGTGAAAATGTCCTGGGAGATCAAGGTAGCTCATTTAATTTGTTTTTTTTTTCATGCTCATGCCTACATTTCTTCGTCCATCGACCCTACCATGGCCGCAATGAATGATACATGATGACTAACCCTTGCGCAAATGCAACTCACTCAACGATAGTTCGAGCCAAGACAGCCGTCAGCTTCCTGGAGATTTCGCTCATGCACACCGCTGAATCGCTGACAACAACCTGCGTCGACTTTTTGTGCAATAACATCGAAATGGCCTTGGATCAAGGGTAATCTATCTCAGCTTGATTTCAATACTGGCATGCACAGACCATCCTTACTCTTACACTCTTTCCTCTCTCTCTCCTTGTCACTCACTCTCTCTCTCTCTCTCTCTCTCTCTCTCTCTCTCTCTCTCTCTCTTTTGTATACATCTTTTCTCGTTTTCTCTATATATGTGTATGTTTCATTTAACTACTGAACAGGTGGCTAGAAGGAGTGGATGATCATGCCGTCCGTCTTGTGGAGGAGACGCTCAAGAAGAAACAGGAGTCATTCATGCCTTTTACGCGATCCGGTGGTTACCTCCCTGACCCAGCAGCTGTGCGCGAATTGCAGGATAAGATCCAAGAGGAAGGATACCGTTATTTTCGACCTTTGCGGGCCGTCCGGTCTGACTTGCCAAAGACCCACCGACTTGGCAATCACCACCTGCGGGAGAGAGAGAACACAGCTGCCCTTCGGTCATCAGCCTCGCAACCGATACCAGTGCCTCCTACAAAGACACTTCCAACGTCACCTGTCATTCCGACAAAGACGTTGACAACTCCGTCAGACGTGCGATCCAGCCTCGACTTTGGTGATGGAACGGGTCGCCAGCCATTGGCCCTGTCAACGGAGATCCTGAATCAGGATTCGCCTGGTTCTTTTGGACTTAAGGACAGACCGTTGCCTCTGGAGACTCCTTCTGAAGGAGCAAGGGACATGCTTCTGTCTGCACGGAAAGCAAGTTGGGGTCAAGTGCTCGCGAACCCCGACACAGCCCTGCCTTCGGATGACCAGAATCGGGCAACGGCAACAATTGGTTTCTCCAAACCAACATTGAGAGACATTTTGGAACAAGAACTGGTGCAGAAGCATGGACAGGCCAACATCTCCAAGTCTACGATACCTGCAGCTACAGGAACTCCCTCCCAAAGGACCAGCAAGTTGTCGCAGAAGGAGCGCAGGAAACAGCTGCAGCAACAGTCATCCTCATCCATGCTAGATCAGGACAATGCTCCTGTTTCTTCTCCAGTCCCCCAAGCCTGGGCAAAGGTTAGTCGTACGACTGCTCTCGATTTGAGCTCTGCAGGCTCCGACAGTAGCGACTTGGCAAATGGAAGCATCACTGCCTCGAAGACAAGCACTGCTTTGCCAGGGCTATCCGTGCTGGATCGTCAACAAAGCGAGCTTGCTCTCTTCAGATCGCAGCCAAAAGAAGTCCCTCGTGTCGCCATAGCGACGTCCAAGCCAGTCAAAGAGACAATGTAAGAAAGGTCTATTGTTTATTGTGCAAAAAAAAAAGAAAAAAGGACGAGCCAAGAAGATAGCCCTGGCCTTAACCATGTTACTGATTTTACTTAGGAGGGTAACTGGAACTGGAGGAGAACGTTCGTTTACGGAGGCTCCTTGGCGACTTGATGCTATCCCTGAGCCCTTGCGAGCAGTGACACGCCATCAGAGTCAGATGTACCCGAGCTTGGAGGCGAGCAGCGCAAGTCAGGGCAGCAGTAAGAGTCAGTTGATGCAGACGACGAAAGGAACGACATTGATGTCCCCCTTGGCAAGCGAGGCGTCGCCTCTCTCTGGAGCTGGATCGCCAGGAAATAGCGGGCTGCTGCCGTCGCCCTCGATGAGTCTTTCGACGTTTGCGATTATCCAGAACCAACAGCTTCGGGATCGGAACTTGCTGTTGAGGGCGAGACATCAGAAGAAGAGTCTGTACCAGATCCAGATTGAGGAGCAGACGCTGAACCAGCTGCGTCTGCAGAGCCTTGAGCGGATGCAGGCCAGGGCGGTCGAGGGGTGTGGAGAGTGGTTTACTATTGGGCATTAGAGCAAGCTATGTAGTCATGGACAATGATTTATTTATTGTTTTGAATGAATGAATGATAAAAGTAGTATGATTTCCGCAGAGGTCTTTTTAGACACTCGATCCCGGGCGCGGAGTAAGCCAGGATGATATATAGTGCCCCCGCCAGGACCTGGCCCTCAATGAGGGAACTGATCAGGTCACTGTTGTTGGTGTCTTGCTTTGCACTAGCACTGTCATGCTATAAAAAAGACAAAAAGTGACTCTGTGCGAGCGTGACATTAAGGGGGCAAGTCGGCACTGGGACCGTCACTTGCTTTTATATCACCGCTTTTGTCGACACTGCTTAAATTGATTTTCTGCTACTTTTATTGGTTATTTATCCATGGGGACTTGTTTTTTCCCAATCTTTGCTCCAATTGTGACTAAATTTTTGAGATTCATCGCCCGCATTAGCTAGGTGAATGCGTGAGACGCGACAAGGGTCAGAGCCTTTTGATGTCGGGGGACCTCAATGCGCATGCCCTTGGCGTGAAAGATCGATCGCCTTTCGCTTATCTTCATCCAGCAATTTTGTTGTAGTTGTTGGCGTGACTGTTGTCGTTGACGGCGGCGCTGGTGCTGGCATTGATACTTATATTGATGTTGGTACTGGGACTGGTTTGAGTCAACTGTCGCCTGCTCCGCTGATACCGATGGAACCAAGATGGAACTTCTTTCGGGAAAAGGGCTCAATGGGGGGCTGGGTCGGGGCCGAGTCGAAGTTTCAGCTGGCACTGGCAGGACTTGATCTCCTTCATTTTGCATCAGCGGTCTTTGCCGACTAGGAGAAGTGGTACTCGTTGTAAGTTCGTTAGGGAGCCAAGGTTGAAAAAAATGCCCATGATCGCGATGTACCTCATGATTCCATTGAAGGAATGGAGCTGCAACGTTGATCTCCGTTCCTCTGTGGTAACCCAAGGCTGCTGGAATGTTTTCTGGCGAGCGCCTGCCATCGTTTTTCTTTCCTGTCCGTCGGTGTTGTAGAAACTCATCAACTTTTTCTGTGTCCATGCTCTGCGCTTCATCGCTGAGATTGCTGTACGCCCGATTGTCACCATCCAGAGCACCTTGCACATCCAAGTCGTTTTGTGTGTCGTTGTCACCGGTGGATCGCATTGTGCCCTGACTGTTTGAAAGGCGTCCCATCAAACTACTCTCGCGCCGTAGCTTGGCCCGTCGATTTTGGAACCAAACCTGGATAGTTCGAGGGTGGAGATTCAAATGAGCAGCAAAGACTGACCGCTCCTTTGTAGTTGGCTTTTCGTTGGAATAATATTGTTGAAGAAGGTACTCTGTCTCGTCGGGGGTAAGTCGTCGACGATGATTTCCAGTCAGTTGAGTCGGAATGCTTGTCGTAGCCTGAGGGCGGGGTGAGGAGTGGATGGGTGTAGATGAAAAGGATGGCTGGGCGTGGTTTGATATGGGCGTTGCAATAGTTGGTGAAGCAGATGGAGTATTTTGGGATGGTGATTGAGCCATAAGAGTGCGTGGCTCGGATGCCAAGCCAAGACGCTGGGCGGATTGGTAGGGCTGTCCAGTGGGCGATTGACCGAGCCGCTGACCATGGTCAATCCAATACTGACCCGAAAGGTCGTTGTTTTCGTGAAATTGAGAAGGGCATATCTCCATTGTAGGGAGGTATACAGCGCAGGAACTGCTATGGTTAAAGTAGCAAGAGGGATCGATGGCGGCTTTCAAGAGAGATGGATGTGAATGCTCATCGGGTGCTGAATGGGACGCCATCGACTGAGATGCGATTGCAAGGATATCGCAAGGACTCAAAGGCACGAGACGTGGGGGCAATATGTGCGTTGAGGGGGTGGTTTGGTGCAAATGGTGTTGTTGTGGCATATGTTTGGTTGTGTGAATGCTTGACATGTTGGAGTAGTTTTTTTTTTTCAAATTTGCGTAGAGGATATAATGTACGCGACGTGGGCGGAAGGAGAAGGAGAAGGAGACGAAGGGGGCGATGAAGAAGAACAAGCACAAGCACAGGAAGAAGACGAAGAAGGTGAGGAAGAGGAAGAGTATTACTCGGTTTTTATTCGTTTTATAGCAATACCCGCTGTGCGTAATAAGGTAAGCTCCTTATTTTAGCGATGACTATCTTTCCTATCTTCTGTCCTGGAAATAACCCCGCCGAATCTCAACGATCTATGCACAAAGACGCGTGTGGATATCGGGCACCTTTGTTCAAATTGATCATCATCCAGGGCAGGTCACGTGTAGGTGTAACTTAGTATGTGCGTGCGTGTGCTCTATTCTTCTTTTTCTTCTTTCCCTTTGTCGTACCACAATCCAACAATCCCAACCTCCACCGCTACCGCCGACTCGCCCGCAGCAATCCCTTCTTCTTCTCTTAAACTCTCTCACACACACACACACTGAATCCACCCTCTCATCCAACACAACCAACACCCATGCAGGACGCATCTAACGAGGTTCCCCTCACCCAGGAGGAACGAGAACGGGTAACCAATCGCATATATACACTCCCTAGAAAAAAAAATGAACCTCAAACACTCATTGACATGCTCCTCCCCCCATTCCACCCTAGATTCGCCTCAAGCGACTCGAGAGACTTCAGGCCTCCACGACCACCCAGCCGCCGCAGCAACAGCAGCAACAACTACAACAGCAGAATCCCATACGGTCGCAGCAGTCGCCCTCCTCCAGTGCGGCTCAAAGCCCTATCAGCCAAAAGGCGCAACTAGAAGCACCTCCAAAGCCGATGGCCACCCAACCAAAGGTAGTGACACCACTTCATATTTTTATCATATATGGAGGGCCTCGCTATCTTATTCGTGTATGGTACTGTTTCAAAACAAACTGTGTGCGCTAATACTGCCAGCTACTGTTCTTTGAATAGTCCCCAAGTCCATCGGTCCCGTCTACTCCAAGGCAGCCTTCATTGACCTTCGAGGCGTGGCAAAACGAAGCGCTTTCTCGCATCCTTCAAGTGTCCTTGGTGAGTGCAACCACGCCTGACAACCCACCTAGCGGTTCATGTATGCTTTTCTGCCCTTGATCACTAAACAGTCCTTGTTGTTCTTGTTGTTCACTGGGAACACGATTGTTAGAACAAGAATGCTGCTGCTCCTTTACTCTTTCTCTCAAGCCTTGCCGAAGAATTGAACAACGAAAATGGCAAGTCATATTTTACTCTATGCTTTGTAAAGGAACCGGGAAAACAACAACAACAACAACAACAACAACAACAGCTGCGACGGCGACGGGGTCAGAACTTGCATCTACAAAAAATAGCGTGTAAAAGAGCTACAACTGACTGATCTAAATACTCTCGTTGTCAATAGAACCGCTGTTAATTAGTCAAGCATCTTTGGACAGGGTCCTGGTCGATCGCATGTCTGTGGATCCCAACGACAGTTCGAATGCAACCCTTTTGGATCGTGGACAGCTTCGCCTTACTCTTTTCGATTACCTTCTTGACTGTTGGCGACGCCTTGAAATGGTCAAATCTCAGACATCTCGCGTCAAGGTATACAGCGTTCACTTTTGTTTTAAGGTCACACGACTTGATGGCCATGCTCTGCTATTGTTTTTATCGCTGAATATACATTTGGAAACCAGATGCTTATCGTATATGGTGTACGTTTTTACGGGTGCCTCCATAGACGCTTCCTGTAAATGTTATCGAAGAGCGAGTACAGTCCTTGAACTCCTCAAAGGGCTTGTTGGTTTCGTACGCCGGACTTGTAATTCAGATGCCAGACATGTTCCCCCAGATACAGAAGTAAGGGCAGCAACCGCAAGCTTGTCGGACAAATGTCTCTCGCTTGCTTTACATGTGAGAAATCTGTCACGCTCCCTGGTGCTAAACGAACTTTTTTCTTTTTCGTGCTTACGACAAAATGCATTAGTGGGACCAACCTTGGAGCGCAACAGCTAATCGACAGACTCCTTGCAGATCCGGACTCGGCCAGCGGCGTTCCAACTGAATTCCTGAAAGATATCGCGGACAGATTCAAGGATGATGGGCTTGAGGCAATCATACAGCCTCTTGTCGCTGGATTGGCAGCTCGAGCTAGGACAGCAACCATTCTGACGGACTGGAGGACCCCACTTCGAGCACTTTTAACACTCGTTGATGTCCCAGCGATGGCAGCTTCTATTCCTCAAGTGGCAACATGGAACCCCACAAATGCCACAGCTCGTCAAGTGGAGATCGTCTCGGCTCTAGGCCCGTTCCTGAAGACATCTGGCTTTTGTGCCGATGATGTAAGTACAACTGTTTTCAACGCGAATCGGAGAAAAAAACACCCAAGTGAGGAACATTACGGTCGCTAAGCACACTCCCACCTCCCCTTTTTTCCCTTGCTCTCTCGAACAATATAGCCATCCGTCGCAGAACTTTTTGGCACAGGGTTGAAGAGGAACAAGTCCGACTCAAGCGGCGCGTTTGCCTCTATTCGTGGGGCTGTCCGTGGCCTTCATACGTCACTTTTCCAAGGAGTGAACGGGATTGTTCGGTCAGGAGCGGAGCCAAGAGAGAGGATGCTCGCGTACTTTTACTCTGTGCTGCGTAAGAACGAGCGGCGGTCGCAGATGCAAGTCGACCGGGCGACAGTCTCTGGAGATGGTTTTATCTACAACATCACAGAGATTTTGATGCGCTTCTGTGATCCGTTCATGGACAACAGCCACTCCAAGGTCGACAGGATCTCTCAGACATTTTTCAAGGGCCACTCCAAGATTGACATCAGCAAGGTGACCAGGATATGCGCGCCCAAGGAGGTGATCGACGGATATGCAGGTAGTGAGGCACCGCCAGGATCGATCAACTTTATCTCGGACATATTTTTCCTCACCCTGGGATTTCACCATATCGGCGTCTCCAGGATGTACGTCGATTACAAGCGATTTATGAAGGACTTTTACGAGATGAGGGACCAGTATGACCGTCTCAAGGAACAGGAGACATCCGGTCAGCTCTCTGCAGAGAATGGATTGTTGATCAAGCGATATGAAGCCCAGCTTGACAAGATGATTACATTCCGCCTCTCACTTGAATCGCAGATCTTGGATCCGATCATTCTGGGACACTCCTTCCAGTTTTATAACCTGGTGATGGTCTGGCTGCTAAGGCTGGTGGATCCTGCACAGGCGTACCCGCGCAGCCCTATCAAGCTTCCCCTCCCCGAGCGCCCTTCGGATGACTTTGCAATCCTGCCTGAGTACATCTTCGAGGACATTGTCGAATTTTTCATCTTTGTTCTGCGACACTCTCCCGAGACGGTCGCATCGTCTACTCTGGATGAACTGGTGACGTTCACAATGGTCTTTTTGACCTCCCCCGGATACATCAAAAACCCTCACCTGAAGGCGAAGCTCGTTGAGGTAAAACCATGTCGCCATCCTTCCACAACTTCAATTCCCTATATCTGGTGTATTGCCATTACTGATGCTTTCGTTGTATGTGTTATTTTTATGTCGTTCGAACTAGATTCTCTTTTTCATGACACTCCCCTATCGCGGTCAGAGAAATGACGATACGCTGGGCATCAAGCTCAACACCAACCCAATGGCTTTACAGTGTCTGATCCCGGCCATCATGACCTTCTACGTCGAAGTGGAGAACACTGGTCGGCACTCTCAGTTCTACGACAAGTTCAACATCCGGTACAACATTTCGCAGATCCTCAAGTTTGTATGGACAAATCCTATCCACAGGGACATGGTCAAGGCCGAAAGTCAGTACGTATCAACGTCAGCATGGAGACGATGTTGTGCCCTCCGTGACCACATTTTTATTGGGGGAGGCGGGAGACGACACGATGAATGACTTGTGTCTTTGCTAACGTCCTTTCCATTTCTTTATATGATGATGTTTATGTTGCTGTTATTACTTTCGCTGTTATCTCATGCGGGGTATGAAATCATATAGGAAGTCAGAGTCATTTGTCAGGTTCGCGAACTTGTTGATGAACGACACCACATATTTACTGGACGAAGGTCTGAGCAAGTTGGCGGAGATTCACGACATTGAAGTAGAGATGGACGACAAGGTTACATGGGCAGCCCAGACGCCCCAACATCGGCAGGAGCGGGAGGGCGTGCTATCGACAGCGCAGAGACAGGCGTCGTCCTATATCGCACTGGGCAACGAGACAGTGAACATGTTGTCATACCTGACCGTGGAGATCAAGGAGCCGTTTTTGTCAGCAGAGATTGTGGATCGTCTTGCGACCATGCTCGACTATAATCTTGTCATCCTGGTCGGCGAGAAGATGTCGAATCTCAAGGTATTGTTTGGGTTGAGAAGATGGTGTCAAGCAGTTAATACGATGTGTTTGTTCCACTGTGGCTAATGAATGATGCCCTACACAGACATTGTCGGGACAAGACTGACTTAAAGTAATGTTTTATAATGACTGAATGAAACGTAGGTCAAGAGCCCAGAGGAGTACCGATTCCAACCTCGAATTTTGTTGTCGGACATCATCAACATCTACTTGCATCTGGACACCCCGACGTTCATCGCAGCCCTGGCGAGGGATGATCGCAGCTACAGCGCGGATATTTTTTTTGCTGCCAGCCGGATTCTTGAAGGGCGCAACCTGAAGAGTGCCGATGAAATTGCCAAGTTGGCGAGGTTGGTTCGCAAGATTGAGGAAGTCCGACAGAAGGGGGCTGAGGACGAGGAGGAACTTGGCGAAATCCCTGACGAATTCCTTGGTAAGATATGTCCTAGGGGTCTTTTAAGTGTTCGATTTGTATCGTTCGAGCGTTTCTGCCTCTATGAGAATTAATTCGGATCGATGATGACTAACATTCTTTTCTTCTGTTGCCCTCGTTCGCCTGTGCTTGCGTTCTATTTTTCTCTGTTGACAACGAATGTCTCTCTCGGTTGAATTTCGGTCGTACTTTTTATCAATCCGTGCGCTTGTGAAGATCCACTGCTGTATACGTTGATGGAAGACCCTGTGTTGTTGCCGACGTCCAACATGTCGATTGATAGGAGCACGATCAAGTCCCACCTGTTGTCGGATACAACGGATCCATTCAACCGCATGCCACTCAAGATTAGCGATGTCGTTGACAGTAAGCACTCATTTTTTTTTTTTGGTTTTTGGCGTTGTCCTTGTAGCGGGTGTAATGTGTAAGGAAGGATGAATACTTAATTTTATTATCCTTCTGTTCAAAAAAACAATAGATGTTGAACTGAGGGATAAGATCCGTGCGTGGAAGGCGTCTCAACGGTCGAAAGCGACCACGGCAATGGAAATTGACGAGTAAGGAGTTGTAATTTGAATCATACTGTAGTCAATAGTAAGTAAAGGAAACAAGGAGAAGGAGAAAAAAAATCAGGTTGTTCCTGTGAGTTGAGCACGTTTCATTTTTGCATCTCTTTTTTATTTTATTCAGGAACAAGGAACAACAACAACAACAATGATGATGATGATGGCCATGCAAAGCGCACACGACCATATATACCTTCCGCCTGGAGGTGCAGACATCCACAACATAAAAATGGAAACGTTCTACGCCGTAGAAGCCACTGCCATCCAGCTCTCGATGCGTCCGTGAGCATGAGAAAGAACATTGAAAATGGTGTCGTCGCCACAGGCAGCAAAAAAGAAATTAGATAAAGACTAGCCATATCTGCGCCGAGAAGAAGAAGGTAGTGACAATTATTATCCCAGCAGTAGTGTACAACCTACAAGACATCATCATCCATTTTGCTCTCATTTTCTTCTTCCTCGTCTTCTTTTTAATTCTTCTTCTCTTCTCTCCTCTCCTCCTTCTTTCGTTACCTTGTACCTTGTACCCTGTCCCACTCCTCCTTCTCCTCTTCCTCCTCCTCCTCTCCCTACTATCCCCCGCATCCCTCAGAGACAGTCTCGTACATCGTCCCCTTCCCTCTCTTCTCGATACCCATCCTCATCCATATCCATACCCATATCTAACTCTTCCATATCTTTTACAATGCCTTTCCCTACCCATCCTCACGTCAAGACCCGCCCCTCCTTCTCCTCCTCAACCACTTCCCCTAATGACATCGACTCTGCCAGCATATCGTCCGGCTCAACCCATCAGCACCACCACCACGAGAACTACCCAGACCTCAGACCACTCCCAAAGTCACATGCCCCCATGGCTTGCATAGACCCCGCGCTCGCCATCCCCTTCGACCTCTCCATCCTCACAATCTCCCATAAAAAAGACCACAACGCTGTCAAGGCCATCATCGTCGGAGGAGGCATTGCAGGACTTTCCCTCGCCATCATGATGGCCAAGGCGGGCATCGAATACGTCATCCTCGAACGCTCCACCAGCCTCGAAGCCTCGATGGGCAGCGCCACCATCCTCGGCCCACCTGTCCTCCGTCTCATTGAGCAAATGGGTCTTTTGCCCCAAGTAGAAGCCGCCTCCAAGGCCCTCACTGGCCTCAACGTCGTCGACGGAGAGTGCCGCAAAATCAGCCGTCTCGAGAGTATCGATGAGGATCGATATGGCTACCCCCTGCGCCTCATTTCCCGCCAAGACCTTCACCGCATTCTGCTCGATCATGTCCCTAAAGAGCATATCCAGCACGGCAAGCTCGTTCTCGAAACCCTTCAAAACCCCAACGGTGCCTCCTGCAAGTGCTCCGACGGCTCAACGTACTATGGCGACATTATCGTTGGCGCCGATGGCAGTCATAGTCTCACTCGCGAACGCATGTATACCCAGCTGAAGGAGCAAGGCAAACTGCCCGACGCTGACATGGAGCCCTCCTGCTACGAAAACATTAGCATTGGAGGTATCACCAACCCCCTCGATAAAACCTTCTATCCCGCTGCACATGAACCCACCGCCGAAATGCACGTCATCTACACCAAGGAGGCTCCTTATTCAGTACGTCAATTGCCTTACCTCGAACTGTTTGCAGCTCGTTGATGTTTCTGAAAAAGAAAACAAACAAAACAGAGCCACCAGCTTTTTGTTTCCTCGCAAGTGTTTAAACCATGATCCACTTACACTTTATTGACCACTTGTTACACTTTATGTTAGTTCTGGTACATGCCCATTGGAGGGAGCCGCGTCGCATGGGGAATCAACAACACGCAGAGCCCAAAATACAAAATACACAACTACTCGCGACCACACCACACAGTCGCCGCTGCTAACACCGCCTCGACAACCACAACCCCCAGTCCAACTACCAACAGCAACAGCAATATCGCGAACCATGAAAGTTCCGTTACCGGCAGCGTCAGCAGTAGCAGCAGCATCGGCAGCAGTGTCAGCAGTAATGCCGCCATGATCCCAACGCTTCCTGGCAATGCTGCCAACTCTATCGCTCAAAATGGTACCGGATTTCACAGCCACACCAACGGACTTGCCGCTCACAACGGTTACATTCCAAACAAATCCACCAACGCCATTCCACCACCTCTGTCCCGGACCTCATCGGCACAAAAGATTCACGACGACTGGTTCGTGCCCAGTAGTGTCGACCTCGAGTTGCACTTTAAAGATTTGCTCAACGCCCGATGCGCCATTGGTGTTGGAACTGTCCGGGACTTTATCGCGAACACCCCCAAGGGTACCATGTCCACTGTTGATGTTGAAGAGCGACTCAACAAGACTTGGTACCACGGCCGTATCGTCCTCGTTGGCGACGCATGCCACCAGGTAAAGGGCAAAAAAGTGGTCATTAACAATTTAGCCGCTCGTTATGAATGTGTAACACGGACACATACGGGAGACAAAAAATTGAAAATTGCACAATCTAACATATTCACTACACACTGTTCTGCCTATACCGACTAATGCAGCTTTTGCCGATTGGAGGTCAAGGTGCTGTCCAGAGTATGCTGGATAATGTATGTCTTGTCAACCTCCTCTATGACATGGAATTCAACACGCCCAGCGAGATCGCTAAGGTCTTTAAAAGGTATCAAGCCAAACGCTGCAGTCTTGCGAAAGCTTCCATCGAAGAGACCAGTCAACTAGACAAGGTCTTCCATCGCCAGGGTCTCATGGCAGTGATGATGCGCAGGTTTACGTTCAACGCCTTCTGGTCGTTCAACATGAAGAACGACAAATACAACAACAACCGACCTCAGCTCTCGTTTTTGCCCTTTGTCCAGGACCGCGGTACAAGCAAAGCCAATCGTCAGAAGATATCTAGCCGGCTTCTCGCAAACAAGACCTTTGCCGTTTAGTCAACATACCACATACATATCATACATAGTACTTCGATTTGTAGAGATAAACAATCGACTTTTCTTTAATTGTTGTTTCTCCCATATGTGCACGCTCACGAGACAAATGCCCTGAATAATACAAATTAAGGCGAAAACGAACTCTGCGAATTAGTAGACCCGGAGAGACGTGCTGCATGCAACTGCCGGATCGACATTTCCTCTTGTGCGGCAGTCTCGTTTGCGAGTCGCTCATAGGTGTTTCTTTCGAATCGGTTGAGCGATCGAATATAAACGCGTCCAGTCTAGCACAGACAAAAAAAAATGGCGGGGCATTAGCGTGTGAGTTCCTGGGTTTAGAAAATAGGGACGAAATTACGAAGGCATTAATTAGACACCAGATGGATGACTCACGGGATGTTGGTCCAGTCGATTAAAAAACGCGACAGTATCCTGCCTTACACCTGCTACGGGGTGGAATAGCCCATAGGCCACGCAGAACAAGCCGCCTTGTGACAATGGCAGACTGGAGAGAAACTATTGGGGGGCAAGGGTGACGGACGGGGGGGGGGCAGTAAATATTTTTTGTGATGTAAAAAGAAAACAGGTGGTCCCCACCCAGTTTCACAACATTTCCGTCCCAGCGTCAAACTTTTTCCAGGGGACTTGCCTCGATAATTTGTTCATCCGTTACAATGCTTTGCAGAAATCCTTTGTAAAGGGTTGATACATCTTGTGATGTTAAGGATCTTGATAGCCTTAACAATGAGATAACTCTTTTCACGTCCATGCATTTAATTGACCTTGTCGTCAGCCATTCTTTGTGGTCCTTTGATGGATGAAAAAGAACAGAAAGATTGTTATATAAAAAAAATATGGTTCAATTTAGAGGCACCCTTAGCTCATCTGCGTCGCAAGAAAGCCAACCATGAATATGTCATGTCTTACCTCTTGCAGATATTTGTAACTGGTTGTAGCGCGCCAGCCTTCAATTCTTGAAGCGTTCGCTGCTACCTCCTTCAATCTAGAGCTTTCGTCGGAAAAGACCAAACCAGTGCCCATATACTTGCTGGACTCGGGAGTGTTGATACGGTTGATGCCGATGGTTGTCTGGCCATAGGTCTGATCTTCGTACTGAGAGGCTAGTTGAACAAAGCGGGTGACATACTCTTGAAACCTGGCGCGAATCACCATTTCTCCATAGTGTGCTTGAATTGCGCTGAGAATCTACAATTGTCAAGGGTCGACGTAAAAGTGGAGTAGCGTGAGTAAATGATCAGACTGGTTGAAATAACCAAATTCTAAAGGTCGAAATAACATCAAAAAGGATGGTAATGGTGCCCTTTACGTCTGCCATAAAATCGTTATCGCCATTGTCGTGCTTGCTGCTAGACTGAGTTGTTGCTCCGGTGCTGAACATAGGAGTTGCTCGTGTATCATCATAATGTCCGGAGTGGGACGACGAAAATGCGATGGGGGAGATGTCTTTGCTGACGGTAATCTTTCCTGTGTCAATATTGCAGAGAACATCCCACCAAGCCGTTCTGTCCTCAAAAAGCTGGTTGGTCACTCCTGCGATGAACCCTTTGCTATGATTTTGAAAAAGTTGGTTAATGCAAGGGTTAGTGATCGCTTAGTGATAATAGTTGTTACATCGGTTAAGATTCCTATCGCGGTAACGTTTCTTCGTCACTGTACCATGTCAAGAGATGGTCGATACCGGCCAGGTTTGTATATGGGTATGCACGCTCTGGGAAGCCACGCAGGACGCCGCCAGAGCCACTTCCCAGTGCGCATGCGGCAAGTACAAAGTTGGCAACGTCACCAGCAGGATGGCCGTTCCCGAGAAAAATAACCCGTTTGCCTGTCAAGAGGGCATTCATCAGCAGCATGATGGGGTGAGTGTTGGAGCCGTTCGAGTCCAGATGTGGGTGAAAAGGGTGAGGATTGGGCGAGGGCGATGATGGGCTGAAGGTCGTGATAAGTTTGATAAGCGAAAACTATAATTATAGATAATGCACAAAGTATCAGTATTATTGTTAGTATGGACAAACACATCATTATACGCAGAGTATGGCATATAAGACAGCAATCCGTCATACCTCTCCGACTTCTTCTGGGTTGATGCTCAAAGGCACTCTGATAGGGATCTTGATTCCATCGTAGACGACCTTGGTTTCGTAGAATTGACAATCCCTGTTCCTAGCCATAGCTGCTGCTGGCGCCCCTCCGTCCTTGCCCTTTAATGGTGTCTGTCCAACAACAATCCCAAGTCCATGTGCAACATCGACCTTGGCCGGTACATCCTCACTGCCTCCTGCCGCTTCAAACTTTTCAATAAAAAGCTCCTTATTGTCGGAAGATCTGAGGATCATGCGCTCGTAGGGTGAAAGTTCTGGGGGATCGAGTTGCATTGAGTTGACGGATTCGTAGAGGGTCTTTAAAACCTCAATCGAAGGGTTTTTGAAGTAGTTCTCGAGGGCGAGGAGAAGTACAGGCTAATGAAAGTGTAGGTGGCATGGGTGCCAATAGTTAAGAATGGTCAGGGAGGAAGAGACTGGGCAAATAAGAAGAAAACGAACGAGAAGCGCGTACCTTGTAGACATGAAGATATTGGTGAGTTGTACAGATCGCCATGGCTTTGACAGCTGCACCTCTAGCATGTTTTTTTTGTTTAATTTATAAGATGTGGTTGTGAGAAAATTGAGAATTCGTTCATAAATAATGTTGAGTGTGAGACCAATCATTAGATGCGTTGGAGGGGTGTTTGATACCTTCGGATAGATGCATCATGGTTGGTGCGGACCAAATTAAGGACATAGAGAAGAGGGTTTTCGCCATTGTCTGCAGCGACGGTATTGCCGTTCCAAGGTGCAGGCTTGGCCCGGTTGAGGAAAAAGATGGTCCAGTCAGCGGGCCTGAGATGGGCACCGTCAGGCAACATGAGTTCGGCTAGTACACTGTGGTAGAAGACATAATGGCCACAATGGCAATAGCGTTAATTGTTGTTTGTTTGCCCCGAATGGTCAAAGGGTGGTAGGAAGGCCGTTCGTGTTTTTTTGTTTCAGCATGGAGGGATGGCTTTACTGGTTGTCGGAGGTGATGTTGGCTGGGTACTGGTGGGTCAAGACTGAGCCCTGGTCGATGTCGAACTCTGCGAGGAGGATGGTTGTGACATGTTGTGGGGCCATGGAGGGAAGAGGGTGCGAATGGAAAGCTGGGGAGGAAGGAAGGGAGTTGGAAGATGATGAAGAATGGAAACTTTAATTATTGTCTTTTATTATTACTCTAGTTCATCCAGAATTGACAGACAAAATTATTAGTCCATGAGTTAATATTAACTCAAAAAGCACGCTTTTAATTCAAGAACGCAGAACATGAAATAAAATTCATCTTAATCGGAGCAAGCTGCGGTCCGCTTGAGCTTCCTATGGAAGTCATCGGAACGAGAGTGGGACCAGAACTCGAGCTGGTTGGTGGTGATTTGGCGACCTGGGGTCGCAAGGTTTTTCGATAGTTGGCAGAATCTCGATAATGCAATGCTGACACTGGCGTTTGAGTCGCGCGCTCGCTTGCTGTATCCAGCCTTGAATGAGTCACAGGAAGGGTTCACACATTCCACTGCTCCATAAACCTTGACAGACTTGCCATCGACAGTCGCGAGCGCTAACCATACCTCCAGAAAGCAGAACATACACAACTTGGAGGTCATGTTTTCATCAACCATCAAGACCGCGCCCGCTCGAGAGTGTTGTTCGACCACACACTTTCCTCTATACTTCAGATGCCCTTTGATTCTGGAGTTGATCCTGATCCCTGCGGTGCCAACAAATAGCAGCATCATATATGGTGATGCATGATGCGTACATGATGATGGATACGTGAGACCGTCTGGTCCGACGATTGCAAGATGATGCTGGTGGCAGGACTCGCAGGGGCCTTCCCTTGTGTCGACTTGTTGGCTCGGTCCTGAGGATGATGGTGTGGTTGTCCTGGGTGCGGTGACTTTCGAACAAGTGCCGGTGTTCGGCTGTGGGTGCATGGCAGAGGGCTCTGGAGGAGACCTGATATTGCAGAAGATGGTCATGGATCTATAGAAGATTGAGTATATCAAGTGATAGGATCTGACCACCCGTGAACTTTTTTTTGTGTTTATATCAAGTAGTGGATTTTAACTTACCCGAGGTATTGTCCTTGATACGTTTATGCTCATCAGCAGCCATGGCGGCCCATGCCCTTGAAGTCTGTGTGTCAACGCAGTGGTTGTCCTTTTGTGCCGGAGGTGCGTTCTCAAACTTACGCAATGGACCGCGAACCTGGCGCCGAATCATTTGTGCCTGGCCAATCTCTTCGATGCCCTGTGAGAGGTGAAGGCTGGTCTTGACGAGATCCATGCGAGCTTGTCGGAAATCTGCTTTCTCAGGGGCTCGCAAGCGCCTCTCCCTCTTCCTCGCTTTCCACCGAATTCCGCTGACCAGTTCGACTTGTCTTGCAGAGATGACATTCGCCATTGGAATTTTTAGCGCTGCAAGATCCATGTCTGGTACAGAAGATGAAGCCTTCTGGCCCGAAAAAGTGGATGACGACGAAATATTGTCCGAGGAAGGAGAGAATAATGACGACGGAAAGGTCGGCTTCTCGTTGTCTTCCAAATCTATGATCAAGGTAAAGAATATCGCAATTACATGAGCTGTAAAGGATTCGACAGAAAATTGAACGTGCATAAATGGTCAATATTTGATAATTTACCCGCCAACACATCAAGTCGGGCGTTTAAAGATACGAGAGTACTCCATCTTGTGGGGACAGTCACCGACACCTCTCGTCACCTGGCAAGCCCACACAATCCTCTTCAAGCTACACATCCTCTATCTCAATCTCTTGTAATAGTCCATTAAGCGATATTTCAAAGTCCTTGCTAGGAGCACGGACCTACAAACTCGCTACGCCCAGAAGTTGTCGCAGTTCACATCCATAACCTCCTTGACACCCTGTTCCACAATATTAATGCTAGTACATTTGGCGTACCTTCTTGTGTGAAACCGACAAGGTACTCTCTGCTCAGGTCCTTTGAATTGTCGATATTGAATTGCTTGCACAGAATGTGAGCGGTAGCTTCCAGACCCATTCTTGGTGCGCTGCCCTTGTCTGTCTCTATCCTTTTCAATTCTATCCTGGCTGTCTCCAACATATCTACGTGAGTCTGGTCGCTTGATACTCGCTTGTTGTGGGCGGCGTCCTTCGTGCTCTTGACCACTCTTATCAAAGGCGACTGTATATCTCAGTATATAAAGGTATCTCATCCATCTCAACCATCCAAGTATTGCGCTACATACCATAAGCGCTTGAATGCGTGACTGCAATTGTCGTCTTGAATGGGTCGTTGGAGTTGCGTCATGTGGGTCGATTGAAGAGGACGATGTGGAGGCGGGAACGACGGTGGCCGTTGTAGGCATTGTTGAAGGGGCACTGTCAAGGGTTTTTGTGGTGATGGACAAGTCGAAAGGATATACTGTCACAGTATCATAGTCTGTTGTGACCCTAAATCATTAGCGTCATCTAACCACTGTCCCATCTAACCACATTATCACCTAATTGCATCCCCATCTAACCACATCACCACCATCCTGGAGCCCATAGCCTAGCACATATAAAACCCTGGCTCCCCTGTACAATAAACACCATCCGTTTCTGCCTCCTGCTCTTGTCTGTCATCCTTCTTCTGTTGCTATTACATGTACGCACATTTCCATGCTGGAGGGGACGGGAAGGGACGTGACTGATACTCCATTGCTCTTCATGTGGCCCATAATGGTCGTGGGTGATGTATCCAACTGCGCTCCTCGACTGAGTCGAAGTGCGTGAAAGTGGGAAATACCGCAGATTCAGTCAATTGCATATGGTAATGTAATGCAGTGCTGAGTGTTGGGCTGAATAAAGGAGAGGGGGTATCCTTCTAGAGGAAAAGAGCACTATCGAGCTGTTGAGGATAGAGCTCAGCTGTCATAGCAGATCGATCCTACTGGTCCCATGACAGAACTGGGGCTGTCGGAGAGCCGTATTTTGATTATAAATGTAGGGGCGTGTGCCGATTGTTGTGCATTGAGAGGATGTGTATTGTAATTGGTGGTGCGGGGTTGAGATCGACAACAAGGTCCTGCTGACGCAAAAATGCGAGTGCGTGGTTTATATCGTCATTGGTAATAGGTTTCCTGTCTGCAATATTGACGGCATTTTGTGAAAGTTGCGCGAGTACCGGGTGGGATGTGGTGCGGTCGAGTGGGGCTCAAGCATTTGACAAAAAGTCTTAGTCGTCGTCGTCGTATGAAACAATTCTCCGAGGAGCTATTACACAGATAATTCAAGGTCAGTCAGGTTAGACGCGTTTATGCTCGGTAGGTTCATGGACATGTCGTCGTTTTTGAGATGATCAGCTCAGGCTAGCTACACATACTCCCAAACTAATGCTGGTCACCTTGTTGAAGTCAAGTGGAGTTGGAGAAGGAGATATTTGGGAAGTGGTTGCCGAAAGAAAGAATGTCAGGCGATTTTTGGAGTCTGTCGCTATGGGGTTTCAGTATCTTAAAAAGAATGCCAAGCCTTCGCGTAGTTGATTAGGCTTTTTTGGTTCGACTTTGTATCACAAGAATAATTTTGCGCGCTCATCCCGTGACGAGTCAGTCACGTTAAACTCTTATTTTCCTTGGTGTGTGGTCAACAAACCTTTTGTTTTTTATCTCGCTCTCTCTTTTCGGTCTCTCCATCCCGCATCTCCTTCGATCCAACATACAACACTTGCTGCACATACGCACACACATACGCATACATACGCTCACACAGACAGGAACAACAGACCAGGGCGCACCGCAGGAGTATACATACACTCATACATACTTACAGCATACCATCGTTTGGTTGCCCTCGCTCGCCATGTCAGACTCATCTCTCCAGCCAGACGACTTTCTCGTCCTCGATCTCGCTGCATCAGACGAAGACGCCTTCCCACCAGACGGGCTGCAGACCGCCCTGCCACTGACACACACCCAGGCCGTGACACAACCCACACAAGCGACACAGGCGGAGACAGAGTCCGATGAGGCCCTGACTGCGACAGCTGCGGTTACTGCCACCTCTCTTATTACCACGACTATCACCGCCACCACCGCCGCTACTACGACTCCTACCACCGCTAAGGCAGACTCAAGTACAGACGGAGACATTTCATTGGTGCTGGCATCAGGGGGACCATGCACATTGCTGGCGGACGGCCTCAACAGTCAGGACCACCACGACGAACATGTCTTCCTTGACTTTGTTCACGACCCACTTTCACACTCAACCCAGGATCAAATCGTATCCGGAATAGACACTGGCGGCGACGATAGCCATGACCCGCACACAGATTCTCGGCTCCCAATCACACTGGACTCTCAGGACCCTTCATTGGAGGACATCGATATCGAGAGGCCATTCGTAGACCTACTTGGAACTCACTCGACCACCCTTACTTCACTCGACTGGGCAACCACTTCGCCCCAGCAAGTATACGGCTCTCTGATGGATATGGAGCTGTATAAACCTTCCTCGCCATTATCGACAACAACACAGTCATTATCATTAGCAACATCATCAACATCACTATCAGCTCCCACATCACCACCATCACAGCAACAACAACAACAGCAGCAGCAGCAGCAGCCGGTGTCTATGTCATCCTCGTTACTTGGAACAACCACTACGGCATCGACCGTATCCGACAACGTCCCTTCCTCGGACTTTGTTTCTCCGGATGTAACCTTCCAGCCGAACGGTATTTACGTCGACGCTCAATCTGACAGTGAGCCGCTTGGAACAGATACAGGATCTTCGAACATCTCAGGGAAACCTACAAAGCCTGTGCACCCGTCGATTTTGAGACCATTAACACCGGAAGAGGTCATGGTGCCGATTGCCGTTCGGAGGAGTAACAGAACGAGGCAGCCATCTACCTTGGCGGTACAGAGCAGCGAATATCTGATGCATTCCCAAGGCCCGTATGAGCCTGCCACCCCAGGCCCATCTGCAGCGGGGTCATCGGCGTTAACATCAGCATCAGGAGCAGCGCCGGTCGAGCGAATGACAAGGTCCAAGAAGGTGTATTGCCACTGCCAAAAGCCGGATGATGGCAATGTCATGATTCAATGTGACAGCTGTCGCCAATGGTAAAATATTCATTGACAGGTTGTGTCTTGTGGTCGTTTTTTTTTTGTGTGTTTGTGTGTGCTTCGTTTGCCTCGATAGCATTTCTAACCTACCGGGATAACTTATATTGCATAGGTTCCACGGAGCATGCGTCGATATCACGGAAGAGGTAGCGGAGATGATGGAGCTCAAGAACGAAAAGTTTTTTTGCGAGCCCTGTGACGATAGAGTGCAAGGTAAGACCCACCATTACAATTCACGATGTTCCTTTTTTTGGCATTCATTGACAGCTGGTTGCAGAAGAACTCGAGTTGTCCTTATTTGTTGATAAAAAATACATATTAAAAGCATGAATGATGTCCGGTTCCCAATACACACTTTTCTGTCTTTTCGCCTGTGCCGCGGCATGCCAATGTCCGTCTTATTCAGGCCTATCAATACCCCACGCTCCAATCCTTACAATCAATAACACACATGTGCAAACATTTTCCTCCACCCTCTCCCCCTCCCCCTCGTCGCACTACCGCTGACGCGCATATTTGCACGACAGTATTCTCCTCCTCCTCGATTCGTTTTTCATCGTGTCGTCGTTGCCCTGTTGTCCCTCCTGTTTTTGCAGACCAACATCATAACTCTGCATGACCAACGAGTGGCGGCTGTGTTGCTCGCAACTGTGTATGCCTCTGTATGCTTGCACTCGTTGGCGTGATCGGCGTGTAGTTTCGCCTTCATGTTCTTCTTGACCACCATGATTATCGCACTACCTTATGCCGCGCATGGACTCTGAAAACGCCCAAGCAGACTCGCGCTTTATTTCCCTGGCTTATTTTCAATATGCGACTGAGCTACCCCATCTGTTACATTACATTACATTAACCATGCCCTTTTTTTTCTACTTTTCACAGCATGGAAGAGTACCGGCTCCGCAGACATTGGCAACGCCTTTACGGTTTACTCGGTAAGTATACGAGTCACCATGTGGAGAAAATTCAGGTGTGATATTAGATTGCGTTCTCCGTCTCTAACCCGATCAGTTACCAATTCCTTCATTTAGGACTCACGCGACTGCGACCTTCCGACATGTCTGAACGAGGCTCGCTCCACAAGCGACTACTGTAGTGAAGAATGTGCCATCAAGGGTATCGAACTTCAAGCGACCGAGGCTGTCATGAACAAGGAGAACATCCCTCCTGTGGTATACATCCCCACCCCGAAGCGAGTATCGATATCCACTGCGTCGTCCTCAAGCCAGCCCGAATCGCCCAAAGTCGAGCAAGACCCCATCCGTTCGACCGCACTGAAGGGCCTCACAGAATGCCTCTTAATAGGCCTGGAGCTCAACTCTGAAGGCGGTGAGCCACAGGCAGAAAGCAGCGAGCAGGCCGACAAGTCAGGAATCTGTCTTGGAAAGGGGGCTGGAGTGACGGGAGCCGCATTGGATGAGGAGCAAGCGAACCGTTTAGCCGTAGCCATTGAAAAGGAACTCTATAGCTTTACGGCGTCGCCGGGATTCGCTGCTTGTGGGAGAGATTACAAGGCCAAGTACCGCTCTTTGTTCTTCAATTTGAAGGATAAAAACAACGTGAGCCTTCGCGCGCGGCTGGCGTCTGGAGAGTTGGAGCCTTATGACCTTGTTCGACTCTCGCACGAGGAGCTTGCGAATCCAGAGTTGCAGATTATCAACAAGGAGATGCGCAAGAAGAGCATCCACAATTCTGTTTTGACTGTGGAGGAGGAGCCGTATATCAAGAAAACCCACAAGGGTGAGATGAGCTTTGTCCCGAGATTGTTGTCGGTCGGCGGTCCATCTACTGTACCATACCTTGACCACACCCGGAGCGACGACGGCAGTAGTGTCAGCAGTGGTAGTGGCGGCGATGATGAACACTCTCCCAACAATAACCGCACCGAGGACATCCACACCTCCAACAACACCACTCATAGCCGCGACATCAACACTAGCAACAACACCACGGATGGTCTTACGACTGAATCGCCGATGGAATATGAGGAATCCTCAGCTGGCAAGCAACGCGACAAGGATACACATGACTCCAACATTAATTCAGCGACGGGATCGCCCACTGGGGATGTTTTGGACAAGCTGCTGGCCAGAATTCAAACTAATAAACGTTCCAATGAGGGGACTACAGGCAACACTTTCGCAAGTGACAAACGACAAAGATGGACGGGCGCGGATGACTACGGAATCGAGGATGCTGAGCATCCCGAGACATCATACCTTCCCAGGGAACCATCGCCATACTCGCCCTCTCCGCCAGGATCACCCGCCGTGCACTCTACGACACCACCGGACTCGCCCCCGCCCTTCTTGCTCGAGGATAACCAAAAGGCCGCCCAAATGATCATCATGGACCGTGATGCTCATCGCAAACAATCAGCAGTCTGGGAAGGTTGCCTGTCCATGCATCAAGTTGCAAAGTTCTCAGCCAAGGCGGTCCAGATTGGAGGGCGAGAACTTTTTGGTGGCCAGGATGGAGGAGCGTCGAGGCGGCAAGCATGGAGTGATGTTTTGACGAAGGATATTGCAGTAGATGGACGCATCGGAATCGCTGCTGTCGAGGCCTATGTTGGCAAGCAGGCTCAGTCGGCCACCAAGGAGATTGTTGTCCTCAAGTTCGAGACCCAAGAGTCGTCGTCATTGTCGTCAGTTCGCCAGCGAGTCGAGTTTGACAAGCTGTTCGAGTACTTCTACGCGAAACGGCGTAACGGAGTCGTGCCACAGCGGAGTCGCCACATCAAGGACATGTATCTTGTTCCATTGGCAGCCAAAGACCCACTCCCAGGGTATCTTCGTGAGTTGATTGGCGATGACGCATCGGTCCGCGAAACAGTTCCAACGAACTGTCTGCTTGGAGTCTTAGTCCTCAACAAGGAGCAATCCCACTCTCACTCAAATCATCCTCACACCCGCCACGCGCAACCACAGTCTTTGTCGTCGCAGTCCAAGTCCACAACACCGACTTCCGGCCGGCGTCGCCATGCAAGCCCAGGTGCCTCTCGTCCCTACCCAGACCCCCACGGACACCATCACGACAAACGACCAGCGGCATCCCTCGGACACTCTTATCCTGGTCACGCACAGCTCTCTGGAGAAACTATCCCACCCTTGAAGGCTCCAGCCTTTGGCTCTGGATTGCCAAACATAACAAGCGTTGCCCCACACACTGCTTCACAATCAGGCCCAAAACTGTCTCCAGGCGATCCCTCACAGCCATCAGTGCCTGTGTATACACCGCAACCTATTCCTAGCACGACGGCAGGAGGGCCTATAAAGATTCCCTCCTTACAGGAGCTGCAAGGATTGGTGAACCAGCTGTTCCCCAGCACAAGGTCTGCATCCACTCTGGCAACAGGGCCACCTGGCGTTGACTCCAGACCCATCTCGGCACCGGGACCTACAGCTGCTGCTGCTGCTGTTTTCGCGCAGCTAAGCGGAGCCAATATGTCGAGCCTTATGGCCAGCCTCCCAGCCAGTATGAGCATGAACCACCTCCGTCAGCCTGAGCACCAGCAGTCGCTGGAACAGCACGTGGCCTCTGCCTCTCCTTCTCAGGGAAATATGTATGCCATCCCTCCAGCGCCACCCGTGTTTCCTCCAGGCATGCCTTTGCCTCCTCCTCCTGCTGTTCCTCCCAATTTCGTGCCTTTGCCGCCATACATGATGGCCCAATACGGATTGCCTATGGGACCTTCTATGAACCCAACGCCACCCGCTCCTCGTCCCCCAATGCCGCCTGTTCCACCCAACCCACAGCAGTATTTTGCGCACTACTTTTCTGGTGCTCAGCACTTGCCGCCGTCTGCTCCTCCCAACTCCCACCCATTTGTAGCTCCACCGCCTACCTTGAACGCACGAAATCAAGGCCCACGCGATCCACGCTAATCAAGCCAACAATAAAAAAAAATTGGTGGCAACCAGACTGTGGCTTATCCCTTTCTTTCATACACACAACTTTTTTTTTTCATGGCATTGGCTCCATTACATCATTCTCCTTAACTGACCAGCAACAATGGACTCTGACTCGGACTACGAAGCTGAAATCCCCCACTTCCCAAGGGACCTGCCCAACATCCTCATCACGGGCACGCCCGGAACAGGGAAAACAACCACATCTGAGATGGCCGCAGAAGCAACCGGCCTCACTCATATCAATGTCGGAGACCTCGTCAAGGCAAAGTCGCTCCACGAGGGTCTCGACACCGAATACGACAGTTATATCCTTGACGAGGATAAGGTACTATCTTTATATTGTATATTTATCATCATCGCATTGTTTTTTTTATTGTTACCTTGGCATTCATTGTCTATATGTTATTCACACATATAGATATATATATATATATATTCAGATACACTTCTGCAACACAATTAACACCGCTTTGCATGATGTGAGATATAGTTGGTCGATGAGATGGAGGAGATGATGAGGCCAGGAGGCAAGATTGTCGACTTCCACACCTGTGAAATCTTTCCCGAGCGATGGTTCGATCTGGTGATTGTCCTGCGCACTGACAACGGAGTTCTCTATCCACGACTCGAGTCTCGGTATGTGCTCTTTTTTTATGTACTATCATTGTTTCCCATTTGGGGGTTAATGAATGTGTTTCTTTTTCAGAGATGATAACTAACCAACATTTCTATGGCATATTATATCTTCATCATCTTTGTCTAAATGCTTTTACTAGAGGATACAATGCAAAGAAAATCAACGAGAACATGGAATGCGAGATTATGCAGGTTGTGCTGGAGGAGGCGCGGGAGTCGTACGAGGAGCAAATTGTTATTGAGCTCGAGAGCAACAGCATTGAACAGATGGAGGAGAACGTAGCGAGGATCAAAGCCTGGATGGAGAGCTGGATCAAAAACCATAAGTAGAATAAAAAATGTGGCTTAGCATACGTCTTTAAAAATGAACCTTATTGTCGGTCGCGCAGTTGAGTGAATTCTTTTTCCTTCCCTTCTCCACTTCTTCCTTACCCTTTCCTCTTTTTATTCATTCTTCCTTGTTACGCGACATTCAGCATCCATCTGTCTTTTCACCCCCTCCCCCCACTCCCTACTTCGCGCACTATGGCTTCAAACGACAACCTTGTCGTCATAGGCACACCTCTGCCACATCAGTCAAGGAACCCCTCTCTCGCCACCGACAGCAGCAGGCGGCCTCACCCGACAAGAGACCTCGAGGCAAGCATATCTTTTACATTGTCTCATCCAATCCCTGAGCCTTTTCCACATAAAAAATATACGACTAACATCCTTTATGGTATACCTACTGTATTCACTAGGTGAAAGACGAGCAGGGCAGGAGAAGGTTTCATGGTGCCTTCACAGGGGGATTCTCGGCTGGATACTACAACACCGTCGGATCTGCGGAGGGTTCGTCTTTTCGCCCATAATGAACTTAACACCAACGACAATCTTCCTTCTGCACCTTGGTCATGGCAGTAACTATAGGATAAACTTACTCATGGTCCCTCTTCATCTCTATACCAACGCTACCATAGGATGGACGCCGTCGGAATTCGTGTCCTCCAGGAGCAACCGATCCAACATAAAGAACTCTAGGCCGGAAGACTTCATGGACGAGGAGGATAAGCAGGTAAGGCTACTCTGCCTCTACACCCCTCCCCTCTCACTCAACATTGCCATCAGATATTCATCTTTTCAGTGTCTAACATAACGCGTCAAACCACTGGCTAAATAGATGCTCTCCGATGCCACTCGGATCACCGCCACTGATGATTTTGGTGCCTCTGGATCTGCTCAACGAGAACTCGCGAGGAAACGCGCCGCTGCCATGAATATGCAAGCGTCAGGAAGGTACACAATCCCCACCGCGGAAAAAGTGGGGCGGCTTTGGCAATCTGTATCAACAAGCGCTGATAAGGGATGCGCCTCATCTCCATCACTGCGACTTTTGACCGAGAATTTTGATTAACCTCTTTGCTTTTGTTTTCGTGTGGCCGACATAGTGTTCTTGGTGCCCTTTCGGACGCCATGATTGACGATCTCATCATTCCGACCTCAGAATCTATCGGCGCGCGGCTACTGAAGCGAATGGGCTGGAAACCAGGACAGGGAATAGGACCCCGTGTGTCGAGACGACAACGAAATCCAAAAGCCGACCCTTTATCGGATGATGATGCCCCAACCAATGTCTCATTTGCGCCGATAGACTCGGCCATCATCGTGTTTGCCAATAAATCCAACCGTTTTGGTCTTGGGTTTAACCCACACAAAGATGCCCCTGAGTTTGATGTCTCAGCACATGCGCAATCAGGTATGGCATACTTTAATGTGCAGCCTGCGGAGTGACATGCCAATGCAACCTGCGCTAGTATATCTGAATACAGCCTCAATTTACCTCTTGTATTATTTGCTTTAGGATCACGATACCTGTCAGGCGCGGACTCTGGCGTCACAGGGTCTCGCTTAGGCTTTGGTCTGTTGAGTGACAGCGAGGGCGACGAGGACGAGAGTGGTTTGTTTGGCACTGGATCCAACTCTCGGCGTCGAGTGGAAATGGAAATGGACTTGGACACTGCAGTGTCCCTTGACAAGAGACAGAAGAGCTCCTATGGCAGCGTTCCCACTTCCAACGTAAGTTTCTTGGGAGCATAATGGAGTCATCCATGATACTGAAATGCATAATTTTCAATAATTAATACGATTTCTACCGTCAATGAACTTAGTCAAGGTCAGCGTCCATTTTGGTGTACTGCAGTGACGGACGCCCGCCTCTTGCGGGATTCATCTTGGTCGCGACCAAGGCCTTGGATCCAAAGTGGTATACAGCCCCCATTGTTCCATCCGACTTTACTCCGCGGCACATCTTTACTAGTGATGGGAAGACAACCAGCTCCACCAAGCAGCACGGACAGTCTAAACTCACAGCTGACGATGTATGTCTGTCACCTATAGCGCCAATGCCAGAGTTTAAACTGCATCGACTTCTTACCCAAATATGCAACGACACCCAGAGCTCACCAACTTGCTTTGGCTATTGTCTTTTATTTAGCGTGCTCTTGTCTTGGGAGAGACTCCGATCGATGCACCACGGCGCTCTGTTTTCGAGTATATGTCATCTGAAAACAAGAATCGACTAGATGGTGCTCTGGGATTTGTTTTGGACGTTCATGGCGAAAAGCACTTGCGAAAGGACCACTGGGAGGTACCCACGATTGAGAAGAGCGCCGCGGAAGCCGCCTTGCAAGGATTTATACCGTTTTCTGACGACATCTCGAAGCAACGGCGGTACAAGCAGTACTTGAATGTCCAAGCTGGCCTATCCGCGGAGAAGATCGAAATGGTTGAAGGATTCTCGGGAGAGGACATGAACAAGGAGCTGAACGAATTTGTCCAAGCGGCCAGGATCTTCAAGCCAATGTCGACCTCGATGTCAAGTCGCTTTGCCACGGCGAGCAAAATAATCGAATTTCAACAACCTTCGCCGGGTCTCAGGACTGGAGCTGAAATCCAAGCAAGCCTAGCTGGAAAACCGAGTGCAGAGAACAGATTGATAGAACGCATGGAAGTTCCGGTAAGCAAGTCCTCCGCAATCACAACGCCTTGGGACTGACTTTCGCCAAAGCAATGAACTAACGTATTCTGTTGATTATTTTTTACGTGTTTTAGAAATCACAAGCGGCCAAAGCGGCAGAAATGGGCATGTTTGGACCGCTGACTAGATCCATGGCCGATTTTTACCCCAACAAACTCCTGTGCAAAAGATTCAACGTACCGGACCCACATCCAGAGCACAAGGATGTCGGGCCCGACACTGCGAAGGATCTCTTGGACAAGGCGACGATGGATAGCATGCTGGCGGAGGGGTCCTCGGCTCGCTTTTCCCTCTCCAAGGAGGCTTCGTCAACGACGGGATTGACAGCCGACAATACGGTGCCGGAAGTGGAGCTGGAGCAGGCTGAGCTTCTGACCCAAGTCCCACAAGAAAGGCCTCCTATGGATATCTTTAAGGCCATTTTCGACGACTCGGACTCTAGCTCGGATTCGGACGTAGGTATGGATGCAGACGACGCGGGAGTAAACACGACGGCACCAGGCCAGCCAGTTAATCCAGTCTCCGAGGCTTCCGCCATGGATCAAGATAAAGCTGATGTAGCGGTGGTGACACAGAGGATGGGAAACGAGTTGGAGGGGGATTTAGCTATGCCACTTCGGCACGTCTTTACAAAGAGGACAAGCAGACCGACCAGATCACCATCCCCACGAGCTGGCTCTCCAAACCAGGCGGCCAAAACAGGTTTAAGGCGCTTTGACGACCGAGCTCGAGATGTGGAGTCTGAAGTGGAGAGCGACGATGCCCAGATCGGGCCGAGGCTGGACCTCTCAGAACGTAGGGCAACGACAGAGTCGGCAGGACGGGCATTGTCAAGAAAACCTAGGTCGAGCGGCACAGACACCCGCCATCACCCGAACACATATCAGGAAATCGGTCCTGGGCATTCTACTCTCACTTCAAGATCTAACAATCGCGATTCAAGTGAGGAATTTATTGGTCCTCCTGTAGCGCCTACCAGTGCAGTGGAACCCACATTTTCAGCAGCCGAAGAATCAGGTCGTTCGGGTCAAGGGCGAAAGGAAGCTGATGATCGCGATCACGAGGCACGTCGTGAGTCTAGGAGTTCCAAGCAACACGAGTCTTTGGTATCTAGGAAGGACGAGAGCGAACGTACCCGGTCTAGAAAGTCGCGGTCTGAGCGCTCGTCAAGCTCACACCGCAGATCACTGTCTATCGAGCATAATTCTTCAAAGTCACGACGACGTGCGGAGGTGGTGGGCAATCACAGCACCGCCTCATCTGATAGCGATGACCATGCGCACCCCACTGAGTCACGATCAGATGGACCACTGTCTGCAAGGAAATCTGGGAAAAAGACGCGGGCAACCGACGACCGTGTTGGAGACCGAGAGGATGCGAACTCGCACAGTAACCGAGCAAGGAAGGATCGATCATCAACAAGGCGACATAAGGAACATCGGTCAAGGCCAAGCGATAGGGATAGAGAGTTAGGTCACGGCAGGAGCAGCAGCAGTCATCGTCACAAACACTCTCGAGCGGTGAGAGAACCCTCAAGACGCGATGACCGTGATCGCGATCCCACCCAGGAGCGTTCGAAGGACAGACATGCCAAGATGCATGAAGATGAGGATGATTCAGACAGCCTTTGGGTCGAGAAGGAAGTGACTAGCACTTTGGTCGAGGAGTCCGAAGCCCCCGGTTCTGTTGATTCCACACAGGCTGCCGTTTCTTCCAGGAGCCGACCAAGAGCGGCGGCGTTCTTTTGAGTGTCAGGATTTTTTTATTCCGAATAATAAACAACATCCGGTAACTTGCACTTCAGTCGTGTGACTAATGCTCTCGCCTCAGAAGACTTCAGGCCGCGATTCAGATTGCCTCGAACAACCTCTAGCCTACTCCACTCATGCGCCATCCAATCAACCTCAGCATCACCCATCTTGGTCTCCAAGTTTCGGATATCTAGTATTCTCAGCCTCTTTAAACTTGACAGCTTGTCCAGGTCATGAGCAAGGGTCATGTCAAGCCATTCATTGCCGGGACGCAATGTCGAGCCATCGGTTTCTCCAAGAGACAGGACTTCTAGACTTTTTAATCTAGACAGCTGTTCATAGATCAGACATCGGGTTTGGGCCGGAGAAGGGTACTCGCTGGAACAAAGCCTAACGATCGAAATGTCCAACTCCACCAGACCGAGACAGGCCCAGGGTCGATCTCCCAAAGATAGAGACGGTTGTCGGTGGCTCGGAACCGCAAGGGAGGATAAGGTTTCTCCTAGCAGGGTGTGGAGGAAGGGTCTGGCAATATCGCCCGCATCGATTCTGTTTGCGCTGAATCGCAGCAGCGAGGGCATACTGCTCAGCAGGGTCATGACCATTGTGCTGGTCACCTGGTGGCAATCGGACACTTCAAGCATGGTTATGTTCGGAGCATGATGCTCCAGCAATTGAGCACAGCTTTGAGGTCCGAATGGAGACGACTTGACATTGAGCGACGTAAGACCCGGAACCATGGTGAGAATATGGGCCATGTCTCCATCCTCGATATGGGAGTGTGCGACGTCCAGAGTTGTAAGGGAGGTGGGAGGGGGAAGAGCCGAAGAGAGCCAGGCCTGGACCAAGAGTTGGGTGCCACGTTTCCAGGTGAGCGTCTTTAACTTTGGAGCTTTGCGGATGAGTTCTAACTGACATAAGGGGGGTAGATCATTCCAAACCATGACCAGGGTTTCGAGATTTGGGAATGGGTCCAAGGTAGAGAATGCCTGGGCGGACTGTGTCGATTCATCGTACCAAGATCGATCGGCCACCTTGACACGGTCGAGTTCGAGTCTTTTGAGTGAGTGGGCAACTTTGGAGAAGACTGTTGTTGGAGGGTCGATCAAAACCGCTGGTCCAATGGCGAGGTCGGTCAAGTGAGGAACCATTTCGAGAACCATAAACAGTTGGCGGTGCCATAGTGCCTGGGCTTCCTGGTCTGCCTCTCCTCTACGGAGACGGTTGGATCGACAGCTGAAGGAGGTGAGGGTGTCGGCGTTTTGTTGGGTGATCATGAGGATCTCGGGACTAAGGAGGGAGACGCGAATGGAGGTCAGGCGTAGGGGTTGAGGGGTTGTTGAGAAGGCTAGAAACTTTAGGAGCGAGTTGGTGCCGGTCTGGACAAGGTGACGGATGTGATGGCGGTTTCGGAGACAGAGAGTAGGCGTTGGCTGGCGTGGGATGTGGTTGCAGGGTTGGTTCTGGAGAGTGAGAGTCTGCCAGAGAAGGGGCTCGAGAACGTTGTGCCAGAGTGAACAGACACGGAGAGAGGTAAGGAGGTTGGGGCGGGAGAGATGAAGACCGGAGAGGTGGATGACATCAGGGAGCATGCATGCGTTGATTCTTTCAGTGTTAGTGGTCATTGTTGATGAATGAATGAATGAATGAATGAATGCAGGTTGGTTGTATGGGGAGATTAGATGAATGGGGAGAGCATGGGAGTGAGAGAGAAGGAGGAGATGCTATGAAAGGAAGGGGAGAGGGAGAGAGAAAGAGAAGGAAAAGGAAGAGGGGTAGGGAAGGAAAAGGAAGAGGGGTAGGGAAGGACAAGGAACGTTGTGGAAGAAAGAAGAAGAAGAGGACGAAGAAGAAGAAGAAGAAGAAGAGCTAGAGAAGAAGAATGATATATCTCGTGTCTTGTTGGAGGCGTGGCGATATCGCTTGTGACGGGTGCTTTTTGGTTTGCATCTGGAGTTCTGGACCCTTATTTCTATTTCGCAGATGAAATTGATATTGGTCCCCTTTATTTCCTTGCTTTACTTTACCTTTTTTGCCTTTGGCTTTGGCTTTGGCTTTGCCTTTGCCTTTGCCTTGTCAATTTGACTCGCTGCCTCTGCCTTCTCTCTCTCCCCCCCTCAGTCCAACTTACTTTTCCCTCTCTTTTTTTTTTTTTTTTCTTTTTTTTTTCCCTCTCTTTTTCCTTTCTTTTTCCTTTCTTCTCTTTTTCATCATCATCTCCTCTCCTTTCTTTTTTTTTCTTTTTCTCCCCTTTCCCTACTTCCTTATCCCTTAATTGTCTCTTCTTCTATTCCATCCTCATCATCCTCATCCTCATCCTCATCCTCACCAACATCATCATCATCATCATAACCATCCGTCCTTCATCTAGCACTCAAGCAAACACTTATATATTTTCATCATCCCCTACCCACAACTAAGCCTGAGCTACAGTGCCCATCTCTACTGACACTAGCCCTGACCCTCACCCAACCTGGCCTAGCCTTGCTGATACTTCGACAATGTCTTCGTCGCCCTCGCACAGCTCCCGGTCCGATGGGCAGACGACCACTCTCGACTCGGCCTCAACTGACCCTGCCGCCGCCCTCCAACAGATAACCACCGAGCGAAACTCCCTTCGCTCCCAAAACGACCAGCTCTGGAAGATTATCGAGAAGCAGCGCTCCATCATCCAAAACCTCCAAAAGGACGTCGCTAAACTGTCCTCCGAGCGAGACCTCCTCCGCCACCACCTTACCCAACAACATCAGCACCATCTAGAGCAGCAGCAGCAGCAAACACAACTCAATGGCAACCAGCACTATCCACCCAAGGATCAACCGATCATTAATGGTAGCAGCAGCACGAGCACCGCTGGTACATCTTTGGCCCAGGTGAACGGTCACCATCTGCAGTCTAAACGGTCTCTTGAGCGAAAGGTTCAGGCCGCAGCTGAAGTTGACTCTGCATCTTTGTCATCCTCCGCTGTACCTTCACAGCCAACAACAACGACCGATATGGCCTCTTCGTCCCAATCTGCACCTTTCCATGATGACCTCGATGACCGTTCCTCAACAACATCCTTGGGCGACAAAGCATCAGACCAGAGTCTTGGCTTCAACAACCCACCCCTGACACATTCTACACTCTTCAACGATAACGATACCGACAGCCAAGGAGTCAGTCACCCAGTGGTCGAGGCTATGGCTCCCTACGAACAAGACCCAGTCGATGCCAGTGATAACACCTTTTCCCACATTTCCGGCAACAATTCTGCTCGACCTTCAATGTCGAACGACGACAGCACTGGATTCAACGCCAACTACGACCCCGAGATCCAGATCGCCACTACGGCGAGCCGGATCCAACACCAGTTAGGCACCACAGCTTCTCCTGCCATCTTCGTCGACAAAGATGCTCGTACCATTCCTGTTCGTTCAGATTCGAGTTTGTCATATACTGGTGAGTGACCACATTTCTTTCCTTTTTCGACCCGTGGTAACGGAGAATGAAAGTGGAGTCGGTTCGTGTATGGAAGAGAGAACTGCACAGTCCATCCGACTTGGATTTCGCAACAGCAACAACAGAACTTATAAGGACGTCCGAGTTGACCCAGGTAACTAATTCGTCGCATTGCTTCCTCTTTCTCTCCCTCTCTCCTCTTTTCTTCTGCAACCTCACACAGGTCAGTCGTATTCGTCGGCTGGCAATAGTCCTACAGCAAGCAGGAATGTCTCTGCCAACTTGATGAGCGGACCTCTCTCGCCTCTCATGCCACATTTGCCGCCCCGATCACCCAGAAGAGAGCGCAGGGACGCAAATGACAACCCCGCATCGCCTGCTGTCTCAGACAATGAAGACGACAGCGCCCCTCAGGGTTCTCGCAAAAAGGGATTGGCGTTTTCCAAGCTCTCAAATCACGAACAGGACCAGGTCACGACTTCCAGCCCTTCTGACTACAAAGACTCCATTTCGAACGACTTCTCTCAAGCAACCAACACATCTCATTTGGGCACAAGCCCTGTCACCCGCAAGACTATCTCTGCCCAAATCCCCACGATCCCCTCCTCGTTCTCGCATTCTTCATTCACATCAGAATCGCAAGGCGCTTTCACCTCGCCTTCTGTTTCGCTTAGCTCTCCCGCAGTGACCTCGAAAGTCGCCTCAACACCCGCCTCGCCCATTGCGACCATTATTGACCAGGATGCAGAGAAATTCAGGATCTACATGAACAAGCTCAACAACCCTGGCCGCAAAATCATTTCTGCCCCCATTCAGATTGTAGGAGAAACGAATGACCACGCGTCAGCGCTTGGCCAAGCAGTTGCCATGGATAACATCCAAACTCAGCTCGAGCTTCAGAGCCAGCTCATGGGGCAAGTTCAAGGTAAAGCTCGCACGTTTTGTCCTCTTTTTTTTTTTTTTTTTTTGTGTGTATTTCTCAGTCTTAAGACGTACTGACTGAAGGGAGAGGCCATTGCGCGCATTTCATATATAGGACATGGTGGCCGCAGCGGTCTACACACAGCGCAGAACCAAAGACCTGGATATAATGTCTCTGCGCCCATCAACATCCAATACGATGGCCAACCCACAGCAGACTCTAGCAACATGGGACGCGCTTCCAGTGAGGCCAAGGATCACCATTCCCTGGCGGATCTTTCTGAGAAAAACTCTAGCCAGCTTTCGCTTCCTTCGGACACCCGCAGCAAGAGACGAGAGTCGTCGTTGCAGCTATTCGACGACTATCCCAAAATTGGCGCGCGCTCTGCCTCTCAGAATCATCGCGACGACGACGACTCGGCCAGCAGCAGTCATGGGGCCATCCCTATCCCTCCAAGGAGGTACGATTCTCAACAGCAACAGCAGCAATCAGATCAACTGCAGGCATTAGAAAATGGGCGACCAGCTCGTGGAGCCTCGCCAACCCCTTCCGGCAATTCATCAGTAACGAACACGCTCTCGAGCGCCCAACCCTCACTCAGTGGCTCTCGCTCAGGGCCGACTTTTCATCAGCAGGCATTCAGCATGTTTGCCGACAATCTGGAGTTTGTGTCAGTCCTTGTCGTTGGCAGTAATATCAACACTAACGATCGAGGCAAGGAACAGCTGACATTTCTCATTTCAATCGGCCAGGAGGTCCAAGGAGAATTCGACGACAATTACCCGCACGACGAGGCGCAGGAACTGTGGAGGGTTGAGAAGCAGTATTCTGACTTTGTAAACCTCGATGCAAAGGTAAAACGCGCAATTCAACGCTGATCTTTTAATGCAATCAATACAATATATTAATTATGTATTATTTATTTAAACTTTAGCTGAGGGTTACACAATCGCGAAACATTGTCAACTCGCTTCCAAAGCTTCCCGACAAGGGCCTTTTCAGCACTCATGCGCCATCCAAGGTCGATGCCCGAAAGCGTGCTCTTGAACAGTACCTGCAGCAGGTGACCTCTCTCCGTATCAAGGACACCCGGGATCTATGCGAGTTCCTGAGCACCAATGTGGTGGAACGCGAGAGACTGCGAGAGGGCGCTGACGCTGGCTGGAAGGAAGGGTATCTCACAAAGCGCGGAAAGAACTTTGGAGGCTGGAAAACTCGCTACTTTATTCTCAAAGGGCCTGTACTGGAGTACTATGACAGCGTAAGTGCACGGTCAAAAGCAGGCACCTTTGAATGGAGATGTAATACAACAGGAAGGACGATTGTACGCAATTTCAAACTAACGATTGGTATTTTTTTTGGTTGCTATTGATGTCGAGTAGAAGGATGGACATAACCTGGGATCTATCTCTTTGACGCATGCACAAATCGGCAGACAGCAATCGCAGGAAAAATCACAGGACGCTTCAGCAGACAGCAGCAAGGACAACTCTTACGACCCCAATTCATACAGACATGCCTTCCTCATTCTCGAACCGAAAAAGGGCCAAACAGTGGTAGACGCCAAGAAGAACCCAAACAATGTCATTCGCCATGTGCTCTGCGCAGAGACCGACCTTGAGAGGGACGGCTGGGTCGAGGCGCTACTCGTCCATGTCGGCAAGGAGAACACTGAGAACACAGAGACCAGCAACGACCGTGGTGGAAGGAAGTTACCGGACATTCAAAAAGTGAGCGCCACGCCCATTAAGGAGCTTCCGTCAGGAAAGGGCACCGAGAAACTGCTGATGACCCAGGAGGCCTATGAACGCCAGCAACGATCTCTCCCAGCAGGCATTCAAGGACGAGGGGCATCGCTTCCTCAATCGCCTACAATGCAGGGCAACAATCCAGACGAGAGACCTTCGGGTGAACTGTCTCTGACAGACGCCCAACAGCCACCCAGTTCGAAAGGTTCGCAGCAAGGACAGCCTGGATTTCCAAAGAACCCTTCTACACAGTCGTTACCTCAAGACGAAGTATGTATACAACTGCAGCAGATTGCCATTTTTGATAAATCGAATTGTACGACTTTTGCTACAACGCACTAACTAAGATGTCGATGTACTTCATTCCGTTATTATCAGAGCGCCAATAAGTCGCCTGAAAACCAGTCGACCTCTCCGTTTTTGTCGACAAGCGATCCTGCGGAGAAAAAACAAAAGTCTCGGATGACATTCTGGCCAAAGAAGAGTACTCGCGAGGAGACGCCGACTCCAGTCCCATCGACAGGAGGCGCTTCAAGTGGACAACACGGTAATGGCACGCCGGCCACATCAGGAACACAGGATTCCTCCAGGATTCGCAACTTTTTGGGCAAGAGCAGCGGCAACACGAGCAATGGCAGTCTGAATGGTGGTATCAGCAGCGCCCCTCCAGGGCTGACCATTAGCTCTGGATCCTACCCATCTCTCGCACCTATTCGGCAGGTTTTTGGTGTTACTCTTGAGCAAGCATTAGAGCAGGGCATTGTGCAACCAGGCTACATGCTTCCGGCAGTTGTTTACCGGTGCATCGAGTATTTGAATGCACACAAGGCCAAGGAGGAGGAGGGAATCTATCGACTAAGTGGCTCGACGGCTGTGATCAAGAGCCTGAAGGAGCGGTTCAACCATGATGGCGACTTTCCTTTGCTGGCAGAGGAGGATTACTATGACATCCATGCTGTGTCGGGACTCTTGAAGCTGTTTTTGCGGGAACTCCCTTCGTCTGTTCTCACGCGAGAGCTCCACAAAGATTTCCTTCAAGTTATCGGTACGTGTCTTTTTTCTTGGCTTGTTAACCGTTGCGTTGCTTCTCTATGCTTAATTAGCTTCGTTATATACGTATATGGCCCTTCTGTGCTTCCTTCCCTTGTTAGCTGGCTGTTGCTGGCTGTTGAGACATTTTTTGCGTATCCTTGTTTATGTTTACGGAGCCTGACTAGGTTCTTGTTTTTGTCACTATTCATCTATACTCGTGAATTTAGAATTAGCAAACAGAACGGATCGTGTGGATGAGTTAACGCGACTGGTGGCAAGTTTGCCTGAGGCCAACTACACGCTACTCCGGGCACTGACGGCGCATTTGATTGAGATTGTTGATAATGCGGATATCAACAAGATGACGGCACGGAATGTGGGTATTGTGTTTTCGCCTACCCTGGGGATCCCGGCTGGGGTGTTTGCGCTGCTAATGTCGGACTTTGACCAGATCTTCCACACCCACGATGGACGGATCATGCCCCTCGAGAACAGCGATCAACAACAACAACAACAGCAGCAGCAGCAGCAGCAGCAGTACGACGAATCCGGCGCGTCTGTGCCTGACGCTGTTCTTCCATCAGAACCCTTTTCTTAATTAATGAACGAATAACACTTAATATATATATTAATATTTGTGTGTGTTTGTGTGTGTGACACTTTGTGTGCGTGCAGTACCACTGCCACGTCTCGCGTCTCCCTTGGCTTATTTCGCACCCCTCGTTTTTTCTCCTTTTCTCCATCCCTCTTTCCTTTATCCTTCTTACTTCTTTTTTTCTTCCTTCTTCCTTCTTCCTTCTTCCTTCTTCTTCTCTCTTCATCAACAACATCAACAAAATCAACAACATCAACAACATCAACGACCAACGGGACCAACCAACCAACCAACTATATACGCTTGGCTACCTTCAGTAGTAACAACCATGCCGGACAACGAACTTATCGCCGCTTACAAGAGCGTGCCCATCGTCACTAGGTCAATGCTCACCGCCACCATCCTCATCTCCCTCGGGGTCACCGTCCACATCATCCCCTACAGCCTCATCTACCTCGACTGGTCCTCAATCCTCTACCGCTTCCACGTACGTCTTCTTCCTCTCTCTTCTTCTCCCTCGTCGTTCTTCTTCCTCTTTGCCTGATTTGTTTTCTGTTAAGGTAATGCATAAGTAAGAGAATATTCACGCACTCACTCTACAACACCACACTTTACACCGATGCCATTATTAGATCCATAGGCTATTCACACCGTTCTTTATCACCGGTGTCAACTTTACAATGCTCTTTGATCTCTACTTTCTGTTCACATACGGATCCCAGCTCGAGAACTCGACCTTTGCAGGCCGGTCTGCGGACTTTGCCTGGTTCATCATCTTCACCTCCCTCGTTTCATCCGTAAGTATCTCTCTTATTCGAAATCCATTAAGTGTTTTATATCTGCTTGAAGCAAGGAATGTTATATTAATCAAGCGCCTTGCGCCTTTTGACAATACTATTTTGGTCCTTGGATACTTGGACACCACCACTACTACTACTACTACTACTACTACCGACTAATAGATCGTTGCGCACTACATGAGGATTGCGTTCTTGTTCCAGTCGCTGCTGCTCTCAGTGATCTATCTCTGGTCGCAGGCAAACTCTGACAGGATAGTCTCTTTCATGTTTGGTATCCAGTTCAAGGTAAATCGATGCGAGAAGGAGTGGAAGAAGGAGAAGAAGACGATAAAAGAAGAAGCAGGAAGAAAAGACAGAAGAGATTGCTAACAAACTGTTTTTGTAAATTTATACGATTTATATGATGTAGGCGGTGTATTTCCCATGGGTGCTGGTGGCGTACAATGCGGTGATGCAGGGTGCGGCGATCCCCTGGGAGATGCTGATTGGGATAGCATCGGCCCATGTGTACTACTTTCTTGACTCTGTGTATCCAGCCATGGGCGGGCCGAGGCTAATCCCTACGCCAAGGCTGCTGTACAGAGTGCTGCCTGCGCAGGAGGTTGCCGGGGCAGGATTCACAGGGGAAGGAAACACGGCGAACGTGTTCCGGACAGGACAGCAGGGCGGCACGGCAACGGAGAACACGGCAGGCCACCGCTGGGGCTCTGGCAACCGCCTTGGCTGATGTGCCATGTCGTTTCTATTGCCCGACCACCCATAGTTAGAATATTTGTACCTGAAAAACTTGATTGAAAACGTTATCATTCCCGTGTAGCTCTTGCGATCCGCTTCTCGATCCCTCTTTTCTTCGTCGAGATACGGCCATTTACATCGATATCACCCTGCAATTTGGCCCTCTTTTTCTTGAGGTTTTATTCAGCATAACTTCCTCTATTCAACCAGCGTGTTCTTTTTGCTCAGTTGCACCTCCTCGTCATTGGCATGGGAATATGATTTGCGTGAATTAGTCATCTGGTTTTTTTGCCACCGGGGTGTTATTCAGCGAGCTCATTTCTCTCAGACTGCAGTCAAACACCTCTCCTAGCGGCTGTTTCTGTGTTTGCCATTCCCGGTCATTAACATGAAAAGTGGAGGATGGAGATGGCAAGGAGAGTTACATGGAAAAGAAGATGGACAAGAAATTATCGAATTGTTCACGTACAACTCCCACACATTGGTACAATGGGTGGTCGAGCAATAGGTCAGAACTTAATGCACGTCTCTACTGCGACACTCGGTCGTTAACCGTCCCTGGCCTAAAGAGTTGAAATAAAAATGTGTTTTATCACTCCCTCTCTCTCTCTCTCTCTCTCTACATCCACCCCCTTTCTTGTCCTCTCATCATCCTCTCATCTTTTCTTCGCACTCCCACTGTCCCTCTTTCCTCTTTCCCTCTTTCCCTCTCCCTCTCTCTCTCTTTCTCTCCCACTCTTCCTTCTCCAATCGACTCATCGCATCGCATCTCTCTCAATCCTCAGCACCGTCTCCCTCTCCTCTTTGCTCGTACAAGCAAAACTGGCACGCCATCTCCCAATAGGTCCCATCCCTACTTCATCAATTGCACATCCTTCCCTCTCCTTCCTCAACAAAGGATGATTAGCGCCTTCTTCATCTATAACCAGAAGGGTGAGGTCCTCATCTCACGCCTCTACCGCCAGGATCTCAAGTAAGCACATCCCAGTCAACCTGCCTCTGTCCGTGCTTGGCTACCAGCTTCTTTTTTGTTGGCAATCCTTCTCTCGTTTTCCCTAACACACCTTGTTGGCTGGCACACCCCTGTCTACTATTAGGCGCTCGATTGCAGACATCTTCCGTATCCAGGTCATATCCAACACGGACGTGCGCTCACCCATCATCACCTTGGGTTCGACCTCATTCTTCCACGTCCGCCACGAGAATCTCTATATCGTCGCCCTCACAAAGTGGAACGCCAATGCCGCCCTGATCTTTGAATTCTGCTATCGGGTCATCAACGTCGGTCGCTCGTACTTTGGCAAGTTTGACGAGGAGGCTGTCAAGGCCAACTTTGTCCTCATCTACGAGCTGCTCGATGGTATGTCAAACAACTTTGCCCTTTTTCTTTTTTCTCCCGTTTTTCTGGCTTACCTCTCTCTTGCTCCTCCACTTTGTTATTTTTACACATTATTCGTCTTTTTGAATTTGTCTGGATGCTCTTAATTTTGTGTCACAACCTTCTCCAAAGCAACTGGCCAAAAAAAAAAAAAAAAAAAAAAAAAAAAGCCGCTGTATTAAGATCGGACCCTTCAACTCGCTCTCTCTCTCTCTCGCTTTTGTAGAGGTGTTGGACTTTGGATACCCGCAAAACAGCGAGGCAGACACGCTCAAGATGTACATCACCACCGAGTCCGTAAAGTCCGAACGGGCGGTCATGGAGGATTCGGCCAAGATCACCATCCAGGCAACAGGAGCAACATCCTGGAGAAGGAGCGACGTCAAGTACAGGAAGAACGAGGCCTTTATCGATGTCATCGAGTCTGTTAATTTGCTCCTCAGTGCTCAAGGAAATGTTCTCAGGGCAGACGTCGCAGGACAGATCATGATGCGAGCCTATCTCTCAGGAACACCCGAATGCAAGTTTGGACTGAACGACAAGGTGCTCCTGGAGAAGGATCCTTCCAACCGCAGGTACATGCAACGATTACCGGATGATTGGCAGCGGCCATCTCTTGCATTGTTTCCTCAGTTAACTAAAAGCGACTATTTCCAAAGGGACATTTCACGCATTGCTAAACAACCACATATGTTATTATGCACCCCCACTGTCTCGCTTACATCGATAGGAAAACATCCAACACTGTCGAGATTGACGATTGCCAGTTCCACCAATGCGTCAAACTCGGAAAATTCGACAGCGATCGCACTATCAGCTTTATCCCTCCCGATGGCGAGTTTGAGCTCATGAGGTACTTCTAGTGGCGTACAATACTGTTGTTTCACTCTCGTTCTCATTTATGGAATATGCACGATAACTCTTGGAGCACGCGTTTTCGTGACCCTTGGAGGATGTCTCAAGGAAAACTGACACCCTTTGTGTGGAAAAAAAACAGGTACCGGACATCGGACAATATCAACCTCCCATTCAAGGTCCATCCCGTTGTCACTGAGATTGGAAAGTCCAAGATCGAATACAGGATCTTGGTGAAGGCCAACTTTTCGCCCAAACTGTACGCCAACAACGTGGTGCTCAATATCCCAACACCACTCAACACTGCAGGAGTTACATGCACGGCCACGTCAGGCAAGGCCAAATACGTACCAGCAGAGAATTCTATTATCTGGAAGTAAGTATTTTGGCGCTACATCATGTCTTACTGTCGTAGTCAGTCTTCATCTTGCTCGTTTGATTGCTATTTATTTCGTACGTACAGCTGGTGATCGCACAATGACTATTTACCATTGTTAATCCATTTCTTTTGAATCGATCCTAGGATTCCACGCTTCCAGGGACAGTCTGAGTTTACGCTGACGGCCGAGGCCAACTTGACGGCAATGACGCACAAGAAGGCGTGGTCGCGACCCCCGATCTCGATGGACTTTCAAGTACTCATGTTCACATCTTCAGGACTGCTGGTTCGGTTTTTGAAGGTCTTTGAGAAGAACAACTATCAGTCTGTCAAGTGGGTACGATATATGACCAAAGCCGGCAACTATCAAGTCAGGGTAAGTTTTTTTTTTTTTTTTGCCACGTAGTCCTGTCAATGTGGTCAATTGGTTCTTTTGGATTTCTTTTTTGCACTTATTGATCGTTGTTGTTGTTGCCCAAGTACATGTCGCTAACTTTTCTCTCTCTCTCTCTCTCTCTCTCTCTCTCTCTCTCTTCGTGTCTCCACTTTAAAAAGTTCTAAGATGTGAGTTTGATGTAGAAAATAAAACGCTTTTCGATTGACTACTGTACGCTGCATTAATGAGGAAAAAGGTATCATTGGTCGATTTATTCAAAATTGTTCAAAGACCTTCTTGACCTGCTCCATAAAGACAAATGTGAAGATGGTGTGAGGCCTAGACACAAAAGAGCGGGGGGGGGGGGGGGGGGGGGGGGTCGATGGAATGGTGGGAATATTAGTCAAAGGGTAATCGTTAAACCTTTTATCCGCAGAGATCCTCAAGTTTCCGAAGCGCATAACGATTTAAAAAAGAGAAAAAGAAAAAAGAAAACTTACCCGATGCGAAGATAATGTGCGGTGAATCCCTTATAAAGGGCCGAGGGGCCCTCGGCCTTGATGGTCTTGACCAGACAGTCTGCAGGACTCTTGTAAAGCGAGCCACCCTGGTTGAACATTCTCGTGGAAATAATGTCAAAGGGGTTCATGACGATGCAGAGGAAGAATCCCGAGATCAAGCTGCTGAGTCCGTGGCAAAGGGCACCATTCTCGAGTCCGCCAATAGTGATCATCTTTTGTTTGACAACATCGTAGAGGGGTAATTGAACGGCCGATCCTGCTCCTGTTCTCATCATGGAGGCATCGACACCTCGGTAGATACCCCGAAGCCCCTCTGTCTTGTAAATATGTCTCAAGGCGTCAACAGTGTGTTTGTAATAGTGCTGCTGTCCGACCCTGGAGGCTTCGTTAGAAGAATAAGATTGTAACCGGGTCTTGACGAGGAACAGTGGTGAGGCCAAGGCGGCGGAGAGAATGCCTCCGATGCCTCCAGCAGCAATATTGACAACGTTATTGTTTTTGGTGGGGTCAGTTTTAAGAGCGGCGTGGATGGTGTGTTTGATGGGGTCGTAGAGGCCAAGTCGGGTGCCGTTCATCATGATTTGGTACATGTAGGCGCATCCTAGTCCACGCTGGAGTCCGCGAATGCCTTCGTATTTGGCAATGTGGAGGAATGCTTGGCCCGAGTTTGTGTAGATCCGCTTGGAGCCTGGGACCTGGCGCATCAATTCTCCTTGCAGCTGCAGTCTTGTCTTGATGACCTGTGTTTGTAATACGTGAATGAAGGGGGGAAGGGATTAGATATTAATTAGTCATGACATGGCCATTGTGGATGTGTACTCCTTCCTTATGACTCGTGTATCTGCGCAAAAAAAAAAGAAAAGAAAAAAAAAAAAAAAAAAAAAAAAAGAGTGATCTCACATACCTCAGCGGGGTTGGTGATGGTGACAGCTCCACAAGCGGCGATTCCTCCAGCGAGGAAGCCGAGGGCGGCAGAGGGCTTTTTAGTAGGGGGGGAGACCATTGTTGAGACGATGGGGCTGTTGACCAAGGAAGATGCTGCCGTTGTTGGGGAGGGGAGGAATGCAGGAGGAGGGGATGATGATGCCATTTTTTTTGTGAATGTGCGGTGTTGATTGTAGAGTGGAGAGTGGAGAGGGATGGGATGATTAAGAGAGGGATGGAAAAGAAGGAAGGAACAAGGGGGTGTTAAATAATAGAGAACGAAAGTAAACGACCGTTGAAGGGCGAGATGAGAGAGAGGGAGTGGAAAGGAGAGGGAGTGAGAATGGCAAGTGTTACAAGGGCAGGGCAGGGCAGAGAAGAGCAGCGAATCAGAATGCAGGCCACCAAATTAGTAGTATGAACAAAATGATTCATTGTTGTCTCTTGCTCGCTGCAGCATCGAGGAAAGGGGTTATTTATTTGAACAACTGCTATTCTCATTATGCCACAACGAGCACAAGGGAGAAGGAAAGGAAAGGAAAGGAAAAAATAAATAAAGTAAAGAAGTAGAACGAAGGAACCGGCTAAGCAAGTGTCAGCGCAGATATCTCTGAATGTACTATTGGTTCACCGCAGGAAGTGCGCGACGGCAGTCTGGTCGGGGAGATACATCTCGCCAATGCCAAGATGATCCGCCACCTCCGTCGCAGGCCGGTTCACAAGCTAGTCCTTATTATTACTACTATTCTCGTTGGAAGAAGGACAAGGAACCTGATGGTGCTTGTGATGTTCATTCGGGTCCTGTCCCGGGGGGCTGTATGCCGAGAGCCCGTCCTGTCGATCCGGATACCCAGACGCATCTGTCGTCGTAAACGAACACGACCCTGCTGGCTGCTCAGGTCGGTATGCTCCTGCAGCCTGATTTGGGTCCAGTGGCACCTGCTGTTGCTGTTGTTGTGTTTCCTGTTGTTTGCTTGCAGCGGTGTCGCTGTTGTTCATGTCGCTGTTCATGGTCCTGTACACCGGAGGGTGGGGGGGAGTAAAAGTTGTGGTAATAGTTTGAATGTCGAAACGTAAGGGAGGAACAATGAGAAAGCAGAAAGGAAGGAAGAGAGTCAGTATGGTAGAAGGACTGGGAGAAGGTGGAGGTTAGGGCTTGAGTGTTGAAAGAGGAAAAGAAGGGAAGAAAGGAAGAAAGGAAGAAGAGAAGAAGGGAAGAAGAGAAGAAGAGAAGAAGGAAAGAAGAAGGAAAGGAAAGGAAGAAACGAAAAGAATGAAGAATGGCATCATTATGATTCGATAAGCCTTATTTTTCTGGGCTAGTTGAAACGCGCCTATGATTTACTTTAGTCTAGCCATTGTACGCGTAGTTTTCTATGTATTCCTAATATCAATGGTGGCGGTATGTACGTCAATGGCATGGCCTGATAGCATGATGCGATGGACAAGGCGCACGAGTGACTAACGGCTCTTTTTATTATTATTTTTTGGGTTTGCTGCAGATTGCAACGGATTAGACTAGGCAGAGGAGAGGAGAGGCGAGGAGAGGAGAGGCGAATGGCTGAGTCAAGGGATGAGGCTTGAGCTTTGTGTTCCTGTGTGTCAAGGCGAGTGAGTATATAGAGCAGGGAAGAGAAGAGAGAAGAGAAGAGAAGAGAAAAGAAGAGAGAAGGAAAGAGAAGAAAGGGTAAGAGAGGAGAAGGGGGTGAGAGGCCTGGGTGGGGGAGGCCATGGCTTGCACAGGCGGAGGAGGTGCAGCTTAGAAGATTGTCTGTTGGTTTGGTGGTGGGTGGTGATGTGATCGGTCGGGAAGGACAGATAAAGAGTAATAGCAGGGCGGAGTTGTTTTTTATTCTATCTGGCTTGTGTAAAGAAGCGGCACCCTTAAGGAATAAGGAAGGGTACAGTCAGATCAGATAGATCACAAATTCGTGGGGTAAACGTTTGGAGCGTCTTGGTCTTTTGTCTCGAACAACGAGCGAACGGGGCGAGTAGGGTGAGTGTTGGTGATGGACTGATGGTATAATATGATACGATATAGAAAACGATTATTCATTTATTCATTCAGCTGATTCGGTCTTTGATCTCATATGTAAAATAGAAATAAAAAGAGGCTTGGATCACTTTACTCTTGCTGGGACTGGGGTGTGGCGCGATTTGGTGATGATTTACAATACGCATTACAGTGCAGAGTACAGACGCGCGGAGAGATAAGGGGCGAGTTTTAGATGGGACTTTCTTATTTTCTGTCATTTTTATTCCTCTCACTTCCTCTTCCCTTCCTTTCTTTTTTCTTCTTTTTTTTTTTTTTTTTCTCACCAACAACCATCCTCTCCCCAACCCCCCTCTCAACACACTCACACCCAAAACACTCAACATGTCTGCCGTCGCTGCTGTGTATGTATACCATCAAATCATTTCTCCAATTTCCTTTCGTCTTCCTTCCTTCCAACTTGCACCAACCCTGCGCAGTGGTACCCTTCTCCTTCACACACGTACTCTCTCTCTCTTTTGCTCGCGCTCTAACTAACTCACACCCTTCTTCTCTTTTGTATGAAAAACACTCCACTCATCACCATGATATTCTAACAATAGTGCTGATATCGGTCTCATCGGCCTTGCCGTCATGGTAACCCCTTCGATACCTTGCTTTCTTGCTTATTCGAAAACGATATTTACAAGAGAGAAAAAAAAACCAGTGCGATCGCGAATCATCAAATCTTCATTTCTCACGCCTTTTCTCTTCACCTACCCTTCTCCCTATCATGCCACCATTCTACATCGTGTCCTCTCTCTACCGTATGAACGATCGATCGTTCGATATAATAGGGCCAGAACCTGATCTTGAACATGAACGACAACGGATTCACCGTCTGCGCCTACAACAGAACCGTCTCCAAGGTCGACCACTTCCTCGCCAACGAGGCCAAAGGCACCAACATCGTCGGCGCCCACTCGATCGAGGAGTTCTGCAAGAAGCTCAAGCGTCCCCGTAAGGTCATGATGCTCGTCAAGGCCGGTCAGGCCGTCGATGACTTTATCGACCAGGTCCTTCCCTTCCTCGAGAAGGGCGACATCATCATCGACGGAGGCAACTCCCACTTCCCCGACACCATCCGCCGCACCAAGGAGTTGGAGGCCAAGGGTTTCCTCTTTGTCGGATGCGGTGTCTCTGGAGGTGAGGAGGGTGCCCGTTACGGTCCCTCCATGATGCCCGGTGGATCCAAGGAGGCCTGGTAAGCAATCCTCTTTTCCTTGTTGTTTTGTTATATACTTTCTCTATTCAATCCTCTCAGCAACTTTGTGGACGTGTTCCATTTAAAGATGTTCTTCGTTCATACGGCATACCCACGTCAATTTGGTTCCATTCATCAATATCATCCCTTGCTTTTTTTATGCGCGTGTTTCTTCTATCATGCCGACTCAACACCCATATCCCTTTTTTTGCAATGTTTTTTCCCACGGATTTCATGAACGTCGAATAACAATAATCATATCTACAATATAGGCCCCATGTGAAGCCCATCTTCCAGGCGATTGCTGCCAAGGTCGATGGCGAGCCCTGCTGCGAGTGGGTCGGTGAGACTGGCGCTGGTCACTACGTCAAGATGGTCCACAACGGAATCGAGTACGGTGACATGCAGATGATCTGCGAAGCCTACCACATCCTCAAGGAGGCCCTCGGACTCACTGCCGACGAGCTTGGCGACATCTTTACCGAGTGGAACCAGGGCGAGCTCGATTCGTACTTGATCGAGATCACCCGCGACATCCTCAAGTTTAAGGACACAGATGGCTCTGCCTTGGTCGAGCACATCAAGGACACCGCTGGCCAGGTAAAGACAATGTTTGGACCGATCACCCTCCGACTTGGAGTTCGTTCTTTCTCTTTCTCTCTCTCTCTCACTCTCTCTCTCTCACGCACAGTCAATGTGGTGGAGGTGGTGCTCTTTTTTTGCTGTTTTGTTTACGTCTTCTCCTTTCGTCCCACTGGATGGCATGACTATTCTTTTTTCCTTGGTGTTTGTTTCAATATGAACAAAAGGATGGTTTATTTTTCCCTTCATCTTCGCGTCATCAACCTTTGAGTTGAGAACCAACGCTGTGAAGTATTTGTGCTCATTCACTAATACAAACTCTCTCCTTTTTCTATTGAAAAACAAATTTTGTGTTCGTGCGAGTAGAAGGGAACTGGAAAGTGGACCGTCGTCTCTGCCCTCGACAACGGCATGCCCGTCACCCTCATCGGTGAGGCCGTCTTTGCCCGCTGCCTCTCGGCCATCAAGGACGAGCGTGTCCGCGCCTCGTCGATCCTTTCGGGACCCAACGCAAAGTTCACTGGCGACAAGAAGCAGTTCATCCGTGATGTTTCCAAGGCCCTCTATGCTTCCAAGATCATCTCCTACGCCCAGGGCTTCATGCTCATGCGCGAGGCCGCTAAGGAGAACGGCTGGCACTTGAACAATGCTGGCATTGCCCTTATGTGGCGCGGAGGCTGCATTATCCGCTCTGTCTTCTTGGGCGACATCAAGGCTGCGTACACCAACAACCCCGAGCTCGAGAACTTGCTCTTTGATCCCTTCTTCACCAAGGCCGTGAGTGAGGCTGCGCAGGGCTGGAGAAACGTTGTTTCGCAGGGCGCTCTTTTGGGTGTTCCTACTCCTGCGATCTCGTCTGCGTTGGCGTTCTTTGATGGATACAGACACGCTGTTCTCCCTGCGAACTTGTTGCAGGCCCAGAGAGATTACTTTGGAGCGCACACGTACCAGCGCCTGGACAACGAGTCGTGGGTGCACACCAACTGGACTGGTCGTGGAGGCAACGTTGCGTCGAGCACCTACCTCGCCTAAGCCCTTCTAAGCCCTTTTTTTAAGCGTCCACCTTGTAAATAAACATTTGCCTTCAATGTGACTGTCTTCCACTGCCATGCCAATGATGAATAAACAAAGCCTCTTTTTTTCTTTTTGCCTCTGTGGACTTCATCAGCAAACACAATTTCAAACATATTCTGCAAAGAACATCATTCATTACCTTCAACACTTACACACACATTCTCTCTCTTTTGACAATGCCGCCTAAGATCACCCAACAACAACAACAGCAGGAGCCGCTCTCTCCGACGCTGTCCGCAAACCACAGGAATGCAACAAACGCCCTGCTCGCCTCCCTCGCTGGCCTCGAGTCCATGCTCGCGCCCCTCTTCGCCTCCACCTCCGCCCTCTCCGAGACCGTCGCTAAGCTCGACACCGAAAAGAGGTGCCAGCTTGAGCTCCTCCTCGCCTACGCCCTCAACACTCTTGTTTTCAGTACGTCACCCTGTCGTCGTAAAAGTGGTTATCCATTTTCAGCTTGTTGTTTGTTATCTTTGTGCAAACTAACATTGACCATTTTCAACCCTTCTTGTCCTATCTGTCTTATTTTTTACTTACTCAGTCAACCTCAAGACAAATGGAACAGCACCTGCAAGCCATCCAGTAATGCATGAGCTGGTAATTGCATTGAAACGTAGACAAAGGGTCTTCGTCTTTTTCGTCGTCTTCTTTTGTCGTTCATGCCATTTTGTCACCCTCCATCGATACAACTTACTGACCCTTTCTCGACTTCAACGATAATAGAAACGCATTAAGGGATATACCGAGAAACTGCGCCAAGTGACACAGGGCGCTCCAACGAGCACGATGGAAGTTAACAAGGATGCGGCAGCACGGTTTATCAAGGGTGCACTGGCGGCCAATCTTGTGGCGGATCGGAAGGCGGCGGAGGAACAAGATCCACAGGGAACCCATGTGCGATTCGAGCATGGGTCATCATCAACAACAACAACGACAACAACAGCAGCAACAACAGGAACTTCCTCTTCCTCGTCATCAACATCACCATCAGCAAAAGCAGCAGCAGCAGCAGAGACAGAAACAGCAGCAGCACAAGTAGGAGAAGAATCATCAGCAGCAGGGCAACAGCAACAGCCCCAAATGAAGAAGCGGGCCATGGACCCTTTCCATGGATACGACGGCAACAAAAAGTCCAAACCATAAAAGCACAGCCTACCCCTAGAAAGGCCAATAAAAAAACGAAAATGAGGTTTTGCCATCTACCCATGGTGAGAGTGTGCGTCTCAAGCAACATACACACATCGTTCTCGCTGTCTGTCTCCTGCTTCGCCCTCGTTCTTCCACTCCTCTGCCTCCTTTTCCCCACATACCCCAGCTCACTTTTTTTTCCTTCCATTTATGATAATTCCCCTGCGCCACACGACATAAAAACACAAACGCATCGTCCGTCATCCTCCTTTCTACCCCCTGGCTTTCCTCATCACTATTTCCTTATTCCCCTCTTCTTCCTCCTCTTCCTCCTCTTCCTCCTCCTCCTCTCTCTCCCTCTCTTCTTTCTTTGTATTCTCTTCTTGTACAGTTTTTTTTTCCTTCATTCTCTTTCTCTGTCATTCTCCCAGATGCATAAACTGTTCCATGGACACGGAGGACGCTCCCACACGCCATCCCATGTCAACAAGCCCCTGCCCGAACCCCTCGTCGACCCAGACGAGGGCAAGACGCCCATTGGTATTACCACTACCCATTCTTCTTCTTCTTCTCTTCACACTTTTACAAGCAAACTACTAACACTGGACACCTTATTTTACAGGAGAACTGGTCATTGTTCCTATCCAAGGCCGTGACCTGCCCAACAGAGAACGCTTTGGCAAGCAGGACCCCTTCATCCTCTTCAAGCTCGGCAATGTGTCCAAACGCTCCTCGACCGATGTACGAGGCGGGCAGCGTCCTCGCTGGAAGGACGACCAGGTCAGCACCAAATATCTTTTCCTCGCTCTCACAACCTCACCATTTTTTCTCTCATTGAGGGTCTGTGTGCGTTTGCATATACCAGGAAGAAAATAATGTCGCTAAACACCCACATATTATACTTGTTCCAACATACATGCACGTAGATCAACATCAGGATGTACGAGAGCGACGCCAAGGACGCCACTTCGCTCTATGTCACCTGTCTGGACGAAGACCACCAAAAGAACGACTTTATCGGCGACTGTGTAGTTAACCTGGCAAAGGTCCTCGACTATGGCGAGCACGATGGCGAGTAGCATCCTATCAATTCAAATGAATGTCGTCACTCAAATCACCATGACCACTTTCACCACTCTGTTACGCTAACAAGTTGTCACCCGTCCCTGTATCAATAATAGATTGGTTCGAGTTGACTTTCAAAGGACGTGAAGCAGGCGAGCTTCAATTGCAACTGACATATTATTCCTTTGTACGTGCCTTTTCTCAACCCATACGTTTCCTCCACTCCTTGGGTCTTTTGCTTTTTATCCATTCCCTTTGCTTTCACAATGTACTGATTCTTTTGTGTTTTGCGCTTTGTGCATGCAGGATCCTACAAATCCGACCCACAGAGCCAACCGCCTTTCACCTGTTTCCAACGGCGGCGCTCCTGCTCGACGACCTCTTCATCCAACAAACGGAACCACAAAAGTCGGAGACAGCCCTTCCACATCCGTCTCAGCTGCAACAACACCTAGCTCGACTACAGTCTCAACTACGACCAACCCCTCGTTCATTCATGACGGCCCTATGTACCGCCCACCGGAGACCACAGGAGCTTCGCTCTCGGTCCCTGCTGTAGGAGGATTTTATCCGCATGGCCCCGGACAACAGAATGGAGGAATGTCGCCTCTAGGCAACGATGGAAGAGCGTCACCCCATGGGTACGATGGACGGGTATCTCCTATTGGACATGACGGAAGACTATCGCCCTCGGGACAGAATGGACGCATCTCGCCATCTTACCAGAACCATGCAGGAGGATACCCCTCCCCATATCACCAGCAACAAATGCAACAACAACAACAAATGCAACAGCAACAAATGCAACAGCACCAAATGCAACAGCACCAAATGCAACAGTACCAAATGCAACAGCAGCACCAAATGCAGGCTCCCACTGCGCTTTACCCACCAGCTGGATCAGGATACCCGCCTGCTGGCTACTCTGGCAACCCGCCCCAGCAAAATCAGTCCGTGGGATACCCCCCAATGCAAAGTATGATGAACCAAGGATACCCACCCATCGCAAATGCAGGCTTGGGACAGCTGATGACTGGATACCCACCCTCGTCGTTTCCCTCTAATACGGGCTACCCACCTATGCCCTCGGGTAGCCATGTGGGTGGACTATACCCTCCTGTCCAGCGTCCTATTCAGATGACAAATGTTTCGGCAGGCCCTTCAATTATGGGGTATCCCCCTGTCAGCGATCCTCATGGCGCCCCCAACATGTATCCACCCCAGGCTCCTCAGCCACAGCAACTCCCTCCGGACAACTACAAGGTGGAAGTCAGTTCGGCGACAAAGACAAATGGTGGATCAGGATCTGATAAGAACGGTGGTGATAACGAGATACCGAACAGGACACCCAACAGGACACCGGTAGCCAACAACAGCTTGCCTGGGGCGTGGCCAGTGGAGGCAGACAACAGCGATAGGAATAATGAAATGGGGAGGTATGGTGATGGTTTAGGCGGTCACAAGCAGAGCGTTCGTTCCTCTTTGGAGCCCCCTGCGCTCCCTCCGCGAGCACGGCCGACCAGCCCACCACCAGCATTGCCCCCTCGTTATCCACAAGCTAATAGTTGGCGATGAAAAAAAGTGTACAGTAAAGAGTGACAAAATAATAAAATGATTTTGAAACCGGGGCAATGAAACACGTCGAAGGGTAGTAGGGAGGAGTATTCTCGGACTCAGTCAATCAGACAGCCCGTATGTCAGTCTCAGCCAATGATCGGTGATGATGGTGCCTGACTAGCTGGTTGGTTGACTCGCTCTTTTGTATTGAGTCTTGTAGTTATTGAAGAAAGGGGAGGTCGGGGATATGGTGCTTTATCGACAGGAATAGCAGTAGAATTGACAATAGCGATCAGTATCATCTTCGCAATCCACAGTGTTTGGCTGTCGGGGGCTAAGAAAACAACAAGGTTTTCTTGGTGCTCGTGTCGTTGTTGTTATTGTTCTGTTGTTGTTGTTGTTGTTGTTGTTGTTGTTATTGTTATTGTTTTTACCGGTAGTCTGCTGTGGTAGCCGGCAGGAAGCATAGCGAAAAAAAGGGGCAAGGCCTTAAAAATAGGATTAGAATTCAATTGATGACGGACAGTATGTGCCCAGAACCGGTACTTAAAAAGAAAGAAAGAACCAAGTGCCAGTTAAAAGAAATGAAAAGAAAAGAAGAAAGAACCAAGTGCAGTTACAATTATTTTTTTTCCCCCTCCTCTCTTCGTCGTCGTCCGTCTTCCCTTCTTACCACAATCTGTTCACTCTCTCACTCTCTAATCTCGATCCATGCACTGACTGAACTGAACTGATCCATCCCTCGCCTTCCTTCCTTCTTCACCATCAACCACTGTTTTGACACACCGACATACTCACCCACTTACCTCCAGGCTCCATATACAGAGCCCAACAATTTTCTTTTCACAGTCATCACCCCGTCCCTTCCCCATTACCAGGTAACCCATGTCATTACCACACTGCTACAAAAAAGAGCATTCCTCAACGGGACCAAGAGTGACAATATTCACATATAAGGCGGAGGGAGAGAGAGAGAGGGAGAGAGAGAGATAAGAATGAGAGCAAAGGTAGTGAAAGATTATCCGCTATCAGGATAGTGTGTTTATGGGCAGAAGTAGAAGAAACGATGGAGTGTGGGAGGGATACGCGACTGACAGGTGTTGTTTTGTTGAACCTGACAGACAGACAGACTGGCTAACTGATGAACCGGGATGGAGTGGGTGTGCCATCCAGGATATCAAGGCGAATGTCAATGTCGACGTCAATTTCAATAATATCGACGTGGGTGAGAGAAGATTTTGTAGCTGCAAGACGGACCATCCTGGATCTATCTTTGCTCTTTCCCCTTGCCTTCCTCGTTTCTCTTGCAAAAGTAAAAAAAAAAAAGCAATTGCTTCATCTATGGTTGTTTGCCCAAGATACCCATGTGTTAGCTTAATCCGCACTTTGATCTAGTCTGACACGGTCTCCCTCGTTGTCTTTGTTCTCTCCAACATCTTTCAACTTTCCACATGATGTCCTAATTATAACAACGTCTAAAGAAAATTGGTCGCTAATATTACATATCATTAATTCCTTCTCCCTCTTTCACTTCTCTTTTCCACGCCGCCTTTTTTTTATTTTTGTTCATTTTTTTCACTCACTCGTTAATTAATCCTGCCTACACTTTCAGCGTGCTTAACACAACCAACACCTCTGCACACAACCAACACCTCTGCACACAACCAACACCTCTGTACACAACCAACACCCCTGCACACAACCAATACCTCTACACGCAATCAACATGCTTCACCATTCCAGTCAGCAGCAGCAACAGCAGCACCAGAGATCATATCCACTGCCCCCAAAGCTCAGTCGGCCAGCGTCCGTCCTGCTAGAACCGTCTACAGCCAACCACGCACAAGAAAAGATCACCCGCCCTCGATCCCAATCCCAAGCCGTCTACTCGACCTATATTCCTCCACCGACCATCTCACAGTCCAGTAATGGCAACAGCAGTGGCAACGGTGGCACCAATTCCGGACTTGAGCCTGGTTCCAGTAACGGTAAGGAAGGACAACGAAAGCTGCATGCTCCCTCTGGTCTGCGGAAGGCAGGAACTGATCTAAAAATAATGAAGGCGCTAATACTGGTTTTTTTTTTCTTTCGCCCATGTACGGATTCTATAAACCGTTTCAAAAACAAACAAAAAAAACAATAATCATACAATGAAATAGACCTCCAACCTCGCCTGCAGAACTGGAGACCGCCAACACACAGATCCAAACTGTCGAAGCAATACACTCCCACCGAAGACAGTGAGGAAGAGTCCACAGGAGAGAAGACCACCGCCGGACGACGATCTAAATACATGTCCGGAGCCGCATTGGAGCTCAACGCTGGTCCGCGGAAGGAGGAAACTCGAGGTAAGCACGAATACAGCTGCATGTACTCGAGCGATCAACAACACCCCCTTCACGTTTATCTAGAACACACCCATTCACACAATCAACCACATATTCATCCATGCCCTTTTTTAAAACCTTCTTTCTTTCTTTAGCTCGTACGCAGTCCAATGCATCCCAGACATCGGTTTTGGATAACGCAGATACGGTTTCTTTGAGCTCCCTCAGGTCGACTACCAAAAAGTGTAAGTAGGATGTAAAACAAATACTCTCATTGTGTTACTCAGGCCTTGCGACATGACATTGTGTGACATAACAAACACTCAAACAAACAAACAAACATACAAACAAACATACAAACAAACATACAAACAAACATACAAACAAACATACAAACAAACAAAAACTAACTTGCCCTTACCTTTCCTTCCGCCATTAGTGTCGTTGGGAAAGAGGATATCGTCGTTCTTTCGTGGACCGACCAACATCAATGGCAAGCCCTCCAACTCTTTTCCTGTTTCTTCGCTGACCCAGTCCTTGTCCAACGCAGCAGCAGCAGCAGCAGCGGCAGAGGACTCTACGACCTCCAGAAGCTCAACGCCATCACTCACGCCAATCGACGAACTGACACCGCCCGACCGTGCCCATTCCGTCTATATTCACCAACGCTCTCATTCGACACCCGACCATGTAGGGAGCGCAGGCTATGGCCAGCTCGGGCCCCCGAACTCCACCATAGAAGGGAGCCGACTTCGGACTGCGAGGGATAGTGGGTTCGAGGAAGCCAGTGGCAGAGGTCACCGCCGGCATTCGAGCTCTGTTGTCAAAGGGCCACCAGCCCACAGGACCTCATCACCGCAACTTCAGTCATATCAACCTTCACTGGAGAACCAACGGCGATCTTCTCACCACCACAAGAATGAGGGTCCTTGCATCGATTCACAGCAACAACACCAGCACCAGCAGATTCAACGACCTACCGTCCATTTGCAACTCTCTACCTCGTCACCACAGCTTCCGTCGCATGTTGACAACGAGCTGCACTTGCCTACGCCTCAACGACACAACAATCGCCATAGTTTCATGGGCACCGACATAACCAACTATCCATCCTCAATCACATCTACTCACAAGAGGGGAAACCCCCAGAACGGATACGCCTCCTCCTCGTCCTCAGACACTCTCATCTCCAAGGTCGATCGTGAAAAGGCATCCGTTTGCTTTCAAGCACCATCGGCCAAGAAGGAAACCTTCACCAGGGATGCCCACCTCGATCCAGCATTGTCGAGCCTGGTTCAGCAACACCGTAAGGACTTCAAGACCAACCATCGTCTGGGAGGGACACCTCAATTGACCACCCAGCGCCACTCGCCCCAGCTCCCCGGTCACTCACCTCGCCAACGTGGATCCATATATCTTCTGGACGACGCTCACCAAGCTCTGCCCCCACCCATGCTGACGCCGGATTCGCGACGTGATTCGAACGGATCCCAGAACTACGTCAATCCATCTTCCAGCCCTGGACTCTACGCAGTTGACACCCAGACGAAGAGACTCTCAACAGGCAGCCAGTATTTTCAACAACAACATCCCGACCATCCTTACACTGGGACCTATGGCAGCTCGAGTTCAGCCTCTGCCAAGTTATCGGGAAGTCAAGGAAGCTTATTGCTCCAGCACCCTGCAGGGCTTCACTTTGACCAAGCGCTTCAGAGTTCGCCATTGGCAGGACCCCAAATGACGTCTTCACCCAAACGCCTGTCTACCGTTGGTTACTTTACTCCTCACCAGCATCAACAACAACAACAACAACAACAACAACAACAACAACAGTTCCAGTCTCAACCCCAACCCATGCTGTCGCAAATCTCTCCCTTTCCAAGTCCTAACCTGGGGCCCCTTCCAACAACAGGACTTCTACCCGAGATGACAATGCTCCAGCCCACAATGCAACAGCAGCAGCAATTAGAGCAACTACAACAGATTCGAATCCAACAACAACACGTCTTGCTTCAACAGCAGCAGCATCTCCATCAGCAGGCTCATCAGGCTCAGCAGGCTCAGCAGACACGAACTGCTGTTGCATTCAACGCCACTGCCGCTCTTCAGCAACAACAACTGCAATTGCAAATGCAACAACTCCAACTGCAACAACAACATCAACAACAACAACATCATCATCAACAACAACAACAACAACAACAACAACAACAACAACAACAACAACAACAACAACAACAACAACAAGTCGGTCTGGGACTTGATATGATGCCATCCCGAACCCTCGGCACGGCAACATCTCCAGGAGCTGCCTCTCCACGTGCACGATCCCCAGCCGCCTTTCAAACACCACACACCCCGACGATGCACCAATACCAGCAGCAACAACAACAACAACAACAACAACAACAGCGATCAATGAAAACTAACACCAATAATACTTTGCACCCTATGCAAACATACCCAACAGGGACCGGATACCGGTAAAAATAAAAAAATTCTCCCGGTCGCAAAAGAGAATAAAAACTTGTCGATAAATAGTAATAATAATATCTATCTATCGTTTGTTTTTTTTTTTTATTCTGTCTCGGTCTACTTTGATTTTTTGGTCTCCAATTCAATAAGCTCGCCAGCTTCATCCTGAGGCAATCGTGGAGGCGCAGCAACAGCGGACGGTGGCTGGTGGTGACCATGGCCTGAAAGCATATTCTCTTTAGTGTCGTATCGGAGCATCATCAACTTGCGCCGGGCAAGTTGACGCTCCATCATGATCTTAAAGTCGGCAAACACGCGTTCGAAATCCATGATAATCGGTTTGGGTTCAAGAGTTGACCAGTATGCATTGAATCGGTGAAAGAGGTAACCTATAATGCCCATGTGTATAAAAGATTCCAAGAAAAAGTGAGTCAGCGCTACACAAAAAAAAAAAAAACTTTGGAATAAAGCAACCCGATGCCAGGGAGGATAAAAAGGTGTCACAAGGCTAACATGACAAATGGCGATATTTGATACTTACAGTACAATTCGTGGTGGACCGATCTGTCTGTACCGTTCAGGAAAAGGTAGTACTGCAGCTGCCTGGTTCTTAATGTTTGAACCGCAAACGATGTAATATTGATCCCGACGATCGCAAACGAATACCTATTGTTCGAGAATAGTCAAAATAAATACACCATTAGAGGTCGCGACCAAACACAAGTGGGAATAACAAAGAGCGTGTGGAACATTTTTTCACGATCGCTTGAATAAAACTCACCAAGAAATAGCATCGTGAGAACACTCGAGCGCGTTCTTCGATGACATGGGGTAGTACTTGGCATAGTACACCAAATCGTCCAATCCAAGCATGCCTAATAAAAAATAAGCGAAGAGGGTTCGACCAATGTTAGTTAATACACGAAGAACTGACGATAAAGTCTATTCCATTGAAAACGATCAACAGACAGTCATTCCTGGCGTGTCTTTTTTCTTTCCGTGACTTACCCATGCCTCTGAAGTCGGTCGCTGGGTCCTTGCCTTGGAAGCCGATCTAGACGTTAATAATATCGAGCGACACGAGAGACGGCGCGCGTGTTAGTAACATGCCCTTCAAAAATGGAAGCGATTTGTCTTTAACGGTACTCTGAGTCCACTATCTTAATAAAAGTACCTCGGTCCATTGCTTAGTGTATCGTCCTTCCAGTTTATCATGGGGACGAAGTAAATCCCAGAGCTATAATGCAGGCGGCAATCAACGAGGGACAGAAAAAGGGTGCGAAGGGCTCGAGTTAGCGTGACACTCAAGGAAGTTGTCGCGATCATCCGCCGACGAGGTGCCTCATGGCAAAATGGATAACAAGCTAGTAACGATACTCACCAACATGAGTTTCCGCTCATGGGCAGGGTTTGTCGAATCATATTTGGTATGGACGCGTTGGTTAATCTCCCGTGCCAGCTGGTGTGTGGACGCCACCCTCTCCAATGCATACTGAAGTTTCCTTGCGGCAGGTCTAAGAATCATATAGGTATAAATAACAAAGATGAATGAAGGGATGTTTTCTTAAACCAGGCTAAAGGGCGCACTTTGGCGAATTGAAACACCCGAACCCGATAAACAGGTGAGCAGCACATGTTACCCGCTTCCTCTTTCCTCGCCTCGACTCCAAAGCCTTGAGGGTGTTGGGGTAATTATTTATTGCACCTGTCTGCATCTGACATCCAGCTCGACCAATTTTTTTACTTCCGAACGGGCTCCTTCATTTTGTATAATCATTTTCTGCCTGCTTTAAAGTATGTTGCCCACCACCATGTGTTGAACCGCAACAAGAAAAAACACGATGCGTTTGCACACGCATGTGGGCTGGAATATGCCCCTTACTTTACCATAACTCCCCCTTTCTGCCTGTCCAGGTAAAGCACTCCTTTGATAATGTTAAGACAAAGATCCTGCACTTACGTCGATAATGAGGCCGAGTCGGGGAAGCGTTTCTTTCGCAGAATTTGCCGAGTGATCTCAATCGGATCGCAGTCGGCAGCCTCTAGTTCACGTCGTTCGGCCTGGAAGGACAACATGAGGCAACAATGGAATGACGATATTGACGATGACGACGACAATGAATAAGAGGGGGAAAAAAATAGAAGGAACGTGAGTTAGGTTAAGCTTTCCTTCACCCTCTCTCCGCTCTTGCCACGTACAAGGACGATCGATCATTATTATGGGTGTCATTTTTGTTGCCGTTGTTTGTTTACCGTCAGCTCCTTTGAGAATAAAATACAGCGGTCTGGACAGCAGCAAAAGGTAACAAGGCAAGCAGATAAAGACGAAGTTAGGTGTGAGAAGAAGATTCACGTATAAGGTGTACCAGAGACAAGAGGCACGAGTGAAAACGTACAGCAGCAGCGGAAAGTGGCAAAAATGATCCATTACCTATTCTGTAAATCATGCCGGCAGCGGCCTTCGACTGTCTCAGATCCATAATGGCTGTGTGCGACGAAGAACTAGTCGAGTCATGTCGTCTCCTGCGCTGCAGGACCTCCTGTTGCTGTTTTTGTTTATGAATTCCGGACGGATCCTCGCCAGGGGCCTCTGCGGCCAATGGGCCCGATTGGATCGAGGAGACGGTCGCGTCATGTCGTCTCTTGCGCTGCAGGTACTCCTGTAGCTGTTTCTGTTTATGAATTTCAGACGGTTCCTCGCCAAGGGTCTCTGCGACCAATGGGCCCGATTGGATCGAGGAGACGGACGAGTCGGTCGACTCGCTCGACTCGGTCGACAGCCTGGCAGCCAGGGTTGAGGCCAAGGTCGAGGCGAGGAATGAAGGGTCGGCAGATACGGATGAAGACGAAGAAGGAGCGATTGCCGCTGCAGGACCGGTCTGAACACTGGCACGACGTCCATTTCCGGCGTGGATTGGGGGGTTGGAGGATGGGTTGGAGTAGACGATGGTTCCTGCGTGGATATTGTTGACGAGGGCGGAGGATGGGTGACCGAACGGGGTCCAGAGGCAGTCAAGAGGGGTTGAAGGGGAAGAGGGGGAAGATGAGAAGGATGTTGAGGCACCACAGATACGGGAGAGCTCTGTGGAGCGGGAGAAGAAGCCGTAGATGAACTTGAGGATGCGGTAGATATGGAGGAGAAGGATGTTTTGGTAGATGGAATTGTAGAGGACGAGGCCAACCCACTGGTGGACGTGGCGGCGTATCGCGGCCAAGGCAGTCGAGGCCGTTTGGTGGCGATGATGCGGCATTATTGTTTTTTTAATTGTTTTGTTGAGTTCTCTGACTTTCTCTCTCTTGTTCCTTCGTGCTGATGAGGGGAAGGAAGAGGGAAGGAGGTGTATGTCGGTCGGTATATGTATATATGTGTATATGTGTGTATGATTGTATGGTTGAGAATGAGAAAAGAAAGAATGAAAGAGAATGAATGAAAAGAAAAGAAGGAAGAAAAGAAAGACACGAGGCAACAGGCGGTTGATTAAGGGGTTGGTAACCATTGTTGCTCTAAATGCACACTCGTGCGCTCGCTCACAGTCTATCATACAATCTAACTGGTCGACCCGCGTCGAGAGACAGGCTGCGATTGCAACTCGCCCACGTCCTCCTTCGCAAGTACTGCCAGCCGCTTCGCCAGCAGCGCAACCCCAAAGAACACCGTCAGCACCCCGAGACAGAACAACATGTACTTTGTCGCCGTAAACCCCGAAAACTCGTCGTAATAGATCCCCCCTCCAACAATGTCCAGCAGCACCCAGATCGTAAAGAACACCGGAACCTGCAGCAACGCATCGTACTTCTTCAGGCCCATGTTGATCCAGTACACCTGCGACACCGCCGTCACCACCGTCACCACCAGAATCACCCACGCCAGCGCAGACGTAAACTGGTTATCCCCGTCAAAGATGCTCGTCACTAGTAAATTGATCAGCGACTTTGCAAACAGTACTGTATACGATGCCATCATCCCTCCCAATGCCGCATACGACAGCGGAAGACAAAACCGCAGCAGCGGCGAGTTCCTCCGAATCAGCTTCTCCTCCGGTAGCGACGGAATAATCTCGAAACTCCTAACTCGCTGCCAGAACGACACTCTTCCTTCCTTGCCCTGGCCTTTCTTGATGTCACTTTCACTAGCTCGATTACGGCGTCGACGGTTTGATCGTTGGGAGATGACCGAGGTCGTCATGGACTGTGCTCGCTCTACACCAGGACGCGGCACCAGGCTATCCTCCCCAGAAGCATCAGCAACATCCTCTGCTCCCACTCCTGCTCCTGCTGTCACGTCCGTTCCTGTGTTTTCCTCACCTCCACCACCACCACTAACGGATTTGACTTGGGTAGACAGGTTGGACGACACCTTTGAACGAGGCGTCTCAAACGTGAGACGCCGCTCTGCCTTTGGACTCGAGATTCCTGCATCCCCCACACTCAAAACCGAGATCCTGCTTGATTTCCCACTTTTGATGGAGTAGATCGACTGTCGAGGATCGGTGTTGTCCTTTGATGGATGCTCGGCCCCAACAGCTGAAGAGGCTCCCACTGCGGTACCCGAGGCATCGCTCACGGTGGTTTGATGGCTGATGCTTGAGTTTACTGCAAGCCCATCGTGTTCCTGAACAAAGGGTCGTACGGGGTTATGGATATGGATCGGTCGTTGTACGTCGATGCTAGGCATGCGGCCATGTTGACTTGATGCCCCTTTCTCTTGTTCCTTCTGTGTAAGGCTGAGATTGCTCATGTTGGAGTTGATGCGGTAGAGGCGTTGTTCCTGCTGTAGCTGCTTTTCAGAAGAGACACCAATGGCCACATCTTCTTCGTTTTCAACATTCTTTTCGACAAACTTGATGAAAAAGTAGGTGAAAATCATGAAGATCCCAATGAGCGACAAGTAGGCGATTGTAGCGGGCTTCTGAAAGAGATTGATAAGCACGCATAGTTTGTAATCTAGTATATGAACACATTGAAAGGCAAGAGTCTTGTTAGTGTCATATCTTTACACAAGACATGCAGCGCACCTCGACTTTTGCATAAAAGTGACACAATACAACACAATAAGAGGACTAAATACCTTGAGCAACGATTCCCGAAAAGACGACGACGATGACAGAGCCAGCAACGATGAAAAAGATGCCTGCCAAGTCCCATCGTCCAAGAACCTCCTTGTTGATAAGTGGTGCAATGATGACATTTGAAATGAGCGATATCGATCCGAGCGGAGCGGTCAAAGACTGTGGTGCAAACCGCAGGGCAATAAAGCCTCCGAGATTACCAACAATGAAGACAACTAACCCTGCAGCCCACAGCTACAATGTCAAAGGTACAAAAATAAAGAAAAAAGAGCATGGTAAGGCTGATGGATAGATAGAGAATAAATGACCTAACCTCTTGGCATTGGAAGGCACACATAAAACAACGATGCGTAGGCTCGCTCTTCTGCTTGGCCGGCTGTCTGTACCTTTGACACAAAAATAGCACGCCAAAACATATACGGTTTGAGCTGACGATACAGCTTGCCTCTGCGATCCTCCTTGATCTCAAACAGCCGATATGCCTCTTCCTGAACTTGCTCCTCGGTCCATCCTAGCTCCTGTCGCCAACGTTCATGCTCCTCTTCCATCTCGAGCTCCTTCATCACGCGTCTCTCGTCATGCTTGCGCAAGGCGTATTTCTGCCCATTGAGCCCAAGGTTCAGGACTGTGGACGAGATGAGGGTAATAACAACGCCGATCCAGACATGGTTGCGCTTGTCGAGGGGTTGACAAGAGCCTAGGCCAAGCTGTTTCATTTGGTCAAGGGTATGCCCACTATGCTGAGTCGGGTCAGGGTTCTCCTCGTCGAAATCAAAGCTGCAGCTGTTGCTGTGTTGGCAGGTGTCGACATTGCTACCGACCAATGTACAGATCGATCCCGCTGGCTGGCCTCCGCAGCAAGAGATGAGGCTGTCTGCGGAGGTGTTGAAGGTGTGGCTGGAGGGTGCGTCCTTGTCTTGCCAAGGGCTTCCGCAGGTCGACTCGAGTGTACAGTACTGGGGAGAGCAGAGGTCGGCGGGAGTGGATAGGTTGAACTGGGAATAAAAAGCATACGCAGCGCAGTCGGCTGCAGCGTTGCATCGCTCCCCTATGACGTGGTTGGTCGATTAAAGAGAGAGAGGGTATTAGCGCACAGGGACCCGAGGACGAGGCTGTTCTTTTTGCCGTTGTCATTCTAGCGTCAGTTGTTCATTCAACAAAAAGGGGAAAACTGGTTTTTTTTTGAAATGTGGAAAGACAATTGAGAGCAAACGAGAGCAGGCAGGAGAGATGGGTGCAATCTTGGTTTGTTTCCTTTCTTAGTTTATTTTACCTGCGGTGACAACAAACTGACAGGTGCCGGTGGTGCTGGCGTCGGCAAAGACACATGCGTAGTTGCCGGTGCGGATAGTAGGATGGGAGGAGGGCCAGTTGGCGGGACGGGTTGATTGAAGGCAATCAAAGTCGGATTTGCATGAAAGGGGCACGTTTGCGGGAGTGTCTCTCCTGCGGATCGAGGTTGATAGGGGAAAACGAAGGATCTTTTCTATTATGGCTGGTGGCGATCCAGTGGATAATGATGATGATGGTGATAATGACGAAGATGATGAAGCGGTAGGCCTAGCATTGACGAAGGAAACAAGGAGGAAAAGGAGAAAGGCAAAGGGAAGGAAAAGGAGACAACGGGTGGGTCTTGACGTCATTGTCATGGCCCAGGGTTGTTGCTACGCTACAACCAAGTCCAGCTACTGTGGAAGGAAATTCCTGAAGGAGGTGTTGGTGCTCGCGCTCCCAGTAGAAGAACTAAGGCTGTATGTCTGACTTGACGGTGAAGCCAGCTGACGAGGAGGAGGAAGATGGGATGCTCAAGGCAGTTGGTGGACCAAGGAATGAATGTAAATGAGAATGAGAAAGGAGATGGGCGAGAGCAAGACTGAGAATGAGTATGCGAAGAAATTGGAAAGATGGCGATGGGGATGGAGCACGAGTGAACAATGGGGGAGAAGAAAGAGAAGAAAAGAAAAGAAATGAAAAGAAAAGAAACGGTGGTAAAGACGCCGCATTGATCGGTACAGTGGCACTCGCCGTTCCCACACGCGACCTTGTTCACCTTTGGCTTTTTTTTCTAAACTTTGTTGAGAAAGAAAAATATTGAGCGCCCGATCGACTTTGGATTCCCGCAAACACCCAAAGTGTCTTCCTGCCAAGACTAACGCCTAACCTTCTCCAAGTGCAAACTCTCCATTTGCGGTCAACGCGAGTGGAGAGCATTGACATTCTACCTTGTTTTATTATTCACGCACATTGGACTCGTTCAACTCCCCCCCAAAACAAGCAAAACACGGGAGACGTTGACTATTGAACATTTTGCTATAGTCACTAGAACCATTGCTGTGGTTGTTATTATTATTATTATTATTATTAGTATTAATAGATGCTATTGATATCTTGAACATCGACCTGCATTCGAATCAAGTCCTGCCATCAGCATGAAAAACGAGAAAGAAGGGCTCATCTACATACAAATCATTTATGGCACGCATGAAACAGGCTCTTCATTCAACTCAATTCCCACCTATCTACCAAACTATCACCTCTCTACAAACATCTTAAATCTTGGCTTTCTTGGGGTTTGTATTATTTCTGCCTGGAATTGAACCCAGACTCCCAGGCATCAGTAATAACGAAATGTAAGTAACTTAGAAAAGGCCTTGGGTTGAACACCAATTTCATCAGAGTCGAGTGCACTTGCTCTGGCCCTCAAGTACTTTCTTTCTCTCTCTTTTTCGCTTCTGTTTGTCAATTTCCTTTCTGTTCAACAACACCGCTTGGTTATCACCTGCCTAAATGATACTCTATCTCACCTCAAGGAGACGAAACCACGACTCAAACCAGCCTTCGACACAAATCCTAGCTTTCCTTTGCAAGAGCGCCATCAAGTCTAGCCACTGTCTATATCAGGACCTCCAACCACACATATCGGCTCCCTTACAGAGGCGGCGTCCATGCGCGCGTTTCAGGACACACCCGTCGACAACTCCAACCCTCGTGTTCTGTACTCTGGCGGACCTCTTCTGGATTCAGGAACACCGGAAATGTCACAGGCATTTGGAGTGGTGGACCTCACTCAGGACAACCCTCTGACGGTACAAGGACGAACGGATGGTCACGCGTCCTCGGCCAAGGCCGAGCTCATGGGTTTATTAGCCGCAGTCTTGTCAGCACCTCCGGAACAGGACATTGTGGTCAAACTGGACAATCAGTCAGTGGTGGAACAGTATAACCGTTTGGTGAAGAATCGTCGGTACACCTTTACCGAGGAAGCGATTCAGGAATACATATGCGAGTATCTTGGCGGTGCTTTGGCAGGTTATGGAATCTCGGCCAGGCGGGGTCGAGGCGGTGTGGGCCAAGGGACACAACAACGTCCATAGAAATAAGCTAGCGGATCAGGCGACGAAGATGGCAGCACAGAGTGGTTCGGTGGATCTCGCTCAACAGGCGGATATCACAACCTTTGCACATTGTTACGGCGGTCTTGTTGAAAACGACCTACGTCAGCTCCTCAAAACAACAAACGACAATCCGTCACCATCAGGCCTGGATATCACAGAAACGTGTCAAGAGGGTGATCTCAGACATCGACGACGTGGAATGGACCTCGGCCTTGGCTTATGTCCACGACAGGCACGCAGTCTTCACCTTTTACAGCACCAGTAAGAACTCCCATCAATGGATACATCACATCAAAAAGCTGCATGGAATTCTGCCCACTCTGAACTCCATGCAGGCTCGCAAGCCCAACCTGTACCCAACATGCGTATGCCGACGATGCGAGCTCGAGAAGGAGGATAACGATCATGTCTGGAAATGCCCCTTGGCAGCCGAGACCACCACTGAGATCTGGAAGGAGGCCATGGGCAAGATTAACGAGTGGGGTGTGCAGGCGACAAACAGCTACAATGCAGCCAGGAAGCGGTAATACAAACGCGCGGTGAACAGCGGTCGTCCAGTGCCGAGACCAGTACCCATACGCTAGCGGGTTCCTTCGGATGTGGATCATGTACGAGGATTCTCCTCCATCGATGGAGCTCGAGCCGTGCACAGCGGCATTACTGCTCCTGATCGCGACGAGAACCCCAAGTGGAACGTGTCGGATCTCTTCCATGGTATCACTCCCACGACCACGTTGGCTGAATGGTCTGCGGTCTTCCGGACCCAATGTCCATCGCCAAGACGGTCCTGCACAAGTTTGTTGGCTACCTAGAGACGCAGGCCTCGGGGCTGATATGGAAACCTCGATGCTCCGCGACGATCGCGTGGGAGCAGACCCAGGGTATCTCTGCTAAGGACAAGACATACAATTGCACAAGCCCCCGAGGTGGCTGGGGTCAAGGATATGGTTCATCGCCCGTGACGGCCCTGCCCGTGTGGCGCTTCGCGAGGCACACATGAGGCTGGGAACAGCACTGGAACGACCAAGGATGCACCCACGCGCTCCTGACGAACGGTTGTTGGAAAGTTTGTTAGGAAGGAGGAGGTTGTCAACGATGGAGAGGATGGGAAGAGTCCACTTTATTCGTGTCTAGTTTGTTTTGTCTTTTGTTTAAGCTGTGAAGAGCAGCTACAATTGTTGTGCAGAGCCAGGTTCTGGACCGGCCTGAAACTGGTGAATGGCATACTGAAGAGTATTTTCTTGTATGAAGGACTAGAAGGAGAGAGTGGAGCGGATTATGCGCGTAATATCATCCCTCACTATTGTTCCCGCTTTATCAACTCCCTCCCTAAGTCATCCGTGTCCACCTCCGGTCATGGAAAGCAGGCGGACCCTGATCCCGACCCGCTAATTCCTGCATTGACATTGTCGGTTGTGATATGTCCGACACCCGCTGTTGTTTTCCCTTCCTTCCTTCCTTCTTTCTTAGATTTACTTTCCTACTTTCCTACTTTCCTACATCCCTTCATTCCTTCCTCTCTCTCTCTCTCTCTCTCTCTCTCTCTCTATTACTATTTTCGCGTGTTTAAACATGGCAAGGAGTGTGTGCGCGGTTAAAATAATGAAGGGAGTGTGTTTGTTTACCTGTCCAAGACCACGGCTCTATACCCAACGTGAAGGGGACAGAGATCTCAAAATGGTATTCTTGCCAATTTCTCTGTTATCTGTTTAAACAGACTTCCTCTTCTTTTCTTGCACTTCCGCAGAGAGAGAGAGGTAGAATGGAACAGACAGCGATGTCATATGGGGAAGGGTGCAAGGGGTTTTATATAGGAGAGATGGAGATGATGAGGATGGCGATGGATGGCGACGATGATGATTGGGCCCGAGTTACCGGTGCGGAGCTATATGTGAGAATGAGATATGTTTGACCTGAATGTCTGACATTTTTTTTCTCGGCAAAGGAATAAAACGAAGACTCTGTCCCCTCTCCTCTCGATGCATCTCTTCTATTCTATTTTATTTCCCTTTCCTTCTTTTTGCCTTCACCTTCACTCATTCATGTTCTTTGAGCGCCAGGCAGTCGTGAGGAGTCTCCCCAAGATTCCCTACACCTATATGGCCCGCTATCCCTCCAAGACCAAGGTCTTCAAGCACAAGCAAATCGCAACAACCATGTAACCGCCCCACAGGCCTCCATCGGTGAGATAAACATCAACATCTGCAATTTCAAGGGCTACTAAGTCGATTTCCGCTTTATCAACTCCAAAGTCATCTACAGCTAGACCAACATCACCTTCAAGACCGCCGGCAAGTCGTCCAAGGAACACCAGAAACGGTCGTTCAAGTTCAAGTTCCACAATGACTACAGCCAGACCTTCTATCATTCTAACATCAAGCTGCGCTCGATGGTCATGGATCCCGCCATGATGCGTGAGAAGGTCTACATCGACATGCTCAACTCTGCCGGCATCCCCAGCAAGGTGCTTGGGTTCGCCTCTTTGTCAACAATAAACCTTACGGTTTCTATTTGATGGTCGATGAGATCAAGAAGTCTTTCCTTAAGCAGTCCGTTCGCCAGGGTGATGGAAAGACTGAGCTCGGTTCCCTGGTCCAGATGAACGCCTGGAACGAAAATAAGCTTCGCCCGAATACCAAGGTCCCCCACTCGTCCAACTATAACCAGAGATTAGCTATGTCTCAGAGCATCTCGGCAAGAACCCCAACGAAGATCCCCTCAAGGACTTGATCGAGTTGATGAAGTTTCTCCAGGACTTTGACCCCGCCTCGACCCCTCGATCCCGTTGGTTTCTGGAATAACACCCTGCCCTGGATCTTGATGGTGTCTCCGTAACATGGCCCTTAAGTACCTTGCTGGTGCTTTTGACAACTATTGGCACCTGGCCTCGAACTATTTCATGTACCTGAACCCCACCATGGGTCCTTCGGACAAGTGGCAGTGGCTGCCTACTAATTTTAACGGTACTCTCGGCAACGGTGCCCCTTCCTCCCGCGTCCCCTCTTACAAGAACTGGTACGACATGTCGTCTGAAGGTCCCCCGCCCCTTGGTTAGCAAGCTGATCCTCCAGAACCAGCAGATCAACAGAATGTTCGAGCAGTTCCTCCAAGAGTTGACCACCACAGCCTTCAAACCCAAGACCCTCGTACCCCGAATCCAGGCCAACAACAAGATACTCTCCAACGATGCCAAGTGAGATATCGGTCTCAAGCGCCACTCTGACGGTATTAGCAAACGGCTTTTACTTTCGAGGACTTTAACAACAACTTGAACCACCGCACCAAGGATATGACCACCGGCGTCATCCCCTGGGTCACGCAGATGTCAGCCCTTGTCGCCAACGAGCTTGGTTGCAGATCCCCCGCGGGTCTAGTTGACCGTGTCCCTCTGCCTCCCAAGAACGCGGGCACCATTGATAATTACGACGACGAGGGACGAAAACGGTCCCAATGGAGACAAAGCCTTTCGACGTCGGAAGCTCTGCTGCGCCCAGTCAGGGCATACATATTGGCGTGCTTGCCCTCGCCATCATTATTTGCCACTGTCATGGCTCTTTAAGAACAAAAATATTTTTACTCGATCCTTCCCGTCTTTGATTGTCTTTCTTTCACTTTGCCTTTGCGTTTGTAGCGCACACACATACTATTATTGTTTCCCTTAACGTTCCAATAACTCAAACAACGACAAACAATCGCCTGTGGACGGCATAGCAATAACCATTGCGGGCCAAAACTATTACTCGCTTCCCGTTCTGCTTCGAGTCTCCAGAGCAAGGTGGTCGTATTTTTTTATTAGCGAAAGGAGGTATATTGACAGAGAAAAAAAAAGGCATGAAAAAGTAGAATCGTGGTATCAAAGAAGATAAATAGACAATAGATTTGATGGAGAATGGTGAACGAATGTGCAGATCGATATCAAAGAAGGAAAAAAATTGATTGAGGGATGACAAAGAGTAAAACAACCCAGAAGAGAGTAGGACGACAAGAGATGTGAATTGAGTGATAACAAGATGAATCCTGCTGGTCGCATTGGTTGTGACCAAGACAGGTCTGAATCCACTCCTAGCCACTGCTATCTCATTGCCCCACGTTCCGATTGGGCTGCCACTCTTTTGCGAAAATGTTTGAATGTCCCTGAATGAAAGACGTGCCTTCGTTGTGGATGATTAGCGTATGTAGATCCTTTGTAGTGGCGAGGTCTTAAACGAGGACCAATTCCAGAGTCCATGTCCGTCTGGCCCAGAGGCGAATGGGCAGTTTGTGCTCATCCTGATCCAGCTCCACTTCAACGCCATCCCACCAGCATTTCCTCTATTGTCATCAAATAGCAACAGAAGTGGCAAGAAAGAAGCGTTAGTGGACAAGGTAGCTGGCCTTTTCTTATCGACGAAAGACAAGATCCAGATAACTGATTTGCTCGACCTGTCCGTTATGTCGACTGCGAGGGTTAGATAAAAAGAGAGTCAACTGCATTCTCTGCTCCTTCTCCGTTTTTTTGGGATGTGGTTGTTCAGTGCATCGACCAAAAAAAATTGAGGGCGAAATGTAATAATACAAAGACTGTGGGGGAGGTATGAATGACATGCAGCAGGGCCATGATAATGAGCATACAGGACCAGGGGTATAACGCTGCGACGATACATGCACGACCTTCACATTGTTCGTCCGTTTTGATATGTATGGCTTGTTCAAGCGTATGCTGCTGTTAATACCCCTGAGACTGAGATGTACACACGAAAGGTTTCCTTCAGCCCCAACTCAATTCGAGTATTGTCCTCTGTCCGTCTGCCTGTTGGTATGGTATTTCGACCCCTGGAAAAGATTAGCCCCTCAATAACGACAGAGCAAAACAACCGCTGAGCACCAGTTATTGTAATCAAATTTAGCTGCTTGTCGACCCCATGGTACTCTTGCTGTATACATGAACATGCTGTCGTTCCAGCGTCGGTATCCTGATGGCTTCGTATCAACAAGCCATATGGCTGCCCGGTTGTGTGGTTCTTCAGTCCATACTCTCCTTTTATACTCCTGAAAACGTGAATATCCCACTTGACATAGAGCAAATAAAAAGAGGAGTATGGAGGAGTAGAGTCGGTGTGTTTTTGGTGTGTGTGTGTGAGTGTGTGTGACGTACCGCTGGCTTTCTCCAGAAGAGGAGCAACTTTTGGGCGGTGGCCATCTGGTTGCCACTTCCTGTGGTCTTGAGCATGACGAGGGCGATACTGACGATGGACGTCTTTTTGGGCTCGATGTCACGGTAACCCCACTCGTCGTCGCGGGAGAAGCCAGAAACGCAGAGCATATCGATAAGGTGCTGTTCGGCAACGTTGTTCTCCTTGTTGATGTTGCGCTGCAGTGCGGTAAAGATCTTGCGCTGCTCTAAGAGGTGGGTCCCACACTGGGTCTTGACGTTGACCTTGGAGGGGTCAGCATGGACGGGTCCTGTGGCGGGGGCGTCGTCCTTGGCAAGGAAGCCGGTCTTGGGGGGGATGACTGCAAAGTAGTCGAGTTCCTCGCGGAGGACGATAATAGCCTGCTTGTTGAGCAAGGGGTTCTGGGCGGCAAGGTTATGCTGGTTGCTGTTGTGGATGTGGGCGTTGGGGTTGGCCAGTCTCTGGGCCTCGCCGGCCATCTGGGCCTCGTGGTAGAAGTCGAGGACATAGTCCATGCAGGCGGGGTCAAAGTCCACAAAGATGATTTGGTCATCGAGTGAGATGGATTCCTCCGAGTTGTTGTCGTCGTCGTCGTCGTAGGGGTCAGAGTGACCACGGCCGAGGATGAGGCCGTTGGGGAACATGACGATGAGGATAGATTCGGGGAGGGAGACGAGGACTTCGCGGTCGATCTCGAAGCGGGTGCCACGGAGGTCGAGGAGGAGCTTTGAGGGGAAGGAGGCCTGGCCAGAGGGGGAGTCAGGTCCAGGGGAGTACTGGGCTACCTGGGTGATGGGCGACTCCGAGACCTGGGTGATGGGCGAGTTTGACATTTGCAGGGATGATGACTGTTACTCTGTAACGAAGGAAGGAAGGATCGTGTGGATGACAGCAAAGAGGACGATGAGTAAGAAGGGGGAGGAAGATTAAGAAGGAGGAAGAAGGCTAGGAGAAAGGAAGAGGGGGAAGGAGGGAGGGACAAGCAAGGATGGGGAGTGAAGACTGAGAACGAGAGAAGAATACGAATAATAATAAGAAATAGGAACAAAGTGAAAAGGATGAGACAACAAAGGCGACAAGAAAGCTCTTCTTTCTCTGGCAGGCGAAAACAAGGATGGATGGCTGGTCTCTCTCTTTCGTTCTCTCTCTTTTTCTCTCTCTATCCATTTGCTCTCTTCATGTGCGAGTGGTGCAAAGAGAGCAATTGTGTACAAGTAATGGAAATAGAGAGAGAGAGAACCCACATCATCCCCCTCGATGTTATTCTAGTGACCCTGTGCGTAAAAATAAGAAGTGCAGAAGATATTCTGACTGTAATGTCCGATTAACCAAATATTCTGACATTTCAAAAAGATATTCTGACAGTAACAATCCACCTGCAAAAAGAGAATTCTGACACCATGCTTTTGGAGACATGTCAGAATATCTTTCTGCACAGTCAGAATAGCTGCTGTGTTCACACACAATTAGTGATATTAAGAGCTTTCCAATAGTCGCACGTATTCGCACATCAGAAGAATATAAAACAACAACCATTGGGTGCTTCGAGCACAAGACCGTCGTGACCGTGAGGATGCTTTTTTTTTTCATCGACCGACACGACTGCTCGACCGCATGGGTGTTTTTTCCTTCAGGTGAATTTATTTCACATTTAGACCATCTGGCATTCCCTGTATTCAAGATACCGCAATGGACTCCGTTTCTCGGCGGCATTATATCGGTGCGTTCCCTAAGTGCCTCTTTCGTCAAATTGACTACTTTCAAACAAAACTAAAATCAGTGATTAAAGCAACGTTTAGATCCACTTTATTACGGTCAAACAGTTTCTTAAAAAGAGTGCCATTTGAGTATTACATGTCAAAATTGAAAAATGATAATTAAATAGACAGTAAATCTCAGATTAGCTATTCTGCATCAAATTAAATTACAAAAAATCACCTGATATTAATATCATATTATTTTATCCCTAGGGTAGCCACGTAAAATCACAAAAACTGGCAAAAATGTTGGCTGCTCACTGCAGGGATCGAACCTGCGGCCTTTGCGTTATTAGCACAACGCTCTACCGACTAAGCTAAGCGAGCTTTACACGTCACAGAAGCCACTCAAGCTAAGCGAGGCGATTGGCTATGTGACTCATATGAACATTGTAAATTGCCACACTTTTATTAACCCCACTATTAACGCCACCAACCTAGCCACCCTTAACCCTTTCCGGGGAAAGGGGGGGGGGGTTTTTTTTTTTTTTTTTTTTTTCGTGTGGAGCTTCGCTCGGTCCATCGCCAAGACAGTCCTTCACAAGTTTGTTGGCTACCTGGAGGCGCAGGCCTCGGAGCTGATCTGGAAACCTCGGTGCTCCGCGACAATCGCATGGGAACAAAGCCAGGGCATCTCTGCCAAGGATAAGACATCCAAATATACAGGCCCCCGAGGTGATTGGAGTCAAGGATACGGTTACATCACGCACGATGGTTTCTGTCCGTGTGGCGCTTCGCTAGCCACACATTGTGAAGGAAGGTGCCCTGGGGCGACCAAGGACCCACGCGCTGCTGACGAGCGGTTGTCGGAGAGTTTGTTAGGAAGGAGGAGGTTGTCAATGATGGAGAGGATGGGAAGAATCCCCTTCATTCGTATCTAGTTTTATTTTCTTCCGTTTAAGCTGTGAAGAGCAGCGACAATTGTTGCGCAGAGCCAGGTTCTGGACCGGACTGCGACTGGCGGATGGTGCACTGAAGAGTTTGGTCTGTAGTCCCCTTTTACTTCCAAATAACTTCTCTATGCTGTTTGTTAGAGAAATAAAATTGTGTACGAAAAAAAAAAAAAAGTGACAAATATTGTGCAGTGCCAGGTTCCGAATCGGACAGCAACTGGTGGATGACGCACTGAAAGGTTTGGTGTGAATGTTCCCTTTTACTTCCAAATGCCGTCTCTGTGCTTTGATTAGAGAAGTACGAAAAAAAAACGCCTTTTCTGTTCTTTTAATTCATCCATATCCGAGTACAAACAATAAACCCCAAGGGTACATTAACTACGCTTTATTTCTTTTTCTTTCCTTTTCTTTTTTGTCCCTTACAACCTACTTTTTCCATCTGAGTGTTCTGGCCACAAAGTGGCTTCATGTTGCTTTTCTTATATTTTTTGTCCTTTTTTGTTTTCCTTTTCCATCGGAGTACTTTACACTGCCACACAATGCTCCTTTTTTTTTTCTTAAACTAACTACCTTTTCCATCCAAGTGCACTGGCCACGCAAATTGCCACACATATTTTGCCATACAACTTCTTGAATGGTTGAGTACGGGCGCCAGATCGCGTGTTACCTTTCCCTTCTGGCATCAGAGTGCACTGACCACCTCTTGAAACATGCCCGTCATGAGATCAACACTGGCCATCAAATCTAAAGATGTTTCACCCTAGAGCACTCAATTGACTCTCACATGGTTAAATCAAACTCCCTGACCGAGATCAAAGCAGCACAAAAACACAGCACTCCATATGCCCCAATTGTCGAGTCTGCCTTGGTCTTCCCGCTGGATCTACTGACAGATGTGTCCAGGGAGAGGCATCTTCCGCCGCTGTCACTCCCAAGACCACTATTTCCGCGTTTCTCAAGACCGCTACCTCCGCGGCCCCCAAGACCGTTGCCTCCGCGGTTCCCAATTCCGTTCCTTCTGCGGCCCCTGAGTTCGCTCCTTCGCTATGCCTGCGACTGTTGTCGCTGCCACTCTCACCCCCCACGCTGATTGATGATTTTTTTGGTGATTTTTCCGACGTAACAAGTGTTCCTTTGGATGCTTTTGAGTTTGACTTTTAGACCATCTTAACAAAAAAAAAGGAAAAAAAGGCAAAAAAGAAAAAACTTCTTCTTTTCTGGCTGGCGTTGTCTTTCCCCGCCAGATTATACAAAGGCAACAAATACTTATATAATGCTTTCCCACTTCAACCTTGCGCAAATCCTCTCCCCCAACTCCCGAAACCCAATATCGTTCAGCTCTGAGACACAATGTTCACAGTGCCTAAACATCCACGTACACACGATGCATCGGTTAGCAATGATGACCGATTGAGAAAAGGTCGTCACTGTCCTATAGTCCGACTGATTCTCCAAAAACCTCAATGACCGCCGTCTGTAAAATTACCACACACCCCAGTGACATGACTCTGCCTTACTTACCCCCCCCCACAACCTCTGGCTCCTCTTAAGATCTTGGTCCGAACTCTGTCCCTAAGCCATTACCAGTATGTGAACTTATACAAAAGCCCAGCCCCAGAAAACGGACAAGCCCAATGTACAAACGTCAGGGGGCGAATTAAAGATGTGGTCTTTATTATCTGTTGTGCCATAGCAGGGAAACTCATCACCTCTGCCCATACGCCGATAAAAATATCTACAGGTACGATAAGATATTGCATTAGGGATAACAATCATGTCAAAAGGTACCAGTTCTTGGCGCGCCGCTAAGTTTTTTTAAGGACAAAGGCAGTGGAGGAAGCTATACTGTGCTGTTTCCAGAAGCCTTCCGAACCCCAGCTGCGTTTCCATTTGATGAGATAGTATGGTCCCTCACGTGCGCTTCGTGCGGTTGACGTGTTCATGGAGACAAAAACAACAACGAAAACATCCGGATCGATGACCAAAACAAAGGCTTACGCGGTTGTAGGCGAAAGAAGAAAAATAGGAAGTGAAGAGGCGCGTAAAAAAAAGAGGGAGCAAAAGTTGGTAAACCTTTTACACGACTGACCGGTGAACTTGGTCAAAAAATATTGGACACAAACACTGCCATAAGTTTGTCCCTTTCGCCGCCCCCGCGAACAGACAAGCACACTTGCCAAGGAGGACGATCGTTGTTCTGCCGCCGGCGTTCTGCTTGAGAGTGTCAGATTAAAAGTGATTGGGCACAATGGAAACCAAACCAAAATAAAAAAAAACAAATAGAAATGACAACTACCGAGGGAATAAGATAATAATTCTTCATGACGTCAAATATATATTTTTTAATTTGATATCAGAATAACTAATCTGACCTTGATGTCAATGGACATATGCCAAAATATCTTTTCAAGAATCAATATCAGATATGGATATTCTGACATGTAATACTCATATGGCACTCTTTTCAAAAAACTGTTTGGCCGTAATAAAGTGGATCTAACGTTGTTTTAATCACTGATTTTAGTTTTGTTTGAAAGTAGTCAATTTGACGAAAGAGGCACTTAGGGAACGCACCGATATAATGCCGCCGAGAAACGGAGTCCATTGCGGTATCTTGAATACAGGGAATGCCAGATGGTCTAAATGTGAAATAAATTCACCTGAAGGAAAAAACACCCATGCGGTCGAGCAGTCGTGTCGGTCGATGAAAAAAAAAAGCATCCTCACGGTCACGACGGTCTTGTGCTCGAAGCACCCAATGGTTGTTGTTTTATATTCTTCTGATGTGCGAATACGTGCGACTATTGGAAAGCTCTTAATATCACTAATTGTGTGTGAACACAGCAGCTATTCTGACTGTGCAGAAAGATATTCTGACATGTCTCCAAAAGCATGGTGTCAGAATTCTCTTTTTGCAGGTGGATTGTTACTGTCAGAATATCTTTTTGAAATGTCAGAATATTTGGTTAATCGGACATTACAGTCAGAATATCTTTTTCCGAGAGAAGTAAAGAGAAGCTCATATTACAGTCAAAATAACTAATCGGACTTTACAGCCAAAGTAACTAATTTAATATTAGTCAGAATGTCTTCATCCTTAATATACTCGATGAGGGCTTGGTCAACTATAGCAGTGACCTTGAAGGCAGGAGACGCTTTGCAGTCATAGTAATGCTGGTTTTTATGTCCTTGCATTATTCACTATGGACTATCTGCTAATAATGATAAACAAACAACAACTATCGAAATTGGTCGGTCGCAATGGCGCATCTTGTCTTGTTCGTTGCCTATGCTCCAATCTGGAACATGTCCTCATCCTCCTCAAAGGCTTTGATATCGCTAGGAGAATCCTCAACCTTGGCGTGGGCCCCATGGGATCCCTCACGATCCTGACTTTTGCCGTCGTCCTGGTTGTTGCTGTTGCTGTTGCCGTGGTTGCTGCCGTTGTTGTTGTTGTTGTTGCTGCCATTGCTGTTGCTGTTGTTGCTGCTGCTATTGTTGTTGTTGCTGTTGTTGTTGCTGTTGTTGTTGTTCATCTTGGGTGGGTTGCCGCATCGATCCTTGCCAAAGTTGACCTTGACTTTCTCGTAGGCTGGGTTCCGCCGGATACCATCCACGGCCTTGACCGCCGACAGGATGTTGGTGTAGTTGACAAAGCCACAGTTCTTGTCCTGAAGAATGTTGACCATCTCAATCTCTCCAAACTCGGCAAAGTCATGACGAAGGCGCTCCTCGGTAAATCCCTCGTCGATCGATCCCAAGTAGACATTACGGGTGGCACCAGTCTGCAGAGCCTGGATCACAGGCAGAGGGAGCGCATGCATGTTCTGACCCCAACCGGCCTTAAGACGACGAGACTTGACCATGACGCCCTGGTGATTGCACAGATTAAAAAAGTTGTTGGCGGACTGGGGATCGACAAAAGAGACAAAGGCGATGTGCTTGGCGGGGAAGTACCGGATGTTGTTCAAGATACCGCCGCGGATCGCATTGCAGAGATCCTCGCAGGTCGTGTCGGGACTGATATTGCCGAGGTAGACCGTGCGGTTGCCCTGGGCGGTGAGGGGTCCATTCAGTAAGGCACCGTTGTTGCCACCGTTATGGTTGTTGTTCATGTTGCTACCGTTACTGTTGTTGAGGCTGTGGTGATTGTTGATGCCATTGCTGTTGTGGTGGTTGTTGCCATGGCCAAAGTTGGATCCACCACCCAAACCCCCCATGCGACCACTTTGCTGAGGAAAGCGATCAAAGTTGGGGTTGAATGACAGAGGCATGGAGGACCCATATTGAGGGTAAGTAGGACCTCCAAAGGCGAACGCATTGGGCATTCCCGGGGTTCCGTTGGTGGGTTTTTTGGCGCATCGATCCTTGCCATAGTTCATGCGGCGGCGAGAGTAGCGCGAGTCCTGCGACAGGGCAGCGATGGCCTTCATGGCGTTTCCGATGTTGGAAAAGTGGACAAATGCAATGTTCTTCTCCCGCAAGACCTTGATGGTGTCAATCAATCCAAACTGCGAAAAGTCGGCGCGCAAAGTCTGCTCCGTCACCGAGTCATCCACGCCACCGAGAAAGACGTTGCGAGTGGCGCCTTGCTGGATAGCCTGAAGAACCTGAGGGGGGACAGGCGAGGGCTTTCCCCAGCCCACACGGAGCTCCTGACCTGCGAGTTCGAGCTTGCGAGAGGTGGCGTCGTGATGGAAGGCGTTTGCCGAAGCCGAGTCCAGAAAGGAGACAAAGGCACACGACTTTTCGGGCAGGAGACGGGCATTCTCGACGATGCCGTTACGGACCAGATTCAGGACGTCCTCGATGGATGATTCAGCAGGAACATTGCCGAGGTAGACAGTGCGACTGCCCGCGGAGCCGGCTCCTGCGCCTGGAGGGAAGGGCATTTGAAATCCATGTCCGTAGTTTGCGGCAAAGCTGGGAGTGGTGAATTGCTGATAGGGAGTGTTCAAGGACTGGGAGAGATCGGCTCCGTACTGCCCTCCATACTGACTGGCGCCACTGCCGCCGGAGCTGTTGCCCATCTGACCGTATCCGCCCAACATCATGGGGTTGCTACCGTAGCCGCTGCCGCCGTAGATATCAGCGGAGGAGCCGCCCATGCCGCTGTTGGAGTGGTTGTTGTTGTAGCCCTGGGCAACACGTGGCTTCTTGAAGGCGTCGTGTTGAGCGTAATCGTTGCTTCGCTTCATTTTTGTTGCTGAGTGGTGTTGAATAAAGGTTGAAAAAGAAGAAAAGGCGAAGAAGACGGAAGAAGACAAAGAGAGAGGAGGGGCTGCTGTTGCTCACTTGAGGGTGATGGATCGACAGGAGGTCAAAGGAAAAAGAGGGTCTGAAGGAAGGTGAATCGAAGTCAACGAACGATCGAACGAACGAACAGGCGCAAGGAGACCCAGGAAGAGCATAGCAGAAGAGAGAGCAATAAAAGAGAACGAGTGGATGGACAATGTAAATAAGAAGGAACGTTCAACAACAAACAAACAATAACAAGCACACAGTAGTAACAACAACAATATCAATAGCAAATCAAAATAACAGTGGAGATGGGTTATCGGATGTGCGAAAGGGAAGAGAATGAAGAGAGACGACGATGACAACGAGCAAGAACGGAAATAAGAACGAGAACGAGGATGAGAAACAAAACAAGAACAGGAACAAGAATAAGAACGGGAATAGGGACAAGAACAAGAACAAGAACAAGAACAAGAAAAAGAAGAAAGAAGAAAGAAGGATAGCAAACACAGGACTGTAAAGAAAGGAGTGATACTGTTGAAGGTGAAGACAGGGTAGAAAGTAAAGTAGATAACATACGCTGCGTGTTAAATGTTTTTTTTTGGAATTTGAATTTGATCAGAATGAAAACAAGAGAGCAGACGACGAGTTGAGTGTGAGAAGTCAAGAAGGCAAGAAGGATGAATAGGAAGGAGGTGATGAGACGGATGAGGAAGATGAGGATGGATGATCGTAGGAATATGGAAAAAAAGGAGAGGAACCGAGAAAAAAGGCCAAGAGGAAAAAAGGAAGAGAGGTGCTGTCTGCGTGGCTTAGACATCGACAAACCACACAGTGATAATGGAACACTCTCACTTCACTCACCACTCTAAAACATACACAACAAAAAAAAGCAAAAGGAATGTCGTGTGAATCATGCACAGGATGCTTCGAGGCAGCACCATGCAGCGCTCCATCTCCCTCGCTCAACGGACACATCTCAAAGACATACCGCCACTTCCTCAAGGCCGCACAGGTCTGCGAGAGTCTTCTTGCCCTGCCGCAGCGGGATAATATCAGGAGTAGTGTCAAAACGAGACAGGAGGACAACAGCAACATCAACGATTACAGTAACAGCAGCTACGACAGCAACAACAACAACAACAACAAGAGGGTCGACCATGGGTTCAATACCCTCATCGGGATCCTGGCCAACAACCAGTTCACTGCCCAGACCTATCTAGCATTGGCCTACAAGCAGCTCGGCCCCTCGGCATTTCTGCAGATGTCTCGGAGACTGGCCCACCACGGGTTCTGGGGGCGACTGCTGACGTGGGCCTTTTTGTTTGTCAAGGAGGATAGCCAGAGGCTGCTGAGGTTGCTTGTTGATCAGCCGCAAGATGAGGGTGAGAGTGGGAGTGAAGTAGAGAGCCAGGAGTTGAGGGAGGAAGAACTGAGAGCAGATCTGGTGCAGAGGGTGAATGACGAGGCAGAGATGTTTGAGGTGTTCAACCCTGCAGTGAAGTGCCAGCGGGTGCACTGGAACCTCGAACCCCTACCTCACTCTCATTAAAGACTCGTAATGACCTGGCTAAAATGAACTAAACCCACTGGGGATCACTATTGGTTGCAGGGAGAAAGATTATGATTTGCTGGAGTAGTTGTTGTTAGGTGAAAGTCGTAAGTCGATTAGAAGAACCTGCCACGACAATGTTAACGGTGGCATTGGAGTCACGACTCTGCGTGGCCTTCTTGGCCATGAACCGTGGACAGTCCATGTTTCGGCATACAACTGCTCCATGAAGGCGGACTTATTTGGTCTATCCATTCTGAGCTTGAGTTGCACGAGCCAGCTCCACAGGTTAGAAACAAGCGGAACATATCTGACTCGTCCTGTGTTCGTTGATATAGAAAACGACACCGTACTGACGGTGCTGACAACCTTCCGCCGCCGCGCTTGGAATGACCCTTCAGATGGGAGCCAACGCACGATCCACCTGTTGCATGTAAGATAATGGGAAAGATCTGAACCTTCTCAGGGTCCATCACGCAAAAATGAAACAATAAAATAATAGTAAAGCAGCAGAACATGTCAAATGCATTCTCAAGTAACATTTAGGCTTATTATTTTTTGCAATGACATGGATTGAAACCCTCTATTATCCTTCCAGTCTATCTTTGAATCAGTCGTTGTGGCCCCATCTCGCGCAACTCCTCGTCCGTCTCGATGGTCTTCTTAATCTTGGCCTTGAGCACCCGCCCGATCTCCTTCTGAATTTCCGTCTTGACACCCCGCCTTTGCACTGCAGTCAGAATGGCATACATTCATTTTGTCCTCAAACGCTGTGTTTTTGCCTGGTCGATGGCGCTCCTGGTGCGCGGATCCACCTTATAATTGACGAAGCTCTTTACCAAAGATATCCTGAGACTTTTTCGACGCCATCCTTCCATGCTTTCCGAGTGTAGCGAGGATTGGGCTTGTCCTTCTTGTCCAGGTTCTTCATTTCTGCAGCCGGATGACGTGCGGTGTGGTACTTTTTGCTCTCTCAACTCAGCTAATCGGGATCGAAGGGAAAATCGAAGCAGGTAATCTATAGCCTTGTTGTATACTGATCCCGTCCATGAGTTCCCGATGTTGGTGGCCATTTCTTGACGGATCTCGCATACAAGATTGGACAATCCAAGTAGTGGGTGGTCTCCCGAGTCTGTGGTGCGTCCGAGAGTGTATATCCGGGAAGCCCCGTCCTGCAACTCGATCAAATCAGCCAAGCGTGTCCAAAGCGGACGCTTTCCGATGAAGTCTCTGGAGTGTCATTCGAGTCCAAGAATCTTGCGTACAGGTAGCCCAGGTGTTCATATCCAATAAGACCCCGAAGATCATTTGTCCAGGGATCCATCGTCTCATCGAGGCCAGGAACCAGAAGCTCTTCCAATCCGTCAGGAATGGGCGATACGAGCAAAGTACTTGAGGAGGCATACCGAGGCTAGAATTCTTCTGGCAAAGGGATCTTGACATCAAGTATATTTGGTAGAGCGGATACGGTTCCTGTAGCGGAGGTAGATGGTCGCCGTCTGCGTTGGTCAGCCAACTATTAAGAAGATAATAATAATATCCAATTGATCAATGCATTGGTTCTTTTGCTCTCATGAGTACAGATCAGCAATGATATCTGTATGCTCTGTGAAGGAAGGCGCAATAGTCGTATTCAGGGACATCGAGAAGGTATAACAATGCCGTTCCTGGCGATCCTTGCCCTCACTTGCGATCGTAGATTCCTCCTCATGTGTCAAAGGATCAGACTCGTCTTCCCCTCGAATCTGGGAATCTCATCTGGGGCATCAATAGTGTGAAAAAGAGCGATGACTCCTTCCATTGCTGGTGGGCAGGTCGTATACTTCTGGTCTCGCTCTCGACGGAAGGCGACAGTGGTCGTTCTCAGATGACAAGCCAAAACAAAGAACGACAACATCATTTGGGGCATGACGTCAATCTGGAGCGTCCCGTCGGTACCGATGTCGTCGGGTGGGTGGTCCAGTACAAGTCTGAGTGGCAGCGGGTGCTGTCGTTTCGCCGGTTCTAATAACGTTTCCTTGATATGGTGCGCCACATCCAACAATGGCGACACCTCAATGCTTGCTCCCAATTCCGTCTAATCTTCCCTGCCGATCAACAATCCTTTGAAATGCAGCGCTCATTCGGCGGCCTGGATATCCTCGTTGAACGTCTTGTCGATTACTGGGAGTTGGGCGATGGTTTTGACAGCTGGTAGTAATCTCGCGCGTCCTGTGTACATCTGAGCAACCTCGGGTCCCACTTCCTCAGCACGCAGTAGGCATCCTATGTCGACATAAAAGATTTCCAGAAGAACAACAGCCTGTCTGACGCTTTTGTTTCCAAGCGAGACCTACAGCCCATCATGAGCACTGCAGTCTGAGTCATGTCGCATTGATTCCATCGTTGATCCCTTAACGAAAGCCTTTTAGTATGCGATGATTCAGATTGAACAATGGCACGGTAGAATGGAATGTAAGTGCAGGTTTCGGCTTTCTGATGATTGAAAACAACAAGCGCGTTCTAGGCTGAACTGCTGATCACGGTAGGTATGTTTCGTTCCTGGACTGTTTGATGCTATATCCTTCTCTATGTGTGTGTGGCAGGTGTGTCACAACGAGAAGGGGATGCCGTGAGAGCGCTGGAAGTGGTGGGGAGTAAAATGTGGAATGGAAGAAATAAGAAAAGAGGAGAAAGGATAACAAACGGAACTGGTTCATGTTCGACAAACATATCCTCGCTTGATCATTCCCCTGGAAAAAAAGCGTTTGTCGTTTGGCGACAGAGTTTTTCACGCTGTACGCGCCATTATTTCCAACTCTTTCAACTCTTTCAAACATTAGAATAGGAGAGGGTACGCATTGGACATGTGTCAGATATGCGACCCTTCAAAATGTTGGAAAAAGATGTCACGTGTGGGCGTGAATTGTGCCTTGTGCCCGCCTGTCCATCATCCGTCTTTCCTTGGCGTGTGTGTATCGTTTTTTCTTCTTTCTTTCTTTCCCTGTTGTCCCTCACTTCTCCCTCCTTTCTTACTTTTCCTCCGTTCTCCTTTCTTCCCTCCTTCCTTCCTCCCTAAACAAAACTCTACAGCAACAGCAGCAATAGCGCCAACACCATCAAGCTCAGCACACTTGCCTTCTTTTACACAAAATATATATACACGAACACATTATGTCAAGCTCACGCCAAGCACCAAACCAGCAGCAGCCAGCTGGCAAACTCTTCCAGTTCAAGCTCGTCCTCCTTGGTACAACATACGCACACACTCGCACTTTCATCGTACTCTAGTGCACGCACACACTCTCTCTGTCTCTCCATCGCCCGCATTTCAATATCGGCCCTTCTCAAAAAAAAGAAAAAATAGACACCCTGCGTCATACGATGTCGACATGACAAAACACTTCTCAAGCGTGCGATGCCGCTCAGCCTGTTTTTTTTTGTATTTCCTTACCAACCACCCTACCAACTTCTTTTTCTTCCGTTTTTTCCTTCACCCCGTCACCTTGCAACTGCATCGTTGTCGTCTGATAGGCGAGTCTGCTGTCGGTAAATCGAGGCAAGTCATCGTCCCGTCTCGATCCCAATGACTACAATTAATAATTCGTGCACTCGAGTTTCTCATCTGAAGCGGGGGTGTGTGGGCAAAGAGACAGCAGGCCGTCGTCTTGTTGATTGTCTTGTTGCTATTAACACGGTTATCCAACCTCGTCTTCCTGATTCCTTATCTCTTCGTCTTTCCCTTTCATTGACAACCGCTGCTACAACACCAATTGTAACAACATTTAAATTCATGTCGTTCATTACCGACACAATAGCCTTGTTCTTCGCTTTGTCAAGGATCAGTTCGACGACTACAGAGAGAGCACTATTGGAGGTAAGACACAGTTGTTGGCAATCCTGCCGATGCCTTTTCCTTCCTCGTTGTCTTCTTGAGCTAGAAGGAGAGTAAAGGAGAGTAGTAAAGGACAGTGCAAGAGTGGTTTACAAGCGGTCGAAGGCCGTGAAGAGTTGTGAAGGGGCTTATAGAGAGAGGGATGGGCGGTCAGCACATAAAAGTCGACAAAAACAAAAATGCATGGATGCCGGAAAAGTCTCTCCTGGAGTGGTTGCGGTTGATTGTTAAGTTGACACTGTACTCTTCGGCGTTCGACCTGTATTGCTGACGGAAACTAATCTTATAGGGGTGACCCTCTCTTGTTCTCTGTCCTTTTCTTCCGTTTGTTCTTGATGTCCGTCAATGCGGTCATAGCTGCTTTTTTGACACAAACCATTTGCCTTGACGACGCGACGACTGTCAAGTTTGAGATCTGGTACGCACCCATTTGCCACGTTGGCGTCGTTTCTTGATTCTTCACTGCTTGTTGAAAACGAAAGGTTGTGTTGTATCGTCTTTAATGCATAAATACCTGACAGCACATCTGCCTTTTTACTCTTTTCCTTCTTTTCTCTCCCCCCACAAACTCTTTGATTTGTTCTCTCTTGCGACTTTTAGGGACACAGCTGGGCAGGAGCGATACAAGGCACGTGTGTTTACCGTCTCTTTCAGTTATGGAAGCGACATTCGTCTACTCTTGCTATTTCTCTCTCCTTCAACAAATATGCATTCTGGAAGAAACCGCAGCTCGAAAGCGACACCCTTGAGGGATCTCCAGGACAAGGCTGGTCAAGGAAATATCGTGTTGTCTCATACTAACTGACTATTCATTTCTTCTTCTGCATGACATTATATTTCTTTTGCGTCTTAATCGTACCCACCATACATCGTCAACAACAACAATCGATAAAACGGGAACTGCGGGCGACGATCAGAGTTTGGCGCCCATGTATTACCGCAACGCCAACTGCGCCGTTGTTGTCTATGATATCACCCAGAGCGTAAGGGCCAAGAGAGATATGTTTTGTCGACGAGCATTGTAAATGATACGAAGCTGGTTCAAGGGGTTTGACCATATAGCTAATTGGATCAATCCATCATTTTCATTCGTTGATAGTCCTCACTGGACAAGGCGAAGTCGTGGGTCAAGGAACTCCAGCGCCAAGCAGACCCAAACATTGTGATTGCACTTGCAGGAAACAAGAGCGATCTGAGCGCAAGGCGTGTCGTTGAGACTGAGGTAAACAGAATCGATAAGGCGCAGCTATAGTTACCCAGAGATTGCAGCTTTTTCTAGAGAAAGCGAACAAGACTGGATTGATGCTAAACGTATTTTTTGATGGTATTAGGAGGCCCAAGCATATGCGGATGAGGCAGGATTGTTGTTCTTCGAGACTTCAGCCAAGACTGCAACCAACGTCAACGAGCTGTTCACAAGCATAGGTAACAACCAAGCTTTGATTTTCATTGAACCTTGGCGAATGAAGAAGGATTTGTTGGATGAGAAATAGATGCCACTTGGAGCACATGGTTTCTAGGAAAGAAATGACAACATGCTCACAAGAACAACATTGAATTTTTATTTTACTGTTTTTTCACCAAAAAAAATAGCCAAGAAGATGCCTCTGGACATGCTGGCCAACCCTCGCCCAAGAGGAACAGGACTGAATGCACGCGGAGTTGATTTGAACCGAGACTCAAAGGAGGCAGGATGTGCCTGCTAAATGTCTGGTTGTAAACTACCCGCAAACAACACACGCACATACACATGTACATGCACAAGCAATCGTTCAGACAATAGCCAGCAGAAGGAAAACTGGTAGGAGTGAGTAAGGGCGATCAGGGGACAAACAGATTTCGAACCAGAGATATTTCGAACCTCGCCCCTGGTTTGATGAACATATTTCTTAATAAACCGACACACAACATTCGCAAGTATATATTTTTAGAGTAAGAAAAACATAAAAGAAAAAAAGCAACTAACATGACAGCATTGCAAGGACATCTGGCCAAACAACGTACCTTCTACTCTACCCTCATGGACAGATCCAGTGTGGCATGGATCCACGTCGTGACATTAAGGACAATCCAGATGTAATACTGGTACTGTTGGAGAAAGTATTGGTAGAGGAGGTTTCTTGGAGAGATAGACGGGGAGGGCGAGTGCGGAGCCGGAACGGAGGGAGCGGATTGTGGTCGTCAGCAAGTAGAGTCGAAAATCTTGACAAAGCGATACAGGCCGCGGCATTCTTGTCCTTATTCTGTATGGCAGCACCGTGGTGGATTAAAGGACAAGATAGGTTCTGGTAAATCACGGATCCATTGATCCTGACCGAACGAATGGCCCCATTGATGAGGCGCCGGGTTGTGGCCAGTTTCACAAACTGGAAGCAGACATAGCGCAACCTTGAGCTCAATTTCTCATTTGTAGCGGCACCAACTCAAATACTCTCTGCTCACTACGTACCTTACGGAACGTCTCCTCTGGAGGCATGACCCTTAAAGGTGGAACCAACTCCTGATCCTGCTGCGCCATAGATAATAACAGGGTGCAGTTTGGCGTTCTCGAGGAGGCAGATGTTGGTCGGATGGTATTTCCTAAAGGGGTGGGACGACATATGGTACCGCTGGCAGTCTGGCAGATGGCACTATCCATCAATGATGCTGGGTTCTCCATTATGTAGCGTGTTTGCGATAGTGGTTGTTGCGGCAGCGCCGAGTATCTATCATGAAATGAACAAGTAAGCATTAATGTTTCCATTCATACTGTTCATAATCGTACGTCAAAGGGAGGCGTCGTTCTTACTGGCATCTTGGAAGAAACACCGCTGACTCACCTCCTGCCCTGCATAGGTCCTCTTGGTCAATATTTTCCATCAATGTTTGAATGGAATGGTGAGAAATATTAGTGACCAGGGTCGAACAAACTTTATAACTCATGCAATACTGATAAATAATTTGCTACCTTGGAGCAGTCGATCAATGTTCAGTCGTTCAGCAACGTCGCGAAGAGTCATTCTGGACCCTTGCAACAACCTGGCGATCCCCGGATCAAAACTACCTATCGTTATCGTTTTTGAGTCCCATGGCTTCAGATGAGTTGGCTTGATGTACTCGGCGTAATCTTCATATTGAGGCCTATCTCAGGATGGATCTCTTCGAGGCTTGAGAGACTGGCTGGATGTCTCCGGTTCCGGTTCTAGATCTGGCTTGCTGTCCTTGGTAAAGTGCTGCAGACGCATCCAATAATACCGATATCCTCTGAGAGCCTTGACTGCCTCTTCTGCTAGTAGAGTAGGATTTAGTTTGGACCGGTAGGAATCCAGCTTGCTACGGAAATCATCGCGTGCTTGTCTCCCTGTCGACGGCGGCGAGCGAGTCGCTTCTTGTTCCATGAGGATTCGGCCCTCGCTTCCCGCAAGGGTTCTAACTCCGACCGGAGTACCTTCAACTTCGACTCTGCCTCCTCCAGGTTCAACTCGGCCTTAGTAAACTCCTCCTCCGCCAGCTCAGTATCTGCGTTCATATATCAAACCTCTTGGACCCGGTCGATAGCGGCAGGGGACCTCTTCTTCTTAGCCTCGCGGCCAGTATCAAACGAGCTTATTATCGGATAATTTAGACCTTGTTGGCCATGACTGGTGGATCTGACAATGATCCGTACTCTCAGTTTGTCAATGTAAGTCATTCTAAAATAAAGGAAAGAAAGGGTTAAAAATCAATACTATGCTCAAGAGCAAGAATGATTGGCCAAGAGTTATCTAAAGATGAACTCCATCTGATACTGGCTGCTGAGGCATTCAACGGCGTGCCGGTTAATCATGGAAAAAATAGTCTGGCTCTCTGTTAAATAGTTGGTCGGTTTCTGATGATACTGTGGTCGTTGTCTTAGTAGGACGAGGACCGCGTGAGTGCCAGGGCATGGCGAGACGATGGAGGGCTAACTTTCGCATTGACCCTGGATAGCCAGCAAACATGGAAGAACTCATTCGCCAAGACGAGGAACTGCGCCCTCAACGCCTTATGCGCCTCTGCCTTGTATGTATAGCCGCCGACTCTCTCCTTGGTCTTGAGATCTTCCGACGAGCATGGCATCCGACGTTTGGGAACAAGCGGCCTGGAAAGATTTACGAGAGCCGCGAAGGTAGTGCGCTCGGCGGCTGTAGCCTTGGTCCCTTTGCACCCTCGTTCCACATAGTACGCGTCTACTGGTCTCTCGAGTGAAGGAGATTGGAGCAACATCTTCATAACGGCATGAGGAGCCCTAATCCGATCAGCAGGAGTCGAGGCACCTATTATATACATAGCTCCTCACTTACTCATAACGCCTTGCCTTGGATGATATATGGTGATCCTTGTCGAGCAATGCGGTTACGCGGTCTAATAATCGAAAAAAACGAACAAAAGCAGGTTTAGACATCCAAATTATTACATCCCATTTGTTCAATGCATTTCATTCTGAAGAAAGTGATAGCATGGAGAAGTGTGCAATTTGAATCGTTACACACTCACCTTCATCATGCGCAAGACATTCTTTAATGAGTCAATCTTTTGCTTCGTCAGCACTGATTCTCGCGACCAAAATATCCTTCAGTTCTGCCTCCAGAACCGCGGTGGTAGATGGATAGCTTGACAGACTTGGCAAATTCTTCCTCAATGGTTTCCAGGCGGTTGCCTTGAGTCGGAAGAGGCTCGCTAGAGATCATCTGCCGCATACCTGAGTCAAGGCGGTCAGTTTGTGTCTCCCGTCCCTTCGACTCTGATCGCCAAAGACAGACTAGGGCCCATGAACCCAGTCCTGGTCCGGGAGTAGCACGATGTTGTTGGTCCAAATGATCCGCGATTAATTTTTAGTCCGCGTGATGCCTCTCACTCAAGAAGAATGCGGGGAGCGGGTTGTAGTTACCAGAATGTAAGACTCCATGCATTTTGTTGTGGGTGATTAGCCTGGGGATGGAGGAAAAGTAGAATAAAGAAGCGGAGGAAAGGTTTGAGCGACCGAACTCATAATAACTTGAACATAATAGTTCATATTATGGAGACTAATCTATATCGATTGAATACATCCTTCCTTAGCAGACCTTGGGTCGTGCGTCTGAAAGTCCGAGATACATTTTTTAGGTTGAAGAGGGTGAAGAGGGAGTTTGAAGCAAGCTTTGTTTGAAGAGGGTGAAGAGGGAGGGTGAAGAGGGAAGGTGAAGAGGGCGAAGTTGGCTCTATCTTCACATGCGCTCTGCGCGCGCTAGATTCTAGCACAAAACCTACTCATCAGGTATCATTCCGATTTACGAAACCACCTCAACCGCCAAGACCAAAACCAAGACGCCAAAGGATAATGTAATCAATGGATACCAGAGAGAACGGCGGGATGTGGTTTTTGTCCTCTGATAATGTTGTTGCAAGCTCTCGCTTTGCCTTGAAAAAAAAAGAGAGGAGTCTTTCAAAAAGATGAATCAGGTAAGATATTTCGAGCGAACCAGGTTTTTCATGCTGCATGCTGGTAGTCATAATAGCTGGGTCAAGTCGATCAAGCAAAACAACAGAGGTGATTCTGGCGCCTTCGGCTAAAACCGTAAGACATGCATCTGTGTGGATGAGTTGTTCACAGTAGACGGAATTATGCGACGACTGCACTGGCCACAGTCACCCTCACATCCTCCACCGCTATGTATTTCTTTTCTTTTCTTTTCTTTTCATAGCAATTTTATTGTTACATGCGCGGAGATTAAGTTCTTTCGGGGTATGCGTTCGTTTTTAGACAGCAGACTTGTAGTGAACCTCTGAACAGTCGGCGAGTCGCTTGGCTGCCTGCTCGGGCGTCAAGTCGCGCTGCGATTGACCCAACAGCTCAAATCTACGTTAACATATGCCACATCGGACAAAAAGGGGACATGGAAACAAACAAGAAAGGTCAGTTGTAGTTACTGCATTAGCTATAGGGCCTCGCCTTTTGCTCTTCTCCTTGGACATCAAAAGGGCAAAAAAGACGTGTTGCTTACCCGACAAGGAACTTTTTGACGGTGGAGCTTCTGAGCAATGGTGGGTAGAAATGCAAGTGGAGATGCGAGAGTTCCTGGTGGGAGACATCGTCGTTGGTGGGGGCCTGATGGACGCCCATCGAATAAGGGAAGGAACAACGGAAGAGGTTGTCGTATCGGCAGGTGATTCTACGGAGGATATTGGCAAGGTCCTGTTTTTGGGCGCTGGTCATGTCCGAGAGTCGGGCGAGATGGGCCTTAGAGAGGACCATGGTCTCGAAAGGCCAGGTCGCCCAGAAAGGAACTAGACAAATAAAGCTGTCATTCTCGCAGACAATCCTTGACCCATCTGGTGTTGTTGCAGAGGGCATTGTCTTTGTCGATGGGAAGGTAGTGGATGTGGGTGTTGTTGGCGGTGTTGGATCAGTTCCTGCAAGTGGTCCTGTTTCTGCAGTATGCGAGGAAGTATGAGTTCCGTTCATGCCAGTTGCCGTTGGTGACAATGGATCCGCCGATCCGTCGGCCTTTGCTTTTCTGTCGGCGTCGGTCTCGGTTTTGACATAATCGCAGAGCATGCAGCGGTGATGCCGTTGGCGGTACTTTGCCATGTTCTCCAGTTCAACGGCAGTCTCCTGTGGGATGTCCTCTGTCGACCAGACCTGGCCGTGAGGATGAGGGTTAGAGCAACCCATGATAGCGCCTTTGTTTTCAAAGATTTGGACGTGGTTGATATGTCCCTGTTGTTGCATAGCTTTGTAGGTTGAGATCCAGGCGTCGATGACGGGTACGATCTCTGGTTCGGCCATGTCTGCCAGGGTCTTGTCGTGCTGGGGTGAGAAGCAGATGACGTGACATTGGCCCCGGACGGATTCTACTTGCAGCAGTGAGTTCTCGTCTATCAATTTAGAAATAGAAGGCGTTATTAACCGTTTATCCGCTTTTTAAAGTTCGGGTACGATGAGCCTTTTTTTTTTTTGTGGAGGTCGATCCAAAGCATGCTAATAATGCCAACGCCAACTACACACAATAAAGTAACCTGTACCCCACTATGACGTTCACGCTCAAAGTACCATTCTTTGTATTTTTTTATGGAGACTGACAGAGCGATAGGCGAACGGCAGGCTCCCACTCCCCATATATCGACACCACCATCCTCTTCTTCCTTCTTCCTTCTTCCTTTTTATACTCTCTCTGTTTCACTTCATGTTCACCCCACTCTCTCTATTAAAAGCACAATCAATTGAGCCATCAGTCGACACAACTGACCTTCAGAGCTATCGTGGAGAAGGATGGGCTGGTTTTGCTGGACGGCTGGAAAATCGTTTTCAAAGACAAAGGTGTCGGTGTAGTCTGGGTTCTGGAGGTGTGCGCCATTGGCACGGGTGTTAGTGGGGCAGAGATAGCAAGAGGGGTCGTAGGAGGGGCGTTTTGAGAGGTCGTCGTCCTCCTGTTTGCCCTGCCAGGGTCGTTGTGTCCTGTGTGGCGAGCAGAGGACCCAGGAGCGGGTCAAAGGATTGAGTCGACGGTGAGAGTGGTGGTTAAAGTCGAATGAGGGCGATCGAGCTGTTGCTGGTTGAGTGGCCATTCTTTTATTGTTGGTATTCAGTTGTTGATGTTGTGGATGAGTCGTGTTAGGAAGGAAGGATAAAGAAAGGAATGAAGAAAATGAGACTTAGAGAGGAGGAATGAAAGAAGGCAAAACGAGGTTATTTATGTGTGAGTGAGTCTGGGGTAGTAAATTGTCAACATCGTTTGGGGTAGTAATTGTCAATATCGTTTGGTGGCGAAACATTTTATATTTTTGTTATCTTTTTATTTTATTTTTTTCCGATGCATCTCTTTTTCATTCCATTCAATCAGTCATTCATACACACAACAAACACGCAGCACATTCGTTCCATCAAACAACACCCAACTGCCTTTAAACCATGCTCGACCAGGTGCTGCCCGAGGCTGAGGTCAGGGCACTCGAAACAGGTAACAGTAATAGAAAAAGAAAGGGAACTCTAAACCCTGCCGAAAGAACGAACTTACGCTGCCTGCCTGCTGCTTATCGCGATTTGCTGTTTATTATTATTATTTTTCTTGCGGTGTTATTGATACAAACTACAACACAATCGTCTTTATTATTATTATTGTTGTTGTTATTGTTGTTGTCGTCCTTATTGCGATTACCGTCGCTTGTTCGCTTAACACAACAAACAAACACAGTGGACGTCTATATCGCAACCATTGAGCCCAAGCACACGAATCAGGTCATCAAGTACGTCCTCACACATCACTACTACTTGCACTCTTATTACGTATGCATGTATCAATCGTCTATCCTTTTACTTTCTTTGGACAGGGCTTTGCTTGTTATTGTTTTGATTAGGCCTACTCATCACTGCGACCGTGAGAAACTGCGCGTGGTTTGACCATATGAAGCAGTTTTTATTTATTTACTTTATCCAATCGCTACCTTGTTGTTTATCGCGATTGTAGGTTCATCCGGGGTAAACTACCTGCCACGCAAGGTTTAGATCACATCAAGCAGATCCGCAAGACCACCACCGATGATGGAGGTAACAACAATATCAACAGCATCACTATCGTGACCAATACATCAACAATAGCACAGACGTCGCCAAGTCGGCTAAAAACATTGATTGGAATATCGGACAAGGAGACAGAGAGCACCGACAGTAGTAACCACCGGCCCCCTATTTTTATTCGACTCTAATTAGCCGTCAAGTTGGACGTTGTCCTTTGTGAAGGGTTAGCGCTGTCGGCACAGGTTCTCGATCAGTTGTTGAAACAGGAAGGGCTGGACTCCATGGTGACCCCCAGAATCCACGGTGTACCTAGATATCCCCCTTTGACACGAGACCAGTTTGAACAGTGGAAGGCTGCTTGGCCCACCACTTTTCGCGAGGATACGAACAGGTACCATTCAAATTGCCTTTTTTTGTTTGTTACCACTGATACATTTTTCCGGAAAGTTTTTATAACGCAGGAAGGAACCGTGAGCATTGGCTGATCCAACAACGCATCCGAATCCTCTGTACAGACATCCAAAAATCTCGGACAAAGACGAAGCAGCGATTATAGGACACATCCAGTCTGCGTGGGGCCATACAGCCGAGGCGACATCTAAGGGCGAGGTAAATACTCATTACCAAACAAGCATTTATGAGTTGAAGATTGCATTTGGATATTTACTTAATTATATTCTATGGCGTTTTGGATAGCTCCCTATTGTGGCCATGATCGTGGACCCTTTGACTCAAAAAATCATGGCGACTTCATACGACACTCGGAAAAGTACTGGATATATTCTCCAGCATGCAGTCATGAACTGTATAGCGGCGGTCGCCAAACGGGAACGAGATGGATCTCTGAGTCAACGTGCTGAATATCACCACCAACAGCCTCATAGCGTCGGCAGCGACACTGTCGTTCTAATTCCCTCAGCGAAACAAGGAGCCGAACCAATAACTGGAAGAGAGTCGACACCGTCGCCAACCTGCGGAGAAAAGCGGAAAAAGAATCCCGTCAGCGAGACAAACCCTTTAACACCCTCCCCAGAATCATCGGTATCGCCATTGTTGCGGGACGAAGGAGCTGGTGATACTGAGGACAGACGTGTCAAGAAGGCATACCTGTGCACTGGCTATGACGTCTTTTTGACTCATGAGCCCTGCGTGATGTGTTCGATGGCGTTGGTCCACTCTCGCGTTGGACGCGTCTTTTACACTGTCCCGATGGCAGCTTCGGGAGGACTTGGCAGTCAACACAAGATCCACAGCCACCCCAATTTGAACCACCACTTTTTTGTCTATCGTCAGGTTGGATATCAAGCACAACAGGACAAAGTCAAGGAGCAGTGCGGTGATGATTCTATGAACGGAAACAAAGGGGCGAGCACAGGACTCCTTGCGTTAGAAGATCAGAAGATTGACTGTTGATTCTTTTGCATAAAATCGTATTTTGTCGCCTTTTTTTTTGCATCGTTTATTATTTGATTGCGGCACCCAGAGTGTCGACTGCCTGCTTGATTGTCTTTCTATCATGAATGACAGAGAAGGGAGGAAGGTTTGTTAGTTAACGTGCACATACATGTACTACCTACTTTACCTGACTCACAACGACAATAAGAGTTGAGGGCATTGAATGTGCCTATAGAAAAAGAAAAAGAAGAGGGAACTCACATTTGAAAGGCGATATCAACGATGGAGGCCATATCCTTGTCCATTTCGTCGCACCGGCTGATCAAGTCAGTGGTCTGCTCGACGCAAGCTTCGACCTGTCCACAGACACCGCCGACCAGGCTTGACTCGTAAACCTTGGCCGATCCCAGTGTTGCCGATGCGGCCTTTGCACACAATATGGTATTTGTTCGATGTTAATGTGCTTGTCGTTGCGCAATTTGCTCAGCGTGATTTCAAGTGATAAAGTGTACCTGCTGCAGTTGCGACTGTAGGCTGGAGAGGAGCGCGTCCAGCTGGGCAGAGAGCTGGAGAGTGGAGTGTTCGATATCCTCGAGAAGGGAGACGTCGATGGGGATTGAGTTTCCGATGGGTGAAGGTGACATTGAGATGGATGAAGGGTGCAAGTATGGTCAAGGAGGTAGTAAGCAGTTCACTGGAAGAAAAGTGTAGGAGGGAGAAGGAAGCCTCGGATATCGAATCGAACACAAGCCACAGCCACACAGACAGACAGGCACACGGAAAGGAAAGGAATTAACTTACGACTTCTTGTCACATTCACAAGACACACAATCCCTTCTAAACAAAACGAACATGATCTTCCCAAAGCCAACCTCATACTACGAGCAGGGATTCAAGCGCTCGCCTGCTCTCGAGCGCGCAACGGCCCCCTTCCGTGTCAGGAATGCCCTCACCGGAGCCGGCATCGTCGTCTTCTGTGTCTCCGTCTGTACGTGTTCTCTCTTCATTTGCTTTTGCCAATAGTTGCAAGCTGGCTCTTCGCATAGCTAAGAGTAACGGCAACAGCAACAGCGACAGCATCAGTGCTACAAACATTATCCATACCACTCATGAAACTAACCATCCTTTGTTTGCCTTCCTCCTCACCCTGCCTACTCTCTCTCTCTCTCTCTCTCTCTCGCTGTTTTTTTTCTAGATGCATATTCGATCATGGCCGTGAGACAGGACGACTTTTCCGATATCAAACTTCCTAGCCACATGGTCGGCCAGAAGACGGATGACAACAACACACCAGCGTCTGCATAAACACTCTTTCTCCTTCCTATCCCATATCGTTCTTCTCCGCACCTGCTCACTCCATTTATCTTGCATTAATAAAAGGAAAAAAAAGTCGCTATGTGTCCGATCCATCTCAAGTTGTAAGGGGACTATTTGGATGTTTGGGCTTCTGTATTTCAAGGAAACGCGAAGAAGATGAGGAAGTAGGGGTATTTGAGGGGGACGGGGGAGGGGTGCACTACGATTTTGACTTTGTGGAGCGCCTGTTGTAGGAGGAGGAAGGAAAAAGAGTTGGGTGGCTCTTCTGCGCACGGAACCTTCGGATCAGCGTCTTTTGCGCAGTCGGATGATCCGGAAACAACCTCGCCACCAATCCATCGACTCGCCGAACACCTTTGGTCTCTCCCCGGGACAAAAACGCGGACCGGAACAACGACAGCGCTGTAAATCGAAAGTGGTCACTGTCGGTAACTGCCATCGACACCCCTCCTAGTAGTCGCTTGAATGGTACGTGCGTCTTGGGCACAGAGGGTGTTGTCGCCGTCATCGTCGTCGTGTTTGTCTCTGAAATGGTGCCGTCCATCATTGTCCCCACGCTCGGACTCGATTCAGAGATGATTCCTGAGGCAAGGCTCGATCCCAAAGCCAAAACCGGCGCAAGTCGAGGATATAGAGTATGCCAGAGCTCCCAAACAATCGCTGTGTCGATACTAGTCAAAAGCAAAGAATGCTTCAGCTGGATCAACAGAGTCTTGTCGTCCGTCTTTTCAGGCTTGACGATCTCCGATGCGGCGTGACATGAATCCGTCTTCTGGCCAAGCTGCTGAAATGGGCGATCCGGAACACTAATGGATCCTGCGCGAGGCTTTGAATCAACTTGTCTTGAATCGGCGGTTGCAACACCACCCCTGGAGGACCATGTCGAGTTGGAGGCTACAGTCGACGAATCTTGAGGCCCAAAGTAGCGGTCGAAATACGCATCAAACCACATCAGGTTTCCACTGCGGCGATATCCCTCCAACAGTTGGTTAAACGTTACCAAGTCCGGGGGCACGGCCTTGCCAGAGCGTTGCATCACCTGAAACAGCTTTCGACTGGTCGTCAGGTCGCCACGAGAGCCCAGGTAGGCCTTCATGATCAGGTTAAACGTCTTGGTGGTCGGGCTCAGCTTGTGCTTGACCATCTGCTGTGGAATCAGCACAGCCGCTTCCAGATCTCCCGAGTGTCCATACCCGTTTAACAGCCCGTGAAACGAATAATGATCCGGCGTCAATCCATCCTCCAGAAGACAAGCAAACGTCTTCTCGGCCACCCGGATATGCCCTGTCGTTCCTGCGGTCGAAATGATGGCATTGTACAGAGTCGTGTCCAGTGTCCATGACGGATGCTTGGTTCGGACTTGTTTGAACAGTGTGAGAGCAGAAAAAAGGTCCGAGCGGCGGCAGGCGGCGTATATCAATCGACGGTACGTGTGGAGATCAGGTGCAGATGGACCACCTAGGGTATATCGGACCTGGAGATAATCCGGATAAGACTCGGACCGACCATGGTTGACCATTCGACTATTTAGTCGACGGAAATCAATCCTGTTCATTGCTTCATTCCAGCCACGCGCCACCATAAACCTGCTCGTTCTCAGTGCTCCTAAAAGGTCGTCCTCGCGGATACAATCTGTAAGGATGTTCGAGTAACCTTCAATAATTGTACGGACATCCTGCATGTGAAGAAACTCCGATCCAAGGTCAGACGAGGACGAGGCACCCGACATGTGTTTGATCCGCAAGGTAGAAATGGCCTCCCACTCCTCCAACACCAACTCGAGATTCACCCGATCGGCGCCATTCTCAAACTCTGAACAGACCAAATGGCGTCGAATGTTGTCCAGCTCAGGCTTCAGACCTTGACGAAGCATCAACTCCAGGACCCGACTTGCCTCTAGCAGCTGGCACTCCTGTAGCAGCCCTTGAAGCAACAGCGTCATCATCCTGGTGTCGCCCATCTTGACCAGCAGCCCAGCTACCATCTGCGAAAACCCACGAATAAGCCCCCGTCGCTGGTCATCCGTCCTGAAGACACACAGCGTTCCTGCGAGCGAACTCAGCCGAGGCGACCAAGGATACCTTATAAACTGCTCGATGGAGGTGACACTCCGAGGCAAACACTGACCAGTTGCTGAAGTCCCAAAACTCCTGAGAAGGCTCTCTGTGGTGCGGCAGAGTCGTTGGTAGAGTGTGTAGTAAAAGTCTCGTTCCTCGTCCGAAATTGCAACAGCTGGTAGACCATCCAGAAATGCGATCCCCTCAATCTCCAGGTTATTTGCGGCAAATCCATCAACCATCGTCCTGACCACCTTTTTGTGCTGCAATGTACCTTCGCCAACCATCTCCGTGGCCTCCCGGTAGAGCCGCAACGCTTCTGGGACAGACCCCAAGACAAGGTGAGCCTGAGCGAGCATCTCCATCACCTTTCGGTGCTTCTCGATCCCGTTCCGATCCATGTCTCGCTGCAAGGCTAGTATCCTGCTGGCCGCCAACTGTGGGCCATCCGAATGACGGACGATTTGCATCAGCTTGATGTAATCCCGCCGTGTCAACCGCCGAGTTGTGCCATCCTTTGTAGTCGAAAGTGCCAAGTAGACGCTCCAGACGTTATCAATGGCTCTCCTATAAGATCTCGAGAGTATTGGCTTTCTTCTGCTCGCGTCTGAAAACGAAGATCGAAAGAACTTTGGCAATTCGTGGTCCTGTATAGGTATCCGATCCAGGGACTGTAAAAAGCGTTCTAGGCTGAGTGTGGAGGCAGACTCCGCTGTCGTCGTCGTCGTCGTCGTTGTCGCTGTGAAGCTTGTCGCCAGTGTTGTTGATGGTGATGTAGAAGGCGGGATCGTAGTGGTAGCAGGCGTTGAAAATGGCTCTAGTGAGGCAAGGGCGCCACGAGGTCCGTTGCTCCTCAATCTGTCGCGAGAGAGCGTGGTGCTTGAAGTGCGAATGTCTGACACAGAATAGGATGATCCGGAGGTGTTGAGGGCTGGCTTGGCAAGGCTTGAATGGGCCCGTCTTTGTCCTGTCACGACGGTTCGAATCCAGCGTTCCATGCAGGCCGCCAGCTCTGGATCATACACTGACTTGAAGCGCTTTACGGCTGATGGTCTGATATGGTGATGTTGGTGTTTTGAGGAGTGGTATGAGCAATGTAACCAGGTCGGATTTGGCTTGGGGCGTGAAGTTCCGGTGGCGAGGCAGCTCTGGTTCTGGTGGTGGTGATAAAGGGGAGAAGACGCGATGATTGAGTTGTTGGATCGTATCCGTGGCGGCGGTGTTGGTGGCGATAGTATGTGCGAAGGAGATGTTCCTTTGGAGGCGGTGGCCAGGGTGGAAGAGGGCTGGCTGACCCGAGCGGAGGTCCGAGAGGAGGTCCGAGGGACGATTCTCAAGATGTTTTGGTACACCTCGCTCTTCCTCCTGAGCATAGCAGCTACGAATGGAATATATAGAAGAAGAGATTGGTTAGGTTGAGACTTGTATACAGGGTGACTGACGATGTTGATGTTGTGGAATGTGATTTTGGTTGCTGTGTGAGGACGGACCTGTGTCGCGGGATGGCGTGGTTCAGTCGGTGGTCGATGATGAGTGAAATGGAGAGAGTGGAGGTGTGAGTTTAGTGGGAGTGAGAATGAGTGAGTAAGTGAGTGTGAACGGGGTGGTGCTGGCCGGGTCTAGAACATTGAGGGGCTGGGCGAGGAAGGATAAGAAGGGGAATGATATGAGTTGTGGATGAACAATGGATGTATGCGCAAGGGCGGGAGAGGGAACAAGACAAGACAAAGACAAGACGAGACAAGCCAGGACAGGGCAAGAAGGTAAGGGGGAAAAAGGTACTAAGACTAAGACACGCACCTCGGATCTTGTTTAGGTGGCTTGGCCATGCACACAAACAGTCCGAGCTTTTCTTTCTCCAGAAAATACCCGCTTTCTCTTTTCTCCCCTTCTTTTCTTCCTTTTCTATTTCGCACTTACACACACTTGCTCCTTAAACGAAATAAAACCAAGCGGTTGCTTTTTATCTTCGTTATTGATGACTACAAAAAAAAGGAGCGAGAAACACTAAAATAAGGCCTTATCTGGCAGAATGGAATCGGTAACCACTCTTGTGTTTGGAGGTGAGGTGGAGGACGAAGAGCTTTCTGCAGCTTGTATCTGCTGCCTAGCCATCTTCTTCCTGGCCTCAGCAGAGTACAAAAAGTAGTCGATCATGCCGTCCTCCTCATCATCTTCGCTGCCTTCCAGAAGTACTTGGACGTAGTCGTCCATCCTAGGCCTGCTGTGGAAGGGATCCTTTGGGGTTTCGATTTTACAGGGACCAGATAGCTGGTTCTCACTCATCCTCGTACTCCTAAATGGTCTGGGTTTACTCCGTGAACGCGCGCTTCGCCTCAACGCCGTCCCAGTCGCGTTTATGTCCGTCTTGGCTTTGCTCCTAGATCGACTGCTCCACCATGTTGGCTGCATCTCGTTGCTCCTCACAGTCGCCCGTCCTCGGCTTTGAAATCGACCACGCCTCGAACCATGAGCACTCCCTGTCCTCATCCCCGTTCCTGCACCATCGTCGTCCTCTGAGACATCAATTCGCAAAGGACGGCCATCGCGCTGCCGCTTCTTGACAGGACCAACGTTTTCATTGCCACTGTGATTGCTGTTATTCGAAGGCGCGGGGCGTCTTAACCGTCCCCGGCGAACAGGCGAACTCGAAGAGTCCCTCTCATTGCGGCAATACCTCTCCCGACGTGGACTCCTCCTGACAAAAGATGTTGAAGTGGCAATAGTTTCTTGAGCGGGGTATGTCTGGGTACTCTCGGCTGTAGTCTCGATCGCGGGATGTTGGAAGGGCGTGGCCGATGGTATTGCCTCGAGCGGATCCGAGAGTTGAGTCACCGAACTCGTTGAAGCAACTCGCATCTGACGAACCGCCGGTGTGGAACGTGGGGAGGTTGTTGAGGAGGAAGATGGGATGATATGGATTCGTGCTCGTGATGTTACCCTCTTTCGCGCTGAGCGAGTCAAAGCAGTTGTTGATACATGTGATGGTTCTCGTTGGTCGTGGTTCATTTTTGCGTTGAGTATCCAGTAGGCATGGAGATTTAGCATCAGTGTTTTGACTATGGAGTACAATCGAGGATAGTGAAATCTATTTAGTAGGTAGGCCGTCAAGTTACACTCATAATCACTGAACTTCAACATGAAAATTCAAAAAACACTTATATAAACGTACTATTGAGTTGCGTAGCAGTTACATCCTATGCCTTTGGCCTGACGGGTCTCTTCCAGGGCTTAGCGAGATAGATCATCAGAACTCTCTATCGGGTAAGGACAAATAATATCGCACGAGATCATTTGCGCTAATTGGTTATCCAGGTACCAAAATAATTTCACCAGCGGTTGGAATAAAACACCACCAACTACCTCTGTGTCTCCTTCGCTCAAATCATGGGTGCTTATGTGATACGCCACCGTGGCAATGAACTCCATGCTTGTGGGGATAGTTGTGTTAGATATGGTTGTCAGACATCCCTGCACTGGACAAAAGAAAGAGCCTGATTCCGACACTAGGGAGGATCCTGATGTGCTCGATTCCTCTTTTGAGTATTCCAGTCCAGGTTCTATCTTTACTGTTGGATCCAACTGCAACAACAACCGCCGTGACCTTGGCGTCTCAAACTAACATATGGATGTTAACCTTATGAGTGCTAGGTTCTTGGATATTAACAACAGCCCTAGCTATTCATTATTGCATCACACAAGTTACCTTGCTTGATAGTAACTTTATATCAGTGCTGATGGCGTTGCATGTAATATCACTGATCACGGGGTGAAGTAAGCAACAGTCGTCTACACATGGTGCCGGAAGTCCCTCGTATGTTTCTACTTTTGTTTCGAGCTGTCGCCACAAGATGAACGCTAGAACGGTGACTGTCACATGTGCTGCGAATTCAGGTGCGGATCAAGTAATAATTACAACGACGTGGAGTCAAAGACTTACTTCTAGAATGACTTCGTGGTCTGTCATGTCGTAGGATATGATCGGTAAGAGGGGTTTTGAGGCAGCAGATAGCGGTGGACAGGTGTTGACGTCGCTATTGTCGGTGCCATCCACGTCGCAGTGATAATGGTGGTTGTTGTTGTAGGGGTTCTGGGCAGCCATGGTCGTCTCCTCCTGATGCATGTAATCTGTGTGAGTTCAAATTGGGCTCAAAGAAAGGTGCCAAGGGAGAAAAGAACGTGAATGGATGGAGGATTGAGAGTTTGCCGATGAGAGTGAGTGAGCGAGTAAATGAGTGAGTGTGGAATGAGTTTGTGTGTGTGTGTGAGAGAGAGAGAGATATATTGAGAGTAAGAGGTAAAGAAGGAATGAGTAGAGAGAGGGGAGGAAGGGAAGTAAGAGTGCACAGAGCAACGAGTTGGTTGGTGGCGTTTTTTAGGACCAGTCACATACACATACACACGCTTTCTCTCCTCTTTAGCATCTATCCCATTTCTGTTGTATGTGGCATATGCTACGGTTTGTAACGAACATCCGCAACCACATTACCACATCTTCTTATTGTTGTTGTTTTTTATTATTATAGATTCCTGCAAGAATAGCGAGAGAGAGAGAGAGAGAGGAGGAGATAGCCCAAAGAGCGCGTCAGCCGGTCTGCCTTGAATTCCTTCGTAATTGCCTAGTTGACTGGTGCAGTCGCTTGGTAGTGTTGAGGCTGTGGCGGCTGCTGTTGCTGCTGCTGTTGCTGGGGCACGGCAACATAGGTGCGTCCGTGGCGGTGGCTCACGTTGGGGTCGTCTCTGTTCTTGTAGATGATATACCAGGCATATACGATGCCAGGAACATGACCCAGGAGAGTCAATCCGATGCTATTTATGAGTGTAATAAGTACGAGTGTGAATGTGAGAAGAGTACGAGAGGCCAGTTACTTCGTAAAAAACAACGCCAATAAAAGCCAAACTAGGTGAGGAAACACAAGAGGTGCACAATTTCACATGCGGGATATTCTGTTGCACCCATCATAATATGGCTACAGGGAACATTCCGTCATTATTACATTTTCACTTCGTCACTGCCCTGCCCTCTCCTGCTACATTGTCTTTTATTGCCCACACTGTCACTCTTGTAGTCGTCGTTGTCATCCTGTTGTATATTATCCGACTCGTGTACCTGATGAGAAAGTCAGCGCCGCATCCTTGCTTCAGACCAACTATGTAAGAGTAAAGGAGAGGGAGAGAAGCAACTTGGTTACAGGGGAACAACAGCAATGACAATGCTAGCAGAGTTAGAAAACACAATACAGCAAAGGGTGTATCTTCTTACCAGCCTGGTAATTATAAAGTCACCAGGGACAAACCAACAAAACAGACGCGGGAGAGCGAGGTCCGCGAGAAACGAAGAGATATGTTAGATTACGGTTTCGTTAGTACGTAGCGAGCAACGAGCAGCTTATACGATAACGAGCGGCGAATAGAGAGAATAAGTAGGAAACGAGATACGTTACGAGGGGAGGAAGAAAGAAGGCGGCAATAAAGAGGAAGATGTCTGCGCCGCTGAGGTTGGCCATTTTAAGTGCGTGTGTGTGGTGTTGTATGTGTGTAAGAAAAGGAGTTGGAGCGTATGTGAATGTATGCAAGAAGAAGAAAGAAAGAAAAAGAAAAAAGAAAAGAAAGAGTAGAGAGGAGTGGAAATGGCCATTCTTTTTTTTCGATGCACGTGATCATAGCCGGAAAAACGGTCTATCTTCCTGGAGGGTTTTTTCCTTCCTCCGCTTTCTCTTCGTGGGCTACGGCATTTCCTCTGAGGATCACGACGCGTTGAAAAAAAAAGACGATTCTGTTGATGACGATATGTCAATATCACTCCAAACCAAGATTCAACCATGAACTGGGTTTCTCTCTACCTTGTGACAAACAGGGTAGCGGTTGTCTGCTTGGGTCGAAGTAGCGAGGCAAAGTCCAACAGGTATGTTTTCCTTCATCTCTCTGTCGCACTGTGGCTAGATGGACTGTGCCTTCGCCTGGCCAATGAGTTCATCTCAATGAATGGTTATTGGATGGATATCAGATATCTTTATCTCTTTTTATGCACTTGAGGCATGCCAATGCGGTGCCTCGTTTTTCGACATGTTGAAACCAACTCACGCCCTGCTCCATCTCTCAACGATTCATGTATTGGAACAATCGATAGACTTTTTAAGGTCACAGCATCAGGATAAGTACTAAGATCGATTGAGTTGATTAAAGCTGTGCAGGACATTTGTCTCGACCACCTTACTGCAGCACAAGACAACATATCAAATGTAACAATTCTGCGTCACGTTAAAAACCAAATCAACCACGACTGCGACCAACCCATATGTTAAGGATAACATTTGGATGTTGATGGCCCAATCGATTCAGAGGTCGCTGTCGAGTGGGTTTTTGGCAGGGGTGTTTGGGATACTTGACCGACATGGGATAGTGGTGGATCTGATTTCGGCGTCAGAGATTAGGGTGTCGATGGCGATGGAGGGTGAGTTGTGGAGGAAAGGGCACCACGTTCTTTTTCTCAGACGTTGAGTCGTACAGAGAAGTAAGGTCGTCTTCCACGTGACTCAACAGTGGTATCCAGTCGTTTGGCGTCCACGTCCGTCCATCCCCACGCCCCTTTCTTTCGCTTTCCCCTCTTGCTTGTTCGTCCTTCCTTGCCCCTCTGTCCCCTTCCTTCCTTCCTTCCTTCCCTTTGTATAGTACACAAACAGGAAGAACAAGGTACTTGCATCTCAATTCCAACCTTTGTGTCTTCTCGCCTTCAACAACGAATAACGAACAACAGCAGCGACAAACAACGCGTTCGGCCTTGACATAATCAAACTGAACAGAGGACCTTCATACTCATCCTGATCATATCATCATCCCCATCCAATCCCTTCTTCGTAGGACAACATCATACCCATGGCCACCATCAAGTTCAACAGGCCGCGAGCCATCCGCCTCTTGGCCGCCGTCGCAATCTCCCTCGCCATCGTCTCGCTCGTCTCCGCCCATGGAAACCATCACCGCAACAACAACCAGATCCCAAAGGACAGCGTCCACGCTCACGCTGATCCCACCAACCCCGGCGACTGTCCCTTCCACAAGGCCGCTCAAGCCGGTGAGAAGGAGGAGACTCTCTTTCACGCCCAGCCCGTCTATGACAAAGATGGGAACCTCGTTGGATCAAACGTCGAACACGGGGACCTGCCAGGATCCGCCACCAACAGTCGCATGAAAGCCCTCTTTGCCTTTCTCTTCCCCGGCTCACCTATGGTCAACTCTCTCCTCGGCACCACCTACATCTCGATCATTCCCAACCTGCTCCTCTACTTTGTCCCGCCAGATATCAAGCCCGAGTCGCTCAACACCCTCGTCGCATTCGCTGTCGGCGGTCTCCTTGGCGACGTCTTCCTGCATCTCCTGCCTCACTCGTTCCTGGGCGAGGTCCACACTGGCGAATTAGTCGCCGTCAACGAAAAGAAGAACGTGTTCGTCGGTCTGAGCATCTTTGTCGGATTCTTCATCTTCTTCTGTATCGACAAGGTGATGCGCGTTGTCAGTGGAGGCGAAGGAGGACACAGCCATAGCCATGGCCATGATCATGACAACACCGTCAAGGACCACCACCACCACGACCAGGATAACGACCACAAGCACGAACATAAACACGAGGACAATGATGCGACTCTTCGCCAGCGCAAGAACACCAACAAGGACAAGGACGAGCAGAAGGAGGATAAAAAGGTGGCAGAGAAGCCTAAGGAGATCTCGAACAGCATCAAGTTGTCTGCCTACCTGAATCTCATTGCGGACGCGACACACAACTTTACCGACGGTCTTGCTATGGCTGCCTCCTTTTACACCTCTCCAGCCATCGGAGCCACCACCACCGTAGCCGTCTTCTTCCACGAGATCCCTCACGAGGTTGGCGACTATGCTATCTTGATCCAGTCGGGCTTTCCTCGGAGCAAGGCCATGCTGTCGCAATTTATCACCGCCATTGGAGCGTACTTGGGCACATTGGCTGGAATTGCGATTGAGGAGTTGAGCAAGTCTGGAGACGGCGCCGACCAAGCCTTGGAGGATCAAAAGTTGGCGCTTTTTGGGTTCGAGAGCATCCCCATGCGCGCAGGCGACCTTGTGATCCCATTCACTGCGGGCGGATTCTTATACATTGCCACCGTCGGCGTCATCCCCGAGCTCTTGACCGTCTCGGGCAAGTTTGCCAAGGATGCCAGGCAGTTTGGAGCCGAAATCGTTGCCATGCTGATCGGTGTAGGCATGATGACCATCATTGCCTTGAACGAATAGAAGAATACCATGAATCTACATAAACTTGATCATGTCAACAGAGAACGTCCTCGTTTGAAACTAACATGAGTGTTCTTTTGTGTTTGTTCGAGGGCTGGCAGCCACAGCCATGCACAACCTTCATAGTAAGGTAGAAACTGGAATATACAAATAAGAAGGGCCAACGAACTGCACACAAGTCGTACGGTGCGCATTGGAATCGCATCGCAGGATTTTTTTATTTATTATTATTCTTCCCCACGCTCGTGCCTCTTTTTGTTTCCTTCTTGTTCCTTCGCACGCCCAACTAACCGTCGCCAAGCAGCTCACCTCTCCATCACCTTGACGAGTCACAATTTTTCAAAGAAACCTCCGGAAGCATTATAGCAGACGCCAAAAACAAACACAAAACTGCTCCAACAGCGATAACACAACACTCCAGATGGCATCTCCTCTTCGGATCCTCCGAATCGTCATTTTCTTACTCGCTGTGGCAGCCTGCACATCCCTTGTCTATGATCGGCGGGTCTATGACATTGATCGCATCAACGGATACCTCTCCTTTGCCCTTATGGGCAGCTATTTCTTCTCTCTGGTGTGCCAATACCGCCTCGTCAACAAATACACCCGTGCCATCTTGATGATCCTCCTTGCGTGTGTCTGGTTGACCATCAATACAAGCTGGACCTACACCAGATACATTCACGACCGGGACATTTTCAGGACTGATGTCAGCTTTTCCTTTCCGATATCGCTTTTGGTCGTAATTGAGGCGATTCTCACACTTCGCTACGAATCGCACCTGAAGAGGACACTGGAAGATCAAGAATCCGGTAATGTAATGACCAACCCACCTCCGCCATATCGACAGACACAGGAGATGTCAATAGCGAGTCTTCTGCCCTCGGCAGCTCTTCCGCACGACGAACAGGACAATCCTGAGATTGCGCTCTCTCCAATCGACGCTCCAGAGTCGTCTCTGTTGCGAACTACAGGCTATGGACAAGTGAAGGACCATATTAGAGGACCACAACACCACCATCAACTACCAGCGTGTGTCTACTTTCCGCCATCATCTTTATCCTCAGCCTTAGCTTCAGAATCATTGTTGCCTTCGTCATCTTCGCAGTCAACACGCAACAGAGTCCAGTCGGTGGTGGAGATACCCAACTCTGGTGCCCTGCCGCCTTACTCCCGTTGAGCACCTCTTTTTGCTCTAATAAACTTAAATTTCTGAAAGATTGACCACAAGTACCAAGGACTTCATTTTAAACTAATCGTCATTCTCACGGACCAGGCAGTCATGCAAGAGCGCCATGCTCACGTCCATGCTCATGTCTTTTTTTTTGTACCTAACTTTATTTCTCTGACAAACAGCACAGCAAAGGCATTTGAAACTAAAAGGGACTATAGACCAATTTCTTCAGTGCGCCATCCACCAGTTGCAGTCCGGCCCGGAATACAATATGTCGCATGGAACCAAGCTCTGCACAACAATTGTCGCTGCTCTTCACAGTTTAAATGGAAGACAACATAAAACTAAATACGAATAAAGGGGATTCTTTCCATCCTCTCCATCATTGATAAACTCCTCCTTCCCATCAATCTCTCCAACAAACGCACGTCAGCAGCGCATGGGTCCTTGGTCGCTCCAGGGCAGGTACCAGCCTCATGTGTGCCTAGCGAAGCGCCACGGCAGAACCATCACGAGTGATGAAACCATGTTCTTGACCCTAGCCACCTCGGGGGCCTGTGCAATTGGATGTCCTGTCCTTAGCAGAGATGCCCTGAGTCTACTCCCACGCGATCGTCGCGGAGCACCGAGATTTCCATATCAGCCCCGAGGCCTGCGTCTTCAGATAGCCAACAAACTTGTGCAAGACCGTCTTGGCGATGGACATTGGGGTCCGGAAGACCGCGGAACATTCAGTCAACATGCTCGTGGGAGTGATGCCGCGAAAGAGACCCGACACGTTCCACTTGGGTTTCTCGCCACGATCAGGAGCAGTAATGCCGCTGTGCACGGCTCGAGCTCCATCGATGGAGGAGAATCCTCGTACATGATCCACATCCGAAGGAGCCCGCCAGCGTATGGGTACTGGTCTCGGCACTGGATGACCATTGTCAGCCGCTCGTTTGTGTTCCCGTTTCCTGGCTGCATTGTATCTGTTTGTCGCCTGCACACCCCACTCGTTAATCTTGACCATGGCCTCCCTTTCAGATCGCAGTGGTAGTGCCAAGGAACAGTTCCAGACATATTCGTTATCATCCTTCTCGAGCCCGCATCGTCGGCACAGACATGTTGGTACAGGTTGGGTTTGTGAGCATGCATGTAATTCAGAGTGGGCAGTATTCCATGCAGCTTTTTGACGTGATGTGTGGATTGAAGGGAGTTCTTGCTGGTGCTGTAAAAGGTGAAGACTGCGTGCCTGTCGTGGACATAAGCCAAAGTTGAGGTCCATTACACGTCGTTGATGTCAGAGATCACCCTCTTGACCGGTCTCTGCGACGTCCAGGCCCGGTGGTGGCGAATTTGCCGTTTGTTGTTTGAGGAGCTGTCGTAGGTCGATTTAGACAAGCCCGCCGTAACAATGTGCAGAGGTCGTGATGTCCGTCTGTTGAGTGAGATCCATGGTAAAGAGCACCGAACCACTCTGTGCTGCCATCTTCGCCGCCTGATCCGCCAGCTCATTTCCATGGACGTTGTTGTGTCCCTTGATCCATACCACTTCGCCCCCACCTGGCTGAGATTCCATGTGCTTTCTATAATACCACCCACTGTGGGTTGTCAAATAGATTCACCCGAAGGAAAAGACACCCATGCGGTAGAGACGGTCGTGTCGGCCGAGGGCAAAAAAAGCATCCTCACGGTCACGACGGTCTTTGTCGAAGCACCCAATGGTTGTTGCTTTATATTCTTCTTCAGTGTACGAATAGTGCGACTATCGGGAAGCTCTTAACATCTTTAATTATGTGAGAACACAGCAGCTTTTCTGACTGTGCAAAACGATATTCTCACATATCTCCAAAAGCGTGGTGGATAATCTGACATTTGTTGCTGACACTCATTGTCAAAATTACCAGTCTAACATTACAGTCAGAATATCATCATCCACCAGCTAGTCGCTTTTTTTTTGTTCCCCACGAAGCATGAGGAAAAAAAATTACAGGGCCTTTGCGCGTTTAGAGCCCTTCGCAACCTTCTCTCGCCTAGTCTCCTCGACATGAATCATGGCTTCTTTATTTTGCATAGCACGATTATTCCCCTTAGCCCTTCTAGTCGTCGGGGGTCTCACTTTGGAGAAAATTTTGATAGGCAGTGGCAATTGGGGACCATGTGGAACCGATAAGGTAAGGATTGCCAGTGAGACTCCAGGCACACACTCCAGTGAGACTCCAGGTACACCACTCAGATGTCAGCGTACACGAAGAGTAGTAACGAATAAAGAAGTTGATTTTATTACGCCAATTAGGTGGCTTGTATACTTCGTTCAATAGAAAATGACCCCTCCACACCTATCCATAACGCCAGCTGAGCCCGCTCTAAATGAGGCAAAATGTTGTCAGGCGCAAGAGTACGGATCATCTTTTCGTGTCAATCCCGGTGCTCTGCATATAAATAGCCGGACAACAAGACCCGCTTTGCCTACTCCTTCTCCTCTCTTCATCTCCTTCCCCTGTCCTCTCCACTCCCCACTCGCCTTCCCACAAAGCATTCATATTTAAAAAAATGCCAAGCAAAGGAGTATCCGTCTACAGTTACATCTCAGTCGACGGCTACGAGGTCGAGTTCACAGTCCCCGCAGCTTCCATCCTCAATACCGCCGCCGACAACTTTACGCCCAAGAACCTCGAGATTGACTTGTCCGATATTCCAGGTCTCCACTGTGTCGGTCGATTCCAATGGTCCGTTCTCTTCCATGGCAAAGTCATCGCCAGTGCCTACAACGACATCAACACTCTGACAGGAAAGCTCTCTGGTGGAACCATGACCGCAACAGTCGACTTTGCTCCCATCCTCACCGAAAACGCCATCATTACCTATGGATTCTATGCCGCGGGTCCTGGAGACTTCGGCCTTCCCCACCGCCACCAGTGCTATGTTACCATCTGCTCCAAGGATAATATCGCCTGGATGGGCGCTGTTGCCCCACCTGGATCGCCTGCAGCCCAGAAACCCTTCTCGCGTTTTGTTCTGGCAGCGCCTCACGACAATGGGATGAACAGCATGACAACCTGTGACGCATTCTTTTCAGCCGCCAATGTAGACATTGTCTCCGATATGAAAGAGCACCTCCCCTACTTGCGGTTCTTTCAACATCTTCCAGACAGTCTCCTCCTCCGCCGACTGCCCAACATCGTCTATGGAGTTGCCATCACCCAAAAGAAAGAGATCCCACTGATGCTCCAATTGGGTGCGCGCTATTTCGAGTTCCGTCCCGCCAAGCTACTACCCATCATCCGCAAGGTTTCTTCTCTGCCCGACAAGTACTATTTCCAGCACTCTTGTATCCCCGGCTTAGCTTTTGACGAGTTCCTATCTCAGCAGACTGCATTCCTGGACGAGAATCCAACCGAGTTTGTAGTCATTCATATCCGATGGGATGGCGTCGTGTCCAAATGCGAGAGGCCTTCCCAACAAGTCATCGAGGACATGCTAGACGAGGCCTGCGGTCAGGCCACGCAACGTCCTCTACAATGGGGGGGCCGAGAGTGCTTCTCACAGTCGATCGATAGTCTCCGTCACAACGGCACCCGGCTCATCTGTGTTATCGATGCCGAAAAGTACGATTCCTGGACTGCCAAGGACTACGCGACCCTTACTCCAGACACCATTCTTGCAAGATTCGAATCTATGAACACCGAGGGTCAACAGTCAACCGATTTGACTATTCTCCAATGCCAGGCGACCTCTCAATCAATTAAGGAGGTCCTTGTCTACTCGGTTCTCAAGGCCCATGCAGCAACATCATGCTTAACATCGACCAAAGCCCACCTCGACTGCCAGACGCTGCCGTGGATCCGCGCAAACGCCCTAGATCGACTGAAGGCAGAGAAAACTATTGTAGTGATGAACGACTTTATCGACGGCGCCACTACCGACACCACCATTGAGCTCTCCAGGAGGCGTTTGGCTCTAGAGAGCGAAGACTCCGAAGTGGTCGATCAACCAGACCGGTAATCATAGCACATAATAAATGCATTATTTACACAAAGCATCCAAGGCATGAAAGCAAATAACGTTTAATTAGCTACAAAGAGGGAAGAGATAGTAGGAAAGACAAACGAGGGAAAGAAGATTAAAAGTATCGCCCAATGCTGACAACCGCGGTCTTCTTGCGCAATTTGGGCAAAAGCGCCGCCTTGTACGACAAACAGTGGACCTCCTTCATCCCATCCGTGTCCAGGTGGAAGTTCTCCAGCTCAGAATTTTCTGGAACCTTGCTCGTAAACGTCGCAATAGCCTCCGGCTTGAGCGACACCTCGGGACTGATTCGGAAGTACTTCAAACGTCCAAAATCAATCTCCTTCGCGAGCGTCATCCATCCCTGGTGGCTCAGGTTCACTTTTTGCAGCTCAAACGTACTCAAAGGAATCTCTTTCTTAAACAACGTCCGCATCCACGTTAGATCCTCGGTCGCCGCGTAGAACGGTCCAGTAAGTTTCAACTCCACCAGCTGTTCCATCGTCGACATATACTGCAGCCGTTTGCCGAGCTCTATCATTATCCCTTTGGCATGTTCTCCAAACAAATCGATCTCTGTGATCTTCGCTGCCACAACTTTCATGAAATCCGCCAGCTGACCAGCCTTCCGAGCTGTCACCATGCCCATAATCGACAATCGCTCCAAGTTCAGTCTCATAACAACTTTGGCCAGGCCGTCCAACGCCGGCTCGTCGAGCAAACAGGCATCGACCAACGTGATCGACACCAGTTTGAGTCCCCTCCGTGATCCCATAACCTTCTCCAAGATGGCAGAGTCCTGCTCGTTGATGCCGTGAATGTACAGCTGCAACAGGCAAGATCCAAACTTTTGAATCAACGGTCCAATTTTGTCCTTGGAGTAACTCTGGATTGACAGCGTCATCTTGGTCCGGTCCGATACGTCGTGCCAGATGAAGCTCGACTTGACGTTCTCGCCCCAGTCCTTACAAAGCCGGAATGACACCAGGCTCGGGTGGTTGGCCACTAACGCCTTGAAGGACTCAAACACCTGGCAGGGATCATCCATTGTATCGATGGAAAGTTCAATCTGGCTCAGCAGGCGGTTGTTCTTGATCATCTCTCGGATTCGTGGCCCATCCTCCGGAAACGAGATGTGAATGCTGATGTCCTTGAGGGCGGTCGAACGAAGAAGCGATATGCCAGCAGAACGATACGTCCTCATAGTGATGGCGTCGCTTGACCGCTTGTTGAAGTATTCAACATCGTTCTGCTCCATATAGTCCGTGTCCTCGACCTCATCCTCCATGACATCGTTAGTGTTGAAATCAATGTTGAGATGCTCCAAGTCCGACGTCTCCAACGTTAACTTGGATAGTGAGTGGAACCCGTGAAGGCACTTGCGAACCCGACTGACGGCTCCTTCCAGATTCGCCACGAGCAGACCAAGCTGGACCTTGCCGAACAACTGCTCACGACAGAACCGAGCCAAAACCGGGTCCAGACACACGGCGCTCTTGAACGATTGTAAGTAATTGGCAGGTTCAGTGGTGTCGGCCGTTACCCTCTTCTCGATCATGAAGGCTTCAATCTGCTTGTTCTTGAGGGCCTCTAGGACGACCTTGAAATAGCTGTGTCCGAATCCTGAGTGGGGAACGCCGTCATCATAATGGTCCTCCGACTCTCGCACTTGAATCTTGACACAGGAAGCATGCAGCCTGGAAGGGACGGTCTCCAACTCACATGCATCTTCGATCGTGAGATGCCAGTCCAGGAAAAAGGAAACAATGACCGTTGACTTCATGAGGCCTACAAGCTCATAAAGCTCTCGAGCTCGCTCTCTTGTTTTGAGCGTGAGGACAAAGGCTCCAAGGTTCATGTGGAAGATGGACTGAGCAGAGTCGAGGTTTTTGGAAAAGTCGAACGCTCGCGAGATCTGATCCCATACTGTCAACTGGTTCCAATGCGTGCTGCAGACCCATCGAACATCACCGTCAGGCGTCCGGAAAGGGATTCTCGTGCCGAGAGGCACCTCGACAGAGATCCTATGGTGGTAAAAGTCAGACAACTGGGATGGCTTCAGAGGTGGAGTGGGTTCGATGTCGTGTAGGGACGAAGGACGCTTGGCGTAAAGTTGATAACTCGACTCGACTCCGTGTTCCACCAAGAAGGCAATGGAGTACATGACCTTCTTCCGCTCCTCTAGATCCCTCAGGGGCATCATCTTGGTCTTCCCGTCAATGACGATACCATACTCGAGCATCTCCAGGACCGCCATCAGGTACGGAGCGAGCGCCGAGCAGTCCTTCAGCAAAGAAAGGTCGGCGGATTCGCCGAGATCAAGATGGGGGATGTAGCTATGGCCTGTGTAACGGATTGGCTCAATTTCCACTCCATCTTCCGAAATGAGCGACTGTGGTATGAAAGCTCCTGTTCCGTCCCTATCCGAGCCCTTAAAGAGGCCATTCACATCAATGCCGGCTCCAGGGATATCTATGCAGTCGCACAGGAAATGGACGTCAAAGTCTTGCCAAGCCATGGCTTTGACCTCCGCCACCGAGCGAATGTTGCCCTTGCGGGGAAGAATGACGAAGAGCCTCGAACAGGGGCTGTCCAGCCAGTCGTAGCGCGCAGCCATAATGTCCCTGGCGCGACGAGTAACCATATCGTGGATAGTGAAGCTGCTGCTGGAGTTGGCAGGAGAGGAGTTAGACGACGACGTGGTATAAGAGGAGGTAGAAGAGGCAGAGGAGGGAAAAGATGACTTGACGGTCGTCTCGTCGCGGAATGTGTTGTCTGAAAGGACCGACTGCTGCATGTCCAAAGTGCTCATCAGCTGAATTGATGCAGGGTCTTGCTCTGCGTTCTGGAACTCCTTGCTCCGCCTCAAGGCACGCCCTTTTCGTTTCTTGATTTGTGTCGAGATCCTGGAATGGGAAGCGCTCCCGCCACAGCTCCCACTACCACAGTCGGCAGAGATGTTCAGCATAGCGCTCTGTACTGAAAAGGTGGAACCCACCTTGCTATCGAGATTGGCGGTTGAGGGTTGAGGAAAGGCAGGAGAACTCTCTTTCACAGCTCCAAGGGCTGCGACGGATGCGGTAGGGAGCACGACTTCGTCCATGAATTGATGGACTGCTGGTCTAGGAAACTGGTCTCGCCGAGGTCTGAAGCTGTGAATATCGTCTGGTAGGGGAGGGTTGGGTTTTTGCAGCCTGTTGCCGAAGTCGGTAAAGTGAGCGTTGAGGTTGCGATTTGCTGCAGCTGAGCTGTTGACAGCGTTGACAAACTTCTTGACGACGGCTGGATCGATTTCCTTTGGGGGTGTTTTGGAAAGGAAAGAGGGAGAGATATAGTCTTCCTCAGATGAGTCTGAGTCCGAGTTCGAGTTCACGACGGGCAAGGCGGCATAAGCAGGCATGGAGATGGTTTCGGCGGATGGTTCCGAGTCGGGCGAGTTGTGGACTGGTTGGAGTTGTGGATGGACCCTGGAAGTGGAGAGTCCAGTGGTTTTGACGGCCAAGTCGATTGCCCTGATGGTGTCCTCCAAAGGTGCCGACTTAATAACATGGGGTCTGACGGGAGCCGTCGCTGGCAGGAGGCTGGGGTGGACGGAGCGGACCATTACCGAGGTAGGATCGACAGCCGTAACGGCAGCAGAAGACACGGGTTTGGAAGGCTCATGCTCCGGGTGCTTCTTGTTACACCTGATCTTGACCAACTTTGGGGCGGTCGAGTCATAAATCACATCGATGATGGCTCCAGGCTGGTGCTGAATGCCAAGAGGGACCACTCTGTTGTCCAATGGGTGAAAATGTGTTTTGGTGTAAGCCTTTCTGGTTATCAATGTCTATATTATTGTTACATACTAAAATGACGACGTACCGATAGGCACTGGGGCCGCGGATGAGGGGAACGTAGATATCCTTGTTCTGGAGTCGAGTCAGGCCGGGGAAGCAGACCTTGATGTCGCCCCAAAGGACGACGAAGGTTCCAGTGACGGGGTGGAGGATGGCCTCCATGCGAACGACGTCGAGTCCGTTTCGGAAAGTCTGGAAGACGCCTGTGGTGCAGGGGTCACGGATGTAGGCGGTAGTGATTGACGTTTGAGATGCCTGTTCGTGATGCATTTTGGGTGGAAGATGGCTGGACAGCCAAGCGAGAAGTGCGGTATGGTGTGTGTGAGTGTGAGTGTGAGTGTGTGTGTGTGTGTGTTTGGGTATGTGAGTAAGAGAGCAAGGAAAAGAGAGGGACAGGGAGAGGGTGAGGAAAGAGGACAAAGAAGAAGTAGAAAAGGGTCAAGTGTGTGGCCAAGCAAACAGGGTAAACAGGGCTGGAATAACAAGAGTAAACAAAAAGCACCCTTAAGGGATGTGATACAGGTCACATGTTGTGTTCGTTTATTCTACAACCTCCGTTCTTCCCTTTCCTTCGTCCTTCCATAACTCCTCGCCTACTCGAGCTACTTGCCTTACTTACCTCGTTGAAGTCGCGCACTCGACCCCATCAAGGAGCAAGCCATCAAGGAGTCTGACTCTTGTTCCTATTTCGAAGACCCTTATTACCTTATTACCTACCTGGCTCTACCTGAGTGGTTGCATCTCAGCCATACTCGCGCCTTTAGGTACATGCTTACACACGCACTCATCTACCTCGGCCTCTCGACCTTTTTCTCCCCCTTGCGCCACCAAAAATAAAATCCTTTTTCATAACAATAATCCTACACACACTCACCACGCGACGCGTCCCTCTCGATTCATTCTTTAGACTTCCCAATCGCCCTCTTCTCCTCAAGGCCCACAACAACAACAGCAACAGCGAGTCGATGGCAAAAAACCGCTCACGTCATCGCAACTCCAAGTTAGGCTCAAACTCGGATGCCGTGCCCATCAAGCATCGTCAGGATGGTTCAAGGAAGCAGACCCACAGCCTTCTTCAGCACCAAACCCCTCCACAAACAGGAACCTCTTCCTCTCCCCAGTCCTCTCCCTCTCCCCAGTCCTCTCCCTCTCTCCATTCCTCTCCCTCTCCCCAGTCCTCTCCATCTCACTCATCCTTTTTCACGTCTTCGACTACTCATTCTCACGCGCAGGAATCGCCAACACCTCCCTATCAGCCTTTCAGCAAAGAACCACCCAGGCGTATCATCGTTTCCTCTGACTCTGAGGATAAAAGTGATGCGAAGCCGTTGCTCCGAACAAAGCAAAAGCAATCGTGCAAGGTCTTTAAATCATCCCCATCCTCGATCATCCAACACCGGCAGCGAAAATTACTACAGTACCGACCTCAGCAGCAGCTCGCTACGGGAACAACCAATCGGCGTGGTGCGGTCGTTCCCTCAGGATCATCCTCGGGTTTGAGGAAACGAGTCTACTCGCCTGCACGTGCGGCTTTGAAAGCAACAGTCGCGCCACTGATAACTGTCCCCCCTCATGCCGAGAAATCACCAGAACGACCTCCTCAGCGTCGACCCGTTGCAAGTCCGTCCAACCTTACTTTCATTTCCTCAGGTTCTGGAGAAGAAGAAGAGTTGCCACCACATGTTCAACCACAGCGAAAACAGGTCGTCAACACCATCGAATTATCTGCGACCACTCAATACCAGAAGCATAATGTACTACCACCACGCCGACTTCACCCTACAGGAACACCCAAGCAAAACGACGCCGATTCGAAGGGTTCATCGTCGGACTCAACCGAGGACTCCTCCTCGGATTCATCGTCGGGTTTGGGCAAAGGAATCCATACGCCGACAAGTTCAGTTCTGGAGACGACCCTTGCCCAGATGATGACGGTCATTCATACCCAAGACCAGGAACCATTTGGACCCTCACCTCACCTGCAGCATCAATCCAGTACAACAATAACGAACCACATCATTAACCTCTCCGATTCTGAGAAAGACGATAACCTCTCTATCCAGCCGACTCAGACGGCAGCCATCACCGGTTGGCCCATCGTCTTTGTCCCAGAATCAGATGATGAGAGCCACACGTCCACGCAGCTGTCCCTTCCACGTAGAGGAAGCGATCCTGTGCAACTGACCTGTATCAAGTCATCTCTGGTCGACAAGCACCCCCATCCTCCACGTCTCTCTCGTCCACGTCTCCCTCGTCCACGTCCACTTCGACTCCGCGACTCATCGACCCGGGTGAATGTAGCTCCTGTTGTAGAAACATCACGGATGGACATCCAAGATGTAAGGGTCTAATTACTGAATGTTTTCATAATCAACACCGACCCGTCACATTAGGATATAAGAATCTGCACTCACTCTTTTCTATCACTATATATTTTATTAGGAGATCCTTGCATCGACAGCAGAAGAATCGGACGATGAGTACGATCCCATCCAGCACATCCCGCCCATGATTTCGGGTTTGAAGAGCCTGAGGAGGAGGAGGAAGATTCCTATGTTGGAAAAATGTACCCAGGCCGTCCTTCATTTCAATCATTCCTCTGGAACTCGGCCCATTGCTTGTACCCCCAACACGCCTGACATGCCAAACAACACGGCGAGCACGTCCAACACGTCCAACACATCCAACAAACCTGTGTCGCGGCCCGCTCCGTCGATGAACTCTGAACCAAGCGGCCATTCGAGAATGTGCAGGGCTGATGGTTTGCCCTATGTCAAGGATTTGTCCACGATTCGCCCTCCAGTAATCAAAAGCGAGTGTCATATCAGCGAGGCACCTTTGGTCGTACCGCTTGCAGTTGCGTTATTAAGAGACACGGCATCGGGTATCATGGCGCCAAAAATGGAGACACCAACCGAGACGCTGGCTACCAGGACATCATCCATTGAGACATGGAGTGCAGGTGCTCCTGTGGTCAATACACCAGTCAAGGCCAAGGTTGAAATTGAGCCTGCTGCTGTCGATACAGTCATGGAAACTGATGTCACCGAGCTGTCCACGATGGAGTTTGCCTCGAACGGGGCGTCTGCAATGGAGGCGCCAATTATCGAGATCCATGCAGTCGTTCCAGTCCCAGCTGAGCCTACAGTTCTGAAGGCATATCCGCTACGAGAGCGCACTTTCCAACAGCGTAGGCCATATACTGCCGACAAGCGGCTTCACGCTCGACTTAACCTAGGTCGGGGGGTTTCCGTCCAGCCTTCGGGACAGTCGCCACGCAAGAAGCATGCCGATTTTGCCGAGCTCCAGGAAGACGAGAACGACGGTGACTATGAAGATGGCCAAGAGGATCCAGACGACACTTACTTTGGACTGGAGGACAGTGTGACGGGAGAGTTGTTCCCTTCGACCCGCCCTTCTGTTGGACCAACTCCTGATGCGGATCTAGTAGGGGCGATCAGCAAGAATCTCTCTTCGATGAATCTTGATGAGGAGGATGGCCTATCCGTCCCACGACGTCGACTTTACCGAGGCCGGGATGGTTCAGCAGTTGGCGCGAAGGGTTATACCATAGAGCCGGAGGCCGATCAAGAGGAAGGAGATGGTGGTGGTGCCGAGACACAGGTTGTCGTCGAGAAGAAGAACATTAGTGTTGCCAGATATCATGTTCTTCCGATGTCCTTCTACGAAAAAAACAAATTGCCGGATGACCTCAGCATGTTGAAGGCGACGTATAGAGGAGAATCTAGCCTAAGCTCTGCGAGGAAGGCTATTGACACGGACCAGGAAATACTCCAGCCTGCCCATCACGCCAAACGTTGGATTGTGTCCGATGGTCAAGATGAGAAGAGACTCGACAATGTTCTTGCCCGACTGGCACAGGAAAACAGGCAGAGGGAAGCTGATTCAGACAGGAGCGATCTAGACAGGAACGATAACGACTCTGACGGCGCCAACACTAGATCTGGCTCCGGCCCCGGCTCCAGCCGCAGCCCAAGTCCCCAACAAGGCAGTAATGGTGGTTTCGGCCGTCGTGGTATCGGTTTTGGATATGGCTTCAGCGAAGACGAAGCCATTGAAGCCGAGGTCAGAACGGTCTCGAATCAAAGGCAAAGGGCATCTAAAAAGTCTTCCTCCTCGAAAAAGGTAATACCCATCGACATCAAGAGTTTACCGGGGAACATCGGTGTATTTTGAAGAAACCCATTAATTAATGCAGTACTTATTGGTTTTGCTGTACAAATTAATCAGATCACCAGGCAGCCTACGACTGATCAAAAGTCCGAGAAGCGACGCGCGGAGACATATGTGGATCCATACAGGGTAGTTTCCGAGCGCAGACGTGCTGGCGGCGGCGGAAACTCAACTTTAATGGAAAAGCAACCATCCAAACGCCGTTCTCCTTACACTTATGCGGACTCTCACGAGTTGAACAAGGATCGCTTGGCCGCATTCCTTGGTCGCAGTTCGACATCAATGTCAGCACTATCGAAGAGGAAAGCTACGGATGATGCTGTGCTCAGGTTGCAACGCGTTCTCGATCCTGACGCCGCCCGGGACTTCATGTTCAACAGCCGCCTCAGAAATATGCGCAACTCTACCAACCGTCGCGCACATATTCTCAACCACCTCTCAGGGCTTCAGTATTCGCACTCGGTCAAGCGTCTTCGTATGTGGGAGGGCCAGGAGTCTGAAGCAGAATCGGACTCGACGCTTCATGACCACCAACACGCCTCGTACAGCACCGCTCAGCATAAAGCATTCCCAGAAGGTCCCATTTATGACAGCAACAACAGCCTCAGCAGTGTTGAGAACGCTCGGATATTTGGAGTCGGTACTCGTCGACAAAAACATAGAGGCGGTGTTGACGGTCAATCGCAGCAGCTTGTCGGCACCCGTGTCACCAATGCGACCGCCGAACCTCGTCAGGTGACGTCAACTAAGTCCATATCGGCATCGTCGTCATCCCCGCAGCTGCCAGGCGTGTGGGCAAATGCGGCGAACCTGATGGAATATGGCCTTCCAGGCTACAGCACGTGGGACGCGGAGCGGACACGTATTCGACAAGAGAGGGAGAACGCGGTCCCTCAACCTCCTCAGTACATTACTCGGCCTATGTATACACTCCCTCCGCCACCACCAGCCCCCGCCCTGCCAGTGCGCTCTCGTCCATTACAAGAGCCTGCTGCAAGTACTTCCGCCCGAGAGACCTTCTTGTTTGTCGGCTCGAATAATCAAGTTCAGGACTCCACCACAGCCGAGATAGGGTTGGAAGAGTTGCCGCCGGTTCGTGAGGATGTCCGCGCCTATATGGCTGAGAGCCGATCGAGAAACAGGGAGCTTGCTGCATACCGAAGGAAGAGACTAGCGAAGTGGGATCGTGTTGCCTGCGGTTCTCCCATCACGGGGAACCCGGTACGCGGCGGACTTCGTTTTTCGGAGGCAACATATATCGGTGGCGGCTCGTTATCTCATGCTCTCAAAGCGGCGGACCTGTGGAGGCAGGGCTCTTATTTGCCTCCGAACTCTCTCTCTTCCGTTGTTGTTCTTGGGCAGTCCTTCCCTTCCGATTGGCCAGAGAATCCGGTCATGGAGATGGAGATGAACGCGGCCGTTTTGGAGGTGATGGATCGACTATGGCGGATCCAGAGGCTGTCGCGTCAACTTGGATCGGAGGCTGTGGAGGAAAGTCAGACCTTGCTGGCCGAGATTGTTCAAGCCTTGGGAGGGCTGACGACCGTCTTGATCAACGGCATGAACTATCCGATGATGATGGGTCGACGCCATGTCTGGTTGCTTTTTGAATCGAACGTCGTCGTTCCACTTCGGGATTTGGCTGATTCTGAGCAGATACAAGTTGGTCAACGCTACTCGTCTCCTGCTACGGCCAGTATCCTGTGGTTAAAGTGGGCGGTATTTTCCTGGCATTTCCTGCACGAGAGTGCTATGCAGTGGGACCATTGCGAGGGGGGTTGCAGGATGGATGAGGCATGCGATGCTCTGCTGGCGGTCCTATTCAAGGCCGACGACGTTTCGTTTTCTGTTGCTATTGAGCAGATGCGAGAAGGGATGCAGGGATCGCGAGGCACTATCCATAGCCAGGACGTGATCGAGATCTGGATTTGTCTCATCCACACGCTCAACCAGTCGGCGCGATACCACCGACTGAGGGGTTTCTGGTCTTGTTTTAACAGCCAAGTCGATCGTGTATGGGCAGAGGCCGAGAGGGCGATGGTGGGAGACGAGGACGAGACGACAGGGGAGTCCAGAACGGAGCGTGCGCGGCGTTACTTTGACCTAATGCTGGAACTGTGCCCACTGCATCAGTATGAGCGAAGCGGGTCATCCTCTGCTTTGAGCATTGTGGCGCCGGAGAACTGGGCTTTGGTTTGTTGGCTCCTGACACATGGATTGCTTGACCGCAGGCTGGCGGAAACAGTGGAGGGGGAGCAGCAATGCCGGGATGTCACAATCTTGTGTCATCGCCTGGTTCAGGTCTGGAAATGGGGTCCTGGAGAAAACGCCGTGGTGTACATTGGCCAATATCTCCAGTACCGACAGAACCGCGACATGCCGACGGAAGATGACTGCCGATTTCCCGAGTTTCTGAACACGCTGATTGAAACCGCAACGGTGGATCCGGAACTGGACTGCAACATTCCCAAAGATGATGAGCCCAAGCCCGAGCTCATGTACTATTGTGACGACGGCGTGCACCCCACCATACCCAGGCTTCCAAGACTTTCGGTCGACTTGAGCCTCGTGGAGACGGTGCGTCCTACAGATCGGGTGTTTGAGATATTCCTCAAGTTAGTCACTCTCTCGCTTCACCAGCAGGTTGAGCTCATCGCCCAGGAACCCCCAGCAGCAGTTGAACCTCGTGACTTTGTTTTATCGTCACATATGGACGATCCCAAGCTTCGGATGAGGGAGTCGATGGCCGGTCTGAACAGATATGAGAGATACAAGAGCTGCAGGAAGTTCATTACAGATATCTTGCCCGAGACCTTGCTCATGTTGCAGGAACCGAATGCGATCTGGGACCCCATCTCATCGGTGTGTAACTCTTGCAGCAGCGTCCTGATTGTTGCCTTGATGACATCCGACTCTCTTCGACCCTCGCGCGTGCGTGAGATAGTCGCCGTGCTGCAGGCCAAAGCTTCCGACGATACCTCACGCCAAATCGTCGCGCATTCTCTCTACTATCTCGGCACTATCTGGCAGCGTCAAGCCGCGCTGGGGAAAATGGCAGTGTCTCTAAGCCGTCAAGTGGACCGCATTCTGGATTTCTACTACACACAACTCGAGGAGAGGCTTCCGAGCATAGAGAAGGAGGAGCAGCCGCCTGAGGAGCCCACTTATAGGAATCGCGTTGCCTTCCGACCTCTCGCCCCGGCCACCGGATTCGCCGAAATGGTTTTGAGTCTAATGGTTCGTCTGTTGAAGTCAGAAGGAAGATGGGAGCCTGGCGGAACCAACTATCCGAACCTCGCATTCTTAGATAAGAGTAAGTTGCTGCGACTTTGCTCATGTTGTCTGCGACAGTCGACTGGAAATCCAACATCTATACCCGCTGCAATTGCTCTCACTCATATTATTTTATCATTGAATAGGGCTTGCCCCGTTCATTGATCCTGTTAGGAAGATCGATTCCGTTCTGAGATCGGCGGCGTACATTCTGATCGAGGAATTTTTTGAGCACAGGAGCCTGCACAAGGAGAGAATCACGCCCACGTCTGAGCCGGCGATCGCACAGGCATCCTTATTGGAAACAAGTACGAGCGATGATCAACTGGATCGGTCGGCGATATCTGCGGCGGTGTCTACGGAGGACGATGATCTCTCTTGGCTCGATCCGTCAGCCCTTGACGACGATTTCCTTCGCGCTTCCTTGGATGAACCCAAAGCGACTCTGTCCAAAGCGACACTGCCAAAGCTAGTCGAGCCCGAGCCAGTGACCGTAGTTCTCCCGGAGGATGAAGAGATGCTGACCAGCCTTAAGGAGTGGGTGTTTCCAACTCTATCTGCGATGGTGATGGAGCGGCGCGAGACCCTTCAGCGAAAGTACATCATGGACAATCCTGACTGCGAGAAATTCGAGGCTTTGACTAGACCTGCCTTGTTAGCATTCTTTTGTCCAGCTCCCATGCAAGGCGACAACAAGAGGATTCAACCAGCTCAACAAGTTACCAGCGGAACGATCCAGTCAACTCTCAAAGGCACCGGCAAGGCGCCTCAGGCAGCGCCAGGCGATGTTGACAAGAAACTCGAACCTGCACAGCCTCACATCGTTGTGGAGCTCTCTCGTGTTGCACTTCAGTATCTACGCGACGTTATTGTCGACGTTTCTGCGGTACTGCAGGAGAAAAAGTTGCTCACGATGGACGAGATTGAAACACTGTATCAATTGAATCCTTACTCGCCTCCCGTCTTCCAGCACTGGATCCTACAGGATAAGCTGTCGTGGACGACCCGTATGGCTGAGAGGTGCCCCGGGTTGCTGGCAGAGAACGAGTATTTCTTTCTATCCACTTGGTTCGCAACTATCGGTGCTCCGTTCGACGAACTGAAGTTGCAAGTTCAGTTTTCAGAGGCGATTGTGAGGCATAGCTCGTCCTTGCCGTGTTTACCAGTCGGCAGTATGTCACCTACCGCCAAGGTGACGTTGAGTGTATTCATTTTCGATAATATTCCTTGGCTAGCCACCAGACCTCAGCGTCAACCTATCGATGCTTCTTTGGACCCTGATGGTATCCAAAACCTCATTGAGGAGATTTTTGAAGAGGAGGAGCGATTGAATGAGTTCAAGAGTTCAAGATACCAAGTACTGGCTAGGGTCCTGAGCAACATGGGCGAACATTATGCGACGCTCGGGCCCTTTCTCGAAAACCCCGGACCGGTTAGCAAGATGCGCCATGCCACCCAAGAGGTCAGGATTTGCTACCGACAGTACCTGCTATTGTTGTTCAGGTCACTTGCCGCGGATTACAAGGTATGTAATTGGTATTGTACTGCGACCACTTTAGCTGTGTTTATCGTGTCGTTCTTCAATCAAAGGCTTTGATCTCTCACACGTATGCGATCTGAACTATTGAAACAAAACACTAGCGTTTGGAAAAGGAAAGGTCGGAGGATGAGAAGAGTCTCCATGCCGAGTTCATCAGCGATATTTTCGGACACGCCCTCGACAAGTGCAAGCTGATCATGCAGGATGACTTTGGTTTTCAGGGCTACCCAGTCTCATTTTTGACTCATTTGAGAGCTCAGTGTGTTGCTTCAGCCAAACCCGTAAGTCTCCATTTGATGTTTTTTATGCCCGTTTTCTGTGTTGGGTCACTCCACATGTACCTAATGTTATTCTTTCGCACTTTTCGAAATTATGTTTGGTTGAGCAGGTCCCAGACGAGAGCGAGTAAAACATCATCGGATCACGGGTCTGATACAGTGGTAGATACGCCGTAGGTGGTGTATTCTGCAACAGCTAGAAGGATGACGGTTGTGGTTAGTGGATGACTATCGACATCATAAGCAACGGAGGAGGATTGGAGAAGACGACCGTTCAACGAATCAAAAAAATATCGAATATCGAATACAGCACAATGAAAAAGCAATTGAAGTCTTCCCTATCACAAACATAATTGAAGAAACAAGAAGAGAGGCAGGGGTGGAGAGGATACGGATGGGAGGAGTTTGCTACACAAGTGAAGATTGGCGTAGGTGTTAGAATGAATGGCGTCTACGGTGACGTAATTTATGCGCCCATTGTCTTTCCCAATATGAGCATGCACGAGGCACAGGAACTATTGGTAACAAGAATCTTGTTTTGGTTGAACACTTTTGGAGTTGTTGTTGGACACCAATAGCTTTGGCTGCCCTCTTGCGAGACCTGGCTGTGTTCCTTTCGTCATTTTCCATCTTCTTCCCCCCCCCAATCTCAACGCCATTGAATTCGCAGCTCGCACAGTGGATGCTTAAATCTTTTGCCTCGCTCTTTTTGCCTTTTGGCTCCATTATCCTCTGACTCGTCGTTATCCGGCAGATTCACTGAATCCTTTGAGTACTTCACGCGAGCTTTCTGTACTCCGCATGTCATATGTCATTCTGCCACATACTCAATGAGTGATCCAAGACATGGCGCCCCGGCTTATACTAGGTAGACTTCGCTTATGGATATGCATAGAGGTTTTCTTCGTGTGAAGGCTTGACCCACCAATATCTCCTTGTGTGCCATTGCTCTTGTTTTTTTTCCCACGCTATAAGAAATCAAGGAGCGTTGGCTGAAAAAAGCAACAGACAACAGTAGAGGCCGTGCATAAAATGCCCATTTGCTTCTGTACGCACTTTCTCTTGCAACTGCGCTTACCCTCTTCACACCTACCCACTGCACCCAATCGCCTGGGCCCAACCACACCAGTCACCATGTGACTTAGCACGCATAATAACCTCAGCCCCCTGTGCAATAAACATCATCACTACTTCTTCCTCGATTTCCTCTCTTGTTTCCTTATCTTCCCCCTTCGACTGTTGCAAACACATACTAGTAGCCGTCATGCGCACCCTCGATACCCTCATGGAGCCTTGGTTTTTCATGTGGCTTTCGCTCTCGCATGTCCCTTCCACCATTCGGACGCTTGTCGCAGCCAAGGACTATGGCACGTTATTCTCCCCTTCACGTTTTCGCGAAGCTCTCTTTGGCACATTATGGGCGACCATCGGCCCGATGATCAAAGCCATGAACGAGGAACGAGTCGTTGCCCTCCTGGAAGGTCGTGTCAGAGGTGGCTGTGTCCAGGATGAGGTCGTTCTCACACCCATCCATGGAACCGTGCTTGAGATTGGTGCAGGAAGCGGTATGTGGGTAGACGTCTTGGCCCGCTTCACCAGCAACGTCGGTGCCGCGGGTGAGCTTCACAACAGAAAGAAAACTGACCGTGGTATCACCAAGATCTATGGTGTTGAACCAAATCCCATCTCGGCCAAGGCTTTACAGAAGCGTGTTAACGAGGTTGGTCTGCAGGATATTTACCAAGTCGTTCCTGTCGGCATCGAATACGTTAACGATCCGTCTGCCTGGGACAGCGAGATCAAACCTGGCAGCATCGATTGCATTTTTGGTATTCTATGCCTGTGCAGTATCCCCGAGCCTGAGAAGAACATCAATCTGCTGTACAAACTCCTCAAGCCAGGCGGCTACTGGTTCGTGAACGAGCACGTCAAGGTCATGCATGGAGGCCCACTACTTCGCTTCTACCAATGTAGGTGTTTATCTTGATCGCTTCTGTAAGGACTTACATTGGTGATATGGTGACTAACCGGCCTGTTTCTCGTAGGGTACTGTAATATCGCTTGGTCCTTTTTCATGGGCTCATGTCGCCTTTGCCGTGACACTGAGAAAAGCCTCAGGGCTGCGGGTCTTTGGCAGGAAGTCGATCTTGCACAACCTCCAGATCAGACTGGCTATGAGGTTATTCCTCATATCATCGGTACCTTGAAGAAACAAAATTGATGGTACTGCTTTTTAGGTCGACGCAATAAAGTCTTTTATTTCCTTCGATACTCTGCTCAAAACAAAATGGCCATGAGGTCACCACATCGTTAAGCAAGAAAGAGAGGATGAAGGGATGATGGCTAAGGTTGCTCTTTCCAAAGGCTCTTGAACTTTATGCCATTTAAGCCTTGCAGCCGTACGTGTCCGCTGGGGGCCAGTGCTTGGGGTCGCGGTAACCATACTTGCATTTGGATCGGCCGCCGGAGCGGGAGCAACAGGATTCAAACTTTGTGACGGAGTCCTTGGTGTCAGGTGTATCGCACACGTTGTTGTCGTTCATCATGAAGCCGTTGGCAAACATGCAGCACGAGGCGTCAAACTTTGGGGTGAAGCACGTGCAGATGCCGTACGTCATCTGGCTGTCTTGGGCAGAGGCGATACTGAAGACCGAGGTCATGAGCAAGGCGATGGAGGTGATATAGAGACGCATGGTGGATGTTTTTGATGCTTGTTGCTTGTGGAGTTTGTTGTCGTTGTGTTTGGGAATGCTGGAGAGACGCACAGGTCATTTTATAGGTTTCTTGGCTTAATTACCCCGTCTGCGCAAATTATTTTTATTCTGCTTTAGAGAGTAGGATATTCACCCGTGCGCCACATTGTCCTTGTTGCTCCGTTGTCTGCACTAAAGGCACACTAACTGCGCTAGGAATGCCGAAAGACGTCAAATGGAATCATCCAAGCCGTCGTGTTCGCTTTTGGTTATTTTTGCGCATGTCTCACAACACGAACAGGAAAGAGAGATGGGACTAATGGGTACCCAATTCTATTTTCGGCATTATGGGATGGTAATAATTACGGTGTTATTTAGCACTACGAAAAGGGATAAGTGCACACACCCGTATGATGTATTGTCGGGAAGCCGGCCAGCAAGCGCACTATCTCTTGATCTCTCTCTCTTGTGCCCCTCGGCAGTCCAGGACTTGAATTCACGCATGCTAGGCCATCTTTGCAGATGTGAGCGACTGTGAAAGGTAGTTCGAGTTTGTACTCGACCATTGTTTTTGGTAGAATCCGCAGCAGGGACCTATTTTGAGATGCATGGCAGATTTGCCGAGTCTCGTGTCTCGTGGTCCCTGGCTTGTAAAGTGCATGCTGCGACGCCCTTTCTTAATATGTTTGGCGTAAATTTCCTCTTGAACTTTCGTGGTGTATTGCTGTTGTGAACTGTGGATGCACATGAGTACGGCTTCGGGGTAGAATTAAACAACCTCCAGCTGCTCGTCTTTCGATCGGTCTGACTGGAGCACTGTATTGCAGTGTCTATGCTGAATTATGAAAAAAGTAGAACACGAGCAAGGCGCTATGTTATGCCACCGCCTAGCACAATTTGCTAAGTGCCTCAAAGTAGTAGATTACATGATTTCAATAGGCCAGACGCGTTTGATCAAGCGCGTCAACAAAAATCAATGCGAAAAATGAAGAGTCGACTCTTTTTCTTTAATAACCCAACCATGCAACTTCGTCCAGTGGCAGAGGAAAGAACCATAAAGTAGCCACAAGAGATGGGTAGAGAGTAGATGAATAAGGGATAAAACGAGCAGCATATTGCATCATAGTAATAACAGTCATCATCACTGCTTCAACTCTCGTCCCCGTTCTCTACTTCCCCTGTCCCAGTCTTTACCTGTTGCATGGTAGCAAAGGTTCCCTCGATCCACCAACCTCTTGATTCTTTTTCTCCCCCTTGTTTTCACCGCCGCATTTTTTTTCTCTTGATTTTCCCTCGTCTCTCTCTCTCTCCAACTGCTTTATATTCATTCCTTTACACCTACCTATTTCTTCACATTCCCTTCCACTCTGGACTTCTCGACGTTTCCGCACTCCTCTCTGCACTACCAGTCATGGTTACCCCTGCCCGTCTCAATCCCCTCCTGTCTTCACAGGCGCCCGCGACGGTTTCTCTGCCTTGGCTTGGCTCGTTGCGGTTAACCGCTACTTCAACCTTGCTAAAATACGTGATACTGAACAGAACCCCCACGCTCTCTCACACTTGGACATACCTGGCCCTGTCCGTTGGTTTGATGGGTGTGGGCTCCCTGATACCTGCAACTTCAAGACCGAGTTTACCCCTACTTTCAAGCTAGAGTACATTCCCACCAGCTTTGCAGGTGCCTGTCGTCGACACCTCACCAACCTTCGCATGACCACCAACTTCTCGACCTACTTGACTACATTCATGGAACTTTTGGGTGCCCTCCTTGGTTATGCTTCCACCGATGCTGCCAAGGCGACCGTCAACGAGTTCGCCCAAACATCCTTTATCGACAACTGCCCTCTGGTCCTTCAACAGATGATCGAAGGACACATTATCCAAAGCTCCGATATCACCCACGTCCAGATTTTTCAATGCGCCCAAGAGATGGACCGTATTTACTCGTTCAAACCTAATACCGGCTCCAAGACCAACTCGTCCGCCATCGCTCCCCTCCCCATTATTTCTTCTCTTGCCTCATCTTCTTACTCCGCTCAAACCACTCCCATGGAAATCGAAAACATCCAGATCACCATCAACAATATTAACCAAAGATTCAATCGCCTAGAGATAAATATGGGTTAAAACAACCGCGACCGCAACAACAGAAATCAGAACAACGGCTCTCGCAACAACTACATCAACAAGGCCCTCACAACAACAACAACAACAACAACAACAAGGGTTCCTCTACCTCTTCCGAGTCTAGGACCCGATGTTGGTATCAAGATCTTCCAACCATTATTTGCCCAGATCCGATCGTAGGATCCTGCCGATTCTTCCACTTAGGGCCAAATCCCGTCGTATGTGTCGCTTGAAGAATGGGCGGTCCGTGAAACACTTCTGGATTCGCTTTACTCCTTGAAACATGTCGGCGGGTAGCAGTCGTATCAAGTTTTTTCTCATTGTGGCCCTGCTCCAGGGTCCCACACCACACACCCAAATTGGCCTCGTCCTCAAAATATGGTCCCCATTAGGCGAAAATTCGTCGTATTTGTGTCTTTTGACATTAGGGGCGTCTAGGAGAGCTCTTGATCGCTTGTCCGCAACCCCGTATTTGTTTCGCTTTGTAGTAGTACCAATGTGTATTTCGCTTTAAGAGGGATGGCAACCCCCTTATCTCTAGTTCTAAGTTAGTCTTGTGCAAGCACAAGTTACCAGGAAGGGCCACGAGGAGGCCTTAGAACACCCTTCCCTTTTCGCGTGTAAAAAGGATGAGCAGGCGAGTGTAAAAAACATGAGCGAGTGCGTGTGCGGGCCGTGTAAAAAAAAGGGGGCGAAAAAGTATACTAGTTTTGTCTCAAAAAACTAACCAAAAAACTAACCAAAAGCCCTGAAGTTCACCAACTGAAAGAAGAAAAAAAAAGGAGAAAGGGGAAGTTGTTCTTTCGAGAATTCCAAGTGAGGGTGGCATGGTTTCTGTGCGTTTAGTCTGGGGCGACAGTGCATCGCAACTCTGTATATCAGATCTGACATGCAAGGGCGCCACCGGTCTTGGCTCGACATATCGGCGCCTGTTGGTCCAGCGAGATGCAATTGTCGATGCAGAACAGTCTGAATGAGGTGGATCGATGGGGGTGCAACATGAGTAGTTTTTTCCAGCCATGTTCTGCGTGAGGGCCAAGTCGCAACTCAGGCCAAAAGGTGTACAAATAAACAAGAATGGCTGTTGACCCATTGCTGAGTGTCATCTTGTTTTGAGAAATGAAGGGGATCGTCATCAGCTTACAGGAGCCAGCTGGCAATTGTCAGTTTGTGTTGGATCTTGTATCTTGGACACAACCTATCTAAAGACCCGTCTTCCCGACAGTTTGACTCGACGCGTTCATCAATCATAGCAGAGTGATTCTCTATTTGATCGCGCTCTGATCAACAGTCGCGGCGAAAGCTCTGTCTCTTTCTCTCACTTTTATTCCTTCTTCAACTATACCTCTCCTATGAATGACAACATTCAGACTCCCTCTCCAATCCATCCATGAAGGCAACAGTATTCAAGGACTAGAACAGGTGTGGGTGTTTTATCTAGCGGAGCCGAAGATATGAAGGCTCAAGCCTATTATCCGAGGGCCAGGACCATATATGTGCTATCTTCTTTTATTGTAATAAATGCGAAAATCCAGAAAAACTAAACGAAAGTGAAAAGAGAAAAATGAAAATAAGTTCTGCTCAGGCACCAGATCTGTCCCTCATCTTCGTGGAGTGAGCCAGGGTGCCAGGAGACTAAAGGGGTGGGAAGACAAAACCAAGGGCGGGACATATATGGTCCTGGCCCTCGGATAATAGGCTTGAGCCTTCATATCTTCGGCTCCGCTAGATACAAGTCGTTGTTACAAAAGATGTGGTGGCTAGGCAGTGGCGGCGATGCCTTAGGTTAGCAGTCATATTCTTTAGTAGACATAGTATTAGTAGTGCGCCGAGCCCCCTTGTCTGCTCTTTGTCCTTTTACACATCACTTGGACGAGAGCAGTATTGACAAGAGTTTCGCTGGCACGCTGCAGTGTATCGTTTTGTGTGATTCTTTTAGGACGCTATTGTCACTTCCCCTCCCCCCAACCTACAACCCCCTTCCCCCCTCCGTACCAATTGAGGACCTAACAGCGGTCCTACAACTCTGGCCGTCGACCCTCTCCCCTGAGTAACATCGTATAAGCACGCCCCTTAAGTAACGCACCTGTGAAAGTAAAAAAAGAGAGATGTTGTTCTTTCGAACAAATCTATCAGATCGTAGTAACAAGACTACTCTACTGCTTACAATACCCCGTTCAATTAAAGTCGTCTGCAATGGATTTATCTCTTCTAATATTTGAAATTAACATTAGCAGGAGCCTCACAAAGCCTTTCCGCTCTGCAAGATAACCCCACGTTGTATGATTCAGGAATCAGGAAACCCCCCGTCGGGAGACTCTATTCGTATTCAACTAAAAGTCGGAAAAGGTGGTAATCGTCGCGTTCTAGCACGGGTTCTGACTTAGAGGCGTTCAGCCATAACCCAACGGGTGATAGCTTCGGGCCATTGCCTGCTCAAGCAGGCCCAAATACCAATTATCCGGGTGAACGGTTCCTCTCGTACTAGGTTCAATTACTATTGCAACAACATTTCATCAGTAGGGTAAAACTAACCTGTCTCACGACGGTCTAAACCCAGCTCACGTTCCCTATTAGTGGGTGAACAATCCAACGCTTATTGAATTCTGCTTCAATATGATAGGAAGAGCCGACATCGAAGGATCGAAAAAGCAATTTCCCTATGAACGCTTGACTGCAAAGTGACAGATAGCAAAACAAAGGGATTATGGCAAAACACGTTGTACGAGATCGGTCGAGAGGTACCCTCGAATTTTTCCTCAACTCCCTTTAAATTTTCTTTGTGCAACCATGGTCAATTCTGACTGTTCTTGGCAGAGCATGCGCCATACATAAACGAAGTCTCTGATATCAATATCGAAACAAACGTCTAATCCTCCTTTGGAAGCTAACCCATGTTGCGGGGAATCGATCAACATGTAAAGTTATTTCCGAATAGGCAACCAACATTGGCTTTGATGTTTAGTTGTTATCTCGATACTAGGTTCTTGTCTTTCAGTGACTTTGTCCTCTTCGTTGATAACACTACCTTCGTCGCCATCGTTGATTATACTGTCTTCGTCTTTGTCGTTGATTACACTCGCAAACGCGATGCCTAACTGCCATTTTCTCTCGCCAACAATGTTGAGAGTGGCCTCGTAATTCATGACCCCAACCCCGCCTATTCGATGCTGATTCGATCCTGCTTGCCCCAGAGGCTGCCAACACATGTGCGTATCAGCCTTAGAGTATAACTTGACATAAGGGTTGGTAGCGTCAATCAAGTCGGCGTTCACAAGCTATTGGGATATGTTGAGACTCTTAGGTGTGGTTCTGATTGGCGAAGGATTGTTGGTGGAGACTTCGCCGAAAAATGGGGATTGGACAAGAGGGAATTCGTTTAGCGAGGTTCCGAGCTTTGTGGTAGCTCTCATATGTGCCTTTGACATAGCCCAAGTAAATGATAAGTGACCATGGACAATAGTACAGAAAGAGTGGTGCAGTACATTTCCCTCGACATGACTCTTATTTCCTTGTACTTATTGTTTGCTGCCAAGAATCATGCATCTTTTTCTGCTTGGCATAACAGGCTGGCTTCCAAGCGAACAGGTAACACAAGGCGAGCTCTCCTCGACAGCACGTCGTTTTGCCAACGACTCAATCAGGAAGGCATGGGAAAAACCACAGCCCATCGTCTTGCTAACGACCCAATCAGAAAAGCAGCAAAAGAAGAGAGCAAAGAACATTGTTTATTTGCGTTGTGCAGAGAGGGTAAGCGACTGAACAGACAGGGCTCTCAACAGTTAGCTCTCAACAGTTAGCTCTCAACATGACTGTGCCAAGCCTTTTTTTCGTATAATAGTCGGCATAGTGCCCTCCTCCTTCACATCACTTTTCCTCAATATTTTCCACCCTCATTCTCATCTTAAAATCAACGCGGACCCGAAGAAACCCATTTCTCAGTGCAGAAAATGACTACCTCCACCACCACCCCCACCACTCCCACCCCCACCAGCCAAGACGCGACTTTTAAGTCCAAGGACAAACTGCTTGCAAACCTGCGCGATGAAATTGAGAAGGCGCGTGTTCTGAACGGTGTTCCTGGCATGAGCGTCGCGGTCATGCACAAGGGTGAAGTGATCTTTGCAGAGGGTTTCGGCTTGCGAAATGACAAGGATCTCTTCACGGCGGAGGTAAAAAGAAAGCATCGAGTTCACAAGGCTGCTAGCGTGCCCTTTTTTTTACGTGGGGGAAGGGATAAACTCTAACGCATTACTCTCTACTCATTTTCTTTCAATGATTTTGACAGACCTTGATCCCCATCGGATCCATCACCAAGTGTTTCACAGCCACAGCGATTGGAGAATTGGTGGCAGAGAAAAAACTAGACTGGGATGAAACGCCTGTCAACAAGTACCTGCCAGAATTTGAGCTCAAGAACCCGATGCACACGGCTCAGATCACCATCACCGACTTGCTGTCGCATCGCACGGTAACTTGATGAAGCAGTAAAAGACGCGCAAGAAGGCAAAGGCAACAGAGGATACGAAGAGGAAAAAAAGAGGCGCACTAACTCATACGTATGCCTTTTCACTATTTCATCAATAGGGCCTCTCCAGACTGAACGACATGCCTTTCTATTTGGGCCAAATGTCCCGCTCCGAGATGGTTCGACGTCTACGCTATGCTGACATGCCCGCAAAACTCGGTTCTAAGTCTCTGTACAACAATTGCATGTACGGAGTTGCTGGAGAGGTCGCTGCCAAAGTTACTGGTCAATCCTACGAAGATGTTGTGCGCTCCAAGATCATCACCCCCTTAGGACTCGACAGCACGGGTCTCTCGGCCAAGGAAATGAAGTCTCGTTCAGACAATCACGCGATTCCCATGGTTGCGGCCTCATTTGAGGATGCACAAAAGGGTCTTTTCAAGTCAATCCCATCGTATGACGACTCTGCGATGTTGATAGCGGCCGCGGGGGATATTTATTCCAACGTGTTGGACCTGGTGAAATGGGGACAAGTAGTGTCCAAGTTGGGAGAACTGGACGGCAAACAGGTGTTGAACCGGAACAGCGTGGAAGAGACGTTGAAGGCGCACACGATTGTGGATTCTGCGCCAAGGACAGCTGAGTTCCCAAGGGTGTCGAATTATGGATTTGGATGGGATGTGGATTCGTACAAGGGACTTCCTGTCTACAGACATAGTGACTACCCATTGTTGTTGATGGCGTTGATGACGGCCGAAGTTTTGCCTGCTGCATTTTTATTTTAATCCCCGCCTATGGATAATAGCACTTCTGAGACTCAATCTAACATCCTGTTTTCTCACACCATTCTTTTTGCACTCCCATGTCACAGGCGGCAACACCTTCTACTACGCCTCCCACCTGGCCTTCTTCCCTGATCAAGACCTGGTCGTCGCCGCCTGTGCGAATACCTATGTGACTTATCTCACCGTGGAGCTGCCCCATCACGTTGCAGATCTCGTGTTGAACCTTCCTTCCACTCAGGATTGGCTATTCGACGTAGCTCTTGAGAAGATCACGAAATTCTGGGCTATGATCGCTGCAGAGCAGGATGTTACTCCTGACAAGATTCCCAACAAGCCCATGTCGCACCCATTGCAGGCTTATGTTGGAGAGTATTCGCATCCGTATTATGGGTCTTGCAATGTTTGGTTGGAGGACCTAGAGGAAGGAGAGGAAGGAAAGGAGGGAGCAGGAGAAGACAAGAACAAGACGTTGGTGTCGACGCTGTGGGACTGCAGGACTCTGATCAGTCATTTGCACTTTGATGCGTTTGTGCTGAAACACGATCATCCGGGGCTTCATGCGACGTATGTGGCCTCGTTCCATACGGGATCGAGTGGGAAGGTCACCTCGATCAACCTCGAATTAGGCGAGGACACAATTGAGTTCAAACGACATAAGGAAGTGAAAGAGGAGGAGAAGGACGAGATGGAAGAAGGGAAAGAGGGCAAGAAAAATGCGGCCGATGGTGTCCCTCAAGCCCATGTAGACTAAGTTAGACTTACACACCTTTATCATTTTCATTTCACGGTTAACAAAACTGTTTTGTTTGAGGATGAGAGTTAACGAGTGAGAAAGATGATTTTATTCCCTCTTTGTCCCTGAGCAGCTTTTATTGGGAGCCACTTCGTTAATTAAAAAAGAGAAAAAAGAAAGGAAGTGCCTTGCCCTATGATGAGAACCACACCTAAAACGTTACAGTCTCCATCTTGAACTTGGGCGTTGATGAACTGATTGAGTGGTCGAAGGTTCAAAGACTGGCCCTAGGCCGCCGGTCTTCTTGGGGATGGTGGAAATCCTGCTGTAGAATCCTTTGCCGCTGTTGCATTCTTCTATCACCCTTTCCTGCAGTAAAGATTGGACCTCTGAGGAAATGGCGCGCTGTTCCTGGATTGAATTAAAGGGGGTGTAGCGGAGGGAGACGTAAAGGGGGTGGCTTGTTGAAGATCCTCCTGAATCACTTTGTTGACCCATGTCGAGCTCGTCATGTCTCCATGCCTCCTGAAATTGGTGAAGACAACTTCAACTGGTGCGTCTTCTCCCCTCCCCTTCCCTGTCCGTCTCCATTTTCTGCAACACCGGAATTGCTGCCATCAGACTTGCGCCCAGTGCTGCCAGAATTGCCTTTCTTACTGCTGCTTGTTGTTGTTGTTGTTGTCGTTACCGGAGCCCTTGTCGTTGTTGTTCTTGGGTTTGTTCTTGGACCTGTCATTGGAGTTGCCAGACTTGCTCGAATCTTGTTTGTCCTGATCCTTGTTAGGAGGCTTGTCGTGCTTCTTCTTGCAAGGAAAACGGCATTGATGGCGTCCAGGGCTGCTTTTCTCTCGGCGACGTCGGCGAGAGTAACCGCAGCAGGTTTGGGCGTAGGGTCGCCCAGACCCATTTATCGGTAGAGGATGTTTTGTCGAGACTCGTTTGCTTGAGCTGCGATGTCACCTGCGAGGTATCGGATCGTGCTGGCGAGTGCAACTGCTCGGTCCTTCCATATGTTCTCAGTGTTATCCTTGGCTACCATGAGAACGAGGGTGTCCAAAGGGCGCGTGAGATGGGCTAGTCTGGTCTGGATCCTAGCCAATTCCTTCTCTGTGAAACTCTTGTCATCGTTGAGTCGGAGTCCCTTTGTTGAACGTCCAGAAGTGGATGGGCGTCGTAGTCCATTCCCTCCGCGAAGTGAAAGTCGGACATGTCGATGAGTTTCTCAGCAGGGTCGAGCTTGGCTTTGAAGAAGTCCTTTTGGAGGGCAATGACAGTGTAGATAGCGAGGAGTGATTTTGTGGGGACGATGTAGGTTGGTCGAGGTTTGGTGATAACGAGAGTGGAGTCGTCGGTGTGTGCGTTGTTGTGCTTGTTCTGGTCAATAGCTTCGGAAAGTTGATCCATCCGTGCCATGATAAGGGCAAGTTGTTGTTGAATAGATTCGTGCGACATTGACGGGTCGATCGATGGGGATGTGTCCCAACCGTGATTAAAAGAAAGATAGAGAGCAAGGTATCTGGAGGTCCCCTTTTATAGTTGCAAGCACTCCTTTTTTGATTTTTCAGGGCAATCATGATTATATCGCCATGAAGAAATACTAAGAAGTGTGTTGTGTATGTAGTGTGTGCGAGTATTGTGCAAATAGGCAATTGAAAGGGTCGCTGGTCAAGTTAAACTGCCCCCTAACAAGCAAGCCTGCAAACGTGGCGAGAAAGAATCCTGTTCCCACGACTTGCTACTGTTTTGTTTTTCGTCGCTTTGTAGTATGGTACAGGTCGTGATGGTGATGTTGCTGTTGTGTTTGTTGTTGAAATGCTCGGTAGGTGTCCTGTCCCTCCCTCAATCACTGGGTCCCGTTTTAACAACCGCCTTAGTCATCTCACTCGGCCTCATCTCCACCTCCTGCAACCTCAACAGCTCTTCCTTCCTCTTCCGCCTGTTCTCTCGTTCGCTCGCCGCAACCAAACCCTCCCTCCTTAATTTCTCCGCTTGCCGTTGAATCCGCCTTTCCTTTGCCCCTGCCGCGATCACAGCCTGTTGCACGAGTTGTGCCGCGTGAACAAATCTGTAGAACAATGGGCTTAATCTCAGCAGATCGTAGCAACAAGGCTACTCTACTGCTTACAATACCTCGTTCAGTTAAAGTCGTCTGCAATGGATTTATCTCGTGCCATATTTGAAATTAATATTAGTGGGAACTTCACAAAGCCTTTCCGCTCTGCAAGATAATCCCACGTTCGTAAGATTCAGGGCCGTGAGTCTATTCGTATTCAACTAAAAATGGCACAAGGCGGTAATCGTCGCATTCTAGTGTCGTGATGTCCGTCTAGTATGGGGGGATCTAACCAAATGGACTTCTAGCTAGGACTAGGTTCTTTGAAGAATAACTGGGAGAGGAGCAAGGAGTTCGCATATATGAGATCGTAACTAACAAACAGGGAAAGAGAAATGGGGGAAAGATGGTGAAATGAGTACTGACAATGAAATAGACCCTTGTATGTAATGCTGTTGTTGCGCGTCCCGACTGTTCGATCACCCGTATGACTTTCCACGCCTGGTGCTGGTCGCGACATAAAGGAGGTCGAGAATAAAGGGAGCACTGATTCTGCTTTCGGTGGTTCTTGTTAAAAGGAAACACATCAAAAGAATGGATCAAAAAGGGAAAATCGAAGAAAAAAGAAGACAGCCTGGAACCATCTTCGCCTCCTTCGCCTCCATAATTAACACAAAAAAATAGTCACAGGAGAAAAAAGTCACTAAACCACCAAACCTACAGATCCCCATCTACTTCATCACACTAGCACGGGTTCTGACTTAGAGGCGTTCAACCATAATCCAATGGACAAGTTTCATTGCGAGAATGTAGGTGGTTATCTCAGCTCACTGAGGGAGAAGGGGGGTTTATTTCTTACTAACATTATTCAAAAACAAACAAGTTACATTCCAACAAGGATAAATGCAACAAGCCCCAACACCAATAAATACATCTTTGGAGTAATAGTTGGTGAGGAAGATGATTGATAGTAAACGGTATCGACATGAGTGTTTGTAGCACAAGGGAGGATGATACTACCATTTCCAAACCCGAATCCAACGGCAAGTGGGGTAGCTGGAAAGATATCCGTTCCATTAATCAAGTGGGCCCCGTTTATGTACGGCATCAAATCGTTCCCGAGATGATAACAACATCTCGTGCACACTACCGCATTAGCGGCCGTAACATCTCCAACGACTCCAAGTTTGAGCTGTATAGTCATTGTATAGCGGCTGAGAGGGGAGAGTACATACCGGAGAGTAAAAAACAACCCAGCTATGAATAATCGATATTAATCCATCGTGCAATCATGAAAGTCCGATAATGTAGCCTTACAAGAGTTTGGTCTGGTCAAAAATGCGGATTTTTTTCAGGGGTTGTACACGTCTTCCTGTGAGTCCTGTTATAAATCAAGATGTGCCAGTCCAGCACACTGGGTAGACGCGATGTTAATAATCTAGGCGGGGTACGGGCAGGGTTGGGGCAGAGGAGGGGTGTAGAAGATAGAGAGGCTATGAGGAAGGAACAGCAGATGGGAGATAGTACCCAGAGTGCAAGCAAAGTATTGGAGTTATTAGATAAAATCGGGGAGCTATGGGCTATATATGTGTGTTCGAGTGGTATTGTGAACTTTCCCATCATTCTACGCCAACAGTTTGCCCAGCTCACTTGCATGATAGAGCCTTTCCCGTCATTATATGCCAACAGTTTGCCAATTCACTTGCATGATCGATCGTTACAAGAGTCAACTGTTCACTTGCAATATCATGTACACAAGAGTCAACCAATAACAATAACTCACAGTCCCAAGAGGAGCAGGAACCACGCTTTGGTACGAAATTCAGCCCACGCTCAGGTACAAAATACAGCCCACGCTCAGGTACGAAATAGAGTTGGGCTGCTGAGCGTGGGCTGAATTTCGTACCAAAGCGTGGTTCCTGCTCTTCTTGAATACCACTCGAACACACACATATATAGCCCATAGCTCCCCAAATAGTCTAATCCTTACCTAAACTTGAATACTTCGTCTGTACCCTGAACTACCGCAAGAACCATCGCAAGCACCCTTACAAGAGCCGCCACACGAACAATCTCATAACTGACAGAAAATCACTTCCTCTACTACTACATAAACACCGCATTACAACAATGGTTGCACTCGACTTTATTTTAGGCTACGTTGGTTTCTTCGCAACTCTCGCTGGATGGTTCCCCGATAACCCCGATAAGGGGCAAGTTAGGGTCAAGTTTTACGCTGGAAAAGATGGAACCAACAACGGAGCCGAGCTATGGGGAAGTGGAGGGAATTTGCCCATGATCGATATCCGAACGACATCGAACGAGTGGGTGGGAAAAGGTGGTTACACCTACAACGAGATAGGAAGCAACGACCAAAAGTAAGTGGATGCCGACATGTCGAAGAATCGGGAGATCGGCTATATAACTCTCACGCATCAAGCCTATGATGCTTCTTGTTTGGCCCTCATCGGATGGACTCCCAACAGTAGCGTCCCCCATGCCGAGAGAAGAAAAGGCTTTATTATTGGCGATATCTTTCGACTATGCGGATGGGCATGGAACCACTCGGGGCAGTTTGTACGAGTTGCCAACACCGACACGTATGAGCCAGTCAACTGTGGATGGATGGTAGCTAAAAGAGATGGATTTGTTGGTCAACTTAACATCAACTTGGCGGCCCCTTCATGTGCAGAGGATATAAAAAGGCATATAAAAAATATCCAAAGTCCAAGGAACGGAGTGTTGACTTCCATATCTGGCATATCTCTTCATAGTGGGCAACAGAACACAGAATAAAATAGCAATAGACAGCACAAGAATTTTTAAAATGTAATCTCTCCCCTGTATTTCACGACAAAGATACAGTTGGGAATACAAGTGCTTTAGATGATCACATACAAGAACTACTCTGTCGAATCTTGCAGTGAGGGTTACAGGTTAATAGTAGATGGACATATTCAAGAGTTTGGTGTGCGAAAAATAAGAAGACTTTGTTGTTTGGAGAATAGGTTGGTGTTTAGTAGGATAGTTAAACAAAAAATGTTACAATGGTTGTCTTATATGCTTGGTATCATATATACATTCTCCTCTAATGGACGCGGTGGATATCGTCAAGATCTGCAGAGATGTAACAAACACCATATGATAATTTGGACTTGAAAGGCCTCCTTGGATGTGATGGAATATGGTTCATCGATGGCTTTGAGGGTAAGGATTTGTGCCATTGGGGAGTCTGGATGGCGTCCGGCTACCACTCAAGATCTAGGAAGAGATCTCTGGCCTCCCCCGATGAAAATGTTGCCACATTTGGAAACCAAGTGAGAGTGCACACGTCCCTTAGTGCCATTGAGCTTTGCGATAGCCCTACCTCATGGGGTTCGTCCTTCTTTAGCATCGAGGAAGGCGTCTTTTGCAACATGTCCACCAAGACCAAGGTGCCACTTTGCAAGGCCGGAGTGACCGAGAGATGCTTCGTTTACGAGAAGCCTATCGTTAATGGAAGAGGAGGGTACTCTACTAAGAGAAATGTGGGCGTTAGGGGATCCACTATGAAGTACAATGCAATTTACTTCATTGCGAGTGATGAGAATGGTAGGGTCATTGACGATGGTAAAGGATACTAGAGCCCTTAATACCAATTCTTCTTCTCTCCTTTCTTCTGTGCATTGTTCAACGTTATCTCACCCCTGGACGGACAGTACAGATCCTTATTGGCAGGGTTTCCCGGTCTGCAACGATTGGTATCTGCGGCGTCCCTCCTCCCTTCCCTCAAAGCACTGGCCCTTGCTGATCCCTTGCCGGACTCTGTAACACTTGCCTCCTCACCAATCGAATGGTGGTTTGAAACGACAGATACCACCATCAAGACCCTCAGACTCCGAGTGGAAGAGCTCTTTCAGTTTTCTCCTGACAACAATGGGCTCCTCCAACTGGTCAGAAAAACACACCTTTCCCTCAAGCTCCGCCTTGCTCAAGTGGAACTAGGGATCCAGGCCTACCAAGAACGTCGTCGAATGCGCCACAGTATGCAGCAAGCACTCTCGAACCCACCCAAGATCACGCAGGATGATACATTGGCACAGCATATCCTCTCATCTGTCTTGATCCCAAACGACAGTAATCCCATCACTCTGGAATCGGCCACGAACAAACACCTTCGAGCCTTTTTGAGGCAAGACACACCACTAAACCCACACTCCTCAACCCAACCAGAGACGGGAACCTCGAAACAGTGGCGCCAATTCTGGAGCGCTAAAATACCACACCGGGCCAGGACCACGTGGTGGAGATTTAAAAGGGATTGGCTTCCTTGCGGAACTCTACGTCAAAAAATCTGGAAGCAGGATCCTCATTGTAACATGGCCGGATGTCGTGAGCGACGTGAGGACAAGGCGCATCACATCTTTCAGTGCGCTCCTAAATACATCGCTTGGCAAACAATCCTCAAGGAACACACATCCAAACCACTTTGGTCAGATGATGACCTTGATAAGGTCTTGTCTTTCCATCCTCCAACCTTTGATATCAAACCCCAATTTAACATCACTATCCCACAATTGCTGGCTTGTTGCCTCATTGGTATTTCATCAGCCAACACCGTTCTTTTTCTTCATCAACACACTCAATCTAGTAGCGATATCATCCACACCATACTTCGCGAAATCACCAAAACCATAGCACAAAATAACTCTATCAAGGCTGTTTAAGCCACAATAAATCCTCTCTTTTCCCTCAAAAAAAAAAAAAAAAAAAAAAAAATGTTCAACGTTATCTATTACTTTAATAGCTTCCACGTCCATCTTTGCTGCCTTCTCCACTATCTCTACCTTTCTCACTTCTGCCGTGTCGTTGGTTTTTTCAATCTCTCAAGCTCGCATTTTGGAATCTCTATACATGCGTGAAAAGAGAACATGCCTGAATGTCAGTGCCTAATGAGATACATGCATGCATAAAACTCGACGCCGATGAGTCTCTCCCTTGACCTCACCATACAATTTTTTGTTTCATCCTCCTCTGTACTGCCTACATTGACAACATGGGTTTTTTAGACAACATAGCCAACATAGCCAACATAGCCAACAAAGGCAAGCGCAGGGCCGAACGCACGGTCGAGAAAGCCCTGCGCGTATTTTAATCGATTGCGGTGCGGAAGGGAATCATCTGTTCTTTTTTTGCAAACAACACTCTCTCCTCGCTCTCCTGGTCCCCCCCATCCCATCATCCCTCCTAAACGGTTCCTCCTCCATTTACTCTTCCACCTCCACCTTTACCATCTACCGCGACCACTACTCCGAAAAAATGAAAGCACTCGTTTACCCTCTCTCCAACTACGACCTGATTCTCGGCAAACCCTGGCTCACTACCATTAATCCACTCATCAACTGGAGAAACAACAACCTTCACTTTACCCACAATGGAAACACTGTTCTTTGGCGCTGTCGGGGTGCTGGTGCCAACCCCATCACCTTTCTCATACAAGGGAAACTCCTCTCTCACCTTCACTTTCACTCCCTCACTGCTCAGCCCGGCAAAGCTGTCTGCCTCGTTCTCGCCAAAATCGCTAAAAAACCGACCTCCTCTCCACTCTCACCCGACATTCACAACATCGTCCACAAGTTCCCCGACGTCTTTCCTTCTTTTCTCCCTTTGGCCTCCCTCTGACAGAGGCGATGCAATGAAGATCGAAATAGATCCGAGTGCTGACCCTCCCCTTTCGCCTTGTTATACGTCTCTCGATTGCTGAATTGGATGAACTAAGGAAGCAACTTGATGACCTACTTGGCAAAAACCCTTTATCTCCCCCTATGGTGTCCCTGTGTTGTTTGTAAAAAGAAGGATAGTTCTACGGAGGATTGAACCGTATTACAAAAAAGAGCCAACACCCCCTTCCCCGCACTGTTGAGCTTATCGACCGTTTTCGCGGGGTACGCTACCTCACCAAACTCGACCTCCTCTCCGGCTACCATCAGCAACGTATCGCAGAAGAGGACATACACAAGACAGCCTTCCGTTGCCGCCATGGTCATATCGAATTTAATGTGGTTCCTTTCGGGTTAACGAATGCATCTCTAATATGATGCTACGAGTATTAGACCCTATTCTCGACAAGTGTAGGGTTGTTGTCTACCTCGACTATATTCTTATCTACTCGCGCACCGAGGCCAAGCACCTACGACGCCATCGATCCGTCCTCACGCTCTTCCGCAAGAATAGTTTATACGCCAAGTCGAGCAAATGCTCCTTCATGCAGGAAGAGACCGAGTTCCTCGGCCACATCATCTTCAAGGACAGTATTCACACGAGCGCGGTCTCGTTCATACCATTCGTAAATGACACCGTCCCCAGAAGCAGAAAGATGGCCAGCAGTTCGTCGGTCTTGCACAGTTCTATCATCAGTACATCGCTAACTTTGCCTCAATTGCCCTACCATTGACTGCTCTCTTAGATGAAGGCGTTCCTTTCTCTTGATTCCAGGAAAAGGAAGTAGCGTTTACGACTCTCAAGGAAGCCATCGGTAAAGCACCAGTTTTACGTATCTTCGAACCCTACCTTCTAACAACCGTCGAAACCGATGCCTCCAACTTTGCTCTCGGTGCCGTCCTCTTCCTGACCGATGAGCATGGCGAGTCACGTCTCGTCGCCTTCACCTCCAGCAAGCTGAACCCTGCCGAACGCAGCTATCCGACACATGAACAGGAACTGTTGGCTGTCGTACATGCATTGAAGACATGGCACTACTATCTCGACGGATCCCATTTCATTGTATACACCGACCACGCCACTCTCCAACACGTTCCCACTCAACCCAAGCTCACCCGCCGTCAGGCTTGCTGGATGGAACTGTTACAGGAATACAACTTCACCTTCAAGTACAAGAAAGGAACTGACAACGTTGTTCCGCATACCCATCTCGCCGACAGGACCACAGAGAGATTAACACACTCTCAGTACAGGTCGATCTCAGGCTCCGGCAGCGCCTGATGGATGGTTACAAGAGGATCACCGCCTCAAACCGATCTATGAAAGCTGCCTCCAGGGAAGTCCACCGTCTAATCATTCTCTTGTCGATGGCGTTCTCTGCATTCAATGCAATAATCTTTACTTATTTGTATCCCCTCGAACTCTGACCTTCGTCTTTCACTTCTTCACAATGCTCACGACTCCGCTATTGCTGGTCACTTTGGTTTCGACACTCGTGGTTCTTCTGGCCATCCATGGCGAAGGATGCCCAGCTGTATGTGCAGACCTATGAGTCGTGCCAGAGGACTAAGCCCGGCAATCAACCACCCACTGGCCTCCTCCAGCCCCTACCTATCCCTGATCGACCCTGGCAAACGGTGACCATGGACTTTGTCGGCCCCTTACCCAAGACCCCTCGCGGC